TTATTAAGTATTAAAAGTAGCTTTTTTCTATTTTTACTTTTAATATAACTTTATTAATATAAAGTATTAAACTAAACTAAAATTATAGAATTATAAAGAATATTTTTTTTTATATTTTTTATATATAAATTTTTTTTATATATATATTATTTATTAAGTTATTAAATAAAGAAAAATTTAATTTTTTGCTTTTTTACTAGTAAAAAGTGGTTCATCGGCTGAAATGGTTCATCGGCTGATCAGCCTCGGTACCACTCGGCTGTTTGTGCGATCCGAACAACTTTGAACGTGCTGTGGCAAGTATTGATCATCGCCGACAAAAAAAGAGCAGGAGCTCAGGTGCGAATGTTTGAATCTGGGCATTTTCCGGTTCTTCTCCTGTCGAAGTGTCCTCTCTTGGTCCAGATTCTTTTGGCGAATGCCATCGAGAGTTATTGTTGCTTTGACGGAAGTTTTGTAGTCCGTAGACAGCTGCTCAAGAGTTGCGCGAGGAAGAAGAACCCACATCAATCGCCTTCGCATCTCATCCTTCTCGACAAGTCGACTGCCTCGGCGTCTCTTCTCGACCGCATTACGGGCACCTTCTCCGCACCATGGGGACGACGTAAGCGTTGATCGCTTCCCTTTAAAAGCAGCCGCCAATGTACATCGGTCTCCACTCTGCCGAGGATCACTCGCGCCATACCGAAACCTGCTCGTCCCCAGACTTTACCCCAGCTTCCCCTTCCCCAACCTTCCTGACGCGGTTAAGATATGCTTGTTGGTTGCAACGGCGGGTGTGGCAATCGGCTTGTGGAATCGGTCCTGGAAGGCTTGGAAGGGTTGAAACCTAGTTGCGGCGCACATGGCTCGGTCGGTACTTCAGCGGGGAACTGGCACCTTTTTGTTAAGCTTACACGACTGTCCAAGTAAGAGGAGCTGTTACTGTGACCGAGTCTCATGGTTATTGCGTTTGGTAAACGACGAGATCATTATTATCAACCGGTATATTGCTAGCCAGCAGTTCTATCTAATTCCAAGTACAACATGGGATTCTTCAAGAAGCCCACGCTGCGCAATCGCGACGACAAGCGCACGCGTGCTGCTGAGCTTACTCTACGCGAGTCCATCTACCCACTCTGTCTCGTTACCATACTATTCTTCCTTTGGGTAAGAGACGGTCGCTACATGACTGATAAACCCGCACTAATCAATTCACAGGGGTTTTCGTATGGTCTCATCGACACGCTGAACAAGCACTTTCAAGAAGTCCTCGGGATCACACGCTCCCGCTCCTCCGGCCTACAAGCAGCCTACTTTGGCGCCTATCCACTTGCTTCTCTGGGACACGCCAACTGGCTGCTTCGGCACTGGGGTTATAAAGCCGTTTTTATCTGGGGTCTCTTCCTCTACGGGCTCGGCTCCTTGATCGCGTGGCCGTGTCTCGTGTATCGCTCCTTTGGAGGCTTCTGCGTAGCCATCTTCATCATTGGCAATGGTCTTGGATCGCTCGAGACTGCGGCAAATCCGTACCTAGCCGTGTGCGGGCCGCCAAAGTACTCTGAGATCCGGATCAACATCGCGCAGGCTTTCAATGGTATCGGCACGGTAGTCGCGCCGGTGCTGGGTTCGTACGTCTTCTTCAAGAACACGGGAACCGATGTGAACGCGTTGAAGAACGTCCAATGGACTTATCTCGCCATCGCATGCTTTGTGTTTGCTCTCGCGGTCGTGTTCTATTTTTCGCCGATTCCTGAGATCACAGGTAAGAATCTGGCTAGACAAAGTCAGTACATATGCTGACTCCCAAACAGACGCCGACATGGCATTCCAGGCTGAGAGTACGCATGCCGGCACCGATGTGCAGCCCTTCCGCAAGCAATACCGGCTGTTCCACGCCACCTTTGCGCAGTTCTGCTACACTGGAGCGCAGGTGGCCATTGCAGGAGCTTTTATCAACTATGTGACGGAGACTCGCGTCACAGCTAGCGGTCCTACGAGCTCTTCCACCGCGGCTCGATTCCTTGCGGGTGCACAGGGCGCGTTCACCCTGGGTCGCTTCGCGGGTAGCGCCATCATGAAGTTCGTCAGACCGCGCTGGGTGTTTTTTGTCTTCATGACGCTGTGCATCATCTTCATCATTCCGTCCATAACGGAGCGAGGAAACACAGGCATGAGCATGCTGTACATTGTGCTCTTCTTCGAATCCATCATCTTCCCGACGATTGTCGCTCTCGGCATGCGCGGACTGGGCAAGTACTCTAAGCGTGGTTCTGGCTTAATAGTGGCCGGTGTCTCTGGGGGCGCCATCGTTCCTCCGCTCCTCTTTGCTGCGTCGGACTCTCAGGGCGCAGTAAACCACGAGACTGGCCATGCGCCTACAGCCATCGCAATGACGGTTCCATTGGCCTTCTTCATCGCGGCATGGACGTACACGTACTGTGTCAATTTCGTGCCAGCATACCGGGATGTGGCAGACAAGTTCTCGACAACTGAACTCGGTATCGTCAACGCACATGCGAATGACGCGGAGAATCAGATTGGCAGCAGTGAAGGTTCGGGTGGTGTGTTGGCCAAGGACGAGGCCCCAGCGCGCAAGGAGACGGTACAGGCGGCGGAGAAGATGTGATGAATCGCCCTGGATGCCAACAATTGCACAGCCCATTACTTAACTTCCACCATAGGAGTACAGTAGGCAGGGGGTTGTTTAGCGCTAATGCCAGGAACGAAGTCACGATAGCTTACGAGCAAGCATTGAGTTTGAATGGCAATACCCTAACGTCGATGCATCCTTTCCGTTCTTTCCACTAGCTAATGCTTATTGCTTGCACAACATGAATGAAGGAGCATTAAGCGCAAGTACTACCACTTGCAAGGCGAAAAATGGCTTCGCAAGCAGGACTGGATGCGAAACCCTAGCGCTAGTGTGTGATGGCAACGAATCACTGAGAGATGGGGACCACAGTACAACTCCGGTCCTGCAAGATAAAATGAAGCAAAGATAAAGATCCGACTATTTGAGGATAGGCGATGGGCCGATCTTGAGTTGCGCACGTCTCACCGCGTAGCGCTGGTGCTGAGCCACTTGCCGAAACAACCGTCGCTGGTGTGTCATGAAAGGAAAATGGTGACGTTCCTGGAGATGGAGGTGAAGGTGGAGATGGAGATGGAGATGGTGTTTTGGCGCGGGAGCAACGTCAGCTTGCGTATGCACACGGCGACTCGAGATATCACACCAGGCCAGTCGCGTCTCGCCATGCCCCCTCCCATTGAATGTATTTCGTATCGTCGTAACGCGTAGCAAGCGCAATATTTGGTCCGCAACGGGCCTCTGGTACCGTCGCACGTACCGTTGTGCGGCGCTCCCTGTTCCCCGCCCTCCGGCTAGTGCGCGTTGGCTGAGGCGCAGTCGCAGTGCCTGACAAGATTCACATGGAGACGCAGGGCTGCCGGCAGCCGTGCCCAGCTCACTCGGAACGGGGACCTACACCTTACCCTCTTCCTGTTCGTCATTCACGCCTTTCCCCCCCAGGCCATGTCAAGCGTCTCTCGCCGCCATTGCTGCGCCGTATCGCAGCCCTAGATCGCAGCCTCGAAGAATGCGGCGGTCATGTCCAAGAGGGCCTTCATCTTCCCGTGGTAAGCACACCTCGAGGCCTTGAGAGAGAACCCAGAGCCAGGGCTGACATGAATAGCGGCCTCGTCCTAGCATCTGGTTATTTGAGCACCGCGCCCCCCGTCGACTACTCGTTTGCCTTTGACAAGCCGCTGCACACGGTTGGCTTCGTGCTGCTCCTCACTGGCCTCGCCATCGTCGCCATTGAAGCCTGGCCCTCGCGAACCCCCCAGCCGCAGCCGCCGACAAGATATATTGCCATCCCACTCAGCCAAGGCCAGACTAGGCCGCCGCGCGAGGAGATATGGACAGAAGCCGGGCAGCCAGGACGGAGAAGAGCATGGAGCGTCAAGGCGGTCGGGGCGCTGTTGGCAGTGCTGCTGTTTGCCATCTGCGGTCGCATTGGCGTCTTCTACCGCGTCATGAAGGACGTCGAGTGCAGTGGGCCGTCAGCAATGGTGCGCACAAGCCGCCCCAGGTTCAAACATCCAAACATGACTGACGCGTACAGGCGTTCCTCCCTCTCGTGCTCGCTCTCTACCATAGCATCCGCCACCCAAGCCAGCGACAGTACCCCGCCTGGAGTGCTGACTCACGCCCCCGGACGCACCTCGATCGCACCTACAACTTCATCTTTGACGGTTCCACACGTTATATTGTTCCCTCTGTCCTCGTCTCCATCAGCAGCTTCCTCGTCCTTGTCAAGTCCAGCTCGCTACCGTCGACGTACATCTGCCCGCTCGCAAACTCAACCGCAACCACTATTCCCTCGCTCCAGTTCCTCGGCTTCGTGTTAGATGGCATCATTGTGCAGCTGGCGTATCGTCTGATCGACGATGGCATTTCTGCGGCGGACGACTGGACTATTCACCTTCAAGATGGCACAACGAATCACCTGCTTGTTGGCCTCACACTTATTGTACGCTTCAACTACCATTCCACCTTCAACGTCGATGTGCTAACCTCCCCAGGCATCATCATTAGTTCTTCTTGTCGCTGGCATCGTTGTATACCCTGCAATGCCCGAGCATCGCGAGTGGATGCTCTCGTTTCCTTCTGAATATCTTTTAGGTCTTTTGCGTTTATCGTTGATGATACCCTTTATGACGTTATGTTTCCTTAAGTCGGTACGTCTGAACCTATCCACATCTATCAAGTCACGATACTGACGATCCAGGCACGGTCATACGGCGTTATGAGCGCGGTGCTCATTGTTGCATTTTCTTCGGCATACATTGGCGTGCTTCGCGCCCTCGGGACCGGCGTGTCCTTTTCATTCCCACCAAAGTCAACCGTTGGACTTGTTTTGTGTCTAACTTTGCTCACTATTGCCCTTATCATCCACTTGGTCACAGATACCAACATCGAAACTCGCATTCGATCTACCGTGCCCGTCCGTCTGGGCAGGAACCAGTCGGCGGCTTTCATCGTCTTACTCATCGCCTTCTCTATTGGTGTAGTCGTGTACCGTCGTCAAGGCCCAGTGCTAGAACACCCCATCGCTTCTCTGATCGACCGCGCGACCGTACAACACGAGCACTGGGCTTCGCAAGCGCACCGAAGTAAATCACTAGCGGAAGCTGTTGTGCACTATCGGCAGCGCTATAAGCGAGATCCTCCGCCAAACTTCGATAAGTGGTACCACTTCGCGGTTGCCCGGAACTCGATCGTAATAGATGATTACGATAATATCGAGCAGGACCTTGCACCCTTCTCATCGTTCAATCCCGATGACCTACGGTTACGCACAGCAACTGTACTGGCCACAAACGAGGCAGTGGGTGGCATTCGGATAAGAGATGGAAAAGCCGAGGTCTTTGCTAATGTGCCCGAGACGCATCAATGGATGATGGATGGTGCGGCTGCTATGATTAGGCAGTTTTCCGAGTTTCTCCCCGACATGGACTTGGCTCTGAACCTACACGATGAACCTCGCGTTGCTGTCCCATATGAGCGCCTACAGGATGCCCTGGACAACCCTCAGCCATACCCCACACCGGAGCCGTCTCGACCAGGGAAAGAGTTCAGTGTCGATCGCGCCAAGAAGTGGCCAGATCTCGAACAAATTCGTGTAGATCCACAATTCTTCGAAAATGCTCGTCTCAAGTCTTCATTCCAGACGTATGGATCCATTGCTTGCTCGGCACAATCTCGCGCTCGAAAGGAACGTCACTGGAACGCGAAGACGTTTTGCCATACCTGCACGCAGCCCCACGCCATGGGCGCCTTCGTATCCAACTGGACTATCTCAGCCGACCCTTGCCACCAGCCAGATATAGCAAACCTCCATGGCATGCATCTGAGCCCCTCGAACTTGATGGGTACGCACGACATCGTGCCCATCTTTAGCCAAAGTCGCGCGCCTGGCTACGCCGATATCCGATACCCTTCGCCTTGGAATTATATGGACAAGACCAAGTACGAATTCGACGAAAAGTTTCCGGATCCTCGCTTTCATGATAAAGAGAATGTTTTGTTCTGGCGCGGCACGACTACAGAAGGCGTGACTACGGCTGGAACCTGGAAAGGCATGCTCCGCCAACGCCTTGTTCACCTTCTCAACAACGAAACCGCCCGTCAACCCATCCTTTTACCAAAGGCTGATCACAGCGGGCAGCTTGAGTACATGCTCAAACGAACCATCGACATAAATAACTACCTCGAAACCAAAACCGACGTCCGCTTCGTCGACGAAATCTTACGCTGCGCCGGGCAAGATTGCATCGACCAAACCCGCGAGTTTGGCTTCGGGGAGCCCATTGACTTTAAACAGCACTGGCGCTACCGCTACCTCTTCGACACAGACGGCGCCGGTTTCTCAGGCCGCTTCATCCCCTTCCTGAAATCCAACTCGGTCGTTTTCAAGTCCCGCCTTTTCCATGAGTGGTACGAGGGTCGTCTCATCGCGTGGAAACACTTTGTCCCAGTTGACCTTCGACTGCACGACTTGTTCAGCTCCCTAGCGTACTTTGGGGGCTATGGTGTTGAGGCGCGAAACAAGAGGATGATGGAAGGCAAGTCAAAAGAAGCCGAGGCCATTGCGAGACAGAGCAAGGTGTGGACGGAGAAGGTACTCAGAAAAGAAGATATGGAGGTTTACATGTTTAGGCTCTTACTTGAGTGGGGTCGGTTGACGGACGATGCGCGGACAGAGGTAGGGTTCAGAATAGGCAAAGGCAAAGGAAAGGGAAGGAGTAGTAGTATGGAAAGAGAGGTTGTGGAGCTGTGAAAAGGGCAATAGCGCGGCGTTTTGGGGTTGAATTGGTAGCATTGCATGGCGTTGTTTTTTTGACTGCAAAAGATAGTCTTCATCTTCTTGGTGGTGGAGCTTCTGCGCGCTACAATGCGCGTTACTCTGAACATCTCAACGTCAAGACTTCGGTTCTACTTCGTATCCTTCCCTCCGCCTGTGCCTATTTCGAAATCTCCGAGATGAAACCTCACATTACGTGGCAACTTCGACCCAAAGCCTATAGATCGTATCTCTGCTTCCGCCAGTCGAAGGACGATCTGAAGGTCTGTATCAGACTGCAAAGGTGGCGCCTGACCCACAAAAGAGCCCAATGACTGTCAACAAGCTCCAGGGGCATTCGTTGCCGCCGTATTGAACTGCGAGAAGTAGTTGAACTGTTGCGGGAGCAATGAGATAAAGCCAACGCGGTTGAGGTGGCGATGCAAGTTTGGCAAGACGGACTTCGTGCGTCCCTTCTTGATTTGATCAGGAATACGGATGAAGCAAAGGATCATCGCGAACGACAGCGCCGATTGGGAGATTGATCAAGAAAACCCAGCGTCATGTGGAATACTCAGTTAACGCATCCCCAAGAAGCGGACCGAAGACAACGCCCAACTGTGGGATTCCTATCAATATTCCGGTCAGCACGGCCCCTTTCGAGAGCGGTACGCAACTAGAAGTAATCGTTATGGCCCCGTTCATGAGCCCACACCAATACGTCCGCCACAAAGATGCATAACAAAGTTTCCCCGCAAATGATGGCCGCCTTCCCACACTAATTCCCCGGCGATGAGGGACAAAATGTGGCGCATGGGCGTTAACCGACTAATCAACGGGCGAATATAGTTCTGGAGCCAAATACTGATACTTCCAACCGTCCTGAGTGGGCTTGTCTTCAAGCCTGCTATGGGTTGGGGTAGGGTGTTGGCTTGGTTGTTTTGGTTTTACGCAGTGGTTGCTCTGAGGGCTCTCTATAATCTTGTGCTGTACCCTGCATTTTTGACACCGCTCTACAATATACCTACGCCAAAGGTCAGTTTCCTGGTGCATTCAGTCTAATATTGCTGGCAAAAATTGATACCCTATCGCAGGACCCGCACCAATATATGGGGCAACTTTCTGCCCTGGGGCCCCGAGCCCACCTTGCCCACTGCTAAACGACTGGCAAAAGAAGTTCCAAACTCCAGGTTTATCCGCTTCTACTCACCTTTCACACAAGAGAAGTTGCTCGTCACTTCCCCCCAAAGGCTATCAGAGAAATATTTATACAACAAAGTTACAAGTTTGGAAAGCCCGCATTTGTGAGGGCCGCAATTGTTGCTGTTGCTTGCGAAGGACTAGGTCTTGCCGAAGGCAATGTCCACAAGGTTTGCATATATCTACCCCGTCTGGTAGCGTAGACTAGCATGTATATTTAGGCGCAACGAAAGGCCATCATACCCGCATTTTCCTACAAGCATATCAAAAACCTCTACCCAATTCTCTGGAGGAGAGCCACGGAGATGGTAAGGGCTATCGAAAAAGAAATGAAGACTTCACTTACCATCGTAACCCGCGACCGGGCATCCCGGTGTGCTCTGGACATCGTCGGCGAAGCAGGAATGGGATACCATTTTGGCGCTCTAAAGAATCCAAAGGATGACAAGCTTCTCAAAACTTATAGGAAGCTTTGAAGTCCCCCCCACGCAGAACATGCTACTTTTCGTGCAGATGGGGTTCTTCTTCTTGGATCCAGAGTGGCTTCTAAGACTACCATCAAGGTAAATCGCAAGAGTGGAGAATATACAACCTACAACCTACATTAGAAACAAGATAAAGGAGGTAATCAATAACAAAAAAGAGAATGGAGAGGAGGGGTGTGTGAACATCATTAGTCTTGCGATAAACGACATGTCCGGATTTTTTAAGGAGAAGGACTTGGTGAATTCAATGATGAACATGTTGGCGGCGGGCCCGCCTTCGCAATGTTGTTTTTAGTGTGAATATTGGGTAAGCATCCAGCAATTCAGGCGAGGTTACGAGAAGAGGTGAGGGTTAAGTTGCCAGCAATTACGATGGACGATCTTTCAATGAATGTAAAGACCCAAAGCCATGGGATACGGAGTTGGTGGACTCACTGCCGTACTTGAACGCTGTGGTCATGGAGGTCCTGAGGATGTATCCGCCCGCGCCTACTGTTGGGAGGAAAGCGTTGGAAGATGTCGTCATTATGGGAACCCTAGTACCGAAGGGCACGGATATAACCGTCGCAGCTCCACTCATGAACACCAATCCGGAGCTGTGGGGTCCAGATGTGCACCTTTTCAATCCGGAACGATGGGTGGGTCCTAACAAATCGGCAAATGGCGGCGCAAAGAGTCCGTATGCCTTTATGACTTTCATCCAGGGGCCGAGAACGTGTATTGGGAATCAATTCTCCAAGTCCGAGTTATTAGTAATGGCTGCAGCATTCGTCGGGCGTTTCAAATTTGAGCTGCTGCATCCGGAAAAGGATTTGGAGGTTGAACTTTCGGTTACAATGTCGCCAAAGGGTGGTAGAACTTTAGTACTTCTTGTTAAGGATGTTTATAGTATACATATAAGACTTCCGCCAGCTAAAGGAAAGTCCAAAGGCTCCTGGATATAACTAGTCAAAGAACACTAAAAAGCAGTAATTTGCGTCTGGGTCAGTTCTAGCCTCTGGCTTCTGGATTTATGTTTCATTCTTCCATGCCCTTTAATCCACTCCGTTCAAAATAGAGATCCTGTGAAAGGCATAAGAGATGAAGTAGCAACCAGGTTGGTATTCATGTCTTGGGTTTTTTCCCTTGCAGCTGCTCTCGCTTTCGCTCACGCTCAAGCTTCTCGCGGGTAAGATAGTAGATAGGAACGGCCGGCGCAATAGTGAACTTCTGGAGATGTGTAGAAAAGTCTGAAGGAACTTTGACGCCTTCTTTTGGTTTGGCATCCTGTTTGGGTGATTTCAACTTTTGAACAAAAATACTGAATAAGCTTCGTCTTGTAGTTCTGTTCTGTTCTTTCGGGGCGTGCAGCTCTTGTAGGCTGTGCCACGTAGCACTCGCGTTCTGGTACTCTCCAGAGTTGATAATCGTTGTCAGCATGTGTTTTATGTTCTCGGAGGAGCCGAAATCGAAATCGAACCCCGTCATGCGATCGACGACTTTGCGGTCAAGCGGGAGCGTCAAAGGTTCACGCGCTGGTGTATGGTTGTCAGGTACACACCCATAACCATAGGTCATCCATCGACTTGAAAGGGCCTGGTCAAGGGACATGGTTGCGGAGTAGCCTTTGCTAAGTAGTCCGTGGAGCAAGCTATGGGCATCTATGAAGTGCTCAGCTAGCTGATTCTGTCTGATACAACGATTTCAAGATCTTGTCTGACTTACCAGCCGAGAAATACATTAATCCTCTCATTTTCGTGTCTGAGATCTCTGTGCCATTGGTTTCAACCGGCGAAGACCCGCAGAGCATTGTCCAAAGGACAATGCCGAAAGACCTTACATCCTTTCTAACGCCAGTATCCCATAAGGTCGGCGTAGACTCAGACATCATGAGTGGGCGTAGGTAAACATTTGGCTCCCGCTCGTTTGACATAGATGAACCTACGGCTTTGTAGCTAAAACCATCACTGAAGCCATAGTCCAGCTTACTTAAACGAAGTCCCGTAATCTTGATGTCACCGGATTTCGATATGATAATTTTATGTACCCTGAGAGATTGGTGTAGGATCAGATGTGCATGGCAGTAGGCTAACGCGCTGCCGATCTGTCGAGCAAACTTGCGGGCTTGCTCCTCCTCCACGCGGACGTGCGCCTTAATGTATTCGAAAAGAGTTTTGTGACCTCCCAACTGGACTAGGAGATAACAATAATACTGTGTGCGTACAACATCGCGAAGTAAAGTAATGTTCGGATGAGTTACAAGGCTTAGTAGGGCAGCTTCGCGTGCTATTGAAACCTCCTGGTGCTCATCTCGAGCATACATCTTGACTGCAACCTGAGATTTCGTTATTATAGATCCAATCAGCTGACCCAAATATACATACTATCTCACGAGTCATTTCGTTGGTGGCAAACTTTAGTTTACCTTGCGATTCTAGCGCAGATGTCTTGCCTAAAGTCCAAGTTCCTTGCGAAGATATAAGTGTATTGCGGGGAGGCGAGGCATGCGATACAACTCTTTGCTGCCTCTCTGTAGCTTGACGCGCACGCCGTGCTCGCATCTTAGCTTGTTCTTGCTCTTGTGCTGCCAACTCCTTCGCTAACATTAATGATGCTCTCTCACCTTTGCTTACGCCATCTAGCTTCGCTCCGCTAATGTTCGAGGCCGAGAAGTCGTCTGATCTACTTGTCACGTGTCCTGGAACCCACGATGTAGACTGCTGGAGTACCTTTGGTCTTTCTTCCCGCACATGATGCGGTTTAAGGATCACTTTGGACTCTTGATCTTCCGCATGAATAGTCTCATCTGCACCAAGTCGAGGAGAAGCCGTGCGCACCGTATGAATAGGTAAGTGAGTGTTTTGCGCCACATGCGACGGCGCTTGGAGTCCCTGAAGAGGATTGCGAGCGCCCATAGTCACGGTCTCTGTATCGGTAGGGGAGGGTGTTCTTTTGTGTGAGAGTTTCTGTTTGTTACGAAGACTATGATGTGTATTAGAATCATCAGCACCTTCAGTATCCGTGTCACTGTCTTCTCCACTCCAGCATACCGTCTCGGCATACGAAGTCAAGTCATCGAGATAGTGAATGAGCATTGAATCTGGTCCCTGAGTACTTGGGCGAAGCGTAGCAAGATCATCAGGTAGTTGCGCCCTCAGTCGTGCAATTTCCTGGAGGATGTTTGTAGTATCCTGCTTTATGGCTGCTGTATCATGACGCAAGTTGCTAGTATTAGTTTTGATTTCTCTGGTCATGAACCTATCGTGCGTTAGCCAACGTCCCTTAGAGTAGGCTATATACCAAGGCTCACAAAGTGACCATTTCGAGCGCGATTTCCAGCGCTGACTTGTGCGCTTCAAGGCTCATACGTAACTTCGCAACATCCTCACTACCTGCCAGCGCCCATTTGGAGCCTTTGATGACTCCTGGCTCAGCGTATTTCTCCACGAGGCGCTGTACCTCGATAAGCACAAGCTCGCAGTTGGCTAGAATACCAGCAATATGCTTGCGAAGCGTTTCCGGAAATGTATTGATATCTTCAGCATCTTCAGCGATAAGTTCGAGTAATGTCTTGAGCGAGGCTAGCTCCCGTGATATGGCATCCAGATCGCTGCGTGCGGCTCTCACTGAGCGCACGAAGTTCGTGACAGAAATCGATGTCTTCGTTATCGTGGCTGTCAGTGCCATGCATGCCGCCGTTATCGAAAGAGGATCCATGTTAGTGGATCAAGAGTGTCGCCTAAGAACTTGAGGTCGTGTGAGAGCTGAGGCGGGACGGTTGTCGTGTGGTCAGGCATTGGTGGGATGCTGCAGATATGCATGGTGGCGTCGAAAATAGTCGATTGCTTCAAATATTTCTAGTACACGATATAATTTTGGTTACGTAGGGAAATAGTGGACACGAGGGTAATGTGAGTTTATTGGAGGACTTGGATGTGTGAGGTTAAGTTGTTATGGGTCACTGCAAGACACAATACGTACGGTGGAGGAAAGAAGAACTCGCAATAGCAAACTTTGACCACAACGCTGCTGCACCATACAAAACAATTAGTCCATAGAAATTTATAGAGTACAAAACATCATAATAGCGAAGAAAATGTAGATGAATATCAAATGAATAGGCGGTGTCAACTGGTCCAGGTGACCCGATCAGCGATGACGTTTCGCTTGCCGCTAGCCGACCGCCTTCGCCCCAGCCCCAGCCTCATCCTTGATCTGGAACCACTATCGCCCTCTCTGCGGCAAGCTCCCCACTCGACACCATAGCTTCTCTCCACACCCGATTACACCCTCAAGCTCCTCTCGCCGAAATCAACGTTGGTCTGCAATGCAGTTTACAACACTCTTCCTCGCCGCGCTCAGCGCCCTCTCCGTCTCTGCGAAGCCGTCATGGATGGGCGACCAGATCACTGTCAAGGAGGAGTATAAGGTGCCCGGCGATAACCCGCTGTACTTCTGTGGCGACCCAGCAGATGATATTCTGAAGATCGAGAAGGTCGATTTGAACCCGAACCCACCCAAACCGTATGTTTGTCCCGTCTAGACACCGCTCTTCCTTCGACCTGGAACCAGGCCCTCTCTATTCTTCGACAAACATATGCTGAGGGATGATACTGACATCGACTGCAGGGGCGAGAAGCTCACTATCAAGGCAACGGGCGACTTCAAAGAGGAAGTTGGCGAGGGTTTCAAGATGCACCTCCAGGTCAAATACGGCCTCATCACGCTCATCAACCAGGAGGCGGACGGCTGCGAAACGATTGGCAAGGCGGATCTTGAGTGCCCACTTGACAAGGGCGAGATGACTTTGACTAAGGACGTTGATCTGCCACGGGAGATTCCTCCGGTATGTACACGGGGTTCACGATGTAACCGAAGAGAGTGCTGACTGTTCGATAGGGCACGTACACCGTTCTCGCAGACGTGTACACCGAAGAGGGCGACAAGATTACCTGCCTTACCGCTAAGATTGCGTTCCACCGGTAAATGCTTCCGTTTACTACGACGCTCGCCTCTTCCTCTCCTTCTCGAATTGCTTGCGAGGCGGTGCCTGATGTTATGACATAGATCTGGTGCTGGGGAGGATAGTAGCAAGAGTGGCAGTAACATCAAGATTGGCAAGCCGAGGTTCCAAATGTCGGGACCTTTGGCAGATATGGTGCAAGAGCGGTTGCGGCAGCGGCAGCGGAACGAGCTTTGATTAAGGATCTGTATATTTGGCGGCAGAAGGTGGTACTTATGTTCGTGAAGCGCGATACCATTTGCGAGCTTCCCCTTTGGTGTTTTGCATTGGGGGCTCGTAGACGTATGCCTGAATTGATGGTATAATGTAGATATGATAACTATGCATACTTTGTGGCACATTGGACATCTACTAATTTGTATTGCTTGAATTGGATATCATGTCTTTGTAAATCGATTTTGGCACCTATACCCCTTCGACTGCTGCCACCCTTTCGGCTAGTTTGCATAGCACTGCAAAGACAGCTTCTGCAGCTTCTGTACATGTCTACTCCCCAAATAATCTCCTCACCCTCTTCAGCACGCTATCCTTCTCCGGGTCGTATGGATGATCTTTCGACGGTATCTCGAGCAGCGATGGAAAGGCGGCAGTATATGACTCGACGCGATGTCGTATCCTCTCGGCGATGTGCTGGTTGATAAGAAGGATAGCGATATCCTTGCGCTCGGTCGTGAATCGATCGAATGCGGCTTCGATGGCGGAGTTCTCGGTTTTCGCATCCACGACGAGGAAGTTCTTTTGGCTGTCTGGCGGTTGGGTGACATGCTATAGCGACTGTTAGCCTCATGCAGGAACCCATAATTGAATCGCAGCGAAACATACTCCGACGCCAGCGAGTAGCATGCCCGTTACTGTGTCCTGCAGCTCGTTAGCATTGCCCGCCATATTGGTGGGGTTATTGATCAAAGCGCACCTCGTCCCCAATGACAGCCAGGAACTGCCTGTCCTTGTACTGCGCCGCCGATGCTGCCATGGTGATTGTGTATGGGGCAGCTGTCGTGAGGTGCAAGCTTGGGGAACTGGCGTTGGAGCTCCGTCGTCATGGCGGGCAAAACTAGTCCGCGTTAGGCGAACTGTTTGTCCGCCTCACCTCCAGGGCTACAACTTCGTTTTACAGCACCTCTCTCTTCTCTTCAGACATCCACGCAACCATGTCGTGATGCTCGCTGCTCTTTTACAGCCCACTCTCTTTTAAAGTTTCTCCAGCGCCAGCGCCAGCGCCAGCGCCACCTCCACATACCACATCACCACCCGTAATCGTACCTGTCAAAGATAGTTCGATACCACAACAATGCCCCGCCTCGTCCGCCGCGCACCGCTCTCTGAACGCATAAAAGCCTACATAGACCCTTCGGACTGGCTGATCTGGATCTCCGAGGAGCTCAACAGCTCTGACTGGGACGAGTTTGCCTCATCTTACGGACTCTACATTGGGTTCAGCACAAACCTGCTCTTTATTATCGCCCAAGCAAACAGCGGCGCATCGACGAGCTACAATGACAGCGATGGTGTCTTCACTGAGGTGTCGGGCCCGGGATGGATAAAATGGATGATGAATCTACTGGTGTTAATACTTGGTGGTGCGAGTCTAGGAAATGCGTGGCTGGTGTGGGGGAAGAGGAGGTACTACCGCCTCTTTGAGCAGAGCGTTGAGGTCGCCCCCCAGACACCGAGTGCAAAGCGGGTGCGCGTTGATTCATCGCCTGCTGGGGCATCTCCGTTGAGCTTCATCAAGAATGTCATGAACAATTCTGCAGCGTCGAGGGCACATCCAGATGCTGAGCGCGATGTCTGGGAGATCGCCATCTGGGATCCAAATCCGCTCTGCTTGGAGCTATTCTGTCTATTCAGCCCGCTGCATGTTGTGCTGTACTACTTCAATCTCCCTGTCGCGCCGCTGGATCCAAGGCCAAGTGTAAGAGTTACTACGACCATCTTCATTGGGGCTATTCTTTCGTTACAACTTTGGTGGCTACGGAAGTCATTTACACAGCAAGCCAAGGACAACGCCATCATCAGCCGCGGAGTGCTTCATGAATACGACAATAAGTTCGTACATCCTGCGCTCCAGAAACCATGTCGAGATGTGGGCATCCAAACCATCTCCAGGAAGCGCAATCGAGACTCAAGTGTCGGTGTCCGGGGTAACAGCGATGATCTGGCCAGCGACGTGGTCACGTACACGCCAACAACGGTCATCAACCGGACATTCCGCACCAACCCAAACGCCAACTACGCGTCACAGTATGACCCGGACAACCTGGCTTCGACGTCCGTTTCGCGGTCCTCACAGCATACGCCTTCCCTCCGTCCTGGATATCATGGTACATCATCATACACAAGCACGTCAACTGCTACAGGTGGAGACTTTTCTTCTCCCATCCGGCCCTCCCACACACCAAACCCCTTCCGCCAAGCACCGCCGATCCCACGCACCAGCGATGGCGGCTACCTAGGCGTAAAAACGCACGCAGCGTCACCGCTGCGCAAATCATCTAGCACAAGCTTCATCCGCGACAGTAATCGTAGCAGTGGCAGTGGTAGTGGGATGGGCGGAACTCGTTTTGACGCGTATGGCCAACCGATGGATGCAAGTGATGCAAGAGGAAGAGATAGCCTCGGTGGTGCGGGTGAACGCCGGCAAGCTAGTCCTAGCAAACGCGAGGGCAGTCCGCTCAAGCGCATGAGTATGCCGAACGGTGAGAGGCAGAATGGCGAGAGGCCGTTTGGGCAGGCGGAGAGGTTTGGTAGGACTTCTGGGTATGGGGGACTTGGCGTCGGGCGAAGGGAGAGCGGACGCTTTTGATATGCTGCGATACTAAAGAGAAGGAATGAAGAGTCGTGTTCGTGCTGTAAAGGTGACGAGTACACCACGCCTATGTACATTTTTTACTTCACAATACCCCAATGCATGTCACTATTGTGGCAATTTTCCTTACTGGACTATTCGCCCGACTCATCTATTACTCCCGTTGCTTGTTTCTATCCCATCAAATATCGAAGTATCTTTATGCCTTATCATATACTCATCCCCGGGTTCTGCATAGCCATGAAGTAGTAGAACAAACGTAGAATCATGAATCGCGAGAAAGATTGTGCGGATGAATTCTGCTCGCTCGCCTTGTGCACAGAAATCATCTTGTCTTTCCGCCACCACAATCACACGTCTTCGTTCTTTTGTAGCATACTTCATGAGGTCGACCAATCATGGCATGTGTTGTCGGGAACGATGATACTAGCGACACTAAGGTGCTGTTGTTAGCTGGGTCTAGCAGGCATGTTCAGGTCGTTTAGAGATGTGAGGCTTGATAAAAAGGTAATGCCCCGCTGCGTTATACCACACGAGGAAGGGCGCTACTATCACAGGCCTGGACCTCGGCAATCTAGTGGGCAGCTGTTACGAAGGAGCTCGTTTCTTCTTACCGTAACTAGGTTACTAGTCTGCGCACCAACGCTCTTATAACCATAAAACGACCCTCTCCGGGTGTACATCGGGTGGTAGAAATCAAGGAATAGGAGACGAATGAAAACATTGCGCATGATTCAACTACAGTCGGTGATCTCTGCAGTCCTTCCCAGAGTAGGCACCTAGCAACGCCACCAACCCCATATCTCGTACGACGATGGGATGCCGTGTCGGACCTTTTCCCCAGAGCTTTGACTGCTAAACGTGCCGCGGTCGGATTTCGCCTGTCGCATGGGCCATTTCTTGGGTGAAGTGAAGCGTTCCTGCGCTTTAGGTCCCCTCGTGGGTGGCCTCGAATGACAAGCAAGGGCGAGCGACAACTGGTTGTACAGTACAGTAAAAGCTGAAAATCTTTCGTCTCCTCACTTACCATGTCCGATCGACAACGAACTCCGATCTATGTCATTAGTGCGTGTCAAACTGGCCAACTCTGGGGTTTTCCTGGCCGTGTAACACCCCGCACGTGGACCTGACACCACGCTACCGGTTCGCTTTCCGCCGAACATCCTCGTTCTGTCAGTGCCACCCTTCATACTCGATCAGAGACGTTGTCCAACCGTTCTTGCGCCATCGCCATTAGGCGTACTGGCAGCCTCAAGCGAATGTGGATATCTCTGTACGTAAGCCGTTGATAGAGTGCCCTAGTCAGTGGACTATTATCATCTCAATACACGGCCGAAGCCTCGCCCAAGTTCCTTCTGCCGTCCCCTAGTGACAACGCCCCCCATACTAGCGGCAGCGTTGCTCGTGGTTCGTGTTCCGTCCACCAATTATCATCTGGTGCAATTTCTAGCTGCGCAAACAAGCTTTCCGATCCTTATGGTGTGCAGCAAGCAATCCAAAATACGCCGACATATACCAGTGGGCTGGGTCTCGACAGATTGATTCAGCCCTCTTGTCTACACCCTCCATGCATGCGCTCTAACGCCTCCCCCCCGGATCGCCCTCACTGTTCAACTATACTGGCTCCCAACACAACTGGACAAGATGGCAGCAGACTCCCAGTCGTCGGTGTCGATGTGGGTCTGCCTGGTGGTTTCTGTCGCGCTAATCGTCGCTCGACTGGCGCTGCGCAAAGTGAGGGGGCAAAAGATCACTCACGGTGATTACTGGTGCCTCTGTGCAGCGGTGTCTATTGTAGGGAGGCTGCTTGCCAACCACTTTCTACTAATATATGGTTCAACGAGGAGTGAGCATTACCTCTTCGCAGCGAGGGTCGCGGACTGACATGAGTACAGTCCTGTCGGCGGAAAGACGTATCGAACTACTCAAACCCGGGTTTGAAGTGCAGGCTTCCGAAATCATAACGGGTAGCAAACTCGTCTTAGCCACTCGATCGCTACTGATCTGTGTGTAAGCTTAACTACATCTCACCCAAAGCTTTGGATCTTCTAATCTTCGAAAAGGTTATGGTCCTTGAAAATGGCAGTCCTCGATCTGCTAGCCAGACTCATCATGAAGATGCCATACGAGCGAAAACTCCTATACGTGTTTTGGACTGCACTGTTCTTAACGTACCTTGCCTCTATCATCCCAGTGTTCGTGGGATGCCATCCTTTCAAGAAGAATTGGCAGATACATCCCTACCCTGGCGACTGGTACTAACTCACCTTTTCTTGGTACTTACGCTATCACTCGAAGCTAACCATTGCAGTGTTATCGGAAACGTCTGGCTATTCACCTACGAAGTGAGCAATATCCTAACGGACATCCTGCTAATGGCCGTGCCATTCTCCCTCATTTTATCGGTCAGAATTCCTGGCATGCAACGCCTTCGACTCCTGTTCCTCTTCAGCATCGGAATATTCCTCATCGCCGTCAGTATCATGCGAATCGTCCAAGGCCACAACTCGCGAGTCCAAAGCGCTCATACATTGTGGGCGTCTTTGGAGATACTGTTCGCGGTCATCGTCGCGGTGACTCCGACATTATACGCGCTTGTGCGCAATCGTCACGAAAACACTACATACGATAAGAGCCATCTATCCATGGGGGCTACGGCCAGGACACATCCAGGCAGTTTAGCCGAAGGCGACAGATATGCTGCTAGGGTATGGACGGAACTGAATGATAGCGCAAGTCGAACGGATACCACAAGTATAGAGGGAATCTTAGTGGAAAGACGATACGAGACATCGGACGTAAAGTTATGAACAACTGGGACTCGAACTGTGCGACTATATTATGGCTTTACGATCAATGGATTGGGAAAGAAAAGAACGGGCGATGCGGGAGCCTGGTCAGGCAAACGCGGGAACATGAGTATTCTTGGAAGAGAGAAGTTCGTGACGGTGAGCATCGTCAGCACCGCGCCGAATACGTGGTCGAGTGACCCTGCTCTATTCCTCGGAGAGCACCATGGTGATATCGTTCTGTTGTTTCGCAACGCAGAACACTGCACGTATGGAACATAATCCAATCCGCTTTGATCCCGGACACCATGTGTTTTCATGGACGGGAAGGAACCGCGACGAAAAAGATATCGTTATATCCACAATAATTGGACACGCCAAAGGAGACGGAAAACAGAGCTAGGCATGTGAAGTGGAGAAGAGGATGAATGTGTGCGGGTGGTGCAGGATATATCAAGATATGACCAGCTAGGGTATAAAAACTTCTATCTGGATCATAATGCCGAGGTTGAGTGAGGGTGATGTGGCGACGTTACGCGCTAAGGGTCCTTACTTGGCGCATTAGTTAGGGGGGAATATCTCGAGGACGACCATTCTAACACCTTGCACTTGCACGGTACAAGGCGTTAATATCACAATAAATCTTGTCGATCATGTTCTATATCAACGACGAGTATGCGGAATAGACTTGGTCCTCTGACACCCCTCAGTGTCATCATTCTGTTCCTCCTGCTTGCCGCAAGCCTGTCTTGAAACTTGTGGATCCCTTTACGATCCCGCCATCCTTTGGCAACTGATTCCACTACGGAGATGAATGCTAGAAGGATGTCTCACCAGGCTGTGTCCGATCCTCGTTAGGATATCCTTCCCGATAATGCTGCATGGTTCGACACCGACGGCACACCACGCTTCTACAGCGCATGGCGTGCAAGCTCGAGACCCGAAAAATTATCTCCCAAACAAACAGTTCTCTCAACTCTTATGACACATAGAGCAAACTTTGTGTTACTGCAAGGCACAGTGTCCTGAGATTGAGTATTCAGACTGGAGTTTTTGAGATCCAGGGCCTGGAGGATGCGATAGTCCGCCACTATACATGGATCTGGAGGCGCTGGATGCAAAGTTTGACCTTAGGCCAACGCGGGATGTCAATCAGTGGGCGAACAAGTACTGAGAGGAACGGGTGGAAGAAAGTGTAGTGCCCTGCTAGGCTGACAAGATAGCGAAAAAAGTGATGGTTGTAATCTTGCTTATATCTCATTTTATTCCGAAAACACATACTCCCCGCCAGCCAACATTGCCCTCCCTTTTCGAAGATCACCACCACTTAAGCATTGTTGCACATGTCCTGTCCACACCCGTTCCTCGCCCAAACACCCGTGTTGAAGGTTACACATTTTCCGATCCCCGTAGCCCTGCGGCGGCTGCAGTTCGAAGTGCCGCAGATGATGTACGGACCGCAGGTGTCACTGCAGGACCACTGGTCACCTGACACCCACAATGCAGAGAATGAACCGGCCGGACCTCTAGAATTGGATCAGTTGAGATCAGAACTTGCTAGATAGATACGCGGTTGGGATTGATAATGGGGCGAAGATGAGTTCGAACCTACCCGACGGTCTGGAAGGAGCCTGGATGCGACTCTCCGATGTAGTGCTGGCAGTTGGTGTCCGAGTAGAAGTTGACCTGGCCGGCTGAGACAGCGGAAAGGAGGCTGGCCGAGACAGCGATGAATAGAGTAGAGAAATGCATTATTGCTGATTTGACTCAGTTGATATTCAGGTTGTTGCGGATTGATGAGCTGAAGAGCTGTAGTGATGAAGTTGAAAGTCCTACAGGCGATGCATGTCTTTTATATCAGTATTCTCACCCTTGTCCCATTACTATTCACACCGCTGCAAGCTTCAACCGCAAGACCAGCGCTTTCGTATTGAAGAACAGAATATTTCTGCATCCCCATTACATCAGCATCGAAGGCCATGCAGTTAATCTAAACGGCAACTCCCGAGGACATCGTGCATCACGCTAACTGTCTTAGGTCCGTGTTAATGTCTGAACCCCATTAGGAAAGAGGCGATGTTGTAGTCAGTTGCCAGAATATGAGTAAGCCTGTGTCTTACAACTCTAAATAGGCAACAACACAGATGTAAAAGTTCAACACGTGGCCTGCATTAGTCAAGAGCTCGTAGTCTTGCCCTCAGTTCTCACCTGAGTGATATTTTGAACCTTGTCTCCAATAGCGAGCGCAGTAGCACGCGCATTTGCATCCACATTCTTGGTCTGCTTCTCTTGAAAGTTACAGCCTACAAGGGTGCGGCTGGAGCGAGCTTCTTCTCCCTGTTGCTAGTGGCGAACTCTACCCCGAACCAATCTCAATACTCTATCGTCACCTGTAGGTCGGCTTACACAGCTCCATATTTACACGCGCTCTGTATGCGGAAATAAACCCGCGCTCTTCAAAACTGGGAACTCTGTGGCAAAATCATGAAAGATCAAGGATTTGTTTGAATACTTGTTCCAGACTATATTAGAGCCAATACCAGGATCTATAAGAACTAACGCTCGAAAGGGAAGGGGTTGATAGCTTAGCAACTTTTGCTGTTTCGAAAATGAGACGGGCTCAGAACAGAGTCGTCATATCCATCAACTACGGCGCAGAGACTTTCCGCATAGCTTGATCTTCTAATAACCACACCACTTTGTCGTACAAGTCTTGTTGAACCTGCTCATCTAAGCTACTGGAAGACTTTGCCAACTCAACACATCGTTTCACCGCTAACTGATACTTCGGTCCAAATACGATGGAGATATCATCATTATCCACCAGCCACATTAATTGCAAGGATGTTTGCATGGGTGCCAGCTCGTAGACCCTATGGTGTTTACAGTGACTCTAGTGGTCCAAGGCTTAAGGTCCACGAGAACGGTAGCTAGTGCAAGCGAAGCCTCGTTGAAGATGGGAGTTCCCGCAGACTTGACGGCGGATTTGCCTGTATTAGGGAGGTGTTTGGCGACGAAGGCTTGTTTTTACAACCGCTCGCCTTCCCGCTGTAGGAAAAGACGTCGGCGTTGGTCCTTTCTTTTCTTTGTTTAAAAGTAAAGTCAACGCTAGCGAGGGCGGATCATACAACGCAGTAGGAGAAATCAGTATAAAAGTACAGTTCAGGTGCTATACCCAGCACCTTAACTAACCAGGAGTTATGTAGAATGATCATAGCCTAATACTTTCATATAACCTAATAGTAATTGGTATATCTATGAGCTTGCTCTCTAAACTATACAGCGCGCGTTCAACTACTCAACATCCCGTCTTTAACGAAACTGTTCTGAATTACATACTCTGGCCCGGAAGAGTAGTCAGCCCTACAAAGTGTCAGCCAAATCAATCTCACCACGCCTCACCAAGGACTTTGGCAGCTCTGACTTACATCCGTCGATTTGCTCATCAACAGTCTGCGGAATGGTGCACTTCATCGCCTCCTCGGGCGTCTGGACCTTTGTCTCCGTGCACACGTCGCCATTGCAGCGAGCGTTCATAGCGCGTTGGAGAGAATCATCTTTCCAGCCGAAGACGTAGTCTCCGTGCTGCGAGTATCCTTTCCTGTCAATGATTTAGAGTTGTGATCCGCGGGGGAACCAAAAGATAAAGGTATAGACTCACTGGTCACCAGTGCTATAGACGAACGGCTGCGAGCCATCCTTTGGCCATAACTCCTTGTCGTTGAAGGGTCGGGTCTGTGTTGTATCAAGTTAGCCAACTCATACTGAAACCTATAAGTCAGGAAGAGAAAAAAGATAACCTACATCCCACATAACCTCATACATGACCTGCGGAATAATCACCGGATGACTAGCAGGACACTTCCCCGTCGGACCCGCATCATTCGCGCCCGCGCCCGTCGCATACGCAACATGACTCATATGATCCGGGCTATCCAAATTCTTGCCATCCCAACACGTAGGAAACGTAATAACCGCGCGTATGCCCCCGGGGCAGAACTCCTTGGGAAGCGTCTGACTATCCGGAGCTCCACAGTTGATATTCTTGCCGTCTCCCGTGGCGGGCATGCACCGATGGCACACTTTGCGCGCCCGCTTGCTGGGAGAGTCGGCCATGGCGTCGCCGACTAGCATGCGGAAGCCTGGCTTGAAGGCTGTCACGGTGGTTTTGTTGTTGGTCGAGGGGATGTAGTATACTGTTATGCCGCCGTTGCCACGCAGGCCTTCGCTGACGAATTGAGACACGCGCGTGAAGGTGCCGTTGCGGGCTTTGAAGTACAGGACTGCGGTCCAGTAGTTGGAGAAGTCTTCTGAAAAGGTGCAGCTGGTGCATGTAGATTTGGCGGGCAGGTCGTGTGTCTTCGGGTCCATGGATGCGTTGAACGAGTTGCCTCCGACGATTTGGTGGAGATGTGGAGATGGGACGGAGCCGGGGTTGACTAGGGGGTCTAGGCGATCGATGACGAGCTGCGAGCACTCGAAGCGCAGCATGGGTAGTGTTCCTTGACAGAAGCCATGGCCTGCGAGTAGTGATAGGGCTAGGAGTCTCCACTGCATACTGGACAACGGCTACTACGTTTTAGTGAGAAGTGGAAACTTGGATTGTAGGGACTGACAAAACATGTGCCCATAAATCTGGATTCTAGTCCCTAAATACATTGTCCTGTAGCCAGTTTCCAGTACAATGGGTCATATGTGCCGTTGGGCGCGGGTTTAATCTCAAGCATATTGAGATATTGGGGTGGGGGCTCGGGAGTTGATTAGCCGAATCAGGAGTGATACCAAGGACGTTGCGACCAGCATAATAAACAGCTATGTGGCTACGGACAGTGATGTAGTCTGGGTGGGGCATCTACTGAAAGTGATCCCGCCATCAAATAGGGTATGTTAGATAGTCCCCACTAGCGCGTCGAGGGGAGCCAAATGAGAGCCCGTCTCCCCGCCTCTTTTGATGCAGTCATCACTCACGCCCGCTTTCTTTAAATCTTCGAGAACAACCAGTGTCAGAGCTCGTCGTAAGAACTGAAGCCGCCTTGATCAGCAACGGTGACATAGGTCTAGGACTACATTAGCACACTGTATTAGTAACCGCTGCATCGCAGCATGTCTAGATATCCCAGGTACCAATGAACAGAGTCTTATACAATGGTTACATTTCATCTTCTCATCAATACCCAAGTCGTCTCTTCATGCTTGTCAGTGTGATCTAAAAGTCTGGATCATCGTCGCCCATGCCATCCTCGAAATCAATCACCATGTCCACCCAATTGCCCCCGCCATACTGGCACTTGCTCGGCCCAACCTTGTGGAATCCCGCATTCTCGTAAAACCGGACGAGACGATCTCTGCAGATGAGGGCGATCCTCTTTGCGACTTCTGCGTCCCTGATTCTTTGCACATAGCTCTTGAGTAGTATCTGGCCAAAGCCTTTGCCGCTGAAGTTGGGATGCACGCATAGTGAGTGTAAGCATACGGTTTGGCCATCTTCGTTGTGGCCTGTGCTTGGAGTGAGTTGGTAGTTTGTCTGCCAGTCCTTGGGGTAGTCCATGGAGGCGTCTGTGACGAGTGGGGAGCTGGACTTTGTGGCGATGATGTGGCCGATTAGTATTCGTTTCCGGTCAGAGTCAGATGCGTCTATAGACTGAAATGTCCGTGACTTGATGATCTCTCCCAGTGGGCCGGGCGAGGTGGGGTAAGCAGAGGAAAACAGGCCAGAGCATAATTCGCCGCAGGTTTGTAGACGGTATTCGAGCTGATGTGGTTAGCATGAGGCCTGTGGTCGTCCAAGTAGGTGAGTGTACTGGTGTTGTGTAGACTAGGCTAGAAGCGCTGGCTAGGGCAGGAAGGGACGTTACACAAGCAGCCGCAAAGGGAAAGAGCGAGGACGTGGCGGAAAACCATTGACTCATGCGGACAAAAGTCTGGGTCTTGAAATGAAGTGGAGCAATAAACAAGATGCTGTAGTGTGACGACGAAGTGACGAAGAGGGCGACTGTGGAATTGAATTAGGGGCTGGTACGCGCGGAGGTATTGAAGCATGCAGAGTTGTTGGTCTAGGTAACAGAGGGGGTGGAGGAGGGCGCAATGCGTGATGCCTGACAGAGCCCAATGATGTGATACAGCAGACGATGGAGGATAGGGTGTCAATGGTGAAGGCAATAAAGGACCGGCCTACCTTTTCCCGTGTAGCAGCCTCTATGGGGTCGAAGGCTGCATGTTCAAGCCAGTCGCAGTCGTCGAGGTCCTCGACATTGAGCAGCTGGGCAAACGGGTGGATTTTGCCCATCTTCTTGAAGCGCTCTTCCTTGAAAGTAGTCGGGCTGTAGAGAGGCGTTGGACTGGAGTCCTTTGGCGGCGGGCTAGAGGCGGGCTCTCGGGACAGTTGAGGCATCTCGTTGAGCGTCTTCTTGTCGGCTAGCAGGTCCCGTGGCATCTTGGCGGGCCGATCAACGGATGGCAACAGGATCCGATCGAGATGGAGTCGGGCACAAAGCGGGTGCAGTTGGTGAGGGTTGGGTGCGTGGTTCCTGGCGAGCTCACGAGACACGCCGCGGCCTAAGCCACCGGCTCGCTTGGTGCAGATCCTGGGCTGGGGGGCAGAAACGGGCTAAACAATCTGCGTCGTGGCGCTTCTCTCATGCATATCTCATCTGCTATTACTTCTCTCATGTATGAAGCTTCTGTAGTGGCCCGTAATGTGCTTTGTTTTGCTTTGCTCTGCTTTGCTCTGCTTTGGACTGGAGCTGTCGATTGGCTCGGAGTGGGTGCCCTGTCTGTCTGTGCCAATGACTTGCAGCAGGTGGGATGATATGACATGGCAATCTGCATTTGCATTTGCATTTGCATCTGAGATGTAGCCAGGGCCTTTGCCGTATGAGGGGTGAGGATGCCGCATGTCTTGCTGCTGTGGTCCCGTCTGAACTGTCTCAAGACGGTCGCTACGGCAAGCTTCCCCTTGCTCGCACTCGCACATTGAGAACTGGGATGGCTTCCACAGGCTGAGGTTGTGCCCGTGTATCACCCCATCATCTCCCATCCATCATGTACCTCTACCGTACATGTCATTGTCTGTCTCTGAGGCCGCTCGCTCGAAATATTGAAAGCCCCGCCCCTGGCCCTTGCTCTGGGCAAACGCGCAGGGCTACACCGCCAACATTCATTCGCACGCACACGCACACCCACGCAACCGCCGGCTCATCAGTGCTTCCAGTCCAGTCCCTCCCCCACCCCAGGCCAGGCCAAGCCAACCTCGTCGAGCCGTTCGTTCGTCGTGCTGCTACTGCTAGCTAGCTAGCTATGCTGCTATATTACGCAGACTGACCGCCTCGCCTCTCCCGCCTGCCCGCCCTGCCTGCGTGTCACTCACTCTCCCACAACATCATGTCGTTGCGGCCTGTCCATGTCCATGTCCCCCTCCCTCGCTGATTATTAACCTCGATTGGAGCCTGAAAGAGGGGCCCACTGGCTTCCATTGCCTTCTAGCAGTCACACGTCGCGGGCGGGTGCACCAGCAATCACGGCCAGAAACTGCCCTCGTCCGGCGTGCTTCCTTATAAGCAATTCCCGGGGCGCACTCGACCACTTTCTGGGAGGAACCTGCGCCGAACCGCAGTCCCAGAAGCCCCCCCGCTATCCCTCCTAAGCCAACAAATCCTCGCCCTCGACTCTGCTCCAGCACACGGTACCACATTCTCTTGCCTGCTTTGAGCCTCACCTGCATACCACGCAAGGAACGCCGCCCACCCGCTCCAGACATGTGAGTTCCGAACCAAACCGTTGTTGTACCACGACCCTAAAACACACGGCTAACGCTTCCTCTTGCCAGGCCACGCGTCACCATATCCATCACCGCCCCAGGCACGCAGTCGGACAACGACCTGCTGACCCTCGAGCTGCCCCCCGGCAGCACCGTCAAGGACCTCAAGGGCTTCATCGAGGCCGACACCAACCTCCCTTCGGCATCACAGAGCATCTACCTAAACGGCCAGCCGGTAGCCAACGAGACACAAACACTAGAGGATGCTGGAATAAGGGATGGTGAGATGCTGGCCGTCCTAATCCGGCAGAATCAACCACGACCCAATGTGAACCCACGGGAACCCAGGCCAGGCCAACCTGACCCAGAGGGCGTGCGACAGCAGCTCCTTATGCACCCCACCGCGCTCAACGAACTTCGACAGCGCGACCCCGACCTCGCTGCTGCCGTCACCGACCCCACCCGCTGGAAAGAAAGCTTCGCCATGAAGCAGCGCCAGGCCGACGACGCAGAGCGAGAGCGCCAGAACCAAGTCGCCCTGCTCAACGAAGACCCCTTCAATGTCGAGGCCCAACGCAAGATTGAAGAACTCATCCGTCAAGACCGTGTCATCGAGAACCTGCAGGTGGCCTACGATGAGAACCCTGAAGGCAAGTCACCCCAATTTCGAAACCCCAGAGTATCTGTAGCTAATTTCACAATAGTCTTCGTGCGTGTTCATATGCTCTACGTCAACACCCTCGTCAACGGCGTGCCTGTAAAGGCCTTTGTCGACTCGGGAGCTCAAGCTACTATCATGTCGCCAGACTGTGCCGAGAGGTGTGGCATCATGCGTCTCATGGATACTCGATACGCAGGTATGGCTCGAGGTGTCGGCACCGCCAAGATTCTTGGTCGTGTGCACCGTGCCGAGATTCAAATTGGCGGGGCCGCTATGCCCTGTGCCTTTACGGTCATGGAGGGCAAGGACGTCGATCTACTCTTCGGGCTCGACATGCTCAAGCGATACAAGGCCAAGATCGACCTGGAGAAGAACGCCCTCTGCTTCGAAGGCATCGAGGTGCCCTTTCTGCACGAGTCAGAGATTCCCAAGAGCTTCGAAGAGGCCGAGATGAACGAGCCTACCGTCGCTGGTCCCAACGGAACCGAGATTGGTGCAAAGTCCGGTGCGGTCCGACCGAAAGGTGCCACCGCTGCTGGCGAGCATTCTATCGCAGCCGGCCCGTCCGCGGGGCCGTCCACATCCCAGGCATCCACGTCGAAAGCACCCGTGCCGTCATCCTCGCACAGCTCATTCCCCCAGCACGACATTCAGCAGCTTGTTGGCATGTTTGGTTGCACGGAACAGGAAGCTATCCAGGCACTGGAGATGTTTGGAGGTAACGTGGAACACGCTGCAAGCTTCCTCCTTGGGGGGTGAAAGAGATAGACTATGAGCAACAATTCCGAAAGACCAGTATAGTGTTGGTCACCCACCAAACGACCTTCCACGACATTTGCGACGAAATCTGGGCGGACAATCTGTTTCGGGGAGTCTTTTATTATTTCAAACCAAGTACTTCATCTTCATCGTTCGATGACGAGGCATGAGTAATGAGCTCACGATATCACTTTGGCATATGTATTTCTACGAACACGCGTAAAAGCGACCGGCATTTCCAGGAGGACAAGGAACGGCATATCTAGATCCAGTAGACCGAGTCAGCCAGGAATTAAATCGAAATCTGGCGACTTTACAATATTTCAAAATTAGGTAAACGATCCATGTGTGCGTGTGACAAAACTGTGGAATTGTCTCAGGTGCATTATAGCATATATGCATAGCTCATCTTATCTTATACAAACACGGTTTCAAGACCGACTTCTCCTTGTCACCACTGGATGTATCTTCCTCAGCCACAATGCCAAATTTCTTCCCCTTGAGACCCATCTTCATGTTTCCAGGTCGTCCAGCCCCCGCCTTTTGATCTTCTTTTGCGTTCTTGCCTCGGCTCGGATGCGCCGCCTTGACGAATTGCATCTTGACAAACATCTTGTTGCTGAGATCAATAGCATCATTGGGTTTCTCAGGCAGGGCGTCTAGAACGAAGCCACGCTTGCGAAGCACCTCGACAAACGCACTGACATCGGTACCTTCCTTTGCGTCGACGCCATCCACGTTGACGGCGAGTTCTTCTTCATCTTCAGAACCAGCGATGCCCTCTTCGTCTGGCTTGTCACCGGATTTACCCTTCTTGCCCCCCTTCTTCTTATCAGGCATGGGCTTCTTGAGGCTCCCGATGCTGTTGATCGGAGCTTTGCCTTTCTTCTTGTCCACACGTCCGAATCGGCTCTTAATCTCCGAGACCCAAAGTTCACCGCGCCAGCGTAGAATACGGTAGGCTTCGTCTATGAAATCCAGCCAATTTGTGCCCATGAGCGCGAGGCAGAAGATAGCCACGTCGACGGAGTTGTCCGGGAGCGGGAGAGAGGATATATCAGCGACGGTTACGAGAGGAGCAGAGGGGCCGGACGGCTTCGAGAGGTCAAAGGAATGGAATGTGAGGTTCAGTGGTTTCAGCTGGGATTGTAGGTGGTAGGAAAGCGAGGCCGTGCCGCATCCTAGATCTGCAATCGTGGCATGCCCTTTGACGTTGCGGGGGAGGGGTTTCGAATCGCCTCGCGCGGGCACAACGGCTGACTCTGGCTGTTCAACTTCTGGGGCACTTCCTTTGCCCTTCTTGGCTTGCCGCTTCTTGTCTTTCCACGGATCCTTGTTGCTTATCTTTCCTCGCGCTAGTATGCTTTGAACATATCCATCCACTGGGTTCTCAGGCCACACTTCTACCTGCTGTGCGAAGCCGCGGTGGTAGTCCTCAAACATGCTAGGGTCTTCTTTGAAGAGATCAAGCGACTCTTTGGACGGTTTGGTATATAGGGATTCGTTGAGGTGGCGGAAGCGGGCACTGGCAAGCTTGCTGCGCATGGATCTTTGAAGGGGTGTGAGGCCTTTCGGCTCGGGGATGAGTGATGCTAGGGTGAGAGGTTTGGATAGCTCTGGCGCATGAACTCCATTGGCTTCGGCTTGCTGCTGGTTGCCAGACTTCTGTTCCTTCTTGCGCTTCTTCTTGTCGCGCTTCGAGTCGCCGTTTGTAGCTGTGGTAGGCTTCTCCGCTGAGACACTCTGAGTGCCAGACTCGGCGCTCTGTGCTACCGGAGGAACACTGCCGTCTGCCTTTGAAGCACCATCTTCTCCCTCCTTTTTGTCCTTATTACCTCCAGCCTTACCTCTCTTGCGCTTCTTTCCTCGCTTCTCTTGCGCACCATCGGCCGTCGCTTCTACTGGGTTTTGAGCCGGTGTCTGCTCTCCCTGTGGTTTCACATCCTTCTCCTCGGTAACTTTGTCCCAGTACTCTCCTATGTTCTCTGTATTGAGCTTTACTTCTTGCTTTTCCTGCCTCTTCAGCGCCTTCTTGCCGAGCTTGTTCGGGTCTTTGGGTTTCGGTTTCTCGACCTGGGCTTTGATGGGCGCAGAAACGTTCCAGCCGGGGACCGAGAACATCTTCGCGACGGTATTGGCCCTGGTAGCAGGCGTGGAAGAGTGGGGAATGGGAAGATCGAGAGCTGCGGAAACACTGTATGCGATCTCGAAATTTTTGGAGGCGGCGGCGGAAGGTTTTGCCTAGCGGGATGTGGGGCTCTAGCGCGGAGCTCAACTTGAACCTCACGTCTCCACCTTTGGTATCTGACAGCCTGCAGCCGTCCATTCCACATTCTTGAAGAGGGATGTATCTATTAACCTACATAATCTATTCAGCAGACCGTTACGCGCAGTGACTAGTTTAATTGTAGCCAATGGTTGGACGAGTTTTGGTTTTCAAGTCCCCCTGAGAAACATGAGATGATGTGTACGAGATTTGGAATGCTTAGGCTAAGAAGCTGATATAAGAGTCAAATACAAGAAATTCCAAGGCAAAACGTGGGTTGGGAAGGACTGTGACATTTTTGCACCATAGGCAAAAGTGAGCCGGTCTACCCTCAGCTAATTCTTAGACCCCAACCCCAATCGTCGACTCATAACCAATTCCTTTCAGCGAAATACTTGTTCATCTCCAAGCAAGCTTTCAGTTCACTTGCTACCATCTGTATCTCACCCATCTCTCCATACTAGCAGCACCCTCACAATTTTCCCCCTTCTCTTCCTTCATCTCCTGAACTTTAAAACCCTCCGCTGAAGCCAGCCGAAATCTGATCCCCTCCCTTCGACCTGCTCACGACAATCTCCTTCATTCCATCCTCTTTCTCGCGCCTATAAAGTGCTCTAGCATGTCATGGGCAACCCCATTCGCGATATCGACATCAGTGTAGGTTGTCGGCTTGGCCACGGTTGTGACTTTTGTCTTGTCAAAGTTGTAGACGCGGAGGACGACTTTTTATCTGGATGAAGACATCTTGTCAGCACGATTTGGTTATGTTTGATTGAATTGATTTGGGGATGTGTTTGATCGAGTGGGAGATGTTTGAGAGCTGTGTTCAGGTACGGTCTTTCTCGAAGTCGTCGTAGCTGGCAGGGGATCGTTCCTCGATGTGGTGCTTGCTGGTCTAGAGCCGAGGAGATACAAGGTAATTTTGAGAATTTATGTATGCCTCGGGGCAGACAGAGACCGTCATTTACATCTATTATGCGCACGCAAGATGGTTAGGCTGCAATCGACGTGCCCTCTTGACGTGGGTCATCTGCGCTGCAACAATAGCACCCAGTTCGTAAGTTGTATTATGTCAGTGGCGGCTTTAGCTAACAATAGCCGCCTAGGAAGTTATTATCTACTCGAAACCAACCTTACCAAGATTTTACAAACTATGTCATATGGCCTCAGACTCGAAAGTCTCGGCCTTGGGGCACATTCCATGTTTATCTCCATTTATAGTACCCGCGTGCTGACAATGGGAGCAATGATGGTTCGTAACATAAGCCAACCCGTGAAACTTAGACGCTAAGACCATGATAGAAGATTCCGACGATGTGTACGGTCTAGAAGTCGAACGAAGCTAATCTTGGGCTATTGGTCAATCGTAGATATCCTCAAATAAACTGCCTGGTTGGCAAGGGACAGTCAATGCGACTCCTGCAGTGTATACCCAGCCACACAACTTGAAAGACTTGCAAAGACACGCGAATTCAGAGAAGAGGTGAAGTGAACAGGAAGCGCAAAGGTTGAATTATAGCAGCGCAACAAGAAGAATATCGACAAGGGGCGAAGAAGCTGCGGGAAGAATGTAAAGAGACAAAGAAGGACGCAACAAACGCTCAACACCCATCCGACAGCACCGTTATCAACAAGACAGAAGCCAGCGTATGCAGTCCCCGAAACTCAAAACTCGGCCATCTTCGCACCATGTGCCACTGCGTTCGCCGCATACCTCACCCACTCAATTGAAATGTAGACCACTACGCGGTGCATTGAAGCACAACTCCATCGTTCTCGTAGCACAGCTCGAATACTTCCCGACCGTTGTTATGGAAACACCTCTGCTTCTTGCCACACAAGGACCACCAACTGCAAACGGCCTGCTCACACATCAGTCAGTGAATCATAATAAGAACCCTCCGCTGACTTACGTTCTCGCTGGTGTAGGGCCTGCACTCCTCTTATTCAAACTCGAAGTAAGGTGGCTTGGTATTGGAGACGGGGCTGTCGTTCTTTGGCCCATCCTGCTTGGGGCCGCCGTGGTTTGGGCCATCATACTTCGGGCTATCGTGCTCAGGTTGATCGTGCTCAGGCTGATCGTGGTTTGGAGGAGAAGAGATAGGGCCGTTGTGGTTAGGGGGGTTCGATTTAGGCCCACGGTAGTTGGGGCCCTCTTGATTGGGGGGAGCCGAGCCAGGCCCATTGTGGCTGGTACCTTCGCGGTTGGGACCTTCATTGCTGGGACCTTCGTAGTTGGGACCTTCCGAGTTAGGGGGAGCTGAGTCAGGCCCATGGTGATTGGGACCCTCCTGGTTGGGGGGAGCAGATTCAGGGCCATGGTAGTTTGGACCTTCGTGGTTGGGACCTTCATCGTTGGGGGGAGTAGAGCCTGGCCCATGGTGGGTGGGACCCTCCTCCTCCTGGTCCTCCTCCTGGCTGGGACCCTCCTCTTCTTGGCTGGGACCCTCCTCTTCTTGGCTGGGACCCTCCTCTTCTTGGCTGGGACCCTCCTCTTCTTGGCTGGGACCTTCCTCTTCCTGGCTGGGACCTTCCTCTTCCTGGCTGGGACCCTCCTCCTCCTCCTGGTTGGGACCTTCGTGGCTCGGGGGAGTAGAGTCAGGGCCATGGTAGTTTGGACCTTCGTGGTTGGGGCCTTCGTGGTTAGGACCTTCATAACTAGGACCTTCATGCTTGGGGGGAGTAGAGCCAGGCCCATGGTGATTGGGACCCTCCTGGTCGGGACCTTCGTGGCTCGGGGGAGCAGAGTCAGGTCCATCCTGCTTCGGTCCGCGGTAACTGGGATCGTCATGCTTCGGAGGAGGGTAGTTGGGGCCATCGACGGTGTGACGTATAATCGAAACGGCAGTGTCGAGAGTCTTAGTGGAGGCTTTGGTGGAGTTGTTCGAGACCTCTTTTCCAGCAACAATGCGAACACAAAAGAATGTCATGGCGTCGGGGTCGATGCACTCGTACAGGTTGTCCCCTTGGGATGGGGGTGGACAGTCCTAGCAGGGCACAATTCGTTAGCTAGACTATTGCGGAAAGGAGCGGGGATGTGACAAAATGACTTACAATGCACTGCTTTGAATTCTTGCAAGGTATGCACGCCGACCGGCGGATGGCGGGGCTGCGAGGAGAGATCGAAGCAGCGGTGGGATTAAAGGCAACACGATCACGGTAGTAGTAGCAGTGTTCGTCCTTGTCGCAGCCGATGTGCCATCCGTCGTCGGCATCAGTGAATCGAGGCTCGACGGCGTCGACGAAAGCCTTGGACTGAGCTTGCTTGAAGGCGTAGCCCGTAGGTGAGGCGGCGGTGAGGGCGACAAGGCCATTGAGAACACCGGCGGTGAGATGCATGGTGGATTTCTGCTGGAGGCGACTAAGCTGAACTTGTTAGGCGTTGATGAGGATGGTATGGATGCTTGTTGGTGGAACAATGCTCGGATGGGATGGAAGAGTGGATGATGTGGAAGAAGAAAACCAAAAGCCCAGAAGCGGGTTTATATACAGGCGAAGGAGAGACACCTGCGGTTTCCACGTAGAACTGTGGGTGGAGCTGCACTTGCTGCTTGAGCATCGCAGCTTACCATTTTCGTCGTATGCAAGAGCAGGAACACCACCAACACTGTGATGTGCTAGCACTGCTACTTCCAGACCTCATGATCAGGAAAGTACCGTTGATGGATTTTTGTGGCGTACTCCAACACTGCAGGGCACTCCGATTTCACCAGGTCTCCGCCCATCGGCCCGGAGTCACTTACCAGTGCACTGATTGCGAAGCCATATACTGTAGCATCAGCTTCGCAAGGTTCATCGCCACCTGACACCCAGAAACACTCTCCCTGTGTCGCCTTCCTCCGGCTGTCTTCCAATATTACATGCACGCCTGCCCATATCTCTTCGCGGAAGGTGTGAATTTCCCCGTCCATAAAGCGCCCTGTCCCTTGATTAATCAGCCTTTGGAGGATGGCGTGGTGCGCCAACCTTGGAAGTAACCAAACAAGTAGCGCTGTGGAAGCACAGTGTAGTAGTTGTTGGTCCACCGTTCGTGTGCATTGTAGAAGAAGAGCTTGTATTCCAGCAATGCGCGAATTGCAAGATCTTGCCCCGTTTCTTTTCCGCTTATCCTGGCGTTCATGTCTTGCAGCAGACCTCTATGGATGAAATCTTTAGCAATTAGAGAGTCTGCTACCCACTCTGAAGGGCTTCCGGGGGTGGAGATCTCAACACAGGGTATCTTGCCTCTCGGAACGTTGAGAGGGCCACCAGAATTGCTTTCGTATGAGAGCTTTGATAGGCGGAAACAAAGTTCGAGCTTTGCGACATGTGGGGACCAGACGTATTGGGCTGCTCTGTCGGCTCCGCGAGAGACATAAGAGGACTCCCAAAGCGCCTACGCCCTAGTTGAGCTATCGCTGGTTCTGTGAAAGTAATTTAAGTGCGGAGATGTTCCGCGAGAGACAACGAGCTTGTAGTTGGGCTGAGAGTCCATGGTCTATGATAAGCTTAAGCTAAAGCTCTTTGGGCGTGTCAATGTGAGATACTGGGGGTTTTGAAAGAACTAATGCGTTCTTATGGAAAACTTCATACCGGGCATATGGTACAAGGTTATAAACTTCATGTACGAGGTTTCGTACACGACGCTACACACTAGGTAAATGCTATTTCCTTACATATATCAGCGTCCAGGAGCTGCAGCGATATACATCCTCCGCTCTAGAGGTAAGAGAAATAGGCCTGTAGATGGGTAGACGCAACTCTGGATCGGAAATCGAGGTTACCATGTCCTCGTTAGCCGCGACATTGTATGCAACCTGCAACCAATAGGCGAGGCGCTTGTATGCTACACGAGACATGGGGAAAGCACGACCGAGATGTTCACCTCGTCTGTAGACGCAGCAATCCGTGGTTCGCACAGCAGCTGTGCGTCCGTCGTCATGGCAGTGTCTCGCATTAGAGTGCGCACGTTTGCGTATAAACGCTCACTTTCGCCCTTTTCAGCCCCGCCAGCCCGCTGGAGGGACAACGCGCGCAGCCTTGCCCCGCCTTCCCATTCCCAGGCAGCAAGTCCACCACCTTCACCTTGAATTCGACAGGCCTAGCACAGGCTCTTTAACTACTCCGCTTCTGCCGTGACTTGACTATCACCACCACTCAGCCCCGATAGAATTACCGATAATGGCCCACGACCAGGCCACGTCCATGTTCATGGGCCTACCGCTGGAGGTACGACATCACATCTTTGAGCTCGCGGCTGCCCGTGACTTCAAGCCTAAGAAGCTGCTCCGCTACTGGTTCGAGAAGAAGGAAGTCGAGGAGCTCATTGCGAAACAAGCTGCAGCCAACTCTAACGGACCGATTCCGCGAGTTGTACACAGCAACGAAGACTATGAACAGGACAGTGAAGTAGCCGACGAGAACGCCGAAGATCAAGATCAAGATCAAGATGATGAGGACGAGGAGGAAGACGACGAGGCCAATGAAGAACAGGACAGCGAGCCTGCGGACGAAGAGGACGACGAGGGCATGGACCAAGATGGTGAAGAGCAGCTTGCTGAAGTGGACACCCAGGACGAGATGGAGGGCATGGATGCCGGTCAAGGCACCCAGATTCCCGCCTCAGCACACGTTCAAACCCAAGCTGCGGCTCATGGCGAGGATGACCCCGAACAGTCTGAAGCGGACATCGAAGATGGCATCGAGGAAGGTCTTGCTGAAGAGGGAGAGGGCGAGACCGAGGATCAAGGTACCCAAAACGATGGCGACGAAGACGGCGATCAGGCAATGGCTGATGACGATGGTGAAGGAGAGGCTGGCGAGGACGAAAATGACGAACAGGACACCAGTATTACGGCTCCACCTCCTCCCGCTCGAGTGCCGATGGTTAGGGCTCAGCGAAAGTGGCGCTATATCCCCAAGTTCATGCGCCTCACTCACTGTCCACCTCCAATCGAGCTGCTCTTGACCTCGAAGCAGCTCAATGACGAAGCTAAGGATTGGTACTACGATGTTGCCGTGCTCCGTATCGAGGCCACCGGCAGCTTCGCTCATACGTCCTTCTACGAAGAGGCCTTCAGCCAAATCACCGAGGCTGCTTTCTCACCCATGGAGAACATCCGCAAAGTCGAAGTGACGTTCGTCTGGGACACGACCTGGATCCGCGCCGATACAACGGGCTGTGTAGCCGCCATCTTCCCAGCTCTACTTCGTCAGCGCGCCACCTTTGTCTACCAAATTCTCAAGCAGGCCCCCGACCTCAAGGAGGTGGTCATTCATTGGCACGACTCTGCCCAGGACAGCGAGAGCGCCAACCTGAGAATTGACGTGCTTGGGCCTTTCGACAACCTCCCGGCTACCGTCCAGATTGTCAAACACTACATCCCTGCAGATTCGAAGCCGTACAAGCGGAGCATTGCTGGCAAGCAACGGGTGGAGTTTCAGAAAATCCTTGACATGGGCCTGGATCGACTTTTTTAAGCTTCAGCTTGGCAGAGTTCGTGTGCTTCGTCAAGGTCTTTATGTGCTCAACATGCATGTACTTTTCGGAAGCGGTAGGCACGACATCTCCCTAAGACTCTTCACATTACGGTTCTTCGGCGGGCATCCATTTTCGTCACCTTCTTAGACGTCTATTAAGGGGGTTTTTGAGCCGAATTTGCTCGGCGTTCATAGTACGTGGATACTCACTACTCATTGCGTATCGATCTAGGATACCCGAATGGAATGGGATGGGAATGGGCGTTTCAGAGATTATAGGTATCCAAAAATCAATAATAAATAACAGTTACTAAATTCACAGATCGAACCAGCGACCTTGATTAATAAGGTAGCCTATGTACAGTGATTTCTTTCTTTATTTGCAAGTAAGTCGACACTGCAAGAGCGGATCATACAACACAGTAGGAGAAATCAGTATTAAACCACAGTTCATGTGCTATACCCAGCACCTTAACACAGTATTAAGGCAGCAAATTCTATGTATAGATATATACCTAGCCCTATTTATTTGTTTAAAAGTAAAGTCAACGCCAGTAAGAGTAGTCTATATAAAGTAGTAAAAGAAATTAGTCCACCAGCAGCGGCATACTGGCGCGACAACGACAACCACCAGTACTACACACCGCCAGATAGCCCCAAGCTCAGACGACAAGATGCAAGTGTAGAACCGGAGTTGGGAACGATTGTTCCCACTCCGGAAATCACGACACAATTCGGCCATCACCTTAGCCCAAGATAAGTGGGATGGATACATCAAAGGTGTATGGGACGCACAAGCCAGCACAGAGATCGCGAATCTGCAAGAGCAAAATAACGGACTAGCCAAACGCAGCTACTCCGCTCCCACTGAACAAGATCTAGAAATATATCAGCTATGGGAGGACTGGACCATCGAAGAGGAAAGACAGTACCAATGACTTCAACCAGAACAAAGTACAGACTCGCCAGACACACCGTTATCTCGACCACCACAGTAATATTTCGATTACCGAAACCCATTGCACGCAAGCCTATCATGATTGTACAGAGATTAGAGCCGACGATCTTATAAGGCATCTCAACCCGGGTGAGCTAACTGACTACGGATGTTGCGTAATAGTCCAAAACCGTTACTGTCATTGCTTCAGAAGATGGTGGATATTATTTTCACCAAGGGCTGGTCACCATCCTAGCTTTGAAGGCGCTGATCCGGTTTCTGGTTACCCTCCATATGTGAGTATGACTCACTTATTAATTTGGCGAAAATCTTTGTGCCACCATCCGCGTATTGAAGCAGATTCATCGTCCTCCGTTTCGGGCATACCCTAACAAGAGCGAGGCATGGCAGGAGCATGAACCTCATCTAGCACGCAATTAATCGTCAAGCCATCAAGCCTCAATCGAACTTTTGAATCAAGTCGACTCTAAAACCTCCACCAAGCCGATCAAGCCAAGCGTTGGGGTACTTATTGCAAGCGTCAAGCCAAGCCGACTGCTGGGGCTTGATCGGCTTGATTGTTAGCAACTATGATACAAACGCCTGGGACACTACATTTCACGTCGCATACACTTGCTTACAAAGTAACTTGAACTAAAATGCTCGCTCTGGCCCAAATATCAATTCACATGATAGATATCGCGCCATTGGGATGTTGGAGGCTGGTGCTTCAGTCAAAGATGGACGGAGACCATGTTACATTCGGAACGCGCTGTACGCGATCTCAGAACAAGCCACCGACAAAAATTGCGGCTTTAACTCAAATAAACTCCTGTGGCGCAATTTTCGGGCGACGCAGGAATCTTTGGGCTTGGCTTCGTCTGCGATAAATACTTCTATTTACTTTTATACTTTTATTATTTTTAAAGTTTCTAGTATAAAATTATATAATAAAATAGTAATTTATTTTTAGAAGTTATATAGTATACTAGTATTTATTTAGGACTAGCCTTTTACTAGTAAGCGCAAAAAGGCGCAGCCGGAGTTTTACCCTCGCCACCCTAATTCAGCTAGTCCTGTTCCCACGGCTGCACGCCGTAGCGCCAACATTTCGCTCCCACGGGGAGAGCGGGAATTATCCTGGATACCACACTAGCATGAGTTGACGTCTGGAGTCTGCAGCCGCGCGTCTACTCTGTTTCGGGCTAGCATCCGCGCTCGCAAGATGCCTGTGGGATGGCGTAAATGCTCTGCTCCTGAAACATGCCATAACCTCCACTAGCTGCGTTGTTCGTCTATGTCGACATCCGCCCTGATCATGATGAATGCCATATAGTTCTATATGCCTATTGATCCAGGTTTCAGCAGAATGGCAAGCAGGCCTCTCACGCTCACACTCTATCACGCACTCCGTCATGAGCCGCGATACCTGTCCGCGGCATCTAGACAACTTGTTTGGCCCCCGCGTGGCCGTCTGTCGCCGCGCCTTTGACTTCACCATCTTCTTTGAGGAAGCTTTCCTTTCCATTGTGCCAAACGCCCTCTTTTTCGCCCTCGTAGCCTTACGCCTGATACGCCTGCGACATCGCCCGCCATGTAGAATAGGCACTCGACTTCGGTGCATTAAACTGGTGTGTAAGCGCAACCCCTATTGTCTCCAGCTATCCATTGATGCACCAATAGCTCCTTCTCGCCATCTTTGCATCGGTCCATCTCTCACTGCTCGTTCTGGGCGCAGTTGCACCAGCACCTTCTCGAACACCGGCGTCGGCTGCTTCGTTGACCCTGGCATTCATTGCCGCTGTCGTGGCGATTCCCATGTCATCTGCCGAGGACGAGCGTTCGTTGCGGCCATCTTCTGTTTTGAGCACCTATTTTTTCGTCACTCTGCTATTTGATGCCGCTCGGACTCGTACTGTCTGGCTTGACGACACAAGATCTTCGTTTGCCGGGTTGTTTACTGTAAACGCTCTTCTGAGAGCGTTTCTTGTAGTCCTAGAGACCTGGCCCCGGTCGCGTGGAAACAACAATGACCGATGTCTCCCGCCTGAAGCAACTGCCAACATTTTTAGCCAAGTCCTGTTTCTGTGGGTCAACCCGCTCCTCTGGACGGGCTACCGCAGCCTTCTCTGTGCTGACAATATTTTCCGCTTGGACCCCGCCATTGCAGAGCCGCACGAGTCCATTTCTAAAAGTGGGCGGGAAAAGCTTGTGGCCAGACATTCCCTTCTCTTGGGATTGATTTGGCAGCTGCGATGGCAAGTGCTCTCAGGTGTGGTCCCTCGCTTGTGCACTGTTGGCTTCAAGTTTGCGCAGCCGTTTCTTATCCGACGTCTAGTCACATGGGCGACTCAGCCAGATGATACGAGCAACACCATAAAAAATAGCGGTTATGGGCTTGTCGGTGCGTTTATACTAGTCTATGTTGGCCTTGGTATCTCAAATGCCCGATACCAGCATCTCACGAATCGCCTGATCATCACGGTCCGCTCGATCCTTGTTCCATTAATTTTTCAGCGGACTCTACAACTTTCAACTTCGGCTACGGACGAACGTGCTTCTGTGACACTCATGAGCACCGACATCGAAAGGATATCATCGGGATTAGTTTATGTGCACGATGCATGGGGTTGCGTGCTTGAAGTTGCCCTTGCCCTGGGCTTGCTTTGGATAGAATTAGGTTTTGCGGCTATAGTACCAGTGATTTTAGCGTCAGGATGCACCCTCACAATAACTTTCGTTGCGAAAGGTACCGGTATCCGCCAAAAGACTTGGGTGGAAGCAATTCAGCAGCGAGTGGCCATTACGTCAGGCATTCTTAAAGGCATCAAGACCATCAAAATGACCGGACTTAGCGAGGAAGTCTCCGACTCCCTACGTGAACTGCGTCGTGGGGAGATCCGCGCCTCGAAAAGGATGCGACAGCTCCAGATTTTCGTGCTTGGCGTTGGTAAGCAAACATTCCAGTTCTACTTTTTGCTGCTAATAGATGCATTCAACAGGTTACCTCACCACTGCCATGTCACCAGTCATCTCGTTTGCCGTCTATGTCCTTCGCAAGAGTGGAGGCGGCATTAAACTCGATGCTACAACTGCATTCACAGTACTCTCGACCTACGCACTGCTAGGGTCCCCTCTCAATACTTTGACTGAAGGCCTGTCAAGTATTGTCACTGTTGTGACTTGCATCGAGCGAATTCGGGAATTTCTCAATCCAGATGGTACGGTATCAATTCTTTCGAATCTCGAAGAGCCTCGAGACCAAATCCCGTCCCACATGAAGATAATCACGCCACAACACCATGCGAGCGTTGGTAGCGAGAAACTACCAGCTGTGCGTGCTGAAAATTACTCTGCGAAATGGGAAGTGCATTCTAACACCATCATTGCGGCCCTCAGCTTCGTCATACCACACGGCTCTTTGACAATAGTGCTAGGCCCCGTAGGTTCCGGAAAGTCTACCCTCTTACGTGCGATACTTGGGGAAATGCCTTTTTCGTCCGGATCTTTGTACGTGAATGGTAACAGGACCGCTTATTGCAGTCAAAGTCCTTGGATCCGCAACGTAAGTGTGCAAGAAAATATTACCAACGTGTTGCCCATGGAGAGAGACTGGTATCAGTGTGTCTTGAAGGTTTGCTTGTTGGAGCAGGATATAGCAGCTCTTGTTAATGGCGACGAAACCATCCTTGGTAGCAGCGGCTCAGTGCTCAGTGGAGGGCAAAAGCAGCGCATTGTAAGTTGTCAACTGATTGTTATCAGAAATACTGCTGACACGGGCTAGGCCCTTGCACGAGCTCTTTACTCCAGACCACAACTTCTCTTGCTAGACGACGTGTTTTGCGGGTTAGACAATACAACAGAAGAAGCCATCTCTCAGAGCATGTTTGCGACAGCGGCCTTTTGTCAGCAGAACGGAATAACAACAATTTGCGCATCCTCATCTCGTGAGTATACAGGAACCACTGAAATCTCATCTCCTCACGCATTCAGTTAACTTCTTACCCATGGCGGATCATATCATTGTACTCGATAGTAACGGGGAAATCACATGCCAAGGCTCTTTCAATACTTTGATGAACAAGCCCTCTGGCTACCTGCATCTCCTTGATGTCAAATCTAGAGATCGGAAAGACGCCCAGAAATCATTTCTATCCGAGGACGCTTCACCACCAGGACAACCAACCGACAACACTGAAGCTCTCAGGGATAAGCCCCGGGGGGATTTAGAGACATATATGTTCTACTTCCGGGCCTTTGGGACTTTTTATACTCTTCTCTATTTTGGCATGATAGCCGTTGTTGTGTTCTTGCTGAACTTCCCAAGTAAGCTGAGCCAATGCTTTAGTTTGCCTGCATATCAACTTATTACCCCGCAGGCGTCTGGGTGAAGCTATGGACGACACAAGAACAAAAATCGCCCGGCTCGAAAACAAATTTGTACCTCGGCGTGTATTTCGCTATAGGAGGGCTCACCGTAGTTGGGCCGGTTCTACTTTGCAGTCATCTGCTTCTCTTCATGGTACCTCGCGCTTCTTTCAACATTCATCAGCGTCTTTCTGATGTTACCCTTGGGTATGATTTTCATCTTTATTTGAGCGTTCTATTGCCTAACCTACTTGCAGTTCGCCATTATCTATATTCAGTAGGACGGATATTGGCGTGACTATCAATAGGTAAGGTGAAACCACTAATTTCGAATGCTGAAACTAACTCCATCTTTAGATTTAGTCAAGACTTGGGGCTGATCGATTCGGAGCTGCCGATAGCGTTACTTAATACCTGCATCCGTGAGTAAAATTCGTCTATACAATGCATCGAAGTCTGATTCTACTTAGCACTGGGTTCTTGCGTAGTCCAAATGGTCGTAATATCCGTCTCTGCGCGGTACATTGCTGCCACTATGCCCTTCTGTATTGTTGTGTTCTACTTTGTGCAAAGGTTCTACCTTAACACTGCTCGACAGCTTCGTTTGCTTGATATTGAGGCCAAAGCGCCGCTTTTCTCCCACTTCCTAGAAACCATCGACGGCTTGGTAACAATCCGGGCATCCAAGTGGACTGCGGAATTCGCGCTTCAGAACAAGCTCCTGCTAGACAAATCACAAAAGCCCATGTATGCACTCTACTGTGTTCAGAAGTGGCTTAATCTCGTGCTTGACTTTACGTCAGGTGGCATAGCCATTGTATTGGCCGGGGTCGTCGTCGCCATGAAAGGCTCCATTGATCCAGGCTTCGTTGGACTCGCCTTCGTCAACATCATCAGTTTCAATAGCAACTTAAAATTGCTGGTCACGTACTGGACGCAATTAGAGACGTCCATCGGAGCCATCTATCGCATCAAAAAGTATGCAGATGACACACCTGCCGAAGACTTGCCCCATGAAATCGAGCAGGTGCCTCCGCAATGGCCGGATCGAGGAGTTGTGGAGTTACATTACATATCCGCGTCGTATGGGTGAGTTGGTTATTTCCAATTCTCGAGCAGCAAACAGCTAACTCAAGTCTAGGCCCTCACATGGCCTTGCTCTCGAGAAAGTGAATTTGCGCGTGGAAGCCGGTTCCAAGCTGGGCATTTGCGGGCGTAGCGGCAGGTACAGACCCCTAAACCTTTTGCTTTTATTCATAACACTCACTCAGTTTATTAGCGGGAAGTCTACTCTCTTGTCCATACTTGTGCGCCTCCTCGACTCAAGTGAAGGCTACGTCACAATTGATGCGGTTCCCATCGCCACACTCCCTCGCCAACTAGTTCGTTCGCGACTGAACATCATTGCCCAAGAACCCTTCTTTCTCATTGGTAGCATCCGCCTGAACCTCGACCCGTTTGGAGTCTCTACCGACGAGCAGATATCCGCCTGTCTGGGCAAGGTTTCTTTGTACGCGACAGTCTTGGCGAAAGGCGGGCTGGATGCACCCTTGACGGACGGAACCTTTTCGCATGGACAGCGGCAGTTAGTGTCTCTGGCTCGCGCAATATTGAAAAAGGAGTCACAGAACGCTAAAATTTTGGTGTTGGATGAAGCGACGAGTAGCCTTGATCAGATCACCGAGAGGACGGTGCAGAGAGTGCTGAGGGAGGAGTTTGAGGGATGCACCATCATCGCGGTCGCCCATCATCTCGAGACAATTATGGATTTTGATCTTATTGCTGTGCTGGATGGAGCAAAAGTCGTTGAGTATGGTGTGCCGAGTGAGTTGCTGAAACAGGAGGACTCGGCGTTTACGAAGCTGTACAAGGGCGGTTCGGATGGCTGATACGATACTGCGATACACAACTGCTATAGTGTGAGGATTTGCTTGAATTATCATACCTGTAACGGTATCAAAGTCTGGAGGAGAAACTGCATTGACTGTACGGAAATGAGAGTCGATGAGCTCATCAGGCAACAGGGAGAATACTGAGGAATGATGAGAACGTTGGGCGTGAAGAGCTGCTCGCACGGTCACGCAGCTGATATAATATCAGCACTTATAGATGGAACCAGTGTCGCAATGCAATGAAGGCTGAAGGACTTGCTTGGGTATCCGATGATAGCAAACATTATACAACTTTCACGCCATACTCCCACTTCTCTCCCTCCCCTCTGCGATCCCAATCTCCTCAATTAAAACACTCATGAGCTTGAACATTTCGCCCGCCATCTTCCTTCCCGTCTCCCTCCAGTGCTCTTCACACAATCGTCCAAACCGGTCCGGGTGCCACCTCAACCGCTCTTGCCTCAGCCACTCATAGCTATACAATCCGCTCGCGCGGAGTAGCTTCTCCACATCATGGTGGCATGCTTGTATGCCGTCTGGCTCGGATTTTAGGATAGTACACGCCGTAAGGGCGCATGTAGTGACCCTACTGGGAAGGTAGGGGAAAGAAGTGAGCATATTGCCGGATATTGAGGCTCTACGTTGTGTGGATGAGGCTGATGCATCAGAGGTGCTGGATTGAGAGCGGACTTGAAGTTTTCGGGGGGCTCTCGGTCTCGAACCGCCAATTGCAGCGGATGCTGAGGCGAGCATAGTGGCTGTTTCTTTAGACCAGCTTTCGTAGAGGGCTTGCATTGCTGCATCTGGCTTCGTCTGAGTAGGTGTGGGCACGCCGTTTGGTAATTGACCGTTGCTGTGGCTGGCACTTGGCTTTGACTTGTGCCTCGCCTTTGCAAAGAAATTCAATGCAAAAGTTTCCAGCGCGTCTTCGTTCGCATCTTCAATTGATCCACCCCATGTTCCGTCGTTTCGAATCGCAATGAATTGATCCGAGCTAGTTGGGTCGAGTGCAATGAACGCGAGGTCGCTCCATAAGAAACCTTTCTCGGCTTTCCACTCGTCCACTGTCTCTTTATAGATCTCCCACGCATCTCCATCTCCAAGGCGATACACGACATTGCCATACTCACTCATTGCAAAGAAAGCGCCTTCGGGGCCCCATGTCACTATCCTCGGTGGGCCAACCTTCCATCCGGAGGGCGTTAGCCAGGATTGTAGCGCATCTTCGAGGGCATCAGGGAGGTTTGCCCAGCGGATGAGCTCAGGGTGCCAGACAATGAACGAGTCCCTGGGGCCAAGGAAAGCGCGTAATTGGGGTGAATGCCAAGTTTTTGTTAGAATAGTCTGGAGACGCTGCGGAATGGCGGTGCCCCAACGGAGATTATTGTTGCCTGAGGTGTCTTTGAAACTCAGGATCCAGGAGTCGGTCACGAGCCCCAAGCTTGCCCAGTGCACTTCTGAGACAGTACTTCCCAGGAGAAAATCCCGGAGTGCGGCCGGGAGATTGCGGCTGTACAATGTCAGTTGCCATTAAAATCGAGGATTGTTAGGGACTTACTACTTAAGACCTGCAAAGCTCTTGGTTATGAAGCTATCATTCGTGCCGAACGAGAAGAACGATGGTGTACTGGTTGTACCGCTCATGCTGGGATACTATTGGACGATAGTCGCTATGACGTCACCGACAGACAAACTTTCAGTCGTCGCTGCAGGCTCGAGTAAACTACGGGGCTACCAGCAGTCAAGATCCATTGAGCAGATGGAGTTGTACACCACAGCAGTGAGTTGTTGTTGATCTTATGAAATTTTTCGGCGTCGTGAATGTCGCGTGAGTGCCACCGAGGCTGTTGCTATCCTGTTTATTCCTGGAAGCGATCGGCTTGGCGGGGTGGACTTATTACAGGACTTCCCGGATCCACCGTCGATGTCTATACACTGCTCTTCAAGCGTCTTTACGTGGTGTATATATTTCTTTCTCAGTTCTTTAAAACGTGCGCTTCATGACGCGGAGCCAAGGTTGCAGCAATGTGCGACACAACCTTCGCTTTTGGCCAGCGCGGCAGCCACTTCTTTCAGTGCCCATCACGAAGAGAGCAGTACGCCTTTGCGCCCAACTATATGTGCCACCTAGAGAGATCTGATATCTTTATAGAACACGTCTTCCTAAGAAGCTCACACAGTTTCTTAAATCCCCACAGCTGAAGCTGATCCACCATGTTGCCCTTGGCTTTGAAGACAGCTTTTTGCTCACGTGGCGCGACCATAAAGACCAAGATCATATTGAAGCGACTGGACTACCCTCAGAGCTTGTGGATTTTCTGTACACTCGGAACGCACAGCGCCGTCTAGTCCGCGACATCCCGAACATACGATGTACCCTGGGACCATACAACTCCTCATATTTCGCTCATGACAAGTCCGCTTACATATGGATGAGCCTACCTGAAGGACTACTCTCTGCTTTACAGTCCCGTATCAAGGATGGAAACTGGATCGACCGACCACGCTTCGTAGCACTTGGTGCTAACAACAATTTCCTGCTTCTGACTGAAAAACATGCTGCACTGTGGGAGTTGAATAATTACAGGACTGTCTCGAGGTTGTTGGAATTTTCGCGTACACAACAAAGCGGCATCTCTGAGATCCACAACATCGTCTTGCATGCGTACCGCTTCGAGAGCTTCGTAACACAATCGAGGAACGGCACTCTGATCTACGAAAACCTACCGCCGCATGAACTCTCGGGTATACAGGCCATGGTCTCTCCAATCTTGCAAGATACACAGAGTGCCGAAAGAACAATTGTCGGTAGTAGAGAGGAAGACAGGAGGAATGCACAAAGAAGCCCCCAGCGTAGAGAGGCAGGAAAGAGGGAGCTTCCGCAGAGGAAACCGAGCGGTTTACAACAGAGAGCCCAGCTGAGAAAAGAATGGGGCGAACACAACCAGGAATTCTCAACACAGGGGAAAGGACTAAAACTCAGTTTGAGTTTGAGTGTTAGTATGGGAGGTATAGCAAGACTGCTAGGATGACCTTGCCGGGTTCCGCTCTACTCAGGATGGATCCACACCTGTGATGGAACTGCCTACGCCCCAAGCATCACCAAGCTTATCTTGGAACCCCTACAGCCCTAGCGGGACCTGACGCTTTTCGACCCGTCAAAGGATTCCCAAAACGACCCCCCGGTCGGCTTCAAGTCCACATCTGGAACTATGACCAGGACAGTGTTGAGCGTTTAGGCTGACGTTATCCTCCAAACACGTGGGCCTGCAGAACCGCTGTGGACAGACACTTTGTTTATCAACCAGGAAGATAACAAGGTTCTCTCTCATGGCACAACATGAACCGTCCAACTTCGCTACGCTGGCAGCAGTCTAGTACGATCAATCGCTTGTTCGGGGCGGGTGCTCACGCTAGGCCGCATAGCTAGACATAGAGAGTGCTCAGAGAGGCACACTAGACAGCAAATTGAACATCTATATCGTCTGACGGACCTGTTTGGCACGTCGATGAGCTATATTTAGGTGGAATGGACGCGCATAGTGCTTGTCCTTGTACTGTCCCAATGGAGCATGTCGAAATACTGCTCAAACAAAATGCACTATTAACCCAGAAATTGATTCACAGACAGCGCATTTAAATCCACGATGAAGAAGTTTGTTCATTTCTATTGTTTTGACCGTGCTCGTCCAGACGCGCATAAAGTAGATTAAAAGAAAAGCTATTGCCGTGCCAGGCCGTGGGTATAAATCGAATCCCCAAACGCCGAATATAACGAAAGATGGCAAAGGGATAGAGCACGTCAAGCCTAGAAGCGACGCGTAAAATCTCGATACAAAAGAAATCTTGGTGGGACACCTAGTAGGGGTGCACATTACAAACATACTACCGTGAATACCAACTCGACTGCTGTGCGAACCCAACGTCGTTAGCACCATGGTCATCATCATCGAACTCTTCGACCTCGAACTTTGAGCCTAGTGCCTCACGAGCTTCCCTAAGCATCGCACTCATCTGGGAGCTCATCCTTCGTACGCGGGCATCCTCTTCGAGCTCTTCACGACGCACTTTGTTGAGGAGGCGCTGACTCTCTTTGGGTAGCGGGCTTTTTTGGGGTTTATTTGGGGTTTCTTCGAACATGGCGGGTGATCCATAGCTCAGCCGGCTGTAAGAGCGCTGTGCATTGTGTGAACTAGGGCTTACTTTTGCACTGCCGTGGAACGAGCGCCTATCCATGGTCGAGCGCCGGGATACTGGAATGAGGGATGGCCGTTTTAGCGACGGTGTAGTGGCGCCCGCTCTTGATACCGGGCGCGGTATTTGCGATGGTGATCTCGATTGGACAGGGAGTCTTCGCTCTGATAACCGCGGTGTTGAAGGCCGTGACTCTGTCTCGCCGTCCGTGCCAACGACAACCCAATTATCTGCCGTGCGCAATCGCTTCGTCATCCTGGGGCGTTCGTTGTTGAGCAATTCTGCCGATAGCACGCCATAGACATCACTAGGGAAGTCGCCGGGCGTTTTTTGTTGAACCGGGCCCGATTGATGTAGATATGAGTCGTCTTGAAGCCCAAGCTTCGCCGCAATCTCGCCCTGGGCGTCGAGATTGTAGCTCTGTCCACCGCCTGCCTGGAATCCTCGGAAAGGTACGGTGCAGAATTGGAATAGCTTGCCCGCAACTCCCCCGACGAGGCCCATGATGGACCAAGATTTGCTACCGTTTGGAGTTGTCTGCATCCCATCCATAGCCAGCTGCTTCGCCACGCCGGCGTGCGGTGTAGGGGGAACCGACCACATTCCGCGCTGCTTCTGAAGCTGGAAGTAGTCGTCGTAGTCCCCGTTCTGTCTCCCAAATTGATACGACCCATCCATACCGCCCTTGGCGAGCTCGTAGCGATCATGCGCAAGCGGAGGAGGGCTCTTCGCGTCGGTAGAGCGAGAGAATCCCAACGAGTTGTCGCCCCAAGATGATGTGGTAAAGCTTTGTGTGGTGGTAGCGTCGTGCTCGCCATATGGGGAACGATTGCGGGTCTCGTGGCTGTCTGATTCCATCACCTGCCGCCCAGAGGTTTCAGTCGCAAACGAGAAGCGCGGAGCCGGGTCGAAGTAGCTTGTGCGGGAACTTGCGCGGGCGTGCGACGGCGACGGGGAATAAAATCCAGGCATCTCGGTGGAATAGCGCGATGTGCTTGCCATGCGGAGGCTTGAAGGCTGCCTTCGGCTTTGACAACCAACCACGAGTGAACGAGTGATCGTCGGGATTGGCACACGAGCTGGAAGTTGGACGATATAGCTGCAAAGCTTCCCAGACGTGAAATGAAGTAACTAGAGATGCATGTTGGAAGCGGTGCGCCAGATGACCTGTCGGGTGGGGTTTGCGGAAGTGAGAGACCCTGCAGTGCAATGTTTAGAGGCGCCACGGCTGGCTGGGAAACCGCAAGCTTGGCGGCGATCAATCACTATTAGCGTCTTCCCATGAGCACTGGGAAACGTCTGGCGCATGGAATGAACTTTGAACTTCAAACTAATCGCATTCAACAATGGGCTATAATGATAGCCAGACACACGCAAGACATGCCAGTGCCTCTAGAGTCCGGGGTATACCGTGACCTCAACGCCAAGCTAAACAGTACTCCTCGCCTTAGGCCCTCGCAATCCACCCGCTGTGCACCAGGTATTCGAACAACTGCGACGACTTACTCGTATCGATCTTACATATTTCCCTGGCAGTCTTCTTCTTTAGAGCACCGCCGTTGTTCAAAGCAGCCCGTAATATAGTCTCCTTGAGTGCTAGGAAGGGCTTCGGCATGATACGCAGAGTGCTGCACAAGTCCACCTCTTCTGCAGTGAGCAGTTGAAGGTCCGCCTTCGCTTCCTTGCCAAACTTCAAAGGTACCGTATTGGGTAGTGGCTTGGGCACAAACTTCGTCTTCGAATGCTGTGGAGTTGAACCCCCATTTGCACCGCTTGTGCCATTGGGCGCGCGATCTGGGGGTGGGGTCGTGAGCCCGCTCTTCTGCTTTATATGCAAAGGTAGATCTTGGCCCAGCAGTGCTGTTGCTGCCGATGGTTGTTCGAATGGCGGCGTAGGCTTCCCGATTCTACTTGACGCCAGGCGATCAAATTGACCAATTGCAGGTGCTCGGGACTGACGTTGTTGCTTCTCCGTCTCATACTTCTCACCAGCTCTAAGGTTTGTGATTTGCATATTCCTCCACTCTTGCAGCTGAGAGATGGCCTGTCGTAGGTTGTGTTCATACTCTAGTCCCTTGCAAAATTCCTCAAAGTCCGCATGCTGCATCATCCTCGCAAAAGGCTTCGCCTTGTTCATGAGGTCCTTCTCTTCCTTCGTCCGCTTCTTATCAGCCAATTGGTTCTTGCGGTACTCGAGAAGTTGGTGCTCGAAAATTATCTTCTTCCTTTCCACTCTGGCATCTAATTTGGAGTTGTAGATCTCCATGATGATCATTTTCAGCTCCATTTCCGGTTCCATCTCGCCGGTTCTTGGGTTAATACCATCACCTGGTTCGAATTGCATGTGCTGTACAGCCTCTTCTGCTTCGTTGAAATACTCGGTCTCAAACTCCAAACGACCCGGCATGTACCCTTGAACCTCATGGCAGGCCGGTACACTAGCTGTAGGCTTCTGTTTGGGCGTAGCGGGCACTGCACTCGCAGCCGCATCCTTTTTGTCCTCTATCCTTCGCTTTTTGTTGGCTTGGAATTCGTTCCGGGGTATTTGGCTGCTGAGGTCGGTATCATCTTTGCTGCAATGCTCTGGTAGCGGGAATTTCGAGCTATTCACGTAGGTGTTGATGTAGTGGTCTCGTACTTCATCCTTTTCCCTATAACCACCAATATGGTCTGCAATGTCCGCCCATGATCCAAGGCCGTACGTCTCTGCACCCTCTAGTAGAGCCAGCTCTTCATCAGCGCCCCAGTCCGCAGTGTATATGGGTATGGAGTGCTGCTCAATGACTTGAAAGGTATGTGTTGCGGGCTTGTGGTCTCGAGATGCTTTGCCGTCGGAGAAGCAGGGTACGCAGAGATCGTACTCATGGCAGGCCTCCTCGGCGCAGCGTATGCGAACCTGCAAGGCTCATCAGCACTGTCTTTATGAATTCTGTATTGGTAGACAACTTACCGTTGATGTGATATCGGACGAACAGACATCGCAGACATACTTGATGCCGCCCTCTGTACCCCGCGTCCCCGTTTTCTTCTTGATGACACCCATAGTGCCCCGCTATGCATGCGCAGCAGTGAAAGACAGTCGCCACGCCCGGGCCCCAAGAGACAAACGGGCTTGTGGCTGTGCACTGCCCACGCGCGTGCAGGCGCCCAGAGGAGTTCAGCTAGATGTGGCGAGTGGGCTGGGCAGCAGTGGGCTGGGATGACGTTGTAGGCGGGAAAGGCGCGTCGGGCGTGGTGATGGTGATGGTGTTGGTCTTCAGCAGATGGCTATGCGGCGGTGCATGTACGAGAGGTTGCAGGCGGCGGAAGTTGCAGCCGAGGCTGGCGAAGGAGGGCACGATGTTACGGGCGCATCATCATCATCACCGACCAGAAATAGACTAATAGCAATATCACCACTCGTGGAGCTTCAAACACTGCAACTGAGCGCAGTGCAGATTGGCGTGTCGGTGCGGGAACGAAACAAGACCTGGTCACCGCCGAGATTAAGGCTAGCGACCAGCTTGACCCCTCAAACGTGAGACCCTACCTGCGCATCTTAGGAGCACATTGAAGGGCTTGGGCACTCGGACTGCACCTTGCCACCATCCGCTCCCTATTACCCTTCCCTTCTCTTCATTATTCCCCTCTCTACCCTCACTCGACCCTGCTGGAGCACTTCCCCTCCTTAGTGCGCCGCCTACTCCGCCCTCCCGCATCTCCACCTTCTTGTAGCGGTCTGCCTTCTACATAGTACACCCACGACCGTTGAGCTGCCGCAACCATGTCTTGGAAGCTCACCAAGAGTGCGTATCCCTTTAGACCTATACTGTGACTAGCCTAACGTAGTGTGCAGAGCTCAAGGAGACGCACCTTGCTCCGCTTGCGAACACATTCAGTCGCTCGTCGTCTACCTCGACCATAGTCAATGACCAGACCCCGAAGACGGCAACCTCGACTAGTGGCGGGAGCACTCTCGCAGACTCGAAAGATCCCAATGGCATCGGTATTTGGACACACGCCACACGCCACCCGCTGAATATTGCTGACCCCTCCCAGCGGCCTCAGAAGCGAACGCTGCCCCGCCAGCACAACCCCTCCGCCCGGGTATCCTCATAGTCACGCTCCATGAGGGCCAGAAGTTTTCTCTGCCGCCGGGTGCGGAACAGGCATTTGGTGGTAGCCATCATCAGGGCTCCTTGTCACAGGGCGGCGGCTTTTCCGTTGCAGGTTCCATGCGACCTGGCTCATCATCTCGAAATCCAGTCGTGGGCTCGTATGCCACTAGGCCACAGTCTGCCGCTGGCAGCATCAACGCCGCCCCTACCATCCATGGCCGCTACTCCTCGAAACACTTGCCCTACGCGCTTGTAGACTTCGACAAGCAGCAAGTCTTCATAAACGCAGTCTCAGGTACTCCCGAGAATCCACTTTGGGCAGGCGGCAATACACAGTACAAGTTCGATGTATCTCGAGTTACCGATCTTACTGTTTCGCTGTACATCCGCAACCCCACCGCACCTCCCAACGCTGGCCGAAATGAGGATATTTTCATTGGAACTTTGAAAGTACATCCCAAATTCGAGGAGCAACGGACAGATGAAAAGGTGAAGAAGACTGAACATACACAAGGCCAAGCCGGTGCCGAGTGGATACCGGTGCAATTTGGCAGTGGGCAAATGAGGATTGGTGTCAACTTCGTGGAAAACCGACAAGACCGTCTATCGATTGATGATTTTGAGCTTCTCAAGGTCGTTGGCAAGGGTAGTTTCGGAAAGGTTATGCAAGTCCAGTACGTACCAATGTTTTGTTGAAATTCGTAAGTACTCACCATTTGCAGAAAGAAGGATACACACCGAATCTACGCCCTCAAGACGATCCGCAAAGCGCACATCATTTCCCGATCGGAGGTTGCGCACACTCTTGCGGAGCGCTCAGTATTGGCTCAGATCAACAATCCCTTCATCGTGCCTTTGAAGTTCTCTTTCCAGTCGCCTGAGAAGCTTTACCTGGTGCTAGCTTTCGTCAATGGTGGCGAGCTTTTCCACCATCTCCAGAAGGAGCAGCGGTTCGACATCAACCGAGCCCGATTTTATGCTGCAGAACTTCTTTGCGCTCTAGAGTGTTTACACGGTTTCAACGTTATTTACCGTGACTTGAAGCCGGAGAACATCTTGCTGGATTACACTGGACACATTGCTCTGTGTGATTTCGGTCTCTGCAAACTGGACATGAAGGACGAAGACAGGACGAACAGTGAGCAAACCTACAATAGACATAGAGAACATGTTTGCTAATGGCCGCATAGCTTTCTGTGGAACACCGGAGTACCTCGCTCCTGAGCTTCTCACTGGTGCCGGTTACACCAAGTCTGTCGATTGGTGGACATTAGGCGTTCTTCTCTACGAGATGTTGACAGGACTGCCACCTTTCTACGATGAGAATACTAACGACATGTACCGAAAGATTCTTACCGAGCCGCTACATTTCCCAGGCCCCGAGATTGTTCCACCGGCCGCACGAGATCTTCTGACACGCCTGCTAGACCGCAACGCAGAGAAGCGTTTGGGAGCCAAGGGCGCAGCTGAAATCAAAGCACACTACTTTTTCCACAGCATCGACTGGCGAAAGCTGCTGGAGAGGAAGTATGAGCCCAGCTTCAAGCCTAATGTCGTACGTATAGCCAGTCTCATTTGCTGTTGTAGTCGGTGCTAATTTCCATGCAGGTTGACGCTAAAGATACTGCCAATTTTGACCGCGAGTTCACTTCGGAAGCTCCCACGGACTCGTACGTAGACGGCCCGGTGCTCTCTCAGACTATGCAGCAGCAGTTCGCAGGATGGTCTTACAACCGACCAGTTGCTGGTCTCGGCGATGCTGGAGGTTCGGTGAAGGATCCCTCGTTCGAGGGCGTGACAGAAAGATAGTGTGGTACTGGTTTCAGCTTTCCGGCCTCGGAGAACGGCCGTGAACCTAGCGTCTGGCCACTGTCGCGGCGTCACGCGATTAATCCGACGCCAACTTCAACACCCGGCGGCTTTGGATCCACAGGTGGATGGTGAAGTGATTGGTGGGACTTCTCAGCGCTTTTTGATGCTTTTAGGCTTCTTGAGCAACGGCATTGGCGCTTGAGGTAGCATTTGTACGAGAAACAAGCCTAATATAGGCAATTCAAGACGATATCCCACTTCCAAACAAATATCCTTATTGTGCGCTGACATGGAGCTACTACAATGCATGTCTACCAATGTTTGACTGTTGAATAGTGAGCGGCTTGGCTATCATCAGTAACCAACCGTAGGCGTTGATGGCAAGCGTGGTGAGGAAGTTGCAGTCTGCCCCTCCTTCCCTTTGCGACAAATGGACGAAGCTCTGACGCAACGCGGGGGTCTCGCCGGCCGCGCCACCTTCTTACCATCGCTCCACCAAACACCCTTCGATCGTTCTTACTTCACTTTGCCCGCCAGATCTGTGAATCAATTGCCTACCCTTTCCTCAATTGAACAACTTTGAATTGTTTGTATACCCTTCGACGCCCAACCTTCTCGAGCTTACACACTCCACTAGTTCTGTAGCACAACATGCCCGGCTTTGCACAAGCCTCCGATCTTTCCGCCTGGTCGGCTCTCCAGGATCACCACCAGAAGCTCGGAAAGGACATTGTATTGAAGGAGTACTTCAAGAAGGACCCTCAGGTATGCAAACCCATGTTGGTCCCGCGAGCTCGACTAAGTATGGTGTAGCGATTCGAGAAGTTCAGCCACATCTTCAAGAATGACGCCGAGGACTCCGAGATCCTGTTCGACTTCTCCAAGAACTTCATCACCGAGGAGACTGTGAAGCTCCTTGTTGAGCTTGCGAAGGAGGCTGGTATCGAAAAGCTCCGCGATGACATGTTTGCTGGCGAGAAGATCAACTTCACCGAGAACCGCGCCGTCTACCATGTCGCCCTACGTAACACCTCGAACCAGCCCATGAAGGTCGATGGAAAGAGCGTTGTTGAGGACGTAAACGAGGTGTTGGACCACATGAAGGAGTTCAGCGAGCAGGTCCGAAGCGGCGAATGGAAGGGCTACACTGGCAAGAAGATTGATACCATCATCAACATTGGTATCGGTGGTTCAGACCTGTACGTGATCACTTGAGCACTGTTATCAGAAGAAACCCCAAAAATTACTGACACACCGCGTAGTGGCCCCGTCATGGTCACCGAAGCCCTCAAGGCTTACTCCGACCGTAACCTCAAGACCCACTTCGTCTCCAATATCGACGGCACTCATATCGCGGAAGCTCTGAAAGACTCCAACCCGGAGACTTCGCTCTTCTTGATCGCCTCCAAGACCTTTACTACAGCCGAGACAGTTACCAACGCCAACTCTGCGAAGGCATGGTTCCTGAAGAGCGCTAAAGAGGAGGATATTGCCAAGCACTTTGTGGCTCTGTCGACCAACGAGGATGAGGTCACCAAGTTCGGTATCGACAAGAAGAACATGTTTGGCTTCTCCGACTGGGTTGGTGGACGCTACAGCGTCTGGAGTGCCATTGGTCTGAGTGTAGCCCTCTACATCGGCTTCGACAACTTCCACCAATTCCTCGCTGGTGCCCATTCCATGGACAAGCACTTCAGGGAGACTCCCCTTGAGAAGAACATCCCGGTGCTTGGTGGTCTGCTGAGTGTGTGGTACTCCGACTTCTTCGGAGCCCAAACGCACCTTGTCTCTCCGTAAGTTTCCTAGTAGCTGGCATGGACCTTTGCTAATTATGACACAGCTTCGACCAGTACCTCCACAGGTTCCCCGCTTACCTCCAGCAACTGTCCATGGAGTCCAACGGAAAGGCCATCACCCGTAGCGGCGACTATGTAAAGTACACCACCGGCCCGATCGTGTTCGGCGAGCCGGCTACGAATGCTCAGCACTCCTTCTACCAGTTGCTACACCAGGGCACCAAGCTCATCCCTACTGACTTCCTCATGGCTGCTCAGAGCCACAACCCTGTCGACAACAACAAGCACCAGAAGTAAGTGTGCTATTCACGTTTGTCTTGAGTATAACTAACGTGTTCAGGATGCTTGCATCCAACTTCTTCGCTCAGGCTGAGGCCCTTATGGTTGGCAAGACCCCCGATCAGGTTAAGGCGGAAGGTGCACCCGACAACCTCGTCTCTCACAAGACTTTCCTCGGCAACCGACCTACTACTTCTATCTTGGCCGACAAGATCACACCCGCCAGTCTTGGTGCTCTGATCGTCTATTACGAACACCTGACCTTCACCGAGGGCGCCATCTGGAACATCAACAGCTTCGACCAGTGGGGTGTTGAGCTCGGAAAGTCTTTGGCCAAGAAGATCCAGGCTGAACTTGACGATGATAAGGAGTCTACTTCTCACGACGCCAGCACAAACAGTCTCATCAACGCTTTCAAGAAGAAGGCATCCTTGTAAAGAGAAGAAGTGGATGCTCATAACGGCTGAATGACTATGACTTCATGAAAGGAGCAAAAGTATCTAGTAGGCGTCTGAGGTATCAGTAAATGCAATCAATCATTGCGTGAATAAATAAAACGTTTGAGCTGTGTGTAATGTGAACAATGAAGTTGCGGAGTTTCGGAGGTGGTGGCGCTTGGGCCTTTGCCCATCGTATTGCGATAATTGACAGATTCACCACTTGCGCACCGACATGTATATACGGTAATTGCTGTTGTTCATACCCTTCCGACGCTATACCACACATCTTTTTTGGGGGGCCCTCTGACAGTTTACAAGATGTGGCTCGTCCTATTGGCCGTGCAAGCATTTTGGCTTTCTCTTGCCAGTGCATTGAGCGGACAGGTACCGCTGAAGAGCTTAGAAGAGGCCAGAGGATACAATCCGGGAGAACCAATACCTGTCAGTTGCTTGAACAGGACAATGTAAGCACAATCCTTACAAAGCTGCATCCCCCCACAATCGCTGACTGGGACGTAGAGATACAGGTGAACATGTACGTCTAGCCATGGCATACCCTCCGAGGACACCAATGCAGCCCGAACACGGAGTGATCTCAGACAGAAATTAGGGTTCAGAGAGTTCAACAAAAAGCTGACTGTAAAACTAGATCACAGACGCAGCCGGCCATCTCCAATATATCCCCTTCCCGATATGCAATGAAACGGGCAGATCTCTGGAGCTGTTCTTTGGGGTGGAGAAAGACATCAATTGCACTATCGACTTCGTAACGGACGAATTCTTTCACCTGCTAGAGTTCTACATCCACAGCGACGCACCGCTCAGCTGCCGCATCCCTTCCAAGCCCCTGCCTCCCTCCGTCCTCGAGAACGAATACAGAGTCAGCGACGAGTCGACGCAGGAGGGCGCGTTGGGTACGCAGAGCACGCTCTATACACCGTTAATCATCGCGTTGGCAGGTACACTGCAATTGAGCCATTTACACGTCGGCAACTACCTCAACCTGCTCGTCCACGCCGCTCCGAAATCTACCTCTCCAGGCACCGTGGATGCCGCTACAGCGTACTCTATCGCCTCGCACACGCGCAATACGAAGATCACTATCGGTGACTCCCTCCCGTTGTCCTTTTCTGTGCGCTGGTATCCTAGCACGACGCTGCCGCCGGGTTGGAGTGGCTATGGTGGCCATATCTACACGAGCACGTTGATATACTGCTTACTGAGTGCGGTGGCAAGCGCGGCAATTTGTGTTGTGTACTTCAGGGGCGTGGAGTTGCCGAGGAGATTGAAGCGGTATGCTACGGATAGGATGAACGGTGGTGGGGGGAAGTTCGGGAGCGGAGGCAGCGGGTATGGACTGCCTGTTGCGAATGGAAGAGGAGGGGGAATGGGAGGTGGATATGGGCTGGGAGGATATGGGTACGGCGGAGGGAGCGGGAGTGGGAAGAAGGATTAAGGGCATTAGCTAAAGGGGACTCGTAGAGGCTTAGTCCGCATCGGTACATACAGGCTGAAGGCGCTGAAGGGATTATTGAGGTTGTTCTGGGTATATTTGCGTTCAAAAGTAGTGTAGAGTGTGCATATCGAATTTTGCGTGTAGATCTTAATGTTATTGTATGAATATAGCACAGCCAAAAGGCGAATGTCTACGCTTATCAAATGCACAAAGAGTCTTCAAGGACATATGTTGTCTACAAAGGGAACCCGGCCCAAATGCTAGATCACAATGAGTCCTATAATACAGCGTATACACCATGCTTCAAATCGTACAGGGCTCCTATCGACCCAAGCTCGGAGTTCACCCCTGGAACAAGCTTTACCACCCCTTCCGAGTCAGCTCACTAACCCGCCCAGTTATTTGGTGAAACCCCTGCTTAAACCTCGCCCTCCACCTCTCACTATTCAATCTCTTCCTCTTCAGTCCTCCACGTTCATGAAACCTCTGCTTGTTAAACTCGCCCTTCACTTTATTCCTCGCCATTAGTGAGCCCAACATGCCTATCCCCCGTACGATATCTCTGCCCCGGCTAGCGTCCAGTTCCACGGTGCGACCGTACGTCGGGTTCAGACGCGGATAGTTTGCGAAGGTTTCTTCCTGTTGTGTGGCAAGCGAGGATGCTTCGCTGGGCTTGTTTTTCAGGGAAGGATTAATCATATCGTCTGGCAGAGACATGGAGTCGAAGTTTAGGCCAGGACGGCGGGTGGGGCGATTGCGGGACGCCGAGGAGAACTCGGAACCGAAGATGTGGGAAGAGCGCGCTGCGTGCAGCTCGTCGCTGGAGGTTGCTTGGTTGCGTTGTGCGTATTGGCTTGGGCGATTGGTCGGCAGGCCGGAAAAGAGAGAGTCGATTGCTTCGGACGTGGTGTCTTGGGATGGTTGACGGGATTGCGATCTTTGTTGCTCCCGCTCTTCGATGTCGAAGGCGTCTTCTTTTCTCTGGGGCTGCGCAGCTTTATTCGGAGTGCTGGATATGCATCGCTGAGCAGTCCATGATGGTGTGATTCGTCGTAGGCACTGTGTAGACGATGTATAAGGAATCCTGGAGGAGGATGGGCGGAGCAGGAGCTCGCCGATTGAACGGGAGCTCATCGTGGATGATCAATTGGTATATTAGATCATGCGTGAGAGGGCGTTGGGCCTGGTGTAGCAAGGCAATCGAGACTGAGGCTTGGGATGCTGTTGGCGATGATGGAAGTCATTCACTACGTCGCGACTGCCCAAATTTGTCGGGAGTTAGTCGTTCGCATGCTGGCCCGAGCTTCGAGACTCAAATCTCGACTAGACTTCTACCTTTACGCAACACGCGACAATCGACCTCACTAATCATTTCTTTCGCTGATTTGCCTGTCAATAAACAGCAAACATGTACAGCTATCCTGGTACGTGCAACTATCCTCGTGACATTACCAAGGCTAACATGCGCAGGTGCTCCAGGGTACAGTGGCCCGCCGGGCTTTGCAGGCGCTCCGCCTGGTATGGCACCGCCAGGAATGGGTCAGTCACCGTGTCTGAGGGACACAAAGCTTCATGCTGCTTGGAATTACAGACTAACATATCACAGGACGACCGCCCAGTGCAGCTGCTCCTCCCGGTGTCGCTCCCCCAGGCGTCGCACTTGGTCAAGGACCTCCAGCTCTAGGCGGACCACGCGCTCTCCCACCGAACTGGCAACCTCCTGCGAACATGCCCAACTTCAACTTCAACGCCCCCGTCATTCGCTTAGGAACTCAAGGAGGTCGCACTGGAGCTGTAGACAGCCCTGGAGGAGGACGGAAAGACAATGCATCTATGCCTGCGCGCCGCGGGCTGGGCATGGATAGAGATGGCGATCGACGAGACGGACCTCAGCAGGTTATCCCGCCCAGTCGTGAAGAGATTGCGCGGACTATCTTCGTGGGCAATATCCCAGACGGTGTTGGAGGTGATGAGGGTATGGAACGCATTCTGGAGACAGCTGGGAAACTAGTCCGTTGGACCAGAGCTACCGACGCCAACAATAAACCTCAGACGTTTGGGTTCGCCGAGTTCGCAGATGCGCAGAGTTTGGAGACAGCCGCCGACATCTTCCAAGATGTCCGCGTACCCACGAAGCGCCAGAAGCCCGGGCAGGAGAAAAAAGAGGAGGATGAAGAAGTCGAAACAACCAAGTTGCAGGTCATGGTCGATGATGCGTCAATCAAATATGCGGAGGAATGGAGCAAGACTCGAAACGAAGACGAGAACACGGTTCAATTCCGACTCGACACTGCAAAGGAGGCCCTCTCTCTAGTTCTAGGAAGCTTCTTCAACCCGCCGAATATTCCAGTGATGGAGTATAGAGGGGACACAATGATGCAGGACGCGCCAGCGCAGGATGGTGACGATGTCGAGGTCGCCTTCGTGAACCTCACAACTGGTGAAGACGAGCTGGCAGACATCCCAGCAGAAATGCGCGAAATAGTCTCGGCCGAAATTGCTGCCTTCCGCGACCGTTCGAACCAACGCGACCGGGAACGACTTCGGAGGGAAGAAGAACTCGAGGCCGAAGAGCGTCGTCGTAGCGGCAGGCGCGTGTCCCCGCCGCCTTCAGCGCCATCTGGACCTGGTGGTGCCAACGGAGTTCCACTAGGCCCGAGAGCAGAACGGGGAATCCAAGGCGCACCCAGCGGACCTAAGGGGTCTCAATTCCCACGCGATTATCAAGGAGGCGTCAACTTTGTTAATGGAGGAGCGATCAACAACGGTGTCTATATCAACCGCGAGGATGACGATGACTCTGCCAGTGACTCCGAAATCGAGCGCCGCCGCAAGAAGAAGCGAGACGAGGAGCTTGACGACTCGTATAAGAAGCAGCTTGCTCGATGGCTCAAGCATGAGAGCCGTACCGTCGCGGGCCTGGAACGTACTAGTGATCGCGTGAAGAACGAGCAGGCTGAGAAGCAAGCAGCTCGCGATGCGCAGGCCAAGCAGCTCAAAGACTTCGATGACGACCAGGAGTCATCTTTGAAGCGACATCTCTACTACCGCGATCATGGCGAGTACATGCGTGAACGTGAAAAGATCCGCGAGCGCGAGGCCAAGGAAGATGCTGTCGATCGTTCCCAAGAGCAACGCGAAATGGCGGCACAGCAGAAGCAAAGGGACCAAGCACGCGGCCAGGCCGATGCCTTCCTCGATCAGCAAGCCGAGGAGCTCATGCGCTCACAAGAGCAGCGCGAGCCATCACACTTCAAGATCTCTCTCGGTGCCGCCGCAAAGAAACTCGAAACAGCTGCTGCACCCCGCCGCACAGCCGCCGACGTCGAAAATCTACTCGAAGACGAAGATATTACCGATCAGCCAGGCACCAAGAAGCGGACTCTCATCCCCATCAACTTCGACGCTGCGGTACGCGCTAATCTCACACAAGAAGAAGTCGAGGAGGCGCAGCGACAACTTGCGCGCGATATTCCCAATGACAAGGAGGGCTTGTGGAGGTGGCCTGTCTCGTGGGAGCACCTGCCCGAGAAGAACATTGAAAAAGACATCAAGGACTGGGCTGCCAATAAAGTGCTTGAACTCATGGGTCTGCAAGAGGAGATGCTTGTCGAGGCCATTGTAGAGCATCTGAGGAATCGGGGTGGGCCGCAGCCGCTGGTGGAGAACTTGGAAGTTGTGAGTAACCTTTGTTACTACTTACTGAGACTTATTACTAATGATATTGAAAGGCACTCGATGAAGAAGCAGAATCTCTCGTTAAGAAGCTTTGGCGTATGGTCATCTATTACAGCGAGACGGAAAAGAGGGGCATCAAATAAGTGTTCAGACGACACGACATTTGAACAAAAGCGGAATACACATTCACAATCAACAGGTGCAAAGTCTCAAAAGGCCAGAGCTATGAAACACATTTCTTCCTTGGCAATGGGCTTGTGAGTATTCGGGTGGATCTTTTCGGGACAGCTATTGACGTGCTGTAGGGTCTTCGGATCTGGCAACACGACTACGAGTGTATGTAACGGGGAATTGTAATCGAATGGAGTGCTTGAACCAGGTCCGTTTGTTTGTTTCTCTCTTGTTCCGTACTAATGTGCAGATCCCATTATTCGTTGTCTCTCTCGTGCGAAGTACTGAGGATACTCCTCAACTACCATCCATTTACATACCTGTTTCGCCAACATTATGACAAGGGCAGAGGCTCGCTCGCTCAACACCATGCTCTTGCCATTAGCAATAAGCCCTCTGCCCTCGCTACAAGGCTTTGCGAGATATTAAGATGTTATTGATTTCCCTACTGAGGCGGACTAACATTGGTGCACTGTAGGTGAGACACAAGTGATTTTGTCGTTTCAGCCGTGCATGGGACACGAAGGTTGCTCGATAGCAGCGCAACGCATTCTTTCTAATGGCAGAAAGCCGGTATAGGACTTGAGATGACATGCAGTATGGTTGTGAGGTGTAGAACCACGTGAATATCAAGGTTTGGGGAATAGAGACTCAGAAAAAAGGCACGCAGCTTGAGGAAGAGTTGTGAACCCAATCTAGCATTTGCTAGCTCCAATTTAAAGCCACAAGCCTAGATGCCCCAGGAAAAAGCTCATTGATCATGCCTCGAAGCTCTAGGGCTAACTACTTTTCTCCCACACTCTTCTCCACGCATACGCACTATTGTCACCTCCCCCTAGAACACGTATATGTGTAATTGCTCCCTCACCCACATAATCACCCATACGCCAGTCGTGATGCTCAAGCTTTTCGCCTACTGACGAAGCTTCCGGAGCCTCCACGTCGATCCACGTCGTCTCCGCGATATGCAGGGAACACATGGGTCTATATGATTATTCCGCCTCACGTGGTGAGTGAATTAACGACCAACAAGCCAAGTAGCGCAACAAGGCGGTTTCGAATGCCCCGATTTCCAGCCGCAACGAGTGGCGCGTGGGCTACGGAAAGCATTTCTCCACGAATTACACGGCACACGGTGGGGTTTAGTAAGTGGTCCCGCCGGCACCGTTGGGGTGTTGGTCGTGTGGGATTTGGACTGCGGATGGGTTGGCGCAGGTTATAAGGACCTAGATGCCCGGGGCAAACCATTATAACCCCTCATTTTGACACTTCCTCATCACTTTTTTCGTGCTCTCCTGCTAGATTAAAAGTTTCTTCAAACTCACTACTACTACTATACTCAATTGAGGCTCTGCGGGGTATCGCGCTAGACGTGGGGTTTTCGGAACTCGGAAACAGTCCAACAACTACGAATTGTCGATTATTACTACGATACCATCAACATGGTTACTATCACAGGCTCTGAGACGAGGGATGTCCGCTTCCCAGTGAGTTGTTCACAGTCGCTTCGGTGGCTAGCATTTTAGGACCTCATATCTCTGACAGTTGGTGTAGACATCCCTCGACAAGACCGGTTCCGATGCGATGAACGCGGCAGGAGATTATTCCTCCGCATACTGCATCCTGCACACAGATTCCGAGTTCAAGGGACATGGCATGGTGAGTCAATTAGTCTATTTTGTTTCATTGTCAACAAATCCAATTTCACGCCTGCCCTTGAAAACTCTTATCTTGATCTAGAGAAATATTTGCAATGAGATGTAACACCTTTTGACAACTTACAGACCTTCACTATTGGCCGCGGAAACGAAATTGTTTGCACCGCCATCGCCCACCTTGCAGAGCGCATCAAGGGCCGGACCCTAGAGTCGCTAGTCGAGAACTGGGGCAAAACATGGCGCCATCTCGTCAACGACAGCCAACTGCGCTGGATCGGCCCCGAAAAGGGCGTAATCCACCTCGCTCTCGGAGCCGTGGTAAACGCAATCTGGGATCTCTGGGCCAAGACACTCGGAAAGCCCGTCTGGAGAATCGTTGCAGACATGACGCCCCAACAAATCGTCGACCTGATCGATTTCCGCTACATTACCGACGCCCTCACCCCAGAGGAGGCGCTCGAGATTCTAACGAAGAGCGAGCAAGGGAAGAAGGAGCGTCTTGAAGAAGCACTCAACTCCCAGGCCGTACCCGCATACACCACCTCCGCCGGCTGGCTCGGCTACGGTGAGGACAAGATGCGCGGCCTACTGAAAGAGACTTTGGCAAAGGGGTACAGGCACTTCAAGCTCAAGGTAGGAAGCGATGTAGCTCAAGACAAGCAGCGCCTGAGCATTGCCCGGGAAATCATCGGTTTCGACAAGGGCAATGTGCTCATGGTGGATGCCAATCAAGTGTGGAGCGTGCCGGAGGCGATTGAGTATATGAAGGAGTTGAAGGAGTTCAAGCCCTGGTTCATTGAGGAACCTACTTCACCCGATGACGGTAAGCAGCAGCAATCCAATTTAATTCTTACAGTCACTAACGCTGTTCAAAAGTCCTCGGCCACAAAGCCATCCGCGAAGCGCTAAAGCCCTACGGCATTGGCGTCGCAACAGGCGAAATGTGCCAAAACCGCGTCATGTTCAAGCAATTCCTCGCCTCAGGGGCAATCGACATCTGCCAAATCGACGCATGCCGTCTAGGTGGTGTAAATGAAGTCATCGCCGTCCTGCTCATGGCCGCCAAATTCGGCGTCCCCATTGTACCGCACAGCGGCGGTGTCGGTCTACCAGAATACACGCAGCATCTTTCCACCATCGACTATGTCGTTGTTTCAGGCAAGAAGTCCGTCCTGGAGTACGTTGACCACCTTCATGAGCATTTCTTCCACCCCTCCAAAATCGAGGGAGGGTACTATGTTACGCCCATGGATCCAGGGTACAGTGTGGAGATGAAGCCTGAAAGCATGGATAAGTTCAGCTATCCTGGCAAGGACGGTGTCAGCTGGTGGAAGAGCGATGAGGCCAAGCCCATTCTCGAGGGTATTAAAATCTAGATGAGAGATTGTCACTGTAGCTAAAAGGTTATACACCGAATGCCAGGTATCTCAATAAAAAGAATCTATCCCCAGCCGGCAAACCCGTTGACAAGGCCAGATCACCTCGCAGTAAACTGTGCCAAGAGAATCTTGTCCATACTGAACTTCCTAATCGCGAAGCTGACAATCAATGCGCTCGCAGAGATTGCCGTCATCATGATGAAGACAGACTCGAAGCCCTTCACGTAGGACTCCAAGATTGCAGACTTCTCCGGTGAGCTGGCCATGGTTCGAAGGATAAAGACATAGCGTTCCGAGTCATGCGCAATGGTAGTAGGTAGGCCAAAGTGTAAAAGTCTGCCTGACATCGAGTTTTGGAAGAGTGTTCCTGCTAGCTGGATGGGGAGTCAGCATGGTGAAACAAGACTCGGCTTGCAGATGGAAAACTTACAGTAACGCCAAGGGGCATTCCCAAACTGCGAAAGAACCCGTACATGCTAGCTGACATCGCGCTGTTTTCAATCTTCGAGATGGCCTGTACCCCGACATTGACACTTGTCAACACCGTGCCAGCTCCATAGCCAATGATAGCAAGTGCGACCACGAGGACAACCTTCTTAGTATGGAGGTCGAAGAGAATCATCAGACCACATCCCACCGTGGTGACTGCCCAACCGCCCCAGATCGCCCATCGGAAACGTCCAAGCCGTGTCGTCAGAACCGAAACGACTACTGAACCGGGTACCATAAAGCATAGAGCGGGTAAGAAAGCGACGCCTGCACCCGTCGAGGAAGAACCGCGAACACTCATTTCATAGAATGGGTAGTAGTACAAACCAGTGAAGAGCTATAACGTTAGCGACATGACTTAATCGAGGTCTAACCGATACTGACAATAACTCCGTTGACGAAAGCTGAATAGAAAGCTGCAATCGAACTCCAGTTGTAGAAGACCGACATCGGTAGCAGAGTGTGCTCTTTTGCGTACATTTGCCAACCTCCGAAGACGACAATGCCGAGAAATCCTAGGATGATGGGTACTAATGTTGCCGCTGACTTCCAGGGGTATTGGATACCGCCCCAAGACAGCCCAACCAGGAAGCTGGTCATACTCCCTATGAAGAGAAAACAGCCTATCCAATCCACCCGCTTCAGCTTTTGAGCTAGTGTGAGTTTTTCGACGGCCTTGAAGCGGACGAACAAGGTCGCAACGAGGAAGCCGAGAGCGCAGAAAGGGTAGTTGATATGGAAACACCATCGCCAGGAGGCGTGTCCCACGAATGCACCGCCAATAACTGGACCACTTATACAACCAATTGACCAGGCCCCGATAATCATGGAGAAGTACTTTGGGCGCTGTCTTAAAGGTATCATGTCGCAGTAGATGACTTGGGTAAGTGTGATCATACCCCCGCCACCCACACCCTGTATGCAGCGCCCTGTGAGAATCGTGGCAAAGTCTTTCGCGGTCGAGCAGAGTATGGTACCAACGGTGAAGAAGATAATGGACACAAATAGAAGCTGTTGTCGACCAAAGAGAGCAGAGAATGAAGCAATGACTGGCTGAAAAATGGCTGAGGTAAGGAGGTATGATGTGCCCGTCCAGACTAAAGGGCGAGGTACGAAGTCAGTGTATGCCTTGTTCCACTTCTCACTAAAATTACGTACATGCTTCCACGGAAGTTCCGTTGAGCTTCTGTGCGATATGCTATGGACATGTAAGTCAGCACAAGTATATAATGCCATGGATAGTTCTGACTTACTGGCAGAACAGTGACCAGGATGGTGGCATCGAGCGCCACCATCATTGATATGAAGCTGAGGCTGACCATAATGAGAAGCTCCTTCCTGTTGGGCTTCCATACTTCTGTAACGGTCGACTCGGCCTCGCTTTTAGCTTCAACCTCGATATTGATCATTGTGCAAGCGTCAATCAACAAATTTGTTAAATTGGGTCGTTGAGTATTGGAGATTGCGGGCTGACTTGTCGTCGGTGACGGCAGAAATTCGGACAGGATTCAAAAGTCAAAGCTATGACAGACAAATGGACGCGGGCGAGAAGGGACCACGCCAGAAATGCTCACCTTTAAGCGTACTCCAGTTCCCGTATGTTTTGTTCGGGGTCCGATTGTTATAAGCAAAGAGCGAGGTGCAAGGTGAACATGTCTTTCGTCGGCTTACCAAGACATTCGAATGAATGTGGCAGGTGACAGTGAAGTTGAAGAGGAAAGCACGGCCCGACTCCGATAGCGGTATGAAGAAGGTGCATTCGCGGGAGACAACTATTATTACTGTCACACGAAGTGGCCCATGCAATTAGATATACAATATTCGAGTGGCCACTAACACTGCCCTCAGCCCTGCACAGCGTCACCGCATCTTGTGCTAAGGGTATTCAACACTGCTCTCAACACCTTAGCCTTATATCATCTAAAGCTAACGACGTCATACTATTTTGATACTAGACTGACGCTGTGACCGACGACAAAATAGCAACCAGGATCAAGTCCAGCAAACGCTCGATGCATTACGTGATAGGCTATCTCGTCCTAGCTTAATATTGGGCCCTACTCTTTCTTGGCGCTTATGATGCGGTAGGAAGGCTCCACAGTCACAAGTTTCGGGTGACATGCAGCACAAGGCGGCAGGAGAGATGTGAGTGGGACGGTTTGGGAGGCCGTCAATGTGATTTAACTCCATGCGGAATGTGTCACTCAAGATATTCTTTTGATAGGAAGTAATCTTAACAATCTCCGTGCACAGGAACCAATATAAAATTTATACCCACCCGACGTTGTATACGCGTAGCGGGTGCATGCAAGCGGGTTTTCAACGCGCCTACGCCCTAGTTGGGCTATCGCTGGTTCTGTGCAGTTACGTTGTCGCGTTGCAACATGCCATGTTTATGGCTCCATTTCACCAGTCACAACGTTGATCTTGTTGGCCTGACTGCCCATGATTGGACTGTGCTGACACGATTACTCGAGCACGAGGCGCATAGCTTTAGCGTCTCCCGTGATAGCAGTGAACTTGTAAGGGCCCCTGCAGCCAACCGATAATTTAAAAAACATGCGAAAAGAATAGGTCAAGAATGCGTGATTTCGCAACGAAAAATCGTTAACAAGGCCGTTCAAAATATACAGCTAAGAGCCAGTGCATTTTATCAAAAAAACTAATCATTTCAACACAGACCAGCTAGGAGAAAAAGAAGAAGAAGAAGAACCACATCTCACGCCAACCCCTCCTTCCCAGTCACTTCCTTATTACGCACCAATCTTGCTCTGCAAGAACCTCGGCGCCTCTGAAGCTGCCGGAACACCGTATGTAAGATGCGCTGGGGTGATGATCAACGTGCCATTGCACACAAGATCACCAGGCGCACAGAAGACCTTCAAGTCACCCGAGGGATAGCTGGGAATGCCACCGCGGTTCTGCTGGTTTTGTGTGTAACCGAAAACAACGATGCCTTTGACCTGTGCGCGGGCGGTGGCGGAGAGCTTGGGGATGGCACCGGCGATCACGGCACTGCCTTGACTGTGGGGAACGTGAGTAAGTTGTGTTGAAGGATGTGAACGGATAGGGGAGACGTACGAATATCCACCAGCAACGACGGCTGAACTGGGGCACTTTGTGTTTGCCAAGTTGAACAGCCTGACTGCCTCGTTGATCGCAGCCTGCGAAGTGCCACCTGGTAGCGCATTGGAAGCAAGATCGGCTACGTATGGGCCGCCGACGCCCTGCACCCAGACGTTGTTTGCGCCGTAGGTGCTCTCGAGGGCACTGGCGACAGGGGGTCCAGTGAGTGTCCCCTAGTCCAAACATTAGCATTGTTGGCGTATCAGGATGGGTTGGTGAAGAATCATACCATGTTACCAGTCTCAGTGCTGCCGCGAGCAAATATGAGGATTGCTTTTGGGCAAGGCGCAGTGCCCGTTTCGAGCTCGTTCCTGGTACCGGCATTCAGCTGGCGGGCGTCGATTTCACGGACTTCGAGGTCGTTCACTGGCTCGGGGACAGCGATGGGAGAGGCAGCTGCAAGCGCAGCTAGGACGGAGATGGCGAGGAACTTCATCTTGAACTAGTGTTGAGGCGAATGAACTGGGTTGGAGAAGCGAAAGAAAGTGATAGTGAATGTGAATGAAGGAACTGGCCTGTGGATGTCGAGCTTCCCTTGGAGACGATAATGCATGGTATTTATGTTTCTCCATCTCCCCCTTCAACTCACACTTACCAGGATGTAGCCTACTATGCTACAACTTGCTGCCTCGGAAGCTCTGAAATAAAGTTTCGCTCACCTACATCGGCCTCATGCGCATATCCCTCCACAAGGTACCTCTCTGTTGTCGATCTCCCACGCTACTAACCCTAACAAGGCAATGTACTTCCGATATTGAATAGTTCCTGGCTAGAACATGCACCGCTATGCTGAGCGTTTTGATTCCAGGCTGGATATAAGGACACTAATCTCGGGTGCTAGCCGCACGCGGCGCATAATCCCAAACGTCGAACGGCAAGCCAGTGCCGATAGATTGAAACTGCATGGTGCTTTCGGATGGCGTGAGTAAGGCCGCCATTCAACGTGGTGGGTGGAAAATCCCGCACCGGGTTTAAGGCCCAAGGTAGCATCTTGAATCCAAGTAAGTGATGATGTTTGCTGTAACTGTCGGTCTGCTCCTCATCGTCGGTCTTGAGTGAACGAGGCTGCAGGTCTGCCCTCCAGCCCTCTACGCATCTATTTTAGTTTTCTATTTCCGTCGTGAAACATTTGTCACTGTATCCACTATAGTGAACTTCGGTGTTTTGCAAATGTTGAAACCTCGGGACAGAGATCTGAGGTCGTTCAGCATCCGTCAGGGGTCTCAAACAAGCCGTTAGCGCGTACGCTAGATTAGTCTACCCCATAGCTAGGCTGATAACGGGCCAGCCTTAGATGCCCAATGCGAGGTCTGGCATCTTCGACCGATAGGTGAAGCCATTCGTGCCTGATTACCAGGTCCTAGTCTTCCATCGGGGCAAATGCCCAAGGCAGTATCGCGAAAGTTGGGGTAACCAGGATGGTAGATCTGAAGATGATACTGTCCAATAATCGCACTGAAGCTACTTTGGCTGCCTCGGTATGGCCTGCATTACCCCACCAAACACCCATCTCATCGAGCAGTAGATGTTGTTTTTTCGCCGCGTGCGAACTCCTAGATGGGTCGAAGCTGCCTCGAGCAATCTACAAACCAACCTCGGTATGCAGGCTACTAGCGTCACTAGGATGCTATGTGCAACTTGTGACTGCCAAGCACCCCCTAGGGACGATAGTGCCGTAAATGCGAACAAAGAGCGAAGCTGAGTGGGGTTCCGTACTATCCTCAAAAATTAGTCGCCGCCTCGGCCTGCCTGCATGCCGGGCGGGGCGGTGGTCATTTGATCTCCCCGAGTTACGAAAAAGAAAAAAGTATCTAGCCCCTAATAGAGCGGGGTACAGCTCCGAATTAGTTGCAATGAGTGAAGTGCATGTCTCCCGGGAGTGACAAATGGATACAGATAATGTATTACTATTATATTATCGAAGGAAGTCGAAGGTGATAGTGGAGGACCAAGACGGACGGACTACCTTGGCCGAGTTTGCCGTCCTCCCTCACAAAAGGTGTGAGCTTTAGTACTTCCACTGACTCGATCTTTTCGTCTTCTTGATCCAGCTCGCATCCCGCTTCGACAGTTCTACTGCACTCCTCTTCCTTTTAGCACCGCCGCCACCCAGATTCGCTGCTGTGATATTGCCACATTCTGGCGTTGTCAACCGTTGACCAAACTGGTCTACAGCCCAGATGAGAACACCATTCGACCACCCAAAGCCCTCGACTACCTCGTACTCGCCCCCTCCACCCCTTGCATTCGTGCTCGCGTCACTGTATTTCTCGAAGATTGTGCCATTCCCCTCCGCATTGGGAAGTTGCGGCACTTCCTCTGTCGCGCCACCAGTAACTCGCCATGTGCAGTACAGAGAATCAAGGTAACGTTGTGCGAGGCGGAGCGCGAGGTCCTGGGTCCAAACATAGTCTTCTGTAGTTTCCTCGTCGTCTTCCTCGTTCACCTCAAGCGGCGTGTTAAGCAGACCCTTCATAAGAATATACTGCAGCGGGGGCCAGACATTTGGCTCGTCCCATTGCTGTCCCGTTGCGAGGTTCGTTGCTGCGATCGCGCCGTCGCCGTTTGCTAGCAGTTCTTCCACACGTGCAAAGACACGGCGCATGGCTTTGGGGTCGTTCTTGATGGAATCGGGTGCAGCACCTGTCCAAAATGGATAGAACTGCGTAATCTGGAACCAAATTTGCTTGCCTGGCGGAGCTCCGGAGAGCGAGAGGGGTGTGCTAGTGTTATCTGCTAGCGTGTAGATGTTTTGGCTGGAGGAGGTGAGGTTGTAGTCGAAGTAGCTGTAGTGCTCTGCACTCCAAAGCAAAGTCGTCATTGCCTCACTGCGGTTCTTTGCGCGGCCCGCCCATTTGCGGGCTGCGGTATAGTTTCCCTCTCGACGATAGAACTCGGCGATCGTAATCTCGTTATAGTAGAGGATAGAGTTTAGCTCAACTGGAATGATTTCGATGGTGTTGAGAGAACGAAGGGGGAAGAAGGTATCGGTGACAGCGTCCGACGGATTTGCTATCCAGCGTGCGGAATAGTCCCAGCCGCTTTCTGCTCCGGAGGCGAGATTTGAGTATAGCGTCGCCTTCTCTGTCTCGTTTAGAGGCTGGGTGGCGTTGAACTGCTTGCCTTCCTTATTGAAGTAGGTTTCGTTGTTCGCAGTCACATAGTCTTCGTAGTAAGACTCTGGTCGTGGTTGGGTATTCTGAACTTCGTAGTGGTTGAGCGAGTAGTTTCTGCCAGCCCTCTCAAGAGTCACGGTGCGGTTATTCACCCAGAACTCGTATTCCAGCTCCAAGATAGGCAGGGCGCGCTCAAGAAGCGTGTAGTTTTGGGTGTATTCGACGTAGACGCGGACCATTTGTGTGAGCAGTGGTGGTTGCGATCGGTTCTCGTAGTACCGTCTAGCGCCATTTGGCACGAAGCCAATGTCTTCGACCAGGTCCAAGAAGTTCTCGATGATGTTCTCCGCTATCTGGGTAAACGACCCCTGGGTACGAAGAAGGCCTTCGATAACCCAGAAGGAATCCCAGTAATAAGGCTCTCGGAACCGTCCTCCCGCTACGACGAAGGTTCGATTGACGGGGATGAAGGAGTTGACGCAGCCAGAGCAGTTTCCAGCTCCGACATAGCGGCGTGTGAGGTCGGGCCAGATATCGATGACTTGGCGGGTGAAGTCTTCGACAACGGAGCTGTTGACGTTTTCGAGGAAGTCAGGCTGGGTTTTGAGCTCTTCTGCAGGCACTTCTTCCAGCTCGGAGCCAGCTTTGCCAAAGTAGGTAGAGAGGAAGTTGTTGAGCGCGGTATTGTTCTCAATGGGTCGCGAGAGGTTTGCGAAGGCTGCAAGGACCTCGTTCAGTGGCCGTGTTGTTGGTCTGCAATTGGTGAGTCGGGTCGAGTTAGAGCACAGAGGAAGTACTCACAGATCCACGAACGTCTTCGAATCCTCAAACGGCCTTGCAAGCTCGACTTCGCGAAGCAAGTCGCCATAGCAGTAGATGGGCGAGTCGCAGGGCGCGATTACGCTGCCATTGATGAACAAGGCGGACGCCAATGGCGCACCCGCGATGAGGGCAGCAGTCCAGGAGCGCATTGAGGTCGATGTACGGCAACTGAGTCTCAAAGACGGAGTAAGTCTGACGATGCTGGGTACGCGCAGGACGCGTCCATTGTGCCCATTTATTAACCCGCCCCACGCACTACCCAAGGCACAAAGAAACCTGCCATTGCACCTGCCTCTCCACCGGCCGAAGCGAATGTGCGCGCAGCACACACGTATGTGGCTGCCTTGAGGAGCCGGGTACGCGCATTGTCATCCCTGGCGTATGTCCTAGAAAGTACCCAGGTCACGATCCGAGCAGTGCTGGGGTTACACCGAGAGGTCCAACAACGCTGGTAGCTGCATGTCGAGCACCAAAGACGGGCGCTGATGGCGTGCGGAGAAGGTTTCCCCGCAAAATGGCGTTGCGGCGGCCGGCAGCAAGTCTTGGCATGATGTCATACCCACTAGATTCGCTTGGTACGGTACCATAGGAACACCGAGCCAGCGACCTATACTCGGCTTCCCACATCTGCACGTCATACATCGTGGTGTCCGACTGTCCCGGGGAGGATTGTCACTCTGTTGATAGGACCGCAACCTCATCGCGACAGAGTGTCGATATGATATGTCCACGGGTTGGAGAACGCTACGAGCCTGATGAAAGACCTTCCACAGATACTACGGTCGCTCTCTCTCGAATATTCCGAAATCCATCACCTCAGCCTTGCCACAGATCATACAGTATTTGAGAAAGGAAATGACATGTATATTTTCAGACCAGGCATCGATACTGTAGCTTCCATCCAAGTCATGACTGTTATACCACCTCCTCCTGCTCACCAAGTACTTTAGGCCATTGGTATGTTTCACGCCCTCGGCGTGAAGCTCTCAGCTCGCCAGCCCTGGACCATCCTGGACTTCTCCGCCGCCATATCGACCATCTCCATGCGCGACTTCTCCTCGTCCCAAGCGTACTTCTCTACCATTCTGCCTCGGGCGTTACACACAAAGATCTCAACGCCAACAAGACTCTCGGTCTCGAAATTTCCAGAATCTAACCTATTCCACAACGGCATACCGTCTAGGCTGTTGACTGACATCCATTGACAGTACCTTTCCATGTTTTTCTTCTCCTGATGATTCAGCTTGTCCTCCCTCTTGCGTACGACTAGCTTCCACGTCCTGACATACCCACTCTGGGCAGCCCATTGGCAAAACCGGATCTCGGAGAATATGCCGGACTTGATGTCTCCTAGGAGGCGACGTGTCGGACAATTGACAACTTTGTTGAGAGTCTGGCACATCGGACTTCGCCATCCGACTTGGAACGACCACTTGCGATCGCGGTTGAGTGCTTTGTCCTGGAGCAAGGGCAGTATATCCCACCCTTGCTCACGGGAGAGAATGGCGTCGCAGTTCTCGACCGTGACTTTTGCTATTTGCGTAATGCTGTACGCAGAGGCAGCAGTGTCAAGATACGTCCTGATAAATGATGAAAAGTCATCCAGGCGAATGACAATCTTGGTATTATGGTAGAAGAGTGGGTGAAACTCGGCGCGGATTTGTCGACAGACCGTATTGAGGCTAATGTAGCTCGAATTGCTCTTTCGATGATAGCAGGGGAGAATATGGTATAGGCGGAGAGGGCCCTCTATATCAGCAGAGACGTATTGGTATACTTGATTGCGGATTTCGGCGGGGAGATGTAGAAAGGGGAATGGCTTCCCATCACCTGCCGCCGTAGCGGAGTTGTCGATCTGCCGTAGCTTTCGTTCGACTGGCTTCGCTTTTTCCGTCGTAACGTAACTACAATCGTTATCGTAATACGACATGATGACTAGGGTCGAGGGATTTCTTGGGCGTTGAAGGGTAGTTGGTGAGACAGGATTGGGGTATGAGTGGAAAGAGTCGTTCAGTAGATTTCAAAGGTAAGGGTGGGGTGTAGCGTATATTTGTATAGGTGAGAGTGCCGCCAGCACCGGGAACTTGAGGCGCTAAGCGAGATCGTGCGTTTCCAAGGTTGCACGTCATTTCCTGGAGGCTGCAGCCGTGGGTGAGAGGCACGGTTCTCCAAGATGGAGTGAATGAGATATCCCTGGGTAAGTTGAGTTCTCGGAAAGCATCTATAAATAACTCAACGATGAAGAAGTAAGTTAAAGTCTGTACTATTTGATTGTGTATCTATGAGCTACCTGGTTATTCAACTACAGACAGGTAGAGACAGATGCTTAATGTGTCTAAAAGGTAAGCAGAAACAAGCTTTTTTTACATGGGGTAGAAACTGCTGGAAATCGGCATGGGAAGACCAAACGCGCAGTCTTGCTCCTTGAGAGATCATTGATACTTCTCTATACACCATGTACGCCACCAATCTAGCGCCAGCTCGTCCCCGTCCTTTTTTTAATCAACCCGTTCTCTGGTTCAAATGTGTATTCCTCGACACACTTCCCCTCGAGACCCTCGACTCGAACACTGGCACGAACAATACCTGCTTCACGGATCGTATATAGGATGCTTGCATACTCGCTCAGCTTCTCGATCTCCGTATCTACCAAGCCTCCAACCTCTTTCAGAATAGTCAAAGTCCACGTGGCCCATGTCCAACGACTCGGATTGTACGTCAGGGAGGAGATATAGCCACGCTCCAAGTCTCGATGGAACTTCTGGTGGAGTTTTCGTGCGTCATTGAAGACGTCAGCGAGAAACTTACTGTCCCAGTCGTCAAGCTCATAGTAACCGCCGCTCTCAACTGCAATATAATGGTATGAGGGTTCGAATCTTAACTCCAGATCTCGAGTCTGCGCTTGGGCAAGGAGCATAAAGCGCGCCTCGATCGCGAAGTATGTCGAGACATCTGCGCCAATAACCATCACTGTGACATTCGTTGGTTTGGGATTTCGCTCGTCCGTGTCCGGGAAGAAGAACTGGAAAAACCGGGGCATGTCCAGCAGAGAGATCTCGATTTTGACACTCCTCATATACAATGGCAGAAACTCGGCGCGGACCTGCCTACATACTGTCGTGAGGGCACGATAGCCTCGAGGAGCTTGAGTTGTGAGTGGCGTATACCTCAATTTTGTGGGTGTCGGGAGGTCGGCGATGGCGAACTGGTATACTCGATTGCGGAGCTCGGCGGGGAGATGGATGAAGGAGATTTGCGAAGCATCGGTTGTGCTCAATGCAGGCACAGTGACTGCGTCGGAGACCGTTGGGGTTTGTGCGAGGCATGTTTGTGGTTGAAGTCGGCGAATTGAGTTGCGGCGGCGCTGCAGGGAAAGAAGGAACGTACGTTGGGCGGCCTGTTCTATATACGCGCAGGCTATCGTTAAAACGCATTTGGTAAGACTGGTTTTATTCAATTCACTCAGAATTGCCAAGGATTCGGCACAGGGCAGTTGCACCGACGCCATTACCGCTTAAATCTATATAATCTTAAAGTAGTTGCATGGCCATCGGCCGTGTGCTGAACTGGGCTCATAACTTTTTATATCAAGTAAGAAGTAGTTCAATTGAGATGACCCTACCACGATGTACGTAGCTATCTAATATAGAGAGTCACAAACGGGTGCTGCCTGTTGACTGAAACAGCAAGCAGAGACAATCTAGTCGTGCTTTCCCTATGGAGAAAAGGGCTGCTAGAACAAAGATAAACAGATGCCCCGTGCTCAATACCTGCTATGCCCACTTGATTCACTCGACCCACTTGCTGTAACCATTTGACTCACCTGCTCTCAAAGATTCATAGCGCAATGCTGCACACGCCCCCGTTGCAATCTAGGGAGGCCTATAAAGTCAGAACCCCAGAGCACAACTTCACCTCCTGTCTTTCTCCTTATCATTTCCTCTCTTTCTATAAGAATACACTGTGAACACCCACTCAGAAGCAACACAATTCCATCAACGAAACCTCAAGATGAAATTACTCACAATCCTCCTCTTCGTCGCCATTATCGGCCTTGCTGTCGCTAAGCATCCGAAAAAGCCGAAACCTCGCAAGCCTCCGACCGTCTGCGACAGCGAAAACTGCAAGTGGTGCTGCGACGAAATTAGTAAATGCGACTCTGTAAGTCTCTTTCCAATGCCACTCACTACTTCACTCATTAACAACACTATAGCAATGCGCTTTCTGGCATTCCCACGAATACTGCCGACCCATCTGTCAGAGGGAATGGTGCGAGGGCGAGAGAGGAAAAACAGTAAGCATATAAGCATCAGAGCTGTGTTATAGAAGCCCATTTGACATGATGTTAACAAAATGGTAGTGCAAGGACGAGTGTAAGCTCAACTACTGCAAAAACGACTCGGCCTCTGCGGGCACAGATCTCGAGGGCGACACAGCAGATGGGCTCAATGCTACCGTGGTTGTCAACACGACCGAAGTCAATGCGAAGGAGTAAGGAGTTCTCAATGACGTTATTGTCAGGCGTCCCTAGTCATACTTCCTGGCGAGGTTGACATGGACCAATGGACGCTGGACGCTGGGCATACGGGTGCTTGAATGTAAGGTTGATTTCAATACCTTGCATTTGAAGCCCTGTACTTGAGAGCCTCTCCTCGAGGCATACTGGTGTATAGAGGCTGGAAAGGGGCAGGTCCTCAGATAATACTTATATAGCTTACTGGAAGATTTCATCATAATGATACTTTTCCATCCCAAATGAGCTCAATCTTTTCCCCTTTGACCTTCGAATTGAACCACTCGAAGATTTCCACCTCCCCCTGCACCGGCCTCGCACCGTCTAGAACATTACTCCTCGCCAGTCTCTCTGTCGCAAACTGCAGCTCCATAGTCGCCAAGTTCCTCGCGATACACGCTCTACTGCCAGCGCCGAACGCGAACCAATACTTTGACATCTCATCTGTAGTTTTGAGCCATCGCTCAGGTCTGAAGGATTGAGGCTCAGGAAATACGGCGGGGTTGAGGTGCAGCTCATAGCCTGAGCAGCCAACGATGGAGCCAGCGGGGAAGTAGGTGTCCTTGAAAGTCCAGCCGCTCAATGGCACGACGTGGGGAAGGCGGGTGGGGTTTGCCATACTGATTCGTAAACCCTCTTTGACGACAGCATTGAGGTAGGGTAGTGCTTGGACATCCAGCGCATTGCCTCCGAGTGCAGCATTGGCATTAACCTGCTTCTTCAGCCTCTCGTATTTCCCCGGATACAGTGCCAGATTACGGATGATAGTTGCCAGGTTCATTCCAGTCGAGTCTGTTCCCGCAAAGACCAAATCTTTACACTGAGCTTTTGTTTCTGAATCGCTAAGACCCGCAGCCAACAAACGCCCTGGAAAGGTCGTTGACTTGGCCGCCGTGTTCGCCACAAGGGTACCCACAAACCTATCGACAAGTGTCATACTGTCATCCGTCTCCCTGTCAGCCTGCCACTTCGCGACAGCCCAATCTACCCAAACGAACACAGTGTTGGGTAGGTAAAAGAATCGCCCCACAGCCACGAAAGCATCGACAAACGCACTCACACTCAACACAGGGCCTCTTTCGCTAACACCGTCGTAATTCTCCCGAAACAGGTGGGTAGATACCGCATCTATAGCCAAGCTTCTTGTCAAATTCAGCACATTCACCACCCTCTTACTCTGACTCTCCTCTATCAATCTTTCCACCATGCGATCCACACAGCCCCAAATAGCCAACTCATTTTCCCTCAAGCTCTTCGTTGAAAACATCGGGACAACCGCCTTGGCTCTCGAATTTCTGTACTCCGCATTGGTACTCGAGAAGATCGTGCTGTGTCCATCGATATCAAAATTTGCATAACACGGAGCTTTGGGAAACCCTCCCTTTGATACGTAGATTGGTGGGATGACGTCGGCGTCATTAATGTCAACCTCGTCGGGGGAAACGCGGACGTATGGGCCGTATTGCTGGTGGAGAAGATGTATTACACTAGCTTCGTCGCCGACATAGGCGTGGTAGTGGAGCCAAAGGGACGTAATCTTGGGCAGGAGGGGGCCGGCGATGTGGGAGAGAGGGTGAAAATAGACTCTGTATAGAGAGCGGATCAGGAGGAGGGTCAATGGTGTGAGAAACAAGGAGACGAGTGGGTGAGCTCTTATCTCGTCGAGGATGACGCCGTGAATTGCCATTCTGGACAACATGGAACTTGTGTCGAGGCCTACATTGAAGCTCCTGCGGGTGTCATGGTTTTATAGAAGTTCTGTGGTTGGTTGAGTCACGGTCAGCCGTTAGTGGGGTAGTGCTAATGATAACGACTATGATAAGCTTCGTCATACATAAGCGGGACCTCTGGGAAGCAACCGTCTTCAGTTTTGCCTCGGACCACAAAGACCATTCTATTAGACGTTAATCGATATACTCCTGGGGCGTCGGAAACATTTTGGCTGCGTGACCCCACCAGTCAGTGTCTTACTTAGGACCTTCTACGACCTAATTCAATAGTCATCAGCAGTAGACTTTAAATGTCCAAGAGCCGTAGTCAAAATGATTAAACATGAGCCTGAATACAGTAGTCATTGACTAAAGGCGAAAGGTTATGTCAAGGTATATCACGTGGCAGCTTCTCTCTTCACAGTTACACGGGACGCACCGGTTAGTCAAAACTCCATGGCTTCTGCCGTAATGCACTGAAGACTATTCCAGCCTATCTCTCCAGTCTCCGCAAAAGCTATCTGTTCACTGCCTTCAAGGTCTCGTCAACCATCCCCTTCAGCGCAGCAATCGCATCCTTATTCCTCCAGTCGCTCCACTGATGGTTCAGTAGTCCCCAATTCTCCTCAAAATCCTGCGTTCCACTCCTTATATAGTAGCTCCCACTAATGACCCACACCGTCCAGCCCGACTTCCACTGTGGCATGAGCTTGCGCAGACATGTTGCATATACCCCATTGTACGACTTATCCGCTTGTGTAAACCCGAACTCTGTCAGCACCACGGGCATTCTGTTGACAGCTTTGTCACCAGTGGCACGGAAACCATTATTCCATAGTCCGCCTTCGATATCACCACAAGCCTTTGCCGAGTTCTGGTAGTTGTGTAGCTCCAACACTAGTTTGTCTTTGTACGAGAAATCTGATAGCCGGAACTTCTTGCCGCCACCCAAATCATCAGCATTAGGTATGGGTGTAAGTTTCGTGTCGTAGTCTAGCCCAGAGAGAAAAACTAGGATATTCGGATTCGCTGCGTTGACGATATCGGCTGCAGCTTTGTTTTGCTCATACCAGACTTGCCAGTTGTATGCTAGTGAGCTGCCGGCTTTATCGGGCTTACGGTACTCGTTGCGGAGGCCGATGGAAATCATGTTGGGCCATTTCTTGCTCTATACAACATCGTTAGTATGGCGAGAAATGTAGAGGGGAAAGCGAAGATAGCCAGTGGGGAAGGAATTGAATGGAGGGGAACGAACATGGTCGGCCATGTACTGTAGCCCGCGCTTCCAGTTGTTCACGTTGAAGTCGGTATCTCCAAACCAAGTATTCCCATCGTTCCCGCCGCAGCACCATTTTCCTTTGGACATGTGGTTGTCGAGATGAACGTATATCTGCTGTTTCGCAAGCTCGGCCGCAATGGCGTCGTATACCTTCACTACTGTTAACATAATCAATGTCAAAAAGCTCTACGATGGATAGTTACCTGCAGCCTCGTAGTCGATGCAGTGAACTGCGGATTGTTCTTGATCACACTCTGGAACACCTTATCTCCATTACTTCCTAGTCCTTTCTGAAATGCTTTCTGCAATGTCACGTCTCCACCCCTATCCTTGATGTCGTCAATCATCTCGATAGCGAATGTCAAGCGCACGACGTTCATGTTCAGGCTTTTGATCTTCGAAACGATGGACTGGATGGATTGGTACTGCAGGCCTTCGGGGATCATGACTTCACCTGCGCCGGGCCAATTGACGCCGACATAGGTAAAGTTCTCGCCAGTGGAGTCGTGGACCCATTGTGAGGAGGTTTTGAAAGGCGTATTGGGGAAGGATGAGACGATGGAGGGAAGTAGAGCTGCTGACAGGGCGAGAAGTAGGCGCATCGTGTACGTATGAGGAGTGGTAAACTCCGTATTTTGATCTGATCAGAAGAAGTACTGGCCACAATACAATCTGAACATGTTATTGACTTATAGATTGCTATTGGGCTTGCATTTGCGCGGCTACCTTCCCCTATGTAGTATACCACCCCAGCCTTGGCCTTACACCACCATTGATCGATGCTAAGACGGACTATATATGACAAAGTACCTTGCGAGACCGAGGTATCGTATAATGCTCCATCGCTTTCACCACCAATAGTAATGTTGGTTTACTGGAGACCAGGTGCCGATTGGTGCATGCGCTCGGATGATTTACGTCTAACTTACGCGGCTGATCACCGGACCCTGTGGAGAACCCTGTCTCGTCGTATAGTTGTCTATTGTTGTAACAAGCCCATATGAGCGTTGTGTATCGCTCCTCGTATAGCTGTACTCGTGACGACCACAGTGGGCGACGGGCTATCACTTTTCCGTTTCATGTTCCCAATGGGTGATTGATTGACCGACCGACTTTTCCAAATGCGGTCCTCATCAAGTTGATCCCTATACTCGGCCTCGTGTCGGACTTCCCCTTCCGCACTCTTCCGTTTGGCCTGCTGAATAACTACTCTTCCCTGGTTTACGCACTATAGTGATTTTTATTTTCACAAAGTCCTACGTTTAGGATAGGGCTCGTTAAACGAAAAGAAACGGAAAACTTGGAATACTGCTAAGCTTACTCATGTCACTATAATTTCTCGCTCTCATTGCTTATTTGTTAAATATTTACCTAGAAATAGAGAATAAGAGTATGCACAAGTAACCTGACCACCCTTTCCCTACGGGCCTTTTAATAGCTCGACGGCACAAGCGAGTTTGCCCAGTCCTCAACCGTCTTGAACTGACTCTCTACATTGTCTGGTATGCCATTATTATTCGCGTCTACCCATTTTGTGCCTTCAGCTATAGGTCCTGGTCCGTTCATTGGGGCCGCATTCTCATCGGCAATAAGCTGGCCAGTCTTGCCATAGCTCTGCAGTTCAGCAATGAGGCGCTTATCTACCGAATCGCGAACTTTGCTCGCTCCAACAGATGCTTCGGCGAGCTTCAGAGCGTCTGCTGCGGATAAGATCTTTGCAGGGGCGGGAAACGGGAACTTGGTGGTTTGAATGGCGATGCCGCCGTAGCTGGATGAAGTAGCGCCGAGTTGCGCTCCATTGAGTGCACCGTTTTTATCCGAATCGTAAAAGTTTGCCTCGACGTAACCCTTGAAGTTCGCATTGCCGCGAGTGAACGCCGTCGCGCTTGTACTCGGACCACTGATGAAGTAGTTTCCAACGATGTTTGCTTCCGATGCAGCGCTCGAGTCACCGGCGATATATCCACCGCCGCCGCCCCAGTTGTATACCACATTGTTGGTGAAGTCGTTCGTGCCCTTGACTTTGGGGTTGCGCGTCTTGTTATCAATGTACAAGTTTCGGAACAAAGATATGCCATTGCCGACATTGGTCTGCATCAAGCCACCGCAAGAATGCGGTTCGAGTCCTTGCCCGATGATGCTGTTCTGGATGGTGATGTTTGACGCATCGTTACCGTTGATACTGAAGGTCTCGTCGCGGCCCCAGGATACGCTGATGTGGTCGAAAATCATGTTCGAGCCTTCAGCGATGCCCATCCCGTCCTTTCCGCTCGTCCCAATCTTGCCCATACGGATACGGATGTATCGCACGATGGCGTCGTCGGCATTTGAAAAACTCCATCCATTGCCGTAGACGGTTATACCATCGCCGGGTGCGGTTTGGCCGAGGACTAAATGTAGAAGACGAAGTCAGTAAACGTCTCAGGTGCAATTCGTGCAACAACGTTACTTACTGCTGATTCGCTTTGAGACAACGATGCGTTCTTTGATCTTGATTAGGCCACCGACGGAGAATACGACGGTGCGGTCAGGTTGCGATACAGCATCGCGAAGGGAGCCGGCGCCAGAGTCGTTTAGGTTCGAGACAACGTAGACCTTGCCGTTGCGACCGCCAATTGCGTTGCGACCGAAGCCTTCGGCCCCGGGGAAGGCCACGGCGGAGACCGTACTGGCCAGCAGCGGAAGGATATGCATTGCCAAGGCCAGTAAAGAATAGAGAATGTAAAGTGAGTAGTACAGAGACGGTAGGGAACTGGGCGGTTAAGGTAGGCTTATGTGCGAGATTGAGGGTCGACGCTCGGAATTGACGTGTTTCATTTCTTTGGCTATACTGTAAACAGCATCATTGATGCTTTTACCTTGGTGGAGGAGTTTGTTCCCTTAATTTACTTCGGATGTTTGATCGCCTGCCGTGCAAGCGAGGGTATATTCCTCCAATCGCGCACGGTGAACGTGACTAGGGTAGTACTACCACTGTAATTTAACCCTAACGTAACGCCTAAATGCTCTCTATAGTAAGGAGTATTCCGATTTTGTATTCGGTATTTTGTCATCAGATTTACTCTCGTAATATTTCATAGATCTGGAGGCATCTGAGTGAGGTGAGATGCCTTTCAGTAGCAGCAGAGAGGATGCTAGAGCCGCCTAGGACCATGGCATTCAGTAGCGATTATGAGTAAACGTTGTCATCAAACAATTTTTCGGTATTGTTGACGTCGTGATGTTAGTTTCTGGTAGAGATAAGTGCTAACCGGTGTCGACTCCGCTATGGTCATGACTCGTTGTCGAAAATCGAGGGTAGCTTCAACCGGATCTGGAACAGGATGTCACGTCGAGTTGGAAGACGCTGGTGCTATTCGCAACGGCCACCAGGTAGAATGGCGAAGTGGACTTGTGTCGAGAGATATTTGAGATGGCAGAAGAGGGATCGCTGGCCCGTCATTGTCAGGTTACCGGTGCCGGTTTTCGTGTATATCGCATTCCAAGCTCTTCGGGTCCGTTGAATGCTCAGCAGGACACGAATACCATCTCTCTCTTCCGCATCTTCCTTGTGAAAAGTTAGAGAACGGAAGGTAGTAGGTGGGGTCTTAGGGGTCAGGAACTCGGCATGACATCATCGCATCATGAACGGCCCGAGCTCCTGGTCATGTAGACCAAACAATCAATGCTTGAAGTATTGTAAATGATAAAATCAATCACTGCGGGGACTATAGTAGGCGATATGTAGATCTTGGATTGACTGCATGGAAGGTGGAAGCTATCGATAGCGGAGCTTGGCAGGGTATGTATCGTATCGGAAACTGCTCCGACATCCGAGTTGCAAACCCGTAGCAAAGATGTCGTACGTCCTCTCAAAGTTACAAGAAGCTTAATATGTAACCAGATCGTACATTAAACCCTTACACATGAATTCATAAGCACTATGATTAGCTAACCCTATAATCTCAATCTTCACAATCCGTCTCATCTTCCACCTCCTCTCTTCTAGCAAAAGGAACCAAATCAAACCGAACAGGGTGATACAACCCAGCATTCCCCTTCCAATAAACACTCCACCCTTCTGGTGCCGCATCGTTAAATGGCTGCCACTTCCCCTTGAAGCCGGCAAACCTAATGTTCGAATACACGCCATCTTTACCAGCTTTGTCCATCACCCACTGATCAGCCGTGCACTCGAACCCCTCAGGACACGCATCTGGGTTGGTCTTGAACGAGCTACGCTTCGGGCTAGGGAGGTGGACAATCGCCATGCTTACGGTGCGTGTTCCAGCCTTAGAGTTCAGCGCAGCTAGGTAGGGGATCCTGGACAGATCATTGCCAATAGGTCCACTGCGAAGGGCATAGGTGTGGTTGGTCATGCGGATAGGGCGCAGCCTGAGAGGTGGGGTTGAAGGGTGAATGGTAAAGTTCTCGATCCCCAGCTGTTGGGATGTAGGCAGTGTGGTGAGCCAGTGGCCATGCCAGGGTGTCTTGCGTCTATCGTTTGATCAGCCTTCAGGAAGAAAAAGCAAGGTGCAAATCACTCACGCGTTTACACGGATGTAGTAGAGCTGTTCAGCTTGCGGACTCAAAGTGCTGTCTTCGAGAATTGGAGCTGCGAAGACCGCAGTGGTAGCTACGAGGATGAGACCGAGAAGGGTAAGGAAGCGCGCCATTTTGATTCCTTATAGATGACCGGGTTGAACGACGTTGGAGAAAGTGGAGTTGATATCTTCTCGGGCGCTGAATCGCAATGATACATATAACTGAGAATGTTCGTCGCCAGCAAGCGCAGTAATAGAGACAGGACTAATTGAAACTCTTAACGAAGGAAAGACGGATCATGTTAGGATATGTTCGCCCTTGCTACATTGTTGTTGGGCCGCTCATTCAACGCTTGTTACTAACATTAAGCGTCATATTCCTAACAAAAAGGGTGATCAAAATGTTGCAGAAACACCTTGGAGGTGTTGGAGTGCTATGCAAGGTGGAGCACGATGCTGAAATCGCATCCCTAGCTTTACAAGTTTCACATTGCTAAGTCGCACGATAAACTCTGAGCTGTTTTTTGAACACCTTAACACAAAATAGTGTATGCATAGTCCTAAAGCTGCAAACATGATTCAAGATCAGAGGAAGCCCGATAATAGAGGCCTCTGTATCCCAACCCAGTGCAGAGTCCAGATTATGAAGAATGCGTCAAATCTCAAAGGGCTTGGTTTTGCAGTTCGCCCTTGCATATAATCCTGTACGAATGGTGCCAAGGGATGAGCCTAGAACCAAGTGGCTGCTGTCTCTGACAGGCATAGCGTCACACTGAATCCAGATCAGAGAAATCTCGGCTTCTTCCTTTGTGCTGGGAAAGGAGACTCTGATGCGCTGGGCTGATTGTGGCTCAGAGGGTCATTCCTTTTCTCAGGGTCGACGTGTGATCCATACTCGCAGCCAACAGCGTCGATAGCTTTATTGCAGCAGCTGTACACGGCCATGCCACCATCCCGCTTGACTTTACGACCTGAATGATAACGACAACCCAAAGACTCTGCCACCCACGGTTGGTGGCATTGGGCACACAATTTGTGCTGGGACTGTGGTCTATTATCTTGTGGAATGGTCCTGCTTAAGTCAGAGTGGACATGCGACCCGAATTGGCAGCCAATTTCGCTGAATGGTGCATTACAGCAGCTCCAGGTGGGCATGCTGCCTTCTTGCTCCATGGTTCGTCCCGGATGATAGATGCAAACGTCCTCGTCGTCTGTGAACTGTTCATCGCATTGGCTGCAAATCATAGGCTTCTGAATATTCTCTCGTTGGACATTGGTGAGTCGCCCAGATACAGAGAGAGGCATGGGGGAGTGATTAACTGTAGTTGAGCTCCGAGGTATGTCTCGTTGAGGAGTGTGAGGTTTGCTCGCCTGCTTAACACTGTGTGGGAAAGCTCCTGGGACATGCGCATCCTCAATGTCAGACCCAGAGCCTAACAGAACTGGTTGAGAAGCATGGAGGTTGCGATCAGCATCTCGCCGAGCAACGCGGTCCGTTTCTATGGCCTGGAACGTAATCTTTAGCGGATGTACGCGGAAAACCCAGGATCGAACCAATTTACCTTGTTCCTAACGGCAATCCGCTTCTTCGTTCGTTCGTAGGCATTGTAGGCGTCATCCTCAGACGGCCGGGCCGATGGATTGCCCGGAGTCACTCCATGCGTACCAACCACCCCCCGTGCGTAGGTCGAGTGAAGCGCTAGGCCACGAGCGACTGCGCTAGACAATGCGGGTGATAGCTGGCAAAGATTGAGTAGTACCTTTCTCAAAGCCGAAGAGTTGCTGGTATTGATGATTTGCGCAAGGTGGTGGGGATTGATGGGACGCGCGTGCCGGTGAGGCGCATTGCGGGTGGAACCTGCGCTTTGACCCTGTTCATTTTTAATATGTTCCATACTAGATTGCCGTGGCTCTCGTTTGAGGTAGCTTGGAAGTTGCGATTGTCGCAGTGGCATCCGGGGTCTCCGTTCTGGTTCTGGTGATGACTCTAGAGTTAAGTCGATCCTAGCGACATTGTCCTCCCAAGAATCCCCGCCTCGGTCTCTTTGTGTAGATGCCATTGTGGATAAAGAACAAGATAGAGCCAAGAAGAGGTTAGATGTGGTAATGGTCGAAGACAATTAATCAAGGGGTGCCTGGAAGTAGCCGTGATGTTGAGACATGATGGCCAGAGCGAAAGCGGAGTGGAGTAACGAGCGTCCTTAGCGCGACGCGAGAAAAGCTCCGGGGCACGTGGTAGCCGTGCACGGACGCTCTCTCACCTCATGTTTGTTTGCATCACGTTTCCCTCAGCTCTGCATTGATGAGATGCATCATCCGATCTCAAAAGTTCCGCGTCATGAGATGTGTGCGGGACGCGCCCGGGCAGTGGTTGTTAATTGTCCACCCTTCATCTCGTTGTCCACCATACTGAAACGACGCTCCCCGCACAGGCCGAGGCGCGATTCCACCAACCAGGCCTCGACTGCAGCTCCACCATGGTTTCGCAGCCTGGGGTGTAGGCATGCCACTCCTCGCTTGGCTTGTTTCGATAGCTTCCATGGCAGAACCTCGACGCGGCCCGAAACGAAACGTCCATCCGTCTTGACTGCATGGAAAGTACGTGCAGCAAGTGCCTTAATCTCGACGGACAATTGTCCTATTGCCGGCGCTATATGAAGCTTGGTATGGGGTAGGTACCTAGGTATATAGGTCTTGCCTGGCGTCTTCAATCTGTCTATACACTCGCTTCATCTACCACTCACTATCTTCATTTCTTCAAGATGCTTGCATCACTCGCTTTTGTTCTTTCGCTCGCTGCTGCGGCTGTGGCTGCGCCTGCTTCGCTCGTTCCCCGTGCTGGTCGCCCGACTGCTCCCGCTGGCTGTCTCGCCGTGGGTGGATCTGGGAAGTACAAGACTGTACAATCTGCTGTTGACGCCCTCAGCGCTTCCAGCACGGCAGCGCAATGCGTCTTCATTGCCAAAGGCACCTACAAGGAGCAAGTCTTCGTCAAGGCGCTCAAGTCTGCTCTTACCATTTATGGAGAGACAGCCGATACGAGCAGCTTCTCCGCAAACACTGTGACCATCACTCAGGGGAAGAGCCAGTCTGACTCCCCTAACAATGACGCGACTGCTACGCTACGCGCCTGGACCACAAATCTGAAGGTGTACAACATCAACCTTGTCAACACCCGTGGCCAGGGCTCGCAGGCGCTTGCTCTCAGCGCCAATGCTGGCAAGCAGGGCTACTACGGCTGCCAGTTCAAAGGCTACCAAGACACCATCCTCGCGCAAGACGGCGTACAAGTCTACGCCAAGTCTTACATTGAGGGCGCCACGGACTTCATCTTTGGCCAGAAGGCCAAGGCCTGGTTCGAAAACGTCAACATCGGCGTGCTGGCTGCTTCACAGGGATACATCACTGCCAGCGGTCGCGAATCGGCTTCCAACCCATCTTACTACGTCATCAACAACTCTCGGATTGCAGCAGCCAGCGGAAACAGCGTAAAGGCTGGTGTGTATTACCTCGGTCGCCCATGGCAGAAGTTCGCCCGTGTTGTATTCCAGAACACCAGCATGACCAATGTCATCAACGCTGCCGGATGGAGGATCTGGAACACCGGTGACGAGAGGACGAGCAACGTTGAGTTCGGCGAGTATGCCAACTCGGGTGATGGATCAAAGGGTACTAGGGCCAAGTTCGCAAAGAAGTTGTCGGCTGCTGTTAGCATTTCGACTGTTCTGGGCAGCGACTACAAGAGCTGGGTCGACACAAGCTATCTTTCTTAGGCCTTTCACCGGTCTGAAGATCATCGTATCTTCTTTTTTGTATATACTTGAACCGGAAATAAGACTGGGTCTCTGACAAATATCATATCTCTGTCGCTCCCATCTTCGTTGCTTCCTAATTACCCGATTCCTCGTCTGAAACATTAGTAATCTGTACAGTGCTAACTCTCCTTCACCTTCTATTATCAAGTAAAGAAACTTGGTTGTGTTTTAACATTGCCTTAATCGTATACGGTGTCTCGTAAACGAAATTAGCGATCGCAAGTGGTTGAGTATAGATTTGATTGACCGCGAACTCGGCAAAGAGACCACCAGAATACACCGACAATTTCAGTACTGCACGCAGAGGATCCAGTATGGGGGAAGCAAACCCTACCATGACTCCGAAGCCTTGTGCCACCAGTCTTCGATATTGACCTCTTAACTCGGACCGGATTTTGAACACCTCAGAGAAGGAATAGCACGGTATGGATAGCGGAGAGTTTTGATATGTTGGGGCAACCTGGATAAACTTTAACCCTTTGCTAGGGAATCTACTAAGCTCCGACGCCCTCCAGCTAGGCCATGGACTAGAAAGGGAGATCACCGTAATGAAAACAAGACTAAATAATTATCGTTTTCTACCGTTCTCCTTCTTCGTTGGTCCCCAACAAGCTACTTTCTTCATCCACAACGTCTGCCTTCTTTGGCGCAGCAGCCGCTGAATTCTTCTGCAAACTGACCCACACAGCCGCGCCGATAATCAGCAGAGCGCCGATGAGACTTTCCACAGGCGGCGTAGTCCCCCAGATCACGCGCTCAACAACCAACGCAAATACAAGCTGCACGTATGTCAAATTCGTCGCTCTGCCCCCCTTCTCTCTCTGAAGGCCCTCCGTGAGAAGGAACTGGAGCAAAAACCCCGCGACACCGATAATTGCAACAAGGCCCCATTGCCCTGCACTCTTGGGCATAACAAAGTGCAGGTCGGGATGGACGGTGATGATTATCGTTGAGCCGATGGTCGCAATGGCTGCGAAATAATTCACGCTAATGAGCGAATGCGTACGTTTGCCAATTATGCGGATAGTAGCGTATGCGGTGGAGGCACCAAAGGTACCCATGATAGCGATGAGAATGACGAGTGTCCTTTTGTGAGGAGACATAGGGAGCGTAGGGGCTTTACCACCTTGCATGGTTGAAGTTAGAAACGCCAACCCGTGCGGCTCAGGCTGGCCAGAAATGGGGTCTCGTGGCGGACCAGGGAAAAGCCAAGGCGGTCTTGCGACGAAGAGAACTCCAGTAAAAGCAATGAGTCCCGCCAATGCTTCGTTGATCGTAAACGGTTCTCTCAGCCAGACAAAGCATACAAATGCCGTCATAGTCGGTATGATGAACGTGATAACCGTAGCGTCAGCGAAATTGAGCCACGATAGCGAATCTAGATCCAATGGTCAGCATTCATCACAGCATGCAAAACGATTCTATTTGGGTGTGGTCACTTACAGTAAAGTCCAAAAATCCCCATAAACCCAGCAGCCCCTCTTAGCACCAAATACTTCCTAACCCCGCGCGGGCCTAACGGAAAGTCTGGGACTTTATGATACCACATATACGAGGACCCTAGGATTGTAGTGGATAACATGCGGATGAAGATAATCTGCAGAGCATGGAATTTGATGGTAGGATCATTAGCTAGTAATTTGGCCGCTGTGTTCATCTAAAGATATGATGTCAGCGACGTGAACAATTTTTTTCTTGGTGGTAGTAGGATACGAACAATAGAACCGCAAGTTTGAGCCAAGAACACCAGGAAGAGGCCGAAATTCCTGTCGTAGAAAGCCTTCAGGCTTTGTCGCGTGCTTCTATTTTCTCCATTTCGGCCCGTGCCGATCGCCGAAGGTAGAGAGGCGTTTTGAGATTGGCCCGCAGACGCTGTAGAGTCTGTAGCTCCGTATGACATGGTGTCTACAAATATGTATACGATTACCAACAAAGAAACTACATACAATTCGCGTGGAAGAAAAGAGAGAAGTAGGAAGCAAAGAAGCGCAAAATTGTCATGGGATCGAAAGACCCACAAGTCCGTCGCTGTGAGTGGCTGCAAGCCGCGCCTAGCCCGTCCTACATAAGCCAAACACATGACCACGCTCGAAGATCACATAGCTTTCTGCAATAATTTTTCCGGTCTTGAAAGAGTCTTAGGTTCCTTTAGGCTTTCTGTTTGCGAAACAGAAACGAGTTGTGAGAAACGGAGCGAGCTTATGTGGAGTTTGGCGTCTTCAAACATCAGGAACTCCAGAACCTCGGCTCCAGAAGCGAAGCAACCTTCATTCCATGAATTGTTCTCGCTGATTGACAAACGAGGGTCCTGCAGATCTGTGGTAATTGCATATTTACCAAGTACTGAAGTACATAAGAGCTAAGAAATTGAGTCCGGCTTGAGGACATGGTGGCAGAGCCCTGAGAGGGAAAGCAAGGGCATCGGTGGTTTTAGGAGGTTCTTCGTCCGTCCGAAAATCGCTTTCAGTCCGAATCTCGAGTAATGAGAAGCCAGTGGATGCGGCGGCTGTGCGGGAGAAAACCTCGGGCGCGGTGCAAGAGCATGTCTACTGGGGAAGTATGAGGCATCGACTCCCAGCAGCGCAGGACAGTAAGCAGAAGGGCGAGAACACTAGTTCGTGCACAGCATGTTCATCGCCTCAAGTTTTCGGTCTATCGTTATAGTCTCGTCGTCCTCTAGGGAAATTCCAGTAATGTTTCAGTAAGGTCCATTGGATCAAGGCGATTGTAGTAGTTTGGCGGAAGTACTAACCCTCTCATAACCGAGTGACGGACATAAGTGAAGGGTCCACATACCTCTAGTGGGGCTACTTAGCGTCGTTGCCTTATCGCCTTATCGCCACCGCGGGGAGCAGATGCGACGCGACTGCGCGTGAAAGTCAACTTGATATTCATAGGCATTTCAGCCAAAGTCAGAAAAATTTGCAATCTTGAAGATAATAGATGTGTATTTCTTGGTGTATAATAATCACAAAGGTGAGGCCGCTGACAGTGTACCCCGCGCGGCATGACAAAGCGGCGTGGAGCTCGCGCGGAGCTCCCGCGGGGATAGGGCAAGACCACTACCCTATGCTTGCCATTCAGCCTCACCTATCCTATCCATATTCCTCATCTTGTGTGTTTCGTGCTAAGTGTCCTGAAGGCCCCTAGTAGGCTTATGTGAGCTTCTCTAGCTTCTCTAAAGCTTTATACTCTGTGCCTTGCTCGCCACTATCTAAGCTCGACGACTGGCTGATGCCTAGCTGTTGACCGAGTGACGGTATTGTACAGTCCAATCTTGCTTCTCGTCGAATACTGACCATCAGTGTCCAGCCCAAGTTCTAATCACTGCCTTACGTTCCATTACACCCTGCATCCCCACGATGACCTGGTGGCGCCGTGACCCGACACTTTCTCCAGTGCATCGCTACGCGCAGCGCCTCCTCCGCTCCCACGCGCTCCGTACACGATGCTTCTCCCGTACCCCTCCCAGTTCCGCTAAGCATGAAGATGATGACGGTACCAAGCGCCCAGCAGGCATGTCGAGTCTCGAGTGGATGCAGCTGCAGCACTACAAACAATGGACAAAGAGGCTGAGGGATGACCCATATCATGCAATATTTGGGGCGAGCAACGACATGCTGAGTGGAAAGGGGCTGAAGGATTGGGAGTGGATTAGTAAGCGCTTTCCGAGGTGGATGGTGAGGGAGATGGGTTTTGGCGATGCACTTGACAAGGACAAAGACATGAGGCACGACAGATATAGTAGGTTTCGCGAAGTAGTTGATGTATTTAGGCTAATTATTAGTAGCGAGAGAATATAGGAAAAGATCAATTAGAGACGAGGGCTCACCAGCACCGTCAAAGAAAGCCCAGAGCGCTTCTGCCGACTCAAGCTATTCAAGACAAGAATATCATTTCCCAGAACCGTCATTCAGGGCCGCGCGACTAGAACGCGATGATTCAACTGGTATTATATCTCCATCTGATTCGAGGAGACCGCGAGAGCACTCCCATGTGAGGGCTGTTGGACACGCTCCAGAACTGGATGTCACACAGAAATCCAAAACAGATAACGCCAGCCCTCTCCCCACCCCGCCTCAGAGCAAATACACCAGCACTCAAATCCCCAAAGTACGATCTACAATACCGGCTAAAACCGAACCTCCGAGCAACGAAGCATCTGCTCGGGGGCCCTCTTCCATCGAGTTCATGACTAAAAAGGCACAGGACCAGGACCCGTATCTGGAAGATAGCTTGAACGAAAGTCGTATGTGGAGACAGACGGCCCTGCAAAGACGATCATCACGTGGACCTATGGTTAGTCCTAAGATAATGACCCCGCCAATTGCAAAAACAAGTGATGAGGTGACAAGCAAAGCCACATTACCTATCGCAGAAGATGTTGAAAGGCTTGCTACTCAGGGCACAGAAGAAACTTTAGAAGTCAGACCTGTCGAAACGACGAATAAAAACACAGACTGGGCCGTTCAGCAAGAACCGTCGACTAGAGTGGTCGAGGTGACGAAAGACAGCGCTGGTATTCCAAGATCCACATCAAAGATTCTCGACCAGCTACCAAAGGATGACATCGACCTCCTGACTGCAGCTGAAATTCGCTCATCTATGGGAGTCAAGAGGAGCAAAATTCCAAGCGACGAGGTGAGGTGGGCAGAGCGGCAGAAGTTGGAAGAAACATTCAAAGATACGCACAAGACAGACCAAGAGATTGACTCTATGCTCGAGTCAAAAGTCATCAACGATCAACTTGTACGCCGCCTAGAACGCCAAATGCAACAAGGGCAGAAATCTTCCGAGCCCATTCAAACACAAACAGAACAGGAACCTACCATCCACACTCTAACAGGAGATGTCCCCATTGAGTCTAGTATTGATCGCATGAAGAATTGGCTCGAAAAAGGTGGTGCTATCTTCTCTAATCACTTCTGGCAAGATCCTACAGAGGAGGCCGACGCTAAGAAGACAAAGTTATTCTTCGACAAAGTAGTAGCCCATATCCGCAAAGGTCGCGTCGCAATGAAACAAGTCGCAGAAGACCTCGAGAAAGATGTTCCAGCAACGAAGCCTCTGTTGAAGCGCCTAAAAGACGACGAAAACATGCTTGATATGGCCATCCATGCACTTCGACTACGTTCAGAGACTAGAAAACCGCAGGCCCTAACGCCAAAGAAGCTCAAAGCTATTCAAGCATTACGCTTGAAGTTCCAGGACACGGACCGTGAGCTCGATGCGGCATACATGACTCTTCGCGACCTCGAGAAGAAGGACGCGGCTAAAGGCGCTTCGGTAGTATTGAAGAGGCGACTCAACATCGCATCGAAGACGTGCCATAAGAGTGCACAGCTGACGCGCTATCTTATCTGGAGCATCCAGGCTCGTCTGGAAGATCCAGAGGTAGATCAAAGTAGACTGGTGCACTATAAGGCCGTTGCAAACAGCCTTTTGACCCTAAGAGACACTCAAATGGCTCTTGCACGACTAGTAGATCGCGCTATACTGATATATGGTCCAGTTCCGGAGGCACAGGGTATGGGTCAGAAGTATGGCGTGGAGGCCTCACCAGAGGTTACAAAAGACAGAGAGCAGAAGGAGAGTTCCATCATAAGCCAACCCGACAAAGCCACGATTCGTGCTAATGTCGCTGCCGACGAGCGTCTTGCGAACGAAGTCGAAGCACAAAAGTTGGCAATGCGAGGACTTTCAGATGATGGTTATGCCCGAACGCCGAAGCTCGCCCCTAAGAAAGTATTCGATGAGCAAAGCCCCCTAGCTCACAGTCTGTTTAGACCTTTCGGACCTGTCTTGGAGAGTCTAGGCAAGGAAACCCCCGAGAGTGTCGAGGCGGCGAAAGGAAACAAAGACGCAAAGAAGGAACTCAACGATGCAAAACTTGTCGCGGAGATCAGGCAAGTGTATGAAGATACTTACGGCCCGATCACAGTAGAGCACATTCAACTCAGCGACGGGGCTGAAGAGGTGAAGAAAGGACAAGAGAAGAACATGAAGACTTTTGAGATGTTAAAGGAAGATCCTGCCTCAATTCATCATCCCAATGCCATCAACAGTCTAGAGACACGAGAGAAATCCACGGAGATCCCGGAATCGGCCGCTATCGCGCCTAAAGGCTCATTAGAGCACCCCGCTTCAGTCACGCCAGAGATTCCAGCGGTTGAATTCGAAACACTTCAAACCAGTGCGACGGACAGTACATCGCCCCCAACCACAGGCGCTACCACTGCTGAAATCAACCCCTCATTTTCTCAGCCAGCCGGTGATGCACCAGCTGACACCACCTCTTCCTCTCTTTCATCATTTCCGTCAACGGAAGACCTCCCAACACACTATACTATTCTCATCCACGACCCACTGTCAGACAATCTATCTATAACAACATCAACTACTAGCCCACCGCGCGATACATCTCGCGCTGTGCCGCTTCACCAAGCATTCGCCACTTTAGATGCTCCAACAAAGTTTGTCCCTTTCATAACAGACGGCCTAGAGGTCGTAAGTGCAAATAAACACATGCTAGTCCTCCGAGACGCACTAGATGACTCTTCATCAACACGTGCATTCGAGACGGTCGGAAGTCCATCCTCATCTCCCACCGTCTCCGACAGCCTGGAGTTCGGGAAAACACAAGTCAATCCGATAGACGGCACCGCTCGTCTTTCGCCGACAGGCTACGTAGGCCCTGAAGAAAGCCAAGAACAACTGGAAAAAGAGTTTGAGGATAGAAGGGAGGCGGCCAGCAAACTCCGCAGTAGTAAAGAAAACTCGCACCACGGATTTTCGCAAGATAACAAGGAGACGAAAGGCAGAAAGAGGGGTGGCGCTGGTGGTGTGGCCAAGACAGCGATTTGGGCTGCGGCAGTGTGTTATGTCGTTGGTGTTTTTGGCGAAATTGCCACGAGTCCTTTCAAGACTTGAGGGCGATTACTTGTGTCTGTGCAAAGGTACTGTTAAAGACTGAAACAACGGTATTGTGTTGGGTTTAGGTGTCTGGGACTAGGAGTTTGGAAACGCCACTCGATTGGATTTAGCATTTATATTATATGATATACCCGGCAATTTTATCTCTACTGAATTATTCTCATCACCCATCATAGTCGTCACGACGATAAACCGTTGGTATCGAAAGATCTTGGAGAATATCACCTCCAATTCGTACCTAGTAATGTAGATTCAGAACTAGATCTGCTGGTTTTATGTCTCCTCCAACTATTATGTACGTGATTCGTTCCACAGAGACATCTATAAACGTGTGTGTCTTTCTTATGGTGTGTACAACCACGGCTTCTCACCACCATCACGGCTCCATCTTCGCACGGCTTTTTTGTTATACAGAATATACACGCCCACTTGAATACCGGCAAACACCATACCCACAGCTACCATTATAGTTTGAGTCCTCAACCCTTTGCGGTAAAAAGGCAGGTCATCAGCTCTGTAGTACTGCGTGCCGGCCATCAACCCACTTATAGCACTCATGACCCACATGGCAATGCTGATGCTCCGCTCCCGGGGGTCTTTGCAATTGAGCTGAACCCAGGAGTTGTGGACGGGGTGGTAGCCAATTGCGAATGCGTTGACTGTGGTCCAAAGACCCCAGCGCGACCACTTGCCCACATGTGGGTGTACGGCGCGCGTGATAATGAGGATGATTAGGTATAGGGACTGGGCGATGATGACAGAGAGGCCTCGCTTGTTGGTCTTGTCCGATAGCCAGCCGAAGAAGAAAACTACGCCGAGGGCGAGAAAGCCACCTACGCAGGCTAGTGCGTTGGCTTCGATTCTCTTGAATCCAAGAGCCATGATTATGGACGGCGTGTAAGTCGTTAGGGACGACCATGTCGAGAATACAGCGAATGTGGAGATGAAGTGCGGCCAACGGCGGTAGTGCTTGACTGTTTTCCAGACGAGTGCGAGCGGGATATGCAAGCCTTGGGTTCCGGGTGTACGCGAGTCGTCATCTGCTTGGAGTCTCAACTGCAGTGCCTCGCGGTCTGGATCTTTGAAGCGGATCAGCCCAGGGGATAGCAGTGGGCGAGGGTGGTCGGGGGAGCCTGGTAGGAGGAACAACAGTGTAACTGAGACACATATGGTAAAGATGCCTTCCACTACGCCATGTTAGTTTGAGACTAAGTCTGGGTCTAGGGGACGACATACGGAGGAACAACCACTGCCACCCCTTCATCCCACCGTGGCCGCGGAGCTTCAAGATACCACTTGCAAGTAATGGACTTATCGCGTTTCCTCCGAACATGCCGAAAAAGAACACAGAAACGCGTTTCGCAAGCTCTCTTTTCGTGTACCAAGTTGAAAGCGTGTAGATGCCACCTGGAATGTATCCAGCTTCACACAGTCCCAAGAAAGTCCTCGAGACTAAGAAGCCGGTCTTGTTCTTGACAAAAACCTGCAAAGTTGCGACAAGTCCAAAGATGAAGACCTGAGCGGATATCCATTTCCGCGGTCCGATCTACCATCATTATTTAGTGTTTGGTCTTGGAGTAATGAACTGTAAATGGGCACGTACTCGCTGCAGGATGATGTTTGACGGGATCTCCAAAACCACAATACCGAGGAACATCAACTGATTGCCCAAATTTATGGTATTCTGATTTACGCCAATATCCTTCGCGAAGCCATCTGTCAGCGCACTGGCGAGGTTCATGCGATCCAGCTGGAAGACGAGAAGGCCTAGGAACAGAAGCGGAAGCACAGTAGTGTCGACCCTAGGTTGGTCAGTGGCTATATTCGGTTCTTTTTCAATTGACCTACTTTCTTCTTGCCCGCAGTGCTGAAGCGTCTTTTTCAAGATCAAATGCATCGCTGACATCGCTCTGCGTCCCAGGTTCAAGAACACCCTTCTCTTCGAAAGTAGCCATGATGTTGGATCTGAACCAAACCCTCGGAATCTAACACGAACTTGTGGGATTCCATGCAGATTATACGTACCCACATGCTTTCCAAGACTATTTCGTGATTTTAGGCACTGCTGGCGTAGCGGTTCGCCCAGGTCGGCATCCTCCACTTTGTCTTATCATGCCGACCGTTTATGCCGATGAGGAATTCAATTTCCCGATAGGTATGCCGTCTGCCAAACCAAGACCAACCAGACACTAAGCTGCCTCGATCAACTGGCAACTGTGGTGGTGGATGGTTAGTGAGTGGCGCCAAGGCTCGATGGACCGGCGTTAGTGCAATTGCGCCATTGTTCGACTTCATGTCGCAAGTCTCGCAAAGTCCAGAGAGGATTCAACTAGAACCCAAACCATGGGTAACTCACATGGCTACGACGCGATTCGGCGGAGGATTGTGGAAATGGAAAGTATACGCCAATGCCGATTTGCCGCAGTCTAAAGTCGCGTTACCTCGGGATTTGCGCGACGCGACTTTTTCTCTCGACCTCTCTTCCAATCTCCTAGTTCCGCAAGCTATAGAAACCAAAACGGAAAAAATAATAAAGGAAGATGTCAATCAAGCGGGTAGCAGTCATCGGGCTCGGTCCTGCTGGCGCTATCGCAATTGATGCCCTCGCTCAAGAAAAAACCTTCGACACAATCCGTGTCTTCGAGAGACGAGAAGCGCCAGGAGGCTGCTGGGTCAACGATGAAGCACCACCCCCGAACCTGGACCCTTCAAGCTTCGCTGCGCTGGCCTCGCGCAAGGGCGACCCAACTGTTCAAGCGCCAGCGAAGCTTCCGGGGCGAACTCCAAAGCTCAAACAGCCGCGATACACAGAATCGTCCATTTATCCTTATCTAGAAACCAACGTCGACAGCTTAGCAATGTCCTTTACCAAAGAATCCATCCCAGATCAGCGCAGCCCGCTTTCCATATCGAAGCATGGCGAGGACACTCCGTTCCGCCCCCACGCTGTCATTCAGAAACATATCGCCTCGCTTGTTAACCGGAATGGGTATGAAAAACTTGTGTCGTACAATACCACTGTTGAGCTAGCAGAGAAGATCGGCAACGAGTGGAGATTAGTATTGCGAAAAGATGGCGACGTAAGAGGGGAAGACGAGTGGTGGGAGGAGTGGTTCGATGCTGTAGTTGTGGCGAGCGGACATTATTTTGTACCATATATCCCCAAGATCGAAGGATTGGAGGACTTTGAACGAGCACGGCCAGGGAGCGTCAAGCATACCAAGATGTTCCGTGGACGTGATGCTTATCAAGGAAAGGTAGGATGTATCCTGATTTGGGGGTCATTGCCATACAGCTAACTCTTCATTAGAAAGTTGTAGTCGTAGGCGCATCCGTCTCGGCAGCTGATATCGCATACGATCTTGTCGGTGTTGCTCAAGGTCCGGTATACGCTGTCATTGTCGGCCATAAAGCGAACGGATACTTTGGAGACGTAGCGTTTCAGCACCCCGGTATCGCTCCGAAACCGTCCATCTCACATATTGCCGTTTCAAATAGCGATCGAACAGTACATTTCGTTGATGGGACCTCGGTTGCGAACGTTGACGAAATCATATTCGGAACCGGATACTCATGGACACTTCCCTTTCTACCGCATGTCGAAGTACGGAACAACCGTGTTCCTGGACTGTACCAGCATGTCGTATATCAGAAAGACCCTACACTGCTCTTTGTCGGTGCAGTAGCCGCAGGCCTAACGTTTAGAGTCTTCGAATGGCAGGCTGTACTCGCCGCACGCGTATTGGCTGGACGCGCGAACCTTCCTCCGCTCGAAGAGCAACAACGCTGGGAACTAGAGAGAATTAAGAAACGCGGCGATGGCGTTCCCTTCACTATGGTCTTCCCAGATTTCGAGGATTACTTCGAGACTGTGAGGAAACTCGCTGGTGAACCGCGGCAGGGTCAACCTGGAAGACGCTTACCGCCGTTTGATAAGAGCTGGTTGGAAGCATTCATGTCAGGTCATGAAAGAAGAAAGAAATGGTGGAGAGCCGAGAATGCAAAGGCGAGAGAATTGCTTGGAGACGCCCCTCGACCAAGATTATAATTGTAACTCCATCTGCATATCAAAGGCTAGTTGCTTAATATAACTTCTAGTAACTACATATACAGTTAAAGTTGCCCTACATCTTAGTCATTACTTTAGAGTGACTAGCTTGATGCGGGGCCGTGCGGGCACACTAAAGTTCAATCACATCGCCCACCAACCCATGAGCACGTCCTGGCTGCACCTGCGCTGATATTGTTTCAGTGTAAGCTGTTCTAGAACCATCGTAATCACTCTCAAGTGGCGCGGAGGCAGCTCTAGTGCATGGGGCCTATTGTAAGAACTAACGAAGCGGCCAATCGCGATGAAAAGCTACAACATGGAGGACGAAATTAGCTACGGAATAGCACAAGGTGAATGAGGAGTACCCCGCATCCTCTTACACAGCGTCGTGGGGCGTAGAAAACACCATACAAAAGGATTGAGAGAAAGCTCATAATATCGTTCTTCATTCCCTATAAACGAAACCATCCAAACTGAGTAGCCCTCATCTTATTGCGAAATGGACTCAGAGAGGCGCTTGCTTCAGCTCAGTAGTTTGATTCAGCAGAACACCGCCAAAGTCGATACCTACATCAAAAACAATGGTCTACCTGAGCCATCGTTCGAACCCTCATATCCACCGATCTTACATCTTTCGCCTGAAGCAGATGCAGCGCGGAACGCCGCTCTCGAAGCTCTTGACGAGCTTCGTGATCATCTCCTTGGGCCGGTAGGGATGATCCATGCGGCCGTCAGCGGTGTGAGTGCATTCTCTAAATTATTCGAACCGCGTCGACTAACAGAACACTCCAGTTCACAAACCTCGTGAGTTTGCAAGGGGTGGCGCAATTCAAACTAGCAGCAAACCTTCCAGCCGAATCTACCACTACCATTGCAGAACTTGCAAAGACATCCGGTATGCACCTGGATGATGCAGAGCTGATCGCTCGAAACGGAGTCACGCGACGTCTCCTTCTTCAACATGACGATGGAAAGATTGGACATTCGGCTGCTTCCAAAGCCATACTCGAATTCCCAAATCTCGCAAGTTTTGTTGAAGGGACGTTGGCCCATATGTGGGGCGCTGCGCCATTTGTTGTCAAAGCGATGGAGAAGTGGCCCGGGTCGCAGGAGCCAACGCAAACAGCTTACAATCTTGCTCACACGACCGATCTGTCATTTTTCGAGTACATGGCGCAGCATGAGACAGTAGCTCGCAAGTTCGCCGAGTCCATGACGTTGATGCAAAGCTCTCCAGCGCTGAGTGTCGACTTTGTGCTCGGCTATGACTGGAATCTACACGCGAGTGGGACCGTCGTCGATGTTGGAGGTAGTCAGGGCAGTGTTGCCTTTAAACTGGCTGAAGCTTTTCCTGGCATGGATATCATCGTTCAAGACCGCCCGGAGATCATCGCCCTTGCACCCAAGACAGCATACAAGAACGTTCAGTTTCAAGAGCACGATTTCTTCGCTCCACAGCCTGTCAAGGACGCTGATGTCTACTTCTTCCGCTTCATCCTCCACGACTGGCCGACCAAGTACTGCATCAAAATCTTACAGGCACTGATACCAGCGCTCAAACGAGGAGCCCGAGTCATATTGATGGATGCGATAGTCCCGGAGCCTGGGGTATTGAGTCCATTCCAGGAGCGTTCGATTCGAGACTACGATATGGTGATGAAGATGCTGTTTAATGCTAAAGAGCGGACGGAAATTGATTGGAGGAAGTTGATAGGTGATGCGGATGAGGGTGGAAGATTTGAAGTGATCCATGTGCTTAGGCCGGTGCGAAGTCAGCTGGGGTTCTTGGTGATTGAGTGGACGGGGTAGAAGGTTAGTTATCCTGTTAAATACCGAACTAGTTATGTGTTATATAACTCTATGCATACATCTACTTGCAACTATTTTCCTTTTACTAATGTAAATCATACCTTCGGTGAGGCGACTCCAGAGCCCAGAGGTCCTCCCGCACTCTTTCAATAAGCCATGGTTCAGAGTGTATAAAATGAAATAGTGCAATCACCCTTTTATAACGTATGTGTAAGTAGTAGGCTGACAAGCGCTATCGTGGTATAAGGCAGCCAATTATTGGTCGTAAGGAGTTTTGCAGAGAAAATTAAAAAAGCGACACCGATAAACCTCGCAATGCATGCCTCCAACCGGAAGCGGAAAGCGCTAAGTAGCGTCCGTACTCCAACCCAGCGCCAAAACAACTTTTGATATCCAGTCTGATTTCTGAGCATTACAGAAAGACTCAGTGCGTATCCTAGCGGCTGAGCTTAAGCATCTTGCTGCAGCGTAGCATTGGTTTTCTCATCACCCTCGCTCTGCCTCGGCGCGGCGAAGCTCTTCCTAACCACCATATCGGCCTTTGTCTTCGTGATCAACGCGTCGCGGATATCCTGCTTGCTCCTGGCAGCCCAGCTCTCGTAGTTCTTGTGGCTGAGCGGCCAAATTGGCATGTTGTCTGGTCTCCTCATGAACTCTCTAGCCGTGGGCGCCGGCTGGCTCGTAATAGTATCAATATCCATTTCGAGCTCCTCGCAGTATGCTTCCAGGTTGAGATCGTTGACGTCGTGGCCGAAGGGGTTCTCGATTTCGCGACCAATGGCAGCGAGGCCGATGATGATGTAGGCGGCGAAGATGCACCCGGGGATTGTGATCCAGCTGAGTTCTTTGCAGAGCTGGAAGGGCAGCATCATGACGTAGACCCAGGTGATTTGCGAGATGGCGATGGAGTAGGCGATTGGGAGGGGGGTTTGGAGGATGCGGTCCACGCCGGCGAGGGCTTCGTTGAGCTGGACAATACCGGTGACTAAATAAACGTAAGCTGGGGGGCTAATATGGGATCTTGGGTGGGATGGAGCGTACTGGCTTGATTCTGGTACAGACCGATCTTGAGCGTCTCATTGTCGATGATGCTGTGGACATAACAAGATATATGGTTCAAAATCTCCAGGGACAAGTTACCAAGCGGCTTCTTGGATCGCTTGATCCTCTTGCGGGGATTCGATTCGGCAAATGTCACTCCTAGGTATTCACCTACAGCCTTTGCCTTGTTCTTTGTCGGAGCTTCTGGAATATCGAGTTCAGCAGCTTTGGCGAAGGTATCGAGGAAGGTGACACGCTCGCGCAGATCGGGGTAGTCGATGCCGGGTTCGAAGCGGAGGCGGTGCTTGATAGAGCAAGCGTATGCATTAAGGAGATTCAGGGCAGACAGCTTGTTCAACAAATCCTCCTTGCCCAAGTCGCCTTCACGCTCACCAGCATGGAACCAGATTGTCCTCGCCAGATTCTGGCTCACGAAGATCAACTGACTCCAGTACTTCCTACCCTCGGTATATCGCTCGTATGCGGTACTTGTCCGGAAAGAAATTGCTAGACCGACCACAAAACCGAGGACCGTGAGCAGAAGAGTGCTGACTGCGAGCGAGTGTACGCGTTCGTGGACTATTGTAACGGCGGTGGACCAAAGAGTGACAACGGTGAGGGGGAGAATCATCTTGGGGAAGACGGAGCCGTGCATGCGCATGAAGAAAGGCCATTTCGAGTGCTTGGACATATCACGGGGACCAACCTGAGTCTGTTAGCAACCTGTACCTGGAATTGCGATTGGGCACGATGCGTACGAAGTAGTCCTCAGCATCAAGGCTGCCAGTGGTATGTCTTCGCGAAGGAGGCTGATATGTGACGGTACGGTGTCGCCATGAGCGTGGGGACATTGCTTCCAATTCATCTTGTCGAGCGGTGTTGATAGAAGGAACATCGATCGTATCTAATCTGAGGGTCTTGGTCGAGGTGGTAGATGCCGCCATCTTGAAGGTCTTTCGCGAGATTGAGAGACGAACTGCTCAGCAGTCGTATGTGAAGTTTAGGAGTCCACCGAGGACAAAATGTCGAAACGTTTGTAGAGACAGTTGAAAGAGTGAAGGGTGATGAAAAGAGAGATGGGTTAGTAGAGGAGCCTTGGAAAGGAACGGAAGTCTAGACAAGAGCCTAAGTTAGGAGGATCATCACCCCATCTTAAATAAATATAAAACGCGCGTGGTCCCGCTCTCGCTCCAAGAGATTCCTCCCAAGCCATCCCGCCCACGGGGAGTGGCTCCCGCTTGAAGCCCGTGTCAGACACGTACGGGACTAGGGCACAAAACCCATTGACGCAAAAAGTCTCATTCGGCCCCTGCATAACTAACCGTCCTTGCCCCTGAGAGAGGCGTTGAAGTCTGGCCAATTGCCTGTGGGGCATGTCAAGTAATGTACCGAATGACGAAGGGGGCGTGCCCTGAAGCAGCAAGGGCCTGACGCGAAGCACTGTTTCATGAAACGCATTTTGGCCACGCCAAGCCCGTCAAATGCACGCCAAGTAATGCGTTGTACGCCTATGGTCAGCATTGCCCTAGTTTTCCCAAGTATCCTCGGCACTCAAGGTACCCAATGCCTTCATCAGTCGCGGGGAAGGTCAGTGCTTGCGAGAGAAGGCTCTGCAGCAACGTAGGGCTGGCTGGCTGTGGGAAGAAGACTGCATAAGAAGCAAGGACTCTGACCCGCAGGTTTTGTCATGCTCGGATGTCAGGAATGTGCCGTTGAGTTTTTGATGAGCCATTTGGCAGGTCGAGACGGGTGGATTGACTTTGTTCAGGGCGTGCGGCGACTTGTGCGTGCCGAGCCGGGGCCGCGCTTTTACCCCTGACTAATATAGCGAGTTAGCGAATGGGACCCTTTCGTAGGACTAAGATCTTTTCCAGAAGATTCAACAATTCGATCCGAGTATAAAAAGCTTCAGCTAGGCAGGAAAGGCCTGGCGAGCTCACGTGCGTATCGTCAGCCCTGAGGCCAAAAATTCTCCTGTCACACACCTGGCAGATCGAGACACGGACGAACGCTAAGCCTTCCTCACGAGTGTGGTCGAGACAAGATCTCAGTACGATCTAGGGCTGAAAGCAATCCGAGGCTGTTAACATCCATTGGCAGCGCACGATTAATGTCGCAACTAAACGCGTGTTGTCGTCTAGATGACAATCAGGATTCTGATTCAGTATCAAATCCGACGCCTATGCCCTACGATCCGCAAGAAGTCATGTATACTTCTCTACATTCCCACCCCTAGCACTCAGCTCCCTAGGCACCTCCCTACTCTCCAACTCAGCAACCAAATGTTGTCGTTCACTCAGCTCAACCAGCCCATTCTCCACCAGCAACTCGCCCAATGGGACCTCACGCTCGTGCGTGTTTAACCCGTATTTCTGCTCATGGACTCCCATCGGCGCGTCGCTGGACATTATGTTTGTCTTGTCCATGCTGTTGTATTCCGCTTGCTTCTGCTTCTTTAACCGGATGAGCAGCACAGCCACGAGGATGCAAAGGATTACCACTGCGGCCGCGCCGACTCCGATGCCGGCTTTTGCGCCTGTGCTGAGACCCGTTGCGGCGGTTTCTTGGGCTGGGGACGAAGTTGCGGGCGGTGCGGTCGTGGTCGCTGAGGACGTGTGGCTAGAGAGTGAGGAAGAGGAGGAGGTTGTCGACGATCGTCCCGCGGTCGCTGCGAGCTGGAATATGCTCGATGGCTGGTCACAGCACTTTTTTTCTCCGCAGCACCAGTTGTTGTCACCGCAGTTCCTCACTGGTGCATTGTCCGCCGCATACTGGTCTTATGAGTCAGCTTTCCATCGCAAGCCACCCTTACTTTTTCCCTTTCACGCGCTTGAGCTTCAACTTGCTTGTTAAACACACCTTCGTCCCGTTGCACATGGCAAACATCGCGGAAAGCTGTTTACAGTAAGTGGGCATCACGTCCAGGTGATGCGATAACGACGTGAAGTATAGATGGTAGTTAGGCCCCCGATTGACATATATCTGACTCAAGTACGCTACTAGGCGCCCAAGTTTTAAGGTTTGAGATAATACGCCCCAGGGACAAAGCGCCAAACGTCCCAGTAGTACTTCTTGGGCTATTGCGAATATGTTAAGGTACCGTTCTATGACCATTGTCAAGGTTGTGCTTGAAGCGATCCCGCCAAATCCCTACCATGGTATCAGACTGGCGATAATATAAAATGAAGACCGCGATGTTCTACTTACCAGTACCAATTTACAATTTTTAGTTCCAGAAGAAAGCATGAAATTACGAATGGTATACCCTAGAAATAATCACTCCGCTCAAAACACCACCCAAAGACGCAAGAAAACCCCACGATCATTTAACAGCACATGAACAAAGCTCCCAATTTATCCCCCATCTCTACCTCATCCTCATCTCAATCCTCCTGCTCTCCGCCCGCCCCCTCTCCAACTCAACACCCAACTCCCTGACGCGAAACGTAACCCCATCAACACAAACCCTGACCCTCTGGATCTTGCCGAGCAAGCTACGATAATACCGCGCTTTGAACTCATCGCCAGACCAGAGTTTATTCCACACATCGACAAGTTCCTTCGCCACGGCCTCCGGGTGGTGGCTATTCTCCTTTTCCACTTCCACCACCGCGTTAGTGCTCGGCGAGACGAGGTAGTGCGTGGTAGTCTTGGGCGGTGGAGAAGAAGGGGACAAGGGAGGGACGACGTTGAGTACAACTTCATCGATTGTGACGTCTTTCTGGCAGTCTCGCGTGGGGATTATATCCGGGTCGTGCTCGAAGACGTGCTTGAGCGCTGCGCAGATGGCCCAGGATGTGAGGTCACGGGGGGTCTCGAGGCGCCGTTTGCCCGTCGCCGAGGTGTTGGGGAAGAACCGGATGTCGATGCAGAGCTGCTCAATGGTGGTGGATGAGCTGTGGTGGCATGTGTGATGTCTTCTAGTAGTGCCCAGTGCTCGGTGGGGTGCAGTGAGATATCTCACTGCCCAGGTAGGTACTACGCCGCTCTTCGGGTCGGCCTTGTGTGTACATTTCCCTGTCTTTACGAGGGGTATGCTCAGCCATGTGAAGTAGTGCATGTCATCTTGGGCGATGCAGTCCATCCTCGCAGCGAGCATTCCCTTCCTCCTGACTCTTTCAATGATCTGCATCATCTCCGTGTTGACCTGTTGGTTGCATGCGAGGAAATTTGCACAAGTGTTTGGTGCTCTCTTGGAAGAGAATGCACATCCATGATCCCCGAGACCGCTCTTAGGCTCCCAGGGACGATTCCACCTAGAAGCTGATTGGGTGTCTTCTAATGTCGGTGTTGCCCTTTGGCCTATGAGTACGTCCAAGTATATCATATCCCGCAATTCACGGGGAAGATCGAAGAATTCTGGCATCTTGAGTTGCTTGATCCTAAATCCGTCTTAATAGGGTATCGATCGCCGCAGCTTGCAATGAGCCGAGGAGTGTTCTCCAGCGAACAGGCGTTGACCTCCAAGAATCGTCCAGGTTCCTTGACGTAAGTCTAGGATATGCAGGCACACTACCTGTGTTTCCTTCGTTCTGTGATTTGCGATGTCGGGTTCCTGAGGCGTTCCAGTTTCAGCCGTGCAGCTATGTTCGAGATAAGTTTCGGGACCTCGGGTAAGGCTCAGGATCACTCTTGCATCAACTTTGTGAGGTTTTGGTGTCGGAAGAGGTAGAAAGAAGAGTCAAGTTCAGTTTTAGGATGTGATGGGAGTTTACGTATGGAGCTGCGAGATCGGACGGACTTTCATACACAGGTATACTCAGGTAAGCGTGCCAGAGAGTGCCGTAATCCTTGGCAATCCAGAACAGTCCGAGACTCGGATCCGATCTGAAGCTCAATTATCCGTCCTACATTCAGCTTTCGGGTCGGACGTAACTATTTTGGGTACTCCAAAGTATTAGTCTTAATGTCGCATTGTCAAACGCTACGCCCGAGCCTTGCGGTGCTAGTAATATAGCTTGTCTCCGTCTCATGAGTTACCAAAGGGCTAGCGGATGGTGACGGGGCTAGCAGGAGGGAAAACGGACACGCTGGGACGACGACTGAAGGAAAATGTTATAGACAGAAGAGTCGGTCATCATAGCCCTGATAATAAGCACGCCTATTCAACCACAACTCTGTAACCACGACTTGGAGAGTTACTAGAAATCAATCGCATCACGCAAGTGCAGAGGCAAAGCAGACAATGATAAAGGTAGAATGTTTTCCATTGACGGAAGGAGATCTTTTGCGCAGAATCACAAGACTCCCGCTCGCGCTATATAGCCAAGCAATAAATATCACGTTAACACCGCTCCGCTCGAAGCTAGTGACAGAGGTGACTTGGGTCAGAGAGAGTTGTGAAGCGAAGTGTTTGCTCTGACATGAATTAACCAGGGGTATCACGTTAACCTGCTGTGGCGGGGCAGGACAGTGGTGACTAGGGTTAAGTGACGGTATGGTCGACGTCTACGACTCAGAAGGTGCAGGAACAGCCTCGGTAGATGAAGAGGGCTCCTCGGTGGCTAGGGCACGGAAACCTTCAGGCGTGATGCTAACAGCACCAGCTTGCACCAGCTATATGTAATCAGCGTCTTGACCTTCATGGTAGTAACGAGGTGGTACTTACAGCACGGCTCAAATCATCCAACAGATCCTCTGGATCCTCAATTCCCACACACAGGCGAATGATATCTTCGGGCATATTCCTCTCCCTCCTCGTCTTTTCATCTATACTAGCATGGCTCATGCGGCACGGCATGCTGATCAAACTATTCACACATCCAAAGCTCACGCTGATTCCCCACAGGCGTGCGCTCTCCACAATCCTCTCGCTAACGGTCACGTCGCCAGTCTCGAATGACAGCACAGCGCCCGCGCCGCGCGCCATGCTCCAGTGCAGATCATACTGGGGGTGGGACTTCAAGCCTGGGTAGCGGACTTTGAAGCCATGCGATTCGAGGAATGTGGCGACGCGCATGGCGTTTGCTTGTTGTTTTTCCATACGGACACCTAGCGTCTTGATGCCGCGGATGAGAAGCCAGGAGTCGAAGGGTGAGAGACCACAGCCGGAGGCGTTGATGGTGAAGTATAGTCTGTCTCCTAGTGCGGAGTCGTTAATCGCAATAACGCCGGCCATGAGGTCGTGATGGCCGGATAGGTACTTTGTGCCGGATTCGTAGACGACGTCGGCGCCGAGGTCGAGCGGGTTAAGCAGCATTGGCGACATCATCGTGTTGTCGACTGCGACGACGGCGGTAGGGTTCGCAGTGTGTGCGATGCTAGCAATCGCGGGAATGTCGCAGATCTTGATCAGAGGGTTTGTGGGTGTCTCAAGCAAGACCATAGCCGTCTTATTGTTCACGACTGCGCGCACTTTCTCAGGGTTTGTTGTGTCCACATGGTGTACAATGATGCCGCCATGTGTCGAGAGGTACTTGAGCAGTCTGTTTGAGCCGCCATACAAGTCGTCGCCAGTTACTACCTCGTCGCCCGGTCGTAGCAGGCGGGTAATGACGTCGAGAGCACCCATGCCAGATGAGACGACAAGGGCGCGCTCCGCGTTCATAATCTTTGCGAGGTGTCGCTCGAGGTGTGTTCGTGTGGGGTTGCCAGAGCGTGTGTAGTCGTATTCGCCGCCGCCGCCAGTAGCAGACTCCTGCTTGAAGGTTGCGGACTATGCAGGTTAGCGATATTCAAATACAATCTGGAAACCATATCATACCTGATAGATGGGCACCGAGCTAGCATTGTACTGATCGCTGCTCTCCGTGTAGACCAGCTCCGTCATGAGCGCATACTTCCTGCCATTGCGGGGCGAGCTCGGCGCCGGCGATGGAGGCAGATTGTGGCCATCGATATCAAGGGGAAGGGCACCCTTTGCCGCTCCATTGGCCTTGCTCTTGGAGCTCTCTCCGGCCATTGTGTAGTTGTGCGTCTGTTGTAGACTTCCTTGGAGCCGAGTGGCGGGGTTTGTGGTATGGAAATCGGAGCTTCGTGGGGCAAATCAGTTCGCAAATGTTGGGACGAACTAGGTAGTAAGTTTTAGTTAGGTATGAGGAAGATGGAGACTCCAGGTATGAAAGAAAGCGGACAATGTATTCAAAGGCATCTGCAAGGCACGTTAGTCCTGACTGTGTGGGGAGTCACCGCTGGTATTGCGCCATCAAGGACAAATCGGCAGTTTTCGCGCTTTGCTTCCGAACATCGGGCGGGTCTCGGGCAACATGGGCCTCTACCCCAGATGGAGGTATTCCGACCCCAACCGTTTGACACCATATGTAACATGAATGGCGATGGACGTACAAGATCACGTAATAAGCTGCTTGAATCTGAAGGAACATTCGAGTACCAATCTTGGGGTTGCTATTATCTACCTACTTTTGGGTATACCGACTTTGACCCTGTCCCACCAGGCTGAAAAAAAGAATAACTATGACTATGTAGGGTCACATAAGTACACATTGCGCCAGAGCTCGCTCGCTGATCCAAATGCCGTCCTTGCCAGTCCATGAACCATAATACATTAGTCAATCCCAAAAAAAAAGTACACTCAACCGCTGTAAGATAAACCCAAATGGAAGCCAAACATGGTCGATTTGAATCTTCATCCTCCTCACCTAGGCGTAATCGCAGGGAATGCCTTCCTGACATGCAAATTCATCTTGAACTCAAAGATGCCCTCTTCAGTCCCACAATACAGCGTCCGTCCATCCTGGCTCATCGCTAGGCCAGCCGTCCGCACACCCTGACTCGGATCATGCATACTGCGGCTAGGCCTCCTAAGACCTAGACTGAACTCGTACGTTTCGGTAGAAGGCTGGCTGGCGCGGAGATTGCGGAGACGTTCACGCGATTGATCCAAGTGACGAAGACGACGCAGCTGACTTCGTAGTTCGGCTCCGGAGCCCATTGAGGGGTTGTCTGGCAAGACGCGGATTACGGCTCGCATTTGAAGTTCTTCGTTGATACTATGCCAAGCGGCGTCAGTGGAAGTAATGATGTCGCTGGCCACACGATGGGCCTCGACAGCGACAGGATTTGGCGATCTTGTTATGGCGGAGTCGGTGATTTGGGTGTGGTTGCGAGGCGGAGCGTTGACCGTGCCCTCGTCAATGGAGACATTGACTGAGGCCTGCCGGCGAGGTGTTGTCCGCTCTTGAGGCGGGCGGTTCGATCGACGGAAGCTCTCGTTCATAAACTCGGTCATGGCCACAGTCACCTCACGGCGAGTTGGTTCCCTGCTGAGAGATTAGCTTCGCCACCCAATCTAACGCGAGATTTCTGTAGGTGTCATACGGTAAAGGGTCACGATGCCCCGAGGTTGAGTAATTGATACTTCGTGGTGTTATTCCTTGCTCACGAGCCTCTTCGCGCTGCCTGGTCGTCCGCAGCGCTTCGAGGACTTGCCTTTCATGTGCTGTCAGGCCATGTGGATCGTTGTCCGACTCGACCACTCCAAGCCGTCGGTGGAGACTTCGCCGCTCAGAGTCGGCTTCAAAATATTCAGTCGCAGCGTTCACGGCCGCTGCAGTACCTTCGGAGTCTAGGGCACGACGATATCTACGAATGAAGTCTGCTTCCCTACGCAGCTCATGCCTCTCGGGGCTGAGTGTCGTGTCGAAGTCGGCTATCTCGATCTTCTCTATACCCGCCTCCTTGGGGTCCAAAGTCAGTACCTGCTTCACCTTCAAGCCAGCGCGAAGATCGGCCACGCACACTCTGGCCTGGTCTTCGCTCCAAATAAGAAAGTCCCAAGGAGCAGGCGAAAAGTGCATTGTTCGGACTGCGCCAGGACCCGAGGCAACATCCGGTCTTGTGGAGGTAATCAGTTGCACAATGGCGTCTTCGCCTTCCTCTACTAATTTCAACAGCTCCACATCGAAGACGGTGATGTAACCACATTCAGATCCCACGGCACAGAGACGTCCCGAGGGTGACCAGGCTGTGGTGAAGTAGCCGTCGGCATTTGAATTGGCTGGCCGGTGAAGGTGAACTTGCTTCAGCGACTGCCAGTCCGAGTGTATTGGTTGTAGCCTTCCTTCGGCTGCCTTTCTACTGCTTGGCTTCTGTGTCGTAGTGCGGTCGAAGAAGAAGGCGACAGGAGCATCGCCTACCGCCACAAGCAGCTGTCCGTCAGGGGAGATTGTGGCATGATTCATGGCAAATGGCAGATCTAAGACCGTCAACTCGAGGTTCTGGGTCAAAGAGTATAGGCGCACAGTCTTGTCATTGTTGGTAAGGACGGCGACGACCTCACTCGGCTCATAGCCGTCGGCAGGCAGCTTGTGGATTGATATGGAGTTGACGATATCTTCTCCAATCTTTTCGAGGCGAACGCGAGAGGCAGTGGCCAGCTGTGGAGGCCGAGGTAGGTGGTGTTCGAAGTGGAGTGGCAGCGAGGCGTCGATGTCGGACGGGGGTGAAGGAGGGAAGCCGGTCACCTTGATGGCGGCAAAGTTGCCATCCTCGGCACCGCCAACACAGACATAGCCGTGACCTGCAGCGGTGCAGCGCGCTTCCCAGGGTAGTGTGGTGACGGGCGCCTGGGTTCGTGTGGCGGCATTGAGGCAGTAGACGTCGTAGCCACTCGCGTAGTAGATGAGGTCGGGCTCGGGGCAGCTGATGAAATGTCGCAGTTGCCAATGGCTGCGATGGTTAGTATTGCCCTGATAGGTATCATGGGTTCGCTCAGAGAAGGGCTCACGCTATGGGTATCTTGGTGGGATAGTAGGCTTTCGAAGGCAGCACAAAGGCGTCCGTCTCTCGACTCCTGCTACGGTCAGTTTGCTGAGGCTGGAGCGTGTCGAAGGGGCGCAAACAAGAATTCATCGACGGCCATGGTGTGCGGTCAGGCAGACGAGTGCGGCATGTCTCTATGGCCGCGCGTGTGTAGCTACGGGGCTCTGGGGCAGAAGACGCTCTACGTCACACGATGCGATGGCGGCTTATGTAGAGAGAGTCGTAGAACACCAACGTCGTGGGTAGCAAAGGTAGCGGCAGCAGGAGGAGGAGGAGGAGCGGTCACAGAGGAAGGACTGGATGTAGTATCTTCTCTACAAGGCGCGCGGGAGTGTAGGCAAATACTATGGCGCAGCAGGGGCGAGGGTTGTCGTGAGCGGCTCTACCATAGTATCCCATCTCTCTATCGACCATCTTCCCCACACGCGAGCTACGGCACCATGCGCCAAGCTCCCATTCGACACTGCCATTCATGCTAACGGCCACCAACACCAAAGGCAGTCGACGCAGTATTCGGTATTCAATCAACAAAGTATTCCCAGTACTTCTCTCGCCTCGTCAGGAACTCGCTCCGTCACATACTTCACTGCTGCTGTCCATGCGCACAGACGCACCTCTGCGGAACCTCGGGCGGCGATTTTAGTCCTAAAACGAGCTAGAACCTTCTCCCAAAATTTTAACCCTCCCGTCCAAGCTCATCCATTCTCTTCATCATATAACCCATCCTCCCTTCTGTCCATCTCGCTCTGCAACCCATTCCCCTGTCGCTTGCATCACCCCAGCAGCGCCTCTCTCATACATCCACAATGCTGTCCTCAAGATTATCACGGACTGTAAGTAGCCACACTCGAAAAAAACCCTCGAACAACAATTGACCTCGTCATAGTTTTTGCCGCGTGCGGCTTCGGCGGCGCGCCGTACCCCAGCGTTCAGGGCCCCGGCCATGTTCGCGCGAGGATATGCTGAGGGCGGCGAGGAGAAGGTCAAGGGCTCAGTCATTGGTATTGATCTGGGAACCACCAACTCAGCCGTCGCTGTCATGGAGGGCAAGGTACCGCGCATCATCGAGAACTCTGAGGGTATGTCGTCGACTACATTGTATTCTTCATCATCATCATCATGGCATAACATAGAGTACTAACAACTATCAATAGGTGGTCGCACAACACCCTCTGTCGTCGGTTTCACAAAGGAGGGCGAGCGTCTCGTCGGTATCGCCGCCAAGCGCCAGGCCGTCGTCAACCCTGAGAACACTCTCTTCGCGACGAAGCGTCTCATCGGCCGCAAGTTCACCGATGGCGAGGTCCAGAAAGACATCCAGCAGGTGCCCTACAAGATTGTCCAGCACACCAACGGTGATGCATGGCTCGAGGCCCAGGGCCAGAAGTACTCGCCCTCCCAGGTTGGTGGCTTCGTCCTCGGAAAGATGAAGGAGACCGCCGAGTCCTACATGGGCAAGAACGTCAAGAACGCCGTCGTTACCGTCCCCGCCTACTTCAACGACTCCCAACGTCAGGCCACCAAGGATGCTGGTCAGATCGCCGGTCTCAACGTCCTCCGCGTCGTCAACGAGCCCACCGCTGCCGCCCTTGCCTACGGTCTTGACAAGGCCACGGACAACGTCGTCGCCGTCTACGACCTTGGTGGTGGTACTTTCGATATCTCCATCCTCGAGATCCAGGCTGGTGTCTTCGAGGTCAAGTCCACCAACGGTGATACTCATCTCGGCGGTGAAGACTTTGACATCACCCTCGTCCGCCACCTCGTCCAGCAGTTCAAGAAGGAGCAAGGCATTGATCTAAACAGCGACCGTATGGCTATCCAGCGTATCCGTGAGGCCGCTGAGAAGGCCAAGATCGAGCTTTCTTCCTCGTCCCAGACCGACATCAACCTTCCCTTCATCACTGCCGACGCTTCTGGTCCCAAGCACATCAACACCAAGCTCACCCGCTCCCAGCTTGAGAAGATGATGGATCCCCTCATCAGCCGAACTGTCGAGCCCGTCCGCAAGGCGCTGAAGGACGCCAACCTCCAGCCAAAGGAAATCTCCGAAGTCATCCTCGTCGGAGGTATGACCCGCATGCCCAAGGTCACCGAGTCTGTCAAGAGCATTTTCGGCCGCGATCCTGCCAAGTCGGTTAACCCCGATGAGGCCGTCGCCATTGGTGCTGCGATTCAGGGTGCTGTCCTTGCTGGTGAGGTCACTGACCTCCTCCTCCTTGACGTCACCCCTCTGTCTCTCGGTATCGAGACCCTCGGTGGTGTCTTCACCCGCTTGATCAACCGCAACACCACCATCCCCACCAAGAAGTCCCAAGTCTTCTCCACCGCCGCCGACTTCCAGAGCGCCGTCGAGATCAAGGTCTACCAGGGTGAGCGTGAGCTCGTCCGCGACAACAAGCTGCTAGGAAACTTCCAGCTTGTCGGCATTCCTCCCGCTCACCGTGGTGTCCCCCAGGTTGAGGTCACCTTCGACATTGACGCTGACTCGATTGTCCACGTTCACGCCAAGGACAAGTCCACCAACAAGGACCAGTCCATCACCATTGCTTCTGGATCAGGTCTCTCCGATTCTGAGATCGAGAACATGGTTCGCGACTCCGAGCAGTACGCCGAGCAGGACAAGGAGCGCAAGAACTCCATCGAGGCTGCCAACCGCGCGGACAGCGTTGTGAACGATACCGAGAAGGCCCTCAAGGAGTTCGAGGACCGCCTCGACAAGGCCGAGGCTGAGAAGATCAAGGAGAAAATCTCCGCCATGCGCGAGTTCATCTCCCAGAGCCAGGCCGGCGAGGGCACTGCCACCGCTGCCGAGATCAAGGAGAAGACCGACGAGCTCCAGAACGCCTCGTTGAGCCTGTTCGACCAGATGCACAAGGCCCGCTCCGAGAGCCAAAACCAGGGCGAGCAGCAGCAACAGCAGCAGCCCGAGGGCGAGGGCGAGAAGAAGCAGTAGATGCTTTGACCGCCTAGCTGAAGTTTCGTCTTTTCTCATTTGGTCACTTGTTCATTTACGGCAAAAAACAGGCGTCTTGCATCCGGTCACGATCGGTCTGGGTTGGGTCACTAGACTTGTGTACATTCTGTATCATATCCTCTCCATTTCTCTTCTCCATACTAGCGTTGTTTTATTACCCCTGTACCCCCTTATGCGATCTTGGGGTCATGTCAAATTAACGAAAGATTGATATATCCTGGGGCAAGACGATGTAATCGTGTGGCGGAACAGATGACTGTACTATAGCAAAGAGACGTGAGATGGTAATGGTAATGTTGCTTCTCCGCTCTAATAGCAATGAATTTTGTCCAATTATTCGTTGCATCAGTCCGTGTCATCATCTGAAAGGTTTTTTACAGCCCAAAAGACCCTCGACAACTAAACCTTCTACTTGGTAACGGGTTCTACCCTCGATGAGTGCGATATTGGGTATTGCTTTCGTTGCGCTTCATTGCCCCACGTTTAGTTCTCAGAATTAGACCTCGGAACTTGTCGATGTCTAGTCGCTCTTACGTCACCATAAACCATCAACATCCGCAGGTTAACTTCCACGCATTGCGAACTCGGGGCATCCACCGATATCTCAGTGACGAGCGCGAATCTATGCAGTATCAAAAAATAAGCCCTTTACGCAACTTGGTAACTACACGGTACTTTCTCGCACGCGGAAGCGGAACTCGGTACCTTTCGACTAACCTTGGAGGTTCCCATTCTCGATCAAACACTTCACTCTCTCAAAACTCAAGGGTGACTTTATTATATCCAGTTCTACCTTCAACGCTTCTCCAACACATCCGCCACAAATCAATAAAGACCAAGCACACAATGACAGACGCCACAAACCACCCGCTCTCAGGCCTGTGGCAGCCCACGCAGCTCCAGAGACTGCACTACGGCTCCGAATCTGTCAAGAAACACCTACTAGAATGCCTTCCGAAGAATTCGAGTAAGGCTTTCATAATCACCGGCAACTCCCTAGCCACAAAAACACCTCTAGTTAAGCAAGTAGAACAACTCCTAGGAACCAAGCACGCCGGCACCTTCTCCAAAATCGGCGAACACGCACCCGTCGCCCAACTCGACGAAGCCACCAAAATCGTTGAATCCGACAGTGCAGTCGACACGGTCATCTCCATTGGCGGCGGCAGCCCCATCGATTCGGCAAAAGCAATCAGTTACCGCCTGCACGACAAGTCTGGAAAATGGCTGTACCACATCGCCATCCCCACGACGCTGTCCGCAAGTGAATGCACAATGATGGCCGGCTACACTGAATCGGACGGGATGAAAACCGGCGTACGCGCAAAAGAACTCGTCCCCCACGTCGTCCTGTACGATTCCAGTTTCGCCCTGCAAACCCCCGCGAGACTATGGCTCAGCACCGGACTACGCGCGCTCGACCACGCAGTCGAACTCTTGTACCATCCCACTGCCTCTGAGATGCCCGCGCGTTGGTCAACGCTACAAGCGGCGGGCAGTCTATTTGAGAATCTGCCAAAGTACAAGGCGGATCCAAAGGACGAGGACGTCGTGACGAAACTGCAACTAGCGGCTTTTGCCTCCCTGGGCTTCCTGGGGTATAATATGAAAGGCGGTCTCGGCCTTTCCCACGCGCTGGGGTATGCGCTTGGATCGCCGTATAGTATCCCCCACGGCATCACGTCGTGCTTGACACTCGGGCACGTTGTTAAACTCAAAGCTGCGGATCCAGCTGCTGCGGAGCAGATAGCGCGTCTGCTACCTTTTATCAAGGAGACTTCGTCCGGGGATACGAAGAAGGATGCTGCGAAGGTCGGTGATGCTATTTTGAAGCTGGTGCGGGATTTGGGGCTTGATAGTGATTTGAGGAATTATAATGTTGGTAGGGATCAGATTCCGGTCATTACGAAGAGGGCGACTGGGGTGGAGAGTGGGGATGTGTTTGATGGTGTTGAGGGGTTGGTAAAGGGTTTGTTTGTATGAGGTGATGGTGACGACGTCTATAGAAAGAGAAGATGGAATATTGCGTCAGTTATACGATTGCTGAGTGGGATTGTTAGATTGTATATTCTATCCTGTTCTTTAAATTTGGTCTAGAGTTAGTAGGTGCTGTGTTTCACAAGGCCTATCTCTTCTTCGTCTCCCTGAAGTATACGGACCATTTCCGTTTTTAAAGCAATAGGTAGCCTATTTGTGAGAATTTATTCAATTGAATATATGTCATACGTTCCACGCGTCATTTCTCACACGATATGCCAACTATACCAGCTTCTCGACCAGCTGAGGTGGCAAGAAGCAGAAAACGCTTTCTTGGGAACTTTCAACATAACAGGATGCATACCCTATGGTTATAATGCATGGAAAAGTTTCCTGAGTATCTTCATGGAACTGAGTTCAAATTACGAAACCAAGCCACGACGTATTGCTTGACTCCTGCCAAAGTCCACAGTGCCTAGCAATCTGCTCGCCTGTAAGATATTCCTCGTCTTCCTCACATACATTTCAAACTGGCCTGACACCTGAACGACATGTTTAAGATGTGCATAGGACAAATCCTTCTTCTGAAACTTCGCAAGTTGTCTCCCAATAGTAATCGCATTGCGGATCTGCCGCCCGTTGAGCTCTTCTTCCGCCAGCTACATCACATTGCACTCGATGTCATCAAAGTCGCTATTCGGCTTCTTCAGATCTTTCAGTCGGTTCAGAAAGTTCTTCCATATACGGCAGCGTTGCTCTCGACGATCCATTCAGCTGGTCTGGTATTGTGTAAACTTTACTGCCTTAATACTGTGTTAGGGTGCTGGGTATAGCACCTGAACTGTGATTTTATACTGAATTCTCCTACTGCGTTGTATGATCCGCTCTAGCGTCGACTTACTTTCAAACATAGAAATACGGCAGCGTTGCGATTTGGTGAAGTTGGGATAGAGAAGGGCTAGCGAGATTCTAGACTTGAAGGCTTCGTCAAATGTGCCAACGCGGTTGGATGTGAGGATGAGGATGCCGTCATAGTACTCCAGTACACTGAGGAAGATTGATACAAGGGCGTTGCGGGCTAGGTCTGCTATCTCCCTCTCCTTGAGGAAAACATCCGCTTCGTCGAGAAGCACGACACAGTCCCATATGTTGCCTAGGTGTAGTACTGATTCGAGGTATTTCTCGACTTGCTCGGGCTAGGTGACGGGATAGAGAGGCTTTTCAGCCATCTCAGCAACGCTCTCTGCTGTAAAGGATTTGCCAGTGCCTATTCCGCATCGACGAAGGATGATGAGTCCGTTGCCCTTCCCCTGGATGAGGTCTGTATCTCCTTCACCGGCTACGAGGGCTTGCACGAGCTCTTTTGTCTTGTCGTCGTTGCACAATCTCTAATATTGAATAACGCCAAGCATTCTCAGAAGTCAATAGTGCTAAGTTGTACCCAACTTCGCACCACTGTTATGGCAAACCAATGGTTTGGCATCCTTGGTGCTGCACTTGCAAATCTTGGCCAGGAGATATATGCTGCAAAGCTAAATAATGTTGAGTTTAGAGAAGCACGGGGGGAGGAAGAGATGATCTCAATCCTGTCTGCGTAAGAGCAGTTCACTATACAGATATGGATGACTTTGTTTACATTTCGGAGTGCAAACGTGATGGTCAAGAAGCAGAGACGACGACATTAATCCTCATGTAGGTGGCCGGGGAGCGACACGCCCCATCTTTCCCAAATGGGCTAGCCAGATTTCTGACGCCCGCGTTCCACCAAAACAGTGGTCATCCTTGGAACATTTGCTCACATGGAACCCCGGAACGATCACCCCCCTTCAGACGGCCCGTCACACATCACACTAATGTACCCCTCACCCACTACATATCTCATGCCTTCAAAGCTCCCCGCATTGGACCTTCAGTCTTTCTCTCTTTACAGCTGAGCCATACAAAACGTTACCACCGAGCAAATGACGACAAGCGCAGCATCAAGCATGCCGGATCCGCCGGGTGTGCCTTCGTTCCTAAGAGCAAGCCCCATAGACAAAGTCCTGCCAGTTATCATCGAGCCTGAAGCAGAACCAGAGGAACGCGGTCGCCTAAAGAGACGGCGGCAGTCCTCACACTCTCCACGCCGCGCATCCTCTCCCTCACGAGGCCACGATCGCCATAGCGGCTCGCGATACCGCCAACACCACCGAAAGCACCATCGGCCCTCCTCTCCCTCCTCCAGTATTTCCCCACCCACAGCATTGCAGAAGAAGACCAGGCGAAGGAGCGACGCAGAGCCCGATCATACGTTCAGAGGACGGGCACGTAATCGCAGCGGAAGCAATGGAAGAACTCAAAGTCCGATATTGGAAGATGAGGATGCACGCGCAGAGGAGTGGGGGAAGAGTAGAAAGAGAAGTGCGCCGCCTAGCCGACCTAGGGTCGATGGCGCGGAAGAAGGCGGTGAGGTTAGGAGGCAGAGGAGTTATCCTAACATGTATAAAGAAGAGAGAAGGGACTCGAAGGGCGAAGATGGGTAGAGCCGAGCGAGGCAGATCAGATCAAGCCTTGTAACCCTATAAAGGAAGACGTATGCGTGGATGCGTGTAATCGATCGAGTATGCGATATTCTCTGCTACTTTGAAAGACGTGTGGGTTGTATACAATACGGTGGTTCGTTTCTTATGGCGTCTTGGCTGTATACCCATATTAGCTCTATTTCGAGCGTGTAATGTCTTAATTATTTAATGCTTATATACATATCATGTCCCAAGAGCCAGGCCCTCTGCATGTCAAAAGTAGCACGCGGCTCGGCGCCTACAATAATCTTCCCTAAGAAAGTATCTCCACCCACGCCCGTAAGCTATTGAAGTCACGTCTACCGTCTCGATTTACCCCTGCTGCTCACCTCAGCGTCTCGAAGCTTCCACGACCCGAAGCTTCAAGAGCGCCCCACTCCCGGCCGACTTCCGTGCACCGTACCAATCACCTACGCTTAACTCCGACGTCTTCCCGTCGACACCCTCGGCCTTCTTCTCCTACGTTGATCACCCCTTTCATCGCTACTTTCCTAATCACTATGCCACCGGCAGGCAACGAGTACGCCGCCGAGCAGCTCAAAAACTCCGGAAACAAGTGCTTTAAGAATGGTGATTACGACGGAGCTGAGGGGCTGTACTCGCAAGCGATACAGAAGAACTCAGCGAACCCGTTACTGTTCACGAATCGCGCAAATGCGAGGTTAAAGCTGGAGAAATGGGAGGGTGTGATTGATGATTGCATACGGAGTATTGAGCTTCTAAAGGATAATATGAAGGCTTTCTTCTACTTGGGTACGCTCACTGCCCCGCAAATGCGCAGCACATGGAGTCGTAGCAACTTCAGGAACTGGACCAAGGCTTGAGTAATTTAATGGAGGCTGAGAAAGTATAGCGCAGGCACAACTCAGCATAAATCATCCGAATGAGGCATTATCGAGTGCCCTGATGGCCTACGAACTCTGCACTACCTCCGCCCAACAAACCTCCAACGCAGCGACAATCTCCGCACTCGTTCTCAAGTGTAAGAAAGCGAAATGGGACATACGCGAACGCGAGCGCATACGGCGACGCGGGGGCCTCTCATCCGACCTTGAGGCCATGCTCGAAACACAGTACAAGAAAGATGTAGATGATATTGATGCACGTGTCGAGGCTAGTGAAATAAGCAGAGTAGAAGGGCAAGAAGAGAAGGAGGAGAGAAAGACTGAGTTTGAGAAGAAACGAGATGATTTGAGGACAGCGTTTATGATTAGTGATCCGGAGAATCAGCAGAAGAGAGAAGTGCCAGATTATCTCGTTGATGGGATCACATTCGAGATCATGCATGATCCTGTAGTGACAAGAAACGGACGCTCATATGAGCGTGCTACGCTCATAGAACACCTTAAGCGGAGCCCAACAGACCCGCTCACCAGGGAAACTTTGACGATCAGCGATCTGAGGCCAAATATTGCGCTGAAAGAAGCGTGTACGGAGTTCATGGAGGGTAACAATGGCTGGGTCTACGATTGGTGAGTCAGCTGGCTCGTTGGTTGGCGTGAGATTTGGCAGGTATGTAGAAGGAGGACGAGAAGTTTACTTGGAAGCTTATTAAACGCATGCTAACAGGGCATTAGTAAGGATGGTGAAGTAGATCAGGATACGCGATGGGCGCACTTGTCGCACACCTGAGGCCTCAAGCCTGTATAGGGCGGGAGAACATTATGCTTCCCTGATTTGCCTACGACTAGGATCTGGGACATTTTCTTGTGGTATTTGGCAGCTTGAGCCACTTTTTGAGCATTTTCAACTGAGCGTTGTTTTATACCCTCACAAGCCTTCCCAATTGGCTCATTAGCTTTGCCGAAGCTTGTGCAGTTCCCCACGTTGTCGCCCCTGCACTTCAATCTCCTTATAGTGCTGGCTATCAATAGCCGAAGTGTTATGCACAGCACATGGCCTTTTGAGAACTTTGTACGCCAATCTCTGAACGATGTCGTCTCTAGCCGTGGCTTTTCATCTCGCTATACGAAACAATTCGAGCGATCGCTTCCAAGGTTTGCGGGGCGATATGGTCCCACAATACAAGAACTCATAAAGTTGGAACATGTCAGTAGTAAGCTCCCTAGAAGCTTTACCGAACATCGATCTTATTCGGACTACGCGTATCATGGTATTCTATTGCTTGTTGCCGCTATGGCTTATTTTACCCGCAACAGTTCTCGCCGGTATGACTAAGACTGGCACGCTCTGCACGGTGACTCCTAGCGGCAGTAAAGATGATAGCCCTTCCATAATGGACGCGTTTAAACAATGTGGTCAGAACGGACAGATCGATATCACTTCAGGTGACTACACCATTGCAAAGGTCAGATAAATCGCCCCTGCAAAATACTGACTTCAGCCTTACATTTTATTCAAAATAGGTCATGGATGTGCTTACCCTCAAGAACTGCGACATCTCTATTCGCGGAAAACTCACATGGAACGATGATATACAGTACTGGCTTCGGAACAGTGTCGGGTAATAAGTTTCTTCTTTCATGCATGTGAACACTCCACTGACACCGCAATTCCATTTTTAGGGTAACCTATGCCTCCCGTAGTACCGCTTTTCGCCTCGGCGGCGAGAATTTCACGCTAAAAGGACATGGAGAGGCGCTCTTTTTTGGTAACGGACAGAAATGGTACGACCAGAATCGCGACCAGAGTAACCAGAATGGGCGCCCAATCAGTTTGACCCTTTGGAAGGCGAAGAACGTTTGGATCGATGGGATTACTTGGCGACAGCCACAGTTCTGGTAAGACTAGTCAACGTAACTGCGGATAAGCGGAATTATTAGATTGTTATTGCGGGTCACTCACTGACAATTATCAATGTAGGCATACCTTCGTCGCACACTCGCAGAACATCACAATGACCAACCTCGACATGAACGCAACGTCTAATTCGAGGTGGGGCACGGTGAATACAGATGGCTTCGACAGCTGGAACTCCAAGGACATTGTGATCAAGAACTGGGTCGTAACCTGCGGTGATGTGAGCTATCCTTGAAGTCATGACTGCGACTCCTCTCGATACTAACTTTTCTAGGACTGCATATCTATCAAAGGCAACAGCAGCAACATCCACGTCCGAAATGTAACATGCTACGAGTCGGGCGCAATGTGCATCGGCTCAATGGGCAACCCAACCAACGTCCCCGAATACGTCGATGACGTACTCTTCGAAGACATAACAGCCATCCACAGCTCCAACGCCGCGTGGATAAAAACATATCCAGGCCAAGGCCACGTCCGCAATATTACGTTCCGCAACATTCGCTTCCAAGACGTCAATCAGCCCATCTACGTATCGCCTTGTATTTACAGTTATAGCAACTGTGATGGTAGTAGGCTGAAAATTAGCGACGTAACGTGGGAGAACATCTCAGGCACGTCGAGATACAATGTTGCCGCGGGCATATATTGTAGCAAGGGAGCGCCGTGCACGGGGCTGAAATTTAAGAATATCGATATCAAGCCTAAGAACGGTGGGACGGCGAAGATACTGTGTAGTAATATGAATAGTGATAGTGGGCTGGCGTGTACGGGGACGTGTCCTGCGGGTTGGAAACAGCAGTTGAGCGGAAACGCATGAGTAAGAGTGCTAGAGGGAACTTTCACTTTCGTTTCGCTCCGAGATTGAGGTTTCACTACGCTACTTTTCTGCTTCGAATGAAGTGCGGCTAGTTTCTTCTCATATAGGTCAACCATGGCTTTTCTCTGCACAGTCCCCGTCGAGTCCTCAAAAACGGCTCTTTCACAACATGAATCATATTCTTGGCCACTCGTGCATACAACGGCAATGCATTGTTTGCTTCCTCGATCACGGCCCAGATATCTTCTAACCTCGCGCCTTCTCTAAGCCTGACGATTAGTGTGGCGGTTGGCCGCCTTGTCCCAAGTAGCATCACCTCCACAACGTTAGGGTGGTTTGCGATCCTACGTTCTGCCGCAGTAGGCGGATGCTGTGTATGCATATCGCCTGATTTGACCTCCTTGTCGCCAGTATTGAGTTCGAATAAGGGTTGCACACATTTCCCATCCCCGTTCCTGATCATGACCTCCTGGTATAGCTGTCCCTCGGCGCTATCGGAATCAGGGACGAAGGCGATATTTAGAGCAGGTGGAATTGTATATAGTGCTAGGAATCGTTCACAGCCTGCGCGTTCCAGGGTCTGGCCCTGCGTATCGAGGGCACGAGGCCGAGTTCCGTTGAGCCTATGCTATTGAAGAGTTGCATTTTCGTCGCTACGGCATTTTCAGCCTCTATGGAGAGATCTCCGCCTTCCCAAACCGCCGTCTTAATGTTCCTAGATACTCGGTCGAGGAGCACGGGGTTGGAGCCAATGTATTCCATGTATGGCGGCGGCGGCGTAGCTGAACATTACCCGCGTCTTTGGACCGTGAAAGTATTCATCCACTCTCTCGTGTTCCTTGGGAGGTTGAAGGTAGTGGCTCTCAGCAACGCCGCTGTTGGCCCAGCCATGGGTCCAGGAGGTGCCATGTCATCTACCATGATGACGCAGTGTTGTTCTCACGTCATCCTAAAGATCAATAGTTGGAGTACTATCACCTTCAGCTCTTCCATTTGTTAATCTACATCTCACAGCGGGACATCCACCTAAAGTAGCACACTCTTTTCCGACTTTGTGTAGTGCCATGCCAAACAATCTGGCGCGGGCGTAGGAAGTGGACAGAGTAACGTTTACGAAAAAGCTCGTATATTTTGAACCACAGCCACGAAAGGCAAGGCGATGGTTGAAAGCATATCCGTTGTCAGCCTCGGTTTATATCGATTGCAATGTCACGGTTGACTCCGTTACGTTCTTGCAAGGACTAAAGGTTGGAAGGGCCAGTCGGCTGATGTAAGTGCTAGTATTTTGGTTTTATCCGATCATCTTGTTCTCCAAAAGCCTGTAGTACTAGAGCATCTCCATTCAAAGTAGGTCTGATGGGAAGGCAATGAGTTGACTTCGATCCTTCCAGCGAATATGAGCAGGCAGATCGGCTGCATTGCGGTTCATGTATGATGTTAGAAGATCGGTGTACGGGAAAACGATTATTCGATGAGCCTTGCAAAGAAACTAAATGTAGCCCTTTATTCCGTCGCTGTTAGGTGAATGTTGACATGGGGTTGGGACGGGGCATACAAGGCAAGAGTGGAGAGATGGCAAGGGTGTGCCTGCCAAGCCAACAAACGTCACTTCAGACGCTTCTTAGAACAGCTTCATCCTGGAGCCTCAGCCCATACTAGCGATTGCGCAGCCATTGAGCGTCGCATGAGCTGCACACGACGTTCGCTACAATGAATTCGGCCGCCCAGATGCGCGCTTTAAGGGTGCGACCCTCAATCGCCCGCTGCCGCCCTTCCTATCGCCCGTTTCAATACCCCACGCGACGTGCCTCGACAGAAACGACAACAGCCACCGCGGCTGCAACTAATGTGCACTCAGCCAGCACACGCACGAAAAACCTCGTCTATGGCACCGTCCTGACTCTCGGTCTCTCTTTCGGCTACCTGTATGTCACAGATACGCGAGCGAGCATTCACGAATGGCTCATCGTCCCCGCGCTGCGACAAATATATCCCGACGGCGAAGAGGCGCATCATGCCGGAACACGCATGCTCAAAGTGCTCCATAGCTTTGGTTTGAACCCCAGAGAACGCGGAGTGGCAGACTCGGCCGGAGATCTAGCCGTCGAAGTCTTCGGACACACCTTGAGCAATCCGATTGGCACCTCAGCTGGTGTTGATAAGGGTGCTGAAATACCGACGCCATTGTTTGAGTTGGGAGCAGGAATTGTCGAGGTTGGAGCCATCACATTACTACCGCAAGAGGGCAATCCGAAGCCGCGAGTTTTCAGGCTGCCCAGCCAGAACGCGCTGATCAACCGTTATGGATTCAACTCCGAGGGCGCGGAACTGGTGGCTACGAGACTTCGCCAGCGTGTCAGGGAGTTTGCATATCATGCTGGACTTGGCTTGGATGAAGACGCGGAGCGTATAGTGCTCAATGGCGAAGCTGGTGTGCCGCCAGGTTCGCTATTGGCGGGACGACTTATGGCTGTGCAGGTCGCAAAGAATAAGACCACTTCCGAGAGCGACATCGACGCTGTCGTGCGTGACTACGCGACTGCTGTGGGACATGTTGGAAAATACGCCGATATTCTGGTCGTCAACGTCTCGTCCCCAAATACACCCGGATTACGCACCCTACAGAATGTCGAGCCTTTAACGCGACTACTTTCCGGCGTTGTACAGGCGGTGAAGAAGATCGACCGTAAGACTAAGCCTGCCATCATGGTCAAAGTCAGCCCAGATGAAGACTCAGTAGAGCAAATTTCCGGTATTTGCGAAGCAGTCTGGGACTCCGGCGTCGACGGTGTTATCGTCGGCAACACAACGAAGAAACGCCCTGACCCATTTCCCAAGGGCTATTTACTCCCAGAATCAGAAGCAAAGCTACTACTCGAGCAAGGTGGATACTCAGGTCCACAAATGTTCGAGCGCACCCTAGCATTAGTGAGTAAATACAGGAAAGGTTTGGATGAGGGGCCGAAGCAAATACCTCCACCAGACAAGCCCGTCGCCAATCAGACTACAGGTGATGAGCCAACGTCAAGTAATCTAGAAACATCCCAGTCCTCATCCTCGACATCATCCTCAGGCTCATCGAAGACAACCACAACACTTGATCTCGACCAGCCTGCCGCACTCTCCTCTAATGTGGACGATCTATCAGAGTCCGCACCTACACTCACCCTCCAATCTACACCAAACATAGTGCCAGCCCCTTTAGCCCCTCGCAAAGTAATTTTTGCCACTGGTGGTATTACAAATGGACGACAAGCGAGAGAGGTTCTAGATGCTGGGGCCAGTGTGGCGCAAGTATACACAGCTATGATATACGGTGGTGCGGGTACGATCAGTAGGATAAAGGAGGAAATGAGGGATGAAGCCAAGAGTCAGTCCACGATCACGAAGCGATGATGGGCGATCTGGCGGTAGGATGGCAGGGGTTGTATATAACAATGTATGTGATATTAAATATCGTTCACGTGTATTCTTTGTATATATGGAGCGTTGAGGTGCAGCGCACGTTGTCATTCTAGCAATGAGTTATCCCGTCCGGAGCACTTTTGCGCACGGAGCCTCAGAGCTAGAAAGCAATCAGTTTATCATTCACAGAACAGAAATGTGATGTTGACAATCAAATAAAAAGATTCCAGAGGAAAGCAGTCACGAACTAGCGGCTTAGCATAAAAATATGACTAAGCCGTCCGTTCCGCCGCAAACTGTCCGCTACTAGCAATATTATTTATTAGTCTCATGGAAGTTAAATTGCTTGAGCAATTCGAAAGTGCTTCCCACCACGGGACAGCTGTCGAAAATGTCCCTTGGTGTTCTTGAACTCGCTAGTAAAGGAGGGAAGTTTCGACCAATGATCGAGAAACCTCAAGGTGCAAAGCAATGTGAACGTACCAAAGGCCATGACTGCTAAATGACTATAAAACACCTGCAATTCTCGAGCGGCATTGATATAAGTCTACCAAAGACCAATATCCTCTCGCTCAGTTTCTTATCTCATACGCCGTTTCGATCTTAGCTTATGCATTTGTAAGCAGCAACCTAACGAACGGACAGCACGCTCCATTGACAGTGGGGTATATGCGACTAGAACCTATCCATCTTATCACTCACACCGAATTGAAGGGCAATTAACGGGGAACTGTAATATAACATACACAGGCTTGATTAATGGTGCGAAGAACCGACCCAAAGGATGACGACTGGCAGTATGTCAAAGATGCGAAGAAGCGAAAGCAGATACAGGATCGATTAGCACAGCGGGCAAGAAGTAAGTGTGATCACGTTAATACATTCTGGATATAGAGCTGATTCGCGATACAGGGCAACGACTGCGCAAGGCCAAGCTCGAGTCAACGTCTCAGTCCCGCGACGATCCCACAACACAAACAAGGACACCGATTTCATCCGAGTCCAACTCATCAGCTGACGAACACCTGAGGGACACCGCCCAACTCCTCATCTCAGATAATGAAGCCCTATCACTGATTGCTACCTCTTCCACGGACGTTGTCGATCAAGCCCTCGAAAGCTGGGGCATAAACCCGAGACCGGAGGATTTAGTCTTAGATAATCCCAGTGCCGGCATCCTGGATCTCACCGACCCATCAAATCTAAGCACAAGTATATTTGCAATGATATCACCGCTCGCCCAACCAAACCACCCCTTCACCGTCGTCTCCGCACTATACATCAATGGAGAGATTCTGGGTATTCCATGCAGTACAGCGTGCTCGTCTCGCACACCAGCACCAACTCCATCCATTCCACTGCCGCTTCATCCTACGGAAACACAGCGCTTAATAGTACATCCACGCTGGGTTGATAGGCTTCCGTTTCCTAAGATGCGGGATAATCTGATCACGCTTCAAGGTGTCCTGGATGAGGAAGATTTTATACGGGATATTTTTACGATGCCTAGCTGGACTATTACCCCAGGGAGAGCATGCTGGGATCCGCGGGCGTGGAAGATGGAGAAGGAGTGGGCTGGGAAATGGGGGTGGTTGATGTTTTGAGGCTGTATGGCTTGATGCTGAAGTCGCGAATCCAAGTCGGTCGTAGAAGTCGATGCAATCTTCTTGTCGGCTTGCCGTCGTCTTGACTAGCCCATAGGCGTGAACAGCACCTATACTGCATACTACTGAGCTCTATTAAAATCAATGTTCAGTCTGCGTTCACGCCGCAATACTCCGTCTCATATCCTGGAAACGCTGAATCAGGAAGTGTAGGTATATGGCTGGTAGTGGTGGAGCTGGTACGAAAATACCCGGCTGTTAATGCATTCGGGCATGATGTTGTGTTTGGATGAGGCCAAGCAGGTATGGTGACTGGTATCTGAAACAAGCACAAATCATCTATGGCTGTTTGGTATAGATCAAGCGGGCGGGGTCGTTGGCGTGGCGGTGCAGCTTGAAGTGACAGTGTCCAACGACTTAGATGTTTGAATGAGAGTTTGATCTTGATTCATTTCACCCTCCTAAGATTTGCTTCGCATTGTTTCATGATGTGATGTGCAGTGCTGTGAGGGTAAGCGTGTTGATGGATATGGAACCAAACGCGGACATATTCACCTCCCCATGTCCCTTGCCGAAACATACACTGTCCACTATCGTGGCAGCGAAGAGCAAATCTGGAAGCCTGCCAACCTGGATAATGCTAGCTTCATACACTATCACCCCATCATGGTGCCCGTTCGTGGGCGTTGTTTCATCCACATCCGTAACCGATGGTGCGGCGAACACGTGTAACGCCGCTAGCATGATCGATTGCATCTATTCAAAACCATTTGTCCTCACCACTATGCTCTTAGGCAAGTATAAGGTGTGCGTAGAATTCATGTTGAGGTATGGATACGAGTGCACTTCTGCATCTCTTCCATTCAGGCTCTCTTTACGCACTGGTCAACCCCTCACAACTGCTACTCGAGTTGAAGTTTAGAATTGAAGACAAGGAATATGAGAATTTCAATATCGTTGATTGCTGTAGTCTTCGGCTCCGTGGCTGTTTCGCTGGTATCTCCCATGACACCTTCGCTCATTACACGGCAGCACGGTGGAAAAGTAGGCTCGAAGGTTGCTAGTATAGGGAAATGTCCAGTGAGCAGTTCTCAATCGGCAGAGTCCAACCATGAATTTGCACTGACGGCAATATAGAAAGACTGCTGGAATGAAGCTGCTGTAAAAGCGAAGTGCGATCCTAACAAAGACGACCGCTGCTTATGCGGACCCTTCCTGGACGCCGTGACGTTGTGTACAAGCCAGACTTGCAACCTTGCGGATAATCTTGGTATGCTGCGCTCGCTTTGAATAGGGGAAGTCCTGATAGTATGCTGACATATAGACTACAGCTGCGTTGAACTTCCTCGAGCCTGCGTGTAATTGATGATCCTACCGCGATATAGTTTGGAGTAAGGGCGGAGGTTGGAGCACGGAGCGGCTCCGATACTCAGGCCAAGAACTCGTGACAACGCCAAAGCGTAGCGACGGGGCGAATAGAACTTATATTCTTCAACATAAAGTTAAGGTCGGGACTTTTGCCCAGCGGATCAGGATGGTAAATCAACGAGCTACAGTCTAGCTCATAAGATCGACTATGCGTCCACTAGCATGAATGCCGATCGGATGGGGTAAATCCACTGTTTTGTGCTGGCGCAGGAGATCTTGGTTTGCGAATGCCTACGTTGGTCGTTAAGACTTCCACTCGGCCTAGAGGATGCATGGACAGCTTGGGGTACGCCTCTGAATGCATAGCTATTCGGAATGGAGCTGGAACCTTTCGTATCATTGCTATTGTTCCAAAAGATAAATCAAAGTTCTCATCCCTATGACGATAAAAACGTCATGTATTGATATCTCTCTTGGCAAAGCACGGATTTGTCGTCGTCATCAGCTCGTATACGAAGAAGATCGACATCGATTTGAGTTTTAACACGACTCGAGATATCTCTCGGGCGTACGGATTGATAGCGGGTATGACTCCAGTTGATTCACGGGGTGTAAGAACATCATGATCACTTTAGCATTATGTTGAGTACCCTTAACGAAGCTAATTCTGCTAGTGTTGTGATGTACTTCAGACTACCCCAGGAATGACATCAACAAGCTCATTAATGAAGTCAGGACAGCAGATATTCTTGGCGAGAATTGCGTGGCTTCATGCCATTCCCCGCTGTTCCTGGATTGCCTTGGCCTGGAGCCGGGCCTTACTAGGAAGGGAGGAACTTCTGGCCGAGGGCGTGCGGGGCCCCAGAGAAACTTGACCGAGATGATCATCGATGAGCAATCGAATCTCCCTTCGACGCGTAACCTGCTGCTCTGGGGTTTCAAGTGAGTCACCGCAATCCAGTGGGAGTGGTCTGCGTCGGCGAGGACAGTTGTCAGGTCGACAAGGGGTGGCCGTGTCGCATAATATTGTGCTGGGCAAGCACGTAACCCATTTTTAAGCGGGGCCCCGTTGAATGAGCGGATTGCGACTATCGGAAGATGAAAATCTTGCGGCAAAGGCGTTCCGAGATTAGGGCGGACGTCCGCAATTCGATATCAGATGCAAAATGAAGCTTTTCACCAACTGTCAATGAAACTGGATGACGGGCCTATGTTCGAGTTTTCCTCAACACCGACTCGAATAGGACGAGGGCGAACATCGGCATAAACCTGACGGAGGGTCCTGCTGGGGATATGATGTTGGGAAGGAGGGTCGCCGCCATCAAAGCGTACCTTGCAGACGCCCAAGCACTTTGATGATACAAGTGGCCAACGCGCCACACTCGGCGGAGCCCCATTCTTTGTCAGCGCGCCCCGCTCCGACATCATCCGATCCACGTGTTAGACACACAAGATGTCTTTTGCTGGCGCGACAAATTTGCTGTGGTTCGGCTCGGCATTGGCCTATACTCGGAGTAAGAGTCCCGCTGGCAAAGTTTCTAATAGCGGGGCGAGCTATTGAGGGCTAGCAGCATTCTGACGATTTCCGAGAAAGAATAGGTGAGAATAGCGGACCCTGAGATGAGTTTGCACGGCAACATCTCGATCTGTACACTGCTGCCAGATGATTCATGACGACTTTTGACCTCTGCTGGGACGCAGTCGGAGACGCAGTGTTCTCGCGTAGGCAATATTACCAAGACCCAGGGGTGTCATACCCTCGGGGCAGCCGGTCCGTAGCGGGAGAATATCCTCCCCCACGATCTTCTACGAAGTCAAGCATAGGGGCGCCCAAACGACAGGGGTCCTACAGGGCCAGCTTGGAGATGAATCTGGCCGCGGACATGCGCCTGGTCGACGCTGTGGGCCAATCTGACATGCTATAGGGTTGTCGTGATTTAGGCAGCCATCGTGCGCGAAGCAACATTTTGGTATTGCCGGTTGGAAGGGGTCGCTTCTCGTAGGCCCTACGCCACTTCTTCACCGACTTGCGTTTCATCTGAATATCCGGGAAGATGCATCGAAGGCGGGCCGTAGTGTAGGGTAACACGATCCAGCTCGGTAGAAGCCCCAGTCCGCGTTCTGGAGGACGCAGATGCAATATCGCGGTGAGGGGAGAAGGTCTCGGGAAGAGGATGGCTGTCCACCACTATTGCTTATTCTGCGCCTTCAGTACCCCAAGGATGGACATCCCCCACAGACTTGAAGGGCGTCCTCGACCAGCCCAGACTCCGGTGGGACACGATCAAAGCCACTGGGTAATATCAGGCGGGTGTTGAGAGGCTTCATTGGTCATCTGATGCACCAATAAGTGACATGTGTGAAGCGCTGTGGGAGATCGTCGACGCAATCCCCACGACTCCAGACACCAGACCAAGGAGGGGTGGGTTGGCTCGAGGATGTCTCTGAAGCAAGCAGCGAACCACTGAGAGAAGGCATCGTCGGCCTTGCATACGCCGGACATGCCTTGATCCTTGAGGGTGGGTGAATTGCTCTGCTGCTCAGTCATAACGTCGTACGCAGTTGCCCTCGTCTCACGTCCTATCCGCCAAAGCTGCAGGCGGAAGGACTTGAGCGAGCTGGGCGGAAAGGAGGACGCCCTATAACAGGAGAGAGCAGCCACATGTACTGGAGATCTCGATGCAAACAAAAAACCCCAGATAGTGACTTCTCCAGGTCCCCCATACAAAGCCAGCTGTTCTCTTATCTCTCTCCTCTCCCCCATGCCCAGTCCAGCCACGACGGCCACAGGTATATTTTGGCAGCACCGCGTCGGCAACGTTGCACCATTCTCTCTGACTGCCTCACTCGCCTCACGTACGCTTGTTAGCTCCCAGTTTGCTCGGGGCGCCCCCTTGTCTTGTTGCTGATACATGGACGGTGGTATTCCCGACAGCCTCACGTAGCCACTGCAACATCACCGTTTCCAGCGCTCCGCTCGCCGACACTCACCGCTACAGAGATTTTCAGCTGCAAATTTCTGCAAGTGTGCAATTACGTCGATGCACGCAACCTGTGCAGCTCCACAGATAGTGTCCCATTCATCAAAAAAACACGAGCCAGGCAAGTTCCGCCAGGCACCGTGTGCCATCACATTCCGCTGCAAGTAACCAGCTCGCCAAAAAAAAGTGCGCCATCGCTGCGACACACACGATTGCGAGTCTTTTTTTTCCCTGCATCCGCCCCAGACCCAAGTCATCATAATTTGCAGGCCCGCTTTCCTGATACGTCTCCGCGACTCGGTCAGCCCAGCCGCAAGTGTTGGCGCACCGCGTTTCCTTCTCTGCCTCGCTCCGGCATATCCTCGCCCGCGTCAGCACAGACAGCCCTGAGGGCCTTCTCTCGACCCCCACACGCCCGCCGAGTTCAGATCCATACATATATCCGAAGCCCCCCCATCATCCCCCTTCCCCCAACTTTCAAACCTCGGTCACATGCAATCCTCTACCTCCTCGACAGGTTTTGGAAACCTGCTCAACCCGGACAACTCTACTACTACTACTACTACTACTCAACATCCCCACCACCTTACTGCAAACTCGACACCAAATTCTTCCATGGCTACTGCTACCGTCAGCCTCATGGCGCCCCTGCTCCAGAACGCCCCGCAGCAACAGTCCCAGGACGAGTCTCGAGTAGACCTGCCCCGGCCTTACAAGTGTCCTTTGTGCGATAAGGCTTTTCACCGTCTTGAGCACCAGACTCGCCATATCCGAACCCACACGGGAGAAAAGCCCCACGCCTGCACTTTTCCAGGATGCACAAAGAGATTCTCCCGTTCTGATGAACTCACTCGGTACGTCAATCTGTACCTCCCTACCCTACGCATCTAGTCTAACAAACGACAGCCACTCGAGAATACACAACAACCCCAACTCAAGGAGGGGCAAAGGCCAGCAACATGCTGCTGCCCACCAGGCTGCTGTAGCAGCGGTTCAGGCTGGCCTCATGGAGTCCGCTTCCAGCAATGCGTACATGATGCCTCCTCCGCCAAAGGCCATCTCACGCAGCGCTCCCGCCTCCAACATCAGCTCACCCAATGTCTCGCCGCCTCACTCGTTCTCGAACTACTCGCCCAGCATGGGCAACGATCTGGCAGCGTATCGCTCGTCAGGTTTCAACAGCACCAGCACTAGCAGCAGCACCAGCCCCAACGGTCTGTCTCGTCCCATGGATCTGCTAGCCGACGCTGCGTCAAGGCTCGAACAAGGTCCCGGCCATCGCGCGCACTCGAGTCGACACCACCTCACCAGCGCTTACCACCCGTATGGCAACCGACTACCGGGACTCTCCCAGTACGCGTACTCGTCACAGCCAATGTCTAGATCACATTCGCACGAGGACGATGACCCGTATGCGCATAGAATGACCAAGAAGTCAAGACCTGGCTCGCCCATGTCGACTGCCCCGCCTTCGCCAACATTCTCGCACGACTCTGCGAGCCCCACGCCCGACCACACGCCCCTGGCCACACCTGCACACTCACCTCGACTAAGACCACACGGCTTCAACGATCTCCAGCTCCCGCATCTACGCCACCTGAGCTTGAACCAAAACTATGTGCCCGCTCTCGCGCCCATGGAGCCCCAAACGGATCGCGAGCTGCCCTATGTCCCGAGCCAGTCCTCGGGCCTGCGTATCGGCGACATCATCTCAAAACCAGAAGGCGCACAGCGTAAACTGCCTGTGCCGCAAGTTCCCAAGGTCGCAGTGCAAGACCTGCTCAATGGCCCAAGCAACAGCGGTTTTTCTTCCGGAAATTCCTCCGCCACGGCTTCGTTAGCCGGCGAAGACCTGTCGCATCGCGTCTAAGCTACTCTCAACTCTCTCACACACTAGCATGGCACCGGCGTTACTGGCAGCATACCTATGGGCTTCGTCATTTTCTCTGTTAGCGAGCGTTATTTGGGATCCTAGATATGGGTATACGAGGGTAATGCCTGCGGCTTATCACGATTTCATTATTACGCTTGGGCACCAGGCCTCGCGAATTTACTATAGACTTTCTTTTTTCAGCTTCCTTTGTCGGATCCAATACCCCCCCGCACATTTTGGCGGCTTTTGTATATGTTCCACGCGGCCTTGCTTGTTTGTTCAGCTTCGGGCGTGTGGGGATGCTTGCTTATTGGCAAGCGGGCGGTTAGACAGGCCCCTCTAAGCTCAGCGCGTAATTGAAACTGGATTTTACCAAGTTACTCCACCCTCGCAGTGTGGCATTACGAGATATTATCAACTGGTGAAAAGTTTGCCGTGACGTGATTGCCAACCCCGGTGGTGCAAACAGCAGAGACCAAGCAGGGCAAGGCATACGGGCCTTTGGGATACGGTATGTACATCTAATCTGTCTCGTTACCCCGCAGATATCGTTTCCCGATCCAGTCTTTGTATCAGGAGAGCATCACACATCACGACTCATACTCCACATTTGTTGCGTGCGTCTGCACCACCCACACCCACACTTTGCGCCCGCCTGTGGGGTGTCTCTGTCTCACCCCGGACGGGCAAAGATACGGTGAGAAAACCACGGGACGCACGACGCAAGTGTCTCAGTCGCCCTGTGTGCAACACACCAAACAACAAACGGCCCCATAGCCATGGCGGCAGCTATTCTTGTCCTCGTCCACATTCCTTGTAAGACGCGATAAGCCACCCCCGTGTAACACGATACTCCGCCTTCTCCGCAAATCGCGAATGCCAGGGACAAGGTGTCATCATTTTCCCTTAGCGCCTGATGCTGCTCTGAAATTTGTTTTGGCAGCGCAGCCAGCCTGCGCCATTCTTTCTGCTTGCGGTGGTTACCACTTCCGAGTTCGGAAGGTACGGGGGCTGCCTTGGTTTGGTGGGAGTGAAAGGGAGGGGGGTGAGCCAGTTTCCGTCATCCTTGCTGAAAATCTCTCTCCACACAACATGCCTTATCTCTCCCGCCCTCGTCGTCGCGAGACAAGGTGGGCTCTCGTCGGCAACCGTCGGGTCTTCTGCCACCCATACGACGCCATACGCTAGTCGGCGCCTCTCATGCTATCAAATATTAAAATTCTGCCGGCTGGTGAATTCTCACAGATATGCACCCCAGACTGGACCGCAGATAGCGACTGTGGAGAGCTGCTGCATGACGATCTCGACCTCTTCATGTGCGAATCGGTACACTTAGCCGATGGGCTTGCACTAGCTGAGGGAGTCGGGCCGGCATACTAACATACAAAGGCTGTGGGTGATCGTACGTAGGTGTATCAGGGGGAATCACCGTGCCGACGCCTGACGCCGACAAGCGTTCCACCAAGGCGTCAATAAGGGGCCCAGGGGGCGAATGTCATGACCACACATCTCAGTCGGTACTTTGCCCGAGACTGTCATCTTGGACCTCGTTGCGGTATCAGAGTCAAGGCCAATCTAGTCACGTATCTGCGCACCGTGGCCACTAGTCAAGCACGCCTTCACCTAATCAAAGAGTCAGATGGCCAAACAAAGATAAGAAAAGTGAAATGAAACATCTCCATAAGCCACTGACTTCTCCACCAGGAATGCAACTAACGGAACAATCGCGCAACTTTTCCGGAAAATACAACCGTCCCAATCCTTTAGGTCCACGCATCCCCGATAACATGCTCGCAGCGACTAAAATTCTACCAAGGCTCTCCGCCCCTTGCTGTCTCGGCCCTATGCTAGGCAAAAAGATGCGCGTCTGTTGACCACCAAGGAACGACCTAGAAGCTCGCTAGACGTGAGCTTTGTCTCCCGCCTGTGGGGTCTCCACACGTATCGCACCGTGCTCTCAAGCTGCCTTCCTGGTCTGGAAATCCGAGCGGATAATGCGGACGGCTCGAGTCAGAGGAGGCTGGAGGATTTTGCGGCTGATGCATCGAGGTGCTCGGTGCTATGCCGAAGAAAATGCACCACTCAGAGCATAGCATGGGGAAGTGGGTACCTGGATGTACTCCTCGATGCGGCTGGACTCCCGCTATCGCAGAGCCTCCGTCTCCGGTCACATGTTTATCACCATGGCGGAAAGGGTAGCTAACTGCGTGCAGTAACACGACGATGCAAACGTCGTCGGAGTGAGTTTTACCATCGGATGCGCTTATCGACTGGAAGAATCCAAGTGTCGCACCACGACCAGTCCTCCGCTTTCCCTGGAGGAAAATTGTCGTACGCACGCCGCTGTGCCGTTTCTCCATGAGATTCTCCATCCGAGAATGGGGACTAATCAAAGGAGAACGGCTATCGAATCTTCGGACCGCGTTCTTGCATCGGAGTGCCCTAGCTTTTACTGCACTCCTACTGCCAACGGAAGGTTTGCTTTATCCATACTCTGGAAAGTACTTGTTGAGATGCGTCCGCGTGCGGGGGTATATTATGCTCCTGCATACGCAGGATCTGGCGCGACGTTATTCATCTAAATCCAACGGAGTGTACCAGGCTGCTGGTATCTTGAAGCGACGCGAACACGAAGATCCAGGTCCGTTGCAATATATATTTTGCAGATCTACTATCCGCGGTCATATAGAGTATAGTCAAAGGTACCCTGCATCAGTGCGATGCTGTGCAGCTTTGACCGCTGGTTCATGGAGAATCATGGTGTTGAGGGGTGAGAACTCATCGAGGACTTCTATGTACGAGCTCCGCACGAGCAAGGACATGCATACATTGGACTTCTGCAAAGGACAGAATGATTGGTGAGGGTTTTGGTATCTATCACCAGCCATCCATTCCACCGACACCGAACCACTTGCAAACCTAAACAACCTCAGCATCACGATACAATCCCCAGTCTGACCTCACCATGACGCACATTTCACATGTCTAACAGCAAACCCGCACTTCAGCTGCTCCTGCGCGTCACCACGGTTGTACTATCGGTGAAGCGACCGCGCATTGCATGCATCTGCACCTCAATCAAGCGCAAACAATCGAACGAGCAAGACGCTCTTTTGTCTCAACAAGTTGCTTCATGAGCGTATCAGCGCTGCAGCTACGCGCACCTGCAATATCACGATAGTACGGCCACAGATTGGCGAAAGCTCGCCAGACACGCACGTTGGATAGAGTGCACCACATGCACGCGCGTCAGCCATGCCCCCACTCTACACTTGAACACTTGGCCCCATTTTCAAACCTCAGACGTGTACGCCGGTCTAATTGCTGTTGTATACGGCTGATATATGATCTGAGACATACGACTGTTCAATCACAACTGCATACGTCGGTGCGTGCTATATCATACATCTGTTGGGTATAGGAGGGGTATAGTATAGGGCATAGTATCGTGCATTGTTGAGCAATGTACATATACGTACCTTGCATAGTGAGTGAGTGTCAGCACGACTAGTCTCTCACATGCCATGCCAACATCACCCTACCCACTACCCTACCTTTTCTTCACCTGCAACAACCCCAAGCAGCTCGCTGGCTGACTAGCATGTGAAACTCAACTCGGTCCTGTTCAGGGGCCTAGCCACTGCATTGACTGGCCCCCCACGCCAAACCAACCCTCCCGCAAACTCGCGAACTTCCCCAGACGGATGGAGAAACGTGCCTCGAGTACAGCCGCGGTACGTACACTCACTCCATGTCGGACCGAGCTCCTCTCGGCGACCGACCTCACGTCACCTCCTGGCCAAATGTCGCAGATAAATGGATGGTGGTACCTGCACGGTTGTATTCAGCCGCCCGCCCATCCAGCGGAGGTACGTGGCCCGAAGTATCTCATCTCTCTCCTCCTCCCACCCGGGTTATCTCGGAGCCGTGGATTAGGTGCGCACCGGCTTGGTGTCTAGCTTGGTTTTTCTTGGGTGATGATCAGGAGTTGCGATGAGCTAACAAGCCGCAAGAATGAAGTTCCGGTGGCTATGACGGAACAGTGTGGAGGTGGGTTTTGTGGATAGGAGAGGGTGGGATGGGCCTTATTCTCCCGCCCCGTTGTGGGGAACTTCGGGGGAATTTTGGGGAGGCTTCGGGGTAATTGATGGTTATGACGATTGTTATTGTTGTTGAACTTGCACGGTGCTAGGCATTTGATAATGATCGTTGCTCATCGCGATGATAAACGATGGTCTAGGCCTTTAGTTTTTGATCGTCAATTAACCTAGGTGATGTCCCTTCCGCATCGAGCCATGTGGAGCGCAAACACCAATATTGTTCTTCTGATCATCACGACTTGGCAGGTCCTAATATCTGAAAGTAAATTGATCAACTTCCATTTCATATTGTTGTTGTCTTGCTACGATCAACCTCTCAACAAAGCTCTGCACCATTACTCGCCCAAATCACGCAATACAACAATCAACAAATACCCTAAACAACTATGACGATACTTACACATGCACCAGTATGAAAGGTCCGATTGCACACATGATCGTCCCGCCAGCACACCAAGTCCAGAATCCTGCTTTCTTTCCCATCTTCGATCCCAGTTAGCTTTGCCATGCGAACTTCGCATACCAGCACCGCATGCGGTGTGGGCACGTTGTAGAGATCGGCTTATTTGACTTAATCCACTAATTTGCAATGCAGTACTCGTGGGGTATGCACGCGATCTGGTGTATCATGCTCGATCACGGCGACACTTAGCCTTGCTTCTCTGATCGCATACACTAGAGGGAGTGAGGACGTCTGATGCCATTCGTAATGCGTTGGGCCCCGTAATCTTGCTACGATGTCGTACGGTGAGGATTAAGGAGGTGACAATAAGCTACATACGCACGCTCGCTGCTATATGTGAGCAACCTATGGTGCTCCACCTGCAGCCTTGCCCAGGTACGAAACGAGGTACCTCGACAACATGAAACATATCGTAGGACGTATAGCCTCGACTGAGGCTGCGCAACGCACTGACGTGGTGAATATAGACCGGAAGAAGGATGCTGAAACAGTCGGATACTACTCTTGCATGAGGATGGCATACCGCAATGGGAAGTTTGAGCGCATGTCGGGTTACACGAGGTTACATACGGTTACACGGTCACGTATGTCTAACTCGTCGCTTATACAGTCACATCAAAGCATGCTCAGGCGATTTTCAGCACAGAGTAAGCGATGTTGTACAGTCTCATAGAGGGATGCGAAAAGTCACAAGTACCTTAAGCATTTGTGATGGTGTTTGGGTATTGCTTTCTGGTCATGCTTTTCGAGGTAGCGGCTTGGTAGCTGATGATGGCGAGGCTTCGCAAGTACCTGGCGGAAAAGGTGCAACATTCATCAGGCATTCTGGAAGCGATGTCACACCGTCTCCTACTCACATAATGATTGATGATAGGATCCTCTGAAAGTCACGTCTTTCTAGGAATATGACCTAAGACCCCCAGTTCGACGAAGCGACTTGAAGTAGACACTAAGATGTCGCGAGCAAAAGCACACATGGCATCATGCCTTTTCGCTAATCTATGCCACTTCTGCTCGGATAGCTTCCTCGTCTCTATGTCACCATTAAACAGCCACATTTACAAGCGGTTGCTTTCTGTGTCATCAGCGTGTTGTCCCCATGCACGGCTGCTTGGTTTCGACATCTACCCGCGCTTCTCTATTCGCATACCTCGCGAACCCGGCACAGCAGATGCCGAGCAATGTCACTGCCAGCTGGTTCTGCATACACTTCCGTCTCCATTTGGATGATAGGTCTCCTGCCTGCAGCGACATACGCGGAGAAGGCCATTGTGGAGAGTGACGTGGGATCGGTGACATCGCAAGGCTCAAGCACCTTCTTCATGCAGCACATGGTTGTAAGCGAGTAAGATTGTTGTTACGGTGATCCTTGGCGGAGTCGATACTATGTGCCAGAATAGCTCTCGTACGCAGACCAGCTCTTTCTCCGGATACGTAATCTGTGGGGTTGCTGCCCAGTCAGTGTAGGTTTCATAGGCGTTGTGCTTTGTATGACGTCGAGGCGGTGAACTGGAAGGCCCAGATTAGATTTTCGTTGGCGCTGCTGGCGACGAGAAGGCTTGCTAGACTAGTTGATAACAGAAGCTCCGCGGGATGCTAGGTTATTCATCGGTTGTACTGTCGAATCTGAAGCGCCCCTATAGAGATAGAAGGACCTTATTGTATAAGTGGCTTGCTATGTCTTCTCCAACCGGTCATTAGGCGAACCATCATTCGACATCCAAAACACACCATAAGCAATACCCCCACGCTCAGGCGTCCTATCCAACCCCGCTGACCCCAGACTCCTGCCGCCACAAAGTCATGCGTATCCAGATGAAGGACGACTTTTGCCGGTCAGTCGACCCGTGAGACTGGATCTGGGGGTGCTTCCCCGATCCCTGCCGCAGCTTAGTGTGCCCCAGTACCCCGGACTGACATATGCACGTGCGAAAGTTCATTATCGAGGAGGCAAAGTATGCAATGTTTACTTTTTGCTGCTTCTCGGCCCGTAGAACCCTGAAATAGCACTGCACACCGCTAGTGTGGCAAACCAGAAGCTAAAAGTTGGGAATGTGATAAGGAGAGGATGAATGCAGTCATCCTAGTTCCGTCGGAAGAATTGCACCTGCTCAGGCTAGCGTGTGTAGTGAGATAACAATCGGACGCTGAGTATAGAAACGGGCAGTTTTCTGATGTCAGAGTGCTTGATGTCGTCTGCAGCAGGTGTTTATTGCGCAGATGTGGTGTGTGGTTGATTATCCTGGGGTTGGTGTGTCTGGCCGACCCCACACGGCTGAATAGCGAACCTATGCCTTGGGCCGTGGGTGTGCCCCTGTCCTGTTGGTCTGAATGCGAGGTTTCGGCCTTGATTGGAGGCTTCGTGACTGAGAATGTGCCATACGAGCTTACCCCAGATATCAGCAGATACTCACCGATAAGCACAGTTGTGGCACAGCAGAGCCTAACGGAAGTACGCCCCGATGGCAAGGTAGAAAGGGAGGGGTTTATCCGAGCTTCTAGAATCAGATCGTGGTCGTTCGTGCCACCTTCTTGTTGCGGTCTCTTGCAGTTTCTTCTGGTCGAGCTCCTGTGGCGTGAACGTTGTCGGTTGCAGGTACTTCATCAATCAATAACCCCTCAGCAGCGACTTCATCATCTTCTATCCAACCATAGAGCTCATCAGAATTGGGCTCTTCGCCTGCATCCTCGTCGATCTCGGCGAATGGCCTTTTAGACGGTCTCGCCTGTGCTGGGAGAAGCACTGAAGCTGTAATTTCGTCTGCAGCTATGCTTATATCGCAAAGGCCAGACTGTATCGTGTCAGCGGGAGAGCATGGTAGAGGATATATTATGCATTTCTGGCATGTAGGCTCTGCGGGTAGTAGATTGACTTACTTTTTCGACCGTAAAGGGGACCACGTTGCCCACGCCGCCTTCCTCAGCGAAAGCGACGCCATTTGCCTTGACGAGGCCGGCGAACCGGGCTCTTCCTGATCTATCAGCGTCTGCTGTGTCATTTTCCTTTCCTTGGCGCGCCCAGTCCCTGAACAAGACCAATCGAGTGGAGATGCCATTCTCCCATTCAACCCCTGATATTGCTGGAACCAGTAGTGCCCGCGATGCACCCCGAATCCGGGTGATTGTTGGATTTGCGATGAGTAGCGCAATGTCGTGCAGCGCAGCAAACCTAGTCAATGTTGAGATCAACTCGTTAATCACCGCAAACCTGCGTCCTGCAGCCCATCGTGACTGGTCCGTCTTGTTCTTCGCTATACGGTCGTCTGTATAACGGGGGTATGCATTATCTATGAGCGTTGAGAGCGAGTCGATCACGATTAGACTCGTATTCTGCGGGGGATATGAAGCAGGCGAATGCACGAAGAGCGCCAGGAGATGGGCAAGCGTTGGCGCCGCGAAGTATTGGACGTGACTGCGCAGCACATCTAGGGAAGTTTCTCCGGGCGCATTGTTGAGTGTAGAGAGGACGCTGTCGAAGCGGTGCTTGGTCAAGGGCGCGCAGGCAGCGTCTGCAGGCAATTAGCCCTCATATACAGCAATCACAGTGCGCTGGGACAACAGGGACTGTACGTACCAACCCAGACAACACGCTGGCCCTCGCGCAATGCACACACTGCGGCCTGAATCCTTCGTCTCTCAGTCTCCATTTATCTCGAGGAAGCTGCGCCACGGCCACATTTACCCAAAGGCTGTCTTGCCGACTCCTGACGGTCCGAAGACCTCTGTCACTTTCCCGCGCATATACCCGCCCGAGACATCATGGCCCGGGAGGCTGGCAGGGGCGAGGAGCTTGTTGAGCTGCGAGATGCCAGTCGAGACAGTGCGAGCCCCGCGTGCTTGGAGGGTTTGGAGGGCTTGAGATGCGGAGACGGTGGGCAGCCTATCTATTGTAGCATCAGTCTAAGCAAATAAGGGCAAGGGGTTCAATTGCGTACGCGATAACGGGGAAGGGAAAGGCGTGTCTTCACCAACCATGGTGTCGTTGCTTTGCGGTCACCCAAGCTGTGACGGGAGAACTCGGACTGTGCTCTAATCTCGTGATGTGACGTTGCTGTGTGGCATGACGCGACGCGTTTATTTAGCAGACACTAATGTGTGGAAGTTGATGGATGGGAAATGCTTTGCGCGTTAGCTAGAGTCAATGATGCGCTCCAACACGATGTCACGCGACCCCGCGAACAGCAGCACATGACTCGCCCCTTCATCACGTCTGGTGTCCTCATTCAAAGATTCCTACCACCGAGCACAGCTAGACACAAGCCACTACGTTCTCCTAACTTCAGGCCTGGACCTAATCACCTTCTCTCTCGGTCGTAGCGTGGAAGGAATTTACGGCTGAGCCCTTGGCATGGATTAGCGATGATAAGAGCCGCATTCTCTTGAGAGTTCGACCGAACGACAACCCACGAAACAGCCGATATTGCGTAGAAGGCACATAAATATGTCGACTAATGTATTCGACCACTTCATTACAGTAACTGGTATCAAGCAGATCGTGAATGACGCATCACCCTCGGCCATTATCGTTACGTTCTCCATCGTTCTTGCGCCCTTGCTGGCTCTCCTTATACTCGCCCTCAGCCAACGCCCTAGCCATATCCCACCTCCCGCGGGATGTCGCAAACTCGGCCTTCAAGGACGAAGCAACCTTGAAGATCAGTACTCTAAGAAATATGCCAAAGGAGCCGACCCCACTCCAGCAAAACCATGGACTGTGAAGGCGCTTTTTATCTACCCGCTAAAGTCCTGCGCACCTGTTGAGCTAGAAAAAAGCGAAATCGTTCGTACAGGATTGTCATATGACCGCCAATTTGCTTTGGGTCATTATGTCACGAGTCTGCCCTCGACAGAAGGCAAAGTCACAAGCGAATGGCACTTCATGACGCAGCGCAAATATCCGCGCCTTGCCAAAGTTGAGACAGAGATTTGGGTTCCCGATCCATCAGCAAAAGGCTATCAAGAAGACGGGGAATGGGTAAAGAGCGAGGGCTGTCTTGTAGTCCGCTTCCCCTTCTCCCCGGATACCGATTTTACCGTGGAAGGCCTCCTGAACTACGGCAAGATCCTCGCAGCAAAGTTGGCGAGAAAGGCAGAGCCTATGCTAGAATTCAGGGTTCCGTTCAATCCGCAGAGCAGCAGGATTAAGAGCAAGGGATACAAAAACGAGGTTCTGCGCATCTGGAAAGATAATCCGGTAGCGTTGAATATGAGTTCAGAGGTCGATCCGGAGATTCTGTCGAAGTTGGGGTATACTCTAGGGACTACAAATCCCATTGCGCTATTCAGAATCGACACGAATAAATATCGGGAGGTGCACAAGTGTGCGCCCAAGGTTGAGGATGTGGGTTTCCAGACCGTCATTGGAATGCAGGATTCGGTATGTCACAAACGCTACTAACAGCCCTCAATGTTGAGAAATGAGAGAGCTGTGAAACCCTAAAGCACTGTGTGCTAATGATTATTACAGTATCCTATCCACATCATAAATCTCGCCTCGGTCCATCACGTAGCAGAGAATCTTCCAGGCCTTACCAAGAGCGAATACGCTTGGCAGAACTACCATACACTCCTCAATGCCCTGCGTTTCCGCGCAAACATATATATCACTGGCCCACCAGCTTTCCACGAGGATAATTGGACAAAAGCAAAAACTGTCTCGCCTGCTAACTCAACCCCAACCACATACCACATCTCCTGTCGCACAACCCGCTGCAAACTACCAAACGTCGACCCAGAGACTGGCATCGCTGATCGCAACGAGCCCATGACCACGATGCGCAAGTATAGGGTCATTGATGAGGGGAGTAAGAGCGCATGTCTTGGTATGCAGGTCACGCCGTTAGGAGATGGAGAGGTAAAAGTTGGGGATAGTATTGAGGTGCTAGAAACTGGGAAGCATTTCTTTTTGGGTGGGGAAGGGAGCAAAGTCGACGGGTGATGAGGGTGTTTGATCCACGACATGCGTAGCAAAAGCGAAAAGTTTTCATGATCGCAAAGTAAGCTTTCTAGATTCTCGAAGAACGTGTTAACCTCAGCGAAACGGCCCTTTTCTAGCTACTCATGCCTACTCTTTCCCACCTTTGGCAATGATACCTTCGACCCACTTCTCCAACTCCTCACTCGCGCTGTGTATAGGTATGTGATCGCATTTGACCCTCGTAACATCGACCTTTTTTCCCTGTCTCTCTGTTCCCTTCCAACTCTCTTCGATGACGTTGATGGCGGTCTCCTGCACCTCCGGCACAACACAGAGATCATCCTCGCAGAAGAACCAGGATACTGGGACATCTTTGTAACCGTTGTGGGTGAGGTTAGTACCGAAGGAAATGCTAGATTGTTGACGCAATGTCAATAGATACCCTTCCACTTGAGAATTGAACAATGCTTACCTGGCGTGCTTGCCAAACTTCGCAGCCTCCGCAGTGCCGCGCTCTGGGGAGAGACTATTGTACACAATAGCGGCGGTGAGATCGGGGCGCGGCTGGAACATCCATCCGTCCTCCTAACGAACGCCAACGTCAGCAATGTCCTCCATCAAGCTCCGACTTCCACTGGGGGATGACAACCAGCTGACTTACATCGATCTCAATTGGCGGTGCGCCACCCTGAGCAGCAGCACTAATCACTTGTGCCAAGTGCTCCCCAATCTTCGGCACGATGGCAGTTAGATACGCAACTCTTACTACACCCCCCTTTTTGCCCTGCGCCTCCCTCTCCTTCTTCGTTACGCCTTTCAGTGACTCGGTGGCTGGTGTGCCACCGTACGAATGTGCCAGTAGCACAATGTCCTTCCCCTCTTCGGCGAGCTTCGTCACGAAAGCGTTAATGAACGCAGCGTCATCGTACATGCTGGGAGAGGGGGTGCCTTTCTTGTAGCTTGCTGGAAAGCACGGCGGGTCAAGCGCATGGATGATAAGTCCTTTCGCCCTGAGGGGCGTGATGAGGGGTTCATAGAGTGCGGAATACGCGAAGGAACCTGGGACGAGTACGAGCTCATTTGGGTGGGTTGTATCGGACATGGCGGTTGATGTTAAAGTCGCCTTGGGAAGAGGATATGCGTTGGGGCGTGCTTAGCGATCTTGCGATGCTGGTTGTCTCTTAGTAGAACAAGGTGTTTGAGGTAAGAAGGTCAATGGCGATGCTGCGCTGGATACATATAGTCATGCTGGCTCCCCCTCTTATAGATGTGTGCTTATACTGTTGCGCCATACACTCGTAGGCGCCATATTCTCCACTAGGTACATATGGCTACGGTGCAACTATCATCCGATGGGACGTTCACTAGAACACTGCACCTTTAATTCGCACTAGGCGATGCTCGCTAAAACACTTCCTCCATTTTCGACATTCTAGATTCGAATGCGCGGCTTTGTCCTAGTGATGACTACGAATTCTGACATCCCGAGGTCAGACTTTCTGACGAGTCGCCGAGAACATGTCAGAAATTAGTGCTACAGCTAGTACCGATGAGGCTAGGACTGCGTCAACGATGACGGGACAAACCTCTGAACGGACGAACATTAGACACAATTGTGCTCTTCCTTCGCAAGTCACATTCAAGTCTGGCATAAATAAGAGAACTGTGGAACCGTTTGGCTCAAAGTCATTGAGCCATAAAGGAAGACTGTCGCCGTGGAAGCATCGTGTATGTAAATTGCAATTGCGATAGACACCAACATAACAGAATACAATATCTAAACAACGACATATGCCCCCTTATGAGTAGGAGACGCAATTCAAGCTATTCTGCGCGTCGCGTATGCAATGACGAAAATATCGAGTTCGTCTACCTCTCACTGCACCAAGGTAAACACGTCAAGATAAGAGAAGTAGAAGCGCTGGAGACTTTTCTGCTCAACAATCAGGCAGCTATGGCAGTTGTATCATGGCTTTGTTCTATCATAGCGCTTACTGAGTGTAACCTGCCTTCATCATACCAGTCGACGCACAATGTCCGTCTGTCACACGCTAAAGCCTCGCTACCACTATTGACAATGTGAACGCTGTAGCATCTACCTAGTTCTCCCTACCTTTACTCTTCCCAAATCCCGATCTAGAATCTAAATCGAGCAAAATTACTCATAAAAGTTGAGTATGTCCAGCTACAAATTTCAGAATTCTTTCTGCCAAAAGCCGCCGGGACAGGTGAATGGGAACTCTCTAGATCCGCACAAGTCCTGTTATATTTGCTTTGACACTTACAACCCTATTACCGGTACTCATATTTCCGAAGAGCCGGTTCAGCTCGCGTGCGGACATGTCTTTGGAGCCGCTTGCATAGAGAAGTGGATCTCGATTAAGAACACATGCCCGCTCTGCAGGACCGAGATCTACTGTGCCAACAATACAATGGCAGACCCTCAATCACGATTTGAAGATATATGGCTTGACCCAGACATTTACACGGTGTATCATCCCAACCCTGACGAAGAAATGCATTGCCCCGCCAGCAAAGCAAAACGTCGCTCAACTCGTCGCAAGGTTTCGTCATCTGATCACACGGAGATTGAGGATGTCTGGGTCTCAATAGCCTTCGATGATGATACTGACGATGATGTTGATTATCATGGTTCCCCTGAATTCACGGCTCTGGTTCTTTTCGGACACGAGTTTACGTTGACGCCGTTCGATAAACAACCCAAGTTCGCTGATTTAGATTCACTGTTTGACGACCTTCTTGCTGGTCACGAACAGTGGATGGCTGAGTCCATTGGCGACGCCGAAGTTGAAGTTGAAGAGTATGATCTGTGTGGTTTCCTGGTGTAGCTTGATCGCTTGGCCTTTCAAGCATATTTACTTGCTCGCGAAACGGAAATCATGATTTCATAAGTATTTTTCAGAAGGTCACAGGTGAGTTGAAATCTCAACCAGGCTGGCCCTGTTGAGAGAGCTTGCATAAAAACTCATGTTTATCTTCTAAGGGCAATAGTCTATTGCTTGATTCTAGTGTTTATTTTAATAAAAGTACTTGTTGTAAGTCAATATCCATTTTGAATCCAAATTAATCCGTCACCGTTCAATCTCACTATGATCAGCTCACGCCATACAGGCACTTCACATTGTTCCCGATCCACAAGACCCACCAGGAGAAAAAAACCCGACTCCAAATTCAAGTCTTTCATAAACGACCGACAAGCAAAAAAGTAGCACATTACCATCCATCTTCGACACACATAATTATTGCTCCTTCCACTCAGACCCGACCTGACCTCCTCGTTTCCAACTGGATATATCTCCATTGCATGCATCCGAATCCACCTCCATCGACGCCGTCCGCCCCAGTGCAGACGGTCGTCGTTGCGAACTGCTCTTCCCCATCCAGCTAGTCATCATCTGCCCCACGCTATCTCTCAGCTCATCGCTATGCTTTTCGCACAGAGAATTACCATGCAACAAGATCTGTCTCGACGCAACGGGAATGCGCGCCGTGCAAGACGTATATGTGCACCGCAAAGCGCCCAGGGGCCTAGGAATTCCATCGGGCGGCAATGCCCCGGCTGAAGACGAAGTAGTGCTCGATGCTGATACGAAGGAACTATCCGAAGCAAAGGACGAAGTTGTCGTTGGCATGGTTGCTCTCCGTGGATGTATCAGCGGTTTGGGAACTGCGGAGAGCTTGTCGAGAGCGCTTGAGGCGGATTGTATACGCGCGGCTTTTGCCCGTTTATGATTGTCCTCGATTACTTTGTATTCCATTGCAAAGGTGGATAGCTGGTGGCTCATTGCTGCTCCTCGTGAGGGAATTGGACGGAGGAATGCGGTGCATTGGGTGCAGGCGCAAGATATGTTTAAATGTGGGACGAGAGTAATCATGTTGTCGGGCGGTCTCTCGGCAAGCGTGACGTTGATTCTGAAATGTGAATGTCGATCATATTGACATGTTTGCGATACTGACCGTATATGTCAAGATGTCTTTGGTAGGAAGAGCTGCATTGGTGCCGGTCTCTTTGTTCGAATGGTGAGACAAGAACCTCCACATTCCAGATAAAGCCTGCAGATGTCGATCGCGGGCGAGACAACGTGTCTTTGTTTCATGGTGTCTCGGTGTTTCTGTCTTAATTTAGAGCACGAATTGCGCGACCAAAGTACTGGGCCGCACCCTGTTGGTTCAAGAAGTTTCGTCGCGTTGCAAACAAAGACCATCTATTTAGTCTGGTCTGTTAGCCTCGCCTTACGTTTCATCTCATCGTGCAAATCGACTATTACCTAACTGCACTGTAACCTCGTATATTGCATTCCCGAAGGAGTATCCTTTGTAGCATGTCGAATCTAGACTTCCTTGCAGTTCGACCGCTACAGTGAGACTCGACGACTGTATTCTTAGAAAGGTAGTTACGTGCTAAGCCCTTTGTCAACATGGATAATTCTTTGCGCTCTTAATTTTGTGCGATACCTCGGCTGTCCTAGGGGGTTACTATACGTAAAACTGCTGGCAGCTCGGGGGATCGTTTGTGCGGTAGTCGAAAGCAGTAGTGTAAATTCGGGAACAAGCACGAGAGGAGAGGGGCAATGAATCAAGTTGACTCAATAGATTTTTGGGTGTAGCATTTGGTGGGTATGGGATCTACCGTTTGAACGTGTGGGTCTTCGCTCGGTGAGAGAGGATTGCACGGATTTTCTCTACATTTGATGCTTGGCAGCAGTGACGCCTATCTACATAAGGTAGCTATGGCATTCCTCCAGGACAGATAGCAGTAGGATGGAACAGATGGGGCGTAGTGCGACCCTGAGCGTGGCGAGAGTACATGGCTAACTTATTTCCTGCGGCCGCGGCCGTATCGGCAAGTCTACCTCAGCATCCGTTTCAGGTGGTGGAACGCCTTGCTCCCATCGATGAAAGACAGTCATGAAGCCGCGATCTCCCACACCAACACACCACTGGCCGTCTCGACTCCAACTAAACTGCCGAAATGGAAAGGCCTTGTACTTGGGTATCTCGATAATCTTGTGCGCATGGATCGAACGGAAAGGGTCGGATATACCTGTTTCTCGAGGCGGCTTCTTGCTCTTCTTCTGTTTAGACTTCGTCGAGCCGGCGCTGATGGCAGAAGAAGCGTTCGAGATTAAGCTTTCCTCGCGAGAGTATCGAGACAAGCCTTTTGCGCCCTCGGGCGGGTAGCCGTCTTGGCCAGGGCTAGAAGCTTCAAGGCGCTGGAGGTCCCAAAAATGAACTTTACTCTTATCATTGCCTACGGCGAGAATTGGGTGATGCCCAAGCTCGTGGAAAATAGAGAAGCGATTATAGAAATTAATAGTGTGCGGTAGGTCGAATTGCATAAGCCGCTGGAAGCGTCCAGGCCATGCTGATCGTGTATTGGATGTAGAGTTTGCGGGAATAGTGACTGGCGTTCTGCTGTTCACGGCACTTGAGGTAGGTATAGGCGCGGGCGGGATGACGCTGCGGTCTGAGTTGAATCCATCAATAGCCCACATTATGATCTTGTCTTCTCTGCAGGCATGGCTGAGGATAAGATCATTGTACCACTGGACACTACAACTATGTTAGTAATGGAAAATCCATCCGACTAATGGAGAACATGTCTGTCTAGACGGGGAGGTGTACCAGTCTACGAAATCGGTATGGATCTCCGTTGTGGAGAAGTGGGGATAATGGACCATTGCTGGTTTATCAGTCCCCGCATGCTCTTTCAGGTCGTCAGGAACAACCCACTGGCATCGTTAGTGAGGGTATCGACCACGTCAGTTATGTCATTTCATTAACAAAGCTTACGAGGTTGATCCTTGTATCCATTCCTGCAGACAAAATGTAACGTCCTTTGCGGTGGTATGCCTGTCGATGTTAGCATGTTGGGCCCACCTGCATCATGGACGTTTTGACAACACACCAGAGTTAGAACCTGGTCTTTGTGGCCTTGACCATGGCAGATGGCTGCGAGTGGTCTCTCCTTGTGAGTAGGCTGAAGGCTCCATAGCCGCACGGAGTGGTCTATGCTGCAAGATGCCATGATGGTCGGGTCAATAGGGGATACGGCGAGATCATTAATTTTCTGAGAGGTGTAAGACTTCCATCCATGTAAGTTCAGTGCATGTGGGCACTTACATCCCCGTGTCCTATCAATGTCTGAGTTGTCAGTTCATGCAGATGGGCTTGGTTTGGTAACGCACTGCCTCAAGCACACCGGTTTTGACGTTGAAGACGTTGATCTGAGGGTTGCCGGTCACGCAGACCAATGGGTCTCCATTTTCCGCTTGGGTCCACACGACACTGTTGTAACTCAGTGGCTACAAATAGAAACCAAGGTGGTCAGTCACAGTTGGGCAAATAAGCATGAAACATGGCATACCTCGCCTTCTGGAGCATTTTCGTCGGCACTCTCGAACCAGCGAAGGATCTCTATGGTGGAATCTTTCTCAAGGACGCATCGGTAGATTATAAGCTGGAGCCAATCAGCAACGCGACGATCCCAAAAAGAAAGTCGTACGCACAAACGAGCCTCCGCAGACTGCAAAAACCGGGTCGACGCCGGGCAGAGTGTAGGGATAGAACTTGACGTCAAAGCATTGGGCTAGAATGGTCAATCATTTACTCGATGAATGAGGAAAAAGCACTGAAGAGGGCGTAAAACTGCGTACTGGACATGAGCTTGTCAGACTTTGTTTGGCCCTACAGGGATTGTTAGTCGTAGCCGTTGAGCCCTGCATTGAGACCATGTATGTACCCCTAGGATGACGGTTCCCCTTAGGGAAGGTAGTTCCCATTGACTGCTGCCCATGATGAAGTACGGTCAACGGAATAGCTCGGTATGCGTGTGCTGGCAGAAAAAGCAGAGTGTTCAGACGATGTAGGGATTGATGTTGATGCCAATGGGAGGCTTCCTGGCGATACAGTGGCTGGCGTAGTGGGTCAGGTCGCGTGAGTTGTGCAGAGGAGAGTTTACCGGTCGCAGCAAGCAGGTCTTCGTCGGGCAAGACATGCAAAGGGGGATATCCCTTGCTCAGCGGGGATGCGCCCTCAGAGATGCCGCGTCCAATTGACGGCTGTCGGGCTGTAGTGGTGGTGAGGGCTGAATGAGCAGGCAGCCGGACGAGGTGAATGAGGCTTGGCGTGATGGCGATCGTCGATGGAGGGCGCTTTGGTTGGGACGAGTGGTGGTGATGGCGCAGTGCTACCCGGACACGACTACTTGTGCCAGAGCTGCTTTGTCCAAACTCTGATTCTGCCCGGGCGATGCTGCGTCAAGCGGCAATCTCAACCGTTCCGTTGTCGACGACAGGTCGATATTGACATGTTTAGTTTTGCGCTGATCATGGCCGCAACGAGAGCAGCAATGCAGGCTGGCTACGCTACTTCCGACGCCGCACACGTGCCCTGGTCAGCGAAACGGCAGTGCGCCAAGGGCGTTGCATCTGTAGCACGCAAATCATTCACCGTAGTCTGACTCGGTGTTTCTCTACTCCTACGAGACCGTCCTTGTACGCCCAGTCCCATTGCTTGCCCATCCATCACGGCAACCCATGTGGGACCCTTTGTACCAGCGGCCAATCCCCCCGCCTTGCCACCGCACCTGCCAGGCCCGGTCATGTTGTCCGCGTCGATCCCACTACTACTACTACGACGACGACGACGACTCCTCTTTGTACATAGCGACTACAACACGGCATCACTCCTCGTATAGGTAGCGAACCGGGGTTCGTCAACGTGCAGTTCGCGAAGCAAGCGAGCGTTTCCTCCTGCGCGCGCTGCCAGCCCTGCCAATTCTCTACGCCTCGATAGGCCGGACGGAATCTTCCCCCATTGCCTTGCCTGCCCGTGGGCGCTTTCGTCCCGTAACATCCTGGCTGCGCTTGGTGGTGACCCACCCACAAAGTCTACTAGCACTTCGGACGTAGGTTTTTTTCTTCTCCAGCTCGGGCGCCACGCTCAGCTCGGCTTCTTCGTCGCCTGGGGTGAGGGGCAAGCTTCACTTCGCCATTACATCATCCCTCTGACTGACTCGTACTCCCTCGACATACAACCCATACCCAACTCCCGTGCTTCGCTACTGCACCCAGTGCTACTGTGTCCCTCAACCTTATCCGAACCTTGACCACGGTGCGTCCAACGTGCTTCTGTGGAACCTGGCCCCTGCCTATATCATCTGGCCGCTGGCCCTCAACTGAGCCACGCTCCAAGTTTCTCTACACTCTTCCGCCGCTGGTCCCTGAGCGAATTATTAGATTCGAATTACTCCGGACTATAGCGGTTGAGGAAGGACACTAGTCTATCATCTCCAATCCACCCCTTCACGGTGACTACGCCAAAATGGATACCACCTTCATCACCATCCACGGTAGGTCATGGCAACCGCTTTGACACAGACACACGGCTCATTGTGGCAGATCTTTCCGATGACGCCCATATCCTCTACTCGTCCGACTCGATTGTCGACATCCTCGGCCACACGCCTGATGAGGTCGTCAACAGATCAGTATGGCAGTTCTTCCACCCCGACGAGGTTCCCTTCGCCAAGGAGCACCACAGTCGAGGAGTGAGACTCGACAAGGCTGCCGTGCTTTCTTACTGCCGCCTGAGGAACCGTCAGGGTGACTGGGTGGGGTGCGAGTGCTGCTTCTCTGTTGTCTACGATGTAATCGTATGCTGCACCAGCATTTACCGCAATGGCATGCAGAGCCAGAGTAAGTTGGTCCTTGTTTCACTATGCCCATGCAGCAAGCTGACTCACTCCTCCAGAGCGAGCTGCTGAGGCTCCCATTGTGCGCAAGATGTTTGCCTCTTCCCCAAAGGATCCACGTTATCACATGTTGTCTCATCTGTCCAGCAAGTTTCATCTCGGTCCTGAACAACAGACGCACGAGCCCCGAGCGGCCCTCTTCATCAACAGGTTCACCCGAACTCTGACCGTCATGTATGCTACGAGTGGCATTGAGCAGATCATCGGCATCTCCGGAGAGGCCATGAAGGGACGCAGCCTCTACTACTGTATTGCCCCAAACTGCCTCGAGGATGCCGTTCGATGTATCGAGTCCGCCAAAGGCAACGACTCTATTGCTTACATGCGCTTCTTCTTCCGCGACCCACGCCAAGATGACCCTCCTGAAGCCACGGCGTCTGAGAGCGAAGACGATGCCATGACGGACGTCACAGCTTCTGAAGATGAGTCCGAGGGTGGGGTGGAGACTGAGGGTCCTTCTAGTTCAGAGGGCACAGGCTCAAGGCATCGTGCGCATCCTTCCAATAGCCTGGGCAATAGCGAAGAACCAAGCGCACGAAACAATTCTGGTGCTCCCAACTCATCTACGTCGTCAGGGGGCTCACCTCGCTCAGAGGCTCGCGACGGCACCATTGAACTCGAAGCCGTCATCTCCTGCACCTCGGATGGGCTGGTCGTATGTCTGCGACGTGCCCGCCCAATGCTACCAGGAACAATGCCTGTTGCGCAACCTGCACAGCAATACAACGGCATTTACGCGGCACCTTGGGCAAATCAACCCATCTTTCACCCTGCCCCTCCTCAAATGCCGCCCTACCCCCTGGGCGCCCAACATCCAGCCATGGTGCAGGCTGGACCATCACTGCAATTCCAAAACAACTTCATGCAGACTATTCGCGATGTTGCTGTCTTCGCTTGGGCTCTTACTGGCATCAACGGCTGCCTTACAGACTATGCTCGAGGTAACCCAATTGGCAACAGTCAGCCTTCCGACGGTTTTCCGGTTTGGAAACCTCTGCCTGACCCAACTCAAGTCGGTAGGCAATCTACAGCGTCTTCTGGCTATGTCTCCGGGTCTAATAGCTCCTCGAGCAACGACCCATTCGGGTTTGGCGACCCTGGACTCCGCTGAGGGTTAGCTCATATACGAGCAGGCAGACACGGGGTGCAAATGCATGCCAAGATGCCACACAACCAAATCCCGATCATCTTCAACGCTGAGGGCTGCTTCTGGGCTACGATACCAAAAGAATCAGTGACCAAGTTATGTTGGACAGTATGGTGACAGTGTATGACGCTGTACACGCGAAGCGAAGACGTCAAGCGATATTTGACTTGCGACTATGATGATGGTACGCTTCAACAAAAAGCCTTTCCTTGTCTCGGTTCAGTTCTTCAAATAGGAAAAAAAACAATCAAATATTCTTGTCAACCTCCGTTTCAAAGCTGACACATGTTGCTTCTATTTTTGATATCTTTGAGATCTAGTTGAGCACTACACCCCATCAATTCTCACGACATCGCAAACCTCCAAGACTAGAGCGCGAGATCTTGACCATGATAACTTTTAGTATTACCTAACAGACTCCCCACTGCAATGGCAATCAGCCATGTGGAACGTGCTTTGTTCGTTTCTTTATCAGCTCTTTCATGACTACATCACAGTTCATACTATCCTTTCAACACGTTACTCTTCCTTTGTCTCGACAGGGTATGGGCTTGGCTTCCAACGAATGAGAGGATACTGTCTACGCCATCACCGCGCTACACATGAGTAGGTCTGTTAGTACCTGTTTCATCTTCCCGCTTCCTTTAGGCCGATGGTTGTCTTTTTCGTTGTTACATTGCCACTCTAGGAGAGGGGCGAAAACACGCTCGGAATCATCTTTCCATTCAGTTTGGGTTGGACATTTCACTACGACTTGACTCACGGAAAGTTACAAACTGCAACATGGCGTCAGAAACTCTTACGATGCCATCTTGGCTTACACTACTCTCGCTCTACTTACTTTTGACTCTTCAGCTTCCTGCTAAATGTCTTGCGCAAGACAGTATCAAGTCGAGCAATGGAGATCCGTCATCTAGCACGACAAGCCAACCGAGCACCACGAGCTCAGCGCAGGGACAGACACATACTATCCAAGTTGGACTGGCAGATCATAAGTTCAAACCTGAAGTCACAGAAGCCAAGGTCGGTGATGTAAGTTCTCCACAGCTTGTACTTCTCTATACACACTATTAAGCCCTCGCACCTACACTTCACCATCTCATTGCCGCCTCGCTGAAAAGAGTGCAAGATCTCGAAGGAAACAGTACTAACATGACCGCAGCTGATCGAATTCCGCTTCTACCCAGCAAACCACAGCGTGGTCCGCGCCGAATACGGATTCCCATGCATCCCCTACGAAATGACCGGCTCCAACAAGCAAGGCTTCTTCGCTGGCTTCCACGCCGTGGACAAAGTGCTCGACGACCCGCCAAACTACACTGTAGCCATCAACAACACTGACCCGATATTCTTCTACTGCTCGGCCCCTGGCTCCTGTCTCAAATACGGCATGGTCGGCGCCATCAATCCAAACGCCAGCACAAGCATCAACACGCAGCACCAACGCGCGCTTAACAGCACCTACATGCTCAACCCAGGCGAGCCGTTCCCCGCTGAGGAGTCACCACTCCCGACGTCTTCGAACCCGCCGTCCTCGCCCGCTGGCCGTACAGGAAAGAAAGGCCTTTCTACCGGTGCGATCGCAGGCATCGTGATGGCGAGTCTAATCGTCGTTGTGCTCGCCGCGCTACTATTCTTCTTCTGGGGCAGAACAAAGACGCTGAAAGACGAGGTGGATCGGAAAGAAAGCACCATCGCGCGCCGCGTGAGTCCGGAGAGTAGTTCTGCGATGCTGGAAGTTGGACGACGGGACGGCGGAGGCGGGGGGATGTATCAGCGTTATACGCAGACAACGCCGAGGGAGAGTGCGTCGACGGAGCTGTATTCGCCTCCAGGGCAGCAGCAGCAGCAGCAGCAGCAGAAGTACACGGCCGCAGGCACAAGTCCAATCGATCACTATCCCGCATACTCGCCCTCGGCGTATTCTCCCACGCCTGCTGCTGCCGACCACCACCACCATCACCATCACCAGTCTGTTATCAGCAGCAACGCCGCAAGCCCCAGCCCCATTCGAATGGACTCATACTCATACACATACCCGTACTCCCTCTCCCCGCTACAATCGCCAAACCAACAGTCCCTTCTTCCCTACCGCCGCCCCATCTCCCCACCTTACCCAGACGCTAAACTAGGCCATTACGGACAACAACAACAGCAGACGATGATAATGGACAATGAGCCTGCACCGTCGTACTTTGAGACTGTGCATAGGCCTGCGCCAGTGCATGTGAATGGGCAGGTAGGACCTGTGGAGATGGAAGGGTCGAGGAGCGGAGTGGTGGTGGCCGGGGAGGAGAGGCCGCGGTGGGAGGAAGTTAAAGACGAGGAGGGGATGAAGGGGTTGATTTCGCAGACGAGTGAAAAAGGAGGGGGGGAGGGGGCTTAAGTGGGGTTGGTTGATAGGTAAGTAGGTGTGTGTGTGTGTGGAGGAGTAATTGGAAGGATTTCCTACGAATTCTGTCTGTCGTTCACGGTAATTTTTAGTTTATAGTAGTAAATAGATGTCACGCTTGAATCATCCTTCCCAGTTTCTCAAGTCTGTGCGAGATGTTTGTCATGTTTGAGATTTTATTTTATTTCTTCTCAGCTAATACAAAGGCTCAGCAATAGAGCGCGTTGAAAGTTGGTATCCACTGTCCTATCCTACGAAGCCTACAAAGGAAAGCTCAACAGAGTCCTAGGTTGCGCGCTTTTCTTCGTCTCTTGATAACCCCGTACGCACCCCAAAAAATCGCTGCCGAGCGTTCGCCAACGCTACCCGCGCCCAAACCTCCTTTGCCAGCAGCGAAAACGCCATACAGAGATCTCACAAGTATAGAGAAGCTGGCTTTTGAATCTCGTAAACAGCGACTGAACACTTCAAGTCGTGGAGAAAAGAACAATGGAAGAAAGGGAAGGCCTGTGGTCCTGAAAACATTACATGTTGTACATTTCAAACGAAGAGAACTAAGGAAGCGGGTCGCCCTGCGCCCAATTTGAAAAGACCAGATGGAGCGGGGTATCGTAACTCATATCGCTCATGTGGAAGTAGAAGTGGTTGCAGTCGTCGTCGTCGCAGCCCCGGTGTCGATGGCCTTGGCCTCCTCCGTTACAGTTGGCAGTGCCGGTGAGGCGGCCTTGGGTGGTGGCGAACCATTATTTGGCAAGCTTGCTGTTGAGAGCGTTGGAGAGCTGGTTAATTGCGAAGGTCCGAGTGGCGGGGTCGAGTTTGACCCCGTTGGATGAGTCTGCGCAAGTTTCCGTCTGTTGGTGTAATCGCTCAAGCTGAGTTTCTTGCGCGCAGGCGCAGGCTTAAGTGCGTTGTGGACAGCAGGTGAGAATGGCGATACGATGGTCACCGAGCTCGGAGACTGTGGGGTAGCGCAATCTGTCACAACAGTGGGCATAACACCCGGACTAGCGACGTGGTTGTTGGTGGAGTTGTTCAAGTCAAGCTTTGCAGGAGTTTCCACCTGGGGATCAAAGGGCGCTGGTGATGATGATGGTCTTGATGTAGATTTGGGTGATGGCTCTGCGGCTATCGACGAGGACCACGGCGGCGCACGCGCCTGTATGGGAAGATGCGAAGCTCCTAGCGAGGGCTCTGGGGCTGGTGCATCGGGAAGTTCTTCGTCCTTGGGCTCAGAGGGTTTCGATGTAGTGGCTTCTTCACCTTCATCCATCTCCACATCAACAGTGGGCGTCGGAGGAGACTCTTTAGCTGGTGTCAGCTCTTTGTGTCTCGAGTCAGATACCGGTTCTGTTGACAAATCCATAGCCAAAGGTTCCTCGAGGGGTGGGGATGGAGGGAGTGATGAAGGCTTGTTTGGAGACACATCCTTCAGAGTTGGGGATCTGCTCTCCATCTTGACGGACGTAGAACGCATCCGCTCGCGCTGCAGCTTATCCTCCTGTGCTTGTTGTAAAAGTCTGCGTTTAAATGACATTGGAGGCTTCATCTCCCGTGGTTTGATAAAAGTCCGTGTCTGTGTGCTACCATCTTCGTCCGTCTGCGTCATTGCGTCTTTGTAGACTGGTCTTGACTTTGGAGCGTTGCGCCCGTTCGTCTTTGTGGAGCTGCCCGACGTTTTTCGTGCCACGCCATGGCTGTGTTCACGATGCCGGGCCGACGGCGAGGGCTCAGTGTGTCCGAGGCGGCGCTGCGAATCTAGGTAAGCATGGAAAAGTGTGGGACGCAAAGAGTTTCTTACGGAGGAGGAGAGGCTAGGTGTGTTGAGTGTGGACCCAGCACTGTTCCTCTTGCCTTTCTTGCCCTTGTGTTGCTCGTCAAATTCAAGTTGCTCAAACAGGCGCTCCTGCTGCTGGAGCTTCCGCTTTTCGCGATCGGACATCTTCACATCGCCCTCAAGCGAGAAATGAGTGGCTGGTGTGATGTCGCGACTGCTGGATTTGTGCGAGCCAGACGTTGATCGAGCGTCCATTTGATCGTCGTCCGCGACGTCGCGGATCAGAGTCTCGCTGCCTGCACGACTGTTTGTCGCGTGCCCTGTGCTTAGAGGGGATACTTGAGCCTTCTTTGTCTTCCTGCTCTTGGTCTTTGCAGCTGGCTCCGTGATGGTGTTGCGTCGAGCGCGCTCTAAGAGACACTCATGGCCAGTCGATGTATCGCATGCGCAGCCGCCAAAGTTGGCGAGGACACAAGACACCCACGGTTGGATTCTGCGGAATCCTTCTTTTGCACCGTTTGTGACAACCTTGGCGAGTTGTCTTTGTACTTCGGAGTCGATGTCCCAGCCAACAGTAAGGTCTTCGCCAGGAGCGATTTCTCGCGTGGCTAAGAAGCAAAAGTGGTATTCGTTGCTAGACTCGATGAGAATCTTCATTGTCATGTTGGGGACGCAACTTCGCCTAGCATAACGTAAGACGTTGCCTTCTCGCCGTGTATCGATGTATATTGGTAGATAGGGAGGGAAGAAGACGAAAGGTTCTGGGTGTCGCAGTAGATCCCAACGATTTGAGGGATCCGAGAAGTAGTCTGCTTTTCGTCCGATTAGACCTTTCAATTCGCCAATGTACCCACCATCGGGTACGGGCGTCTCGACGGTAATGAAGTGCCACTGCGGGTGCAGGCCATGCGCCGTTATGCCAGAGTCAACCTCGGTCTGCTTGACGATCTCGGGCGCTGTTGAGTTTTCAAGATCCTGGATTGTGTTTGCTATTCGAGAGAAGAGGTCCTGTGGTTTCTTCCCGCCGCTGGCTTCAGCAAGAGCTTCTGGATCCTTGAGCCACATGGCGATATCGTTGGCGACGTCGATGCGTGTGTACGAATTGGACTCGGCTGATGGTGGTTCGGGCTGTCGGTATAGGTTCATGAACTCGGACGAGTAGTCCTCGATAGGACCATCTGGTTGTGTAGGTGATTTGACAGGGCTGTGGCCATTGATCATGACGGAGGCGCCCCGTTTACGCGAAGCTGGGACGAGAGCGGGCGCTTGGCTGACCACGTTCATCGAGTTGGAGGCGCGATGACTGGTCTTGGGCCGCTTGTTTGGTGGGGGCTGGTCTCGGGGACTTCCACTCTTGCGATCAGGATTGTAGTGCAAATCGCTGGTCACCGGCCAGCCGTTAGGCTGAACGGATCCAAGCGGATCCTTGGTTCGCTTCTTTGGGTTCTTTGTGGTAGTCTTCGGTCTGCCTTTTCGCTCGCCGATGTTGTGCAGCTCCCTGCGCTGTCGCTGCTTCTCGGTTGCGCGTTTTGCGTCGATGGGCCGTGGAAGGCAGTCTGTACACTCGTGCACGTCGGGGACATGCTGAGGAGACTCGTAGTAGCATACGATGTGCTGCCAGGTGTCGCACTTTTCGCAGAGGACGGTGTTGCCATCATCGTCTGTGAAGCCGCAGATGCACTTTATCGTAGACGACTCTTCCTCCTCGATGGTAACGTCTAGTGTAGGAGAGCCGGTGGAGAGAGGAGGCAGTGGTGGGCCAGCGTAAGGGGCAAGGGAAGCCGGCTGAGTGTCAGCATGCGCCTTGACCGACTCGACGTCTGTCATAATCCGGCAAGCAGGGTTAGAGTGTATGGGTAGAGGTGTAGTAGGTGGCTCAGGCGCTGTGTGCCTTGGATCGCATGACGCCCAGGCCGCGAACGAGCGAAGCAGTGGCTAGCGACGGCGACTCGAGATGATTCCAACGACCGCCGTCAGCGAGCTGCCTCGGTTTTGTGACGACCCAGGTGGGTGCAGAGCGGGTGTGGCCAAGGAGAAGAGGCTGTCGTGTCCGGTTGCAGCGTGTGCAGGTATGGAGAAGGGCGACGAGGGGTCTACGACGTCACTGCACGGGTGAAATCGAAGGACTATCATGAGAGGACGGTATTGAGGTGGCGAGCAGTCGAGTCCATGCAATGCGCCGACGGTAAAGGAGTGGGGAGGAGGAGTGGAGGAGGTGGTGGAGGATCTAGAGGCGTAGGCTGAGGGCAGCAACAAAGGAAGCAGCGCGCGCAACGAAGCCGGCAACGTCGGGACAGCAATGCGCGGCAACGTCAGAGTCGGGGAGGTGTTTAGAGGGCGCGGGCGTCGTGGTGTTGTTGTTGTGTGTGGGAGTCAGTCAGGCAGTGGGTAGGGCGCAGACGCAGACGCAGAGGAGAATCCAAAGCCCCAGTTAGAAGAAGACGGCCTAGCGCTGGACGTCGGTGCACGGGCCCCTTGACCTTTGGGCAAGGAGTGGAAGTATTACTAAGTAACGACGGTACGGTACGGTACGATACGATAAGATGGGGAGGGGGGACAACATTGATGTGCGAGAGCCTCTAGGGTGGCTGTCGCCATGGCGGTGACACCAGGGGCCAAGTAGCTGGCATGGTGTGTATACAGGGCGCAAGGCCAGGGCTTTGCGATGAAGAACACGAGCCGGCAGCGGAGAGATGATATGATGGGGAGCTTGTGCGAAGTTTTGCAACAGAAAGCTGAATGTGACGCGACCAACAGAACGGGGGGCAGCCCTTGGGGTGGAGCCAATGAGCAGTCGTCGGCACCAAGATTGCAGGCGCCTAGGCTGCAAACGGCCTAGCCGCGTGAGATTGCACTCTTGGGCGTCCGAGCGCCCCAGGCAGATCAAGTTCGCCGGCCGTCGCGGTCGTTAGCTTTCCGATGAAAACAACCTAGGAATGCAGTGCGGCTCTACTACTACCACTCGATACCTGCTACCTGCTAACAAGAAGCCTCCTCTTCTCCCCATCACCTCATCGCTGCGGCAGTGCTCATTCCACACGTGACGTAGGTCCCGCACACTTTGTTTGCGTGGAGCCTAGCTACCGGCCGAAGGAGCGATAAGACGTGCGCCTGCCCCGCCAGGGCGCGCTTTCCTGAAACGCCTCGCAGTCAATGAAGTAATAATGCAGCTGGGTCCCACAGTTCGCTGGCTCGCTCGCTCATGAATAGCCGCCATGCACGCTGGCTGGCATGCAACTCGACACTGTTTCTCTCGGGTGCGATTGAAGCGTTGGTGTGGCATTTCCCAGTGTTTCCGCTCGCTCCTTCCGAGCACATGGAGCCATCATCGTCGATACCTTGCGAGCCCCAGGGGACCCTGTGTACCCTAGACCACGAACGCAGTATCACTCACTCCTCCCTGCCAATGCATCTTTGTTACAATCATTAAATCAATGTGAGAGATTCGCGCAAAAGGAGAGCCATCATATATATTAGGAAGCATTGCACATACTCAAACTTGCCGTCTGCGCCTAGCTAGAATTACAATACACAGACAGACCACTAAGCAATATCGCATCCATGATACACGTTAAGCTGAGAGCGAAATTCCTCGGCCTGACAAACACACCGCGCCATTCCTGTTGTCAAAATCTTTGCCATCCCATGACCAAGTAAAGGAATCGACTACGATCGGCCATAGGCGTGGTCAACATCCTTCTGATACTTCTTGAGGATGTCTCTGCGGTTCAGTTTCTGCGCAGCAGTCGTAAGGCCCTGGAAATAACGTTAGCAACCACAATTCACAACCCTCGCAAGGAACACCAAGGAAATGGTAGTCTACTCACATTCTGAGGCGTCCACTCCTCATCCGCCAACACAACACCCTCAATCATCTCGAACGCAGCGAGGCCTCCCTTCTGCCCCGCCTGTTGCAACTGCTTCAGCACCGCGCTGTTGATCTTCTTGTCATGCACCAGCTCCTCCAGATGGTCGCCCTTGACGCCCTCGGCAGAAGCAATCTTCTTGAGTGCGGGCTCCGCGGGCACAATGATAGCAACAGGTTTCTGGCGGTCTTCGGCGGCATAGACGCAGATGTTGGCCACGATAGGCGCGCTGCGGTACACGGATTCGAGTTTCTCGAGGGCAATGTATTCGCCGGCAAGCGTCTTGACGAGGTTCTTCTTGCGGTCGATGACTTTGATCAGGCCATTACTGTCAAACTCTCCAATGTCGCCCGTCTTGAACCACCCATCTTCTGTGAAGCTTTCCTGCGTCTCTTCGGGCATGTTGAGGTAGCCATTCGTGATGCCGCCGCCGCGGATCCAGATCTCACCTTGAGGTGGATTGCTAGCGGCATAGTAGCCCGCATCGGCAAAGTCAACGAGCTTCATTTCGATGGAAGCAGGCATTTCGCCCAGGGCACTTTCGGTCCAGGCGAGGGGGTCCATGAGCGCACCCATGGCAGTAGTCTCGGTGAGGCCGTAACCGCTGATCATAGGCGTGATGGCGAGTGAGATGAAGCGCTGGGTCTCCTTTGCAATAGGACCGCCGCCATTCATGCAGATCCGGAGTCTACCGCCCGTAGCCTCCTTGACCTTGTTGAACACGATGGAATCTAGCACTCCACTGCCAGGCAGCCCGGAGCTCAGCAAGAAGCTCTTCGCTGCGTACGCGCCCCAGAACATTTTGCTCTTGAGCGCGCCACCTGCTTCGACCTTGCTTACTATGCCCTTCTTAATTGTCTCCCAGACCTGTGGGACACCGACCATAACCGTTGGCTTCAACTCGCGGATGTCGCCGGCGCAGTTTCGCACAGATTGGTCCGAGAGGGTACGGATCGTGCCGTAGCCCATGGTGCCGCCCCAGTAGAGCACGGCGTTTTCGAACACGAATTCGAGAATGTGTGCTGCCGGGAGATAGGTGATGAGAACGTCACCAGGACCGAGATATTTGCCGACGATTACGTCGACGCCAGTGACTATAGTCCAACTCGTTAACAAAGGCAGATACGACATGGTGCAAGGGAAACTTACCAGCAGCGACCACATTACGGTGAGTGATCATGACGCCCTTTGGCGTGCCTGTCGACCCAGATGTGTACATGATACACGCGAGATCGTCAGCCTTGGGGGGAATAGGCTCCGCCTGGTTCTCCTCGCCCAGTTGGACAAGCTCCTCGAAGCCGATGACCTTCAAATGCGGGTGCGCGCTCGTAAGAGCATCGATATCTTTCTGTTTCGGGTCGTTCTTGGTGCAGTACACAACCACCTGAATCTCCTTGGCGTCCTTCATGGGGTTTATGAGTTTGGGTAATAGTTCTGGGTCGGTGAACATGATCTTTGCGTTGGTCTGGAGCATAGAGTGCTTCAGGCCTTCTTCTCCGAGCGTGTCGTAAGCGGTTACGATGGCGAGCGATTGTGAGAGCGCGCCTGTAAACACACATCAGCGTCGAAACCTAAATATCATTCTGCATGGTGCTCACCGTGGGCCGAAGCCAGCCATTGCATGCTCGTAGCCGCGTACAAATGCAGCCTGTCCTGCGGTCCGAAGCCCAGCTTCTTGATGGCGCTACCCACGGCCAGGGCCATCTTCTCAAACTCGACAAAGCTCTTATACTTGTACGGGCTGAGCTCAAAGTACTGCCACTTCTTGTCCACCTCCTGCTCGGTGCCATCAACCATCTTCTTGACCTTTTTCGTCTCCTCGTGTATGTTGACGATGCGGCGCGCACCCACTGCCTTTGCATTTCCGAATTTGGCCGACGAGTAGCGCAGGATATCGTACAGTGTCTCGACGCCATCGGCGGGCGTCAGCAGGAGGCCATCTTTCGCGGCCAAGTTGCGGCGCGGTATCGTCTCGCCCTCGACTTTCTGTGCGTTGGGTACTTCTGTTGTGTAGGGCCCGGACTTGTAGGAGCGCGCCTGGGGCATAAGCTTTTTGAGGTCTTGGGCCATGATGAGGTTCGTGAGAGGGGAGCTGTCGGGGACAACGGCAATGTGTAGGTACAGGGAGAGGGGTATCGCAGAAAGAATCAGTAGTAGCAACGACAGCAAGGACCCAGGTGATGCCGCCAGCGGAGTGCAGCAGACGTGACGAGGAGAGGTGAAAGAGGCGCTCAAATGCTTGTTGTGCATATCACCAGCATTATACGTCGCCGCTAACGCCAAAGGTGGGCCCTGGGAGTAATGACGTCCCCCGGGGCCAGCTGGGCAACCTGCCGCAGGCCATGGGGCTAGCCCGTTCTCTTCTTTTTCATGAACGGGATTCTGTATGACACGAGATGGTTGATCGACAGCAGTGCAGTAGTAGTGTATTGTACAACTAGTAGTCGACGGCTATCCTCAGGCCGGGCCTATCAACCCGCTGCCAATCCAAACCTCAGGTTCCATCATCTCGTTGGTTTTGGGACTCCATGAAGCCAAGCCAGTGCGGCACAACTATTCTAGGCTTCCCAAACAACCGCAGCCCAGGCCAAGAAATGCAAAGTGCGGAGGCGCTGCTGCGTCCCCTCTTCCTCGTCTTCCTCGGCCTTGTGTTTTTCGCTTGTTGTGTGCATGACGCGGTTTTGCGCCCGCCCTGGCAACTCCCGACGTAACAAAGAACCAAACCCTCTATTCCTAACCAAACACTGCGAGAAGACAAGGCTGATGTCTCCAAAAACAACAAAGGTAGTTAGTCTTGCGGTGTCTAGCGTGCTTGAACACCTCGATGCTTCAGCTGTAGCGTGTGACCAAGTGAATCCTCGCCCATTTCATCCAGGGCGGCTTTGCCTCGTGCTCTTCACCGGAAGCCTTCCAAGGTTGTCTCTTGCTGTTTAGGTGACCTCTTTGAAATGACCAATAATATTCTATCAAGGCGTATTAGTGACCAATTTAATGTTGGAGCGTTGTATGTAGTATGTAGGACGTATTGCGGATATAGCGGGGTGAGCTAAGAAATTTACTGACGTGAGTCAGCCACCTTCCTCCAAATTCAGAACTTCGAAAACCGCGCACCACTACTCCACATACCACTAACTGCTACCACATACACCTACTTAGTGGAAACAAGCGCCATGGCCGAGCAAGCCCCTGCAAGCAAGGAGCCCGAAGCTGGCGCTGCCACCTCAAAGAATGCTCTGAAGAAGGCACAAAAAGAGAAGGAGAAGGCAGAGAAGAAAGCCGCCGCCAAAGCTAAACAGCTGGTGGTGACACAACAACAAGAGCCCTCCGAAGACCTGGCCAAGAACAACTATGGCCGGGAAGTCTCTCTCTCAACTGACGCCCCGGAGATCAACCTTCGCTCTCTCAGCGAAGAGCACATTGGCAAACCCGTCATCCTCCGCGCCTGGGTACAGAATGTACGCCTGCAGAGCGCAAAGATGGCTTTCATGGAGTTGCGAGAGGAGGGAAACTGGGCCATCCAAGGTGTTCTACAGGTCACCGGTGATGCTGATGCAGAGAACGCCCACGTGATCAGTCGGCCCATGGTCAAGTGGACGGGTGCACTCAATCCGGAGAGCTTCGTAGTTGTCGAGGCCATAGTGCAGCGGCCATATGAACCTGTCAAGAGCTGTAAGGTGGCCAACTACGAGCTGCATATCCGGAAATGCTTCTTGATTGCCGCCGCGCCCGCCATGCTTGGAATGACGTTGGCAGCCGCAAACCGACCGGTGAGCAGCTTCAACGACGACGAGGAACTCCGAGAGGAAGCTTCCCAGACTGCCGTGCCAGGAGCGACTCTGCTCACCCACCTGGACAATATCGTAATACACAAGCGCGCCCCCGTTCAACAGGCTATCTCGGTATGCTGTTTCTAAATTTGAACCCCTTTCCTCTACCCACTAACACGGACACTAGGACGTTCGGTGCGAGATCAAGCATCTTTTCCGCTCGTATCTAAGGTCTCATGGTTTCAAGGAGTTCGAGCCGCCATGTCTGATTGGTGCTGCGTCTGAAGGCGGCGCTAACGTATTCACTTTGCCATACTTCAACCAGGAGGCGTGTCTTGCACAGTCGCCGCAGTTTTACAAGCAAATGGAGATTGCAGGTGGTAGGAAACGTGTTTTCAGCATAGGGCCTGTGTTCAGAGCGGAGAACTCGAACACTACCAGACACATGACCGAGGTGCGTTCTCAATACCGAGATATTGAGCTCTCCAGCGATGAGAACCTTGGCTAACTCATTGTAGTTCACCGGTCTTGATATGGAAATGGAGATCACAAAAGACTACAAGGAGGTTCTACTTATGTTGGAGGGCGTGCTCTTACACATTTTCCGCGGCATCAAAGGTACGAGTTTGTTAACTTTTCTTCTTTGGTCTCTGAGGCTGGCCTGTTCGACTGCACAACAGTGTCATCACATCCCTACCTCACTATTTCAAGGGCGACGGCTGACATGGTCATTGAATAGAGCATTGTGCAGAGGAGATGGAACTCATCCGCTCCATCTACCCAGGAGACGAACTGCTTCTCCCCGAGCCGGGCAAGGAGGTCCGTCTGACCTTCGCTGAAGGACAACAACTTTTGCGCTCAGAAGGCCCTGAAGAATACCGCAACGTCCGCGACGATGAGGACATGAGCACTCCACAAGAGAAGGCGCTTGGCGCGCTTATCCGCAAGAAGTTCAACACTGACTTTTACGTTCTTGATAAATTCCCCGAGGACGCCCGGCCGTTTTACGCCAAGATCGACCCAGCTAGCGCAGCTAATGGTTCCAAAGTCACCAATGCGTTTGATTTCTTCCTCTGTGGGCAGGAAATTTTGTCAGGTGGTCAGCGTATCAATGATCCTGACGAGCTTGAAGATCGCATTCGCGTCAAGGGCGTTGACCCAAAGAGCCCGGGCATTAGGGAGTATGTCGATGTGTTCCGACAGGCAGGTGTACCGCCCCATGGAGGCGGCGGAATTGGACTTGATCGGGTAGTCGCGTGGTGCCTGAACTTGCCGAGCGTGCACTTGGCAGCATACTATCCCAGGACTCCGAAGAGGCTATTTCCATAAGCTCAGTCCGACTACGCCTTATACTACACGCGAAAGCGTAAATGGCTGTACCGAGGCGATCGCAGCAGATACTATCAAAATGGAGGATCATGTACCGTAGATTTCGGCGTCACATTTGATCAGCACATCATTGCAGGTGTCGGGTTCGAAGAAAAGCTCGCAACTAGAGACCATGCTCTATGTTCTACGACTCTAGTCTACTGTGCTTGAGCCATGCTCCCACAAAATAGCATAAACATACACAACAACACTTTTGAGCCCAAATACTATGATACTCCAAGGGTGACGACTAATAATCTAGCTAGAACGCTACCAGTTAACACGCTGGGAGCACATTAATCACGCTAGTAGCATGTTGTTCCAAAGTCGTCTCTGTAACACTTTATTGTATAAACAAGCAAAGAAGAGCGCACAAGACTAAGAAACGAGTTATTACTTTCTCGCAAAGCCAAGTGCCAAAATTGCAAGTCCTGCATTATCCAAACTTAGGGAGCTTTTATTACCATGTGTATTCTATAGTGGCCTGTGCACCAAATGCCTCTTTTCGTATGCGCACCCTAGCAACACCAAACACAAGACCAGGGAGCGAACAGACTAAACACCAGCCAAGAGCCACCCACCCCCGTGGCTTGCTGCGATGGAGCATCTCACTCATATCCTAGGAGAACCCGTGATCGATGCAGAAGAAGGTGCGTAGACCCTGAAAAATCGCCCCCTCGAATCAAACCGTAGATTCACATCCTCGGTCCACCGCATCGCTTTGCGTATGCGATTCGCCCTCCAATATCAACGACATGACAACTTGTCACCACAATTTCGAAAATAGCGCGTGACAGCTTACACGTCGTTGCCCATGCTTACCTTGCCCTTGTAGAAGCCTTCATTATCTTCTCGCAAGAGATTCCTTCTCAGTCGCTCGGCTTCATCGATTCGCAAGCTTCTACGCTCGAGGTTTGCGTTGCAGGACATGATTTGACTATTCATCAGTCGAGGGGTCTTTTGACTTCGGATCGGAAAGCTGGGACGACGGGCGCTGGTAGGTTACTTTTTCTGTTTGTGTGCTTTTTTTTTTTGGTTCGTGGATGCGTGGTGTTGCACTCCCCAGATTCTCATTTCCAACGTTGTGCTTGGCTTGTAATGGTGGGAGTCTGCTTTACACTGTTGCTGGCTTGGGCATTAACTTGGTCGCTCAATGTTGTGCAACGGAGAAGGAATCATCCAAATTCTAGAAAACCTTTGGATCTATGAATTACCCAAGCCCACACACGGTACAAGTCAACACATCCTCAACATTGCATATACTCCTTAAACTATAGCATGCTACACTTGATACAATTCCAGCGATCCATCTCCCCTCCTCCCCCTCCATAATAACAAAACTAATCTCCCACCACAGTAGTCTGGAAAGTCACCCCCCTCTTCGCCCAATGGATCTCCTCACCCAACAACTTCCTCTCCACCACCTCCCTCCTAACCCCAACATCCACCGCCATCGAACTAGGCGCCGGCGTGTCAGGCGTCGTAGCCCTCAGCCTGGGTCCACGCATATCGCACTACACAGCCACAGATCAAGCCTACGTGCTCAAACTCCTACGGCAAAACATCGCTGAGAATCTACCTGTTGTATTCCCCCACACCAACAACAAAGTGAAGAAGGGTGGTAAATCGACGACGGCTAGCAAGAAAAATCAGCAGCCGGCCGCTTCTTCTTCGGGTATGAGTGAAGCGAGTGAGAGAATTGAAGTGCGCAGTTTAGATTGGGAAACAGACGATGTGTCCCAATTGCAGGCCGTAGATTTAGTAGTAGCGTGCGATTGTATATATAACGAGGCGCTCATTGAGCCACTGAATTCGACGTGCGCGGCGATATGTCGGCTGCGGGGCGCTGATGCATCGTCGTCGTCGTCGTCCTCAGACTCCGCGAATACTTCTAGGCCAACGCTGTGTTTGATCGCCCAGCAGCTCCGTAGTCCGGATGTGTTTGAGGCGTGGCTTAAGAGCTTTCATCGGTTGTTTGAGGTGTGGAGGGTCCCGGATGGGATGCTGGATGAGGGGTTGAGGGAAGGGAGTGGGTTTGTTGTGCATGTTGGGATCGTACGGTGATAGATGGTGGTGGTGGGAAGATGTAGCCGCGATATATTTGGGATTGTTGAAGGAAAGTGGAAGATTTTTGTATTGATACACATCTTGATTTAAAGTGAGGGTATAAACGAATAACCCAGCCGTGCAACGTGGATGAACGATACATTAGTCATAATACATCTACACCCATTCTCCCCTGAGAACATTGCGCCACATTTTCACTCCTTAATCCTTAGTTTTTAATCGTTACTTACATACACATTCGATATATACGCCCACAGGTCTAAGTAGACTTCCCAGCACGTGCAATATCGCTGCTCGCCCTAGCCTCCTCATCGCTGCCTTTGAGGTGACCTGGCTGGATCCGGGCCCACTCTTCCTTGTCGCCTCTCGCGTCCACTTCGTTTGCAGTGAGTTCCGGGATCTCTTCGTCTTCAATCTCCTCAGACAAAATGAGGTTAAGAATGACGTTGATGAATGCAACTAGTGCGAAACCAGTCTCCATGACGAGAACGATGGCATTGTAGAAGCCGAGGAGGGCGCGGTTGGGGCCAGTGTAGGTGAATACGTGCGAGAACCAACTGCGAAGACTCATGTAAGTTGGGTGTTTTATAGATTAGGGACAGAATGATAACTTACTCGGGAACCATGGTCGCGCCGAAACCGAGTGTGAACCCAGCAGTCAAGATGAAGCGGTTGCGGCGCGTAAATGGCATCGTGCTGATGATCCTGATACCAGACACGGCGACAGAGCTGAACAGGAACGTAGTCATGCCGCCCAAGACTGCCGAAGGGATGGCCACAAGCGCTGCCGCAAATTTGGCGAATATACCCATGATGATAAGCCAGAAGCAACATGCGTAGCCGGCCTTGCGGTTTGCGCAGCGTGTAAGCGCGATGACACCATTGTTCTGCGCGAATGTGGACATGGGCGTGATGGTACATAACGCAGCGATGATGCCGTTGAGACCGTCCGCGAGGACACCGCCTTGGATGCGGGAATCGAAGAGCTCGCCATCCACTTCAAGGCGCGAGACATCGCATGTTGCTGTGATATCGCCAATGGCTTCCATAGCGAGCACCATGTACACCGCTAATAGCGGTAACACTATCGGCCCATAGACGGAGAGCTTGAACGTATGCACCCAGATGAAGCTCACAGCAGGCGCAGCGTCAATAGTAGTTCGATCAAAATAGCCACAGGCCCCGGCCAACACACAGCCAACTAGGAGCCCTATAACAACAGCCGTGCTTTTCATGATTGGCGAACCAAAGCGCTCGCAAATGATGATTGTAATGAAGACGGAGAAACCGAGGCCGATGAACTCAGCGCTACCCCAGGGCAAGGGACGCGGAGCATTGATGTTAGGACATAACTGGAACAAACCGGATGTAGGCCGCGATTTGCAGTCTCCTGAGCCACCAGCCCAGTTTTGCAAGCCAGATTGAATAAGCTTGACACCAATAAGCATAACAGTTGGGCCGGTAACAAGGGGAGGGAATATCCTCTTCAGGACGCGGGGGCTAGTGAAGGCCATTGCGATTTCAAGCAACGCGCAGCATGCTGCGGTGCCTAGGATAGCTCCGTAGCCATCCGGGCAAGGGAGTTTCGTGCCGTTTGCAGACGTGGGGCAGAAACCAGTTGCATACATTTGACTGAGAGCGCCAGTAGCAACAGGAATCGTAGCGAACGAAGTACCCACGACGGAGATGAGACCAGTACCGACGTAATATGGAGTTCGCCAGATGTGGAAACGAGTGATCTGGATAGATGACAAGATACCACAGACTACCAAGGAGGTGGAGACAAGGTATCGTTGTTGATCCGACGTCAAGTGAGCAGCGTTGGCCAGGATTATACCTGGTGTGATTACACCAGCTAGCATAGCAAGCGCATGTTGAAAGCCTAGGAGAAGGGCCAAGAAAACGGGCATCTTGTCATTGAGGCCGAAGAAAGGCGCTGCCCGGCGTTCTTTCTTCATGAATGGGATATTGGGCTTGAAAAGGAAAGCATAGTCGTATTTCCCAATGAGTCCATCTCTGCGGGTTGTCAGCTTCAGGAACTAATGAGACGCGGAAGGGGCATGAAGAATCCTACTTGGTAGTGAATGCTTTTGCGAAACGTCTTGCTTTCTCTCCAATGTTACGCTTTGGTGAGTGATCAGGTCCAATGCGATCGGCCATGGCTGCTTGTAGAACAGATTTTTCGTGATTTAGATGCTTCGACCCTTGTGCCAGTATTTATTCAACCCAACTCTTTTTGTGGCTGAGGTTCACTACCTCAGCGTGCAGCTGCGATCGTCAAACCCCTCGATAAGAACTCTGATAACTAGGCGAGAAGGGGCTCGAGATATCGAACCGCGATCAGCGGTTGCACTCCGCGATGCGCTAGGAACGTCGCGTGCGCCAAAAGTTGCTATTAAAGGTCGACTACGGGTGTGCTTTTTGGTCGTGGCTTCGATCCTCGCTGTTTCTTTCGATTGCGGGGAACTGAGGTGAGGGGAGATGAATCTCAGCCTTGGGAATCCAAGACACTTCGCGTCGAGCTGCGGATACGGGGGATGGGATAACAGGCAGGTTGGATGAGGTGTTTTCTCATCTATATAGATATTGTCGAGATGCGTATTATCTTCTTTGCCAATACTCACGATACACAAGTGCTGATAGACGAGGACCTAATCCGTTCTAGGACCACTCGATTGCATCCACACGTTGGAGCTGGCCGAAGAATGTCGTGAATCGCCGAAATGGCCGTCTCTTCTCCACGGCGAACTGGTCGTTCCATGGGGGCGACGCCGCATAGGTTGGTCAATTCATCACACTCCGTTACTGATAAGGTCAGCCGCGTGCGTGATTGGCTGCCAGCTGGAGTAGTGTCACGTGACAGGCGGTGGCTCCCGATAAGCAAATGGAGACGTCGCACTCAGCGCAAGGCTGTTGCGGAAACACATCCCACTCTGCTGACGACGAGATTGTCTGGACTTGGCGGCGGAAGCCTCAAAACCAGACGTCGTCGCCGGATGCCGGTGTCGCGGTACTCTGCGACGAGAGAATTCTTCGTCTGAATGCCTCGACCAACTGCCGGAAAACACAGTGCTGCGCTCTCGTTCTGGAGACTGGTGTTCTTGTACGAGTGTATTGCGTATTACAGTCCTACTTGCTAGTATCTTGTTCAGCAATGAATCCTCTCTATAACCGATTTCGTCCTCGACATAGCAGCCTAAGCATACAATTGTCACAAAAGTACTGAACAAAATGGAAATTCGACAGGAGCATTGGTACGACGTCCAAGAGGACGGCTCGCAATAAGCAGTCAAAACAGAACTGGAGACCTTCACGCAAGTATGGGGTTGCTGAGCGAGAAGTTGAATGGCACTGAAGCTATCTAGAACAAGATTCCAGCTGGAGGTTGACTCTTGGGACCTCAATGATGATTGATCGCAGATTCTAGGCATGCCACAGTACCTCGGCAGAGCTGTTGCGGGCTGCGGTCATTATTACAAGGCATACAGAAGATATCTTGGACAGATGCCCTTTGAGAAGATGTTGGATTGTCGGCATCCGATTGTTTCAGGCCTACGCGCGGCTCATGGGTTGATGCAGCATCACATTCGTCTGAAAGCCAACCATGTTGGTGGCGCAATATCAGCTGAAACCGAGGTTGACGAGGAGTTTACGAATAGTGAACTGCTCGTCGATATCAAGGAAGCAGTCATCAACAATAACGCTGATATGAAGCAGCGCCTGTATGGCTGTGGACGAGGACGAACAGGTGTTGAGGAGCAGCTGTTCCCGATTCGGCAGAGCTTGCGACAGGCCCGCCGAGTTTCTCCCAGTGGAAGATCTGGCAGCTTCCACACGCACCACGACCAGGGCCTCTTCGACATGGCTTCTCGACGGCCGTTGTCAAGCGCCGTGTCGGGTTTGTGCATGACGTCCGCTATGGTCGTCGAGTAGACAGAGTTTTTCGCCACCGTCTGAAGTTTCTCCGTGCTGTGCAGCCGCCATTTTGTTTTCAACTTCCCCAGGAGCTGGGCTTCGACATGCGTAAGGCTGCAGGGAAGGTCGGTAGCGAGCGGATGCAGTCAGTGTGTGTGTGTGCGTGTGTGCAGTGCAGCGATATCAACAGCTTTTTGACAGGCACACAAAGTGCCCGTGATCTGCCGACTCACCCACCAGTGATGTGGTGGAGCGGCATGGGGAGGACACCCAAAGGGCTAGCGACTAGCCATGACGAGACTCAGTGGCATCACCCGGCGTGATGTTTGCTATGCCCGGAGAGGCATTCGCTGGCCGGGACGTGTTCCCGACGATGAGGTTGGGTAGCAGACCGCTCTTTGACTGAATATTCAACCAGACCGGCAAGAAGCAGAAGCAGCAGCAGCTGGAACGTGAGGCTTCAGTAGAATAGTGAGTATTGTCAGTTCATCATACATGTTCTCGTGCCGGCCAACCCGACGTAAATGGGTGCGTTGCTCCGAGACCTGGGGAAAAGGCGGCGGCGTCGGATTGATGGGACTTGTGCGCAGAGGGCCCGCCACTCAAAGGCCTGCTCAGTGCCGAGATCAACGCTGCTTTGACGGCAACGATGTGCCTTAGCCCTGAAATCTTTTCGCATTGTTACCGACTCTTGTGCCCGTGCAGGACCCTGATGCAGCGAATCGACGAGGGCGCTAGGCTGGCAATGACAAAAGGTACGGCGATTGTAGGTCTCGAAGGGCTCGCATGCAAGGTCCCCGGGGCCTTCTATCGCTTAGTCGCCCGCAGAAGTGTTGGGGATCCAACAGCTATTCCACCGCCATAAATTATCCTCCCTGCCACCCGTCCTTTCTTCCCCATCCTTTCCTGCTCCTTCCTCCCTACCTCCACCTCGTCATTCACTTGATCGCGGTGAAGCTTTCAGTCTTTGCTGGAGCGTTAGTTCCTTCATCGGAAGCCGACCGGACCTCATTTCTTGAGCCGCTAGTCCCTTCCCATCGACTTGTTCGATAACCTTTCGCTTTGCCTCCTACACCTTTTATCGCTACCTCACAATGCCTTCCCATCAGCCCGTCGCTGGCGAGCAGGCCATCGATCCCGACTACGTCAAGCAGCCGTCCGCAATGGCCAGCAAGTCGGAGCCAAACCGCAACCCCAAGTACGATCCCAAGAAGCCACACATCACCGACACGCCCATTACAAAGGCAAACTGGTACAAGCACGTCAACTGGCTCAACGTACGTTCAATCCCCCCTACGCGAATTTGCTGCATAGGCTAACCATCCTCATCAGGTCTACTTCATCATTGGCATTCCCCTCGCCGGTTGCATCGCTGCTTTCTGGACCCCCCTACAATGGAAGACTGCTGTTTGGGCCGTCGTCTTCTACTTCTGGACTGGCCTGGGCATCACAGCCGGATACCATCGTCTCTGGGCACACAAGTCGTACAACGCCTCTCTGCCTCTGAGCGTCTTCCTCGCGCTTGTGGGTGGCGGTGCCGTTGAGGGCTCCATCCGCTGGTGGAGCCGCGACCACCGTGCTCACCACCGCTATACCGACACCAACAAGGACCCCTACAGCGTTCGCAAGGGACTTTTGTACAGCCATATTGGCTGGATGGTCATGAAGCAGAACCCCAAGCGCATCGGCCGCACCGACATCACCGACTTGAACGAAGACCCCGTTGTTGTCTGGCAGCACAAGCACTACATCAAGGTTGTCCTGTTCATGGGCCTGATATTCCCATCGGCTGTTGCTGGACTCTGCTGGGGCGACTGGATGGGTGGTTTCATCTACGCTGGTATCCTCCGCATCTTCTTCGTCCAACAGGCCACCTTCTGCGTTAACTCGCTTGCCCACTGGCTCGGTGACCAGCCCTTTGACGACCGCAACAGCCCCAGGGACCACGTCATCACCGCCCTTGTCACTCTCGGTGAGGGTTACCACAACTTCCATCACGAGTTCCCCTCCGACTACCGCAATGCTATCGAGTGGCACCAGTACGACCCCACCAAGTGGTCCATCTGGCTTTGGAGCAAGCTCGGCCTCGCCTCCAACCTCAAGCAGTTCCGCTCCAACGAGATTGAAAAGGGCCGTGTTCAGCAACTCCAGAAGAAGATCGACCAGAAGCGCGCCAAGCTCGACTGGGGTGTTCCTCTTGAACAGCTTCCCGTCATCGAGTGGGAGGACTACGTTGAGCAGGCTAAGAATGGCCGTGGCCTGATTGCTGTTGCCGGTGTGGTTCACGACGTCACCGACTTCATCAATGAGCACCCGGGAGGCAAGACCCTCATCAAGAGTGGCATTGGCAAGGATGCTACGGCAATGTTCAACGGTGGTGTCTACTTCCATTCCAATGCAGCACATAATCTTCTCTCCACCATGAGGGTTGGCGTCATTCGTGGCGGATGCGAAGTTGAGATCTGGAAGCGTGCCCAGAAGGAGAACAAGGAGGTGAACATGGCCAAGGATGACCAGGGTAACCCCATCATAAGGGCAGGCAACCAGATCACCAAGGTTGCGCAACCCATCGTCAGCGCTAGCGCAGCATAGACGATTGTCGGTTGATTTAGCAATGTTTGGCGTTTGGGATGCCTTTTCCACCATGAGTTGGCATAATAGTCTTTTACTTTCTCAGCGTTCGCTAGAGACCATTATGGATGTAATGTTCCACGATTAGACGGAGTATGCTTGTAGCCTTCAGATTAGTGACACGCTCTCAAAGGCGAGCTTTACGGCCTAGACCGAGAATGATATTCATTCATAACTCTACCATATGACTACCCATACTGTGATGTCTGTTCTTACTCATGTTCAGTGTATACAATACTCTACGTTCTACAGGTATGCAAGTGAATTACGTTACGTCAGCTGTGCTTCATGCGTTCTTTCCTGACCGATTTCGTTTGACGTAGGTCGCTGCCTCTCACATCCATTAGGTCCGTGCCTCGCTGTCAACAACCTTCCTTCGCACCACTCTTGCCCAGAACCCTTCAACTCACCTAAGGCCCGATGAACTTACTCTCTAGTCTTCTTGTGTGTGCCCTACACCGCAATGGCAACGCACCAAGGTAATGGCTCTCCACCACCAAAACGCCGCAAGCTCGATGCCAATCTTCCCAACAAGGCAACTACTACCGAGGATCCAGACTTCAACGCCAAAGGTATCGATCGTCCAATTAGTCCACCGCTGTTACGCCGTAAGAGTCCTGTTGCATCTCCATTGTTCACAGCAACCTGGGGGTTCGATGACGTTCCGAAACAGCCCTCAGCGCTGGAGTCGTCGACTTCCGACACCAAACAAGAGAGGATAGAAAGAGAAGAGAGTGAAGGAACAAGATTCTTGCCTTCACCCGTTCAACTGACTCGAGTGGAAGATCTGGGGCCGCATCAGAATGTCGATGCAGTGGGTTTGAAGGATATCTTGGGTGATCCCATGATTAGGGAATGCTGGAACTTTAACTTTTTGTTTGATCTGGACTTTGTAATGTAAGTATGCCCCAGCCTTTCATTCCATCAGCAAATAGCTAAAAGGCTCCAGGAAGCAGTTCGACAGCGATGTAAGAGACATGGTCATTGTCAAGATTGTGCATGGATTTTGGAAGAGAGATGACGAGAGAAGAATAGCCCTACTAGTGAGTATCCCCTGAGTGTGAAGGACTCGTTCAAGGTCCCTTACTGTTGATTTTAACGCGCGATTAGGAGGCAGCAGAGCGCTTTCCAAACATCGAGCTACTGAGTGCATATATTCCGAATCCTTTTGGCACCCATCACTCGAAGATGCTGATCCTCTTCCGACATGATGGCCTTGCTCAGGTGGTTATTCACACCGCGAACATGATCTCGCGTGACTGGGGAAATATGACTCAGGCAGCGTGGACGTCACCTCTACTCCCGCTACTACCTCCCAAAGCAGATCCGAGCTTACTTGCCAGTCAGCCGGAAGCTACATTTCATGCGATCGGAACTGGTGAACGCTTCAAAGTAGACCTTCTCCGATACCTAGGCGCATATGAAAGGCGGGCCGCGGGCTTGACCAAGCAACTAGCGACCTACGACTTCTCAGGTATTAAGGCAGCCTTCATCGGAAGCGCGCCATCCCATCAGAGACCTTCTACTGCGAGTTCATCTAGGGCTACATCGTTTGGATGGCTTGGCCTTCAAGAGATACTGTCGAACATTCCCGTATCGAATTCAGCAAACGCCGATACACCTCCACACATCGTTGTCCAAGTTTCTTCAATAGCGACCCTAGGACCGACACCAACATGGCTTACGCACTTTGAGTCTGTCCTCGCCCAGAAATCGAGTAATCAGTTGTCGACTGTCGAGCCTTCAACATTCTCCTCAAAAGCGACGTTCTTTGCGAAGCGTGACCCGTCTAGTCTCAAGCTACCAAAGAAGATACCTATTCCTAAGTTCAACATAATCTTCCCCACTCCCGATGAGATCCGCACATCCCTCGATGGCTACGCCTCTGGTGCCTCAATCCACATGAAACTTCAGTCAGTGCAACAGCAAAAGCAAAGCGAATACCTGCATCCTCTGCTTTGCTACTGGAAACACACACCTACGGATTTTACCAGCAAATCATGGAGAGAAGCCCATCGAGGGCCCGCTGCACCACATATCAAGACTTACACTCGATTCAGCGACGATAAGCACAAGACCATCGACTGGGCCATGGTCACGAGTGCCAACCTCAGTAAGCAAGCTTGGGGCGACGTGGTCAATAAGAAAGAAGAGATTTGGATTCAGAGCTGGGAGGCGGGCGTTGTCGTGTGGCCTGCTCTCTTCGCGGCACTTGACTCGGCGAAAGAGCAAGCTGAGGCTCGTAATAATGTCATCATGGTGCCGGTGTTTGGGAAGGATCTACCACGACATGAAGACCTTCATGAGGGCGAGGGTGGCACGGAGACACTAAAGACGGTTGTGGGCTTCCGCATGCCATACAGTTTGCCGCTGAGTTCATACAAAGCTGAAGACATGCCGTGGTGTGCTACGATGAAGTACTCGGAGCCTGATTGGAAGGGTCTGAGCTGGGGTGGATACGGAAACTGAAGGCTTCAAGAACGCTATGCAGATCGCTGCGGCCATGCTAATGACTGCTAACTATAACTTATCAGAGTATATACTTGAAAATGGCTGTAAGATAGTTCAATAAGAATGTTGTCCAGGCATGTATGTCGTTTCATTCATGTTCTGCCGTAGTCTTTCGCGATATATGTACCTTCGCGTTCAAACTTGCCCTCGGGAACTGTATCCATGACCTTACTCGAATCCGCCTAATTGTCGTGCTTTGCGAGTATCTGCTCGGCCAACTCGACGTATTTCGCCTCGGCCTCCTTCTGCGAGGTACCGGCTTCGACAACCTCCTTCCACTTGTTGTACTTGGCCTTGCCCTATAATAATCCGTCAGCACTTGTCCAACGCTTGGTATCTTCCGCAGCCTGTCCTTCAACGCGTCCTGACTCTATCCCTTATTCCGACACAGTAACGACTTTGCTGAGGCAAGGACATGTACCGTTCGTTCAAGTATGCTAACTGTATAGTAGAGCCGAACGCGGAGGAGAAGGGCTCGAGGAGGGAAAGGATCGCAGTCGTAGCGTGCAATCTACTATTCCACATCGTAAACCGGAGGAAAAGAACGACCAAAACGTACAGCAAGATTGAACATGCCAGGCTTCTCGGCAGCCGCAAAGTCCTTGCCCTCTGCTACCTTGGCATACGCGTACAACTATATTTCACAGAATTATTAGCATCGCTCCACTTCTCTAGGAGGCCAAATCTCCAATCTCCCAAGTCCGCTGTTTTCCTCATAGAGGGAAGGGGACGGAGGGAGGAAGGAAGAACGTACATTCAATTGCTCATCGTTGCTAGGTCCCTGCTTGCCAGCAGCCTTGAGCTTCTCGCCCATGGTGCTGACCTTCTTGTAGGTCTCTGTGTACTTTGCGCCGGGCATGATGATTGATCTGTTCCTTCCGAATCAGCTCTTTCTTCGAAGTACTTTATTTGGGCGGATGAGATTCACTATCGGACTAGGGCGTACGTACTTGTTATGGGGATTGTAATAAAGGGTATAGTGGAGTGTGTTTGGGGGTTGAGCGGGAATGTTTGTGGTGGCTGTGGGTGATGGATGGCGGGGTAGGGAGAACAGGTTGGAAGAGGTGGGGCAAGGCGCGTCTGGTATGACGTTTTGCTATACTACCTACCTACTTTGCAACGTAGCAGCTCAACAACGCCTGTGTGGGCTAGTAATATTTTCTTTTGGCAGGTAGTGGTTTGTTTATTGGCTTTGTACATTATCTCAGAAAGATCTGCTCTCTTCCTTGAACGCCTAACTTCGGTTTGTTATAAAATAAGGTCTAAAGCGCCTACGCCCTAGTTGAGCTTCGCTGGTTCTGTGAAGGTACATTGAGTGAGGCGAGGGTTAAAAGTATTTATACAAATGAAAGTTGAACCTAGCGGGCGACATTTCACAACTTATAGCACAGTATATCCATGCACAGCATCTATTCGGGGAGACATCCTTTACTACTGAGACTAGAGCGAAGGCCGTCAAGAGCGATGCGAACAGATACGGCTTAGTGACTTAGTGGTTCAGTAGTTACATCGAATATGCATGGACAGGTCCTTGTTCAGAAGACTGCAGCGTTTCAAAGTAGCGAATGCTACCTATATTTGCAGCAATCAGAAGATGTCTCGATCATCAGCCGCCTACAGCGCCGGCGGGTACCGTTATAGTTACTGGCTGTAGGCGTTGTCTAAATATTCTGTCCTCGACGTACACCAGCTTCTGCCCCCTCGTTAATACACACCCCTATATGAGGCAGCAAATTCATGGCTGCCACAACGATTCACCCGCCTGCCGACAACCCCGGCCCTCCGCCCGAGGAGATATCTTATCTGTCGCGAATATGCTATATCGGAGATCTTGATGTCAATGTCGTCAACGAGACTTTTCGCAACGGCCTGGAAGCATTTGAACAAAAGGGCCACTCTTTACTTGAACTTTGGCCCGTTCTTCTCTCTGCTGTGCAATCCGCTCGACCCAAGATCATCAAACTTCTCTTATCTCGAGGATTGGTGATGAACGAGATGTATATCAGGCAGGCAATAGAAACCAGATCAAAGCAAGTCTTCCAGGCATTTCTCGAAAGTGGATGGGATGTGAATACGCTATGGGATAACTTCCACCCTCCTATACTTGCGTAAGCCAGGGAAAGCCCAGTCCACTGGAAGATATAAAGCTGAGGTTTCCCAGGTGCTTTGTTGATGACCTTGATTTCACACAATGGCTCCTCGACCGAGGGGCGAATCCCGACGCTGGATGTTACTTGGACCTGACTTCATTGTCTTTTGCCGTTCGTCGTGCACAACCCTCGCTCATCAAACTCCTGCTCGACCGAGGTAGCATTGAAAAGGGTCAATTGGTCCATCACGCCGTCGAGCGAAGTGAGGACGCCATCGAAGTTTTGCAGATGCTTGTCTCTAGGGGAGCATCTATCAACAAGATACAATACTCAGAGCACCTGGACACCTGGAATCATGAGCATTTCAAAGGCCTAGGCACTCCATTACACAGAGCGGTCGAGCTTAGGAAGGTCGATGTAGCCCAATACCTACTTCAACTGGGGGCCGACCAGAACATTAAAGACACGAAGGGCAGGACACCTAAGGATATCGCGAGGGACATAGGGGACGCAGACCTGATTCGCCTCTTTGAATCTTCTTACTGAGTTGTATTGTAAGCGCAAGAAGCTAGCAATGACTGCAGGATCGACTGAGTTTCTCAGAACGGAAGAAAACCAATGTCGTGGGTTAACAAAAGTAAAGTAGGTTTTCTACACCGAGGTAAACAAGTCAAGCGTTTAAGGATTAATACAGGCGTCCAATTTCATGTATTTGACGCCCAACAACAGACAGGCGGCTAGCTATCAATGTCGAAAGCTCTCTGAGTACCTCCCAAGCTGACAACGCAGCAACCACATGCTCACACCAATATCACCCCTACCCGCTTGCAAATGCCCCGTTTTAGCCCCGTGCCCAATGCATCCCGCTGTGCGTTCGTTCGTTCGTCGTGAAGAAGAGAAGTCTATATTCATTGACGGCGTAAAGACCCTTCGGCGAGGAAGGCAGCCAATGGTCCGAATTCCGTCTAGCAAATCGAAAATTATGATAACTTGTGCATTATCCAAGTTCGAAGACCAAGGATCAAGGCCCTGGTCGAGGGCTCACGGAAAGACTCGAAAGGCTTAGGGTCGGAGAGTCCTACAACTCCGTCTCTTGTACCTTAGTAACTTCCTGCCAAAGCTCAACTGCTCTCTCAGATTTCAACTGCATCTTGTTAGCACCGTTTACGAACTTCGCATCCCAAAGTCCATCGCAAATTACGTACCTTGAGCAAATGCATCTCAATCTCCCCATCACTAGTCGGGCTATTGAACAGGAGCCGTCCATCCTTCGGCTCCGCCCCCTGCGAATCGCCGCCAAAAACTAGTTGCTCCGTGACTGCAGCATTGAGAAGCAGACGGTGCGTACCATCTGCGCGTAGAACGAAACGCGCTTTCTTCGGCTCTTCGACGGTAATGTTGAATTTGAACGTTCCAACGCCACGCTCCTTCCATGCTCGGTTTCCAGTCTCGCCGGCCATGGTGTAAAGCTTTGCGCGGCCCGCCCAGGCAGTTAGTTCGCCTTCTTCGCCGGTTTCGTGCGCTATAGGAGTTAACATACAGGTCGTGCAGGAAAGGAAAAGAATGGTAGGGTGCCTTACGTTGTTGTTGTGACAAGAACGTCTGAGTAGGTCGCTGCTCCTCTTCCTTAGCGTCCTTCTCCGTCTCTTCGTCCTCAGCATCATCCTCGTCTGAAGCTTCACCCAACGCAGCCGCACCGAAAGGCTTATCTGACTTGGCCTTTAATCCTTTGATTTCCAGGGTGCCAGGTGTCGCAAAAGATGACAGGCCAGATTTGGCACTACCTAGGCTCCCGAAGCCGCCTCCCAAGGATCCTCCCAAGGAGCCTCCAAAAGAGCTTCCGCCAAAGGCGGATTTGCCTGAACCCCCTAATGCGCCGAAACCAGTTCCAGATGTCGATGAGGGACTCGCACTTCCAGCAAATGAAGGTAATTTGCTGCCGCTCGCTGCGGCGAAGGGCGAACTTGCATTTGCGTTGGGGCTTGCAAGTCCGCCGAATGGAGAGGTTGCTGAGGTAGAGAAACTACCGAAGCCAGACGACTTGAATTTGTCGTCGGACGTTTGGGGCAATATGTCGGGTTTCTCGGAAGTCTCGGACGCTTGAGGTTTGGGGGACATGGCGGCGAATGGAGATGCTGCAGATGTGTTTGCAAAGCCACTCCCTAGTGGTATCTGATTCATGTCAGCTATGAGGGCAAGCCAGAGTAGTTCTAGAAGCGCACCTTGCTTGTCGGCACTGCAGCACCAGTAGCAGATTGGACATCATCTTTATCTCGCAGTCGTTTTGTGTCGCGCTCATCACCCGCCTTCTTTGCCAGTTCTCCGTTCGCAGATGCTTCCTTTGAAGCCTCTATAGTATTGTCGGCATCGCCTTCTACCTGATCGCGTGTACGCTTGTTCTTTGGGCTCGTGTCAACACCCGAGACCTTACCAGACGCTGTACCCGTGGAGGCCTTCTTATTCGGAGACGCCATTTCTGCGTCGTTTTCTTCGATGCTCGATATCGTACTCGGCGCGACCTTCGCAGGCAAATCGTCCTTTGTAACATCTCTTGACTTCTTGCGCCTGTGTCGCTCGCCGACCTCGACCTTCTTCTCCGGCTGCTTGTCCGCCTCCGCTTCGTCTTCAAAATCCTCCCTGCTGCGTTTTCTCCGTAGCCGTCCTCGCTCGCTATCTGACCCTGATGTGCTCTGGTCTCCTACTTTGACTCTGCCATTGAGGACGTCATTCATAGCCTGATCCGCACTCGGGGTGGGATCAGAGGTAGCCTGCGCATCAATGCGGGTCTCTTTTAACTTCTCCCTTACGGGCCTTCCTTCGCTGTCGCTGCTCCTATCACTGCGAGCTGGGGAGGTCAGGCCTCCTTTGGTCGTATGCGTTGACTCAACAGTAGAATCCGTAGCATCTACAGCAGCCGCCTGCTGCTCTGGCGCATCTGTCATGGTTGTATGGCTGCGTTGTTCTAGGCCCCAGTGAAAGGTATGCTCGCTATGTGCGTATGTGCGTCGTCTTGGGAAGGTTGAGCTTCAGTCGGTGGCTCGTGGGTAGAGGCGTTTTGTAGTTGATGGTGTCGTGAGGGTTTATAGTGCTCTGGGTGAAATAAGGGTGCTGGCGACTGAATAGTAACAATAGCAACTGCGACAGTTGGTGGCAGGTGGGCGTGCGAAAGACGACAATAGCGGAGGTGCTGCTTCGGCGAGGCTAGTGGCGGGCTGGCTGAGAGACAATAGGATGGTTATCCTGCGATATCGTTGTAGCATAAGACTCTCCGAAGCACACTGCAAAAGTGAGCCAGAGGCTGTTCCGTGCAAGAAGCCGTGTCAAAAGTGTAATTCGAGGTTCGGTGGAGTCGGTCAAAGCGCCTTCAACTGTTTGCAACCAATTTCCGCTCTAATGCGCCCATGCAGGAGCTTTGTCGGCACGATGGTACTAGAGCGCGTACAAAAAGAGGGAATATCGGCGAAAGCGCGTTGTGCGGTGTGACTGGACGAGGAGAGTGAAAGTGCTGGCGCTTCTGTCGGTCGTGGTCGAGTGTGTTGTCCAGGCCGTCAGGCAGAGACCAATGACGAAGTGGGGAACAGCGACGGCTAATAACATGGGCACCGATACACTTGCAGCGGGCGCATGCACATCGGACTGTTATTGTACAATACTCGCATCGGCAATTGATGCTTCATGTATGCAATTGAAGTTGTGAATAGTGAATCGGTGTCTCTCAAAAAGAAATCGACACCTTCGACATGAGTTGTCGTGATTAATAGGTTGCCAGAAACTCCGGGTATCATATGACCCGCTACATACAATCTACTGTTACAAATTCTAGCCAAGTCCAGCTAGCTGATAAAACAAAGGCAACCCAGCGCAACGTAGAACACAAAGAGAGGGTATATTGCAATGCCCACACGGTTCCTCACCACTCCTGAGCCGCCCATGATGCTCACGCCTGCTGCTAGTGACCATACTATGAGGACGAGGTAGACAGGCACTCTGACGATGACGGGTATGCCGATGGCGCTGAGGAGCGATGCAATGACGAGCGGGAAGAGCGTGTACCCGATGATGGAGACGGACTGGAAGAAGGCGCTGAGCGGTGGTTAGCACAAGTTCCAACTAGATGGGGAATGGCAACGAACATGTTGCCTCCTAGCAGCTTGATCTGCAGCGTCACTACAGCCTCGCCTATCCAGACCATGGAGAAGACGCCTGCGAAGACCAAGTCCTTCTGCTTACCCCTCGCTCCCCACGAGAGGAACAGACTCAGCAGCAGGCAGAAGATGAGCGGACCCCACAGATCCCAGTCTCTCAGTCCCTCGCTCATACCGCCTTGCAGAATGACATCCGCGTCTGGCCATCTGCCAGCAATGTCTCTAAGACCGCCGCCAAATCCGCTTGCTTCACCACGCTCTGCTGCTCCAATCCCCCCACCGCGCTGCATCATACCGCCCAGCAGGTACTTGGGGTACAGCACCTGCTTCATCTTCTCCCAGATGCCAAAAATGTCTCGAGAAAGGGTCTCCCATACCGTCTCGTCGATGGTGTTGGTGGGCGCGCGGCGGTCTTCACCGGGGATGCTGGAGGTCAGGTACGATTGCGTATTCGCACTGCCGCGTTGAATATTGCCCGTCAGCGGCGCCCGGTCCGAAGTTCCCTGAAGGGGATCGTCCAGGTCATCGAGAGTAGCTGGTGATCGTCAGCTAACTAATGTCTACTTTCATTTATGTTGCTGTAGGCAGCTGCATGTAACGCACCATCGTCCGGGTCAATAAGGTCACGCTCCACCGCATCACTATCGTACGGGTTGCTGGAAGTCGCGGCACTAGGCATCATTGCCGCCATGGTGAAAACCCTGTTTGAACGGGACGCGGGACAATTCTCCAATCGGCAGGTATCGTGGGTGTAGGATGAGGCTCTCGAACATTGAAGCCAGCTTGCGGGAGCTCATTTGCGAAGGGTGCGGTACTGGATGCGGCTAGCACTCCGCCGACAGGGAAAGCTTGACTTGCTAGCGCGCAGCGCAGCGGACTAACGTCTGGCGTCACTCTCAGTATTTAGTTTCCAACCATGGCTCTGCCCCTGGCACTCGTCTCTACGTGTTCTGCCGTGTATATATATACTCTTAGACAACGTCCGCCGTGAGGGCAAGCCTAAGGACTATTTCCGCCCATCATGACCGACCCAATCCTGAACGACATCTCCCACAGGCGCTTCAATCTGCTGCGAGGCAGTTGGATATTAGTTTCTCCGCATCGCACAAAGCGACCATGGCAGTAAGCAGACACGGAGCAACACGAGTTCGAATAGTCGACTGAATTTCTCCAGAGGTATGCAAGAATCGCCGTCCAGGACCACACTTCCCGAGCATGATCCCAAAGTACGTACTGCCCCGCCTGAGTCTGCGTTTGAGTTTGAAATTGATTGCCTGCAGTGTTATCTGTGCCCTGGAAATACTCGAGCAAATGGAGAACAGAATCCCAAGTTTAACGACACTTTTGTCTTTGTCAATGACTACAGCGCCGTCATGGAAGAGCAGGCAGAGTACCATCCAGACAGCAAAGACGGATCCCTGGCTTCTCGTTTACTCCGTGCGGAACCTGTGACCGGCAAGTGCTATGTCATCTGTTTCTCGCCATCTCACAACATTACCCTCGCCGATATGACTCCGGCTCAGATTGTACCAGTAATAGAGACTTGGACGAATATCTACACTGCACATCTGGATCCAAAATCTCCGCTAGCCAAGCTTGCCACTGCCACGACAATACCACCACTTTCACAAGGTGCTCTCACTGCACCAAATGCTCAATATCGTTATATGCAGATCTTCGAGAACAAGGGTACGACAATGGGCTGCTCAAATCCACATCCACATGGGCAAGTCTGGACTACAACATCACTTCCGGAAGAGCCGAACACCGAATTGCAACAACTAAGCAAGTACCGCCGAGAACAAGGCGGTTGCCACTTGTTGGTTGACTATGCAGAGCTAGAATCGAAAGAAAAGACCCGGACTGTCTACGAGAACGAGAGCTTCTGGGCCGGTGTACCGTACTGGGCCGTTTGGCCGTTCGAGATTATGATTGTTCCAAGGCAGCACAAGCGCTCTTTGGTCGATTTTACCAAAGAAGAGCAAGCGCTATTGGCAGATTGCATAGCGGAAATCACGAGGCGGTATGATAATCTGTTCGAGACGCAGTTCCCGTACAGTAAGTACATCCTGTACCACTTCTCAATTCACGATGGCTAACGAGTTGTAAGGCATGGGCATGCATCAAGCCCCTCTCCAAGGATCAGCCGATGAGATCGAGTCCAGCCACTTCCACATCCATTTCTATCCGCCACTACTGCGCAGCGCCACAGTCCGAAAATTCCAGGTCGGCTATGAGATGCTTGCGGAGCCGCAACGCGACATCACGCCTGAGCAGGCTGCGGGGCGCTTACGGGCTTGCGGTGGCGAGCTCTACCGCAAGAAGTTGGAAGAGGTGCCGCACACGAATGGTGTGAACGGCGTGAACGGCCATCTTTGAGGCGTGCTCTGGGGGAGAGGTAGCCTGTAGTGGGCAGGCTTAGCGGGAAGATGTTCACTTCTTGATTACGAACTGCGACTCTGTTAGCTTCTGTGGTACTGGCATATTGAGCCTGGTTGCTCGTATGCCGCGTTATGTTACGTTCCCATGTCTGAAATGGGAGATGATGCCTAAGGGACGATTTGAGGAATGGTTTCATTACATTGATACATCTAGCGGTCTCATGCATCACCATTTGAATGGAATAGATTAACTTTAGGTCAACGGAGTCCTATCACTTGTTCTTCCCTTTCCACGACCCTTGCGAATAATCAATACTGATCGTCTCGCCACTATGAGTATTTCCAAAGCGCCTGCGCTCTAGTTGAGCTATCGCTGGTTCTGTGAAAGGACTTTGAGTGCGGAGATGTTTGTGATTACATTGATTCTTCCAGGATAGGCTTCGAGACGGTCGGTCTCGCCACTATGATTGTGCAAGTACATCATAGAGCTCTTGGTCCTTGTATTTAGTCATCGATCAGTCACCCTCAAAAAAATAAGCACTATGTAACTGTATTGGATCCGAGATCAAGTTTGAAGGATCGTATAGTTTGACCCCAACACACATTCTGATCCCGCACAGACCATCAATCGCGTACTTATCGAAAGATAAATAACTGACAGCGTGTTTCAACAGCCCCCCACGGCTCCATAAACTCCAATTCTTACACAATGGCCTCAACAGTGCTTTCCTACCTCCCTCCTGCCGAAGGCCTCCTGCCAAAATGGCTACTTATGGTACGCTCAATTGATCTCCAGGGCTCACGTCAGAGTCTAGCAATGACCCTGTACACGCCACCATTAAACACGCGCACATGAAGCCAGACCGACCAAATGGCTCGTTAAATGCACATTGACAATACTAACAAAGCGCGTTGTGTATAGATCTCACTCCTGAGTGTGGGCAACTCGGTCCAGGCCTACACAACCCTCCACTTCACATCGCGTGTGTACAACCCTTCGGCCATCGATCCCCCGCCACAAACACCCAAACACGTCACAGGCCTGTCGTCGCGGACGTTTGGGACGTGGACGTTTTTGACTTCGTATGTCCCCACCCCTCCCGAATATACCATCTGTTCCCACTCTACAAACGATGCGGGTTGTTGACATCTCGTAGCTTGGTGCGGTTGTATGCTGCGTATAATATCACGAATGGCGCGTTCTACCAATTGGCCATGTGGACTTTTGTGGTTGCTTGGGGGCACTTCCTGAGCGAGTGGCTTGTGTTCAAGACGACGAAGTGGGGAATGCCATTGGCTGGCCCGATCATTGTTTCCAACGCGTCACTCCTATGGATGTTAATGCAGTGGGGATACTACGTGAAGGTATAGGGATGAGTCCATGGAAAGATGGGTGCATGGTGTGCGGACTGGTTCAAAGGGCATGCTTCGCGCGAACATGCAATAGTCGTAATTGTAATAGCCGTAACAATCTTAATATGTAATTGGACTTGACTAGAGGTTGCAGACCATGTGCATGGTGACCAACGTCGGAAATTTCACGGCGGGGACTAGCATCACCAATCACTCCAATATCGACTGAACCGCATTGGACTTTTGACCTGCCTCGGTGGTATTTTGACCATCCGAGGACTTTCATTGATCATAGCTGGAGAAACATACATGGCCGTTGGACTCCGATTCCTCAACCCATATGCAGAGTGTTTTGACCATATCGAAAAACCATCACTTCTCGCTCCTAGCCACTTCTCGTTCCATCCCTTGCCTTGTCATGAACCCGTTACTCCATCCCTCTAATATGCGCTTAGAACTTGGAGAACTGCTTCGCGGCCTTTCCGCTTCGGGGCAGGACACGGAGAACGTTGAAGCGGACAGTCTTGGAGAGGGGCCTGCACTGGCCGACGACGACCTGGTCACCGGGCTCGACACGGAAAGCGGGCGAGACGTGCGCAGCGAGGTTCTTGTGGCGCTTCTCGTAACGGGAGTACTTGGGGATGAAGTGGAGGTATTCACGACGGATGATCAAAGTACCTGCATTCTGTCAGCATGCACTGCCAAGACACGTTCAAAATTCCATTTCTTGTGCACATGTGCGCAACTCCAGGGTAGAAGGGTAAGACGTACGGTGCATCTTGGTGGACATGACGGTTCCAGTAAGAATACGGCCGCGGATCGAGACCATGCCGGTGAACGGGCACTTCTTGTCGATGTAGGTACCCTCAATGGCAGTCTTGGGCGTACGGAAGCCCAGGCCAACATCCTTGTACCATCTCCTGGTGCGGGTGTTCTTGCGCGGTCCGCCGACCTTGTGGTTCAGGAAGATGTGAGGCTATCGCGCGGCATTAGTATCGTAGAGCACAGTGTCGCGGCGAGAGGGCTGGTAGTACCTGCTTCTGGTAGGCGCGCTCGGACTGGACACTGTTCTGCAATCAGCAACTTGTTCGAGAGGTCGGTATATGCGCAACACGTACGTGAGCTCGGTAGCCATGGTTGCGGTCGGTGGTGTTGTCGTTCGTCTGTGAATTCACGAACAGCAAAATGGGCTGTGTTCTTCGCTTACGGGAGGTGTAGACTTTTCCGTTTTGGGTGTTAGCGCAACGCTAGTCGACCGGGCCTCGGACAGCTGGGCCTCGCCGCCTGGAGATTGTCAGAATGCCCGTGGTTGAATCGTGTTAGATTCGCTTTTCCACGATCAGTCTGTTGTGCTTTTCAGCGTGCAGTTCATATTTTAGAGGACGTCTCCCTTGCTTTTCCCTCGATCTACACACCATGGCAAACATCATCGGCTCACTCGGTGTCCGCATCGACGCCAACAACTCGTTCGTTCAAGCTGCCGTATACGGCTTCTTGCTCGTAGGCATTGCCTCGTTCGCAGCACCCATCATTAGTACTATCCGGGTCTTGCTCAGCTTGTTCGTGCTTCCCGGTAAATCTGTATGTCTACTCTTCTCAAATGACCCCGCTCAAACGCTGACATCCACGAGCTCACTACCTTTGGCCCTCGCGGCACATGGGCTCTCATAACAGGCGCGTCCGACGGCATTGGCAAAGAGTTTGCCCTCTCCCTCGCATCGAAAGGCTACAATCTCATCCTCGTCTCGCGAACGCAATCAAAACTCGACTCCCTCTCTGCCGACCTCTCCTCGAAGTATGGCCCCAAGATTGCAGTCAAGACGCTCGCCATGGACTTCGCGCAGAACAAGGATGCCGACTACCACAACCTGAAGAAGTTGATTGAGGGGCTGGATGTTTCAATTCTCGTCAACAACGTCGGACTGAGCCATAGCATTCCTGTGCCCTTCGCCGAGACGCCCAAGCAGGAGATGAACGACATCATCATGATCAACTGCATGGCCACACTGCGCGTCACTCATATCGTCACGCCAGGCATGATATCCCGCAAGCGTGGATTGGTCCTCACCATGGCATCGTTTGGCGGTTTCTTCCCTACCCCGCTCCTTGCAACATACTCCGGTAGCAAGGCCTTTTTGCAGCAGTGGTCCACAGCTCTCGGTTCGGAACTACAGCCCCACGGCGTGCACGTCCAATGCATACAATCACACTTGATCACGACGGCCATGTCCAAGATCCGCAAGTCGAGTGCGCTCGTCCCGAATCCAAAGCAATTCGTTCACGCAGCATTGAGTAAGATCGGCAGGTCTGGGGGTGCGCAGGGTGTCGCTTTCACGAGCACCCCGTATTGGAGCCATGGCCTCATGCAGTGGTTTCTCTCAAGGTTTTTGGGTGAAAGGTCGCACGTCGTTGTAAAGGTCAACAGAAGTATGCACGAGGATATCCGGAGAAGGGCATTGAGGAAGGCGGAGAGAGATGCAAAGAAGCAGTAGAATTGAATGTAATGCGGCAATAGCTAATTTTGGGTTGTGTAGTATCAAGGATGCTTAGTACGATTGAGAAATATGCAAAAAATATGCCGGATAAAGGCAGGCTCGGGTCAATTTTCAATGAATACCAAATGCTCCAAGAATTGTACTCCCGGTTAATCCTCCTTCGATGGTGTAGCTGCACTATGGCATGGCTTTAGAATCTCTAATATGCAAAAGCCATGTGAAGCTAGTAACAGAAGAACTAATGAGAACACAAAATTCGTAGTTGTTTGCCATTTTCTTTAAATTACAAAAGACCCAGATGGCGTGGTAGGTAAACTGTGAGAGGACAAGAGCACGTGGGAACGAAGAAGCCAAGTTCTTATCGATAAGCGCCGCCCAACCCCTGATCCTAAACCTCAAAAGAAGTCACTTCTCATTGACTACGAGAATGTCAACTATTCAGTCATTCCACATCTTCAAAATTAGGGCTCGTTGAGAACCTGATGATGCGAAGCTCTCCGCGATATAAGCGGAGTGACGACTACAATGATAACGAGCCCAATAGTACCATAACCTGCACCCAGGCTGACGCGGATGAAGAAGCGCAATGGCTTAGGAGAGAAGAGCTGGGATTTGAAGATGATTCATTACAAGCACCACCAATACTTCGGAACCAACGGACAAGTTTTTGGACCTTCTTACGCGGACCTGAACCGCCCCGCATCCAGGTCATCCGACCCATCTTTCCGCTCATTCAGAAGTCTCCCATCAGAGTACTCGAAGCGCGCAGAGTCAATAAGAATGTCTTGCTAGCTATAGTATTACTGCTTTGGTTCCTCATATTCATCTTGTTCCTGACCGCACAACTTCCCATTCGCGATGGTGATGGCAACCACGTCCTAAACCTCGACTGCGTCGATACACTTTGGAGGCGCAAGAATGAGTGTGGGATCAACGGCATCGATTGTCGCCCATTTAGTAATCAGTCATTCGCTTTCAGATGTCCTGCCAAATGTGCTGAGGTGCAACTTCTGAATCCACACATGGTGGGTCCGCTCGAGGTCAACTACCGCCCTCTTGTTATAGGTACAGGACCATATCGCGGGGACAGCTTCATTTGCGGATCTGCCATTCATGCCGGTATTATCAATGATCGGAAAGGTGGCTGTGGTCGCATTACCCTCAACGGCAACCATGACCAGTTCCCGAGCACCATGCACCACGGCATCGAGTCAATTGCGTATGATTCATACTTTTCGAAGTCGTTCTCCATTGCATCCGACGATAGCTTTCGATGCAGCTCCGATCCTCGTTCACCATTACTTCTTGTTTCGCTCATATTCACCTTTGCGCTTGCTATCTTCTCGACTTCGCCAAAGATCTTCTTTCCCATCTTCACGCTCATATTTGCGCATGTGGGCTTTGCATCCGACCCACCATCAGCATCATATCTCAACATTACTGTCTTACCGGATCACATATCAATGTTCGCGAAGCGACTTTTACCGGCAATCTTTGTTGCTGTTGTCATATATACAACCACGGTCAAGCGTACAATATCTGGATTAACCGCCCAATTTGAGAAAGCCTTATTTTGGCTCGGTGGCTTTTGGATTGGCGCCCTATCAAATTACACATTCGAATGGATACCAATATCACGACTCACAGCACACGACCTAGACCAGCAGCCTGGAGCAAAATTTGCTCTGGCTATGATCATCCTGTTCTTAGCTACAATAATAGCTGGTCAAGTTTACTATTTTTGGCTTGAGGGCCGCTTGCTCCGCTACATAGGCTTGTATGGGCTCTTCATTTCTGGTATTATTGTCTGCTTGATGATTCCAGGCGTCAACCTACGGATTCATCACTATATTCTAGCACTTTTATTCCTCCCAGGAACCACTCTTCAAACACGGTCATCACTACTATACCAAGGCATCCTTCTTGGTCTCTTTATCAATGGAATAGCGCGTTGGGACTTTGATTCCGTCCTTCAGACTTCTGAAGCACTACGTGCTGACGCGAAACTCGGCTCTACTATCCCTCACATCCTGGAGCCAACTATCAACATCAGTACCGGAGCTTTAGTTGCAACTTTTGCATACGGCACGCCACCATCCGGAGTCGATGGAATAAGTGTACTAGTGAACGACATGGAGCGTGATCGTGCGTTCTACAATGATGGATTGGAAGGACGTCAGAGCAATTTCGAATGGACAAGACCTGCCAACGCAAAGTCTAACGAGTATTTCCGCTTCGCTTATGTGAAGAGTGGCCGAACTTTAGATTTTTCCAAAGCCGGCACCTTGTTCAGTAATGGAACATGGAGTTCTGGGGGAACTTGAATCAGTCACCTTCTCGGTTGTGACATCAAAGAGCATTCCACGGTTGTCCTTAATGTCGAGCTTTATTCGACATGTCAAGATAAGATCTGTAACTCCTACAGATGACAGACAGCACTCGCATGAAAAGTGGAACTAAAAAGGACTAAATATTTCGTCATTGTTTTGATTTCGCTTGCCTATCCTCAATCTCGCAGGACGTTCAATGACGGCCTTGATTATCTCGACCCCAACCGCATGTCAACACCACCATAGCCAAATATCATAAGAACATATCAGTATCAGCCCGAATTTCTTGCATCTCTTTTTCTTTTCTGTATTACTCTTTTTCTCTATTTTAGAGGCCACGTTTGAGAACTGCGCATTGCATGCTCTCGCATGTCAGTTTCTACAGCATTCAATACAAAGGATACTTATGTTGAAAACTGTCAAGAACACTGGAAGTCCTACCCAGCGTAATAACATGTAGCACCAGATATAGCAAGGCTGCTGTGCAGACGAGCTTTCATAGTTAGGCATGCCACCAACCGCTCGCTTAGCATCGCTGGGTTACCAAGGTGGGACAGCCGATGAACTGCGGCAGCCGATAAACCACCTTAACTAAAGTTACCTATCTACAAAAATAAGGCTGTAGAGCTACTTATAAAAGTTAGTATTATAAAATTTTATAAAGTATTAGTAAATAAAAACTTGCAATTAATTTATACTATTTAAATTTTTCTAGAAAGTTAATTTAGCGGCTACGCGCAGTAGTTTTAAGTAAAAGCTGCAGTAGCTGCAATGCATTTAAACTACTACTTTTAGCGTCTATAATATAATAACGCTTTACTACATTTAAATTTATAAAATATAAAGTTATTTGCTTACGTTTATTTACTCTATTATAAAGTTTTTATAAAGTTATAGCTTTTTTTTTTTATTACTTTTGCGCGCGCGTAGTAGCTTATTTTTAAGCTATTACTACGTGCTTTTCTGCAGCGCGCTTTTTAGCAAGTAACTATACTACTTTTGCTTTTTTTGTAATTTTTTTTTTATATAATATTGCTGCTGCTTTTAGCTCTTTTATTTCTTTTTTTTAAAATTATTTAGTTTTGTTTTTATATTATTTTACTGTATTGCGCGTATAAGCTTCCTAAATAGTCTTTAAACTTTAAAATACTATAGTACTATAAAACTTTTTGCGCTATTAAAAATTTAAAAGTTTACTTTTGCTTTTATACTTTTTTTTAGTTAAAAGCGTGTTGCGGAGACTTTTGTTTTTATAGTAAAAAAACTTATTTTGCACTTAGAAAGAATATAATATAAAGCCTAACTATTTAATTTTAACTTTTGCTTTATTTTTTATAGCAATTTTAAATAAATTGCAGAGCTAGTTCTAAGTATCTTTATTACTATTTTTTTTATTTATTAATTTTTAATTTTCCTATTGTAGTTATGTTTTAAATTATTGTAGTATAATATTAGTATTAAGTAGCTTAACGCTTATAGCTTTAAACGCCTTTTATATATTTATAAAGGTAAATATAGTATTATAAGTAGCCTAAAATAATAAGAAAAAGTTGCTTTTATTTATAGGGACAAGGCTTTAGCTACAATAAAAGTAGTATAAGAGCTTAGTTAAATAGGTAGTTAAAAAAAGTAAAAAAAGCACTATATTTAGAGGTTATAAACTATAAGTTAAATAAAAAAAAAATACTATTAAAAGGATTTTATTAGCGTTACAAAAGTTTATAAAATTAGTAGTAAGGTAGCTGCTATAGCTATTAAAAATAAGAATTTTATAACTTGCCTACGCCTTATTCTTTATACGCTAATTAAAAACTTATTTAAGCTAGGCTAAACTAATATTGTTATTAGACTATTTAAAGAAACTTATTATAAAAAAAACTTAGTATTTTCTAGCTTTTATATTGTGTAACTAAGTATTGCAAAGTCTTTCTTTTTTTTTAAAAACTATACTTAGATCTACTACGCTTTTATCTGTATAAATATATATTAAAATTATTATTTACTTTTAGTTGCTATCCTGCAAGGCTGCTATAATTTATTTTTACTTTTAAAGTTACTTTAAAAAAACTTATTTAAAGCGTAAGGTAATACTAATAAAGAATTTTTTTTTATTTATATTATAAATATAGCGCGCATTAACGTTATACTTTTAGATTTTTAAATAAAAGAAATTAAAGTATAACTTATAGTTATACTTAGTATTAGCAAGGAGCCGTTTGCAATTAATCCTAGTAATATATTTAAAAATAAAAGTATTATAATATTTTCTAAAAAATTGCAAAATTTACTTATTAGAAACTTCCTATTTTAATAACTTAAAGGCGAAATTTTTTATTATAGCTTTTATAAGTAGAAGCTTATAATTAAACAATCCTTATATATACTATATAAGTTTTAATTTTTATTATAGGTTAAGATGCGTGCGTTGTTAAGACTTTTTTATATTTAATTATATTTTTTTTTAGTGCTAACGCGCTAAAGTAATTTAATTAACACTAAATATTTTTGCAGCTACGTAGTATAAAAGTTGTTCTTTTAAACTTTGCAAATTAATTGCTGCAATTATATTTAAAATTAAATTATTAGTAGTTAATATATTACGGTTTAAAAATAACGTGTTAAGTTTGTTTTAATGTTAAGGTGGTTTATTGGCTGCCGCGGTTTATTGGCTGTCCCACCTTGGTACCCTGATCACTACCACAGCCTTCCTCCGACTTGGCAGGGGAGGCTGTGCTATTCGCCGGATACTATTCTTGCCCATCTATGTGCGCCCAATCGCAATCGTGTGTTTCCGAAGCGTTCAGTTCAATTCATGCACTAGGCAGATTTCCAGAGGCGAAGTGTTAACGGAGTTGTGCGCGAGGCTTGCGTTAGCCGGAGGCCTGATACTACACAAGGCTGTGTAAGGGGGCTCTAAGGATCGTGATAGTCTCAAGGCACTTTGCTCGGAGAAATAAGTACCTTTGTTGTCGTGTGTACTTTCTGCGTTCGTCATCTCGCTCAATTATCCTCACACTTTTCAAGCTACACCACCCCAGCAATATTGAAGGCATTACAGGCTCACCTTCTACGTTCCGTTCACACTCAGGATGGGTATCTTCACTCCCTTAACGTCCCCCCGCGATCCGCGCTGGCAAGGCATCCAACACCACCACCACACCATCTTCCTTGTCAAAAACCTCATCCTACTCCTCTTCATCATCTTTATTATTATCGAATACAGCCTGTTTAGAAGCTGGTGGAATCGTGAATCTAGCACTAGTATAGATTACGCTCCGTGAGTGCCTCGCAACTGCAAATTAATAGAAATAGTGCTAATATTATACTAGATACTCTTTCGGGCTCCGCATTGCCTTCGCATTAATCCCGGACCTCGTCTACACTATCTTCGCCCTCGTACTCATCTTTCAAAAGCCTACTCTCTCCCTCAAAGACCGTACTTGGACTTTCCATCCTGCGTTTGCTCTCACGTTTTCAATTATTATGTTCGGTCTTTATGTTGGCGCTACCTTCGTCAACGTGCTCGTAATTGCCAGCAATGAAGTCAGTTTCTATAACATGAATACGTGGGACAGCATTGGGTATGCCGAGGCTGGGGTCCAGGGTGTGTTGGGATTGTGCTATTTGGGATTGACGGTTTGTGCATGTGTGGCTGTGCACCGTTGGAGGATAGGACAGGAAGGTAGCAAAGGCTTTGTGGAGGTTGATAATAGAATGGAGACAGGTATGAGTAACGTTTGATTACGAGTGTTCATGGTTCTCCGTTGAGTGGCAAGCATAGTCAAGACTTGATAAGGGTAAACTTAATGTTTAATTGACGGAAGGAGGAATGGACAAAGTAAGTATAGCGTGATTAGAATGCAATATTTGGATAGTTGAATTCCCAGTCTACATAGTCCGTCCCAGTTTCTCGTAGAAATGTACACAACCTTGAGTTCCCCCCAACAGTACTCCTAACACTAATATCGGTTCCCATGTCGCCAGTTCTACGAGAGAGGCCTACAGCTACTTAAGGTTTATGACTTGCTCCCTCTTTGTTATGCCACCCCTTTGTTCCCTCGAGACCATTCTCAGGAGTAAAATCCTATTCATCCCCAAGATATCATGTGAGGTGGTTGTATGTCCCCACGGTGCCGATACTCTTGAATCCAATGATGCAATTCTTTGGCGACTTCGAGAAACAAGATCGGCTCCTTGGGCAGTGACATCCAGTTATATGCAATTTTCTCCAGCAGCTTGCTTAGATCCCATGATCCTGTGAGCATCACCCCGGGAATCTGCTTCTTCATCTCCAGCGCCAACCGTACCAACATTAGAATCTTGTCTCTACCTCGGACTGGCCCTTTTCGTCCATGAAGATGAACCTCAATGGATGAGGAGCGACATACTGCTTCGCAGGCTTCGATGACTTCCATTGCGATGGGTTTGCCATCTTCGTCAACAGCGTCTGACTTGATGGGAACACCATGGTCTAGGAGTAACTCTACGGTCAAGGCCATAGTAGCGCTATTACCTAGTGGAGCATGAAGAGCACTTAATAGGTGATGCATCTCCAATTTGGCCCCGTGATCTAATGCCAGCACAATGATAGTGCGGTGGCCATACTCTGCGGCAATGCCAATTGGATTGCCTTCCGCTGTTTGGGGGTCGACAAATTTATTGTCAAAGAGGTATTTGACGATGTCTACATGGCCAGATCTAACAGCACGACGTAGCCCAGGCAACAGGCTCTTACGATAGACAAGCTCACTCCTCGAATTGGGCTCACGGTCCAAAATCCGCTGGACAAGTTCCAGGTGGCCATAGCTCATTGCGTCGGCGAGATAGCTGTAGCTGACCCGCTCTTTGGTAGGCACAAGAAGGTTGACGTCGTATTTCGAAAGAAATTTGAAGAGAACAATCGCAGCTTCAGTGTTCCGAGCTTTCATCGCACAAGCAATCGCCGACTCGATGGTACTCTGAATCTTCAACCAACCGGAAAGGCCGACCTGACTGCTGCTGGCTTTCTTGAGTTCGGTGCATCGGTCGGCGATTTCATGGTCGGCTTGGGAAAGGAGAGCTCTAAGCACCTCAATCTTCCCAGTGCTTGTTGCGGTTTGCAGCGAACTGCCAAACCCCTTCGAGGGGTTTGATTTCCAATCCAGGACCATTGCACCCTGAGAGATGTAGTACTGGACGGCCTCCATAATGCCAGTAGCTGCAGCGGCCGCAAGCATATCCTCAACGTCCCGCTTATCGCTCTTTATATGGGTCATATTCCTAGTCCAGCCGACATCTGTTCGATCAAATTCGAGCCCACTGATATGCGGTGTCCAGTCTAGATCTTTGCGATCAAAGACGACAGGGTTGATATGCCACCCAGCTCCGTCTCCCAGCATAAGCCGCGGAGTAGTCTCGTTGGCAATGACAAGTGCATGGACTAGGTTCTGAACGTGGGCTTTTCTTAGATCATCTTGATAGGCATCCGACGGCGCAAACTCCATCAGCTCGTTAGCAGTTCTATGGATGAACTGTGGAAGCTCAGGATTGGCGAGTCGAGGGTTGTTGATATGGTTCAGCAGATAGCATTCGAAGTGCTTCGTGAGAAAATCTTGAAGTCCTGGATGCAATCCGCTTGCATCTTGAGCGGAATGCTGCGACGGGTAGTCCTTCCTGCCACCACTTACCGAGCGGTACCTTGGCATGGAAGTATGTATTGAGCGTGGGCGCGGTAGTCTAAGTAGCGGCTTGTTATAGTCAAGATAGACTTGTATAGAAGTTCTCGCCAGGAGTTGGTACTTGATTCCATTCGCGAATGTTCGGCACACGGTGCGCAATCGAAACAAATCGTGCAGTGGAACGGCTTGCGCTATAGCGCCAATGACATCTTCGAACACCTCTACAGGAAGGTCGAAAAGCTGAGCCATTGTGGTTGAAGGGCGGAAGATTGGCCTTACCAGTGGAAGTAGAGGTTGAAGTGAAGTCGGAGGTGCAGTAGAATACTTGACAATTGGTGAAAGAATTGTGATAAATAGTGAGAGCGGTAGTGAAATGGAGCACATTGTAGGTGAACGAAGTTAGTACCCTGAGGCTCGAAGTATCTGATTCGTAACACTATGTAGTAATCCGGTACACAACGCGCAAATCAATCGCTCAACAACATACTAGGTAGACCGCTAATCGTCAGCTGCATTCCGGAATCCACATGAATTCATTCGCATCGACAAATTTACTTGAAACGGGCAAACGCAAGCTCGTACGCCAAACCCAGCGTCAATCGCGCATGCTGAAGCATATGATCGAAGCTGAGGTACTCGATTTTGTCCTCGGTGGTGTGGATCTTTGAATCGGAGTACTTGAAATCTGATTCAATAACAAACGCTGAAGGATAGCCGGCCTTGGATGCGCTGGCGTGATCTGAGCATGCGTAGCCACACTTGGTGAGGATGTACGGAATTTCGCAGTACACTGTGATTATCTTCTTGATGAAATCGGTAAGACCAGGATCCACGAAGTCGGTTATGACGCCAACGGATTCGGGCTCGCCTGCATCGAGCGTCTTCTGGACATAGCCAGTCATGTCTTGCTGAAGCATAGCCTTAACATCACGGCCTTCTTTCTCGTATGACTGGAAGATAGCCTGAGATCCGAGGAGACCCCCTTCTTCAGCAGAATAAAAGTGGAACTCGACAGTATTGTCGGCCTCGCCCTTCAGGATCTCTTCCGACTTGAGAAGTACACGCAAGGCTTCGAGAATTGTTACGGTTCCACTGCCGTCATCGTCGGCACCTGGCGCAGCGAGTATCGAGGGTAAGAAGAGGTTGATGGAGTCTTGATGCGCGCCAATGACGATTGTCTTCTTGCTCTTGCCCGGAATGGTGGCGATGATGGACGACTGGCCCCACGGATGAGGGAATGCCTTCACAGACGCATTGACAGCACCAGCATCCGCAAGCGTCTTGTTGACCTGGCCAAGCAACCACGCCGAGGACTGCACACCATATTGTGATTTATAGTACCGGGTGTGGAAGGAGGTAAACGTTTCGAGGTGTTCACGCATGTTCTTCTTGTCGAGCTCCTTCAAGAGCGGCACGATGCTCTCATTGTGTGCCGGCTTGGAGGGATATTCTACACTTTTTGTGCTAAACTTGCGATGTAAACTGCCGAGCTCTTCGTTGTGTGTGATGTCGAAGAAGTTGATGTTTTGCTACTAGCTGTCAGCAGCGCGCTTCATCGACGCGTTTTGAAGCACTGTAGATACTGCGACTAGAAGCATAGAACAATACGTACCCTGCGCAAAGACCATTTCTCATCTTCCGTTATCCATCTTGTTTCGCCTGGGGAGAGCTCGATAAGGTACTCGTCCGGCTCGACAACAGTCAGCTGCGGTTCTTGGAGAACAGCCTGGGGGTCTTTAGGGTGTGCGACAGCTGCAACGAAGGCTGTCGTACAGAGAGATAGGAATATCGAGGATTTCATAGTTTAGTGATGCTACTTGGCGCAGCTGTCGTGAGTTGAGTGATGTTGCTGGAAGGCAGACGGGTTGACTCGGAGATAGAGGCAGCGGGGCGAAGCTGTTCGGATGTGGTAAGGCGTGTTTCGTCATGGAAGGCGCGAGGTCACGCGTCGGGCGAGCGAATTCCAAGCTTCACGCTTTATCTTACACATGCAACTGCATATCCTAAGTTTCGAACGAATACAACACGGTGGCATGTACCTCATACGAGGGATACACGCTTCCTACTATGCACTACGGCTCCATTTCTATTTGATCAGGTTGCGACGTGTCAAGCAAAGCGTTTCCTGAGGACCCGGCTTTTAGGCGCTTGAGAATATGTGCTTCATTGTCCGTCGTGAGGACGCGATTGGATATTACTGCTGAAGCTGGACATCATGTCTTCGAGTTGCACGTCGTCGGTACCTCCAGCGTTGCGAGCAGACCGTGATATGAAAATGCCAGTCTCTCCTAATGAACTCACAGTGTAGGAATCCGTGGTCTACTACTCGCAATCTTGGAACAACACATCATGACGCTCATCATTTTCGTTTTGCTTGTTCAAACAGTCGTTGCCGTATACAGACCAACTACGGTCGGAGATCAGTCTCGCAGCACGAGTTTGGATGCTGTTGGCATATTTATAGTACGTATATTATCATTCTAAGCTATGCTGCCATGAGCCTCTTGACGAAGGAAAAGAGACACAAATTGTTTGCAGCCAGTACAGCTGGTTTGATAGTGTTTGTTAGCAAATTCAGCAGCTGATAAAGACTAGGTATTAACGGCACCGGAGGAACTAACTTTAACAATGATCTGATATTTTCAAGGTATAGAAAAGTGTTTACTCAACACAAGAACCGGGGACTTGCATTATCCCGCTGGGCCGTCATCATCCCGCTGGACCGTCATCATCCCGCTGGGCCGTTAGATGCGGTTAGCGCAAGATCAATCTTGCTAACGCCGTAGTATAGCTTTAGACTTTCTCAACCTATATCCGAGAACAAGTAATCCCAATACAGCAAAATATGCGGACATTTCCGTACCTTAGCAGATCTCCTAGCCATTATACACTTTGAGACACTTTGAGATACGCAGATAACGCACTTTAGCTTAACTCCGCAGGTACAACCGACCGACCCCGCCGCATAGTCTTACATATTTCCTAATATATAGCCAAGGTTCGCCCTCAATACATTAATACATCAAGGCAAACTCAAGACATCACAACGACCCATTTCAGTTTTGACCATGACCAATAATTCGATTGTCCTCATCACTGGTGGAAATACCGGAATTGGATATGAGACTGTCAAAGCTCTCTATGCATCGCCTCAAGCTCACACGATATTGATGGGCAGTCGATCGCTCGAAAAAGCTCAAGACGCGATATCTACGCTGAAAAGCGAGATCTCGGACTCCAAGTCGGAAATTATACCGCTACAGATCGATATCGAGGACGACGCTTCGATTGAAAATGCGTTCAAGCAGGTCGAGAGCACGTGGGGAAAAGTTGATGCCCTGGTGAACAACGCAGGTACAAACCCATCTCTTCATCATGAAAGCAAGTATACTTATCGTCTCCATAGGTGGATCATACGATGGCATTGTGCTGTCCAAGCCAGGACCCTCCGGAATCCGCGAAGCCTGGAACAAAGCATACTCCGTCAACGTAACATCTACCCAAGTTTTTACTCATCAGTTTGCGCCACTACTCCTCGCGTCTTCCAACCCTTATCTTCTATTCATAAGCTCCGGACTCTCGTCCCTCACTACATGCTCCGGCGGTTTTACATCCAAGATTTGGAGCGATCCATCACCCAAAGGCTGGCCGAAGCCTGCAAAGCTGAGCCCAATTGCATACCGCAGCAGTAAGACGGCACTCAATATGATGATGTTGGAATGGAAGAGGTTGCTGGAACCGGATGGCGTGAAGGTCTTTTGTATAAGCCCTGGGTTCTTGGCTACCAATTTGGGCGGGATGGGCGCGGACTTCCTGAAGAAAGTCGGCGCTGGAGACGCCTCTGTGGGCGGAGTCTTCATCAAAGATGTTGTTGAAGGAAAGAGAGATGAAGATACAGGGAAGGTGATCAACAAGGATGGCGTGCAGCCTTGGTAGTCAGGAGTTGCATCTAGGATGAGACACTTGAATCTATAAGCTTACGTAAGATATCGCGGCATTTCGTTTTGTTGACGTAGTGAATTAAACGAGGCACCCAACATGATTGATAAATACGGCTGTCTGGGGGTCTGTTCACAGTCAATTGTCTTAAAATCACCGGCGTAAGGCCTCCCGGACCGGCGTAAACACTTGTGGATCGTGATCGACCAACAGTCCAAATCAAGAATTTTAATATGTCACATCAGCCTAACATGAACATGGAGTAGTCCTGAGTAGTCAATGGGAAGGCAAAGCGGCATAAGATCTGCAAATCTGACAACGCGTGTTTCCCTCTAGGAGTGTTATTCTCCGAACGGGTTGGGGACTAGCTGCGTTTTGTAAGACTCCTACAGCCAGATCGAGTAAAGATAGTCGTATTAATATAGCGGAGTTATGTGACACATACTCCGCATTATTACGGTTCGTCGCGGCAGGAGCAAGTATAAAATTTGATGTCTTTCCCATCTTTCTACTGTCATCATCATCTTCCAACTCGTCTTGACATCAAGTTTCTCAAATAAATCCATCAGTCCGAGAGCTCTTTTTACCACCTCATCACAATGAAGTTTCTGTTCACTGTTATTTCCGCCATCGTTGCCGTCGCAATGGCGGCCCCCTCCTCTGAGGCTACTGGGGGAAATCTGTTAGAGCAACGATGCCTTGGTGCTGGCGGTAAGTTCTTCTCACCAAGTCGTATAGCCATATTCTTTTGAAGCTGACAATGTAATCGTTTGAACAGCGGAGACACATAATTTCAACGATTGCTGCAGTGGGCGGGGTTATGCAGACAGAGGATGCGCGTGCACTAGGTGCTCCTAGACATTCGTCTCTGGAACAATCTTGGACAAGTGCCAATCAGATTTCAAGTAGTGTTGTGGATCCCGCGTTACAAAAGGGGTGGTTGTACTATCGCTCTAGAGAAACTGTAGACAAAGAGTGTGGCAAGGTCTCAAACAGAGGAATCTCTATCGACTACATCAATAAACTCATTCATTCTTTTACCATCTATGCCATGCCGTCTTGACAGGTTGTTAATTACGGACCTATCACACTGATACTGGCACTGACATACAGTATATTTCGCAAATCATTTAAATTATCTAACATATATGACTATACGACTCAAATTGCTAGTTCTCCTGTCCAATTTGCCATTTGTCGTATTACCGTCATCAAGAAATCTCTTAGTCTGACGTTGCATTCCAGGGTTTTGTATCCAGACATTATAGTTCGATCCGTCGGCCCAACGACTGAGCCTGGATTGGACGATCACCTGTTGTCAATACCTATCTTAAAAGGACTCCTCATGTCCTACACCTATCTACGCCCAAGAAACATGGGATAGTTCATTCTATTCAAGATCGTCACTGAGCACGCCCATATTGTTGCGAATAACAGTCGTGTAACTCACACGATATAAGGGATGCCGAGTTTATAGTAGTGAGAGATGTATTACCAGTAGAGAACGCATAAGAAAATAGTAATATGTGGTGGTACAGAGCGATTTAAAGAGGGCTTGTATCACGTGTACAATTTTTCAACTGTCTCGCCAGACCCAAGTCGCACCAATATCGAGTCTTCAAATTCAACTTCTTCTTAATCGCATTCAGACTTTATCTTTGGGGTCTAATGAGAAGGGGGAAAGAAGATACTCCACAACCAGACAAGACTCCGTTAGATATGTTCTCCTGTTCGAACTTCAGCCTAGTGATCCTTCGCAGTATGCTTGAGCTGCACCAAATCGCTCCAAATTATCGTTATGTTGCCCGCGAGCTGCCATTCGCTGACTGTCATTGAGTAACATGAATGAAAGTAGTTAGGTGACTATACACTAGCGCGTCCCCGCTTTTGTATGTCCTCTTCTTTTCATTCCTGCTCACCATCACCAATCTCTACTTACACGCAACATCAATTAAATCATAAGCACATCAATCACTAATAGTATTACCAACTTTCTGACATAGCAAAGAGAGGCACTTATCTAGGAAGTCCACTGTCGTCGCTGTCGGTGTTCGCGGTTTTCAAGCACCGAACCAGGTGGTAAGCGCTCTATTACTAAGGCGCTGCTTACGCCCGGGCCCAACAGGCCGATGCGGGCCTTCGCTGTGAATAGCTTAACAATTACACTCAAGTGTTTTCTAGAGATAAGGTTCAACAGCTGGTATATATATCCGACTTCAGAAAGCTCAAATGAAATATACAACTACTTCTGCTTCAGCCTTGCACACCATACATAGCACAGTTCCACCTTCACCACCTCCACAATGACACCAAGAGCAGTCCTCATCACAGGTGCAACCGGCAAACAAGGCGGCTCAGTTATTGACGCATTTCTCAAAACAAATGCACCCTTCGAAATTCTAGCCCTTACGCGAGATGCACGATCAAAATCTTCGCAGAAACTTCTCCAGAAATCGCCAAATATCAAGCTTGTCACTGGGAACCTTGATGCGATTGAGGATATCTTTATAAAGGCAAAGGAAGTAACAAATGCTCAAATTTGGGGAGTTTTCAGTGTGCAGGTATGTTTCCCATTTTCAAGTTATTATTGACTATATATGTTGTGATTAGATCAGACCGCTAACATTGGTGGATGGTGAAAGGCCTTAACAAACGAAGAAAACCAAGGCAAATCCCTTGTGGATGCGTCGCTCAAGCATGGTGTCCGACACTTTGTCTATTCATCCGTGGACCGCGGCGGTGCAAACTCTGACAACGACCCTACCTATATACCCCATTTTATCACCAAGTACAACATCGAGAAGCACCTTTTCGCCAAAGCTAAGGGGAGCAACATGAGTTGGACAGTCCTGCGCCCAGTTGGTTTTATGGACAACCTGGTGCCTGGATTTTTGGGCAAAGTGTCCAACACTAGCTGGGAGATGAAGTTGAAGAAGACGCAAAAGTTACAAGTAATTGCGGCAAGCGACATTGGGTTCTTTGCAGCCGACTCGTTCTTGAAACCGGAATCGGACCAGTACCGGAATAAGAGCATTTCGCTCGCGGGCGACGAGTTGACATTCGATGAGTTCAAAAATATATTCGGGCAGACGACGCACGAGACGCTGCCGACTACTTACTGGTTCCTGACTACCATCGTTCACTGGCTTGTCAAAGAGCCGAGGCTTGGCCAGATGTACAACTGGTTCCGGGACGTTGGCTTTGGAGCTGACATTCAGAGCTTGAAGAAAGTGCACCCTGACTTGAAGGACACCAAGGCGTGGCTTGAAACTGATAGCGCATGGAAAAGTCGTTAATATTGCGCGTGAGATGTACAGCTCAAGGCGACAGGGTAAACTGAAATGTGCTTATAGATATATACTTTCCTTCTGTGTTAATGATAGAGTAATATAAGTTATTGTGTTTGACATAATGCAATTTGCTTCGTCTTCTCTTCTATATTGACCTCTGTAGAACTATGTAAGTCGTATCACTGACCATCATGCTTTCGTTTCATAACATCGACCATTCTCTCCCAGCGATTCGCAACCCCTCCTCCCCATCAACGAGCACACACCAGTGCTCACTTCCATCCTTCCCATCACCTGCGATTGCAGCCTTGAAATTCGCCTTCGCATACTCCAAGACCTCTTCATCGAAACTGCCAGGCTGAAGAAAGACCGCTGGAACGCCAGCCTCTTTCGCTTCTTTCAGAAGTTGTTTGGTTACAGCTGGAGGCGTGATCACAGAAAGTGAGTACGAGGATGCTGGTGGATCTTCGAGTGCCGTTGGTGAGGAAACGGTGGCATGGTCGCGCTGAAGGATGGTGACTGAGGGCGCACGAGGGTTTATTGGCGTTACTGGAAGAGAGTGTTGGAGGTACCAAGCAAACACTATCCACCTATTTAGGATATACGGGAAATGAGCTATTGGGTTCGCGTACCTTTGTGGCCATATTTAGTGGGGTCCGAGGACGCGCCGGCGACTGCGAACCGCGGAGAGGAGAAGAATATCTTCAGAGCGGTCTCCATATCTGCCTCAGGTATTTGACTTCTTGTTATTGGCATCAGTGAGTGTCTTTGTAGGCTAGGTGGTTTTGTTTTGACTTAGGAGAGGTTGTGACAAGAGGTGGAGCGGTGTTATCGATATGAAATTGCCCCGTGTCACGTCATCGCTTTGATTTTCGCGTGCTCTCTTACTCTCCAGACGTTGACTTCACACAATCATAGTGTCCTGATGCATCGTGGCAAAGCCGCTCTGAAGTTGAATAACTTTCTAGACTGTTTAGGTAAAAAAAAACTTAGTGCCTGTTACCTGCAATCCAGCAAATTGCTGCGCCTTGGTTAGAGGATTTCTGACATCTTATGGCACTTTTCACTCGAGTACTCTTCGCTCTTTTCTTATTCTCGGTCTTATTCTTTCCCGATACACGATTTAGCGGGGTTCAATGTTATAGTCAGGCCATTACAATCATTATCCTTGCTCGACATCTGCTTCCTGGTCGGCCCGCTATTTATTGGAAGCGTATTCCACACCGTTTACCGCCCAAAGATGCGATAGGAACGTATCTACCCTCGTCGAACCTCTCACCTATGTAGCATGGTAAGTCTGTGAGCTAGTTCGTCCATTGTTGCAACACCGCCTGCGATTTGCAGAGAGTCCTGGGCGAGCTTCACAGCTCCACTTTTCCCCACGTCGGGATAGTCCTACGATAGATAGCTAGTCGCAAATTAGCACGCATATTCAGTACGGTTGCTGGAATCACTTGTGTATGTGTGACGTGGCCGACCGAGGGTAGTACATCCTTGAATGAACGACAGTCATCTCCTGCAGAATCTAACTTTCCTAAGCTAGATATCAGATTAAGTTACGTGGAACAGTAGGCATGCTGACTACGATATTCTGGAAGAATCTATTGTTGGATGGCTTGACCATTGCCGTAGCAAGCCATTACACATAAACACTGGTGTTCCACTCGACGCGGAGTGAACCACTTGTTGTATACACCAAAACGCCGGCTCTGAACTCACGCACATGCATGCATGCCAATTCCCAACGTATACCCAAACGCATGGACCTAACGCCGGTGCCCAATCGACAGTCAAAGGAAAGTGAAGGAGCGACTAAGAATAGTGATTTCATGGACAAAGAAAATAGGTGTGGCGGCGATGATATTTTGTGGAACGTGGAGCACGTCGTGTCGCTCGCTAATTGGACTCGATCGACACCATGAATGGTACCATGATAGCTTCGAATGCGATCGCGGGGATGTTGAGGAAGGAAAGCTCGACTTCATGGAGGATCGAAGGTGTAGCGAAATTGCAGTGTGTTGGTCGAAGCAGACGCATGCGATGTTAGGGTCGCGTCTACAGCTGTGCTACAGAGATCGGTGTGTCGCATGTATCGATTTTCGCAGTCGATAATGCCTATTCGCAGAGCATCAAGGTAGTACAAGCTCGGGTACAGCTTTGTCGAGGTGCTCGAGCTCTGCCTCCAATATTCAGTGTGCCAATTTGGGATTCGCATATATCGTCACCGCCGCTTAGGTCGAGTGTTCGAGGGGAGAATGCCGCCGTGAAATAGTACCACCAAAGGAAATTCAACGCTCCCTTGAAATCTTTTTAGTAGAACACCCTCACCAGATTTTCGTCCTTCTCTTCATCAGCTAGCATCCAAAGCTCATCAACTCTCTTGACTGTTCCACTTCGTTCTCCAAAGTCTTCGCCGAGCCTCATCACGCAACTGAAAGCAACACTCCAGCCATTGACACCAGCTGCATAGAATATTTCAGCAACAGCTGCCTCCCGGCTTCCACACTTGACTAGCTTGTAGATTTGACAGCCATTGAAGTGCGACCCATGGATGAATGGATCGCTGGCCTGACAAGTGCTGAAGACAACATAGTAGACGAGCGGGGTCTTTTCCAATGCTTCCGATTTCTCATCCGTACAGTGATGGCAGGCTGCAGCATAGCCACTATCGAGTGCATGCCCAGAGGGACAATCATAGACGTCGTCATCGGTGGGAGTTGTTAAAGCATGGGAAGCCCACACTTTTGGTGTCTCAAGACTGACAGGTCTAGCATTGAGAAGATGTAGCAACCCCTCCGGCCCTGTAATGTGCTGTAGATAGGATCTGGCGGGCTTCTCGTACCAGAAGTCTGGGCTGCCGAACTTGAGAAGCCATTGATGCTCTTCAAAGTCTGCCTTGTGGACACGATGTTGTGTGGTGAAGACGTTGCGTCGGAACGGGACGATTCGAACTACACGGCTGCTGATGTCGAGAACGGAGTCCCCCGAGTACTGGGCTCGGATGAACGAGACTGGAGAGTAAATTTTATCTTCTGGGTTTACGGGGGCTTCTGGCAGCCCAGGTATTGCGTCCGAAGGTGGTAGTGGAGGAGGCTTGAACCCACATCAGCCATACACAGGTATAAGGGTAGTAGAGCTACGTACAGGAGGAAGAGGAGGAACAATCCCTTGGACGTTTAGAAATTGTGGTACTCCCACGGGTGGTGGCGGCTGAATCAATGTAAGCTGCCGGTTCCTCTAAGAACTGGGATTGTTTGTGGATGACCACTTACAGGAGGCGGCGGTGGAGGCGGCTATCAGTCAGAATTAGTTTCCTACTTGTTTCGTGCTTCAAAGCAGGTGGCTTACTGGAGGTGGAGGACCATAATCCTCGGATTCTCTGCGGTAATTCTTCCCGCGGTATGGGAGGTCTAAGGGTGGTGGAAAGCCGATGGGGCTCGTATCTGTTTTTGGCTCAAGCTCATACCTGTCCTGCACATGCCGCTTCACTTTTGAAGAAGCCCTGCCGTCCAACCCGCCAATAATATGCTGCTTGTTGCTATCACGTAAATCTTTCGAGCTATGGGTGTAATCGTTGAGGACTGGCCCGTGCCATATGCAGTTACCAGAATTACAAGTGCACGGCCCTGGGGGTGGAGGGGGATTGTGATGCTCAAACTCAGTCGAGGTCGATGTTCCCAAACTTTGGGAATGCCCCGGAAGTAAGGAAACCACACTCATCGAAGGCTCGTTACCAACAAGAACTATGTCCGAGTCGTCTGTTTCCATTGCTCACGCTAGAGGCTGCTGGATTTCGGTCTAGATAGCGAACGCGGTGCGAGTTTAATAAGATTTCAAGTTTTGATACTTCCCGGTCAAATGAAGAAATGGATGTCTGGTTGTACTTGATTTAGTCGGCCTGACTACTTATGTAGCTCAAAATCCTGCAGTAAATCAGCCGTCATACAGCGCAAAATGACACTGAGAGTATCGGACAGACCTCTCGAATAATGAAGCAACCTACTGGAAGGCACAGGGACGACCCTAACTCTGAACAGGACAACAATTAGGCCTAGCTCACCCTTGTAAGAAAGCCCAGGGAGCACAGCGAACAGCTGAGCAACCCGATGATCTGTCCATTGGCTCACCACTTGCCACCACGCTCGTTCGAGGTCGGTACCTTGCCACAAGAGAGTAGCTCGGTGCTTTCCGACATCTGTTGTCAACAAGCCAACTCTGTACGTGGACTTGTACGTGGACAGATAGGAGTCGCGGTGCGCTGGAAATCCGGTCTGTGCCCAATAGCTATACGCAAATTGAACAGTAGAAAAGGCGGACTAGGTTGTAAGCGCTACGAAGGCGCCGGGGGAGGCTGCAATGACAGCGGAAGGGTACCTTGGCGTTATCAGGCCTGAAACATCATAAAGCATACCGCCTCATTCCGAGGTAACGGGTGGCAAGCCTGTCGCATACTCCGGCTTTCATATGATAATCCCCGAACCGGAAATAGATGGGCGACGTGCGGCGTAGTACTTTGCAACTAACCGTGTTAGCAACTGCTGGTATCGAATCAAAGCCCCCTGGCTTGATAGGCATTCCAAGGTGAGGCGAACAGAGAAGACCGGATCCTTTCCAAGATAAAGTCTCATGACAAGAAGTCTTTGGATTTGCGGGTAAAAAATTGGAGCACAGATGTAAAGGTCGGCTTTGGTGTTTGTTGTGGCCCATCTAGTCATGATGGCATGATTACTTAGGTTTGTGATGAGCATCGAAGCCTGAGCGAAGGTTGACTTGCTCAAGCAACCTGTCATTAGGTACCCTGGATTGACTGACAGGGAACCCTTTCCTAGTGAAACCGAGTTCGATCTAATTGGTCACGGTGGACTAATAGAAGTTGTCCAGTCATAGCAAGAGAGTCGAAGATTGAACAGCGGTGTGAAGCCTGACACCAGTTCCCTGAACTACCAGTATAATATTCTAGTAGGGTCCAGCAAGCCCCAGCAAAGTGTCCAGTAGAGTGCCCATAAACTATTCTCGTCCCGTCCCGTTACCAGTATGATTTCCCCAGGAAGATGTCCAGCGCGTGATAAGCATTATCGCCTTCGAAGTCGAGTTGGACTGGACCAGGCCACAGCGGTGCAGCTGTTGTGTGTTGTCATGCCTTGCAGCAGCAGCTGCATGAAAATTAACTCTCACTCGGCGTTCTATCGGTCAATTGCAGTTATACAAGAAAGGCGGTCAAGAGAACTTATGAGAATTTGCGAAGACTTACCAAGAGGCCCAGTCTATTAAACCAGTGACTGGACTTACTGTCGTCTAGAACCTGAGCTGAGCCTCGTATGCGGCTGAGAGGCATAAACTAGGTATAGGAAGGCTAAGCGAGATGAGGCTATTCACCGGACGCCATGCGATCAATTCGATCAATTCGATATGCCAGTAGAAAAGTATTCATCAGACTATGGCCTTAAAGAGGGGCGTTGGTCGACATTCTTGTAGAGGTGACCGGCGCTGAAGAGCCAGAGGCGTGAATAGACACAGATATTCGGTGGGCTGACTGTTAATCCTGTGTGAGTTGGCTACCCTAAGTGTAGAATCGAATACAAAGTAGAGCCTCTTGCCCTTACCCGCAAAGAGCAGTAGTCATGAAAGATTTGGTTGACCAAGAAACCAGCTGGTAGAAATGGTGAAGGAGGAAGGAGCTTTATATGACAGTTCTAGGACATACGCAGTTAACCCAGTGATCTATAGAGGGCGTCAATCCCACAACCAGACCCCGAACATGTCTCAGGATCATGTTCGTAAAGTGAGGCGAGGAACGATGTGATATCAGGTGCAGCTCCTGATCTTCGAAAGCCCAAGGCGGCAAGAGCAAGCGAGATCACAGTGAGGAGTGCCAATGGCGTGATTATGACCGAGCAAGAAGGAGGCGGAGCAGGAATCCAACATTTCTGTTTTAGTGAAGTAGAGACGGGTGATGTTGGGATAAGATACAAGACCATCTTTCCCCATCTTTACGACCCGTATATGCACCGATGCGGTTAGCGCAATCACTAGTGCCAAATCGACCAATGGGCCAAGGATCAACCTTAATCCGAAAGCTGTGAGAGGCGTCATAGTCCATGCATAGCTCACCTTTATACGCCAAACACACATCTTCGCAACACCATACGCTGAAACGGTGGCATACAACTGCGCGTCCCTACTACTCCACACGATCTCTAAATACCGTACATCGCGAAGCCACATCTTCCAGTCCCCCGATATCTACCATGGCCAACGGGTACCCATATCCAGCACCCACCTCTACCCCATCGCAAAAGCTAACAGTACTACTAGCTGGGCGCCCTTCATCGGCCTCGTAATCGTTGTCATTTTCTGCATTGCGGCGTGGTTTCTAGCTCCCAAAGGCGAGAATCAGACCGTCTGGCGATCTACACTGGTACTCTCAGCGGCCGCCATGTACATCATGTGGGCGATAACGTTCCTCGCGCAATTACACCCTCTTATCTCGCCGGTACGAAGTCATCTGCGACCGGAATTAAATGGCGGACGCTAGCGAATTACTCGATCGGGGAGATGAGGGAGAGAACTACCTAGGTACTCAGGGAGGCTTAGAGGGCAGAAGAAGGAAGCCGGACACGAGACTGTATGCGGCTGTGATGGAGCTGCAGAGCGTCGCTACTATCGGATATGCGGATTGCTGAGAAGCTCTGGCTGAGGGATTGGGACACGAGCAGCTGCGGTTGTCATATCACATCTTGAGCGCATTGTATAGTTGGCCAGGCGTTTCATGGAACATGTAGGATTGTACAAATATTGAATGGGGTATCATGAAAAAGTCCACCAAGCCTCACCCCACACCCACGAGCCCTTTGGCCCAATCCTCAATGCTCTGAGCTAGACTTGAGTTTCCTTCCCATCCACTCCCCAGCCCTGCGGCCCTTAGTACTCCCCAGCCTACAAGACTCCTACACCCTGCCGCGATGGCAACAAGCATACCTGCCCTGATATACCCACAGTCCATAAGGATCTCCAGCGCCGCCACGTTGTTGACAATGACCGCCCAGCTAACCGCAGTCGCGCTGGACGGCAAGTCATACTCCCAGATGATGAGCAAGATAGGGAAGAGCTTTGTGCAGCTAGACACCAGCAGGGCGGTGGAAATGGGTGTAGAATGTGTAAAGCGTGGAATAAAGCGTTGCCACACAGTGCGAACTATTCGGGGAAGCTGAGAGGTGTCGACGGCGCAAAGGAGACGTATTGGCAAGTGGAACGCCAGCGTGCTCAGCGTAACCAGCAATAGAAAGAACAGATACTGCGCCATCAGCGGCTGCGCCTGTAATACTACCGCATTTGTAATCCCATCGTGTGGCGGAACAAGTGGGCTTGTGGACGTGACGTTACGCGTGGTTATGGTAGAGGAAGGGTGGAAGGGTGAACTGGTGGGGAGCGGTAGTTTCTCAATGCGCGACCATGTCAGGTAGACGTCGAAGAGGAGCAGGAGGATGCCGAGACGAATGATAGACCGCTGCGTGCGATTAGCACATTTTTAAGACCTTGGAGAATATTATAGCAAATGTACATACGTCGAATTTATCGTCATCTCGTCCTAGGCGGTTAAAGAGGAGGTGTCTATACACCTACATGTTCCTCCATTAGCACTCGTTCTGCCTAGAATTCATACTGCTATTTGCCCGTACCTGTGGTTTAATCAACACCACGTCGATGAACAGGACTACAAAGTCGTGCTCGACGTATTTATCAGCGAATCTTTTGCACCGCGGGCATTGTGTGAGGCGGACACCCTTCCCGAGTGCGCGGTCGTCGGCTTTCGAATACGTGGTATAGAGCGTTTTGACGGGAAAGCGGCATTCTATGCAGATTGGCATTGTGGCGCCTACATTGCGCGTAGGATGTACGTGCTGAACAGCTGCGTATTCGTAACGGGTGCTGACTTTTGTCTAGAAAGAGAGTGTTTGCGGGGTAGTGGAGTCGTGGAGTGTGGAAGATGCGATGTTCTTACGATTCTTCGGTGTTAATATATTGGGTTAAGTCCGTACAGAGGAACATAGTAGTTAACAATGCGATTTACAAAGTCAAAGAAGGCGGTTTTGCATACAATTCCTCGATTCAAGATAGCTAGCTCTCGCTTTGCCTGCTTTCCTTTCAGTATCTTTTACTAAGTGACAATCCTACAAGATGGTGTAATACATTCATGCATGCTTTTGACGCCGGCCAATTCTGATGCTCCTAGACAACGCCAAGCGCTGAAAGAATGATAAGAAGACCCAACCCAAATACACAATCGTCTTCGAGAAACACCAATGTAAGTCTTCCTGATCCGTCCTACTCCTATACTTCTTCGTAATTATACTTCCATTACCGGGCAGCCTCCTCAACCGTTGCACTGACATCCCTCGCCCTCTGAATCCACATCTGATCATCTACATCCCTACCTAGAACATCACTGCCCAGCACCACCCGGAGCAAGTCTGCCAGCCCAATCGCATTCTCAGCACCGCCAAAGAGTGCGCCTGTCCGCCTGCTGACTGCCCCCCACTGCTCGATCAGGTATATGATCCATTTCACAAGCAGCCTGCGGTTGCGGCCGGCAAAAGGATGTTCTTGCGCATACCATAACGCTTCCAACGTCGCGACGAGATACTCAAATGGCGCATTGAGCTTAAGGAAGACGTCTAGGGGCCAGGTGAGATTCGCGTTCAAAGCGAGGTTCTGCGCGTGGGCCGTACTAGCATCGTGAGCGTAGAATTCGATGTCATACTGGAGGAGTAGCTGAAGAACGACGTTCACTGGGAACACGCTCTCGTTAAGGTTGACACGATGGCCAATGTCCTCGACCTTCAATGCGACACTCTCCCAGGGCGCGGTTTGCTCTTCTGCGACGGCATCTCTATGGACTTGTTCAACAAGGTTGGACCACGTGTGACGGATATCAGGGACGTTACGATAGTCAGCGGCATGGTAGATGAGCAGACAGATGTCGTAGTAGGCCGCTTGGTCGGCGTAGTCATGGTAGAGCTAAATGTAGCTGTCAGTGGATGTGTCTGTTATAGATAGACGTACTATGACTTACCTCATCAAGAGGATGTATCTGGCCGTTGAGGTGATCTATGACCTCCTCTCTTCGCGTGCCAGTGAGTCGCTGATCGGCCCTGATCTTTTGCAGAACATCATCTTGAATGTTGGCGATGTCTAAATGATCGCTGATATTACGCAGCAACTCCTGTCTCGATTGCCTGTTCCGTACTCCAGTCTCGGAGAAGCCAGTCATTCGTGTCGAAGCATTTGCCTTTGCACGCGATAGATATTCTATCCGCTTCTCCAACGACAATGGCAGCGGACTCTTGGCCAGCTGGTACTGTGTCTCGGCGGCGCTCAAGTAGTCATTATAGTGGGCGTAATAGCGCCACAAGAGGTCAGCATGCGCAAGGTTTTTCTCCGAGCTTTGCTGAAGGTAGTCGATGACAAACGGAGAGTTGATATCCAGTAGTCGCTCCGCCCAGCCTTTCGACATGTACCAGTCGTATAGATAGTTTTGGAACACCTCGTCGTCCGAGTTGTTGATCTGCTCGTAGGCTTCATGTTTGCGACGGGTGACTTGAGATATCACGCCTTCTGGCACAGGCCCTTGGCTATTATATGCTTGGTCGACAGCTTCGATGACTTTGCAAACAAGCGTGTAGCATGAAGCACGTCTCTCAAAGTACTGCCTCCGCACGTCGTTAGGATCAACGTTACTGTCACTTTGTTCTCGTATCCAAGAAAGGGCCTTGTTTCCACGATCTGACTCTTGCGCAACTTTGAGGGCAAGCCGGATAGCGCCTAAAGACTCAGTCAGCACGCATCCTCATACAGTAAATGATAAATCTTACCAGCATAGAATTCGAGCTCAATGTACTTGTTGACGGTTGCAGTCAAGTTTTCGTAGCTTAGGCTCTTCGCCACCTGCTCGAACAATCGCAGGCTGTCGTTGAGGAGAATACGCCCACGCTCCGCATTGGCGCCTGAGTCGGCCGCCTTTTTCAAATTTTCTTGCGCCTTGAAGATGACGACATCATCTGAGCTGCAGAAGCTGCCACACTTTCTCCGCAGGGCTTCCGCGACTGTTTCGACATTGGAGCCTTTCGTGATGTTGCGGTTGACAATTGCCTTGACAAGCTCCCTTGCGAGCTCCTTACCCTCCTTGACGGAGAACAGGCCCTGGAAAGTTAGTCGCCGGACCCGCAATTGCAGTTCTGGATCAGGTAGCAGTGCAAATATATCCTCAAGTCGCTCCTCGAAGAGCACGAGAACGAATGAGATGCCTTCAACAATGTTGTTGACCATGAGCAGCAAGCTGGTAAGCGCCCTATTCTCGCCTTGTAGCTCCACCTCCTCTTGCCGTGACGAAACCCGTCCTAGTGCCTCGGGGCCGGCCAAGCCTTCGATGAACGATTTGTTCGACTCAAGAAACTCTTGCAGCTGAGCAAGAGAGCGCTGAATCTCTTGTAGCTTGGCGATCTTGTGCGTTGATGTGAGTACCGGTCCAGTCGGGCTCGAAACCTGGTTGATGATTGGTGTGTTCCATATTGAACGGACAAGACGAGCGACATACATCGCGATGCCATCGTGCCGTGGTGAGGCCCGAACATTCTCCACGCTCAGCCCTTCCACTGTGGCGCTTTCCGTCAAGTGCGCCTTTCCGCCAAATTCGATGAATACTCTACGGGCAAATTCAAGCACCTCGGGATCTGTTACTTTGGCAATCCGAGAGTCAGGTCCAACGTCCGAACCTTGACCGCAGGCTACGGCTAGAGCGGTAGCAGAAGTCTCAGCAAGACCGTACTGCTTGGCGAGCTTCCGAATATCGCCCTCCGTTCCCTCATGTCCTCCACCAAACTTGACGATTGCAGCAAAGATGTCAACAAGCCTTCTCCGTCGGACAGTTTCGATGCCGTTTGATGTGATGATTGCAAACTCGCACAAGGGCTTGTCGAACTGGGTCGACAGCTCATTCCCGAAGCCCAAAGGCTCGTCCCTAGCTGAAAGAGGCTCTGTAACCTGACCCATGTCCTGTACTCTGCCTACGAGTTCTAATTGCAAGCCGGTCTCGGTATATCGTGGAGGTTCAGAACTCTCCCGTTGCCCTAGCAGTCCTGAATGTGGTGCGGACACGAAAAGTATATGATTCGGATCGTTTGGCGACTTGTGGACAAACGAAAAGAACGCCCCGGGCGCGTATCTGTTCCCGAACTTCGTCTCTCTAAGCATCTTAGAGTCGAAGCCCACCGGTGTGCCACCTTGGTATGGCTGTAGCTGAGTTGAGTTGTTCTGTGGCGAAGGCTGGCCGTCGTTGGGCGGGAACCGAATATGGCGCAACTGCATGCTGTTTGGAGCACTCGCACTGTTGGCGTTATAGCCACCAGAAGTTGTACTCAGATACAACCTGCAGCCCGACGAAGTAGTTGCCATCAGAGACAGATAATCCGCCTCTGTGCTCGTGATAGGGCTCAGACTGACTATCTGCATATTGTGAAGAACATCTGATTGGCGCACGATATGACTGCACATGGTTTCTATGTTTTTGAGGCTGCGAGAGATGACGCATTCTAGGATAGCGGGCGCGCGCATATGGTACACATTAATTGTGCCATTCGTGGAAAGCGTATACAAGACATTCCGGGTGTCGTCGATGATCATCTGTTGTATGCCTGCTTGTCGAGTCGTTCCGTAGAATGGTAAGGCCGGGAGGCCAACTGATTTTGTTACGTGGTTCGTCTTGCTGCACTTGCTAGAGAACCACTTGTCCTCCTGCTGGTAGTTGAGCTCATAGACGTCCTCGGTATGGCCATCGCTGAAGAATATGCGTCCCGTCTTGGATGAACCTGCAATTGCCGTTACGTTGATCTTTCTGACGGACGTCGACAGTCCCGTCCGGTACAACGTGATGCCATGTACACCTTCCGGCCCTCGCTGGCACTCGACGGCGATCAAGAAGATGTCTGACACGGTTGCGACGACGAGTAAATATTCGATGGTATCTACGAATACCTTGGGGCGCGGCCTGACGAGCTTCACACAGGTAATGTTGCTCGGCTGCTCTTCGAATCCGACGAGCTCGGGGTTCGGATGCGTATAGTCCCACAGATATACCTGGTTGTCCACGACTACCCAGGCGTGGTTGATCTCTGCGAATAAGCCCATGCTTGTCGACATCTGCGTGTGGTCCACCTGCTCGAAGACGGCCTCGGGGAGTTTGTACGACCGTAGCTTCTGGAATGGCGACCATGCTAGGTTGGTTGGTATGTCGTACTCGCCAGATATGCCCTCTGCGTAGTCTCGTTAGTATCTAATACTCTTTCACAGTTCCTATCGAACAACTCACGTCCAATGTACGCCTCCAAGGCTGGATATCGGCTATCTCTATCCAACATGCTATTGATTGTGCGAGATGCGCGATCTATTGGGCTTTCTGCTGGCGGTGCAGGCAGCGCCTGAACAGGTTGCTGCTGGGGTTGCGACATGGACGCTTGTCGTGCGAGACCAGGTCGATTTGGCGCAGGAGTATTGATAAACGCGCCCGGGGTGGGACGCTGCGGCGTCGCGGGCGCCATCTGGAATGCCATGGTGGAATAGCAGGCGGAGATGGTGGGTTGTGGTTGCGGCGGCCTGGGGGGAGAGCCAGCTTCAGGTGGAGGTTGGGAGCACGCGCCGGCAGCCAGACATGAAGAAGAGCTGCGCGCGGATTCTGGAAGAATACGAAGGAAGAGAAGCGCGCAGAAAATATGAACAAAAAGGGAGTCCGGCGCAATTGCGATGGCTAATGCAGCTCAAAGCCTGGGGACAAGCTGCAAAGCTGACTACCGACAACAAAAGAGTGTGCTTGGCGGCAGGGATGCCAGCTCCACGGCGCGTCTGAGCGTGTTTATGTCATCCAAACTTTTGCGACCGTCAATCTTTCGACTTTCGCTAGGAAGACTGTTCAAGTTTCATTGAGAGGGGAAACTGTCTTATATCTAACGTCGCCTGTTCCATCACAGTCTAGTAGCAGTCACGCGGTTGCTCCTGCTACCTTCAAGCGCTACTTCCTGCGCTGCTACGTTGTCCCATTATTTGCGCAGCTTCACAACTTCACAGCTTCAAAGCTTCAACGCACCACCAACACTTCAACATGTCACTCTTTCGCCCAATGCTCCTCCGACCAAACCTCCTCTCGTCATCCCGACCCCTCTGTCTCCGCACAGCCCTCCGCTTCTCATCCACCTCAGCCTCCGAAGCCACCGTCCTTCCCCGATTACAATCCGACCTCAAAAATGCTATGCGCGCGAAAAACAAGCCGGCACTCAACACGATCCGTGCGCTGCAAGCAGAGATTATCAATGCTTCCAAGACTGCGAAGCCTATAAGCACCGATGGTGCCTTCTACTCTCTCGTCCAAAAGCAGATAAAAGCGGCAAATACCGCCATCGCGGAGTTTCAGGCAGCGAAGCGGGACGATCTCGTGGATAAGGAGCAGCAACAGCTGAATGTACTGCAGAAATACGCAGATGAGATCCCAAAGCTTGCGGAGAGCGAGGTGGACGTCATAATCGAGCAGGCCATCGCTGGGCTAGAAGAAGGCAAGGCGACGTTCGGGAGTGTCATGGGGAAGGTCATGGGGGCTATCAAAGGGCGGCCGCACGATGTTGAGTATGTCACAAAGAAGATACAAGAGACTGTGGGTAATAAATAGTGGGTAGGGTAGGAAGATTGAGCGACGCATTCGGACGGAGTGTAAGATTTAGTGTACCAGGTATGATTATGTGCAGATCAGATCAGATGCCCAAAGCGGCTCTGCCATCTCTGCTGTCGAACGGTTCGTCTTCACTCTACTACTAGCAATCTACTAGCAAGTAGCATAACCTGCCGTGACGGTGGAGAGATGGTGATGGTGTTGCGGCTGAGGGATGCTAGCGGATGTTACCCCACGAGTCAGCCATTCTTGCTTCACCAACTTTTGGGCACATGACGTCACTCGGGTCCAACGACAATGCATCCCATCGCTTTTGTCCGGTGACGGTGACGAGACTGTTATGTTAGGGCCGGGTAACCCTGGCGCGGGAGCAGCCTTGGGTGATGCGAACAATGGCCATTGTCTGTCCCAACGTCGCCCAATATGCTCCCTGAAGGCGCCGGTCGGCTGTATGCCCAATCTTAGTACCCAAACTGGTTGCCGACTCATTTCACCTTGGAGATGCGCAACAGGCGAAACTCTAGCGAGTGAGCATCAGGGGCACATGCGCCCAGTCACGATCCGAGTTGCACCCTAGTGCGATGCAGGGAATGCGGTATATGCGCGAGCGCCGATGACGAAGCTGTCTCCAAGCCCGCATCTAAAGTTGGTCGCACGCACCACACACCACCATTTCAACCCAAGGAGCCTTGCTTGAGCCATATATTTCTTGCTATCCTCTTGCTGCCCTGTCGCTAGATCGCCACAAAACCACTCACTGTCATCGTGTGTCAGTTCTCATCCTGCTATCCTTCCATTTCTTCGGCCAAATATCCGGCAGCCCCGCATCAAGCCTTGTTACATCAACAAAAAACAACGTCACGACCAGCCCTTTACCCCTCAGTCATGTATCGCTCTTCGACTGGCGCTTTGGACCACTATGACGAACCACCTCGTGGGGGTGAGCGGTGGGATCGTGACAGATTCGAGCGCATGAGAAGAGGAGGAGGAGGAGGAGGAGGAGGGGGAGGGGGAAGCGGCGGCGGAAGCAATGCTGGTGGCAGCCGTGCTGGCGGTCGTGACGACTACGAACACTTCCGCTTCCAGGAGCACGATCGCTTCCCCGGAGGCCATCGGGACGTCGACATCCACGAAGACCGTCAACGCCAAGGCCCGCGCGTCATGGAGAGGGAGCGCTTCCACGAAGATGAGCGCTTTGAGCGTCCTTCGCGTGGCCGCGCCGACCTTTTCCACGAGCCTACGCCATCCGAGGTAGCCAACCAGGCACTTGCCCCTTACCGTCGCAAGTCGATTATAGACAAGGACATCAACATTGGTATCGATATCAACGAAAGGCGCCGACCCGCTCGACCGGGGTTCATCCGACGACAATCGTCCCTTGATACGTTCGACCGCCGCCCTGTGCCACGATACGGAGAGGTCGAGAGGTACGAAAAGCGCGAATATCGACCACCTGCCAATGTTCCCATTCCACTTCCAATCCGTGAACGCCGCAGATCACCCCCTCGTCGCTTCCATGAGGAGGAAGAGGATTACGAAGATGTTAGGTTTGACGACCGCGGAGGACGGGGCAGGGAACGAGAAAATTATCGTGAAGTCGAGGTCTCCAGAGAGAAGAGCAGGGTTCGCAGGAGTAAGAGCGTAGCAAAGTCAACTCGCAGCTCCTCCATTTCCAGCTTCGAGGAGATTCAGCCCTCGCGAGCTACTTGGGGCAAGAAGGGCAAGACGAGACTTCCAAAGCGCCTGGTCAAGAAACAAGCTGTCATCGACCTCGGCTACCCATATGAAGAAGAGGTATGCAGTTCTCATACACTTTGGAAGTGTTTCTAATCAAAGCAGGACGACTTCATCATCGTAACTCGGGCGCTCGAGAAAGAGCATATCGACGAGGTCATCAAAATTAGTGAGAGCTACAAAGAAGGTACGTGCTCTCATGGTACCATAATTCGAAGCTAACATAATATAGAAAAAATGACCTATGTGTACGAGGAGAAAGGCCATGATAGTCCTCCCCCTCCTCCTCCTGCGTCTATTGCACCTTTACCACCTCCACCTCAGGAGCATTTTCACCCTCCTCCTCCCTCTGTAATGCACGCCCCACCACCACCGCCTCCTGCTCAGTACGCTGCACCACCGCCTGCCCAGTACGCACCACCGCCGCCTGCTCAGTATGCTCAACCTCCACCCTCACATTATGCTCCTTCGCACTACGCACAATCAGAGCGCGCTCCCTCGCCATCTATCCACGAACATGAGCGCTTTGTTGAAATTGAGCGCTCAAATGCCATTCACGGACCTGCGACTTCCTTCCTTCCTGAGAACCGACAGCTAGTTCGCAGGCGCTCGGAGCGCGATATTCGCGAGGAGATTCGCTCACTCGAGGACGAGCGCCGAATGCTCAAGTATGAGCGCGACGAACGCGACTATGAGTTTGTTGAAGCACGACCCCCGCGCAGGGAGGTGGTCCGCGTCGATAAGGATCGAAAGGGTAGGTTGGCCCTTGTTCGCTCGGCCCGTTAAGAACGGCACGTTGATGTTCTGGACAGGACGACGGGACCGGCCGAATCCGAAGCTTGTGGCTGCTATGATGTCGACTTTGAGCTGATCGATTGACTTCGATGTAAACGCCTACTGGTATTGACGTAACTTGGTTTCCATGTGGCGGAACTTTCGACAAGTTGTGGGTTTGTTTTGGCTGGGTTTATTTCTTTATGACTTACGGCTGGATAATTGGGCTTTTACTTCTCTTTCATTCTATTCATTATAAGGGTTTTATCTCGGCGCAGCTATACAGGCAGCCTTCACAAGCGGGTTTGAATATCGATGATATCAGCTACGATAATGAACTGCAATGAACTCACTGACTCCAGAGCTATGCTCCTCAATATTCTCTAGTCCAGACATATGCTGTGCATATCTACAGATCCTTACAATTTCTTCTTCGTCACAGGCTCAAGATCTTTGTGCTGCTTCGAAATCAACTGATCCAGCCTCGCATAGCAATCCAACATCATGAATACACCTACCGATCATAGTCAGCACAGCCATGTCTTACGCAAACCTCTCGCCATCCTTCAAACCTCCAATCTGATAACGGACGCATAAGTCCATCGCTCCGTCTCCCATCTACTACCAATACCAACCCAAATGGGAAAATGAAAGACTTACCAGTAGCCAAGTAACCCCCGTACATGCCGCCCAACCCCTGGAACCCTCTCTGTGCAGCGCTAAGCTCCTCCCAACTTAGCATCTCCGCCAGACACACCAGCGTAGTCAGGCTCGTTTCCATACCAAAAACAAGTAGAGCCAAGGGGACGCGGGGATCATTGCGCAGCAAAGCGGGGATGGCCCAGAGAGTAAGGGGAAGGTGGTAGACAAGTTCCAGGAACGTCAGGGTGGGGAACCATGCGCTGGGTTTTTGTAAGTACAGGAACGAGTAGAGTGTCAAATTCGCTTGCTGTGAGGAAATTTGGACAGGTGAGGGGATCAAAGCCGTGAACTAAGAATACGAGTGGGGTAATCTATCCAGTATATAACGAATGCGTCGGAATTGAAAGTAAAAAAGTAATGGTTTCGCGGGGTCAATGTTGGAGGTGCAGATCAAAGGTAGGAATTCAGAGCTACTTACGGTGGATTGTAAAAGAATCGGTCGCCGTAGGTGGCGACATACCATTCGCGGAGAGAACCCATCCAGAGCGGTTTAATCTGAATGGGGTAGAAAGCGGACAGGTCGAAGGCTAGAGGACATCAATATTAGCACGTAGTATAGACAGCCCTCAGCAGCGGAACAGTATTGATGATTGTTGTCTTCATTCGCCCGCTGATGATAACACGGATCTGGAGACAGAAAATGGTAATAGACGTCGAGTGGGGCTGCGGTGTGAATAAAAGTTTGAACCTACCAAGCATAACCGGAAGATGCACGATGAAGAAGACAAGATACACCAAGTCGCGCCTACGCTGAAAAATTGACTTTGCCATTGTGTGGAATCTGCCTCCAGTCAAATCGTAAGATTGCTGTAGATTGGACTCGGGGGTGCTGATGTTGGAGAGGAAAACTGGAGTTTGGGGCGTTTCGCTGGAAAGGGACACGGCCATGTCAGCAGAACGAATGGTACGTGCGCCGGGGGGCTCTTTCCCACCTTTCCTATCAACTCACATCATCACTATATCTTGACGATCGAAATTTTCTTTAGCAACAGATTTTTCAGCTTCTGAATTCTTCATTCGAATTAAGTACTTGTTTGTTGCCCTAATATCGAATAGTGCTAGTACCTTTCTCCTCACGATGATAGCCTACGCTCACCGCTGGACGATTCAAGTGCTCAGATTAAGCGCAGGCCAGAGTTCAAATACGATGTCGAATCCACTCGCATGTATCTGCTGCAAATATAACATTATCTTACGTACTATGATTTGTACGTTTCGTGTAATATTAATTTCATCTCTTGTATATATTTCTTACTTCTCCGCTTCAGGACTCTTCTTGCGCTCCACTACGATTCCAGGGTTGCTAACAAACTCTCCCTAACAGCTGGCTGGTCAACTCCCCTTCCAATCAAGACAAGCTTCGCCTCTTGACTTTCCGCATCTGTTGGCGCTTTTGACTCGTTCGTATCGTAAATGTTTCGAACACCTTGTATCAAGAGCATTTTGCCGTCTTGGAGCGGGATGCGTGCTTTGAGACGATGGATTTCGAAAGGACTGTGCGGTGTGTTGTTGGGTAGGGTTTCTTCCCACAGGATTGTGCGGAGGAAGAGGTCGAACTTGTCTACTTGTGATCTGGAGAGAGATGAGAAGGTGATTGTTGTTGTGGTGATTGTCTGTGTACTGGTGAGCTAGGAATACTAGTTCGGTTATTGAATGGTTACTTACAGGATCGAGGTGGCTATGCCCTTTGCTTGCGAACTGTAAATCTGCATCGGTGACCTCATCGTAGGCATGGAGATCTAGTACTAGACCTTCTAGTTGTGGGACTTGACTCTTTGTAGTTGTCTTGATCTTCGCTAGTCCGTTGATCGATTGTACGCGGCTTATCACTTTCTCCAGCTCTTCGTCTGACACTAGATCGGTCTTGTTGATCAAAATGACGTCTGCATGGCTGATTTGCAAATGCGCCGTCGTCAGTAGTGGTCCATGCTCATCATGTCCCTCATTTTTTCTCTTCTCCATCTTTTCCTCGTCGCCATAACCCTCGTCCAAACTCTTCAACACGTTCTTCGCATCCACAAGCGTCACAATTCCATCCAAGAAGATACTACTCCCTAGCCCGTCATCCAACCAGAACATTGGTGCAATGTTCCCTGGATCCGCAAGGCCGGTCGTTTCGAGTAAGATGTAGTCAAAAAGACCTGATTGCTCCATGAGATTCTCAATGGCAGCGACACCGACATCCTTCACAGAACAGCATATGCAGCCGTTAGCTAGCGGGACGAAAGGTACTGGTGATGCGGAGGTCGAGTCGGCGTCGGAGACTGTAAGTTGCTTTTCAATGTCGATTGCTGCAAGTCTGTATTAGTAGAACATCTGAAGATATGAAGAAAGGGACGACATACAATCGCCGAATTCGTTCAAGATAACTGCAATCTTCTTCCCATGTTGCTCCGTGAGGATATAGTTGAGTAGAGTTGTTTTGCCGGCGCCAAGGTAGCCTGTGACGATAGTGATGGGCACTTTGCTCTGTGGTGTGTCGTCCGCGCTCGTGACAAGCTCGGGTATCTCTTCACCTTGGTCGTTCACGACTTTAGCGTTCGCCCCAGGCTGTACAAGGCTTGGGACTTCGTCGTCTGAGAGATTGGCATCCATATTTGGTTTTCTAATGTAATCTGCGCAAGCTCAGTTAGAAATCTAGTAGACGCGGCGAGAAGCAAAAGATGACGCGATATACACGCAGGATCGGAAACACGGGTTTATATACACCAGGAAATATCGAGGGAGAGCGTGTACAGGAGAGACATAGATGAAGTGTACGTTGAACATGCAAAGTCTGAGTTCCGAATTTGCCATTCGGAATTCGCCCAACCGCCGAAAAGCAAAGCACTATACTTATCCTAGTAAGACATATGGCTCCTAGGAACTTACCTTTTAATAACTACAATTCACAATTCGAATATGTTTTTGTCGTGACGTCGACATAGGCCACCTACAAACTCCGCTGTCATATAGAAGCACTCCACATTTGCGCTAGCGTTCGCGTGGTGACCCCTGCTTGCCCTGCATCCCAGGCGCTACTTCGTTGATGATTGAAACTCAGTGACTGACAACAACCCCAGCAAGGGCCGCCGAAGTGTGAAAATCTAATCCACTCCTCCGCCTCGCGTTCGTGCTATAGAAATGGCATCGCCCGCTTCGCCGCGACTTCCAAGCCCGCCACCCATTCCAGAGGACCAGCTGTCGCCAGTATCAGCCTCCGCAGAGCAGCAGAAGCTCTTCAGCAACCTGGACAATGCCGCTGCGAGAAGGATACGGCCAGGCACAAAGGCGGAGGATATGGCAGAAGGGCCTCCGCTAGTCGAGCTGTCGGAGGTGCGCCCATACGAGTTTGCGACAGTCGAAGAGCATAGTTAACACCATGAGCAGATTGACTCAGCGTTCCAGCTCACAGAACACCTCAAAGCGCTTCACTACTTCCTCACACATCCCATCGGGGCGAACACGACAATTCCAGTAGACAGCGAAATGGCACATAAGCTGGCACAGTCGCCCGACAACGTAGACAAGACGTTATGGCTGTACGAGCTATGTCGATTCCTTATTCAGAAGGTCAATTCCATCATCGTTGCCCTGTTCGCCGATAATCCACCGTGCTCCTCTACAACCTGCCCCGAGATGCGCGCTTCAGAGTGGCAGTACTTGTGCGCTGTGCACGACCCGCCAAAGTCATGTTGCGCCATCGACTACTGCTGTCACACCCTGGACTGGGCGGCCAATACCCTCACATCGCCGAAGCACTTTCCCTCAAGACTGGCGCTGGGCACCGACCAGTCTACACAACACTCCCAGATGCGCCAGTTGACCAACATCTTCAGGCGTGTGTACAGGATATTTGCACACGCGTGGTTTCAACACCGGGATATGTTCTGGAAAGTGGAGGGACGCACTGGGCTATATGTCTTCTTCAAGACGGTCTGCGATATTTATGGTCTAATACCAGAGGACAACTACACGATCCCGCCGGAGGCTGAGGGAATCGAGCCACCCACAGAGCCAAGAATATCAATTCTGCCTTCCATTCTCAAGCGAGAGCCTTCTGAACCAGGACCTCAGGATTTGGACAATTCTACGCTCGTAGAGGGAGTGACAGATAATACACTATCAACTGCTGGCACAACGAAACGTCATAGAAACTCACCCTCTGTCGGCGCGACATCCGTAACAACAGTAGTGGAAGAGAGTGAAGAGGAGGAGGAACGGCCAACACAACCGCGACCCGTCACGCAAATTTTCGAGTCGGCGCCTGAAGAAGAGGATAGTACAATTTTAGACGAACCAGAAAAAGCTGATGATGAGGACGGAGTAGTCGCAGAGCCCACCCCTGCGGTTTCAGAAGCCATTCCTACTGCCGATGGATTGAAAGGATCAAGTCCAACTGGAGAAAAGGATGTTGACCTGGAGCCTCAAGAAGCGGAAGAGAAGCTCGAAGATCCGGCTACAAAGCAAGAATCCGCAGATACATCTAAGACTGAAGTCGCGGATGTCAAGGCTGCAGAGATCGAGGCACCTGAAGCTGAATCCAAAGGAACCGGAGAGGATCAAGAAGAGCAGCAAGAAGCAGAGAGCAAGCCAGATGCAGTAGAGTCGAAGGCGGATGACCCAGAATCAGCTGCCGAACCACTCGATAAGGCTGATGGGGACAAGAAGTCCGGGCAATGATTGCAGGTTCCCCCGTTTCAATAGGGCCCATTCAAGAACCGGCTGCTCTGGTGGTGCTCTCATCTTTCCAGTCTTGATAATGATTTTTACCGTATGTTAGCGTGCACTAATGAAGTCGGACGGATAGGTGCTTTCCTTATATGATATGACTTGAGGACTAGCGACAGTCATAAGTGTAGTACTTTCTGAAGTCAACCCCAAAACGAACTATATGTATCGGGCAGGCCTTAAATCATATGGGCCGATCCTCTTGTATTTATCTACACTAGCCTAGATTCAAACACCCCGGTTCTGTGCAGGGTCTCATTCCACAGCCACGAATCTCTACGCAAGATATGTCGCAGCTCGCAAGGACTGCTGTGTGCCTCACCACCTGTCATCTCTGCATTATGACCTGGCAACCGAACACTCTGACGTTGTGACTAGAAAACAGGCTTTGGAGCGTGGCTTAGAAGAGCTAGTAAATTCAGCCTCGTAACCGCTGATCACACCGAAACGTGGAAGAAAGCACACTACTTCGTACTTAGTATTTCGTATGGTAGGAGTACGTGACCAACTTTCGTATCACTGTGCCTCTCCAATGTGATATAAATGGCATTTGAACACCCGCCCTCTGCACCTAGCTTTGCAACATGCCGTCAAGTGCTGAATATTCGAAAAGGGCCTTCTTTGTTGCTTTCACTCATACTTTTAATCAAGTTCAAACATGCCTCCGTTAATATCTTGTTGGACAAAGCTCACAGTCCCGAAGACCTGCACAATTGACGATGCCACATCTGAGGATGGGGAAAAATGGCTTCGGGCTAGTACCTACGTCGATACAACCAAAACGCCTGGTTACATGGCGCAATGCTTTGGTCGCATGACTGAGTCTCCTCTAACCGTTTTCTATATAACAGGTGAGCACTGAAAGCAACAGAATCAAGAAACACTGAGAGACTGAGGTATCATAGCGTGGAATTCTCATGACTCCCTGAATGAATTCGAGAAATCTATGGACTCTCTCCTGCAACACGAGGAGCATGCAAAGCTTAGCTCTACGCCTCTAGAGACGTTTCGATACGAAGTGCGATGTTCCTTCTGGATGTACCTCACTAAGAATGTCGGATTTTTCGATGCCTATTTCCCGGCTAGCATTTCTCCTGAGTCCAAGAAAATTGTCGATGGGGCGCGTGGTCTGGTCTACCACTATGCGCCCCATGGACCGAACCGGTGCGCATACGTGACCCGTCCAACCCGTGGTTGGTTTCATGGTACACAAAAGTACGAGGGACAAGATGCAATTGTGGTACGTTTATGGCATTTCTGGAAGAATGAAGAGACTGAACGCGATTTCAAGGCTGGCGCCGGTATCACGGCCCCACGCTTGGGTATGCTAAGTCTATATAACTATTTGATGGAGCAATTGAAAGAGGCGGGAGTGTTAGGAATACAAGAGTTTCATTGTCCGCTTGTGAGGATATGGGATTACTACACCGAGGCTGAAGGTGGCCCAAACTATGAGAGTGAAGACGTCCTGATATCTTGATGGAAGGGAAGACAGCCGAGGAGTTGATTAGTGCGAAAGTATCATCGCCTCGGTTTGACTCCGGTGTGCCATTCGAAGGATGGATTTCTCATTCTCTTCAAGTGGTAAGACCAAGCAAATAACGATGCTGTTCGGGTTGGGCCTCTTCTGCCCGTCCAGTGGCTATCAATTCTAAGAATTCGACTGATTATGCGTAAGAACACCAGCATCCCGAACATAAATTTGGGGAGCTGACTTGGTTCCTACGTCGGGAGTTTCGTTTGGAGAACTAGCTCATGGGGGAGTGTTATCATTTTCCCGCACAACTGAACATATGACGTGGTTTTGTCTCGTCTTGTGGCACTCGTGGATAACAAAGATAACATATATATGAAACCTCGCCCGAGATCTCCCTTACCCGTGCGGAGTGGCTCAGCGTGAGAAATGCTCTACGCCGCTTTCGTGCTTACATCTACGCGCTGAGCGCTCGGGGTCCGTATATGAACCTGAAACTTCGGCCAAGAACTCTTTGACCTTGCCGCATCATCTGACTTAAATATAGGGAGGTATTTACTGTGCCGTCTTCATGTCCGCCTTTACATCTCCGGCGCTTGGGGCTATCTGCACCACGCCACCCTCACATTCGCGTTCGTCTCCACACAATTGGGGGCGAAGATCGTACGCCCCGCTCAAGTTTTCGTCTGTGTTATCAATATCTAAAATCTCTTTTCGTACGCCTCCTTCATGTATACATCGCCCCGAGGCGCGGCGCGAAAATAAGCCCCAGTTGTGTGTTTGTTACGTACTCTGGCGCAGCACGCAGTAGCAATATGTTTCCTTAAATATAGCCAGCATTTATTTAGAAAAGAGACACAACGATTGATCACCTTACCTCTTACTACTCATCACACTCTTCTTTCCAATTCGCATCGTCTCACACTGTACTTCCCTTCGATTCCCGATATGAGGACCTTCATATCTACTTCAGTCCTTGTCGGTACTCTTCTTTGGTCTGCCAATGTCTCTGCTGCCATAGCCTCTCGTCATGTTAAGGTGCGAGATGAGCAGCCGTGGTCCAACTCCACTTCTCAGTCCGATACACAACCTTCATCCGTCCAGGAATCACCTAATCAGAGCACCACGCTACAAGACTGTTCCACCTCGGTAAACAGCGTCGTGTACGTGAGCCATATCATCCCTAACATTACTACGGTTGCAAGTAGCTTTGTGCCAGGTAGTACTACAGCATCGGTCAACTGCACACACGAGGACTGTATGACCTCGGATGGTCTGCCCAATCCACCGTACGCATTCCCGACACCCACCATAGGACCTCCAAACACGGACCTCCAAAGCGATAAGCCCATTCTCAGCACATCAATCACAAACTGGAACTCTTCCTTGTCTGCTTGTCATACCCGAGGAGCAAGCGCGAGTGGTACTTTCGGCGCCGGCAACAGTACTGCTATGTCTTCGGTGATGCAGATATCTACCACATTCATCACGTCCGTGCAGTCATACTCGTCGTCATCGTCAAGCGCGGGGAACTCTTCGACTATAGCTGATGCTCCAGCACCACCTCCTCCTGAGCCAACGCCTACACCGCCTGAGCCAATTCCCACACCCCCAACCCCACCCACCAAAGCACTCTCCATCATTCTCCGCAAAGAAGTCCACCACGGCTCCAACAAAAACTCGTGGACCTTCTTCCCTACTACCGTCGGGGCGCAAGCAGACGGATGCGACAAGCCCCTCTTGCAAGCGCACAGTTGGGAGTCGCCCAAAGACAGGGAATCGCCTCCCTGGCCGCGCGGCAACTTCACCATGCGGCTGTTCGGCGAAGCAGGGTGCACGTATTCCAATAAAGGAGAGGGTGCGGGGGTCCTGCGCTGTCCGAGCATGGCGAAAGAGGTAGAGTGTCAAGAAGATGGGGAGAAGGGGGATGGACGGGAGGTTACGCAGTGTGTTTGGTCGCCGGGGTTGGCGAGGGTGTTTCATCGGGTTGCGTTTTGTGAGTGGTAGAGGATGGTGTCTTTTGTAGAAGAGGCTTTCATGGTGTTGAGGTTTTGCACATCTTGTATCTCTATGTGAAGGTGCCGCTTGTGTTCTGAGGGAGAAGCCATGTGTGCTTGCGCTGCAGGGGAGATGAGAGAATAGTACACTGTCCTTGTCCTAGAAAATCAATCGGATTCTACCCATACTAGGCGAGAATCAACGACGTGGTCGCAGTCCTGATAAGACGATGATTTCTTGCAAAGACATCGAGTCCAAGTCTCAAGAGACGCCCAGATTTCGACATCGTAATCATAGGAGCACGTCATGTTCTAGATTTCATAGACGATCAGGTTGCTGTAGACTAACGAGTTCATCTCGCGCTCGCTAGGATGGCCAGGTGGCTGTTGTGGCTTTTACCGACCTAAAAAAGAACAAGCGAGCAGGGGATGGTTGCGAAGGCGGAGAAGCGGAGATAGCTGAGGCTTCTCTTGCGCGGGACGATAAGGCTGATGAGGATGAAAACAGGGGTACGATTACAGGTTGCTGAACTAGAAACTATAGTGTACGTGTTTAAGGACTAGGGCATATAGCGGTTAGATGCGTGTGAGTGTATCAAAAGATGGAATAGGGAGGCTTTGGCGAGCTGTGCGTGTCTTGCCTAGTTGGATTTCTCAGGCCCTCTAAAAGGGCCGTTGAACCTGGCAGGAAAAAGCAAACATCAGTTGATAAGGCTGAGGCGGAGATGTATGCTCAGTGCTATCAAGCAGGGATTGGGTAGGATTGCTTAGGAGAGGTTGGCCTGGGCGATGGGGCGCAAATGGCGGGCTCGAGGGCTCGAGGAACGCGAGGGCCAGGTTACACTGCGTGGATCTTGGGGCCCATAGCAGACGTAAACCTGGGGTGAGGCTCTTTTGTGTATCGTCTCCTAGCCGTGCAACCAAGAAGAGGTTTCGTTCTACACGGATATACTACACGGATGTATAGCGCTTCGCTCTTGTTACCTCAAAAACAAAGGTGACGTTCTGGCCGCTCGCTATTGGCGGCGGGCAGGTGTATTCTTCACCAACCTCATTACGGAAGCGACCAGTGGCAGCCCTTGGCAGGTGCAGAGATCTGGGGTAAGGCGTCATGGTAATGATTGATTGGAGATGCGTTGCAGCACAGACGCAACCAGGCCGACGAGCCGAGCAGTGAGGTGGACAGAGCCAATGGGGAAATGGAGACTCTGGTGCGTGTGGAGATTAGTCTGATTTTGCAGGACGGATACGGGCCGGGCAGCACGGGAGCAGTCACGTAGTCATGTAGTCATGTTTGGTGTCTGGCTGGTGAATGCCTCTAGACAGTGCCTTGATGATGATCCATACCGGTACATGACAGTGTGGAGCGAGGCATGTCTGCAGGCGGGTGCATGACAGGCACACGTCGATAGCAACGCACGTCTTCTGCTGGCCTTTGCCGACTATGTGCGACAAATCATGGTCACCTCTACAGGAGCCCCCCACGCCCAGAGGCGGCGCGCGCTTCTTCTCCACACTCTGCGACTACTGAAGGCTGCCGGGCGCTGCAGGTGGTGCTTGACTTGAGGAGTCGAGGCCTGGCGTCGCATATTCGCAGTGCATGCATGCCGCCGCCGCCGCCGTCTCGTTGAGGATGGACGATGGATGATTGCTGACGCCTGCGGAAAATTCCCACGGCTACCCCTCACTCACCTCTTCATCAGGAGGGGAGGGGGGAGGCTTGTTGCTTCAAATGCAATGCTTGCTTGCACTTTATCCACCGCCACAGCACCCGTCCAGCGACGCTCCACGGCTTCTTATCGCGGCTACTGCGGACACCAAAGTCCCTCTCTCTGCCTTTCGGCTCGCTCCCTCCTGCTAGTCTAGCCCTCACGGTAGCCTACTTACGGGCGCCGCCCTGCTCCATCCCATCCCATCCCTCCATATCCACTGACCTACCCGCGCCCCGTCTCGTCTCCTCCCACCCTCCACGTCCTCCTGTCCTCTTCCCCACGTACCCTTCAGGGTTCTCGCCGCCAAAAGCTCACACACATACAAACACCCCGAGCCGCCTCTGCAACCACTGTCGAGGCCGCTTGCTGCAAGTCATCCGACAAGGCTCCGCGCGCGTATCCACTAAACCCACACCTGCTCCCGACCACAGCGCCTTAAGCATCCAACCTCGACATCTGGCCACCCGTACCTGATCTGCTTGAGGCCTCTCTGATCGCCAGCAACAGCCCACACACTCTCGTTTTCCCTGCCTAAGCATCTAGCCCTGTAGCGTGATTGATTTTCAAGCAGCATGCACGCCCACTTTGGATCGCCGCCCACCTCCCTTGACTAACACAAACACCTTCTGGCACCCGCGCACGCGAGTTGTCCCGCCACCAGGCTACACAAACCTCCACTTTTTACCCCAGACACGCGCACTGTCTAATAACAAGGCGCGACACACGACTTTGACCGCCGTGCCCACTGGCCATGACTGCCCAAATCCTATCCATGCATGCAGGGCACGCGTCCGACTTGGCCAAGATTCAGTCGCAGTTTGGAGACAAGATGGATACCACAGTAGGCGCCCGTGAGCCCTCGACCCCCGCTTCACCCGATAGTGGTGAGGCCCGAGGGCGGCGGCGCGACAGGAGTGACGAAGGAGATACGGGAGATGGTGCGGACGGGGACGCAAACGGCTCCTCGAGGAAGAGAAGGAGGAGCAGGAAGGGACTCGACAAGAAGTTTGAGTGTCCACACGAGGGCTGCGGGAAGAGCTACTCGAGGGCCGAGCACTTGTACCGACACCAATTGAATCGTGAGCGACCCCAGTCCATGACATGCTTCAACTTCCCTTCACCATCTTGACTTGTTCACCTCTCATAATCAAAGCATGCTAATAATCTTGCACAGACAACCCAAAGCAAATCTACCACTGCGACTTTCCCGACTGCTACCGTTCCTTTGTCCGACAAGACCTATGCGCGCGACACAAGGAAAGACACACAGCGAGAGGCTCGCAGCTGCTGCGCAAGGACACTTTCAACCTGCACAATCTAAACCCTATAGTGACGGCAGCACTGGGTGGGAAGACTGCAGTAGCAACCAAGGTGCCTAGCATCAAGCATGAAGCACAACATGGACTGCATTCTCCAGCACCTGCAGCCGTCAACAATGGCCCCCGGGGCCAAATGTCACCGCCAACCTTTCACTCTCCCGCTTCGACTGCCACCATCAGCCGGCAAGATTCATTGCAGAGAACAGGGAGCGACGATGCCTATCGTAGCGGCTCCGAGGTCAAACCTTATGATATGCAGTCCCAGAGTACCGGTAGCTTTGCACCCCCACCACGTCCAGCCCCTTTGAGTAATTACAGTGGAGGTCGTACATCTCTCCACAACTCCCCACATGTGGGCAATGGGAACTTCACCCGCCCAGAGTTGCGCGCACAAACCTCGAATCTTTCATCCTACGGCTCGAGCTCACCCTACAATTCCGCCATTACGCCATCACATTCATATCCTTCCTCCGCCGCGTCAACTGCTTATCAAAGCTCAGCAAGTGGGTTCCAATCACAACAAAAATTTCCCCCTTTCTCGTCCTTACCTCCACCAGAGTACCCTCACCCGCCCGGCACTCCTGTATCGAGAGAGCAGGAGAGCCAGTTCTACAACAACACCGCTGGTCAGACTCCAATGAATGGGGTCGAGTCCACTTCGCAGATAGATACCCGGATGAACGGCGTTTCAGAGGCCATAATGGATCAGACACCATCCTATGCCATCCCAATGTTTGGCGGCGAAGGATACAGTCGGTCGCCATTTGCCATGGCCGACGACTTCGCTGCTTGGTTGTTCAACGATAATCAGTTCGGCCCCGGCGGCGCGTCGCCAATGGGTTATCCGGGCGGAGCTAGCTCCGTAGCCGGCGCATCTTCTCAAATCGGACTACAAGCGCCTTTCTTCAACTACGACCCATCGGTTGCAGGATATTTGAACAACCCGGCACCACCCTCACACCCCATGGCTGTCCATAGCATCCTAGACACTACTTTACCAGAGTCTGCGCTTTCAGAAGAGAAGCGAAAGGATCTGCTTGACCTGATCATTGGCCGCTTCAACGAGACTGACCATGCACCGGTTAAGAAGCAAAAGGAGGACTTACTAGAAGGTAACAGGGACGATGACCACCACGTCTTGAGCCTGCACATGATGCAGACGTACATCAGCTCGTACTGGGTTCACTTCCATCCGCAGCTTCCGATCCTACACAAACCGACTTTCAATGCAAGCACCTGCCCAGAGCTTCTACTACTCTCCATCATGTGTCTCGGGGCATCTTGTTTGGAGAAGAACTACGGGCACGAAACAACACAGGCTTGCTCCGCCTTGTCCAACTTCTTGGCTTGGCACCTGCGATGGGATCTATTCATGGATGCCGATTTCCGCCCACCAGCTAAGCTCTGGATCTTCCAGGGTCTGCTTCTACTCGAAGTATTCGAGAAGATGTACTCGACGCGCCCTTTGCACGAACGGGCACACATTCACCATGCCACGACGCTGACCCTTATGAGGCGCGGAAGCTCGTTGATCGGAAGATCCGCGTTGGACTCGCCTCCAAGCGTCAAAGATGCAAAGAGCAATTCACTTGGCGGGGCAAATACGCCTGCTCAGTGGTGGAACCACTGGATTACGAATGAAGCCACCCGGCGAGCAGCATTCGCGGCGTTCCTCATGGACAGCATACACGCCACCATGTTCGGTCACAGTGCGGTCATGGTTGCTCACGAGATGCGCCTCCCACTGCCTTGCGACGAAGCTCTCTGGTCCGCCACGAGCAGTTCAGAGGTAGCCCGGGTAGAAGCGAGCCTGCACGCCAATGGCGTCAAGCAAATGTCCTTCCTGGACGGTCTCAAAAAGACCTTGAACGCACAGAGTGTGCGAACCAACTCGTTTGGGCGAACTATTCTCATGGCAGGTTTGCTAAGCGTATCGTGGCACATGAACCAGCGGGATCTCCAAGTGAGCTCGCTTGGTGTGACGCAAGCACTGGGTGGCCGCGATAAATGGCGAGGGTCCTTGACCCGCGCTTTTGATTTTTGGAAGCAAGACTTTGATAGCTCGCTCTCCCAACCGAATGACCTCTCCACGCCAAGCGCATACTCGTATTCGAATGGTATAGACGACGACAACGTTTTCGAATCCCGCACGGTCCTTCACCACTTGGCACACATGGCTATGCATGTTGATATTGTGGATTGCCAAATCTACGCCGGTGCTCCCAGACTGCTCGGCCGATCTATAACACCTCAAGATTACAACGGCGCTCAGCGAAGGATGAAAGAGATCTGGGCACCCACTGCTCGTGCCCGGGACGCGACTTTTTACGCCCTACGCTTCCTCTCCAATGTCATGGTCGCCGGAGAGCACAGCTTGAACCCTACCAACACCTCACCCAATGTCGGCCTCTCCTACTCCGCACGCGATGACTACCTCCTTAACCGCCCGTGGGTGCTGTACTTTGCCACGCTGATCGTGTGGTCGTACGGCTTCGCACTTGATGGGCCTGTCAAACAGCCCTACAAACTCACAAACTATGACGACAAAGTCAAAGATATGAAGGGCTACCTTCAAAGAGTCGGTGGCGTAAGGGCGCCTGATGATCTAGTCAAGATTCCAGACCGAAATGCGTGCCTAGGCCTACTGATCATCATGAGAGACATGTTCAGGAAGACGAGGTGGGAGCTGCTGCACGAGGCGAGTAATTTGCTGACGAAGTGTATTGAGATGCTCGTCCCTGGTGCAGGTACTATGTGAAGAGAACAATGTGACAGACGATATTTTTGGCGCTATAGCGCAGCTCGGTTGGGGACTGCTGTTTATTATGCTAATTCTTTGCTTTTGGGCGGACATACCACACTGGCGTGGGATTCTTGTCTCTGATTTACGAGGTTATGGCATGTTGCCTATTCATTTGGCATGTCTTTTTTTTGGTATTGCATTCAGCGAGGGGTCCTCATGGCACGATATTCCTTTCTGTACACTCAAGGGCGGCGAGGTTGTGGGATGCGGGAGCGATGCTGATATGCGTTATACCCAGGGCGGTGTGTTTTATGCTACTACCGAGCATGTTGCTGTCGGCTTCTTATAGTCAGTGAGCTGAAATGTGGTTGAATTAGCAGATGCAACCATTTAAAGACTGTTTTGCTCGTGTGTTCTTCACAAATGCTTCGACTGGAATTAGCCTTGCAAGGCACGTGATGCCGTGATTCCGCGTCGCCCTTGCATCGCGTTGTAGGTCGACCCTCGCCACAGCGACTTGGAGACGAATTGCAAGGCAGGCCAGTTGCTGTGCTATAGTGTACAGAGAAAGCAAGCTATTGAATTTAGATCTTTCTTTCGTGTATTTGTGCCTTTATTGCGCCATTGCGTCATCGATTTCCGCTCTCCCTCGAACAAAGTTCTGTTCCGCCATTGCACTTGCGCGAACAACATCATGAACAAACGATGCCCCGTCTGAAGGCCGCCTCAGTCTCAGATCAAGTCATACGAAAGCGGAAACGAACGATTCGCAACGAAGATGCGGTTCCAGAAACAACACCGGTTCCTGAAGGCGTTCAGGCAGGCGAAGAGTTGAACGAAACCACACAAGAGACCACGACAACGACAACGACCGTACCTACAAAGACGGTTGATGGAGGAAAGAAGCCTCGAAGAATAGCAAAGGCAAAGAATGGCACCGGAAAGCCACCTTTGGCCCGTCACGGATCCTCCACGCTCGTCGAGACGGCGATACCATGGCCGGAGCACTTCACGAAGCTTGCTCAGGTACATCGCGCATTGAACCTCGTATACACATTCTGCTGCACGCGCAAGAACCTCGCAACTACCCTCGAAACCCTCCGAACCACGGTCGAAGGACACATAAAGCGCGAGCTGGTGATCGAGGATGTAGCGCAAATCACGGCATTGATTCCGAAAGCAATCAACTTCGCATACGTAGACGAGGCAATGCTACAGATCAACCTGATGGGTTCGGAAGACAATCTGCAGGGACGACGAGCTCAGGACTATGTCATCTTAATGCCCGAGCCGGATAAGGGCGAGCACAAGGAGGTGCTGCTGTTTGAGTTCATTGATGGCGATCTGAAGCGCCAGGTTCAGCACAAGAAGACCGGCGAGCCGACAAAGGCAACGACGACTCTGCGCAATGAGGACCTGAAGATGCCCGTCTTCAGTCAGAAGCAGATGATGAACCTGATCGAGAAAAGGAATGTGAAATTCACGTCGGCGGTCAATGCGTTCCTCAATCAGTGCGCAGATGAGGGTGCGGATGCAGTTGAGAAGATCAACGAGATTTCTGTATCTTTTGTTCCCCTGCCGACTGGGAGTAGAGATTCAACGCCAGGTTTGGAAAAATCGCGAATACCAGCCACGATACCGACTGAGCGAAAGTCCATCCCTGAGATCCTGAACGAGATCAAAACGCTCGAGTGGTATACTGGGCAGATTGTTCCGGATGGCCATCGTGTATTCGACCCACAGGAACCCATCTATGGCGACCTGAATTTCGTCATGTCTCAGAACCTGGTGAACGCGCTCTACAACACGAGGAACATTGAACAGCTCTACGCACATCAAGCTGAAGCTATAAACAACCTGTACGATGGGCATAATGTTATTGTATCTACCTCGACTAGCTCCGGCAAGTCATTGATCTATCAGATACCTGTATTACACCAGCTCGAGCAAGAACCTAATACTCGAGCGATGTACATCTTCCCTACGAAAGCATTGGCTCAGGATCAAAGGAAGAGTATGAAGGCGCTTTTGCGATTCATGCCTGGCTTCGAAGACGTTCTTGTAGAAACATTTGATGGCGATACGCCAATGAGTGACCGGAACTACATCCGCGATGAAGCCCGCATCGTCTTCACCAACCCGGACATGCTGCACATTACAATATTACCCCAAGAGGACGCATGGCGGTCATTTCTTCAAAATCTCCGCTTCGTTGTGGTAGATGAGCTACACGTATACAACGGTCTTTTCGGAGCGCACATGGCCTTCATTATGAGGCGTTTACGGAGGGTATGCGCTGCGGTGGGAAACCGCCATGTCAAGTTCATCTCTTGCTCGGCTACAGTCGCCAATCCTGAGCAACATATGAAGACCATCTTCGGTGTTGAAGAGGTCAAATTGACCGACTTCGATGGCTCGCCTTCAGGCCGGAAGGAGTTTCTGTGCTGGAACACACCGTTCAAGGACCCTGGAGACCCTACGTCTGGGCGCGGAGATTGTATGGCAGAAACTGCCAAGTTGTTCTGCCAGCTAATGCTTAGGGGTGTAAGAGCAATCGCCTTTTGTCGAGTTAGGAAGCAGTGTGAAGCGTTGCTAGCTGCTGTTAGGACAGAGTTAACGAACCTCGAGAGAACGGAAGTCATAGCCCGGGTTATGTCATATCGGGGTGGGTATACGCCGCAGGACAGACGAGAGATCGAGCGAGAGATGTTCGATGGTAAGCTCTGCGGTATCGTGGCTACAAGTGCCCTAGAACTCGGCGTTGATATCGGATCCTTGGATGCCGTGGTCACAGTCGGCTTCCCTTACACAATCGCCAATCTTCGTCAGCAGAGCGGCAGAGCTGGGCGGAGAAACAAGGACTCTCTGTCCGTACTGGTTGGTGACTGTTTTCCCACCGACCAGTACTACATGTCAAACCCCGACGAAATCTTCACCAAGCCAAACTGCGCATTGCAGGTCGATCTAGAGAATATGCTGGTCCTTGAAGGCCACGTACAATGCGCAGCCCATGAGTTGCCCATCAATATCGAAACAGACCAGGCATACTTTGGCCCTCTCCTTCCTAAAATCGCGCGAGAGCGCATGCGCAGAGATAAGGAGGGTTTCTACTACTGTAACGAGCGGTTTCTGCCTCAGCCATCGCGCTCTGTCGCCATTCGAGATACAGAAGAAGACCATTTCGCCATCATCGACATCACTAATGGTAAGAATATGGTGCTAGAAGAACTAGAGGCAAGCCGCGCGTTCTTCACGTTGTATGACGGCGGTATATTCCTGCATCAGGGCAATACGTACCTCGTCAAGGAATTCAGCCAAGAGCGCATGCTCGCCAAAGTCGAATACGTTAAAGTAGACTGGACGACGCAACAGCGGGATTATACAGACATCGACCCAGTGGAGACGGAGGCCATACGTCGTATCCCGGGCTCTAGGTCAAAGGCTTTCTACGGGCCCATCAAGATCCAGCAAATCGTCTACGGGTTTTTCAAAATCGACAAGAAGAGACGCATTCTAGATGCTGTACAAGTGGACAACCCGCCCATCATACTGTTCAGTAAAGGCATGTGGCTTGACGTGCCTAAATCCGCCATGGACATATTGAAAAGCAGGAGACTAAACATCGCAGCGGGCATCCACGCAGCCGAGCACGCCGTCCTCTCGCTCATGCCCAACTTCGTCATCAGCATGCCTGGTGACGTGCGCACAGAGTGCAAAGTCCCTGAGAAAGAGTTTGCCCGGAAGGAATCTCAACGCAAGCGCCCTGCACGACTGACTTTTTACGACGCAAAGGGGGGCGCGGGCGGCTCGGGGATCAGCACCAAGGCCTTCGAATTCATCGACACGTTGCTCGCACAGGCGTGTCAGCGACTGCAGACGTGCCATTGTCTCGAGGGATGTCTGGAGTGCTGCAATGACGATGCGTGTAAACAGGCGAATCAGGTCATGTCCAAGGCTGGGGCTATGGTCATCATCATGTGTCTGCTCGGCAAGGAGAAGGAGATTGACATTGACGCCCTGCCGTGGGGAGAGGAGGATAGCGTGCAAGCTGGTATTGAAACTGTTGTGGAGGCGTCGGAGGTGCGGCTGGCTGGTGGAGGGATTGCTGGGGGGTTGGACGAACAGATGGTTCGGGCGAAGATGGTGGATGGTGTGTGGATCAAGGAGGAGGAGGCGGACGATGATCATTTTGCGAGGAGTATACATATGTATCGTGGGGAACGGACGTTTATTGGGGTACATAAATAGGAAGGTTGAGTAGCTAAGCGGACTTGTTATGTACTTCAAGTGTATTTGCCCTACTATCATAACTTATCCTAGCCTCAGTTGCGAGCTATGCTGGATTTCAGTGTGCATGAGGTGGTTCTAACCATTTGCTTGAAAGAAGCTGCTTGACGCGTATTTACACCTCCAAGACTCGTTCGTGTAGGATGAAGCGATGAAGTCGTGATAACGGCAAAACAATTGTCCATCCGGCGCTGAATTATCCTATGAGCTCCCAATCATCGGTTCAAACTCCGTCGCGCCATGTTGCGAGGGTGGAAGTCGTGTAGACGCCGGGCCCAAAGCTAGTCGATAGGTGCAGACTCACCGCTGGTTACCAGAGCGACCGCGGCGCCCACCCTAGGCGGGCAGTATTTGCGCTCGACGCACGTCGTGGCCCCCGCTCAAAAACCCCAGAAACAGCCCCTTCAGACGACCGACCGACCCTCACAGTGCATACACAACTTTCTTGGAAGCTTCAGTATATACGTTGTTGTAAACATCTTCTTTCTAAACACCGAACACAATGGTAAGCAAGACCCCTTTCCTTTAACGCGCAATCACATGGGCCCACTCTGCGCATCTCGTTGGTTGGCTAGTCGAGCCCGCCTCAACCAAAGTCGTTGCAGCAGCGACGACAGGGCGACACGAGCAGCCATCCCTTGCTTTGAGCGTGTACTACACGGATTCCAAACAAGCACTTGTCTGCATTCTACTTTAAACGGCTTCTTCTTCATCTTCTACCAAGCCCGCCTTGCTACAACGACGCAGCTCGCGAAGAAAAGAACAGCAATGGATAACAACCACCAGGCCTCCACCAACTACCGCGAAGCATTCCAGCTCTTCGACAAGCGCGGCAACGGCCGTGTAGATCGCGGCGCGCTGGGCGACTTGTTGCGCGCATGCGGGCAGAACCCTACACTCGCTGAGATTACGGATTTGGAGCGCGGTGTGGGAACAGACTGTACGTTGTCTCTCCTCTCATTTCCCCTCCAACACCTTCCCCACTCCTCGAAGTACAAGTAGACCAAGCAAGTAGCAGCTAACAAAGACCCTCTCAACAGTCGACTTTGAAACCTTCTCCAAGATCCTCAACCGCCCCGGCGGCTTCCGCGAACCCTTCGACATTGAAGAATACATACGCGGCTTCCAGGTGTTCGACAAGGACCGCTCCGGGTTTGTCGGAAAGGGCCAGATCAAGTACATCTTGACGAATTTGGGGGAGAAGATGAGCGAGGAGGAGGTGGATGAGCTGTTCAAGAGCACGATTGATGCTAGCAATAATGAGGTTGACTACAGGGGTACGTTCTTTTTACTCTCCCCTCCTCTTATGTGAGAGACAGTTTGCTAACAATGTGTGCAGAGTTCGTGAAGACGATTGCAGAGAACTAGACTCGCTTTTATTTCTTCTGGCTGCTCTATATATATCTCTCTCTTCGTGTTTATTACGCGGCATGTATGAAACGGATCACGGTTGTGCATGCGGATACCGGCGTTGAATTTTGGTCCTTTTGGTGGGCGTTGTCATCACAACAAGACAACACAAGGTGGGGAGTTGGTCATGTCACTCAGTCTATCTAGCTAGCTAGTAGCAGGGTCGGTCGAGCTTGTTTATATAAACAGGGAAAAATCAACTCTGTTTTTGGATCCATAAGGGACGCTTTGTCTAGAAACATGTAGGCTATCTTCGTAGCATGAGAAGCCTTGCGCGTTCGCCAGTGGGGGGTATCTTGTGTAAAAAATGTAGTGCTGCTCGCTCGCTGCGCATGCGCGCGCGCGCTGTGTCGCATTCTTCCGAACCATAAACCCAATAAAAATCCAAACAACGCCAAAACATTCGTCGTAAAGAGACGTCATGTATGAGATAATCGTTATTTCCCGTCAAGGAAGGTGTTGCATCTGAGATGTAGAAGCTGCATCAGCGGGTGGCGGGGAGCCTACACCTTGACCTCCGTAACACTCATCGTGCCGATGCCACCGCCAGCGGTACCAGCTGAAGCCGCCTTGCCCATGATCATATCCGCCGTCTTGACAAAGCCGCCCGGGAGGAGAAAGACGCAGTCGTCCCGGCGCCCAGTCCGATCCGCCGCAAACTGCTGCCAATCCAGCTGGTACCCCACGACCAAATTGCAGCGCCCACAGCGCTGAACGTAGCGCTTTTCAAAGCCGTCGTCGCTCGTGATAATCTCCGCGTCGCGGTCTTGGTGCGTGGAGAGAAGCAGGCCGTAGTGGTCCATGGGTGAGGGTTGCTGCGCTGCGGCAGAGGGTCTACGCGTGGGCGCTGTGGGAGCGGGGGGCAGCGGCATGATGTGTGCCTTGTCGCGGGCGTGTTGGCGGGTCGGGAGAGAGGGGAGGGGCGTCGTGGTGGCGAGGAGGAGGTGGCTGCATAAGCAGTGGTAGGTGTAGACTGTGTTGGAGGCTTGGAGGGAGATCTTTTCCTCTGGTGTGGGCGAGGGCATGGCGAAGTAGCGGCGTGAGGAGGCGGCGATGTCCATTGCTAGTTGTTTGTGTGTGATATTGGTACTGTTGTGTTGTGTGGTATCGGTACTGCTGTGTGACTTCGAGGCGCTTAAATGTCGAGTGGTATTTGTAGTGTAATAGCAAAGTGATTCAAGAACTAAGACGCGTGATTCTCGTCTTATATCAGCAGATGGTCGAGGGTCGGTGTGGGTTCGGCTTGGGTGCCCTGGAATTTGCTGAAAAAGGTTGCGGATGCAGTCCGGCGACCAAGTCCGACCCTGTCTTATTATACGAAGTACTCGACCGACCGGATTTGGTTCGAAACAATCAAAGCCGGAATGTCTCGACTTCCGCACGCTGAGGCGAGTTAAATAGATGCGTACCGGAGATCAGCGGGCCCAAGACTATCCACGTAGTCGCCTATACGACTGCAGAGAGTGCTGATAGTGAGGCTCCAAGACGTGGTGGAGGGCAACTTGTTTGAAGACGAAACCCAGTAGTCGAGCCAAGCGTGTTTTAGCTCCCTTTTGCGACCCTCTCGGTAATCTCTGGTAGGAGGGAGGCAGACTGAGCTACTAGGCGATAGTCGCCAGAAAGAATTGTTGGATTTGGAGGGTCCACAAGGCGATCCACAAAGCAGGCCACAAACAACGAGTAATGACAAGGTCGGCGGGGCGTCCAAAGGCTCAGTCTTGACCACGACCACGTTGCTCGGACGAAGGCGATTTATAGTGTCCGAGGGGGCTCTCATTCATCATTCATGAGTAAGGGCGAGGGCGCAGGCGCCGTCGTGTCATTGTATGCATGCAACCACGTTGGACATGAACCCCACGATGTCGTCCCCACGAAGCTGAGTGGATTGCATTTGTAAAGGCGAATAGATGGGCAGAAGGCCACCACGCCCGCTGCAACTCGACAAGTGACGGCACCCGCAAGAAGGGCCGAGATCGCTTTGTCCAAGTGAGCTGTAAGTGAGCTGCTAGCGGCATGCATGGAAGTTGTGAAGAAGCGCTTCTTGGTTTCGGAAGCGCGCCGCCCGGAGCCGACCTGGACAAGACAAGTTTCGTGACCAGTCTTGGCGTGTATCTGATCTGATTACCTTTCGGAGACGGCGACATCTGCTGTATCTGGCAGGGAAGAAAGGAGGCCATGCCGCTTACAAAGGATGTCATCAAGTTTGGCACCTTTGTGGTGACGAGCCAGGTGCGTCGAGAGGCTGTTATTGCTTGATGAAGGCATTCGTGAACAGTACTAACAGCAGCTAGGTCTTCCACCTAACGCGTCTGTCCTTCGCCATTGTCAACCTCAAACCCCTCCTGCCAGGCCATGTGCTTGTCTCGCCACGCCGGACTGTGCCGCGTTTCAACGACCTATCTACTGCCGAAGTACAAGACCTGTTTCTGACCGTGCAGCGCGTGTCGCGCATGGTGGAACGCGTCTTCGATGCCTCGTCCCTGAACATTGCGATACAAGATGGTGTAGATGCCGGACAGAGCGTGCCACACGTACATGCCCATATCATTCCGCGCCAGAAGGAGGACCTAGAGGCGCAGGGCGGCACCGACGCTATATACGGCATGATGGAGAGTGAAGACGCAGATCTGAACAAGCAGCTGAGGGAGAAGGAAAGGGCTGCTCAGAGTCATGTTCCCCAGGATGAGAACAAAGGACACTTCCCCGCTGTCGACAATGATAGCCGCAAGCCTAGGAGCGACGAGGAAATGCAAAAGGAAGCCGAGTGGCTGACGAAGGAAATGGCAAAGGATGCAGCAAGTCACGGAGAAGACGGCAGGACATTGTCGTGAGGCCTGTCTTTCAACAGCACGCTTCGTCGTGTCCACCATTACACCACTCCAACAGCAGCTCGTCCGATGACGACAAGTTAAACACTTGAAGTGGTCACTTGTTCGGTTCGCGTATGGACCAGCAGCATCTATTGATGGCGACTTCACTCCTATACATGACCGATCTGGGACTTGAAGGCTGCCCGGGGCATCTAGGCTATAATTCGACCAAGGAGCCCAGATAGCAGGCTGGGTGCTCGGATAACCATTTCAGAGGAATTACACTCGCTTTCAAACAACTCCAACACAAACATGAAATTCCTCTTCATGGAGTAGAGGACTGTTTGCCTCATGTACTTGGTATGGAGGAACCAGCGAACGAATCATAAACTGATAGAAGGAACAATTTTAAACATGTTTGTCACTCTTTCAGATCCTTGCTGTGCCCTCTAGCAGCGCCTCTTTCCACTTGTCCTTCAAACTCATCTCCTTAGGCGCCCGATATCCTCGCCTCGGCACTGCAGCCAACCCTGCCAAAGGTCGCTGCCTAAAGCTGTGCTACCCCACCCAAAGCTAGCCCGAGAGTACTTGACTGTGCTTCCAACCACATCTTGGGCAGAGCTTCTCGGTTGTTCCTCATTGAGCACACTCCGTCCTTCGTCAGCAATTTGACTTCACTTCACCACAAGGCTGAAGGCCAGTTGCTTCGTTTAGTAAATCCTCTTCTTTACACATCCTCATCATACTGTAACTTGCAGCCTCCCCAGTATTGAGGACCTTTGCCAACGCGTAAAACAAGCACACCGCCATTTTTGACAGCTTCAACCTGCAACATGACAACCGAGAACCTGCCCTTGCCTGACTCTGATTCGGAATCAGATCTATCTAGCCTGCCCGACGAGGAAGAAACCTTATACGAGACACAGATGAGGAAACAAGATACTGCCAACCGAGCATCTCTCCCTGATGAACCCTTTAGGTTGCTAGACCTTCCCGCAGAAATACGCCTCTACATCTATCAATTCGTATTACCGCACAATCTGACTATTTTCTTCAAGGCCCGTGGCAAAAACGAACAAGGCTCACGGCAATGGAGCGCCCGTGGATCATCAAGCAGTGGGGATCCCACTCCGTATATAATTGGATGTCAATTCGTACTTCATTATTACAACCCCCGCAAACACCTATCTTGCCGCCCCAGTGGTCAGGGAAGGTGGGTAAGAGTAGATAACAGCGAGGAATGCCGTAAACATCCCTGTGTTGAGACGCAGGTTTTTTTACTCAACAAGTTCACATCGAATGAAACGCGAGGTTAGCCTTACATAATGTTGAAACAGCTTGAGTTAATGTCCCTAGCGGTTCTCTACGGCTCGAATACGTATAGGTTCACCGTTGACAGCGAGGCTCACTTCCCGCTATCTCTTCGGTCACCAGACATCTTTGGACCGTTTGGGGACAACATCCGGCTTCCACTTCTTCGCAATTTGCGCAGCATCCATATCGACGTCACTCTCACTTGCAGCTTTTCGGAAACGGAGGACGGCATCTATACCACTGCCTACAGCCACTGGGTGGGCAAGCGTCAGCGGTCGCGCTTAGAGAATTTTGTCGAACTTCTCAAAGAATACGCTGATGACGAGAACCGAAAGTCGCTACTCCAGGAGCTCAAAGTCGAAATGAAAGCAGGAATGCGCAATAACATCTTGTTGATGTTTTGTCTTGAGAGCTTGATTAGCCTGCGCGGTATCAGAAACGTTGAGATAATTGGGTTACCGAAGTGGTATGCGAAGTCTCTTCAGCTGTGCATTCAAGGGAAGGGAGGAGATGTTCAAGAGGTGGATTGGCCGCTTGTCCAAGTCAAGCGACGTCGGCGATGTCGTGTTTCAGGGATCACTTCAACGAAGAAAGAATGGGTTACTACTCGCAAGTGGTACCAGCCGACGCTGAACTGGAAAGAATATGCGGAGCGCAACGGGATCCCTACTCCAGAGGATGTCGACAACTTATGGGTGGTTGATAAGTAGCGGTGATTTAGTAGGTACAGTGATAATTGTGCTTTGCCTAACACGTAAGGCAGACATATCAAGTTGACATGAATATAGCTCGAAACATTGCCGACTACTAGTTTTCCTGTTCAGAATTCGACTTGACAAGCAACTGTGACCTAATGGGCAAAAACACCAACGTCTAGTCTGAGACTAATATAGAGGGAAATCCGCACCCTACGCCTATAAGGAGAGATGGTTTACTATGACTCGGATGGTGAGGAGTATCACGACACTGGAGGTGTAGAAAAGTGCACGTTTGCTCTTGAGCCTCTCGCTTCTCTCCGGCCTGCCCTTGCTATCAGAAATTGCCAAATCCCCAGCGTCCCGCCCTGGTTTGCCAGCTGCCTTGAGACTTGCGTGCGAGGCGACGGAGGCAATGTACTCACGGCGGTCTAATCCAAGAGGAGACCGTTTGGCAAGAGTCGTGTGAGGGGGGAGGTAATGGTCACATCGCAGACTTGGAATCAGCCCATTTATGATTGGAAAGAGTTCGCCGAGCGCAAGAATATTGCGGTTCCATCGGATGTTGGGAAGTTTGGGGAGGTGAATTAGCGGCACGCTTTCCTTTCTTTGGGCCATCGGCGGATTGGAAAGACTTTGAAAATTCACTGCGATCTGCATCTGGCAGAGATTGCTACAGGAGCGGTCCAATTTGCGGATAACCATAATTAGCTTGAATTTCCTCCAAGATGCAGATCTTCGATCGGTATGCTCTCCTCAAAGATAGGTTCTGGATCTCGAAAATTGTACCCTACAATACCCGCTTTTAGTACCAATTTCATATTGGCATCAATGTACTTTACGAAGAACCTCTCGGAATTAGGATGTCTTTAGATTGCAATGCAATCATAAACATATCCGCACTCAAAGTACTTTCACAGAACCAGCGATAGCTCAACTAGGGCGTAGGCGCTTTGAAAATCCTCTCTAGATTGCACTTTTCTCCCTCTCTCTTATGGTACAGCATATAGCCTTCACCTAGCCTGCCTAATAATTGATAACACTCTCATCTTCACTTTCACTATACTCACCATCACTATCACTATCACCGTCAACCTCGCTCCTGGCGCACTTAAAATCTACCGGTTGCCTCGATTCTATCAACACACCGTTCACCCGACATTTACTCACACCCACATACACCTTGAGCAGGTCAAGATTGTACCACCAACATGATCACCGACGATACCAGTTCAGCGCGCTCGGCGACCAATCTCACCAGTGGGCTTGGTCGGGCGAGTGAGACCGAGGACAGCTCCCACTTTGCGAGAGAGTTGATCAGCTCCAGTCAGACTGTCCAGCTGATGATGCCCAATGCTACGAACAAAGTCGACTTTGCTTCGGTGCCCTATGACGCCTTTCCGTTCGAAAAGCTTCCCGCGGAGTTGAGGCACGACATCATCAAATACGTGCTCCCTCAGAACCTCAGCTTTAGGTTCAAAGCGTGTCGTACGAAGCGGAAGCAGAACGGAGAACGAAAGTGGAACGTGGAAGCTCGAAGAATGGGCAGTAGTGGTAACTTTGCAACCTCACGTAAAATGCGTGCTCACTTAAGGATGTACGTGAGCTTGATCCGTGTAAAGGCTATGTCACAAGAAGCTAGAGGTAAGTCTATTCCGCGTTAGATCTTTACTACGACTCACACTGCTACATAGCCATCTTCTTCGACCGTAACGAGATTTCCCTATACATTGACGGTCACAAGCGTGGTTCTTCCGTTCCAATGGGCCCCTTTGGACTATACCACAGCCAGGCACTGCTCCGTGATATGAGGAACATCCGACTAGTGCTAAATATCAACGAGTCAACAGATCAAGCTTGGGGTCCATTCCGGGGGCGCTTACAGCAGATTGTGAGAGAACTGAGGAGGCATAGCGAGGAACCGACGGAGAAGTCGAGGCTTAAGAACTTGACTTTGGGCATCGCGCGATATGGGCAAGACTATGTCTACGATGATGCGCAGCAAGAGCTAGGTTATGGAGATATTATCGAGCGCGTGGAGAACTGCATGTTTATCTTCGAGGCCCTCACTGAGCTACGACATAACGGAACCGTCAAGAAGGTTAAGGTTACTGGGGTTCCGCTCTGGTTCGCTAAGTGTCTCAAAGCCTCGATCACTGGCAGGGGAGGCGACGTCTTTCAGACAACTCGGCACATCCGGTACGTTAAGCGTTGGTATACTTGTCTCGTGAGGAGGTCGCTCTTGACAGACTTCTACGATGAACCGATCTACGACTGGAAGGAGTTCGCCGAGCGCAATGGGATCGCTGTTCCGGCGGATATTGGGCGGTTTTGGGGTATGAATTAATGGGATGCTCTCGCCTTGGGCGTCAATAGACGGAAGAGCTAGGAGGATGAACAGTTCACAGTACCGGCTGCAGGAACTAGGTTTGAGAGGACACATGCAACTTAGGGGCGGGTCGGAATCGTGAGAGCTTTTTAGGAAGCCTTTTCGCCGTTGAAGATTTATAACGACCGGCATATGGCAATCCGCTCAATGTACACGTTGAACGCTCCTCGTTCGGACTGTCATGTACCTAACCATGGCCATGCCAATTCATGATACACATATACAAAAACTCTTCTCCAACACTTCTCGTGATCATACACTCATCTTCATGGCAATACTCGCATGCGGTTTATAGCCCACGACTTCGAAATCTTCCGCCTTCCATCCATCTATACTCCCTCCAATCTCCCTATTGATCTTCAACGACGGGAAATCCCTCGGCTCCCTTTCCAATTGCACTTTCAGCGCATCCACATGGTCCAGATAAACATGTGCATCCCCCATTGTATGCGTAAAAGTCCCTGGCGTCAAATCGCACACATGTGCTAGCATGTGCGTCAATAGCGCATACGACGCGATATTAAACGGCACACCAAGCCCCATATCGCACGACCGCTGATACAACAGTGAATGTAGCACTCCCCTCGGTTTCTCTGTGGCGCCCTGCTCCTGCCGTGGAAAGCTAACATAGAACTGGGCAAACATATGGCACGGCGGAAGCGCCATCTTCTTCAAGTCCGCAGGGTTCCACGCACTCAATATAATGCGTCGATCATACGGTTTATTCTTCAGCTTTTCGATGATCTCTGCTAATTGATCGACACCCTGGCCTGTGTAATCTGCCTCGTGCCCTTTGTATTCTGCGCCAAAATGCCGCCATTGGAAACCATATACTGGGCCCAGTTCGCCCTCCTCATAGTGTCCTAGGCCTACGCTGTCTAGGTACTCGCGCGACCCGTTGCCGTCCCAGATCTTTATCCCTGCATCTGAGAGCGATTTCGAGTGTGTGGAGCCTGCGATGAACCAGAGTAGCTCGCCAATTACGGCGCGCAGGAATACACGTTTAGTTGTGAGGAGGGGAAGGATGAGCTCGGGTGGTTGTGAGGCTTCGGACGAAGGTTGCGAGAGGTTGAATTTCATTTGTGCGGGGAAGGGGATGGCGTATGTGCCGGTCCCAGTGCGGTCGGGTCGATGCTCGCCATTTTGGAGGATATCTCTGATTAAGTTGAGGTATTGGTGCTCTTCGTGCGCGGGGTTGCTCTTGGACATCGTCTTGGTGGGTGGGGTGGTGGTGCCGTTTGTTGTTTCTTTGGCGGCCTCAGTATTGCTTGAGGGTGTGATCACGGGGTCGACAGCGGCGGGAGACATAATGACAGACGAAAAGAGGACGTCTTGTGTAGTGGAAACGTGCTGCTTGAAGTATGTTGTTAATAGCGGCAAAACGCGTCAGGGTCTCGGAAAGCGCGACTGCGCGACCGGTCGGTGCGGCTTCCCGTATCGAACTACTCTAACCATGTTTACGCTCACCGATACACCACGCCGAATCACACAACTTTGGAAACATGGCGGAAGAACAAGCAGCTCACCATCTACTAAACGTGCTAGAAGAGAGAGGGCTCAATGTTGACCTGGACAAGATACTTCTAGGCTTCGAAAATGAAGATACAAAGCAGCAAGCCGCAGCGTGGGTAGAAGAGTATTTGCATGAGGAGACGCTATTGACGACAGAAGAGCTAGAGCTGTGAGTATCTTGCCAAACTCTCAGACCAGTTGCTGATATGTGGTTGTAGATATCAGACGCTGAAGAAGAAAGGGCTGCTGCACCAATATGAAAGCGAGGGCGAGCCCATTCGTCCCATCCTAGATGATGAGATTGCATCAGCAATTGAATCTTTGCAGAGCTCGACAGCGGTTATTGAGGAGCAGTGCAAAGTCCTGGAGGCACAGAAAAGCGCCTTGATGAAGCTAAAAGCTCTTGACAAGCCGAATTTGGAAGTCGAGCATGCGAGGAATGAGAGGAGAAGGAAAGAAGGTCAGGAGAAGGCTAGATTGGATGTTGCGGTAGGTCAAGCGAGGTCTTTATTAGAGTATATGCTGATTCAGTCACTAGGTTGACGATGTCTCAACCTCTCTTACCGACCAGTTGACCGAGACACAAAAGGAGATAGACACCGAGAAGTCTGCACTTAGGAGCTACTTGGCCGAACGACTTAGCTCAGACGACCAAATCCTGGGTCGACTACCAGGCATTGTCTCCCAGATTGTGACGGAGGTTGAGGTGAGCGAGGATGAGAAGTCGATTGAGCAATGGTGCAAGGCTATCATTTCCTTCCGCACAGCAGAGATCAAGGCTCGGGTTGACACTGTCTATCTGAACACCTTGTCTGAACATTCGCCCAATCTTGATTCGGATGTATCAGAACAGGAGTTGACGGAGCGAAAAGTAGCGCTGCAAGCGGAGATGGAAGAGCTGCATAGCGAGATTGCTTCCGTGGCCGAGATGGTGGTTGAGCACGACATAAGGAAGCCAATGAACGAGATGAAGGACCGCAAGGACCGAGAGAACAAGCAGGCGCGAAGTGCTTGGCTCAACTATGTGAGTATCAGAGCGTTTTGCGTCGCGAAATGGCTAACAGTGACAGGTTCTGTCAACACTCAACTACATGGGCAGACGCCTTGACACCATTACTACTAGCACCAAAAACATCGACGAGCTCCAGCAGGTGCTCGCACATATCGATGGAGCTGCAACTAAGCGCATGCCCGATACACATGCAGTGACGTCGACCACCAAAAGGAGAAGTACAACATCCGGCTCTTCCGCATTTACGCCTATGGTAAAGCTCAAGCCCACCAATACTCTCGATCTGCCTGCTGCGCTTCAGGATGCACTTCGTCGAACGGGCATCTCGTTCAACCAAGACAGCATTGAAGCCCTGCAAGACGCGTTGGCCAAAGCGCAACTCGAGCGAGCCAGCAAGCTACATGATCACTACGAGTCCATTTCACTCTCAACACACGACACGCTAGCTGAGCGATCAAGTAAAGCAGACGGCGACTCGAAGGTCGTCTTGAACGCGTTGTACAAGCACACGCCGTTCCAGCAGGTCAGCCTAACCAAGTCAAAGTTGGACGATCAGTTGAAGGCTATGGAGCGGGAACTAGAGGAGAAGGATCGTGAGCTATTAGAAGCTGAGGGCAACGACCTGAGCTTGAGCGATCCGAAGGTCAGAGCTTTCATCGCAAGATATGGAAAGTAGAGGGAACCGCGTGTTCCGGGCAGCTCGATGTGCTGGCATGGTGGCGCCCGTGGCTTTTACTGGGATCATCCAGGGCCACTTAAGGAGAAGCATTTGTACACAAGTGATGTTGAAAGCAAACGCCAGCCTTCCAGGGGCATAGCGATGACACCCTGCTAGACGAACGTAGGTAAAAAGAAATGATAAAAGCCATCAGCTCCGCATGTGCGATCACGCTCAGGACGGACCTCGGGTTGGTCGTGAGGGCTGATGAGCTCCAGCATACTAGTGCCCGGTCTGGCTAGCCTTCATGCACCTCACCCTGGATCCCCAGCCACTCCAAAACAGAAGGGAGCTGAAGCGTCAACAGAGCGACTTCACCACAACACCACCCGATAATCCCCACTTCTGCAGCCGGTCAAACCTGCGCGGGATGCTCCCACCAGGCATCCGTAGCTACGCATGCACTTTTACCCTCAATTGAACCATCCAAAGCCCACATCCGGCACATCCCTAAGCTCCATCACTACCAGCCATGGTTAAAGGGGAAATCCTCACCTTCGGCGCTGCCGCGGGTGCGATTGGCGGTGCCTACAAACTCGGCGAGTTCATGCTCAGAGCCAAACGCCTTCGCGACGTTGGCCCCTCCAATGCAGTCTACGTGCGCATCATCGGCCGCGTACGCTCCGATCTCGATGAAGTCAAGCGCCTCCTCTCTGTCCGCGAAGTCCATGATGCCCTCGAATCCAATCCCGAAAAGTCAAAATGGGTATATGGAGCCATGCGAGACGTGCGCGGCGCCCTCGAGAATATCACGCCACATACTGAACGTGTTGGCGGCGATGTCGAGGATGGACGCCGCGTTGGTGTTAGGCATCGTGTTTACTGGCTTGTCAGCGAGAAGGAGAAGCTGGAGAACAGGGAGAAGGAGCTGAACATCGCGCATGCCAGTTTGACAGAGGTCCTCGGCTACTTGACGGCTCTTGAGCCTGTCGAGGAGAAGCACAAGCCCAAGAAGTCGTCGTCGAAGAAAGACACCCACGTCGACATCGACATTGACATCAAGCGCGACGCTCCTCAGCATACCACCGAACGCGTCGAGAGAGACGTCTGGGTCGAGCGCGACGCTGCTCCCAGGAGGGTCGAGGAACACCGCGACGTCTGGATCGAGCATGATCGCCAGGGCCCTCCTCCAGCTCACTATGAAGAACATCGCGACGTCTACGTCAACGAGCGGGAGCGCGGCCCCCAACACTACGAGGAGCACGACGTCCATGCTCAGCACGGCCGCGATCCCCGCTATGAAGCTCAGCACAGCCGCGATCCTCGCTATGAGGCTCAATACGACGAGCGTTACGAGCAGCACGATCACTACGAACGCCGCCCGCAATACCCCGAGGAGCGCCGCCATGACGAACGCCCGTTCCCCGAGCCTCTTGGCCGCCGCCCGGAGTCTTTTGAGGACCGCCTCCCCGAGCGCGATACCTGGATGCAGAGCGAAGCGCGTAACCGATCCCGTGGGGGCCAGGGCGGGCCTTATGGACAGTACGCGGAGTACGGTGCACCCCAGCCTGTGGGAGCGGCCCATTACCACCGTAGGTTTCAAGGAGACGCAGGCTTTGGTGATGAAGAGATACTGAATCCCCAACCAGTGCCTTTGGACAGGAAGTATGCGGAACGCGAGGTGAGTGGTCATCGATACAGCAAGCTGTAGTCAGCAAGAAGCTGATTGTGGAGTAGATGTGGATTGAGGAAAAGGAGGATTATAGGTTCGATGAGTATGGCAATAAGCTGCCTGATAGGTACTTCCAACCCCCGGTTCCGAGACCTTACCGCAGCCGCATGTAAATCGTTGGAATTTTCTTGAACATGATTTCCTTGGATGTAATGAGTCTTTGTCCCGTCGTGTTGAGCAGCTATTCACCAGTTTATAGCCGTGAGATGCGACGCTTCGTATATTATTCTATAGCTATCGATTATTATTCCTTAGAATCCGTCCTTCGCACTCGCCCAAACTAAAACACAGTTTCGTCCATCTAACTTAAGAAGCACCAATCACGCAAGGCTGTTCATATCGCCCTCAACGCGCGCTGTCCTTTCTCCTTTCCCCCGTCTCAGGATCCTGTGTAGTAGCACCCGGCTTCACGGCGCCCGCCGGATACACAGTCCTAACCGGAGGCTCAGGATCTGCAAACGGGTTCTCAAACACTTCACTGTTCGCCTCCGCCATGTGCTCTTTAGGCCCTACTGTAATTCGGGGGAGTATTAGTCCAGACCCACTAGCGGGTGTGTTGGCAGTGGATGCTTGAGGTGGTGAAAGATGGGACGAGGGGATTCCTACACCATTGGTGTTGCCGTCCGCGTTTGGGTATGGGGTGGATCGAAGATTGTGGAGGCGGGTTGAGCGTTGTTGATCGTAATAGCGGTTCGTGGATGCTGCCATTGTGGCAAGGGCGAAGTACAACGCGATACTGGGAAGATTTGGTTAGTATCTGTGTTTGCGAGGCGTCTTGTCTAGGTACGTAAGGCTGTCTGTGCCTGGCTAAACAAATGCCAGGTTGAACGCAAGACACTGTGACACGGAGTGATTAGTGGATGAACTCACCACAGTCCGCCTATTCCACTCAAGACTTCTCCTGCCACCAACAATCGCCACCTTGTCATTCGTTCGGCCCATAGTCCTTTCATTTCCTCACTGCTCTTCCAGCACCAACTATATTCCTTATGTAGCTTGTTCGCGTCAATGTTGAGCCAGTGGTCATGTCCATTGGAGATGAGGAACAAGGTGATAAGGCAGATCGCGAATAGCATGCCGGCGCGGTTCGATAAACGTCGGAAGTGCAAGCAGATATGGATCACCATGATGGCGATGGTGAGTAGAGGGGTGCCAAAGAAAGCGGCGCCAATTTCACTAGAGAGGCATTCGTCAGTAAGGCGTAGGAGTGAGAGATAGCCTGGGTTCAGAACTGGACGAAGCTGTCTATCTTCACTCATGTCGACGACGAATTGCAAACATGCTGACGGCCTTCAAGCCACATCATCTTGAGGGATTACTTACGCCTTTCCCCTATTCTTATGCATGCCCAGAAAGTCCTTTTTGTTCGTCTCCCATGTGTCCCGGTTCGCATACGTTATAGGCAGCGACCTGACATCATCTCCAGCTCCTAACGTGTCGTGATCGTACTGGCACACAACACTGTCACCTATGCGCAGCAGCCTGATGCCCAGGCTGAGATTTACGGTCAACTGCGCTATGGCGATGAGGAGGCAGGAGCAGAGTAGAGGGATGGCGAAGCGGGAAGCGCCTGGCCAAGACGTTGAATTTGCTTTTGTGAAGAGAGTGAAGAAGGAACGAAAAGAGAAGAGAGGGAACCGTGACATCGTGAGAGTGAGGTGTTCTTGGAGAGAGCCAAATGATGATGTGAGAGGTATCGGATGAGTGCCTTGCTGGAGGAAAGAGGAAAAAACGATAGGAAGGTGGGGAATGAGAGGAGACTACATTTGGACTTTGAAATCCATGGTTCTTGTAAAGAGGGGTATGGTATTAGGTGGGTAAGAGGGTATCGATTGACAATACAAGGCCCTGGGTGGCGGTGAGAATTCAGTGCCAGGGGCTCGAACCATGGGTATGAGGACCAGGGGTGCAAGCTCAATGTATTTTACGCTTGTTCGTACGTCCTGTCAGTCTTTTGAATGACTATGAGGTACTCGGCTTGGAATGTAACGTTTGGCTTGTGCCGTAAGCTCGATACTCGCTTGCCATTTTGCTAACTGTTGTCATAATCCCATACACGCAGGAGGTTTACCGCATGTTAGGCTGACTCATTAGTGAGCGAAAGTGTATGTGAAGATCAAAAGAAGGTCTTGAAATTTCACGGAGTCTGAACCGGATCGAAAGGGCGGGAAAGTTATTCTAAATGCTAGGGGCTGCTAATAAGAAGAAGGGTATGCAAAAATTCTTAGGGTCGTGCTCCTCTTGACTTTGAAGAGCCATTGAACCTTTCAATTTTTCAAAGATTATCCATAGGTTGCCGCCGTATTGTTGTGTCCAGTAGTCGGATCAAGTGATCGGTAACCGGGTGGATACTTCAATGTAGTGGTGCGATGACGTCAGGGAGCTATTGATCGCGCAAGCGGTCACTGCACCGACTCATGCTGCCACTGCTAGCAGGCTCACCTCAACTTATACTTTGTTGCTTAAACACACTATAATACTAATTATTATTCGCCTAGCTTAGACTCTGGTCACTTGACGTGCTAATCTTGCTGAAGATGCGGACAGCTGCTACGTGCATGCGAAGCGTCTTTGCGGCGGGCTTCAAAGGCCGCCATGGCGCTTCACTCTTTGTCGACGACGACAATGAACACCCTTCTTTATAATTTCAATATCTTGAGTGTGGCTGAAAATTCTCCCCAAAGCGGCCTTTGTTGTATTTCCTTTGAACTGCTGTCAAGGACACGAAGACAAGTAGTATATCTCTAGATGATCGATCGTCCATGATCGCTGTACACCAAATTCAAAGCATTTGTGCTTGACTCTTCGATTACAGACTGAAACATGGCCGCCATCGATACGCCTCCACCGGTACAACGCCCGACAAACAAGGCCCAATGGCTAAACAGCACGTACATCACACAGCACGGCGTCGGCGGTATGACAGTTCGACAGTTCACGGTGACCAAGGCAGCTAAAGATGCGGTTGATTCTTACTGGGAAGATTCTCACATCAATTGGTCGCTTGAATTCTTGAGACGCCGGCACGAGCATCTGAAAGATGTCTTCGTTGCGGGAACCGCTACAGCATGGCAATTGTACCGCATCGCTACGGTGCCCAATTTCTTAGATGCACCAGATACGGAAACTTACCAACGGACTTGGGCACCGCTAGTAGAAGAACTAAGGAGCCGGGATATAGTAGTCATACCGATCAACAATGGTATCAAACAAGATACCGCACACACACAGCAAACGCTAGGGGTGGCTCAAGGGAACCACTGGTCTTTCATCGTAATCGACAGACGTGACAAGGAGCATTCGACAGCCCGGTACGTCGACGGCATGGTTACAGCATCGAAGAGACGCAACAAGTGGAAGATTGGAGGAACTAGCTTGAACGCACCAATCGCTGGAACTGTCTTGTGCGGTTTTGATATCCTACTTGGTCTACAGAAAGGTGATTTTAACACAAGAACTCTGAAATTCGTTCCGCATATGGTACTCGAGGACGCACATCGCGGGACCGATCACGGACGTTGTGGGCCTCATCTATATGCCTTCGTGGACCATCTCCTCGCGAACAAAGAGAATCTTATCAACCCTGGTCTGGATGCTGGCTTCAACAACGAGAATTTGCGAGTAGCACGTCGCAACGAATTTGGTTTCGATTCTTGGTTCACGAGATCAAAACTTGAGTATGAGCTTCTGCACGAGCGGAGACGTCAAGAGGGTCTACAGCCTGCGAACCATCGCGATAACCTCACGCCCGAGGTTATCGAGGCGCTACACAGCGTTTTAACTGTAGACCAGCTTCTCAGCTTAGCTGCGGATTCGCAAGATCCAACACTCCCACAAAAGAAAGGTGGTCCACCAAAGGCGAACAATGATAGGGAAGGTAGAACTGGCGATGACGAAGAGTTGCCTGACCCGTATATGGGATGCCCGCTGTCTGAGTATCGGCAGTACCTCTCTTTGGACAAAACGATCCCAAAAGAAAAGCGTTTGCAGGATGCCGTCAGTCATTGCAAAGTAATACAAGAGTCTCTGGAGGCCTTTCATAGAAGTAACGCGAACGGAGTGCTCACCAAGAATCCAGTATTCAGATATCCGGACGGTTTCAACAAAGACAAGCTTCCCAATTTCGAGGAGCTTACTAGCTCAGATACAGGACCATGGTATGAAGTGTACAAGAGCGATATCTTCAATGTTCCGGTAGACCCAAAAGTATCTGCTGCAACTATCAAGGCTGTCCTCCATCGTATCTTCAAAGGGAGTTTCAAGAACTTATCTTTTGAGCACTTGAGAGGATATCTTAGAGATGTAAAAGTTTTTAGTGTTGAGGAGAGATTCGTGAAGACTTGGACCACCGAAGGGCTAGCGGCGCGATTGGACGAGCGTTATCTTGAATTGAAAGTGCCACTGTTTGCTTCCCTTTCCGACACGGAAGTGGATAACTGGATTCGAAATCTCCATCCTACCGCCATGGCGGCTGTGAAGGATGCCGATGGTAACAACTTGCACAAACGAGCAAGAGGTATGCTCTATCGCTTCTTCGTGGGAGATCTTGATGATATGACCAACGAGGAAGTGGAAGACTGGCGGGTGAACGACCCTACTATTCCCAAAGACCACAAGAAAGACATCGAAGGCACTCGATGGTGGATCAAATGGCATTATGGTACCGAGGATGTGCTTCCTTATTTGAGGGAGAGCCCACTTCATTGGCCAGCTCTAGCACATTGGCCTAGTCGCGGATATAAGCCAAAGAGCGACAACGATAGCGACGATGACAACGACGATGACAACACCGCAGACAGTAGCAAGAAAATGCCGAAGCCTGATGGTGCACGGAAGCGAAAAAGAGACGGCGATAGTGACCGCAATGATGCAGGCAATAGTAAGAAACGGTCGAAGCCAGATGATGGGACGGGGACTGAGGACCCCAGAAATATCGACTGGGCCACCGTCAGCTTAGACAAGCTCAGCAAGTATGTTACTGACGAAGTCCGGAAAGACTCGAGGATCGGTGCCAATTCCAATAGCTATACGCACCGAGCCATTCTTTTCGTGCAATACGGCGGACACTTCAAGGACGATATCGAGACATTACAGCATCTCTGGATTCGTGACGTTAATGTCTTCAAATCTAGTAACGACGTTTGGGCCCTTGGAACTGATATCTTCATCGATTCAGATGGTGTACCTGACATCAAGATCACAGTACAAGAAATTCAACAACGTATGGAGGCAAAATACGAGAGGATCGGTACGCAACCCAACGTACCAGATGTTGGCAACACATCAGCCGCTCCCAAAGGACCAGCAGCTCCCAAAGTACCTGCCGCTCCCAAAGTACCTGCTCCGAAAAGACCAACCGCTCCCAAAGTACCCGCCGTTCCTAAAGTGCCAGCCGTTCCTACAGTACCGTCTGTTTCCAATGTGACAGCTCCGATACCAGCCGTAGCGCATCCTAGGGTAACTAGGGCGAATGCACCGAAACCCGTCTTACCAGAATTAAACATAACCGCGCTGGGCTTGGAAACCGTGAACTTTACACGAATACCGGCGAAACAGATCAAGGAGTGGGTAAATTTAAAACCGATCGGTACCTCTCTTACTCACAACCTCGAAGTCTGGCACAAAAAGACAATCCTTCAGAAGATCTTTGGTGGCTTTGGTGCTTTACAGGAGGACGACATCTTTTACTGGTTGAACAATGATCCGTTCTTTAAGAAGAACAAGGAAGACAAGGAGTGGAGTCTTGCGGATGTTGTGCCTATGCTAACAAAGCGTGTTGCTGGTATACCAAAAACGGACCTCCGCGGTAAGCTTTTGTATTATCCAGCTAGCTATTTATCAGACTTCAGGAGTCGGGACCCAAAACCACTAGGAACACTCCAGGGAACGCTTCAGAACAATGAAGATGATACGATGGACTTTATTGATATCAGCCCTGTTGCTGAACCAGACGAGTCTGACAATGACACGGACCCGATTAAGGCACAACAGCCGAAGAACCTGGCGAAACCAGGCCCCGGTTTCGTTGGCTTTGGAGCAGCACAATCCCAAGGCCCTAACAATAGCACAGCTGCAAATCAGAACGTAACCGGTACAAAGCGAAAGCGTGAGGAAGCCAACCCAGTGGAGGGGCAACACAAGAAACTCAAGCGCTCAGCTCCAAACTTCCTCGAAATCAACGAATCTGAACTTCCCCTCTGGCTTGAAAAACTCTCCCTTCAAATCCGCAACGACCTGCGCGACTCTAAACTCCAGCTCAAACAGCCCGCGCGTGCGCGCGCCTGGCTAGAACGCATCTACAACAGCACGTTCCAGGACATGCAAGCCGAAGACCCACTATCTGCGGAGAGCTTAAAAGAGATAGTAAAGTGGCGTCGCATGTGGGGAGGTCATTATGCGCTTGAATCCAAGGCGCCGAATATTTTGAAGCGTTTCCTGGATGAACACTTGATGCAGAAGAACACTTATGAGCGGGAAGAAGGAACGACGGGTGGTAAGTCGGGCAAGCTTCTAAAGAGGGAGTTGTGGTTTCCTGATTATAGGGGTGATGAAAGGCAGTGGCCGGATTATTGGAAGAAAGCAGAGGACGAGCGTGTGGGCGGAGCATGATATGCTTTGGAGGAGGGATAGGTAAGTGAGGTTATGGGTATTTTCTTTCTTCTGTTTCTTTTTGTGTTGTAATATCTTAGTTGATTAAAGTTACCCGCTGTGACCCGAGACACACAGTGTGGCGAGACACTTTTGCATCAAAAGCTCAAAATGTTCCCCCGTATTAAGAACCCCAATCTAAAACTTTTGCAATCGATTGAATAGCATATGTTTTCTATATCCCTACATCATAGCTATAAATCTCCCACTGCTGCTTAAGATATCGATGATTTTGTAACAGCTTCTAGAACCTGGTCTGCCTCTTTACCCTCTCTTCTGAAGTCTGCAGAGCGTTGATTGATCGTTCGGTGGTCGGAGTAGAAGGTTTGAGCGGTAAAGATTGTCTTCTAAACGTCTTGCGATGATCGGCTAGAGAAACACTTTCCGAGAGTGTCTCCGTGCCTTCTAGAAGCGGTCAATACAGTGGCATTTTACGATACATAGCAGTGATTATCGAATCTACTCCACGCCATGTCTATACCCCATAGAGCATACTCTCTAAAAATAACTGTGGCTCTTATTCCTACTGCCGCCCTTATTCAATGTTTCCTTTGACGCGCGGCACCTGTCAATCCTCTATACAAGTAATAACAGCAACTCGATAGATATAGATAAGGCAAGTCAGGTCTTAGCAAAAGGGTCCCTCCAGATGTTCCCATCTCCTATCGCTTTCTTGCAGATCATGGCGAGGTTCCTCGGTCGACTCTCCAGCATCATGCACGCGGCCGAAGGTCGATGCAAGTTAAGGCGCAGGACCAACAGTACCTCCTTAAAAGAAGTTAATAAGGTAATTACAATACTTACTGTTACAAGTCTGCAGCAGAAAAGACGCTATACCAGCAGACGTGAATTGCGAAAGATGGTACTTCCTAACAAAATTCCTAGGGAAGTCTGGGGAAGTCTGAGAGATTTACTGCGGGAGTAGGTACAAATCATGTAGTTGATGACTTTGTCGGCAATCGAGAATGAAACATGCTCGTCACAATTGCGGCACAGAGATACGAGCATACTATAGCTGTTGTTTTCTTTTGTAGTTGTGTAATGTCCTATGCAATTTACAGCACATTTCTTGTGTAGATACGTCGCCGCTTCCCCTACTTCTCCTTGGTATTGACACCAAAGACATTCAACTGTGCTCGGCTCCCCCTTTCTACAGGTCTTAAATCGGGACCTTTATTCTTCTCTTTAGCCTCTCGTCTCGCCTTGCGATCACGCCACCGCTCGCGCCAGGACATGGCTTTCAGACGCTCATCTTCTTCGCGCTGCTCGGCTGTGACTGGCGCACATACAGCGTTGATTCTGGCCGCGATCGCCTCGTCGTTCACTGGTTTCGTCTGTGGTGTCTTGGTCGCCCAGAACGGTGGTGGCAGATTCTTGATGTAGTCGGCATAAGATTCTTTGGCCGCTTGTGATTCCTGAGTTGTTTGTAGTTCTTGGGGTGCTGTTGGATCTTTTGGGGTTGCAAGGTTTACGTCATCGCGGAGGTCTAAGCGGGCGACTGAGCTCTCTTGTTTGAGGTCGGCAGTCGCATCGTGGGTATTCTCAGAGGGCATCTTGGAGATTTTATGAAGGTTGCAAGTGGTTTGGAGAGGTTATTGAACGAGTGCATTTGAGTACGCGGAGTTGTCCTGCGTGCCACTATTTGGAAGGAGGCCTAGAGCGGGGCTCCATTGCGAAATCCTTCGGAGAGAACCTAATGCACATATCAGCAGTTCTCTCGATGACTAGTGATCCTTTCACAAGAAAGGCTGACGCACAGCCACAAGCTGCTAACCACGTTACTTTGCCAAGGTTATTACATAAGTTTTGATACCAGTCCATCGTCCGTGCAGATCTTCGGGCATTGTAATTCAGCTACCACACAGTCTATACTCGCTGGCTAATAGACTAGTAATGTTTTTTTTACCGATCACTAAAGATAGCAATGGGATGTAAAACCGTCTTTGGTCGGTGTGCACCCTAGGAGACGGAAGTGTCTTTAAGAAGCCGAATAAGCCGCTCTCCTAGAATCGACGTAAAGAATATTAAACAACTAGTAATTTTCGATATGTAGACTAGGGAACCATTGCTCAGGTCCTATAGAGTAAAGCTATGGCAAATTATACTGAGGGATAAGCGTTGCTGACTAGAAATCATGGTTGAATATCAACGTACCTGTCCTTTGTCTCGCTTTGGTGTGTGTCTCGCGTCACAGTGCAGGACATTATTGAATAGAGTAAAATACGTGACGGAACTATTCATCAAACGTCTTTGGAATGAAGATTCATCATGCAATGTGGTTGTCCAAGCATCTAACGTAACTCTAGAGTAGGCTCCCTGAAACGCCATTTATACGCCATAATGCACCCATTTCCCAAGACCGAATGCATCTATATCAACTAGATAGAGCGAAGACTCAATGCAACTCAATACCCTCGGTGCCATTCACGCTCGTACTACTCTTCCCAAAGTTTGGCGTAGTCGGCCTACTCCTCTCACTGCCGAAGAAAGCAATATTCTCCCTCAGCGCTACATACTCACTATCCGCATACCCTAATGCTTCATGGATCTGCGTAGAGTGCAGGCCTTTGATCCTCCTGATTTCCGTCGCCGAATAGTTCACCACTGCCCTTCCAATCTCGAAGGGCGCAGGATTGTGTAGTTCATACTGCGGTGGCTGGAGAATCTGGCTTGTCGACGCTGAATGCTGTATCGGATGACGTATGGGAATAGGCGCATGAACCGCGTGCGCTGCCGCGCTGGGCGTGGTAGGCTGCGGTAGCGGTTGATCATTTGTTGCTGATATTGATACTCTCTGGGAGGAGCGAGGGAGCCTTTTGACTACGACAATGCGGACAGCTTCTTGCTGAGCGAAATGGCCGTCTACATCTACGATACCCACTGGGAGTAGACCTGCTTTGTCGCTGAGTGCGGTCCAAGCCCCGTGGTCGATGTATATTGTTCCATGAGGGGCAAGGCCGTGTAGGATCCAGAAGTAGCGGTCGCGGATGGGGTTGGAAATGGGTAGGAAGCGGGTGTGAAGTGGGACAGGCTGATCTGTTTGTGGAGATGGCGTCCTTGCTAGTTGAGTTTCTTGAAGTGATCCTGTTGAGGCGGACAATTCGTGGTTCGTGTTATGGAGGTTGAGCACTGCTGCTTGTGATAGCGACACGCCATTATCTTCGAGGAAATTTGTGACCGAATTACGGCTTGATAGCTTCGTTTCTCTCTGTCCCTCTGCATGCGCAATGATGGCCGAAATGTTCCCTGGCTTACTACTCTTTGTGATGATAGTTGTAACACCTGCACTTGTCGCCAACCTCGCGGCTACAATCTTGGTGCTCATCCCACCCGTCCCCAAGGCACTCCCCGCCGAACTAACATCCGCTGCCAACTCGGCGATATCCTCCACCACACTAATCGATTTCGCATCCGGGTTCGTCCTCGGATTCTTGTCGTACAAGCAGTCGACATCGGTCATGAGGAAGAGGTAGTCTGCCTGAACCATGCCGGCGGTGATGGCACTTAGCGTGTCATTATCACCGAATTTGATTTCCGTCACAGCCAGCGTATCGTTCTCATTCACAATGGGAATAACACCCATACTGAGCAACTCAATGAATGTGTTCTGTGCATTCTGGTACTGTGTGCGGTCCGCAATGTCGTTTCTTGTCAAGAGCACTTGCGCAATTGGCTGCTCCAGATTGCCAAAGAGCTGGTCCCATAGCGATATTAAGCGGCACTGCCCAATTGCAGCTAACGCTTGAACTTTGGGCAAGTGTTTCGGCCGGCGAGGTAGGTTCATACGTCGTAAGCCAACGCCGATTGCGCCGGAGGAGACGATGACCACGCGGTGGCCGGCGGCACGAAGGTTGCATGCTGTTTCGACGATAAGGGAGAGGATAGAAAGGAGCGGTTGGTGCGTCTTCTCATCGACTATGGAAGAGGTACCTGAGTGTGTGTTGGTAAGTTGATATTCCCTTTCATGTAGACATTGGTACAGGATTGTAGTTACCGAGTTTGATGACAACGGTGAGCTGCCCGGGTTGCTTTCGCATATGGACAGCCATTGTGCCGGTAGTGGTTGTTGAAGTGAGTGGAGAGACTTAGGACATGGGGTTCCTTTATATGTGACATGCATGACTGGATAAAGATTCCGAGCTCGCTCGCCCTCGAGACAAGGACTCACTCACCGCCTGCAGGTGCGCTCCGCCTCGCCTGCCGATTGGCTCCCGCAATCTACGACATCTCCAGCTTTTTGCGACGGGAACGTCAACGCGCCCTACCACCACGAGCTTGTAACATCTCCCCGCACATCCTGACGGCATTAACGCCACACATCCCGCTCTACCCCGTCTCCATCGCCCTCCCCATACCTCCATGTCGACCCCCGAACAAGCGCCCGATGGCGCATCAATCGCTGCGATCCAACAACCTCCACCCAAGAAGATCGACCCTATATACTACAATTGGAGCAGTACCTTCAACATAATGCTCGGCCGCATGACGGGAAGCCGAGACATCGAGTTGGAGAAGGGCTACTTCGAGGAGCTAGACACACTAAAAGCCGACTCAATATGCAAAAGATGCGAGGTCAACAAGGAATACCTACTACAATACTCGCCTATCGTCCGCTTCCTGAAAGATGAGGTCTATAAGCTAGGTGGCGATTTAAACGGGCAGAACATACTGTGTCGGATGTGCACGAATGAGCAGAGCGGCGGCTTCAGCCTCGACCACGGCATTCTACTCTGCGCAAACAAATTTCGCAACCGCGGCCACCAGGAGGATACCATGGCCCACGAAATGGTTCACGCTTGGGATCACCTCAAATGGAAGGTTGAGAGCGACAATTTGCGGCACCAGGCGTGCTTGGAGATTAGGGCGTCGACGTTGAGTGGAGAGTGTAGATTTTCCCGCGAATTCTTCACGCGCAATCAGTGGTCTATCACAGAACAGTTACAGGCCTGCGTGCGGCGGCGTGCTACGCTGAGTATGATGGCGCGGCCGGGTATCAAGAATCAAGAGCATGCGGGCAAGGTCGTGAATGAGGTTTGGGATAGCTGTTTTAGGGACACAAGGCCGTTCGATGAGATCTATCGATGATTGGGAAGAGACGGGAGGCTGGAAATAGACATGGCCGATGTACAAGGAATGTATCGATAGTACTGTATAATGCACGGAAGGGCTCGGGTAAAATATGCATAGCGATGGCGTCGACGCGATAAGTCTGGTTCATGAAGCGTTGCCATCTACACTCGCACGTTGACTCTTTGAATTGTTTTGAGTTTGTTGCATTGCATTCATTATCAAAGTATCCTTGTGCTGTGTCCAAACGCCGCGATGTACGCTTAGTTCCCAAACTCCAAATAATGCGACTAATCAACCATGCAGCTGCGCTCACTGACTTAACGCCTTTCACCGTCGCAGATGTTCTTATATAATACAAACAACACCGAGTCATCAACGTCTTTTCTCAAGCTTAACCTCAGTAGTCTTCCGACTCCGAGCTGCTTCGAAACTTGCCTCCTGAGGCGCGATCGTATGCTCGCTCGCTACCTAGTACAATGTTAGTGTATGTATCACATTTCACATCGTGGAAAAAACGTACCTTTGCAATGCTTTACGATCCATGGATGTCGCTCCACATCTTCGAGCGCAATACGCTTTTCCGGATCAAGGACGAGGAGCCTCTTAATCAAGTCCTTTGCCTCCGGGCTTACAAAATTCGGCACCGTATACTCTCCTCTCGCGATCTTACGCTGGGTCATAACCTGCGTATCTTCAAACGGCGCCTCGCCCACCAGAAACTCATATGTCAACACGCCCAAACTCCACAGATCAACCTTTTCAGAGTAAAAGTTGTCCTTGCCGCCACCCTTTAGCATCTCCGGGGGCAGATAGTCGAGCGTTCCGCACATGGTGTTTCGTCGGTTGTTGGGTGCGTGTACTGACCACCCGAAATCAGAGATTTTGATTTCGCCATGGATGCCAACGAGGATGTTCTCGGGCTTGATGTCGCGGTGCATGACGTGTTTTCTGTGCAGGTACTTGAGTGCTGCAGCCATTTGCGCAATGTACTGTGCGGCTTTGGGCTCTGGAAATCGCTGCTCGCGACGGAGATGCTTGTATAGTTCTCCTTTGCCGGCGAACTCAAGGATCAAGAAGATGCGCTTTGCATCGTGGAAGTGGCCGAATAGCTTAAGAATATTAGGATGGGTGAGGTGCGATTGGATTTCGATTTCTCGTCGGACTTGCTTCTCCACCTTGCCTTGCTGCAGTTCGGACTTGTGGAGTACTTTCAGGGCGCAAACGAAGCCTGAGCTGCGCTCTTTTGCGAGGTAGACGCGACCAAACTTTCCCTTTCCGAGGGGTTTACCAATCTCAAACATGCCGAGATGCCAGGCCTTGGGGGTGGAAGGGACTGTGTAGAGGGCGGAGTCGGTGAGTGTACGTCGGTGAGAGGTGAGCTCCGCAGGGCGGCTTGCTGTCGCTGTGATGGTAACTTTCGCAATGCTGGCGCTCTTACTTGCATTTGTGGTTGCAAGCTTCTGGAGAGGTATTTGATGGGGTAGCTTCATGCGGTTGCCGGCTGATTGTGACGATGATAGGCCGGGTAATGATGCAGCCGTCACGAGGGAAGGCTGTTGCAGTGTTAATGAATGGTTGTATACAGAGAAGCTGCCTTGGCTACCTTTGTTTTAGGATAGTTGGTGGTAGATGTGACCTGGTCGTCGTGCTCATCTGTGACGGTGATGCGCTCGAAAGCGGCTTCCAGGTTGGCGACTTCCATGTTGTTCGAATGCTGTTGAGGATGCTGCGCGGGAACAAACGAGGGATGCAGGCAAGAAGGGAGAAAGAAACTACGAAAAAGCTGTTGTTGGAAGCGGACGATGCCCAGCGTGTGACCGGGATGGGGAGTGGAGATGTTGGAGTAGATGAGCGAGCCCGAGCGGTGTCGACAAACAAGCGCCTACGGGTGGTTGCTAGGGGAAACCACCATCGGTCGGTGCTGTGACTCTCCGATCTACCCCACCCACCCCCGCGCTCTGCCGCCCATAGGGGACAGACTCGTATGCGCGAGAAGGTCTCATAATTTAGCTCAATCTTCGTACCACTTCGTAGAGGCCTCTACCATGTCGGCGCTCAATGGCGCACCCCTCGATACCCAGGCTCCGGGCCATGCAGATACCTCCATCATCAAGGAGGGCTTCAAGATCACCACGCGCAAGCTACCCATTCTCAAGGCTGGCCCTATAGAAGAAATGACCAAGAAGCTGGGGATCGCGCCGCCAGAGATGATATTCGGCGACAACCTCGTACGCATAGAGCATGCACACAGCGGCTGGCACATCGAGTTCAACGCCTTCGATGCACTGGACTTGGTTGACAAGACAGGTGAGAAAATGTTCAAGGTGTCGTATTCGAAAGAGTGGCAGCAGAATCGGTAGGCCTCTCTCTCACCCTTACAGCTTTGATTGTTCACAGATTTTACCTATTTTCTCGCTGCTGACATGCTACCAGACAGAAGCAGTTTGAAGACATCAAGGAAGTCGTGAAGCCCTTCGACTGGTCCTACAGCACCGACTACAAGGGCTCAACACCGCCCACTCCCGCTTTCCAGCCTACAAACTCTCCCATACCACTCGCCCTCCTCAAGCGACCTGACCCCATTCACTTCTTCGACGAAGTCATGCTCTACGAAGACGAGCTCGCCGACAACGGTATCGCTATGCTCTCCTGCAAGATCCGCGTAATGCCCGCACGCCTACTTCTCCTTGTGCGCTTCTTCATGCGCCTAGACGATGTCGTATTTAGGATACGGGATACAAGGGTGTTTGTCGAGTTTGGCACGGATGAGGTGATTAGGGAGTATACGGCGAGAGAAGAGAAGTATGAAGTAGTGCGCGAAAAGTTAGCGGGGCGCAAGGAGGATGTGCTTGCCATCATGCGGGATCCCAATCGGTTGGCAGAGTATATACCGGTTGTGGAGAAGAGTTTGGAAGGGTTGAAGTTGAAGTAAGACGTTCCTGGAGTGGGACAGCGGAAGATGCAGATACCCAGCGAGCGTCAAAGGAGAAGCGCCAGAAGATGAGGCAACGCAAGCCTGTCCCGTATGGTCAAGAGGTTGGTCCTTTCCATGTCCCTATGTTTGTTCGATCTTCAGCTCATCAACTGTAGACTGCTTGGAAAAGGACGCTGGCGTAGGCGAACTATCTACGTAAAATCAGGTTTCGAGGCATGACCAACAACGCATTCTATACATTTCCGAAGAGAAAATCAGAATATAGGAATGTGTGTTGATGCATAAGTTGATGCTTTGGCCTCCGATCCTTCTTCCCTAGTCATGTCCAGTCTAAGAAAATTCGTCGATTTTGTCATGGGAATCCAGGCTGCTCTGGTTCAAAGGCATGCACTTGTCAGTTCTTCTAGACGTCCATTGCCTGCTTCCGCTCATATCAACAACCATACGCAAAGCTCATAAAGCAGAAGACATACATTAATGTCTTAGTGCTTTCTGATCCGGTCACTGCGGAAGTCTGATATAGAAAAACTCTTAAGCTCCAAGATCGCACTCAGTTATGCATGAATGGGTACACATCATTGCCATGGATGTCGTGATCTACGGAGTGTTTGGACGCCACGAACTGAGCAAATGGATTCCTTCGTCCGCAGGCGAAGGCAAATGAGTGCGCATCTCGTCCCTAACAGGGTCGGTACAGAGTGAGATCGTCGCGGTTGCGGTGCTCGGAGGGTCCATGAAATCCGAGTCCGGAATCCTGTCGCGCACGGACTAAATTCGAAAGCATGTGCAACCGACACCTCATCCCTCACAGCTCTGTCCCGCCACAACCACACTTCGAGGACGGCCAAACCTGGATTGACGCTTCTGTGTGGTCGAGATGCCTTGGGGAGACTTGTGCGGTTTTCAGCAGCTAGGGATTATGACGGTGCATGTACCCTCCGATCATCCGCACACGTCCGCAACTATGCACTCATACCCACTTCAACAAACTTCCGCCTAGCTACCTGCGAGCTTAGTGCTGATGGCTCGATCAACGGACGAGTTAATAGACCCACGGAGGCATTATTCAATCCGTAGAGTTCCTGGCCAAGTCTCCCATCATATGAAAGATGAATCCGCTCAACTGTTCTTTGTCCGTCTTTGGGTTGAGCGCTAAGTGCGGACGTTGACCGCATGCGAGGCCGAGGGCTATGACGACGCCATCCCTCAATTTGTGATGTTGGGTCTTATGTAGATAATAACTATGGAGAATATCATATGTGAACATTACTGAATTGTATAACAGCAAAAGCGGTCCCCACAATGGTGGAGTCCAAGTCATACAGTGAGGGATTCATGCACACGACGACTGCCAGCCAGCCAGCTTCATCACAAGCCCAGAGCGGTGAACTTACTGAATCCGCATCCGGACAACAAGCGCCTGCGGCTGGGTTGCTCCGAATGCCTTTAGGCCGCGAAACCTCCTTTCCCGATGAACATTCTCATGGGAGGCAAGCTCACTCCTCTACGAAGAACGAACGGCAATTAAAACCGGAAATGTCTAGTTACGATGGACAACAGACACAGGCGCAGAACGCGGGCTATCCCGAGCAGAGGGAAGAGGAAGTAAAACTAGAGCCTATCGAAGATACGGGCTCTTCTTGCTCTTCCAGTTCCTCTTACAATCGCCATGAAGACAATAAGCGTGTCGACTCTGCAGAACAAGAGGCCGATGAGCTCGATCAGTATCCACTAGAACGACGGGTCACGCGCGCCGAAATTGACGACAAAGGCAGACGTGACCTGCAGCGGGTCCTCACGACAGCATCGCAGAAGATATCGCGGCAGTTCACGATCGCAAAACCGGGTGATCCAGCTGTGGATCCGAGCAGCGACTCATTCGACCTTCCTCAGTTCTTGAAGACCTATAGGAAGCAACTAGAGAATCAAGGCATCGAACTGAAGCAACTCTCCGTGGTCTACAAGAATCTAAATGTTTTTGGTTCCGGCAAGGCACTGCAGCTGCAAAAGACCGTCACAGACATCTTCCTGGCGCCTTTCCGCGCCCGCGAGTACCTGAATTTCGGCAAGACAGATCGCAAGCAAATTCTACATTCTTTTGACGGAATCATTAAGACTGGGGAGATGTGTGTCGTCCTAGGACGCCCAGGGAGCGGTTGCAGTACCTTACTAAAGGCATTGACCGGCGAACTGCATGGACTAGAGACCGACAAGAGCGAGATCCACTACAATGGTATCCCGCAACAGAAAATGATGAAGGAGTTCAAGGGCGAGACTGTGTATAACCAGGAAGTCGACAAGCACTTTCCACATTTGACGGTGGGGCAAACGCTGGAATTCGCTGCGGTATGTACCTTTGCATGTTTTACTAGTCTTGGGTACTCTTGACGTTCTCCGCCTACTTTTCGGGACGCCACATGGACTCGGAAAGTTTGGTAGAGTACTCCACGATTACACAAGACATCCATGACTGATGATGATTTACTAACGAGTTTGCTATTCTAGGCAGTTCGAACGCCATCCAACCGCCCGATGGAGGCGTCTCGACAAGAATTCGCCCGGTTCGTGGCGAAAGTTGTTATGGCTATCCTTGGGTTATCGCACACATATAATACGAAAGTAGGAAACGACTTTGTCCGAGGCGTGTCTGGTGGCGAGAGGAAGCGGGTCTCAGTGGCAGAGATGCTGCTCGCGGGCGCCCCATTTGCAGCATGGGACAATTCCACACGGGGTCTTGACTCAGCAACCGCCCTGAAATTCGTCAAGTCACTTCGAGTTGGTTCCGACCTAACTGGTGGCGCCGCAGCCATTGCAATATACCAAGCCAGCCAGAGCGTTTACGACTGCTTTGATAAAGCCACGGTTCTCTACGAAGGTCGCCAGATCTATTTCGGACCCGCTAATATGGCCAAGGGCTTCTTCGAGCGCCAAGGATGGCACTCTCCTCCCCGCCAGACCACGGGTGACTTCTTGACAGCTGTTACGAACCCTCAGGAGCGCCAGCCTAGGAATGGTATGGAGAACAAGGTCCCTCGTACCCCCGAAGAGTTTGAGAAGTACTGGCGCGACTCGCCTGAGTACCAGAACCTACTAGGCGAGATCAAGGTCTTCGAAGAGGAATTCCCTGTCAACGAGCAAGGGACTCTCGAACACCTAAGAAGACAGAAGAACTACATTCAGGCCAAACATGCCCGCCCTAAATCACCATATCTCATAAGTATTCCTATGCAGGTTAAACTGAACGTCCGAAGGGCGTATCAGCGGATATGGGGCGACGTTGCTTCAACTGCTACCCAAGCCAGTCTTAGTCTAATCGTCGCTCTTGTCGTTGGTTCCATGTATTTTGGCCACTCTGAAGGGTCAGCTTCATTTCAGGGACGAGGAGCCATCCTGTTCCTGGCCATTCTCTTCAACGCACTTGTGTCCATCGGTGAGATTTCTGGGCTCTATTCGCAACGGGCGATCGTCGAAAAACACAACTCGTACAAATTCTACCATCCGGCCACGGAGGCAATCGCCGGTATTGTCGCGGACATACCGGTCAAGTTCATCCAGGCCACCGTGTTCGATATCGTGTTGTACTTCCTGGGCCGGTTACGCTATACTGCCGGTCAATTCTTCATCTTCTTCATCGTCACCTACATGTCTACGTTTATCATGGCAGCCATCTTTCGAACTACTGCTGCTGTTACGAAGACTGCGTCGCAGGCAATGGCTGGTGCAGGTGTGCTTGTACTCGTGCTTGTCATCTATACCGGCTTCGTCATTCGTATTCCGGAGATGCCTGTCTACTTCGGATGGCTACGACATATCAACCCCATATTTTACGCGTTCGAAATCTTGTTGGCGAATGAGTTTCATGGGGTAAACTTTCCGTGCGACAGATTCGTTCCCCAGGGTCCGCAATACCCCCAAAATGGCAACAGCTTCATCTGCAACACGCAAGGTGCGGTTGCTGGTCAGGCATTTGTCTCTGGCGACCGCTTCATCGAGGTCTCGTACCAGTATAGCTGGTCTCACGTCTGGAGGAATTTTGGCATTCTCTGGGCGTTCCTGATCTTCTTCATGGCCACTTACTTCATTGCCGTTGAGATCAATTCTTCCAGCTCCAACACGGCAGAGAAGCTCGTCTTCCAGCGCGGTCACGTTCCAGCGTATATGCTGAAAGACAGAAAAGGCTCTTCCGATGAGGAGACCGACGGCACAGCTAGGCCAGGAGAAGAAGAGAAAGCTGGTGACGTCAGCGCCATTGAGGAGCAGAAAGGCATCCTTACCTGGAGAAATGTGGTCTACGATATCGAAATCAAGGGCGAGCCCAGACGTCTGCTAGATCATGTCTCAGGCTATGTAAAACCGGGTACCATGACAGCGTTGATGGGCGTTAGCGGAGCTGGTAAAACGACTCTTCTGGACGCGCTCGCGCAACGGACTACCATGGGTGTGATCACGGGCGACATGTTTGTCAACGGGGCGCCGTTGGATTCCGCGTTCCAACGATCAACTGGCTATGTTCAGCAACAGTAAGTCCCAATATTACATCTGTTATCGGCACGAAGTGCTGACCGTATCAGGGATCTCCACCTTGAGACTTCGACCGTGCGAGAAGCACTCCGCTTTAGCGCCATACTTCGACAACCCAAGTCCGTTAGCAGGCAGGAAAAGTATGCATACGTCGAGGAAGTGATCAAGATGTTGAACATGTCCGACTTTTCCAACGCTGTTGTTGGTGTTCCTGGTGAGGGTCTTAACGTGGAACAAAGGAAGCGATTGACCATAGGTGTGGAATTGGCAGCCAGGCCGAAGCTTTTACTCTTTTTGGATGAGCCGACGTCTGGTCTCGACAGCCAGGTATGTATCCTCTACCGCAGCGTGACTAGCCTCGATGCTTTTTATGGCTTCAGTTGGAAACAAAAGGGCATTGAAGACTTTCTCGGTTCTCTAGTTGTGTCGCGCTTTTGCTAATACTAGCGTAGTCTTCATGGTCCATTATAGCCTTTCTTCGGGAACTTGCCTCCGCTGGCCAAGCCATCCTTTGCACCATCCATCAGCCAAGCGCAATCCTGTTCCAAGAGTTCGACCGTCTGTTGTTTCTCGCACGCGGTGGAAGAACTGTGTACTTCGGCGAACTCGGCGAAAACTCGCAAACCCTCCTGCATTATTTCGAAAACAACGGCGCAAGAAAATGCGGCGCTGATGAAAACCCTGCCGAGTACATGCTGGAGATCGTAAATCAGATCAAGAACGAAAACGGGCAGGACTGGTTCGACGTCTGGAATGGCAGCGAGCAGGCCAAAGGCGTACAGCGCCAGATCGATGCCATCCATGTGGAAAAGCAGCACGAGAAACTCGACATTGCCAAAGAGACCGGTGGCGGGGAATTTGCCATGCCGTTAACCGCGCAGATCTGGGAGTGCACATACCGCGCCTTCCAACAATACTGGAGAATGCCTTCTTACGTACTCGCGAAAATGGGTCTTTGCACCGTCGCCGGCTTGTTCATTGGGTTCTCTTTCTTCCAAGCCAATTCCTCACAAGCAGGCATGCAGACGATCATCTTCGCTGTCTTTATGCTGACTACCATTTTCTCCTCGCTGGTGCAGCAAATCCAACCGCTCTTCATCACCCAACGTTCCCTCTACGAATCACGCGAGCGTCCATCAAAAGCATACTCCTGGATCGCCTTCATGATCGCCAACGTCATCGTCGAGCTGCCATACGGCGTTTTCGCTGGAATACTCATGTTCGCCTCGTTCTACTACCCCGTTGTCGGCGCGTCCCAATCCTCAGGACGGCAGGGTCTTGTCCTCATGTTCTCCATCCAGCTCCTCATATACACGTCCACCTTCGCAGACATGACCGTCGCCGCGCTGCCCAATGCCGAAACAGCATCGGGTATCGTCTCCCTCCTCACACTCATGAGTCTCCTTTTCAACGGCGTGATGCAGCCTGCAAGTCAACTTCCTGGGTTTTGGCGCTTCATGTACCGCGCTTCGCCGTTCACGTACTGGGTGGGCGGCGTCGTGTCGACGATGCTAGCAGGCCGACCCGTCACATGCTCCACGAGCGAAGTCTCCGTTTTCGATCCTCCTGCCGGCCAAACGTGCGGTGCATACTTGCAAACCTACGCGTCCATGGCTGGCGGTGCGATCCAGAACCCCGACGCTACATCTGCCTGCCACTACTGCTCGCTCAAGAATGCGGACCAGTTCCTCGCTGGCAGCTCCATTTACTACGGCGAGCGCTGGCGCAACTTCGGTTTGTTGTTTGTGTACATTATCTTCAATGTCTTCATCGCCGTGTTGACGTACTATTTGTTCCGTGTGGCGAATCTGAGTTCGCTTACGGCTAAGTTGCATAGGACGAAGAAGGGAGCCAAGGCCAAGCACGGTGCTGACAAGGCCGTTGACGGTGCTGCGGCCGCTGTTCAGCAGGCTGGACATACTGGGAATAGAAGCGGAGAAAAGGACGCAGGGACTGCTTGATACGCTTGTGTAAGATTCTAGGTTGGGGTCATTCAAAAAGGTTGTATGAGTGGTATATTGTACGTTGTATCATACGCACAAGCGGCGTGTGTTAATAGCTTCTCTCGTTTGATAGTATAATTCAAGGCATGACTTCTAATTTGCCTTCTTGCAAGAGCTAGTATACCCCCCTTCAAAAACTTATCACTCCTATGTGATTACCGACTAGGCTCCATCAGCTATCGGTAACGTGAGCTACGAGTCTTTAGTACTCTGCCCTCACTAGGTAAGGTTCGCCCTCCGCGTTACGTAAGGTGACAAGTATCCAAAGCACTAGATCTTCATCTCAATTTCAGGGACACGGAGGCACGAGCATTGTTGTAGTCAAGAGTGGACGGAATATCAAAATGCTGAGCAAATTTTTGGTCTTCTTACGGACCTACTCTATCAGAATATGCTATCATACATGTCTATGGTGTGCCGAATGCACGGGGTATCAAAGAAACGTGACCAAAGTCGTCTATATGCTCGCTGGACATTGAAAAAAAAGGGTTCTATGATATGCGTGACATGCTATTAGCTTTGCGTTGAATACAAATGGAGCTGATCGTGCATCTGCACGGAGTTTCGGAACTGCTGGGGCGGTTGCTGAGGCATCATGTGCTGTTGAAGTTGTTGTGGGTTGTGTTGTTGAGAATGACGGATGCCCATTGCGGCAACAGGGTTTCGTATCGCGTAGTCGGCACCTCCACCACCCAGTTCAGGTGTGCTCATATGTGAAGAAGCCCTTGAGTGGGTGGAGCTGTTTCGTGAGCTGCCTAGACGACTTCCAATTTTGTGTAGTGGCTTCGAAATAATTTGACCAAATGACGGACGCTCATAATACTGTGACTCCTCAAATTGGGGCGCGGCGTCGAAGTAGCTTGGGTAACACCACCCTAGTGGATTGGCGGGAGGTTTTGGTTCTTCGGCGTAATCGTGTTGTTGTAGATGGGGTTGCTGTTCATGGTCCATGACGGGCGTGTGGGGGTGAGGCACGTTCATGGCTTGTGTACTTATAGGTGGTAGGTCGGGTATAGCCGGCTGCGCAACGTCAAGGAAATCGCCAGGGTCAACGTCCATGTAACTAATGCGACGGCCGGCTGTATCGTCAGCTGGTGATTGTGATTCTATGAATGGCGAAGACCCGCAGTCGTAGTCGGGAACGTGGGACATAGTACTGCTGATTCGGAGTAACGCAGCGTTGAGGGCTGCGAGTCGACTTCGGCAAAGTTGTGGGTTAGAGTTTCCAATGAGTATGTGCATGCGCTGCTCGCGCGACAGCTTGTCGACATGCGGTACTGAATCTCTGCTCGGAGTGACAAAGCCAAATGGCAGTTGCTGGTGAACAGGGTCCAGCTGAATGTCAGCACGTAGACTCAAAGCAGTAATGAGCACTTCTTCCCGGCTCGGTCTGAGATCGCAGCATTGAAGCTTCTGTCGGAGGATCCTCGAGTTGTCAGGACACCAGCTAATCTGTGATCGACTTTCTCGCAGCCTCTCATCCAAGCAGGCTACCAGCTCTTTCCAAGTATCATGCAGCGCTTCCTGTCGTATCAGATTGCGAATCACATTCGAGTACTTCCATTGATCGAACATGGCGCCATTCTTCATGTGCTTCGCTACGTGGTCACATCTTTCATCCCATCCGATGCTAACCTCTTTACACTTATTGAACCCACAGCCAAATACTCTTCTCGGGAGAAGGGTGATTCCGATGTCTGTGAGAGACGGCAAGGGTCGCCCTGAATGGTAGCGCTGGTGATGTTTGATGAAGTCTTTCGGACGGTCGAAAATGCGGTTACAGCCATTCACTATACACGGCCAGTCTTCACCAGTTTCATGCATTCTCATTTCGTGTTTCTTCCAGTCAGACTTTGCTTTGAAAGTCTTTTGTGATTTTTGCTCTGCGCAATACGTGCAAAACATGTACGGCTCACCAGGTTGACCTTGTGACTTGTCATCGGGGAGCAGAATGGGCGATGCGACACTAATATCGTCGGTTGGAGTGAAACTTGGTTCGATTTTCAGGTCAAGTGGACTGCTAACTTCCGAAGAAGGGGTCAATACAGCAGGCACGGGCCGCGTTGGATCAAGTCCGGCTGGATACGAACGCGGCTCTGCTCGCCTCATTCTTGACCGCGAGGAAGTCGACGAGGCAATGGAAGGAGCAAAGTCGCTGCTGCCCGTCGCCGACGAGAAGGTGGATGCAATCGAAAGCCGAGATCGCCATGATGATGCCGACGAAGATGTTGTGTTGGAACTAGTCGTCGTTGTGGACATGAAAGATGAAGCAACGGAGTTACGACCTAGGTCTTGTTAGCTCGTTAAGTCCGGGAAGAAGCGGTAGACGTACGTGACTCAAGTGCTTGCGAGAACATTCTCTGAATTAGATGTGGAGGGTGTCTTGCCAGTAGAGCGTCAATGTGTCGCATGGACTCCTCCGGGATGTCTAGATTCTCCTCCATCTTGGCGAGGTACCCGTGGGTTTAGCTGGAATGGCGAAGCTGACAAACGACTCTTAACATGCCAACGAGAGCCCTCATGCGAACACCAGCAACTGAAAACGACCGCAGAACAAAAGTACACAGCGCAAAGGAAGGTGAGGAAGGGTATCCGGGGACCGCCACGAACGTAGGGGCGAAGGAGTGGATGAACGTCTGTCCGGGCAGGCACCAGGTGCTGTTGGTGCGACAGGTTGTTATACAAGTGTGGGATCACCTCACCCAAGATTGCATGGGCAGCGGGGAGGGCGGGATAGGAATTGTTCTGGAAAAGGCGTGGAAGGCGTGGACGAGAACTAAAATTGAGTGCAAGCCGCAGGAGCGCTCGAGCACGTTGTCGACATGACCACCACCCTGGCTTCCACCTGAAAGTTGGGGCAAGGCTGAGGACCCTACCGCATGCCAAGTTGCAGCGCGTTTGATCCGCTCAAGGTCGCGCAGAGGCTGAGGAGAAGGAGACGACGGGATGTGGCAGCATGAGGATTGAAGGCAAGATGGTGGGCAAAAAAAAATCTTTGCGCGACAGGCTGTTAAAAGCGTTGATCGCTGCGGTTCGAAGGGTTCGTCTGAAGGCTTGCCAGCGATGCGCGTCCTGCGAAGCGATGAGTCGCACAGGCCACTGGTGAGAATAGCAATAACCTATCATAGCTACGGTACCGCACATTCGCAACGGACGATTCGGCCTGCATGCCCCTTACAGGGCATAGCGTTGCTGGTACCTGGATGACGCACTGGAGAACGCACCTCGAAGCGTGCTGGCGCCGTGATGAGTGACATAGGTGCGGGACGTGATCGGAGCTGTTACAGTACTTGGTCGGCCTGCCAAGTACCGGCAGTGCCTGGCTCGAAGAAGCTGTCGACGAACCTGGTCGCGCGCTGCGGTTGTCGGGGAACTGGTGGAGGACGCTCTGGCAATCTCGTAGAAGCAATCAGGAGTCGAGCTCCAAGCCCACTACGGGGAACTTGAGACTGTGGCTGGCAGGACGCGATGCTGACAGCAGCAGCACAGGCCAGCTGCATAGGATTGTCGCAACTGGCAAATGACTGCCATGAGACTCCCTGCTGCTCGCGTCTCGAATTCGCCATCGCAGGAGCGCGCGTCGCAACTGGGCGATCATGGCATCACCGACTCGCGCACTGTAGAGAGGCTGGAGGTAAACCTACCACTAGTGTAAGAAGAAATGTAACGACGCGGAACGCCTCCAGAAGGGGAAGGCGTGGGCCGGTTAAATGCCTAGTCGCGAGATAAGAATCGCAGCCTTTACGCTTCGAATAAGGGCTTGATGATGCTGCAATCAAAAGCGTAATTGATGGTGCGCGGCGTTAGCAAGGCGAGCAATATCAGGGCAGTAGCAGGGAAAGAAGCGGAGGAAATCAGCTGAGCTCATCAGCAAAGCGACAAGCATGGAAAAAGTAAGCGAAGAAAAAAAGAGCGATGTGAGCGATGCGTGCAACGGTTCTGACTCGGTGGTTGATGCCCAGGTGGTTGACGGGCCAACTCTGACGTCACGTGGGCGCTACTGTAGGAAGTGCCGTCTTCGCATACCTCCATTAGGACTGTGGATACAGCGTTGTGCCTAAGGGCGACGACGCAGGCCAGTAGTGATAGGATATGGGAAATAGCTTGGCGTGCTAATGGGTGGTTTTGGCCACCTCCAAACCCAGGTGTTCGGTTGACAGCTTGCGGGATGGCGTGGTACGTCTTGGTGTGTCTTGTTGCCACATTATAAACTTTCAAGTTGAAACGACTGCAGCCATGTACTTAACCGAAGTCGCGATATGGTGGCGAGATAGAGAAGCATGAGTTGGTGCCTCGGATGTTTAGGCGCATTAAGTCTAGTCTGTGAAAGACTATAACCCGTCGCCTCAGCACACTACACTACCTAGCCTGCTATCTCAATTCAACTAGAAGCACGCAACGTTTTGAGACCATAACACCTTGATACTCTGCCGGACATCCGAGTGTTCCGTCAGTGCTAGTAAGTTAGTACTATGCACACCACTACGATTTTCTGTGACGATTTTCTGAGTGCCCTGCTTGAGCCTTGACAACATCATTTTAACAACATTAGCATCTTATGCATACTGGGATCGTCAAGGTAATATGTGCTACTGATCATCCCGATGCCGTCATGTTGCTCTAGCTCGAGTTGCAGTAAGCTAGGAATAACTTCTTTTGCCGCATACAAATCTCCATCACTCCCGAGAACCACTTGTTCATGGCGCACCCTGCAGGCTACAATGCCCCCAACATAGAAAGTCTTCACGACACTAATCCACTGAACCCCTTCGGGCGATGATATCGGGATGAGGAGGTTTCGACTCGCATCCAGAAGAAGGCAGTCATCTTAATAGCATATCAGAGAGCAGTCTATGCAAGAGGAGGAAATGGTTGAATGTTCATCATGAGGTCATTAAGCTATAAGATTCTAATCATACAGCATTCGTCTCAATTAATAGCCCCCAACAACGGTAAAGCTCTGGTGGACCTTCAAGTCCCGGCTGCTGAAGCCAACCCATATCGTAAACTGCCCCTCAGGAATTACCCATTGCTGGCTGATGATATCCCAGTAGCTTAGATCCCTACGCATCAGCTCGAAGCCAACGGTCTGTGATTCACCCTTCTCAAGATGCACCTTTTCAAATCCACGCAGTTGTCGAATGGGAGTACCAGCCGGCGCTGAGGAAGGGAGTCCGACATACAACTGGGGAACGGCGGCTCCTGCTACTTCTCCGGTGTTGGAGACGGATACACTGACGTTGTAGATATGAACCCAGAGCGCGGGGTTGCCTCCAGGTTCGATGGGGAGTTGTTCCGGGAAAGAGGTGATGTTGCTCTCAATAGGCGAGCTTTGCAAGTCTGAGATCTGGAAGGTGGTGTAGGAGAGACCGAAACCAAACTCATAACGCACACTGATGTTCTTGGCGTCGAAGTAGCGATAGTCAATCTCAAGCTTCTCGTCAAAGTTCGACTGCCAGTCATCGAAGCCGGTCGTGTTAATTGCGGTTGTTGGTGGTGCGTTGTAGTCAGTACCATTCAGGGCGATGGTGTATGGTAGATGGCCACTGGGATTAACATCCCCGTAAAGCACGTCAACCAAAGAGTGGCCACTTTCTTGACCGGGGTAATGAGCGGCAAGGATAGCAGTCACATTGGGATGGTCCGACCAAGGAAGGGTGTTCACTCCGGATGAGTGGGTAACAACAACTGTGTTGTTGCATGCCGCTGCAACTGCTTCAACGACACCGTTCCCATTGAAGTCCACTGAGAGATGAGCGCGGTCTTCTGCTTCCTGAGCCCACGTCTTCAGCATAACGATGCAAACGTCTGGGACGGCACGCGGAATCAACAAACTAGAGACATCTGCCTTAGCAATCAGAGTATTGTTGAGCCAGTAGTGGACGAGTCCACCGTCTTGAGCCGCACGGTCCTGGAGTGCTCGCAGAGGGGTGATCAGGTAGCTGAACTGACCGGTGCCGGAGCCACCACCAGCAGCAAGCGTTCCGTATTCATAAACGTCCTGGTTGAGAACACTGCTCTGGGTGGGATCGCTGGCATCGTTTCCAAAAACAGCGATATTCCTGGGAGCCTTGAGTGGGAGGGCGCCGTCCTTGTTCTTCAGCAGAACGCTACCAGCGGCACCATGCTTGCGAATGAGCGCGCCATGGTCACCACGAACGTCGCGGCTCCGCTCACCTGTCAAATTAAACTCGCGAGTCCAATTGCTCCGGGGTGAGAACACATTGAGATCGGCGCTCGAAGGGTCGACGGTTGGGAAGGCCTGATCTTGCCCAAGGTGGAAATAAGGTGTCATAATCCGGATAATCATATCGTCGATGCGAGAAAGCGTTCCGTTGTTGACAGCAAGTGTTATATTGCCCCCAAAGAAAGACGGCTTTTGGAAGAGTGTTCCATACGGACCAAGTCCACCAGGCATATTCATGTCCAGACCTGCTTCAATCGCAGCAACTCCAGTATGTGTAGCGCCCCAGTCTGAAACGACGTAACCTTGGAATCCAAGCTCAGTCTTGAGAAGACCGTTCTGACTCTTGCTATTCTGGCAGCCGTACGAGCCGTTGAGTCGCTGATAAGAGCACATGAATGAAGCAACCTTGGCCTTGGCAGCATTAGCGAATGGCCACATGTAGAGTTCCTAATTACAAAGTCAGTAACAAGCCAGATGGATTTAATATCATATACTGACATGGATGGTGCGGTCATCAATATTAGATGAGACAGCGTTTGAAAGCTTGGTAGTCTTGACCTTGGTGTCATAGACGGGATTCCGTTGAATCTCTTGCTCATTTCCAATCCAGTGCTTTGCACAAGCTTGCACGCCTGCGTCTTGGTGGCCATTGATTGTCAATTCCATTGCAACGCCGCTGAGATAGGGATCAGAGCTGAACCCCTCCCAGTTGCGGCCAGCATAAGCAGAGCGACCAAGAGGTCCTGCAACAGGACCTAGAGCGACGTGCGAGCCTTTGGCCTTGAACTCACGACCCATTGCCAAACCACGCTGATAAATGATGTCTTTGTCCCATGTTGCGCCAGCTGTGACATGTGTTAGCCAGGAGGGCTTCGAGGTATTTTGCGAAAGCTAGCCAAATTCTGATGCAGTATTGAAGTAGATCAGCCTTACCTGAGACACCTGCGGAGAACACGCTTGCGTAGTCAGCAACACGGATACCAAGAGGTCCATCTTGAAGACACAGACCGCTGAAGCCAAGACGAGGGATAGCTACGATGTTGCCAACGCAGGGCCCTGCTTGGCCAGTCACCATGTCGGCCTTCTCCTCGGTCGTAAGTTGAGCTACAAAGGCTTTTGCCTTCTCAAGGGCACCTTCCCATCCGCCCACGCCGGTGATGTTTGCTTTCAGACGTCAGTATACATGGACCTGATCTCTGAACCAAGCTAGGATAAAGACTTACGTGAGGGATACACAGGTGGCGAAGAACCATACTCTGACAAGATGACCGTGTCTAGGGGTTGTACATATTGAAATGCAGTCTCATCCCGTGCACCACCACCAAAGTCCTGGGCTTGAACTGCGCTCAGCAGTGCAGAGCCCGAAAGCAAGACCGACAAAAATGAAGCAGCCATGATTCGTTCTTGATAGAGTTCGAAAGGTCTGAACTACGGATATTCTAAGGAGCCACCACAGTGAAGCTTATATACCCAACATTTGCTTCGTTCCAAGGCATCCGGATCGGCAACTAACATCCAAACTTTTCACAAGTTCCCACAACATGGTCAATCCATCCACTACCGAAGTTTGCCCGTTGACTGCCGAGTGGAAGCCCCATGGGGCTTGCAACGTCATTCTCATGAGTGGAGAAGTATCGCCAAGACGCCCGTCGGGAACTTGCGTGCGCCTCGTCAATTTCGCGTGGAACTTGTACATCCTGGTAGACGGTTTGAATTGTGGTATCCGTCTTTATCTAGACGGTAGGATCAACAGACTCAGCGCCATGTGTCGATTGAGTCTGAAGTTGGCCTAGGACAGAATCATCGATTGACGAACCTACACTTACGTCGACCTACAACTACAACTATCTCCCAGCAATCCCGCCCAGGCATTTTATTAAGCCCGGACCTTGATATCCGCCTTAGCACTCCACACATATACCGTCACGATTCAGTCAAGCCGGAATCAAGGCTCATCATGACAACGTAGCCAGCTCTGCCACTCACGCGCGCCGCGGCATTTTGAACACGAGCGGGGCACGTTGAATGTTCAAGCGCCGAAGGAAATACCGGACGGTCCACTGATAACGTGATGAGGCTCATGGTTGAAAGAGATTTACCTCTAGAGTAAGCGTCGGCGGTTGTGTTAATATTCGGACGACGCTAAACTTAAAGACGGTAAGCTGCCGCTTTTTCACAGCACTTTCTCCACAAGTGCTCGGTCCGATGCTCCACTTAAAAATCCCCCGGATACACCAGCTTCCCCGCAGGCATTTCTGGCCGAAGTTTGCCCTGTTGATGGGCGGGGATCTTCGGGTCATTAGTTGACGACGAGAAAATTGGTTTTGGCAGTGGTTCGACTGACGTAGGCGCGATTGTCCGAAGTTCGGCCACGCAAGTAGCAGGATCGAAGCCGATCGTATCAAGCTCGTACGTTAAAATTTAGTTGCACCCAACAAAAGGTCCTGTATCTAATCGCTGTCCTAACTTGGTCTCGTTCCATTATATACGAGCTATGCAAGGTTTGTGACTTCCGTCGTCTATGCTGAGTTCAAGCTCCCCAATGACCTCAATACGTTCTCGATGCTCTATTTGACAAATGTGGAAGAGAAGATATACCGGTACCCTACTACAAAGCTACCGGGACGTCTTGAGTGAATGCTCCTTTTTGAGCTCATTTCCTAAGAATCTCGACTCGAAGCACGAGGTTCCCCCATCCAAAACCTCACTTTCGATTCTTTTTGGGGATTTTGGAAACGTAGTTATTGGCTAGCTTCATCAAAGAAACCGGCTTGTGTGGAACGAGTATTTACAACGACGTTGGAAACCAGTTCGGCAAAGGCGTCCTATAGGTCACACGAACGGGAAGATGTACAGGGAATCCTGGATCATGGGATCATTTCAAATCATGCCAACTCTGCACTCAAGCTAATAGCATTTTTACGGAAGCGTTATGCCCAGACCATCCTCTAGACATGTCATTCAGCACTACCTTAGCTTGGCAATTCGACATGAGTGCTGTCCAGTCCCTGCTTAAAGATGATTGTATTGTTCAGCACGGTACTGAGATCTGAAAAGGCTTCACATGACTAAAATAGCAGGTTGCAAACGGAGAAACCAGAAAGAACTAGTTGGGACTTAGCGACCAAGGGCCCTAGAGTCAAACTTCATCGCGATACAAATAAGGACGCGAAGGCCACCCGGGTCCATTAATAGCGAACACATCGAGAACCTTGAAGGGAAGCGAAGAAGTTGATGGGGTGATATGCCAATCGAATTACGATCGACAACTCTAGGTGCACTGACTATAGTAATCTCCATTGGCTGTGCACGCAGACCCACTCTCGCACACCGTACACCCACTAAAATTCTTACCACCACATTGCCCGTACTTCTTCACCGGTGCACAAGTCGGTTGCGTGGGCTTCGGCGTCGAACTAGTGACCAAAGTTGTAGGCACCGGCGCTGGTGCAGGATCTGTACCAGGAGCAGGCGCATTACCCGTGCCATCCCACACAGCAGGGCCTGGAATGGGATAGGTAGTAGCTTTCTTGGCTTCCTCAGAGTCAATGTTGAAAGCAACACCTGGGTCAGTGGCACTGTAAGCCCCAGGGAAGGAAACGAGGGCGGAAGATGGAGGAGCAATGGTGCCAGATCCAGTAACGGTGAACTGGGCACATTCGGGGTAAACTGAAATGTGTCAGCTGAAGTTACACAATGCAAAGGTAATTCGACGAACATTGCGGGTTGTCCTTCTGGTGTAGAGCGAGGAGCTCATGTCGAATAAGATACTCCCCTGGCGCCAGAGTAGCCGGAATCGTGACGGTTGCCTCAAGAGTATCCACAAGTGAGTCCCCTGCCCATATACCCGCGTTTTGAGTGCCAGATATTAGACCTTGATGGTAGATCTTGACTGTACGATGGCTTGGATCAGCATATCAATATGGCTAAAGGGCAGTCCTAACGTACACCACACCTTTCCAGCTCCATCCCATCCATTGCAATCTGCACTAGGACACTTGGCCATATAAACCATTATAGATGCAGGCCGATGTGTCCATTGCTTCCAGTGAGCCTTCAGCTTCTCGCCTGCGGCGACAGTACCCGTAACACCGCTGCCAAGGATGCCAGCATTATTGCAACGGATGTTGACCGACTGTAGTTTTTTGTCAGCGTTTTAGACATTCATTCGTTTGAAACGCTCCTACCGAGAGGTCCTTGATCAGGAGTGGATCGTAGGAGGAATACTGGCGTTGTATAGTCTTCTGGCCGGCTGCGGAATTGTAAGGTGACCACCTAAAGCACGTTAGATCTCGTTGCTTTTTAGTTCCTGTTTAAGAAAGTTTACCCTTGATATGTAGTGGTGCCCACGGTATATACGTCTACGCCACCATGCGCCGCTGAAGTCGCAAGCAGTGATGCAGCAGCTGTAAATGCTGTGGCGAATCTCATGTTAACTCTTTCTCAGTAATTATACAATATTGAAGAAGGGGAAGAATGGCACGATATCTAAACGCCGCGTAAGAAGCAGTAGAGCGCTCATAGATATACCCGCCATCCACCCCTAAGAACATTCCAGGCACACCCCTCGTGACGACTCCGGATATTATCTCGCTTCCAGATACCAAATCTCCACTTCCTAGTGACATCAAAGTCCGCACATCTTGGTTCTATGCTGAATCAGTTGTAGCCGTACGAGACCCTGGATCCTGGACGTGTGTATAGGGCCTGTGTAACCGGGCTAGATGGGACCAAAAATATATGAATTTTAAAAAGGTCCAATAGTAAAGCAAGGCTTGCATGAAAGGCGTCGGCCGTTTGGATGGCCCGACGGACGAGATCACCGCTGTGAAGATTTATAGATGAATGCGCAGGGATGTATATATCCGGAGCACTTCATCCGCGGGGAAATTGGCAACGTGCCCATGACCTCAATGCTTACTATATGAGGTGTGTGTCATCGATATATGATAGAAAACTCAATTGACGACCAGTGATGCTTAGTAGAGCGATGCTTGACGTTTCCAAAGTCGCGGTTGACGGTCAGGCAATCTTGGCTCTACAAGAGACCCCTGAGAAACGACGAAATTTCGAAAGGAGAATCGTTGTAGCTGGCCTGGAACATATCGACACCTCCTTTTAGGGCTGAGCTTATGGCTGGCGACCGTCTCGAAGCCTATCCTGGAAGAATCAATGTAATCACAAACATCTCCGTACTCAAAGTACTTTCATAGAACCAGCGATAGCTCAACTAGGGCGTAGGCGCTTTGAAAATCCTCTTAACAGCCACCGGGGAATTGCATGAAGGCGCTCGCTAACGCGCAAAGTCGTCGCACCTCGTCATGTCGCCAATCCTTTGGCTGCACGACTTTTCATCATCCCTGCTTTTGCGGAGAAGCCCTGGTTAACCCACAGGTCAAGCACGTTGATCAGGAAAGAAACCGGGTATAACCCCTTAGCTTTGTAAGTCCGTGTACGTGCGTCCCCGGATCTGGCTGGTGTCTGCACTACGAAGGCCTTGAACAGATATTAAGGTTTTGCCTAAAGAGACGTCGTCCATCGCGACCGATAGCTTGGTGGCATGTGAAGTGAGTAGCGCTGCTCATGACTTGAGGGTTAGGGAGGACTTGGAGCCGAGATAGTCGCTTGATTCGGAAATAGATTGTTCAATAGTGCAATGCAATGATACCCCTCGTGAGATAAGTATGCCTAAAAATATAACGTCAGTGGAGTAATTCGGGTTGTTTGGAGAGGGGCAAGAAGCAAGTGTCTCAATCTTAGCATTTGTGGGTAGCATGCCAGCTGACTAATTGAGCCGTTCTCCTCTCGCTACTACTATTGCTCTGAGCTACTCTTGGATCACTCCACAAGGCTTGAGTAAGTTGGAGTTTAAAGAGAAAACACTTTTGTTCACTACCTTGTCCCATCGACTTTTTCCTGCTAATAGATACACGATGTGGTCCATAAATTGCCAGTAAATGTTCGTGGTCCAGTTCCATGTTGCCGTGAAGAATGCATGTGAGAATCAGAAAATGGGAATGGGAGCGAAGAATGAAATAAGAGTAGTACTGCCGTTACGCCAGTTCCTAGCCTTCCGCTCGGTGGCTCACCATACCCACTGTGGTGTAAGCGCCGTGAACAGGTCACCTTTCAAAAGCCAGTCTCGTCGGGTGAAGTTTCCCGTCGTCTTTGTGTGGAAGTCATCGCATCGAGTAGGCGGAATGCGCCGTTACTTGAGATATTGTTCGGGAGCGCGCGATTGGAGAGCGACCAACAAGTCGTAGAAGTCCTTCCTCCAGTCCACGCACTGGAGGTACTCCCACCAGAGACGCAACGCCGGCGGATCATCTGCATCGGCCTGGACCAGTTAGCAATAATACTTGACTTCTCAATGTGTAGTCGACTTACGCGCTCGAAAGCCTTCATAATGAAGTCCTCCTTGATCATGGAGACCCTCATATTGGCCTCGCGCTCCCACTCACGAAGCTGTTCTGCGTATTTCTTGACATCTTTGATCATCTTTTCATTGAGTTCCACTTCTTTCACGGAGTTGACTGTTGCCTCTTCGTCCAGAGCAGCATAAAGGCGTCCTTCATACTCAGGTTTCTTGAAAAGGTGCCTTTTGAGCTCCTCGGTGACCCACTGCTCTCGACCAGTCGCAGTGAGCTCGGTAGCCCAGTACTCCTTGATGTGCTGAGGTACTTTGGCTATCATTGTGTCGTGATCGAGCTTGTCGGACCACCGTGTCTGCGAATAGTTGCCGAAGTAGACATAACGATTGCCCACCATGATGAACATGGGTACGTCCTCGTAAGAACTAGAGCCTTCAGCAATCAAATCACCAAACTCTTCCTCTGGTGCCTTGTTGAAGAACGCGGTAAGCTTAGCGCCGTGCTCGCCTGGCTCTTTGGGCAGGAAGGGTTCAGTCTTTGGATCAAGGAGGTAGTATGTGCGATTCTTCAAGATGCATGGCCCCTGCCCTTTGACGAACCTCAGTCCAGGGGACCAAACGACGCCATCGAACGTGTTGTGAATGAAGTCTGGGTGAAAAGTGACCATGTTTACGCTAGGAATATTCGATATAACATCTGAACGAGGCGTGGGTAGCGTGGTCAGGTAGTGTGGCTTCCAGCTTTTGTGTAGGGAAAGCTCTTTCAGGTTGGAAGGCAGGTCGGCCTCAACGACTGTGGTTGGAGACTCCGGAGGGCTCGGTACAGCCGCAGGGACCATTTGCTGCTGGAAGACAGAATCGACTCGACTGTGGGTGACCTGGCGGTTAAATTCCGAAGTATCTGCAATGCGCTTATCGGTCCTGCAACATGATTAGCATTGAGCGCGGCTTGATGAACCATATCCCAGGCTGCCGTATAACTCACCCATTCGTGGGGCTGGTCTCAGCTTTCTTGGCGCGTCGCAAGTGAGGAGGAAGCGACTTGGAGACCGTCCCGTTGCTGGCAACACTCGGAGCCTTTCTATGCGGAGGCATACTGCCATTCATCTTGGTTGTGGCAGTACCATTCCCCTTATGCATGTCAGCACAACTGTTGACTGACCTATGAACCTCACTAGCGATCTTCTCAAGCTCAGACTTGAATTGCATGGCGCTCTGATGGGACCGGGTGAGGTCCGCTTCGTGGAAAGGGCCAATGTTCACCGGCCAGCTACCTTTCTTCAACTTGTCGATGGAGAAAGAGAGGCCGTGATACAACTCTTTGAGAGTATCGACATCGCTACACAGGGTTGCATGCTCCTCCTCCAAGTTGAAGACGCGTGCTTCAAGGTATGGGGAGGGAGGAGCGCTCACCTGATTGGATGTGGTGCTCTTTGGTTGGCCTTCGTTGCCGTTACCTGAAGGAGAAAAGGCATTGACTGTAGGGTTGAAGCGGCGTAGGTCCATGACGGATGGAGAGGAGTGGTTGTATAGATTTGGGTCCCGATTGGACATTAACAGGCCAAACCCGTGGATAGAGGGTGAAGACGCAAACAATAAGCTGAGAGTTTGTCAGCTCTGCAAAGTGAAGCACGGCAGGTGCTAATCTGCATACCTAGGAACCGATGCTATTGTAGTAGTCGAGGCCGAACCCGAAGTGAGAGAGATTTGGAGCTCAGAACTGAGTTGTCAAAACATAAGGCGTAGATAGTGATAGCTAAGCTTGTGTATTGATAGTTGTAATAGGCTGTCAGTAGAGTAGGTCCGCTCGAGAAACTATACTAGAGAAGTGTGGTGGAGAGTCGATTGAAGTTGGAGTGTATGAAGACGGGCTTATATAGGCCAAGGGAGCGAGCTTCGCGGCTCCGGGTTTGGCAGCGGTGATGGAAGACCTTTACATTACACTAAAGGTGAGAGGGCCGGGAACGTTGTAGTCTCCGTCGTTGGTGAGGTGAAGTCCAGCGTGAGCAAAGTCCCTAGATCTAAAGTCAGTCTGATAGCTAGTTCATTGAGTTGGACTTAGTCAACTAATGCGATCACGCGGTTTGTCAACGTGATGCAGTATCGAAAGAGTTAAGCGTCGGTATATGGGATTTGGGAATCATAGACTGAGTGACTTCGAGATTGCTTTTCAATAGGCTTCAGTCTACCCTGCATATTCTGGCAAGCATGCGTCCAACTTGAATTGATGTGAGACATATCTGCTTGTTGATACAAAATATGGGTCGAACCATACTCGAGAAGCTGACCTTTAAGATATGGGCAAGTACCAGAGTGTTTCTCCTTTTGAGACATGTGTATCCTTATCCGAATTACTATTTTCTTCATCTGCGCACCCAACAGGCTATTGCATGAACGCGGTCGGGCTAATGGCAAGATACGGCCGGGGATTCGGCCTCGTTCGGACGGGCTCGAAAACTTTCGTGTAGTGCCGATTCTCGCCTTCAAGTCTTTGCATGCAACCCACTCACTATCATTTATTACGCGAACCATTAGTTTCTCTAGTTTGTTCATTAGGGTCCTTTGCCATCACTTCAGCCTCTCAAGATATCGGCCATCGTTCGGCGAAGTACCCGACGTTTGACAATCGTATTGCCTTCACGAGGCAGCTGGTAGGTTCTGTGTCTATCCAACCCAAAGGCTATCAGTCTACCAAAGTATCGATTTTGCGGGGACGTGGTATGCAGTCGTCTAGAACTCTATCATGAAGGCCACAGATTGCTGCGAAGGTAACCATCGATAGTCGCACCACCAACTAAGCCGTTGAGATTTTCGCCATCTAGGGTGCGTGCCATGTTCTCGCGAGGGCGAGCAAAGTAGTTGCTAGAAGTACGCAATCAGTGCGAATTGACCCTCTAATGGAAGATGGCAGAGGTGCTGGATCGACTTGGTTTGAATCGCAGGAAAAGGAGCTTGACAGTGTTGTGCTGCAGGAACAATCCAGTCTCTGGCTTAGACAGGGAAGGCGCGAGACCCTGCGCGCGGGAAGCGCGAACCAGACGTCACAAATCCTTGGCGGCGAATCTCCTCACGAAATCTCGCATGATCGAGTGGTTCAATTCTCGAGCACCTTATGTTTAAACCTCGCCGACACCATACGACACTCTACAGGCCTCGCATGCGGTTCAAGTGCACCACCCATCCCTTTGATTAGACATATTCGCCTTCAAAATGCCTCCTAAACGCAATCCTGAAGATGTTCCCCAAAACCTCAAGGAGAAGCTACAAAGTCTCCAGGGTACCAATGCCCGCGGCCGTCGCAATGGCGGCGCGAATGCTACGAACGGAAGCAACTTGAAAGAAGTAGACAATGCTTCTACCAATAGTGGGCAGACCTCCAACGACCTGAACTCGTCAAATGTAAGTGATGGCATGATTCAGCCGCGCTGACCCTACAACACTCCATGGCAATCGTCAAGCGCGTATCACTAATACAAACGTACTTTTAATAGATCAAATGGGCCTCACAGGAAGCCTCCGTGCTACAGGGCTACCGGCGAACCTACCGCCTCGACACTCCTTCGGCCTTCAAAAACCCTCTTAGCCATGTGGTGCTCAGCCAAGGCATCGGACGCCTCTCACCTACAATGGCGCGTCCCAAGTCGAAACGACGGATACATAAGGATCAGCTAGCACTAGCAGTGCGGAAGAACTTCAATGCACTCGGTGTCACCGAGAGCGACGTCATTGTCGACTGGCTGTATAAGTCGAAACACCAAGGTATGGCACCCTTGAAACTTTCATCGAGTAGTATATACTGAACTAGGTTATAGACAAAGAGTTCCGAGTCCGGTTCGCACCACAACGGAAATGACCCCGAGTCGTTCTACGCATAACTTCGCTGCACTTTCGGCGTTTTCAACGATACCCCTGATTAGGCATGCTAGCCAACAATCACTATACATTATGGAATATGAGCATTGGGCCGGCGTTTGGGATAAAGAACATACTATGACTTGGGAACGCATAATCCCCTGGCGCGGGGCCAGAGATACTGTGGGCAGCTAGGGCATGAGAAACCCACACTCTTTGCATACATTGCGGAGTAACGGCATGTCAAGGGCATCAGATTCTAAGATACCGTCACGCAATGAATATTTGGTAATTTCACAGTGTGTGTTGAATGCCTTAGGACCATTTTCCTGGTGTTCTCAAAGTTTTGGACCACGGCATAGAGGGATACAACTTCACTCAAAGAAGGAGCGGCCACACACTGTGATGCGATGACACTTGCTGATGTTTCTAGACAATTGCGATCACCCAATATATTCACGTAACCAAAGTGCACGTAGGATTGCAATGCAGTTGAAGCGCGTGTATCTCGAGAACATGCTAGAAGGACGCGCCGCGTGCCGAGGACCGGTGGCTCCCGCACGTCATTGGCTGTATTTCAAAGCCTACTAAAAAGTTGAACTTATCGACATCCCAACTTCGCGAGCACCGCACCTGTGCAGCATAGCATCACCACATTCATTGATCCTTACTCCCACGTCGTCAATATGAGCTTGGTTGGTCCATTGCCGCTCAAAGCGGTGGCTCCCCTCCGTATGGTTTCTGCTTGCCAAAGACGGAGGTTCTCTCAAGCATCAAGTGCGCAATCGAAAAGACCATCTATCGCACCGAGGAAACAACAGCAGAATGCACCGCCAATACGAGTAAGTGTCCTCTCAACTCCCTCGTCAGCCTGAACAGTATACTGATGTGCCGTTCGTAGTTCTTCCATGCGTCCCCGCCCACATATGCAATGACCGACCCCTACAGGACCCTCGGCGTCGATAAGAGCGCTTCCGCTGCCGACATAAAGAAAGCATACTATGGCCTAGCTAAAAAGTACCACCCTGATACGAACAAGGATGCTGGTGCGAAGGAGAAGTTCGCTGCCGCACAATCTGCATACGAAGTCCTTTCCGACGCAGAGAAGAAGAAGGCATTCGACTCGTACGGCGCTGCTGCGTTCGATCAAAACGGCGGTTTTAATCCAGGGGCGGGCGCCGGTAGCCCGGGAGGAAATCCCTTCGGAGGAGGATTTGGCGGGTTTGGTGGATTCGGAGGTGCACAGGGCGCGGGAGGCTTCCAGGATATCAACTTCGAAGATCTCTTCGGAGCTTTCACAGGAGGGCGAAGAGGAAGAGGAGGCGGAGGAAGGCGAAACCCGTTTCAAGAAGAGATAATGGTTGGTGATAATATCGAAGTACAAACGAATATCTCGTTCTTGGATGCTGCAAAGGGCGTTAAAAAGGATATACACATCACGCCTATGGTCGAGTGCGGCACATGTAGTGGCAGCGGAATGAAGTCGGGGGCAAAGAAATCAGAGTGCACGAGCTGTGGCGGGACTGGTCAAAGGATCACGAGCATGGGTGGCTTCCACATGAGCGCAACGTGCTCGTCTTGTGGAGGATCTGGGCTCGCAATACCGAGAGGCTCATCATGCAACACGTGCAGCGGCAACGGCGCGGTCAAGGATCGCAGAACGATCACAATCGATATCCCCGGCGGCGTAGAAGACGGCATGCGGTTGCGCGTTAGTGGGGAAGGAGATGCGCCGCTCACTGGACAAGCCATGTCTTCCGGAGCGGTACGAGGCCAGAAGGGAGATCTTTATGTGCTCATCCGAGTAGCAACCGATTCCAAGTTCAAGCGCAACGGCTCCGACATCCTCCACACAGCGACACTCCCGTTCACCACTGCTATACTTGGAGGTGAAATCAAGGTACCGACACTAGACGGAGATGTCATGGTCAAGGTCCCCACAGGCTCGGGAACTGGCGATCGGGTCACACTCTCAGGCATGGGCATGAAGATCTTATCGTCCGGACGCAGAGCGGGCAAGGGCGATCTGAAGGTGGAATTCAAGGTCGCAATGCCAAAGTACCTGAGTGTTAACCAGCGGACGATTCTCGAAATGCTGGCTGACGAGATGGGCGATGAGCATGCGAAACGCGTGATCAATCCGGGCAAGATGAGGGAAGAGCAGCAGGCTACAGAGAAGCGAAAAGTCAGGGAAGCGTTGTCAGATGCTCATGATAACGAAAGCTTTTTGAAGAGCGCATGGCACAACATTACGGGACAACACAAGTATTTGAGCAAGGAGGAACAGGCGAAGGCAAACGAGAAGAAGGATGACGACGAACCGAAGAAGGGGTCTGGTTCAGCGTGAGGGGAGTCACCGCGCCCGTTATGGACACTGTACAATACGGAGACTGGTGTGTTAGGGGGCACCTGTCTGATGGAAGACGACTCGACTTGAAAGCATTTTTGGCGTCAACAGCAGCGTTTGGATTTATAGAAGTACGTATAGTACTTGCAACATGCCTCTCGACTCAGGCCTTGTATATTACCAGATTTGAACCGATAAAAGACCGAAAAATGTACCTGTCTACCATGACACCGTGAAAGCTTCCTCGGCGCTTTTGCCACTACATGTTCGTGTCCATGGCCGTCCCCATGGCTCAATATAACGAGCGCTTACACGACGCCATGCCGCGGTCTCTACGGGATCTAACTGGCCGGCGCGAGCCGCACGCCTGGGATGACCCACGGTGTCTCCCCCCCAAGCTAGGGACGGTGTGACCATGGACATAGAGTCGCATGTCGATAGCGGTGTGGGCTTGGTAGCGCGTAGTGTCAGGATTGGTGATTGCAGGCGTCCCATGGTGAGGGAGAGAGGCTCTAGGTGTTGCTTATGCATGGTGCCTTGCAGTCGAACGGACGCCTTTGCCCCGCCCGTCTCGCACGCCAACACCAAACCCTCGAGACATCGTCTTCACCACCAACACATAAGCTTTGCTGTGCCGCAAGAATCTCTCCCCAGGATCCGGATTGATACTTGCCCCATGCAGCTTCCCGGACTGTGCATACCAAAGTGAACAAGCACCCGACAACGCAGCGCTGCAACGTCATCCCACCTGTGCACATCCATGCCTTCGACGCGACCTCGGACAGCGTGACCGCTCTATTGCTGCCCGAAGAACAATTGCAGCACCAAGCAGGAACCACGTAGCCAGCTAGCGACACGAGAGTTCCATACTCAGCGCTAGCTTTGCAACCGACAGCTGACTGCGCAACCCACACCACCGAGAGAGACCAGGCCTCTCCGCAGCCATACCTCTCCAAAAAGCCCGCCCAGTGGCGGCCTACTCAGAGCTGTCCACCATGACGACGCAGATACCCATGATATCGGTGCCCCTGAAGCAAACCAACGAGATCGATTGGGTCGCCCCGCTGAAGGGCTACATACGCGCAACCTACGGCGACGACCCAGAGCGCTACTCCGAAGAATGCGGTACCCTGAACCGACTGCGACAGGACATGCGCGGGGCGGGAAAGGATAGCGCTGCTGGAAGGGACTTGCTCTACAGATACTATGGCCAGCTGGAGTTGCTAGACCTGAGATTCCCAGTCGACGAGAACCATATCAAGATTAGCTTTACATGGTACCTCTCCAACATCTACACGAGGAAGCGGGAGACGAGACTAGGCTAACCAAGCACAGGTTCGATGCCTTCACGCACAAACCAACCTCCCAGTACTCCCTCGCATATGAGAAAGCATCCATCATCTTCAACATCTCCGCCGTCCTATCCTGTAACGCCGCGCATCAGAATCGCCATGAAGATGTTGGTCTCAAGACTTCGTACCACTCGTTCCAGGCCTCGGCTGGCATGTTCACATACATCAACGAGAACTTCCTACACGCGCCATCCACAGATCTGAGTCGCGAGACGGTCAAGACACTGATAGCGATTATGCTGGCACAAGCGCAAGAAGTGTTTCTGGAGAAGCAGATTGCGGACGGGAAGAAAGTTGGCTTGCTAGCCAAGCTGGCCAGCCAGGCTGCATTTCTGTATACCCAAGCTACGGAGGGCGCGCAAGAGAACGTTACAAATGCAGTGTTTGAGAAGGTCTGGCTGTTAGTTTGTCAGGTGAGTGATTCAACACACATCAGGCGGAGTTGACGTTAACCAAGGTGCAGATCAAATCGCACTTCATGGCCTCTTTAGCACAATACTACCAGGCACTTGCTGACGACGACGCGAACTCGCATGGCGTAGCCATTTGCAGGCTCCAAGTTGCGGAAGCAAACGCCAAAGACGCAAATCGGGCAGCGAACGGCTTTCCGTCGAACACACCAGCGAACTCGAATTTGACCGCAGAAACTGGGGCTTCACTGGCTGAGATGACAAAGAAGCATCTAACAAATGTTCAAGAAAAACTGGCTGAATTGTCCAAAGACAATGACTTCATCTACCACCAAGGCATCCCGAATGAGGCAGCCCTGACACCGGTCCCGAAGCTACCAGCAGCGAAAGCGATACCCGTCAGCGAACTATACCAAGGACAAGACATTCAAAGAATTATCGGGCCCGACATTTTCCAGAAGATTGTGCCGCTGGCTGTAACCGAGTCTGCAAGTTTATATGATGAAGAGAAGGCGAAGCTGATACGAGCCGAAAGCGAGCGTGTCGAGGTTGCAAACGATGAGATGGCGGCAAGTCTGGACTACTTGAAGCTTCCGGATAGCCTCAACGTGCTAAGAGGAGGCATGGACCAGGATATGATGGTCGACGATGACTTCCGACAGTGGTGCGAGGAGCTCGCAGGCCACCAGCCCTTCACCACAGCTTTTGACCAGCTCAGCACTGAGAAATCGGAGATTACAACCATGCTTGACGCAAGTATGAAGCAGCTTGATATGGAAGAGAGCGTTTGCGAAAAGATGCGGTCCAAGTATGGACCTGAATGGACACAACAGCCGAGCTCACGGTTAACGGCCACATTGAGAAGTGACATCAGAAACTATCGAGGCGCGGTTGAAGAAGCGAGCACAAGCGATGCACAGCTGTATAGCACCTTTCGACAATGCGAAGCGGACTTTGACGAGATGCGATCAGCTGGCGAGACAGATGAGGCAGATGTGTTGTACTCGAGAGCAATGGTCAAGGCAGGCGCAACGAAAGGCAGGAGTCCAAGACCAGCAGAAGGCAACCTTATCGATGACGATATCGATGATGGCCCAACTGTTGCAGACCAGATCGGAGCTGTTGAAGACTTGCTGCGGAAACTGAATCTTGTTAAGAAAGAGAGGACACAGATACTGAAAGACCTCAAAGACAAGGTATGTGCTCGTCGTCTTTTCGAAGTTATACAACATGCTGACATCCTCAGGTCCACTCTGACGACATCTCCAACGTCCTCATTCTTAACAAGAAAGCGATCGCAAACCAGGAATCACAACTTTTCAAGGCTGAGCTCGAGAAGTTCCGGCCGCACCAGAACCGCGTCTTACAAGCCAACCACAAGCAGGCATCGCTTCTAAAAGAGCTAACACGCACTTATTCGGACTTGCTAAAGGATAAGCGCGTGCGATCTGAGCAGAGCAAATACGAAGCCTACTCGAGGCAGAGAAACACGGTTATGACAAAGTATCGAAGAGTGTATCAGAGTTTCAACGACCTCGTGGCCGGCCTTTTGCGCGCTCAAAGCTTCTATTCAGAGATGAAGGACACTGTATCAAGTTTGCAGAAGAATGTCGAAACCTTCGTAAACAATAGACGGTCAGAGGGCGGGCAGCTGCTCTCAAAGATTGAGCAGAGCAAGTCACAGGGCGCAGATCAAGAGCAACAGCGTTTGAAAGACCTCATGGATCGTATGTCCGTAGACCCCTCAAGTTCACCAGTCTCACAGGGTGGAGCCCGCAAGAAGAATATACCACCGCCACTATCCTCGACACCCGCCTACTCCTCATCCGGTCCCGGCCACCCAGCGTACAACCCTGCTGCCTCACCGCCCGTGACACCGCGTTATCCCATGACCACAGCCCCAGGACAGCAAGCCTATATGTCGCCACAGCAATCATTCGGTGGTTCCTCAAATGGTTATCAGCCGGCACCACCACGACGAGATAGCTATCAACAGTATCCGCAGTCTCAACACCAACACCAGTCGTCACATTCTTCGGTGTACAACCCAGCCATACACAATCAGTACAACCCTGTTTCGCCCCCCGCGCACCAGCAATTTTTCTCTCCGCCGCCACTGCCACAGCAGCAGCAATGGGCTCAGCCCCCGAGTCAGCAACAGTGGGCTGGTGCGCCGCAACCTAATTTACCTCAGGGATATGTACCGCCCCCGCCGCCACCAGGACCGCCGCCGAGCCAGAATGTGGATTATAGTCACTTTTCGCAGGGAGGGTATCCGAGTGGGCCTGGAGGCTATTCTAGTGCACAACGGCAGGGCAGTCAAGGAGGACAGCAGGGGGGGCAACAGGGCGGGAATGATCCTTGGGCGGGGTTGAGTGGGTGGAAGTGAAGGGTTCTGGAGAGCACAAACTTGAGCCGAAGCAATTACAGACGATCAATTTATATGGCTTTGGGAGTCCGGTTGCAAATCTTCGAACTTATGCACACTTATTCAGCACAGCGTGGAGGGAGAATAACGCGGCATTGGAGGCATGTTGTAGCAGCGGGTGGTAGGAATAGGATATGCATAGGTGTATATATTGGGGACGCATACAGGCATATTTTCAACCACATACTTTGCTAGTTCAGCTATCTCGCAGTGAATCCCTCCCTGACCCCTTATCAACTCACCATCAACGTTTTCCAACTAGGCATATCCAACATCTGCATCAGCTCTTTCGTTAGTGCCTGCTCACATCCAACTCTGCACCCAAACACACTACCTCCAACACCGATAACGAACGAACAGATTTCCCACCTGCTTACCTAGAAACACTCTCGTTCAATAAAGCTCAGCTACACTACCAATGGCGAGACGACCATCCACTAATCGCCTCGCTCCCTTTCCGCTCGTCATGCGCCGAAGCGCGCCATAAAAGGCAATGCTCCAACTCAGGGTACTCCCTATAGAGGTTGACCAGCGGCAGGAACATTTTCTTCTCGAGCGGTTTAGGCTCGATTTTGGGTTGAGCTTCGGGTTGAGCTTTGTCGTCTTCGAGTTTGTCTTTGGGTGGTGGTGGCGGTGCTTCGGCTTCTGCCTGTGCTTTGGCCCATGCCCACATCTGGCTCCATGGGACCCATTCCCAGGCGGCGCATTTGTGCGGCTCCATTGACTGGTGGTGGGGTGGAGGGGTTAGCTTGGTGTAGTGTGTATGATGACGGCGATGTATATGGCATGGACATGGCAGCATCCAACTTTCCCTATAGAAAACCGCCAAACCCTCTCTCTCCAAGCAAAGAAACAGATCAAAAACTTACCTTTGATACCTTGTCCTCCCCAACAATACTACACGTAACAAAAACAGTAACATAATGCTTCCTCAACCCCTCTTCCTCCTCAAACACATCATTCGTAGCCGTCAAAAACCGCACATGACCTACTTCCAGCCCCGTCTCTTCCCGCACCTCGCGCACCGCCGTTTCAGCAAAAGTTTCCCCGTGCTCGAGATGGCCTCCAGGACATTGGAAGGTGCCTCTGCCGTGTGCTGAGCCGGCGCGCTCGCCCATGACTATGTTTCCCGCTGCGTCGTGGATGATGACGCCTACGCCTACTTTGGGGCGTTGGGAGTCTGCCATTTTTCGGGGGAGGAGGATGATAATGATGTGTAGAGAAGAGCGGGCAGAGACAAAAGGACTCAATTCTGTTTTTGGGTAAGTGCTTGGAAGTTTCAGATCGAACTGCAATGTGTGAATCATTTCATGTAGATCTTGAATGGCGGTGTCGCCTAATAGCGCTAGCGCTTCATGTGGTATAGTATTTTCCCTATTGGAGGGAGTAGTGGGTAGGCATATGTTCGATTTTCCCATGGGGTTAATATTTCTTTGGTGGTTTTCTGGGATTAAGCTAATTGCGGCGTAAGAAGACTATGTGCAATCACAACAACGGTTCTCAGGCAGCTGCAATTCTATCGTCCCTGAACCTCGCCTAAATTAACACATATTCGTCATTATACACCCTCTTCAACAGATCAGACGAGTCCGACTATGTCTATCTATTAACCTGACTTGATAAGCTGAACAATGTCATCGACCTCCTTCGGCGTAGGCGTCAAATTCTCGATACCCTCTTTGGTGATCAATATATTGTCTGCAGAAAGTCAATATTCTATCTATCTCTGAGAAACAGCTGCACTTACCTTCGATTCTCACACCCCCAACACTCCAATACTTCTCCAACACCTTCTCGTCGATAAATTTGCTCTGCTTATCATCCTTGAGATAAGGCTCGATGATGAATTTGCAAAAGTAGATGCCGGGCTCAACGGTAATCACACTCCTCTCCGGAAGGGTTCCCCTTACCCTCAGATACCTAAACATGCTGTCCTTGTCCGCGTAGTTTGCATTGCCTCCCGTATCGTGTGTGTCCATTCCCAGATAATGCCCCAGCCCGTGTGGGAAGAATGCGACACTCGTCCTTGCTTTGAAGATATCATCTGCGTCACCCTTCAGGATCCCAAGCTTGAGTAGGCCTTGGATGGCAATTTTGTGCGCAAGCTCATGGACAGAATCCCAGAGTACACCGGCCTTGAGAGCGGCGATGCATTGATTTTGCATATCCAGGACTATCTTATAGATCGCCAGACTCTCGTCGTTGAAGGAGCCGTTGATTGGAAATGTACGCGTAATGTCTGACGCGTAGCAGTCAACCTCGCAGCCAGCGTCCAGTAAAAGGAGGTTTTGGCTCGATATTGGCGCGGCGTTGTTGACATAGTGCAAAGTTGCGGCGTGTTCGCCAGCTGCAACGATGGAGTGGTAGGCTTGGTTCTTTGCGTTGCGCTCTACGCATGACTTTAGGAAGATAGCTTCCAGTTCGCATTCGTTCTTTGCTTTAGCAGCGGCTTTCATGACGGCCACGTGAGCAGCAGTGGAGATCACATTGGCCTTGCGGATGAGTGCGATTTCGTAATCGGATTTTGTGACGCGGCAGTACTCGATGGCGGGTTTCAGCTGGCTGAGTTCCTTGTCTTTGAAGGACAAGAACGTGACGTGTTCGGAGATTTGCTCAGGAATGGCATAGATGGTCGACTGTGCGGATTCGGATGTGCTGGTCAGGTGGGAGTTGACATCTTTGGTCGTCCTGCATTCATCGATATCATACTTCGCCTTTGCTTCCTCGGGGCTCATGGGAAGACCGGACCAGATGACCTCGTCAGGCTCTACTGGAGGGATGAAGAGAGTCAGCTTGTCGTCGGCTATCTCATATGTGAGATATGAGTCTGGTAGTTCGCAGCCACTGAGGTAGAAGAAATAACGCCGTTGTCTATGTGCAGTGAGTTTAGCTGTCGAACGTGACATGAATACACCCAAGTGCTTCGTACCGGCAAGGGGCCTCTCCATCGTTATCCTACGTTCTTGAATTAGCTGTCATTACACTATCGCACACAAGTTCTCTCCTGCAAATTCAGACATTACATACCTCGTTCAACTTCTGCTTCTGCGCCTCGAGATATATCGTGCCTTTCTTATCGCCGCCCTTCTCCACGAGCCACTTTGCAACCTTCCTCGCGTGGTCCTTGGCCGGGTACTTGCCCTTTAGAACATCTTCATAGTTTTCGGCGATGGCCATCTTGATGCTATAGCAGCTTCTCTGCGCCGTGGTGAAGATGTAAGGGGGAGGCTGAGGCAGTCGGCTAACACGTTGGACAAGCAGAGGCAGTCGAATAGTATAGGTTAGAAGGGCGCGCATCAGGTGAGAGCTCCAGCTTCGAGAAGGTCTGTTGGTCCAAGCCCGGTTCAGGCAGGTGGGGTAGTGGGGTGGAGATGAGATGAGTGCGGGTAGCCGCGGTTTACGACCTCTCGTACCTCATATGGAAGGTGCTCAGCTAATTCACAACATTGGGACCGAGCTGCAGTTGCAAAAGGTAAATGCAAATCTCATTTCTACATCAACTGTCAATATGAGCCATGTTTTGGCTAGGATCTTGATACTACATAATTTTGTGTCTATGCTTCCAATCCATAGCCTGTCACATACAACGCCAGAAAACTCCTCGAACCCAAACGCCCCCACCGTGTCATTGCTTAGCGATGTAGTCCTAACGCGCTAGCATCATGTAGAAAATGGTATGAAAACAGATGAGCATCTAGTCCTTCCATCGATTGAGGAACTTTTGCATATCGTCTGTTGGGTGTGGAGCGGCGGCAACCTGAAGGCATTGTTAGATATCAGTTCATACGTTACAGTCTACGCAGGAACGAGATGACCTGGCAGCCGTCCAATTACATACCGTGTTCGCCATGCTGCTGACCGAGTATGTCTGACTTTGGGTAACCGTTATCACGATGCTCGGAATCGGCAAAAACGTCGTCGCAATCGACACACTACTCGTCGGAAACAGTGGCTTTACATTCTTGGCCGTAACCTTGGTCGGCGGCACAGGCTGCATCGGCGCATACCTCGTTAGGCCGGTCTGCATCGTATACTCGACGTCGAAGTCGCCGGCCGCAGGATCAGCAGCGCCAGGTTTTGCTCCCTTTGCAGGATCGACAACGGTATCTACGGCCTTGGGGCCAGCTGTACCGGAGATGTCTTTGAGAGCAGCTTTTACGGGTGCGGGGAAGGTGCCGGTCATGCCCGAGTAGGAGAAGCGGTCTGAGTAGGTGATTAGTTGGCCTCCGGTTTTCCCGACCGCGATCATCTTGAGGAAGCTGTTGCGCTTTGGTCAGTACTGCTTGGTTCGGAGTCGTATATGATGCGTTGGCCAACACGTACTATGCATTGTCCGGTTTGGACTCTCCCACGGCCACTCCAATCATTCCTGTAGCTGTACTGCCCACGCCAAAAGAGCCCTTCGTCGTGATTGGAAATTGTATCTGCATGTCTCAGTCAGCGTGACGTTCTCTTTCCCATATGCTCTCTCAGCTCACCTGGCCAGCGGCGTCGTTTCCTCCTGCGACCAAGAACAGCTCATAAGTCAACAGGTTCGTGAGCTTCGCCCCGTCCCCACCCTCCTTCCATTCGACCTCGATTGCGGTGCCTGCCGTGAGCTTTGCGCCCGCCTTTGGTTTGGTGAACTCGACGCCAGCGCTGACATATGGTGCCAGGGCGGCAAGAACAACGAGCGGGAGTATTATGCGAGCCATTGCGGCCTGTGGTTTCGAGCAACAATCGATGGCGGGTTGGGGGCACGCAGCGTGCGACTCTGAAGAGAGCGTGGTAGAACTTCAAACGAGTGTCACTTGGTGGTTTGTTGTTGCTAGAGAGCCCGAATAATGAGAGGGCTGTAGCGTGCGCGGAGGTTGGTCGTGTCGGGTTCAGTGCATGTCGAGGTTGAGATCGATTAAAGATGTGGCGCCGCCAGGGGTGCGATCGTCACTGCCGCGCGCACTAGTCTATTTTTGGCCGGTAGATTCATTCCACTGCTACTGCGCGAGACATCACTCACGATACCTAGCTACTTCAACACGGTACTTTTTGCAACGTCTATAAGTGACTAGCAATTTATTTGACTAGGCCCGAATTTTAAGGGATAACAGAGCATACGCTTCAATTTTGTGACCTATCCTACGCGCGTCCTGACGGAGCTGGGCCTTTTTTATACATAACAACCACCATGTTGTCGTGACCATGGTGACAAAGGGGGTATAACAACTGTCCGAGCCCGCCCATTATCTCTTTGACAAAACTGCCCTGATATAAATCGTACAAGTCTGTTCTCGCTTCGAGAACGCTTATGTTTTGCTACTCAAACGCCATCGCATGCTGCTGGGATATCCTGATTCAAACCAAACAAAGGAGATATCATAACCCACTCTAGGGGGCACTCATACAGGTTGCCCTTGGCGAAGCTTCGGGGTGGATAGCTTCAGGCTAAAAGATGATGGCAGCCTGCATGTCATCGTAGCTGCTTGGCCCGCCTTTTGCAATTGGACTGTCAGGTCCCTCAACTTTTCTGGAGTAAAGATCTGGACATCAAACGAAAGCAGGAACTCCACACAAAGTTCTAAGCGGCTGAGAGACGCCTCGTCCACGCCACCAACAGCAGCGAAACGTTTCTGTGGCCAACGGTGGTCTTCCAGAGCTTTCATGGCTACAAGTGCGCAGGAGAGGACGAGTCGATGCATGGTGCGATATGTGAGCGGAACGCTTCTGTCGATGACACATAGGCGGAGCATGTATGAGCCAGCAGCGAGCCAGACGGCTGTAGAGAGTGGACAGTACTTTTGAATGCGGTTCATGTACTCTTCCACTCCCACCTTTGGCACGCTTTTCGAGTAGAATTTCCTGGCCATGTTTGCCCGCTGCACAGATTCAGGCTGTGCTCCAGCACCAATATCGTGGATAGTGACTGGCTCATCATGGCTTGCTTCTGGAGGAGCTAGCTCGGTGGGTTGGTGATTCTCTTTTTCGGCTGGAATAGGCGTCGCAGGCCTGGACGCCGTTCGCCGGTGACTTCGCAAAAGGTGATTCTCCCTCCCACCTGGTGTTCCGGGGCGAGAAACTGGTGGTGTTGCAGGCACATCACCAGCTGCATTTGCGAGAGCGACTATTGAGCGTACAATGAGCTTCATGGCAGTTTCCCGTGACATGGTAAAGATGTCGAGATCTGCATCGTCTGGTGGTGGCGACGGCGCATCCTGAAGACTTAAGGTTCCAAATTCTGGCAATACGCCCGCATCTCCTGCTGGATTTGGTGCCGAGGGAGGAATCATGTTTTTGTTGTAAGTTGATAAAACGGGTGCAAGCAAGAGGTGCCTTGGGTGCACGGTCTTGAGTGGAGGCGCAAGATAGCACACTTGGATCATTTGGACGCGGGTAGAGCTTTGCCGAAGTTTACCGAGTTGCCTCCGAGGACGATGTGTAAGACGTTGGAAAAATCGAAGAAGTCGAATACTCGACAGCTACAATGTCTTAGGATCAAAGGTTCGTTTGCAATTGCGCATTGCTTACGTTTGGGTCTGAAGATCAATCTTAGTCTAGGCGTGACAATGATAGGCGTTCGTATTGGTGAGTAGGCTGTAGTTGGATTCGTGAGCGGATGGATGGTTGGTCAATTGGTAGAGGTACTGAAGAGCGAGTTTGAGGATGTATAGTCGAACGGGCTCTGTCTGGAGATGTTTTGAAGCTCGTAGTGCCCGATGGACCGGAATGTCAATGGCGGAGAAAACGGTAGCTTGAAATGAAGCGCCGTTGGCAAGGTCAAGTGACGCTAGAAGGATTTCTTGTCTTGTCTTAAAGAGGCTGGTCGGACTTGTATAGCATGGGCCCTTCCAAAATTCGGGTTGGACGTGCCGTATGAACCAAAGCCATGGAACAGCGTTAGGGCTGAAATAGCTACTACGCTACCGCCGACGCGCCATCAGGCCAGTCTGAGACGCGGTGAGTGAGTTGTTATGTGCTGGCGAGTCACGCAAAGAGGGGCTACGTGGAGTGCTGGTGGGCTTCGGAGCGAGGTGAGGCCCAAAGGCGGGTCTCGTGCAGTGCAGAAAAGGGCTAGAAGCAAATGGCCCGCCGGGCCGTGACTGTACACGCTGAACGCTGGTACCTTTTGAAAAGAGGTGTGTGTTCTTCGAGACGAGCTGTGGGAAGGGAGGACGACAGAAGGCAATGGAGGTTGGAGGCTAGGATTCGGTTGGCGGTTGATTGAGTTTTGAGTAGGAGGCGCTACGGAATGAAGACATGTGTGCCCTTGACTGCGGCGGAGGGGAGAGGTCCGAATCTGTGATTGCTACTGGGAAATTGACTGCGGGGCAACCACGATAGCTGCAGGTCCAGCACGCCTGGGAAGAGGTAATAAAGCGGACACGCACTTGCGGGCTACTGGTGTACCATGTACGAGGTGGCGGATATGTATGGATGGGATGAAGTGCTTGGGCCAGACTCTAGTACTACAGCATCTCCAAATGCCAATCCACGGCCGCATCATCCCCGCCTGCTGCGCGACGTCTCGTCGGCCCAGCCAACGCTCATCTACTCTCTTTGTCCTTTTCTTGAGACTAGCATGCAAGCATAAGCAACTCTAGCTGCCGCAATGATAGTGTACGACGAGATGCTAGCCACGAAGGACTGGCTGCCACACACCCTCGTCTAGAACGAGCGTCAATATAGGCACCGCGGAGCCCGGGTTGTGATAGCAGCCAATCGACCGACGTTCGATTCTCATGCCGTACTGGACATGCACCTCCCCGTGTTTACGCAGACTAGCTACCGGAAGACTGACTTCCCCCTCAGTGGCCTATTCCTTTTGGTTGAATGTCGGACCGTATCAACTATATCAAGCCTTCTCGCCAACGAGATTCATCAGTAACATCCCCGCTTTCACATATATTTCGCAATCCAGCTCGACTAGGGTTTTATACACCATCGAAAGAGTCCATATCTGCAACGAACGCACAATGGCTCCGTCAAACCTAAAAGAGGATAAAGTGCACGTTGCGCCAACTCCTCAACAACATATCTGTACGTCCGTAGCGCATCGTCACATACGCAATGCAAGTCGTCCTGCGTTGAACGAACAGCTTGCATTTATCAATCGACGTCATCACGCATCGCTACCCGCATCTCTAGACATGGGTGTCTGCAAGTAATCGCAACTCTGAAGCCCTGGCCAAGGATTGCGACAGCATACACGCGTTAGTTGACTGCGAACTATTACCCAAGTCTTCTTCATCGGGTGGGTTTGATATTGGGTATTGTTCATTTCTTTTCGACCTGATATCACCCGGGCGATATTTACGCAAGGCCTGCGTGATCTGGTGGCACGATGGTCACCTTTTCATGTCGTGCTCGTGTTCGAGACTGTCCACAACGGTTGGCAAGCGCCTCTAGACACTTATACTAACGAGGATGCGAGCTCCACAATACTGCATAAACCAACCAAGTCCAAACCGATGGTATAATGCTGATCGCTGCTCACTCCACATAGGCCATGCCGACATGGGTTGAAGGGTATTGTGGTCGGTTGTTTTCGCCCTTCAGCTGTCGGACGGCCTAACCGCCTTTCATCTAAAAATCAGTTAAGACGTTCGAGAGACAGTTAGTAAGTTAGTTGAGAAGGTAGTGCAGACCCCTAAAAGCACTTAGGAGCAGACGCTGTCTGAAATAGATTCCCATTGCGCATACGCCTTTCTTATCCCATATTAGGTGGTGAGGAACCCAGATAGTGCGAACAGTGACAATGTATAGTTGTACACCCTTGCCAAACTCATATGATCTTCGAAACAGATAGCCTACATATATTACACTCCCCTCCCCCGAAGACCACATTCCGGCTCAAGAACTCCTCCTTATCGAAAGAAAAAATAGAACGACGCACACTGCTAGGTGCGAGCCGTGATTCATTCCAATGTTTCCGTTAATGCACGCGGGGTACGAATCTGAACTTGAGGGTCGAGCTAAGCACATGAGATTAGAATGCATCCAACAAACAGACAGAAGCAAAGGGCAAAGAAGCAAATCAAGCAGATGCACGCCCAAAATGCATCTAAACCTGACTCACTCTGGCCCTCTTTCTCGTTGATCCTGGCACCACACTCGGCCCACTCCTGGTCGGCCCATCATCTCCACCCCTGCCTCTCTTCTCTTGTTGATCCAGCACAAGCTGGAGCACATCATACGAAAACTGTGGGAACTCTAGACACATGGCCTTGAACTCGGGCTCCGCATCATGACGTAGCGAGAAACTCCTCGTAGCCCAGAACGCCGCCACAGGCTTGCGAATTGTAGTATCCTCCGGATTGGACTCCTTGTACACGTAGCGGGCGTATGCGAGCTCGCCTTTGGCGGTGGAGGCTGTGCGGTGGATTTTGGAGTGTGCGAGGGATTTTAGCTCGGGGAGAGCAAGGCGGTCGGCGAGTGTGTAGACGCGGGCGTGCACGAGAAGACCAAGGCCTTGATCGTCGGGGAGAGGTTGGCGGGTGTCTTTTTCGAGGGGGGCGTCGCGCGCCGATGACGTCTTTTTAGGGAAGTATTCGCCCGTGTAAAGGTACTCGACTACCGAGCCCATGGCATCGACATCAACATCTGTGAAAATGACCTGGCGAGGCTATGGAGAGTCAGCAAAAGGGCGTTAGAGTAGTGGTAGTCGGAGATGACATACACCTCCTGGCGCGAATTGTTCGACCTGCTTTGCAAACTCTGGTGACTTGACGAGAACTGCCTCGTGGGCTGAGTACGTGGTTCGGTTGTCTACGCTTCCTACGATGACCTCGACAATGGGACTTTTCATCAGACTGGTGTCTGGTCAGCGGCATGTTCCAATTGAGAGATCACCAAATTTTTGTGAGCTAGCAGCATACAATACTGCGCAACTGAGCTCTATTGACGCCGACTACGCCCATGTCACCATGCGCTCCTCTCAGCAGAGCTGGCGCAAGACCTCACGCGACGCTATAACGCTCAATTGGCACCTCCAGTATCCTTGCGTATTCGCCATTCCACAGCGCACGCGTATAATTCAAACATGACTTACTCCGCGAACAAGACCAGCTTTGGCGTCTCAGGCTCAAGTTGAGTCAACCCAGCATCCTCTCCTGCGCCGGCCGATGTATCACCCGCGCCCTCGCCCATTTCTACGTCGTCAACCGGAGTCTGCTCGACCGAAGTTTGCTGCTCGATATCTGCCATAGCGACTGTATAGGTTTACTTGCGATAGCGAAGGAGGTGCGCAGAAGCGAGTGGAGCTGGTCAAATGAAGCTATGCAGATGGTAAGTAACAGCGCACAACAACTGGGACAAAATGCCCTTGAACAAAGGTGGATAGTGAGAGAAGGACAGCGATTGCGACGAGTGAAGGTGCAGATAGACCATGGGCTGACTTACTATGCGCTGGAGGGGTTGGTAGAAACGGCTGGGAGGCTGAAAGCTTGGACTGGGGAAGCACCGGGATTGTCCAGGTGTTTCACATGCGCTAACGCAGGAACAGCCTTGGCAATTCGAGAGACTGCTCTGTGCCTGAGCGTTACATTCGCCATTGAACTCGCTGCATGGCAGAAGGCATCTCAGAAGACATCAGATGTATCTTGGTTAACTGATCAACGTTGTGAGATTATGAAAAGGATGCATGTACGCCTGTGCGTCCAATAGTCTCTCCTATAGTATGGTATATCGGACTCCTCCATCTAGAGCCCGTCCAAGATGGGATATCCCTGTTATGCAACTGAATTCGAAATGCCAGTCCGTGATGGCATTGACCCAATATCGAGAGAGAAAGACCAACCAATTATAACCTTCCACCCCTCTCATGGAATCGGTCGCCAGTCGTGGGTATCGGCTTGTCTGCACGTATCATAAACAGGAGAAGATCCTCAAGCGGAATAAAAACGTAGAACACCTTGTTACAGAGGTATGAAATGAAAACAAAACATATCGCAACCATCGCATCCATGAAGTAATGGTTGGCCGTCGCAACTATCGTCGTCAAGATGAACACCGGGTATCCAACTCCTACAACGAGATAGAAAGTCTTCCAGAACGTATTCTTTCTGACTTCTCCTCGCTCGAGTGTTCTTCGGAATAGACCAGAATGGTAGACCACCGTCATGCCAATGCAAAACGCGTATCCAAAGTGCATCGATGGCATTGCAGCGAGCTGATTGACAAACTTCCCACTCATCCATACGCTCTGCGCGTCATCGTGGCGTACCGTGTCTAGGAAGCCATATGTTTTGGGAAGGAGGCGTGGCGGCATGCACGGGTAGAGGATGAAGGTAATGAAGGCGCAGAAATTAGTGAGAGTCATCGTTCGGCGGGCGATGGCGAAGGTGTTGAATGACGGGGCGACGTAGTAGTACCAGCATATGAAGCTACCCGTCGTCAGTTCATGCACACAATAAAGTTGGGGATGTTACTTACCCTACGGTGCCAGGTATGTGAATCAAGGCGTAACATTTGTTTAGTACGGTGAGCGCATCCTGATGCCCTTGCATGAACCATTGCTGCACGTCTCTCTCTCGTATTAGGAAGAGAAACTTTAAGATGCTGTGCTCCTCAGCTTGCAATACTGCAATTCCATGCTCTTCCGAGACATCCCATATCCCTCTCCCAGCAAACAGCGTGCTCGACAGCACCGAAGTCATGCGGTAGAAAGCATAGTTGATAATCCAGTAGAACATCTCAAGCAAGAAAGGGAAGCGTTGGAGAATTCGACTGTGTAAGTTATTGCGAAAACGCGACGTATTTGGTGTAGTAACCTTCCAGCAACAGATTCTTCGTGCTTTCGGCAGATTCTTAGCCGTTGTAATATCGTCGGACTCCCAGTCGCTATCGATGTTGAGTGGGAGGAGATGATCCATAGAGCCATTGGATGTACCATCCAGGTGGCCGCTTCCGGAGGAGTTGCGGAATATCTTGAAGTCTCGTTTTCGTGTCATGAACATTGCGAAGAAGAGTATACTGGCGACCATCTGCTCGTGTGACAACCAACTGTTAGTGATAGACATCTTAACAGTGCATAGAATAGGGCACTCGATGCAGCTTACCAAAGGCTCACACCAGCTAGGAAGCTTCCATGCTGGTTTGCTGTTCCATTGGCCATCATCTGGCACGGTGAAGTTTGGCATGTTGTGTCGCGTGTCCGCAGCATCGATACTGTGACTGTGATACACAGAAGGAGCCGTCTAATCGTATATCATGGATTTCTTCGGGAAATGAGCGATCTAGGTGCCTCAGAGCTAAAGAACAAGGCCGAGACTGGCTGACGTGTATAGACGGAACCGACGTAATAGGAAATCTGGGGCGTAAAGGAGACTGAATTGAGCACGCACCTCCACTAAAGGAGTGAAAGGAAAGAAACCGAGGGAAAAGGTCGTTTAGGAATAGGAGACGCAGGATGGATGGACGGAGGGTGACGTTTGCGGGATCTCGCGGAAACCCCATCCAGCGTCGTACCTACCCACCTAGTGCTGAATGCGCCGGAAGGGAGGTTTGTTTTTGCCCTTGATACCGAAGCTTGGGTAGAAGATCCACTCTTTACTTGATGTCGGTACTTGCTGGTGCCGCTGGCTGAAAAGCGTCGCACTGCATTGCGACGACATTCAACGTTGCTTTCTGTTGCTATACCTATTATTGAACGTGCCGCTGGTGTTATCGCAAGTAGTGACGTGTGCTACTGAGGTGGGACAGCCGATGAACCGCGGCAGCCGATGAACTACCTTAATATTAAAATAAACTTAACACGTTATTTTTAAACCGCGATATGTTAACTACTAACAATCTAATTTTAGATGTAATTGCAGTAATTAATTTGCAAGGTCTAAAAGAACAACTTTTATACCGCGCAGCTGCAAAAATGTTTAGTGTTAATTAGATTACTTTAGCGCGTTAGCACTAAGGGAAAACGCGATTAAATGCAGAGGAGTCTTAACAACGCACGCATCTTAACTTATAATAGGAATTAGAACTTGTGCAGTATATATAAGGATTGTCTGATTGCGGGCTTCTACCTATAAGAGCTATAATAAAAAATTTCGCCTCTAAGTTGTTAAAATAGGAGGTTTCTAATAGGTGGATTTTGCAATTTCTTAGAAGACATTGCAACACTCTTACTTCTAAATATACTATTAGGATTAATCGCAAACGGCTCTTTGCTAATACTAAGTATAACTATAAGTTATACTTTAACTTCTTCTATTTGAAAATCTAAGAGTACAATGTTAACGCGCGCTATATTTATAATATAAACAAGAAAGAGTTTTTTATTAGCATTACTTTACGCTCTAAACAGGTCTTTTTAAAGCAACTTTAGGAGCAAAAATAAATTACAGCGGCCTTGCAGGATAGCAACTAGGAGTAGATAATAATTTTAGCATATATTTGTGCAGATAGGAGCGCGGTAGATCTAAGTGTAGTTTTTAAAAGAAAGGGAGGACTTTGCAACGCTTAGTTACGCAACATAGAGGCTAGAAAATACTAGGTTTTTTTTATAATAAGTCCCTCCAGATGGTCTAATAACGATATTAGTTTGGCCTAGCTTAAACAGGTTTTTAATTAGCGTACAAAGAGTAAGGTGCAGGCAAGTTATAGGATTTTTATTTTTAACGGCTATAGCAGCTACTTTACTACTAATTTTATAGACTTTTGCGACGCTAACAAGATCTTTTTAATAGTGTTTCTTCTTTATTTAACTTACAGCTTATAACTTCTAGATGTAGTGCTTTTTTCGCCTCTTTTAACTGCCTATTTAATTAAGCTCTTGCACTACCTTTATCGCAGCTAAGGCCTTGTCCCTATAAACAAAGGCAACTTTTTCCTGTTGTTTTAGGCTGCCTATAATACTACGTTTACTTCTACAAATATACAAAAGGCGTTTAAAGCTATAGGCGTTGAGCTACTTAATGCTAATATTATACTGCGACAATTTAAAACACAACTATAACAGGAGGATTAAGGGTTAATAAATAGAGAGGATAGTAATAGGGATACTTGGAACTAGCTCCGCAATTTATTTGAGGTTGCTGTAAAGGATAAGGCAAAAGTTAAGGCTAAATAGTTGGGCTCTGTACTATATTCCCTCTAGGTGTAAAATAAGCTTTTCTACTACAAAAATAAAGGTTTCCGCAACGCGCTTTTAACTAAAAAGAGGCATAAGGGCAAGAGCAAACTTCTAGATTTTTAACAGCGTAAGGAGTTTTATAGCGCCGCAGTATTTTAGAGTCTAAGGACTATCTAGGAAGCTCGCGCGCGCAATGTAGTAAAATAACGCAAAGACAAGGCTGAATAACTCTAAAAAAAAAAGACAAGAGAGCTAAAAGCGGCAGCAACGTTATATAAAAAGAAGATTGCAGAGGAGGCAAAGGCAGTGCAGTTGCTTACTAAAGAGCGCGCTGTAGAAGAGCGCGCAGCAGTAGCTTAAGAATAAGCTGCTGCGTGCGCGCAAAAGTAATAGGAAAAAGAAGCTGCAACCTTATAAAAACTTTATAATAGGGCAAATAAACGTAGGCGAACAACTTTACGTTCTGTAAATTTAAATGCAGCAAAGCGTTGTCGTGTTGTAGACGCTAGAAGTAGTAGTTTAGATGCATTGCGGCTGCTGCAGCCTCTACTTAAAACTACTGCGCGCGGCTGCTAAATTAACCTTCTAGAAAAATTTAAATAGTATAAATTAATTGCAAGCTTCTGTTTACTAATACTTTATAAAATTTTGTAATACTAACTTTTGTGGGTGGCTTTACAGCCTTATTTTTGCGGATGGGTAACTTTAGTTAAGGTGGTTCATCGGCTGCCGCGGTTCATCGGCTGTCCTACCTCGGTACTCCTTTTAGCCAATATTTGCAACTTCGCTAATAACAAGAATACAGACTATCACCAGTTGGCAATGGATCCATGTCTAATCTCTCCTGTTGCTGTAGGAGATGTCAAACCTGTGAAGTTGCCTCTCTTTATTAAGTTGCCTAGACTAGCCGAGAGGCTGTCATGTCGATTTGTGTTATCCGATTGTGACGCGCGTGCAAGGCCAAACACTGCGCATCCGTTCACCCCGCTCGTCTCTACAGACAACGCTGGACGACTTGTTTCCATTGGCATCGCGAGTGCTGGAAAGAGCACTCATCTCATCATCGCGTGAGGCTTCCTTGACGACGTGCGGCCTGTTCTCGGTAATTTCCGTTCTGGTCCCAGCACTCCCGAGCTCCCGAGAAAATTCGGGAGAAAACCCTGGAGAAAATTCCGGAGACAGGTCAACACGGACTTCGAATGGGAGGAGGTGTTGTTTGAGTTGAAGAGATGAGGCTGGATGACCGCTGATTTCGATAAGCGAATACGACACGGGTTACTATTAAAAGCCTGTAAGATTACCGGCGATTCTTCCTTCCCGAGCCCACAACGGAGGAACACGAGATCTAGGAGAAAGATACGAGGCCTTTCCAGCTGATGTGACGTCGGCCCGGCTGTATTCTTCGCATTCGAAATCTACGAGCTTTTTCGCAACTTCTTCTTTTGTAAAATGCGACCCAGATGCGACCGCATCGTTTGCAATCATCTACTGTCGGTGCGGATACGTACTACATATCTACGGCTCCGGCATAAAGCCGGTTCTGTGAAGGTACTTTGAGTGCAGAGATACTTTACGGCGCCGGCAGACGCGGTCTGTTGTTCCGTCATACATCAAGACTGCGAGACGCAGAAGAGGGGCAGAGAAGGTAGCCAGTACTATTTTCGACGTTGAACGCTTGACGAGCGATCTTCAAGTAAAAGTCTTTGTAGCTGAGAACAGGTATCTGATTTTGGTTGATTATCTGCGTTGCTATAGGGTGATAAATTCAGGTATGCGACGGACTAATAGTACCTCCTGCTTACCAGGAACCATGTTTAGGTTATTTCAGTCACATGCTTCCACATACCAAGCTTTTCGGAAGCACCACCCCAATACGAAGTGCAAGATTTACAAAAGCATTTGCGACGACTGCCTGGAGCACTACGTACGAAACAGTGTGCAATGCGGTCAAAAGCTGGCCGCAGACCCTATTTCGTTCGTCCAATCCTCTGGACTTCTCTAATACGGTTCTTACCGAATTACTCTGAGATTTCTGAGACGTCACCGTTGGGTGCTTACGCCGCACCTGGAACGGCAGGGCTTGATATAGAAACAGCTACCGTCCTGCAAGCACGTATGGTACTAGATCCAGGTTTGAAAGCGAGAAGAGCGTGGAAACTTTAAAAATTAGAGGGCTAACAACGATATGCAACCCTAACGTTCCAGTATACCTCAATGCAGTTCACCTCGGCGAACAACAAGAATCATAATCGCAACCTACACAGGCCCTTAGCAGCCTGTTGCAAGTCCCCTATTAATCTCCTAGGCAACTCTTGACGATCTCCTAACCCTAACTTGCACAAGAGCAAGCCACTCACCTGATATGGTGGCTTAAATACGAGCTCATAATAACCTAAACACGCCCCCAACACCCGGTTAGTCTACCCCTTAGTAGCTTATCGTATCCTGGAGCCAATCAAGAACAAACGAGCCGCATTTTTGGGACCCTGTCGAGCTGAACTCATGCTCGATGAAACCGCGGGAATGCGAAGCTTGCTTCTTACTTAGCCACTCTACTCTTAATGCTATGTGTAACAAGAGTGCTTTTGCTTAATAGCACTGCCTAAGTAACGGCACATGGCGTTGAAAATAGACGAAAGGGTCAAGAAACCGGAGTGTGGTGCTACGGGCCGAGACATTTGATCCACTGATTAGCTAGCGACATTAATCTCTTGGTACGTATCTGAATGGTTGACTACGGTAGACGTAACGTATAAGAACCTCACTTCTTGGACTAACTTTCAAAGCATCCGCAAATTCACAGCCCTAGGAAATCATAACTGTCAAAAACATATTCTTGGCCGCTACGCTCTTCATCTACTACATCTCATAACACATTTGTTCGAGATCCTTGTTAGCCAGCGCTCAATCAGGCGATTCTTGCGAACATTATACCAAATACATATGCAGCTTGGGGACGTCTTTACAAGGCGTATCCTCTACAGTCGCCAAAACGTATCCAATCTACTTCCTCCCGTTGCACCCCTTCTCTATCGCCATCAACCTCAATAACCGGAGGACGTCCGATGTCCACTATCCGTCGGTACATGCTATGGCAACTGCGAAACCAAGTAAAAAGGTATGCCCTCATCTATACTTGCTGAGTCTTCTTATCCATAAAGTGGATTCCTTTCCAAGTTCATTTCAACCATCCATATATTTTGTTCCGATGCTTTTTCCCGTTCTTGATTTATGCAATGGCCACAAACTTCGGCATCTCACTCAACCTCACCTACGTTATATGCGATCTGCGCGTTTTTAAGTCCTCTGATTCGACATCACACTAGTGTTATTCCTCCTCTTTGTCTAGCTTGGGATACTTTCGCCCTATTACGTTATAGGCATCGATGACCTTTTAAGAGGGGGCAAAATTGAGCTCCCAGGATCGGGCGCCCCACAGTTGTACGACTTCGACAAAACTTAGCTTTCATGTCTCTTGGAACCCTATCACATTTATATCCTGACCCGGTGGCTTGGGCGATTAGATACCCCACTTCAATCGGGCGTTAGCTCCCAGTCGGTGATCATCACAGCCCGATCTGTACCCCACTATTCCACGCTTGTCATGTTTTGCGACCCGTGGACACTCTAATCACTAATCTCTTCTTACTTCGTCAACATTTTGTTGTTGGCACTTTGTCTATTCTCTCCGTCCCGCACTCGCGAGATTTTCCATGGCTCGGTCATAATGAACCCAACGCTGACACCACTCTACAGTACCATGCATCATGCCACTGTCAACTAGTTCGCTATAGCGTAACCCTCTCGCCTACGCTCGACGACCTAGACTCCTGGGTCGTAGAGTGCAACTGCAGCATTTGCGCGCGGAATGGCTATCTCAACGTCTACGTGCAGAATGACTGCATTGAGTTTGAGACGGTAGGGTTAGAGAGCGAGTTAGTGGAGAAGTATACTTTTGGTAAACACCGCGTGCAGCATTACTTCTGCAGCCGTTGCGGTAGTAGCCTGATGGCTGAGAGCCTTGAACCTGGATTCTACGAAGGGGTAAAGGCTTTGAATGTATGTAACAGCCGTTCTATCCGCTTTTGCAACATACTAATATTGGAGCAGGTTCGCATGTTCCAAGATGTCGACGTCCGGACGCTCCAGCGTAGGCAAGTCGACGGGCGAAGCTTATGAACGCTTACGAGATATTACGCGATACTGTATACTACATTTCCGCAGATATCGTGGGTCCGACATCTTTCCACTGTTGGACAGATCGAGTCTGCATACTAAGACTGATCACCTTGGCGTGCAGATGAGGTCAAGATGAAGGAACGCAGGTATAGAGATGATCTTTTCTGTGAGATATCATGAGTCGCTGTTTCGAGTCTTGCCCAGTGTTTTTTTCGTATCACAGCCGGCTATTTGTCCCTCGTTATACAATGCAAGCTAAGACTTTTTTCAATGCTATATGTACGAGATGCATTTTTCTATGCTGAACTACCCCGAATATTCTTTTCTGACACAATACTCACTCTACTTTCACATGTTTACCCCGAGCCGTAAGACATATCAGCTTATGTCGAGAACAACATGGCGAACCAACTCCATGTAATATCGATCGACTGCGAGTCTACGAGATATTTTGATCGACAAATTGAGATGTGTTTGAAGGGTCGACGTGTGTGGAAGTTTTGAAAAGCTTGAAGAGCGTGTTTCGTGGTGTTCGGCTTAGATTACCGCTTATCGATAGTACACATTGCGAAGGCCACCTTCCCTCAACAACACACTCCCTTCCACTTCCTCACTATCCGGATCAAGCTTCTCCCCCGTTAGTAGGGTTACACTACATACCTTAAATGGTTTCATCAGATGAGAGCTACCAATCTCAGTGATAGACCTTGTGCACGCCTAGCTCCAATGTTGGCCACATCTGGTGAGACACCCGACGACGTCGGAAAGCCTGCAGTACAGGATCCGGACCGACAGTCAACGCATCAACTCAGATCCAACCTCGTTCTAAGCAATGCCTGCATGCAGCATACCCTGCTCTGCGCTATTAGACACTTACCCCGAGAAATCCAGCTACCTTCCCTCAGTGTCAGACAGCTGGTACCGTCTCGAAGACGACATCGTAGGCAATAAATCGACTCGAGCTCACTCCACCTGACTCATTATCTATCCTCCACACTGACACGAAAGGGATGGCGAGCATCTGCTTTGAAAATTCTTCGACTGCGCCACATGTGCTAGACCTTAGCACTACACCGTATGAACACCTGGCTTTTCGACTCTGCTCAGGCACGGTCATTCGGCTTACACCGTTGCAGAGAGGACGACCTGTTCTCCCATAACTGCTAGCTGCATGCATCCCTAGCAATGAGCGCGTCCAGAACCATTCGGACGCCTCAACTGCTATGTAGCAGGACCATCGAAGAAGAGATCACAACTAGATATGCACAGCTAGCCGCCTTATAGTTATTCAGCAGCTCTATTTCCGAGCAGAAAATCTTCTGACTAGTCATCTACTTCTCACGCTTGAGGCCCACGGTCGTGTACGGCGCGGTCGAAGGACCTATCAACTACTCCTTGCATGACAACCACTGTACGTCCTTCAAGTACACAATGGAAAGAATCACATCCAAATGCCGTTGATAGATACTATTATTGCAATGTAGTCTGTATCCTTCATCCTGGACAATTACACCGATTTCAGGTCGCACAGCCATGGCCTTACCCGCTGAAGACCGAAAAGGAACACATCAATAAGTCAGTGAGAAGAGATTGGCTTCTTTGCACTTGGCCTCTGATTATGGTATCGCTCCGTCGCTGCTGCGCCTTTGCCAAGTGCAGATAGCCGCCAGGAACAGGCACAGATCTCACATGTACAGGGATCGTAAAGTGGGCGTTTCGGCAGGTGTGCGGCGCTCACCATGTGAGAGTTAATTGCACCTCTTGATGTGAGGAAGGTGCCATCTTATTCCCAAGCAGGAACCCCGCCGTAGGATGTTATGTTTATAAGGATAGGTCAGGTTGCCACACTCCTTCCTCCCACCACCAATCCCGTCGCACTCCATCCTCTCCTCATCGTCGCGGAAGGGTACCCTTCACACCATTCCTTCTTTGCTTTATTCTGATTGCTAGCTATACGCTCCTCTGCATTCATCTCACGTTCTTTATTTCCCCTCGGGCAACTGCAATTGAGATTCGAGAGCTACGAATTCGATAACAACAGCAATGTTCGGCCCTACTTTCATCTTCGCTGCTAGCAGCATCTTCGCTCTTTCCTTTGCTGCGCCTCTTCGTCTCGACGTGGTTCCGCCGAATGACCTAGTGGGGCGCGATACTTACGTTATGCTGGGTGGAGATGGTTCAATGAATGCTGGGTGGCCCAGCCGAAGCGATTGGATGTCTTTTGAAAAGGCCTGGTAAGTAGAGGTCTTGAAACTTTTGCAACATAAGCTCACACTTCTCAGGGATGCCAATCTCAAGACGATACAGCAATCTTGCGAGAACCAAGGCTGGGGCAAGAACAACAACGAGGTCGAGACGCGAGCTATCAAGGCTAGCATTGAGGAAGAGTCAGGAACATCTGGCATTCCGGAAGAGCTCATTCTCGCCGTGATGATGCAAGAGTCGAGGGGTTGTGTGCGGGCACCCACGACCCATTACGACTTCGATAACCCGGGTCTCATGCAGAGTGCAGGAAAGGCATCTTGCAATACTGATGGCAACCTGATATCACCTTGCCCTGTCAACAAGATCCGCGCCATGATTCATGATGGGACTGCAGGAGAAGGGCTTAGAACGACCCTGAAGAATTCGCTCACCTTCTTTGACCCGACCGGTGCCGCTGACGACAGCAAATGGTATAAAGTCGCCCGTCGGTATAACGCTGGCGAAGTCCTCATGGACGAGAAGAACCTTGGCATTGGTCCTACCAAGTGCTATGCCTCGGACATTGCAAATCGCCTGGTGCAGCCCTTCGGCGACAGTACCTGCAACACGGATGTCATCGCTACCTTGACTAGCGCCCAGGGACGAATCAGTAGTAGCGGCAACACCAACAGGCAGAAGGCAGTCGAAGATGGGAACCCAGCTCCCTCTACCCAGAACCCAGCTCCCGAACTACCCAGCACGATTACATCGCAAGAGACCACCACGGTCAACAACAGCAATGCGAATAACAAGAGTCTAGGTGGAGGCCCCAGCACTCAAGATCCCATCATCCAAGGAGCTGCAAGCGGCTGCACCAAGTACTACAGTCCCCAGCAGGGCGAGACGTGCGCTTCTATACCCGTCGACTTCGCCACACTTCGCCAGCTCAACTCGGAACTGAACGACCAGTGCACGAATCTTTGGGCCGGATACGCCTACTGCGTTGCTATATAAGCACTCGGCACTTTCGTTGTGCGGGAAAAAAAAGTATCGGCAATCTTTTGGCCACTTGCATGACCTATGTTCACGACGAGCTTCGCTTGATGTTGAGGCTTTTCACTTCTTTTCTTTTCTTTTCTTTTCTTCACTTCGCTTCTCCATATATATATACTCATTTTCTGCATCCAACCCTCTGGAGGGGCATCTTTTCTCTTCGTTACATCTTGACACCAAAGACGATGACGCGAAGAGCATGGCATGGCGCTACTTTGTGTTACATACGTGACGGATATAGCTGGCATGTTAGGCGATAGCATATGTCACGCCCACTAGAAAGAATATGAAGAAACTTCATTGTAGCCTTTTTCCCAGTTCTAGAGTGTGCTATAATGAGCTCAATCGCATGCTTGCGGGTTTGGTCGTGTGGAAACATTCAAACAATTGAGAGGTTCGTGACTTGGAGTAAAGAGGGACGCAATGTTATACGGACAGCAGCCCACATAAGCACAACCATACGAAAGCAGACAAGTAAATAGAGGGTATCATAATTCATTTCACATTCTCATTATACAGGACACTCAACCCCAGCAAGTGTCGTGAAGCCGTAAGAGGTCCGCCCGATGACCCACAGTCAAAGGCGCTTTTGTTCTTCCACTGGTATATCCCTATGACTGTTTTCATATACCCTGCACGCGTTCAGTCGACAGTGGCTACCAATTCATAGCTTGCCGGCGGACCTTCAGCTACTCTCTTGGACCTTCTTGACGATCGGGACGAGGCGCTCGTAGAGAGGGTGTGACTTCTCGATACCGTTGACCTTGACGACGACATCTTCGGCGGAGTTCTCCTTGAGGATCTTGGCGAGCTCAAAGGACTCGTCGTCGCCCTCGACATTCTGGAAGCGGTAAGCCTGGTCGATGGCACCGAGAAGCGAATCGATTTTCTCGCCATTCTCAGCAAGTTGGGCAGCAGGGCCGATGAAGCGCTCCTTGCGGGACAGCTTGCGAAGGGGTGCACGGCCGACACGTTCGACATTGTCCTTGAGAATGTGGTTGGAAATACGCTCGATGATCTGGTCAACGTAATCGTTCTGTTCTTGTACGGTCACACCGTGCTTGTTGACGATCAAATGAGCAGTCTCCTGGACCGTGTCGCGGACAATGTCGTGGAGCTTCTTGTCCTTGAGGACTTCGTGCACGTAGGTCAGCTTGTTCTGGTGTCCGTAGTAGGCGGCAGTGGCGTGCGAGGTGTTGACGGTGAAGAGCTTGCGCTCAATGTAGGGCTCGAGGTCGGAGACGTAGTGAACGCCCTTGATCGCGGGCTTGTTGCCGCCGTTGGCGAATGGCGGCTCCTCGACGCACCACTCAAAGAATTTCTCGATCTTGACGTTGAGGCCGGCGTTGGGCTCCTGCTGCGGCACAATGCGGTCGATGGCGGAGTTGGCGAAGCGAGCCTTGTTGTCGATGTTCTTCTTGGTCTCTTCGCTCAGCTTGGTCTCAATGAAGCCCCTCCAGGTAGTTGTGGCGTTGATGGCATTCTCGCAGGCGATGACAGCGAGCGGGTAGTCGAGAGTGCGGGCCTCGATGGCCTTGGCAACGGGCTCAGCGACGAACTTGAGGATGTTGGGGCCGACAGCGCAGGTGACGACATCAGCGGAGGCGATCTCTTGGACGACCTTGTCCATCTCGTGCTTTGAGTTGATGGCACGGTAGTGGTCAATGGTGAACTCGCGCTCGCCATCCTCGGCGATCTCGGTGACGGTGTATGAGGATTGCTTTTGGAGAGCTTCGATGATGCTGTCCATGACATCGACGAAGACGACCTCGTAGCCAGAGTTGTGCAGGAACTCGGCGACGAAGCCACGGCCAATGTTGCCACCGCCAAAGTGGACTGCCTTCTTGTCGTAGGCCATGTTTTGTAGTGTGGGTTGTTGTAGTTGTTGTTGTAGTTGTTGTTGTAGTAGGTGAGGGGAGGTGAGGATTGAAGTGGTAGAACTGAACAAGTGAGTGTTAATGGAGCTCAGGTCAAGTAATAAAGAAGTGGGAGAAGAGGAGTGGAGTGGTGGTGTAGTAGCGTTGTTGTTGTTGTGGTGGTGGTGGTGAGGGAGGTGTTTGTTTGTTGTGTTGGTAGAATCGAGGAAAGAGCAAGTGTGGGGTATTTGTAGGGCAGGCCCTAGGTTCGCGGGGAGGCAGCAGTGAGAGCAGCGGGCCAGAGGATTGGGTCGCGAAATGAGGGCTTACCTGGGCCAGAAGCGTCTGGAGGTGGGCGGTGTGCAGTGAGGCTTCAGAGGTGCAGTAGTACACGGTTGTATTGTATTGTATGGGTGGTAGAGTGGCGGGCGGGATGCTGTTTAAGTTGGGCGCAGACAGGCGCACGCAGAGGAAGAACCCCGCAAGCTCGGTGACGTCTTGGAGGGGCACCCGATTGGCCGCTAGGAGAAAATGGCAGGCACGAACCGTCGTACTTGACAGGGGGGAGGTGCAAAAGGAGTCACTGAGAGAACGCGTGGGAGAACGGTTTGCTTTTGTAACGTCATGACTGGATGAAGATATAAAAAAGCAATTATATTAATGCCGCACACCACAGCGGCGCCCAATGTCTCGCACTGAAGAAGATGTTCAATCTGTACTCTCGGCCGTGGACAGCTGCAATCTGTGCTCGCCGCGGTCCCGAAACCTCCACAACGCGCTCCGCCTCAATTACTTTTTTTCTGCTCGTTACCAATTGCTGCTGATGGATGGGGCTGCGGACGTCATGCTTCGAATTAGTGGGCGTTCCCGCCATTAGCTCATGCCAAGCCAGCCCACTCTGAGCTGTCAACAGGGCATCCTCGTCGTGGCCTTCAAAATATCGGTCTTAGCGGAACGTTTATCCGGCGCTCTTCGTAGAATAGGATCGTCATCGATCATCATGGTTTCGCCCAAAAGGCTGCCCCAGTTTTAGGCGTGGATCGCCTGCTGCACATGTGGATAGACGGCGATCATGCGAGTGTAGAGATCTGGATGCTCACGCATCAGCCTATCGCAAACGTTAGTGCACGTTTCACATGCATTTCGTGCCAAGATCATCCTTACACTTCTGGGTCCCATGCCATGGCCACGAAGATCGTGTCCAGGCCACTGCTCAAGGGTGTCGTGAAGATGTTGCAGATTTGCAGCCCAATCAGAAACGCAAAGGCCACAACGACAGGCGTGTAACCCCCGTCCGAATTGTACGCCGGCGACGTGAAGATGAGGTAGAGGTAGGCGAGCAGTGCGCAGGCATAGGCAATGAACGTGGAGCCCATCGAAAGCACCGGGCCAATGAGACACTCATTGACGAGTGCGTCGATACCTCGATCTTTGATCATTCTGCCCATGGTTAGCTGGAGCTTCTGATACACGCCATCGCGCCGAACTTACTTCCAAGTTGCCTTCGCAGCAGCAATGTAGCTCTTCCCATAAAGCGCGATGTAGCTGAATGCGTAACGATTCAGAAACTGTACCGCCCAATCCAAAAGGCCAATCAGACATCCAAGAACACAGAAGAGGATGGAGCCAACAATGTTCCCATCACCCGCCGCGTTGCGCTGAGCAGCCGAGCAGACCTGTCGCAGGAGCTGGATGATAGCGACGAGCAAGCTACCCAAGCTGATACTGCCAAAACTATATGTAACGGCGCGTTTGAAAGCGCCACGCGTTGCTCCCTTAGGCATTGCGTTGGGAGCAAAGTACCAGGAGCCGTAGACGCCGGATATCGTCACATGGATTGTGTTTTTTAACCATCTAAAATGCACAATGTTAGCTGTGTAAACTTCCCTAGCTCCTGAATCATAACTCACTCAGATATCCAGTACATGGCAAACGTCACAAACACCAAGAGTCCGATGACCTTGCCGTTACTGCAGCCTCCACCACCGTTGCTGCAAGCCGGATTATTTCGGTTCGGCGTGTACTGGACGTAAATGGCAACCAGGGTGACCGAGTACCACGCGCCCAGCGCTGCTGCCAAAAGTCCACCAATCAACGACACGACGTAGGTATGGCCATACTTCTTCGAAACGTCAATGGACGTCTGCAGCATGAGGACGCTGAACGGAATACGGGGAACTAAATTTGAAGTCAGTGTACCCATCATACCAAGTGGTTCCTTGATACTTACTCCACGAAATGAAACAAAAGACGGCGAATATGCTGAACAGCAGGAACACAATACCACCGGACCAGTATTTCCTCGAGAGCATATAAAGCGCCGTGGCGAACCCAAATAATATGTTAAGTATGCCTGTAATCCATATAAATTGTTTCGTAAACGCCCTTGCAGCCCACATGTACGCATAGCTCAGCACTGCAGCCATACCGAGCACAAACGCAAAGAGTATGACCGTGTTCGAGTTCAGCGCGAAATCGTTTGCATTGCCATAGATGCCGCCGGTGTGGTTTTGCGCTGCGCCGTGATTAGTATCCATTTCCCTCCCCATATCAATCAACGCATAGTGTAAACGGGTTTCAACTCACAGTACCCTCTGATGGATATGGCACTCACGGCAACATATCCTAAGAAGACGGCGATGAGCAGCGCTCCCGCCCACCAGTCGTTGAACTTTGGCTTGTCGACTTTGAACGTCTGCTCGAAGCTCTGTTTGTTGTCACCGTAACCCTGCTGCTCGTATCCATTATGCTGCTGCGCTGGAGGAGGGCCTTGCGGAGCGCCGTAATTCTGGCCGTACTGTGGAGGCGGCTGTCCATATTGCTGCGGGGGTTGCTGTCCATAGTTCTTTTGGCCCTGGTAGTACGCATCCTGGGGTTGTTGTGGTGCGCCGCCAGCGTAGTAACCCGCTGCTTCGCCTTGTTGCGCCATTGCGCCTTGCAGTTGATTCGATCGAGCAATTCGAGCAATTAATGCGCGGGCGATCAAAGAACTGGGAGTAATAAATTGGGTTCACAGAACTGAAGCAAATGGAGGATTCCTCGCGTCAACTAGCAACCCTTTTGGGGGGTGGACGGACCATCGAATGCAGCAAGTGTGTGGCTGGAGATTAAGATTGTTACGTCACTGGTGCCAGCGCGGGCTCGGAGGCGCTCCGTGTCGTGGCTGCTCCCGTCCAATACTTCAGATCGACGCTGCAAGGACTGCTGGTCCGCGGCGGCATGCTTAACAGGCCAAGATTTTAAGATTGCGAAATATTGACGCCTATTCCTCGCCTCGCTCTTGACTTGCATCTCAGCTTGCTCTACATGTCAAAGCCTGTATAGCGGTCACTTCCAGCTTCTTGGGCAAGGTGTCCCCACCCTGAAGCTCGGATGTTCAGCATCTCGATAGCTGGGTCACTTATAAGCCGATCACCCATCGCGTCGTCGCACTGTCGCAAGTCCAGAAAAGTCGCTCGCTTTGTGCTCTGACTCGATTAGCCTCGCTTTGGTCACACTTGACAAATCAAGTCTTTTACTTGTCGTCTCCACTTGAGAAAAGCGCTCTCATCCCGCTCTCATACTAAGGAGGGTAGTAGAGGACATGTGAAAAGTATAATTGGGGAGGGCAGACGGAGGATCTTACGTTGGAAACCGAAGTTATCGGAAAGAGCGAGATCTAGAGTCGACGCAATCGAAATGACTGGTTGGCACGCCTATTTCCAGTCCACTCCCTTTCCTGTGTGATTGATGTCAAGATTTCTAGTTCATTAGCTCCCCAAACGCTCACACAACTTTAGCCTTCTCCCTCTCCTTCCGATGTGCCCAAATGTAAAAGAACGGATACACCGTCTCCGGCAACAACGTAACAATCATCCCTCCAATACTCCACCAGCTCCCCACGTACGCCCAGTTCTCCGGGACGTTAATGTACCGCCATATAAACACTAGGAATGCAGTAATGCAGCCTAGATATCTCGTAATCCTATGGTTCCCGTCAGCAATGCCTTCCTTACCAAATTCAAATGACATCGAGGAAGGGAAAGAAAGATGATGGGTAAATGAACAAAGACGTAAGAAAAGCAACAGACGAGAAACACCTACCATATCTCAAGACTCTGCCCCTTTGTATCCCGCCGTCGAACAAGATACAAAACCTGGCCCCACCCAATCGGCAACTCAAGATACAACCCCGTCCAAAACGCCGTCATCTGCTCCCTCTCATCCGGCCACAACCTCCCAAGATACCACAGCAACGCCATCCATGCCGGAACCTGCCACAACAGCTTCCAGACCGTTTTTCTTCGTTCTCCATCCGCATACGCGTACTTTAGTGCTACCGTTACGAAAGTAATGTCGAAAAGGAACCACACGAAAAAGCACGCTCGTTGGAAGGTCGTGGTAGTGCACACGTAGGCGTAGTAGATTTCGTAGGCCATGGTGGCAGACAGAAACTGCACGGTGCCGGCTAGGTAGCGGTCCGAGTATGTGCGGATGGTGTAGAAGATGTAACAGAATGTGTAGAGGACGCCACAGGATATTATCAGGAAGTCGGTTATGAAAAAGTATGATTCGGGAGGGTTCAATGCCACGTCCACGGACTGGGGTATCAAATGGTAGGACTCAAAGTCTTTTGCCAGTTCGAAAGCCATGGTTATAGATGTCGTTGTTGATAGCGAGGCTGTGCTGTATATTTTTTCCGAGGCTGAAAAAGACAGGATTTATGAGTATAATAGTATTAATAAAATGACGACGGTTGGGTATGAAAGGAGAGAGTTCTTTCTCTTGGGGATGTATTATTATTTCACATTGGAATCCCGATTCCTAGGTTGACTTGCGAATATCGGGACGTCGATTTCGACGCTGACATGCCAAGCTTCCGACGATTCCCGGTAAGGCGAACCTTGAAGTCAGTGGACCCGGACGCGTGGAATTTGCTATCTCCGAAGCCGACTCTTCCGTAACATGTACACCAACATTCGCCTCTTATTACGTTAAAGTAAAGTCACTGCACGTTTGGGTGCAGGATTCTTTCCATTCTAATCAGATCACATTTGTGGATTAGCAATGTTCTCGAGATTGTAGGAAAGTTTGCTGACCCGCTATGAACATAGAAGCCGGAAGAATACGAGGATGTAGACTAAGAGTTGTAGTAGGTCTGGGCAGACGATGACGTGCTCTTGCGTGTAAACGAGGTCGTCTATTCTCGAATGTGGCCTAGCGTCCCAGCCATGGGTGAAGCGACCTTCCCTGCGATCCTGAATAAGCACAATGACACGGTACAGTATAGCCTTGAAGAATGAGCGCATATGGTGGGGGTAAAGTCTACCACTCTTCCCTTGATCAATATCAAAAACCACAATCATAGATCAGGCTGAGTTCAGTTTCCAGTCGAAGTCCACCGACGTTGGATGCTACCTTTAACAGCCTCGCGGCACCGTTACCTCTCACCATCTCCCGCTTGCGCTGGTTATACCATGCCGATGATACAGTTATAACCAAGACTCTAGGTCTGCATATCTTAGCAAGTGAAAATCCTCGTGCGAATCTATTTGGCACAGGTAGAAATGCGATGCCTCGGATATAGTCCAGCAAACATAGTAAGCAGTGGGTTTTACTGTATTAGTGTTGTCCATTGCACTGACAGGTGAGAATATTTGGAGTGATTATAAGGTCAGGATGGCCTGTTGATAAGGAAGTACCACATCGCCCCACAGCCACATCCTGATAAGGGAGCCCCGACCCCGAAAATTCAGCCACCAAGATGCGCGAAACCACTTGACATTGATGTCTTCAAGCGCTAAAAGTACGTATGCTCGCTGATATGGGTATATAGTACGCAGTATGACCGCCTCTCGTTCTCGTGCAATCCTTCATGTATCATCCGTACGTAAACAGTCGTGATTAACCACCATATTATCAACCCCTCTTTGGCTTCGGGCTCTTGGAGGCCCTTGGACTCTTATGCATCATGCCCTCGCCCTGCATCTTCATCTTCTCCATAGCTTCTTCCACCTGATGCTGTTTCTTTGACACATGCATGTGCCGCCTCTCAATCTCATCCTCGAACGCATGTGCAAGCTTCCGCTTGCTCTGCCTCGCTTCTTTAGTGCGTTTGATGATGCTTTGGAATTGATCTAGAAACCAGTCGCCGGCATCCTCCCATTCGGTAGTTGGTAGTGAGCTGAAGAAATGAGACTGTCTACCAGCATCGAAGTTTTCATGTACGAACTGTAAGCGCTCAACGAGTGGCTTCCGGAGCATGTCGTTAGTGAGAGCTGGAGGGCCCGCACGAGGATCCTTGTCGAAGCTTTCGTTCTTCAAATCATCGTATTTCATTGCGAATAACTTTTCATCATCGTAGTCGCTAGCAGGGATATCATTAGAATATTCGAGTGGTGCTGGCTCTACGGGTTGTTGCTGTACAACCGGTTGCACTCTAGCTCGCGTTGATGATGTGGATTTCAAAGGGACAGCAGGCTCATGAGGTTTGGGAGGATGAAGTTGAACGCGTGTGTACCCAGATGGCTCTCGCTGAACAAGTTGTGGAGGGCGGTTGACCGGTGCGTGAGTGTTCTGACGATTGTTTGAGTGTACTGGCAGATCCGAAGCAATTCCCTTGTTGGCCTGGCTGTAAGTGGGGGGCAGGCTGGCGGGCAGGGCAGCCGCGTTGTTTGAATAACCTTGTCCTTGTCGTTGAGTGAGCTGCGGAGTGGAACGCTGCTCGCTGCGAATCTTTGCTGACTGGTGAAAGAAGTTGGTCGATTTTGGAATAGTCCGATTAGCTCCAAACATCTTCGGCACTTGTTCTTGTTGATGTAGCTGTGGTACGATTGGACGTGTGAGTTGCCCGTGGGAGTTGACTCGCTGCGGGGAAGGAGAAGTCGGGACCCTGTCGTTATAGATCTCTGAGGGTGGCTCCTGTCCTCCTTCCCATTCAGTAGGATCGCCGTTAGTTGTTGTGGGGTAAGAATCACCGTCGATAGTTCCAAATCCATACGGCTGTGTCTGCTGCAAGAACTCGATTTGCGCTTCACGAGAGTAGTCCCGGAGGCCAGCCTTTTCAAGAAGCTGAAGATTTTCTTGCGTGAGTACATAGCCATCGAAGTCTTCTTCTTCTTCCTCCTCTTCTTCAGACGCTTCCTCATCCCCACCCGACTCCTCACCGACATCGACAATCTGGCCTTGCTGTTGATGATGGCCCGGGTCTTTCTTCTGGCTATCCTCAACTTGTGTTATAGAGTGATTTACCGTTGTGTCAAGACTCTCCGCGTCAGTATCGTAAGGGTCACGCTTCTGGCCTTGACCTTGGCCCGGTTGGCGGCTCCGTCGATGTTGTTGCATGACTGCAGAGCTGTTCTGAGCATTGCCAAATCCACGGGACGGAATGGATGGCTGAACCTGTGGCTGCTGAGCAATAGGCACCTTCTTGAGTGAGATCTTTGCATTCGCAGCAATTGCCTGCCGGTCGGCTGTGACAATTGGTTGACCATTCTGTGGACTGGCTGCCCGGTCGCGATCTTTGACGAAGTTTTGCATAGCGCAGGGCGTGAACTTGCGTCCTTGTTTCAACCTGTGCCGTATTCAAGGAGTGTTTTTGTTAAAGTTCATGATGAGAGGTGGTGAGTGTTGACACTTGACAGGGAAGGCGCCGCTTGGGGAAGGCTAACCCATTTGAGAATGGCCTCGGCTGAAGCTATCGATTGGCGATGACGACGTCTAATCTCCGTAACCTATGGCCTCCCTTCACCCGTTATGTGACTTCTAGTACACTGCTAAATTCCACTTGACGAAGCCGTTATTTGCTATTGATCTAATCATGATGTCTGAATGCTACCTCTATAGGCTCCCAAACGAGGCATGTCACCTTGCGCAACAGATATATTCTAATCCACTAATAATTGTAGCTGTTACTACATCTCTTCGCTCCGATACCAACGCCTGAACTCCTCCCCTTGACGACGCTTTCTCATCGCATATACACGATTATCCTACGCATCCTACATAATCGTCTCATCGCAGCCGCATATTTACATTCACACACCCTGCTCCTCGAGTGCTACCAGCCCTCCGCGAAGCTTACCGAACCAAATTACTTCTGCGCATACCTTGGCACCGATGGCCTATCGATCTATGATGAGCCTGAGCCCAACGAAAAGAGAGTAGGCAGGCTTAGAGATATGCACAATTTGTACTCTCGCTTCCGACCACACCGACGAGACTTAGAAGCTGATGGGAGGAGAGTGTTACCGCGGCCAGGAGACGTACCTGGGAGTCGCACATTCCCAGGGACTGTTCAGGATAGACATCAAGGTGAGACAGTCAAGCAGACACTAGGCTTGGACCCGCACGAGCTGTTCACGCAATTGGTGGCGCAAATAAATCTAGTCAAGATTGGGCCGCGCAATGGTCTCTTCACCTGCTTCGTAGGTGTGGAGGATGGCGTACTGAGAGTATGGAGAGACTGGCTGCGAGACACGGCAGAAAAAGGCCGAACGGCCAATATACATGATTCGCGGCAGAACGTTGAGCAGAATGGCAAGGGCAAAGAAGTCGTTCGAGCGATTGAAAACAATGAAAACGATACAGAAGATTCACAGGTCCTATGGGTTAACCCGCTGAAGAACACCGGTATACGCTTTAATGTGAGGGAAAGAAAACTCCATCGAGACGCGCCAATCCTCATCAGGTCGGACGAGGACATGCCTGTCAGCTATGAGATTGAATATGATGGTATGTGTATTACATAATCTCCATGGTTGAAGTATTCGCTAACCCGAAGCTCAGAGCTTCTCATACGAACGTCCCATCTGCTCCTTATGCTCGAGAAATCAATGGTACAGGAAGACAATTCATCCGGCAAAGCAGTCGTCTTTGGTTCATTCGGGTAGCCTTGGGATACCACTTGCAACCATGTAGAACCAGTCTAGGTCAGCCGCATACAGACTGTAGTATGTGCCCCCGCCGTAAATGAAGAAACGCGACTGAGTACTAGTTGACGCTATATACTTGAGGTGGCCGCGCAAAAGCCAAAAAAAGAAGGGGCTACCTAGTGCAAAAAAAGCAAAAAAAAAAGCAAAAACAGAAGTGTTTTAACCCTACAGCGATTTGAACATTAAGGTCCGGGAAGCAACGAGCCGCCACTTTTTTCATGTCGTTTGGAGCTCGTTCGTCCGTCGAAAAGCTGCGTTGGACTAATGCGACACCCGAGCAGCGAGTTAGATCATGCTCAGTATGGGAGAGTGATATTCGGAAGAGGTAAGATGATCTCTGAGCTACATTTGATGTTGTCTAATATTTAAATAGTGCTAAGGCCATCGCTATTCCCTACAACACTTCTGAAAGTCAGACTATAGGGTGGGACGGACGCATCGCGATTCCCTCCAGTCTACGGACATCTTTACTCTGGGTGCGCAATATATTGGACAGTAACCGTGTCTAAGGGCCAGGCGAGTTTCTCTTTCCAAACGGGGAACGCCTCGTTTTAAGGATTTAATGCAACACCAGCGTCGACCTACTTGAACTACTCGCTGGCCACTATCACAGACATAGTTTCAAGGAAGCGTGGAGCATTCTACAACGGAAAGCGTTAGATGTGATGCGCATCCTTAGGGCGCCGAAACCACAAGCAAAAGGGATGGTTGAGCAACTAATCGAAAACAAGCGTCGCAAATCGCAGGCGAACTTTGGCACAGTTGCTAAGGATGGTGGTAATCAGGAGGACTAGGACTTACGCGGGGTGAGAGATGAAAGCAAACGGGTAGATACCTTGCCAGATGTGAAGAGAGGAGCCAAGATATTAGAACTAGAACTAAATTGCATTTAAATCATGTTTGCCTGCTGTATGCAGGAGGTGGCTTTGAGAACTGCAGAAGGCTTCGAGCTGGCGGGTAGGCTTAGTGAGAGTAAGCATCCAAAAAAAAAAAAAAAGGTTTCAAAAAAAAAAAAGCTCAAAAAGAACATGACCGCACACTGATTCGAACAGAGAGCCTAATACTGTTAATATTTCAACCGACACTCATGATTGGAGACATCTTACCTTCAGGTATTTCCATTTGCTGGAATCTGACGCGCTACCATTGCGCCATGCGGCCAGATTGTTTTCTGATGTCATAAAGAAGTTTGATATAACTATATTGGAAGTAATTCATTTTCGGCGAAGTATGACATAGCGGGTCTTTGACGTCCGTGCAGAAGGCTACCCGCATCATCTACCACTCATGTTTCATCGCCGTCGTTCGCCCCACCTTCTGCCAATTCCTGCCCGCCGCGTCGCTGAGTGACGCATGCCTATACTTCGTAAAGCGCGACGTGCATCACGGCGCCGCATTGCTCTGTTGGCCGTTCAGTTTCATGCCTTCCGGAGCACTACGAAGTCCCCCCTCTCGGCCTCTCCCTAGCCTGCCAGCACCTGCGCCCTAACCACGTCGTTCCGCTGTACTGATACCGCTCTTTATACGCCCCATGATACGAAAGCGGCCGACTCCACAACGCGGGCATTGTAGGCCATACCCACGAACATCACACATACGTCAAAGGGTTTAGGAGAACTTTCGCGAATACAATTTGTGCACGCTCATTGAGCTTATGTTGATTAGCCCACGCGAGTAGGGGCGATGAGCATGGGCATTGTACCCCCCCTGCGTTGGGTGAAAAAGGTTATTCTATATGATTACAGTCCTGTCTCGTTGCATCGCCTTACAGGATTCGATGAAATTCAAGGGCGCAGTCCTTGCCATTGCCTATAGAGGAGCCTGGCGATCCTCGCTCTTCAATCTGGCCTACATACAAAATCACGACAGCTCCCGTCTCTTTGCTCGTGCCTCATTCTCGTTCGCCGAATCTGAATCCGTCTGTCTCTTCTTTATTATGGTATTTGCTTGCTAGTCTTTTTCCTCCACGATCACGTTTCGAAGGGCTTTTAAGCTTCTTGCAAAACTCGTATCCAAAATAGCGAAGCGATTACTTGTCGGCGCATAACATGCAAAGACTTTGTCACATGCGCGAAAAAGAGTTGCACTCTTGCCCATGCTAGTCAAGCGTTTCCAGACGACCACGCAGACTATAGGGCAAAGAGACTATTCCAGTGTAAATGAGTGTGGATGAGGATATGGATGTGGAATGATGGCTGATGGGTAGGGATGGACCATACTAAGGTCGGCCTGGGAAGGCAGCAAGTCCTCAAGGATCAACTTGAGTGTATGGTGCATATGCAATTACAAGGATACTAAATAGCCACATCAAGCTCTTTGAACATTACCGCTTCCCGTGACATAAGAGGCTGTTGAGAGGCATCATTCACTTTGAGACATCATTCACTTTGTACCAAGACCTTAGGAAAACGCTGAGCCTTCAGGTTGCTCCAATTTTACTGGAATCTGACGCGCTACCATTGCGCCATAGGGCCAGATTTCATTTGTTATAAAGAAGTCGAGAAATGAAATAAATATACACTGCATATCTACGGAGTGACATGACGCAAAGAAACAGCGATGCCGACTTCTACTAGCAGGCCATACCGCTTGTCAGCAAAGGACGCCACCGCTAGTCCGTACTTTGTGTGACTTGCCTACAGAACCGTTGCACGAAGACCAGCCCCACCATGTCCCTCCCCACCGGCCAAAAAAATTGCCTGGACCGATCACAGTATCTGCGGAAGGTCCGCAACGCCTAGAGCTGGCAAAGGCAAAAAACATAGCCAAAAAAACGAGTTGGCGTCTCCGCTCCCAGAATCGAACTAGGGACCTTTCGATAACAATATGCTATTACAGTCGAACGTGATGAACCAACTACACCAAGCGGAGGATGCAACGATGGGTTACGCTTGTTTTGTAGATGACTTTTCTAAAATTAGGTAGTAAATATTGAGCTCGACAACCTCAATCAAACACAATGTTCAGCTGAAGGATGTGATGTCTGAGTAGATGGAAGAAGGGAGCGGTGGTGGGACGTGGAAAAAGTGGGGGGTGGGTCAGGGGTAAAGAATTTTCATCCATGGGAGAGTACTGTACTTAGAAGACTAACCATCCAGCTGCAATGTGATCGAGAGATGTACTAGGCAGCCCTAACCTATTTTCGAGAGTCAGTATATCGGAATTTATGAATAGTATAATATTGTCTCAAGTTTACTTCGGGCTCAACACGTACGAATATTATAGCTGATTACAGATGTGCTACAGAACATAACTCATGAACATGAACATGAACAGAGCCCAAATCTCCCTTAAAGCAAGGTACCATACCACTTGAGATTGTTTCTAGCAATAACAAGACTTTCCTTTTGCTCAGAGCCCTATGAAGTTTGATGTTCTCACACTCTCACGACTGGGACCAGATATGATGATGGCGTTAGTTCTTTGGGGTAGTGGCAGAGCACTCCTTTTGGATGCCCATATTGAATTGAGTAGCCGACTCCCGTTATTATAATGCTGTCACCAGTGCGGCGATATAGATTGATAGAGAGAAATTTCTACCCAACACATTGAATCGGAGGGAAGATGCGGTTAAGCTCAAGAAGCATCTAGACGAATACAACATAGTGATATGGACTTAACAACAGTTTCTCCACAAATAACCCTCTTTTAAAATTTATTAGTATACGGTAGTTGATGAATTGATCAAAGAGTGAGTGACACAAAGCAAAAGTCCGAATCAAGTCGAGGTAAAAGCACGTCCCACGGTCGGCGAAACTACGGGATCGACACCAAAAGTGCAGTCGCATTGTCGAGCTCCAAGACACCAGCTTTCAAGACTACTGCATCCCGACCAGTTCAACGTCAACCCTGTCTTCACGCGCCTCTACGCGCCAAATTCACACATCATGGCAGCGCACGCCGAAACCGAAGACCCGCTCTACAATCTGCGCCTCAGCATAAAAGCATCGGCAACGCCCATCCTCACCACGTCCGCGACCCCAACACCTGCCGACACTGTCGCCGACCTCGCCCTCGCAACCCACGTATCCTTCAACACCGACGATGGCGCGCACCGCACCTTCAGCCTCACATCTGCCACGCGCTTCGCGCCAGACAGCAAACCCATAGACTTGCGCAGCTGCTACTTCGCCTGGTTGAACAAAGACGCCTCTGTGACAGACTATTTTGCCGCCGTGCAAACTCTCAATGAAGAGCTACCGAGTGGAGCAGGCGGGAGTGTGCAGAATCTCACGTTTGCACAGAAGATTGAGCTGATAGCTTGGCTGAGTGGGGAGACTGAGAGTAGTGATAGTATTGCTGCTATTGACGCAGGCGCAGCGAGTACGGCGGCGGGCGATGCAGCGGCCATTGCTGGCGGAAAAGGCGTCCCAGTTGACAGGCACGTGAAGAGCGTAGGAGGAGGGAAACTAGTCGATGCGCGGCTGTTGCAAATCTATGACGGGGAGAGGAAGATGGGAGATCACAACAGTGTCCTGAGGGGAACGAAGAACATCGTACGTCTGCCTCATATCTACACCTCGGACGCCATACTAACAGGAAAACAGGACTTCTCTCCATACCGCAAAATCGCCTCAACTTTCCTCCGCAGCCGCCCCTCAGACCCTCAAGTCCCAGCACCACAACCCGCGCTCGTCTCAAACCTGCAAAAGCGCCCCCCGAAACGCCTCGAACCCATCATCCTACTCTCCCCCTCAGCTTCCTCATTGCTACGCACGTCGAACGCAAAGCCTTTCCTCAGCGACGGCATCTTCATGCCCCCGAACGCGACAGAAACCACCTCGTCCGCAACCAATATGCTGCGAATCCAACGCGTCCTGCCCTCAATATCCAGCTCGCCCATGACATTCATCCTCGTCGACAGCACAGCTAGTTTCAAACCCACGTACTGGTCCCGCGTCGTGGCCATCTTCACCACGGGCCAAACATGGCAGTTTAAGAGTTACAAGTATACCAATCCCGCGGAGCTGTTTAGCCACTATCCCGGATTGTATGTCGGCTGGGCGAACGAGGAGCCGCCGGAGAATGTAGTGGCGCTTGGGCGAGGCGTGTTGCCTGTTCGGGTGGACAAGTGGACGGGCAGTGAGAAGGGGCGGTGGAGGGATAGGGAGGTCGTGGAGCGCATTTGGGGCCGCGTCGAGGAGGGCATGCGGAAAGGTGGGTGGACAAGTTACGGGCCTGGATTGGCGGGGCAGCAAGGTGGGCGGTAGAGTCGTCGCTGAGCTCGACGCGTGTGTCTAGAGGAGGGGTGTATTGATATATTGTCCATAAACTTGGCGGCGATGGGTGTTTGGCGTTTGCTATGAGACTTGGGGCTGCACAGCGCGGTATACCTTGGAAAAGGCGTATTCAGATCCAGATCAATCAATACTTGGTTTCCACAACTGAGCAATGGTCGTCACAGGAAGCCAACGACTCTTGCGTGATGAACGGAATGAGATGGCATTGCAATGAAGTGTTCGTATATTCATATCGTATCAAAAAGTAAAATTGCAGAGCAGCCGCTCGCCAGATGACCCATTAATTCAACACAAGATTGAAATAAAATAATCCCTAGGTGATAACCCACTTTTTCCCTTTCCTTATTGAAGTCCGCTTACCACTCCAGCGGTTCCTTGATCTCCTCTCCACGATTCGTCTTAGGAACAGGCTTTGCCTCGATCTTCACAGGGCCCCGGCCGTGTCTGGCTAAAAAGCCACTGCCGTCTAGCCACGGCCACACGGCCGTCCTCTTGCGCTCGTGTGCCTCGATCTTGTCTACGCTGCTCATGGTAAGGCCAATGTCGTCTAGGCCGTTGACCAGGCAGTGTTTCCTAAACTCTTCGACGTCGAACGTAGAGAGCTCGTTGCCCTCGGCGTCGCGGATGACCTGGTTGACAAGATCGACTTCAATCTCCTTGCCGGCTTTGGCTTGCTCGGCTATGCGCTGGAGGGCGGCTGTGTCAGTGATGCGGAGGGGTAGCATGCCGTTTTTGAACGTGTTATTGAAGAAAATGTCGCCGAAGGAGGGGGCGATGATGCATTTTATGCCAAAGTCCAGTAGAGCCCATGGCGCATGCTCACGACTTGAGCCACAGCCGAAATTTGGGCCTGTGCATACAAGAATCTTCGAGTTGCGGTACGGTTCCTGGTTCAGGACAAAGCTGGGATCCTCTTCATCACCGCCCGCCAGGTATCTCCAGGCATGAAAGAGCGCAGAGCCGAGACCAGAGCGCTTGATTGTCTTGAGAAATTGTTTAGGGATGATGGCGTCGGTATCAATGTTCGCGATGTCCATCGGTGCTGCATATCCACGGAGCGTCTCGAATTTGGGCATGCCAGCGGAAGCGCCTGTGGTACTGCTATTTGAGGCTGTGTGTTGTTGAGAGTCAGGGGGGAGATCCATGATCCGTTCCATTTCGTCGTCGCTCCCGACTTCCTCCAGATGAGCATCGAGCTCAATCTTGGGGGATCCTTTCGCAGGAAATGCGGATGGTGGTGCCAACTTGCGCACGTCGGCAAGATTTCCAACGATTGCGGCGGCGGCGGCCATGACGGGCGACATCAGATGGGTTCGACCGCCAGCACCTTGTCGTCCCTCGAAGTTTCGGTTTGAGGTCGAGGCGCAGCGCTCGCCAGGGGAAAGGATATCTGGGTTCATGCCTAGGCACATTGAGCAGCCAGCTTCTCTCCATTCGAAGCCAGCGTTACTGAAGATCTTATCAAGACCTTCCGCTTCGGCCTTCTTCTTGACGAGCCCAGAACCAGGCACAATCATAGCGCGCATGATGTTGGAAGCAACCTTCTTGCCCTCGACAACACGTGCAGCTGCCCGCAGATCCTCGATACGGGCGTTTGTACAAGACCCGATAAAGACCTTATCAACCTTGACGTCCTGCATGGGCGTACCAGCGGTCAGACCCATGTACTTGAGCGCACGTTTGCACGCATCTTTCTTGACCTCATCCTCGAAATCATCAGGACCAGGAACTACGCCAGTAATCGGGATAACATCCTGTGGTGAGGTACCCCATGAAACCGTAGGCGCGATGTCCTTTGCGTCAATGTTGACCTCAATGTCAAACTTGGCGCCTTCGTCCGACTTCAGGCCCAGCCAGTAGTTACAGGCTTTCTTCCACTCTGGGCTGTTCACTTTTGGTGCTAGCGGCCGTCCCTTGAGGTAGTCAAAGGTAGTCTGGTCGGGCGCAATCATTCCGGCTCTTGCGCCGCCCTCGATGGCCATGTTACATATCGACATGCGAGCCTCCATGCTCAGGCCGCGGATAGCCGAGCCGCAGAACTCGATAACCGTGCCGGTTCCTCCGGCAGTGCCAATGATGCCAATGACGTGTAGAATGATGTCCTTGCTGCTGACTCCAGGGCCTAGCTCACCGTCGACTTGCACTTTCATGTTTTTACTCCTCCTTGTGATGATGGTCTGTGTGGCCAAAACGTGCTCCACTTCACTCGTCCCAATGCCGAATGCGAGGGCACCGAATGCGCCATGTGTAGAGGTGTGGCTGTCACCACAGACAACCGTGGTGGCAGGCAGCGTGAAGCCTTGTTCGGGCCCAATGATGTGTACAATACCCTGCCTCTTATCGTCGAGGCCAAAGTATGTGAGGTCGAATGCCTTGACGTTGTCCTCGAGAGTCATGCATTGTAACCGCGAGTCTGTCTCGTCGATGAACTTTTCGGTGGTGGTGAGGTTTTTCCGCGACGCAGTGGGGATGTTCTGTCGCATGTCAGTCCGGGATACGCGGCTCGGTAGGTACATTTTAGCACAATACATACGTGATCTACTGTGGCAAGCGTGCAGTCTGGTCGTCGTACTTTTCGGCCTGCATTTCGGAGACCCTCGAATGCTTGCTGTGGTTGTGTGAGCGCTTGCAATGGATTGAGTAGAATGCAGTGTTTACTTACTGGTGATGTCACCTCGTGGACAAGATGCCTGTCTGTGCAGCTGTCAGTGAGGAACAGGAAGGATACACAGCGTAGGATGTACCGATATAGAGCAGAATCGTGCCATCGTCCTGCTCCTGGACAATGTGGTCCTCGAAGACCTTGTCGTACAGTGTCTGCGGCGGTTTCACGGCAGACGGCATGGCGTATGCTTTGAATTTGAGCTGGGGAAAGGGGCGCAATGAGGTTGCAAGAAGCGCAGAGAGAACAAGTAGTAGATGCAGAGAAAGCGAGAATGTCGGCGCGGGCGGATATGACTATAAATGAGGCTTGTGTGGCACTCAAATCGGTGAAGGCGAACAAGGCACAAAAAGCTCCAGGCCGATGTTCGGAGTCGAGAGGGGCCTGTCTCTCGTCGAATCAAGCCGCGGGTGATGACCCGCCCCTCGGCCAGCATCGCCGCCGCCGCAGTGCATTTTGCAGGCCCGAAAGGTGCGGTGATAAGATTGTGTGATATGATGCTTCTGTCGTGCAGACACGGCTTGGTAGCCTTGCTGCGATTGCTCAATGGCGCAGCGTGAAGACGTCTTGTGAGGGCATCTGGTGTGTCCCTCCCTCACTGGCAACCGATGACGACAGTTCCCGTCGCGTGTGGCTCCAAAGGGAAGGAAGGAAGCCTGCGCCGCGCCTGCCCCGCATCTCGTTTAGCCCCGCAGCGCCGCCTCGTGAGCGGCAGCTACAAAAGTCAGCTTGTCTACCAGGACGCTGATTTGCCCTTGTGATAACATGGAGAAGCCGAAGCCACCATGTCGACATTTCGACGGGGAGCACATTGCCAACCGATTGCCATGTTGTGTTGCCTGGTGAACCGAAGTTTGTATATATACATGTATATATATTCAACCCACCCGAAGATGATGCCATACACACAACCTCCCCACCCCCATGCACGGCATGCTACCAGTTATCTACCGTAAATATCAGCAGCGCCATACGGTGCCGGATGAACAAGCCCAGAGCCCCGACCACAAACTGGAAGGCCAGCAGCCCCATGGCCAACCGATCTTCCCGCATCGGCCCAAACCACACCAGCCACAAGTTGATTAGCGTAAAGTTGGAGGACGATACAGCCTGCCCTTTCGCATCAACCTCGACATCTAGCAGCCGAAGCCGGTGCAGCAACTTGAGGCTCTCCGCTATCGGTCGACGCAGTGGCTTGCGAAACTCGACGCGCGAGGGCTCTAATAAGCCCGTCCGTGCATTAAAGTGCGGGAGCCGATGTCGGGGACACGGTACGAGGTGGAAGAGCTGAGGAGCCGAGTATACAAAGTTGAATGCTTGCGGCAGGAGGAGCAGGATCAGCGTTTTGCTAAAATGGCCCAGGATGGCCACGACCGCAAAGACCATGCCTGCAAAGTAGCAGTATGTGTCGCCTACAAATACCTTTGCCGGATACCAGTTGTGCATCAAAAGTGCCACTGATACACCGATAAAAGGTAGCAAGAGATACAGCGAAAACAAATGCGAATCGGTTGCTGGATGCGGGTAAGGCGTGAACGGCGAGAGGTAGAGGACGTCATTCCCAACTATCAAGACCGCAATAACCACCGACTGGGCCACTTCAATGCCGTTGATGCCTGCCAGGATGTTGATGCTGTTCGACGAGAAAATGGACATTAGTGCCATGTAAATGTAGTACAACCAGCCTGCCCTCGCGTTAGCACTTTGCTATGAGAAACCGATTGCTGGGCCAGAGTCCTACCCAGATCAAACAACTCGCCGAGGTATGGCCTGAGTGGTAAGGGTACGACCATTTGAGTGACGCCAAAGTCGACAAAATACACAACCAGCATTGGAATGACGGCAAAGGCTGGAATGAGCACCTTGTGACGCCATCTGATGTCGAACAAGTCGTCGCCGATGCCAAGTAGCACGATGCTCTGAAGTGAAAGAATAGCAGAGAGGTAGGATGCCAGTTTGTTGTGAGGAAACCGGTGCAGCAGTCGCCCTGTCTCAATTTCTTCCAGCTCTTTGATGACGTCTCGATTCCCTCCACCAGATGTTGCAACAACAATGTCTTTGTAAAAGGGCCATGGTATGAAGACAATCAGGACGAAGAGATAGACGATAGCACTCACTGCACCCATAGTTTCAGGACTGTTGTTGCTGTTGTCAGTTCACTGCTACAGGCAATTGTAATTTTTAGCACTCACATCTCCGTCTGCTTGAGCTTACAAAGGTCTTTGCCTTTGAACCCACGCCTGATAAAAGCGTGCCCCAGCCATCGTATCAGAGCATAGCTGAATGCAAAGGCTAGTCCACTGAACGCTATAGAGGCAACGAGTGGTTCCCCTTCCCCTTGCAGCGTATTCGCCAGAATTCCAATGCATGCAACCGACAGAGACAAAAGTGAATAAGTCTCTGTCGATGATAATGTGGTCGACATGACGCACCCTGATGTTTCAACCTTGATAACGTGATGGTGGAGCTTGGCACGTGGATGGATGATGAGGTACTTGTTCCTCGACCCTGCCAGCCGTTTGCTATCGCGTTCAGGAATGCAGCCAACAATGCACCCTCTTGGACAGTCCACTCGGCAATAGTCGGGAGTCGCTTGCACAATAGTCGTGCTGCTGCTGCTGCTGCCCTGTTTTCACTTGCGCAGAAGCAGGCTGGAGAAAGAAGGAAATCAAACTTTTAGCGATCGAATCAGACAAAGGGCCCCACGAGCGAGTGCAGAAGGACGGCCAATACAACAATCGAGAAAGGAGCGACAAGCGGCGGTTTTGGGGGGCGTGTTTCTGAGGATCCCCGTTGGCGTTGCTTGGTGGTGTTGAAAGGTGTTCGTTAGCCTCTGCCGCCCTGGGGCCTCTCCCTCTCTACTAGCCCGAAACGAGAGAAGCTCACGGTTGCCGGAGAGCATTGGCAGCCAGCCCATTATGGATCCAAACCCGCCAGCCCAGCAGTCGCCGCTTGATGTTATTCAGCTCAATCTAGATGCTGTAACCCGTCGTCTTGTGCGCCCGACTTTTCTGTCGAATCTCACGCCCTCGCGACTGCCCTCGTCGGCCGTAAGCGACTCGTCTTCTCTCAGCCCCACACGCGACGAAGCACGGTTGCACTCTGGTCCGCTCTCCCATCATCGGCACTCCCATCTTAGCCTCGCAGTCACAGTGGAAGATGTGCTCGAGCACGTTGACTTGGTCTCGCCGCTGATTCAGGAGCCCTGCGCCGACGGCAGCCCGAGCAGCGTCGAAAGGCGCGTCGTAGAGCACCTCGAGTCGCACTTTGTTGGAGCGCGTCGCGCGTATGAGAAGAAGATGGCCGCAGAGCGCTCTTTTCAGACCTTCTCCCACGGCCACCAGGATCTCGTGCTTGCCGTCGACTTCAACTACTTCGGAACCCGCATGGTCACGGCGAGCTCAGACCATCGCCTCAAGGTCTGGGACAAGAAAGACGATGCTTGGACGCTGGTCGAGAGCTGGAAGGCACATGATGCTGAGATAGTCGATGTAAGTTATCTAATCTTCAGCCGCAAGCCTCGATTCGGTTACATGCATGGGAAATTTGCCACCTCTGTGATCTGCTGCTGATTTCAAGCTAGGTCAAGTGGAACGGCCCCTTCATGGGGGAAGTCGTCGGCAGCATTGGCGAAGATGGCCGCTGCAAGCTCTGGCAAGAAGATGTCACAGAGGTGCCCATGTCAGGCAACCGATTCAAGCTGATCACGAATCTTGCTTCTCAGACTCACGCTCCGTTCATGTCACTCGACTTCAAGAACATTATGCAGGAGACGTGGCTGGCCTTGATCACACGCGACGGCTATCTAACTGTCTATGAACCTCAAGACCAGAGCAGTCTCAATGAATGGACCATCTTAGCCGAGCGCTGGGTGTCCGAGAACAATCCCCCCGAGCGCCAAGAAGAGGTGGGATTTAAGGTTGTGTTTCACAAGGAGAAGCTGCCATGCTGGACAGCTATCATGGCTGGCCTGGATCGAAAATCCCTGTCGCTTGCTGTTGCAGCTATGAAGGACGTCCTTGTATTTAGGACCGACAAGGCCAAACGCTTCTTCCAAGTAGCCAAGCTAGAGGGTGCTCGCCAGATCATCCGCGACTTAGCTTGGGCGAATGGCTCTATGCGAGGTCATGATATTCTTGCGACAGCCAGCAAGGACGGCGCCATCCGCATCTACGAGCTATCAACGCCTACCTCGGGAAAGTCTTCAACTAGCGGAACCTTGATAGCCTCCACGGCCACAGAGCCCACTTCTCCACGTCCTGACCCACGGAAGAATGCGCCATCTGGTATAGGAGCCGGACTGGCGGGAGCATCGAAGGCGCCAGACACGACACTTGAGAATGAGCAATATCCGGGACGCATAAGGCAGGTAGCGAAGCTCACGGATGAGCTCACTAATCATCATGGAGCTGTTTGGCGAGTCACCTTCTCTCAGATGGGTAAGCTCGCGCAAAATATACCTGAGAGAGCTTCACTGACCATGTGTGCAGGCGACCTGCTTGTTTCGACCGGAGATGATGCTTCCATCCGCACCTGGAAGAAAGCCGTCAACGGCAAATGGGCGGAGTACGCGGAGATCGAGACTGCACGCGAGAACTAATACTCGCGTAGCAGAATTTGGGGGCGGATCGGCGTTCTGGATAGATTGTTTCGCGGATTCTCGTCGCGGAGTTTAGGCACATGACTACATTCTGACTTCCGCCCACGTCGAAGTCACTTTGCATTCTAGATACCCCATGGTTTCGCTAGGAACACGGCTAGCTCTATCCTGGGTTATGTAAGTCATTTAGCTCTTTTACTGAGAGACTTTGGGGCTATGGTCATGAATGCGATGGCGTTACTCGATTGTTCGCTTGTTGCGTCACCACATTCCTCACACTCAGCCATCGCTATACCAGCCACAGCGCATTCCGCACCAACCATCGTGAACTGAGAACTGAACTTGAGCTCAAAAGTTCTGCCCACATCCTAATCATGGCCCCGCAAATATCCAACTACACCTGGCGCTCGCTCAACTCGCTGATAGATTTGCTCCATCCTGAATCAATTGTACCCGATCCTACACCAACACCTAATTGCCCAACGTTCAGCCACGATGCTCTTTCGTCGCCATTCTCCGTCCCGCCTTCATCCCGTCACTCCCCCGACCGACCAGTATTGCGCACAACCGCCTCCGAAAACTTCCACTCGGACACAGAAGACACTCGCGGAGATCTTAGCCCTATCTGCCAGTTTAACGAAACCTCTACCACATGAACCCCGAACTATCACCAATCACTATCACTTTTCGAACTCGCAACGGTCCGATAGCTCATCAGAGCATCACGGGAGCCCTACGCGGGAGCCAAGAAGCAAAAAGACAGGCCACGCCACCATTCACACTGATGCTACGAATAATCAAGCGGCGTTCGAGAGCGACGCCTTCGCCGTGCACATGCCAACCACTCGTTTGCCCATCATCGACCGTCCTATTTCGCCAACAAAGTCACCTATAGCCCAAGCCGCGGCCTATCAGACTTACAAAGAAAAGGCACGCCAAGTGCGCGAGAGAAACAATAGTCAAGGTGTACGGGTACCGTCAAAGATTGTATCTTATGACTACGCGTCACCTACTATTGCCGGCCACAGAGCACCTTTGAAGAGAGGTATCGATCCACTAAAGAGTCTACCTACGCCTGCGGGAGCTTTCCCCATAAGCCCACCGCTGCCGCAAATAGGGTGGATGCGACCTGAACCAGTGTACAGAGCTCATGCTCAAGGCCCTCGGGATATCACTGAGCGTCGCAAAATGTACACACCACGCAAAGCAGTAGGACTGCCTACCAAAGTCTCTACACCGAGAACACGGTACACATACCACTCAGATTCAGAAGCGGGAGCTTCATGTTCCACATCCTCGCCCGCGTCATCACCACGACAAGTGCCGGCTACAATCAAGGCCCGCCTCAAGCCAAAGTTCGTGGTCCCAGAAGTAGAGCATGTTCAAACAGAAAGTCGATACGGGTTCTACAATCGACCCTCTCCCACTTCCTCGCCCCGGACTTCTCGGTCTTCGAGTCCGGTCAAGTCAATGCCGAACTTCATGCACAGCTCATGCGAAGGAGACTCGATATTCGGCTACAGAAGTAAAGTCGTCGCTGGTGCTGTGATCGGTGGAAGCTCTACTTCTGCCACTTCCGGCAGCGACAAAGAGAAGGCGAAGAGCAGGATAATAGACAAGCCGAAGAAAACGACGCCACCAAAACACTCGCTCACGTCCCGATGGCCCTGGCATAGACCTGCAGGACCACGCGTCTACAAGCCCGTCTCCGTGCCTATAGCATCAATGCCGACTGCAGTAAGGGCTAGGGCGTATGTCGATCCATTCGACACACACGCCACACAGCCTACCACTCTACCGCTACGCACTCCAATTGCGACTAGACCAGCCTCACCGCATAGATTCGCCCGAACAACTATGCCAGCACCACAGGGCAAGTTCGACTCCGGCTTTGCGCAGATCAAGAGTCTCACGCTACTCCTACTGAAGATCGGCTTATTCATGTACGTTGTTGTTGCGCTATGGTACGTCCTCGACGCCATACGGGAGGTGTTCCACACGTTAAGCGCACCTTTTCGCGCTTTCAAATGGGCTTGGGGGTTCGTTTGGTTCTTCTGTCTTTGGTTCGCGAGGATTGGAATTATCATGTGTGAGAAATGGGTCTTTAAGGCTGTGCTCGAGGGTGGGTGGATGTGGAAGATGAGGTAGTAGACATTTTGATCAATCGCAGGCAGTAGCTCATATTTGCTCAGCTAGATTATCGCTTCTATCGCAATAAATCTCTTGAATAATAAGTCATCTTCCTTTCCCTGTGATTGCCATGTGCTCAACGATTTGTCGACCGACGTGCTTCCGTCACCAGCTCGCCTAGACTTCAACTTTACTTTCACCTCCCACCACCACTACGTCCTCATGACGCAATAAACCTCGCATATGACCCTCTAGCGCCAGGCAGCAGCTTCCATGAGCTTCCAGCGGCTTTTTTCGGCAGGCCATGCTCAGACCCGAGCCCATATATTTAGTATGAGGCTCTGTCTGAGTGCTGCGAACACCAATTTCACGTCCCTAAACTACGCACGGTGGCAGGCCTGGTGCCTAATCACGAGACATGCGAGCATATGCTGGGGGATGTGGGTATATAAACAACGCTGCCCACCTTCCTTGGGCCTTTTGTCCATCACTTCTACTTTCCACGTGCCTCAGCCCCTTCCGGATATCAATTCAATCACTCTCTCGTATCTCTTCGAGGCTCGCCTTCCACTATGACAACGGTCAGACAATCAGATAAAGCTTTGCGACAGCTGGCTACTCGCCAAAGGTACTCACCACACACACCTCAGGTCTGGCTCCGGTGACTGACTGACAACAGGGCTAACGGGCGGCTTTCAGTTTCGGCTGCAGTCAACATGTATTTCAGCTCCCTGCCCTTTTATCTACTTCTAACACTAGTCAGTGAGCTGGGCTCTCACCAAATGTCTCTACGGCCATGAGGTATCCGCACATGACAACAACACCAACAACTTGTCAACAACACCAACTCGGGCCAGCAACCACCGAGAGCTTGTGCTGAAAGAGTCCACACTTTCCACGTTGAATCCACATCAACCACTTGCTCAACACATAGTCAACATCAAACACTCATACCGATCGACGACTTGAACCACAATACTACAACATCACATCAGCAATTCAGTGTCAATCATGGCTCAGCTCGGCATCGTTTGTAAATAGCATTGAAGTGTAGGCACTCTCACTCCTTCAGCATCCAGTCACTAACATCATCCAGATCAGGTTCTCGTTTGGCATTTCTCTCTCTTTCTTCACACGTTTGGTCTTACCAAGTTCCACTCCACCCTAGCTGCAGCCCACCCGTCCGACCAAACACCCCTCAGATCCAAGCAGCATGGCCTCAGCGCCTCAGTGGAAGGTCTCCCGATCATGTGTCGGTGCGATGTCACTCCAGCGCCTTTGTTTCTGAGACGGTGCTTCGGTCTCACATGACGGTGTACCTTTTAGCTGCAGTCGGGGTCCCGGGAACGGCGATGAGCTTCTGGGAATCTGGCTCGCGTTGCCTTGTGCATTAACGGAAGGTCCCCCGATCGTATGTGTCGGTGTGGTACGTCGCTCCGGCGTGTCGGTGCAGTAGAGGCTCGGGAATTTCTGATGGTGGGTGTTGTGAAGTTGGAGGGTGGGCGCATCTAATTCAGCATGTTGGATTGGTGGGTGGTCTGGGTGGTTATTTATGATGATTATATCTTGAATGACGAGAACTTGATTACTTCATTCACATACTCCCTCGTTATGGCTGCAATGTGTGTGATGTTTAAGTGTACGAGGTACCGGCTCTGATCTGTATTGTTGGGGGATCTGAGCTCGCAGCTGCGGCTATTGGCGTAAACTTGCATGATCGTAAAGGTGTACTCAGTCGGACTGCATCTCTTTCGCGAGTACAACGATTAGGCGAAGCCTATCGGTTTGCTGTCGAAGCGAAAGAAGATAGTAATTCCATCTGGTGTTGTTAGTGTTTTGGCATGATACATATCCTGTGTGTGATCATTTCTATTCCTTGACGCTCTCATTTCATCAGTTATGCAATCGCTAAATCCACGAACCCTACATGCTATCCTCTCTCCACCTACTCCTAACCCTCTGCCAGCCCTCCATCTCCTTCTTCCCGCCCTTCGTCTCCATACCCAGCCCGCGCTCCACCCACTCCTGGCTCCCCATCTCAGCCAAACGACTCAGCGCACGCGCAAACGCAAACCTCTCCTCGTCACCAGAGAAAATACTAGAGTTCTTGAGCATGTCCATGTTCATGCCGAGGTCGTCCATGAGGTTCCGCATCACGTCAGATATAGCTCCGTGGTCATCAGTGGAAGAGGATTTAGCAGAGGTGGGTAACTGGCCCTTATCCTGCGAGGCGGTGACTGCGTCGTTGAGTTCGGATTGGTCGAGGAAGAGCGATGTCAGAGGGACCGCGGTGGTCATGACTAGTTTAGCCTACGGAGTGTTAGCACGCATCTCATTCCGCTCCCTAGCACCTGCGCAGATATTACTTACCCTGCTCTCGTATAACGCGTCTATAAACGTGATGAATCTTCTTGCCAAGTCTCTGCTCTTGAAGTTCATACCAGGAACGTCGGTGATGACGAACGCTTCATAACTCCTCGTCAATTCTAAATAATCCGCCGCCCCCGTCGCTCTCCCAATAATTTGATCAAAGCTAAACCAAGCACACTTGCCGCTCGCCTTGGGCACTTCAATATCCCTTCCCCAGACCTGGTGTACGGCTGTATGTGGAGGGTCGTTCTCGAAGTCGCCAAGGAAGCGAAACCAGTGCTCTGCGTGGGTTTGTGCGGATTTGTCGAGCGGGTGATGGTACACGCCGGAGGGTGGGCGCGGGATTTTGCGGTAGTCGGTAGAGGAGTCGAGGTTTAGGACTTTGAGGCGGGTTTTCAGGAGGTTTATACAAGGAATGAAAGAGTCCCTTTGGATTCCGTTCTTATACAAGTCGTCCGGGTGTCGATTTGACGTAGTGACTATGACGGTGCCGTGCGCCATGAGCGACTCCATAAGTCTACGTAGGATCATGGCGTCTGCTACATCTGTACATTGGAATTCGTCGAAGCAAAGGACCGAGGATCGCTCTGCTATGCCTGCTGCTACGAAGGGAATTGAATCTATATCGTTGCCGTGCTGCATTTTCATCTTGTGGAGGTCTTTATGCACGCTCTGCATGAATGCGTGGAAATGTATTCGCGTCTTGCGCTTGATGTTTGGTGGGAGGGTGTCGAAGAAGAGATCCATCATCATGGTCTTGCCAGAACCGACGTCGCCGTACATGTATATGCCTTTGGGTAGCGATTCGGGTATTGGCGGTAGTGCAGACGACGCAGTTGTCGAGGAGGAGAGGAAAGAGAAGAATGACTTCTTGGGCGGCTGTAGAGATTCTATTGTGGGTTGAACGACGGTGGGTGGTGAGTAGTTCAAGAGCATGTTATGGAGGTCTTCGAGGTTCTTGATGAGACCTAAACTATTGTTAGAACACTTCTATATCCAGATATCTGCGCTTGGTACCTCTTTGGTGTTCATCGTCTCTCAACCGTCCCGACTCTACACGCGCATCGTACTCGGCCATTGGGCCATGAACTCTACCCGCGTCTTCATGCGAGTCTAACTTCGTTAGCGGAACTCCTTCGATCGCTCCCTGCTATCCGTACATACACTCCTTCGCTGCCTGTGCTGCCTGTGCTGCCTGCGCATACCCTCTGTATTCCACGCTTGTAAAGGGAGTGGTTGGCACACGCCCAAACTCCACTCTGCTTGGGGGATTGTGCGCGCGCGCATTCCTCCCCACCCTCAGACTTCTCAAGCAGTCTGTACATATTGTTTTTCTAGCTTCCACTCGTAGCGCTCGTCTCGGCCTCGGCGTAGCATGCCGCGAAAGGGTCCTCAGCCCTCGAAGAGTTTCGGATGATGTCATATTTGCGATTGGGCGTGATAACGCATAAAGTAAATAAAACAAAAGAAGGAGTAAGCGGTCTATAGCATGCTAAAAAGCGCTCACAGAGGGTATCACACGGTAAAGCAGGGCACAGCTGAGGGACAGTCAAACATGTGGTAGACCAGAGTCTTTAGCGGCCGCCGCCCGGGGAGTGCTCGTCTTCTCCTCGGCTTTCGGGAATTTCGCCTGCCACCAGTGCCACAGCACGTGTCCACGGTGCAGGGCGAATCGGGGCCAATTCAATTACCGAGCAAAGGTACGAACGAGTGGACAGCCTGTGATCACTTTGCGGATCCCATGAAATTATGTTGGGGTTTGAAGGTTCATGAGTAGTCTACCGCCCTCTACCCATTACGACTCTTCCTCCGCAGCCACGCTCTCATACCGCTCGCCTCCCCTGCTACTCTGATATCGCATCTTCGGTACATCGTATAGCCTGGTATAATCGACCCTTTCACCACCTAGCCTTGCATAGCCACCTTCCTTCTTGCCAAAAACAGGACTCCCATCGCAAAAGAAGTCCTTGCAGTTTGTGACCATGCCTCTCGAGAACGGATTACCCCGTCTCTGGCTCTGCTGTTGACCTGCTCGGGATCCTTGAAGTGCAGTAGCAACACAAGTATCAAGTCCTAATAGACGTTTCCATTGGTCCCAAATACTCGCCTTCGGCTCCCTTCGTACGGGTGCATCACCAGTATCCTGGCCACTCCCAAAGCCATTCGTTGGCGCACTACCACCAGGAGTTACATCTTGACTTATATCGCCCGTCGTAACGAACGAGTTCAGTGCGTCAGCGGGTGTATGGGAGTGCAAGTGACCGCGCATGCTCTCGTAAGTAGTGAGGTTGCGCGCAACTTGTAGGAGCTGCACGCCCAGCAGCATGGTCACCCATGTTAGTTGGAAGGCGGCCCAGATGGACAGGACGATTGTGAACGGGTCCTTGTTGAGGATGGCGCAGAGGTCGGGCGAGAGAACAGCGCATTGTACATCCTTGGGTGTGTCGCGGATTTCCAAATCTACGAGTCTTTAGCTGGATAGTCTTTGTAGTAACCGATTGACTCGAACTTACAAGCAAGCACTACGCGAATAAAGAACAGGATACCAATCTCTAGAGAGAGTATGTATAATATGAAATGCCGATGATTGTTATTTGCAACACAGTTATTCACCCATGGACAATGACTGCGAAAATTAGTACAACCCATCTCAACCCAGGCTATGGCACTTACTGATCACTCTTCGCAACGCATCGCTCACATCTCTTGCAATGCTTACTCCTTAATGGCTTCCTTACCATGCAATTCACACAAAAGTGGTGTTCGTCAAACTGCCGTAACTCCATAAGCTCGTCGATAACCGCCTTTGAGGCGCTTCTGCTTGCTGATTTGGGCACGTAGCCAGGATCGGAGGACATGGTGAAGAAATAGAAATATCCCGTAAGTCCGTAAAATATAGCGAATAGTAGGTTGAGGAAAAAGTTCGTTCGTATGGTCCCTGTCGGTGTTAATATGAGACAAATGTTTGACGGTAGGAGGTAACCCACATGGTAGGACCGTCGTTATCCATCGTAGACCGACCCAGAACAAGGTGGCGGCAAAGATGCCGGCTAAGAAAGGCTGGGGTCTTGTCAGTGTCTCTACTCTGGAATACTTTTGATTCAGAACTCACGGTATGATGTATACTCCTCATATTTGAAGGAGCCCACCCCAGCAGCTTTTGCGCCGCCCACTGCATAATATACGAAACAATCAACGCCGCCGGTATGCCCAAAAACGCTGGATAGTAGCTGATCAAGAACAGGGCCATGAAAATCATCGCAAACGGCCAGAAGAATGCGAAACGACTGAGAAACCATCTCGTGTCCTTTACTCCCGGGATTGGAAACTGCTTCGCATTCCCATCCTTATCGAATCCGGCTTCCGACAGCGCGCGATGCCATTGTCGTGTTGTACTCATCTCTTCCGCTGTGACCGCTGGTGTCTTGCCGTCATTATTCTTCGCAAACCGGTCCACGCCATATTCCAGCAGCTTCTGTATAGAGCCTTGAGAGCCCTTGACGAGTGCCCAATGTAGAGCCGTAAACCCCTGGTCATCCGTCGCATATACATTCGCGCCCCATCTGAGGAACAGATCCACACAAGAGGAATAGCCCTTGTACGCTGCCCACATGAGCGGGGTGTGTGATTGCAAATCTGGGATATCTACGGGTATATCTTGGTGTAGGAGCAATACAAGTTGGTACACATTCCCGTCGAGGGTCGCAGAGTGGAGGAGGTTGAAGCCTTGGTCGTCGGTGAGGAGAGGATCGGCGCCATGGTCGAGGAGCAGATTGACGACGTAGTAGTTGCAGCGCTTTGCGGCCCAAAGGACGGGTGTTGCAACGGCATCCCCACCTTTTGCGTTTATGGGAGCGCCGGCTTGGATGAGGAAGTGGCAGAGGGCGTAATGGTTGTTGATTGCTGCCCACTATTTCAACTATTAGCCTTCCTTGACGCCATGGCGATCATAATAGGGTATATTCGCACATGTAGCGGTGTTATGCCCTGCTCATCCGTGTATGTCGCATCAAACGTGCCGCTGTCAAACAGCTTCTGTATAGCTGTAATCTCGCCGAGCCGGGCCAACTGCATGATATCCTCCTCGATCGGTAAAGTGGGCTTCTTGTCTGCCATGTCGGAGAGCTCATGCTCGCCCACTGGGAGCCCGTTGGCTTCGGGCTGTGCGGCGGAGGACATTTCGGGGGTCCGCGTGGGAGTGTCGAGCCGCTTGAGCAAGTTGACCAGTTGAGCCTCGCAACACTGGAGCTTCGCTAGAAGATTCGGCTGTAGGTGTCGGCAGAGGCGTAAATGCGTCAACTCAGAAGAGGCATACTGAGGGTATTACTACAAGGTCGAATCTAGGATTACGAAGCTGACCAGGCGCCGGAGCTGCGGCATCTCCAAATCTCGAATGCGACCAATGCGTTCATCAAGACCCCTGCTTCTCTAACGCCGTTTGTGGCAGTGCCGCGCAAGCCTCATCCCGTTATGTAGAGCGATGCGAAGATCTACGTTGCTTATATTTGGAATCATACTAGCAAAGGCGATAGAAGGATGTGAAGTTGTTGTTGTTGTTGTAAATATTCGTCCCTGATAGTGCATTCGTCGCACGTTTGCTAGGTTTCAGAGAACCAACCTTCAACTGACAAGCACATAACTTCCAAGCTGGTCCACAGCATGAAAGTCACCAACCCGAAAGATATGGAGCTTAGCAAGCTGCTGGGCTTGACTTTAACTACCCTCCCAATGTGAATGTCACTTGCCTTTCCCTCCTCATTTAGCAGATTCAACCCAAACCCGATTGAAGTCGAAGGCCAAAATCATACCACAGCAGCAATTGATGGTTTGACACCATTTGCCTAATTAGGCAGGTTCAATCTTGCTTCCGCCTGTGGAATGCCACACCCATCGTTAGACCCACGCGCCAGCCCACACCTTCACGCGTCTCCTATCTTATTAATTTCGGCAATTCAGTAAATTAGCGAACGTGCCCTTGATTGGGTATTTAGAAGCAGCAACTTTTGAACAAGTGAAAACACCATAAACCCCTCCCACATATGCTATACCATTCTAAGCCCATCAACCTTCTAAGCCAACATCTCGCTGAACTCACTCCCCTCTTTCAGCATATCTGCTGCTTTACCGGCTTTAATCAACTTTCCCTTGCCCAGCACGATGCAGTAGTCTGCATTTTTGACAGCTTCTAGTCTATGGGCGATGGTGATCACGGTACTTTCCTTCATCTCTTCTCTGAGAACATTCTGGATCCGTTGCGCCGTTTCGAAATCGATGCTGGCAGTGGCTTCATCCATGATAAGTATCGGGCTCCTCCTCAGCATGGCTCTTGCAAGTCCAACAAGCTGTCTCTGCCCCTGTGACAGTCCTTTCCCCCCACCTTCGATGTTGGTGGATAGCGTCCAGTCATGGCTTCCTGCAATCTTTGCAAGAACGGATTCGCAGGCTGCATCGGAATATTCGTCTAGCGGGTCGAGGTTCTTCCGCATACTGCCGGGGAAGAGAACAGGTTCTTGGGCCAGGAAAGTGACGCGGCTGCGTAACGCTTGCTTGTTCACTGTCGAGACATCGATGCCGTCAATGGATATGGTTCCGCTCTCCGGTATGATCGTGGCGAGCAGGCACAATGCTAGGGTGGATTTTCCAGACCCAGTGCGGCCAATGACTGCGGTGTTGCTTCCCGCTGGAAATTTAAGCGTGATGTTTTGAAGCGCGGGGTCGAGATGTGGAGCGTATCGTATGGTTACATCCTCGAACTCAATATCACCGCTGTATGTCGGCCAATATGCAGGAGGATCAACAACGCCTGGTGGTTCCGTCTCGATATCCAGAAGTTCAACCACACGTTCTACGCTTGTAAAGTCCATTTCGAGCATTCCGTAGACCCTACACATCCACTCTGTATGAACAACAAATCTATTCGCTGTGACCAAGATGAAGGCTGTTAGACCAGGACTAATTCCTGTGTAGACAGCGATGAGTGCCATGACGAAGGTAGCACTCGCTGACATGAAACTAAAGCGGATGGCTAGCCATGCTTGCAATGACCAGTAGAAGTGGTCGTTCTTCTGAAAATCGTCGACGACTTCGATAACACGTGCTTGAAAACGTTCCTGTGCGTTGAAGGCGCGTACGGTTGTCAGGCCCTCCACTAGGGCTCCGAAGTTCGACATAAGGGGTGAGAGAGATACCATCTAGGGAATGTCAGTATTGAGAACACTTTAGAATGCGATAGCGTGAAGATTGATCTTACCTCAAGCCGCCTCAAGCTCTGCGAGGTTGGTAAGAAGCGGAAGAAATAGTACACAAACCCATAGCAGAGAACTAAGCCAAAGGCTAGGAACGTCGGCGTCGCGGATAGGATGATGGCAATGCTGATAATCCATCCGATAAATTGCCACGCGAAGACGGTGAATGCCCCACTTAAGTCGCCATCAATGGTATTCATATCACTCGTCAATCGGTTCATCAACCGTCCGACTGGCGTGATGTCATAAAACCTGAAATTCGCGTGGGCAACGCGCTCAATCGTCTCCTCGAATATGGTTTTCGCTGCACGATATCCCACGCCGAACATGATTAGGTTGGTCCACCAAAAGAGTACAGATGTCGCTATGACGAAGACCAAAAAGGTCCAGACCCAAGGTACAACGTTCTCAGCTGCTGGAGGAAGGAATTCGAATATACCTTTTGGCTTTCCAAAGTCGTAGCTCTCTCCCCACACTTTGGCGAACCAAGCTTGCTGAATGTCAATCACACGGTACAGTGCCATGATGACAACGACAACGAACCACCAACGGAGCGTTCCTGCTTTGATATAGCGCCAGTAAACGCGCAGTTTAACACCGCCTTTCGCGCGGTGCTCATCTTCGATGAATTTATCCGGGGTAGCGGCGGCTTGTTCTTCTTCAAGCTTTTTGGCTTCTTCTTCAGATATGGACTCGTTAGTCTGCGTGCGCTGTAGCTCTTTGGCATCTTCGGCTCTGGTGGGTTCGTGCAAGATGGCTCGACCGTGATCGATTTGAATCCACTGCTTGGCGAGATCGTGGCAGAGCTCAGTGCGATGCGTAACCAGAATTGTTGTTCTACCTTCGAGTAGTGGTCCGTCCAGCAGTTTGTGCACGATGAACTCAGCAGTCTGGTGGTCGAGCGCAGATAATGGGTCGTCGAGAAGGAGTACTTTGGCGCTGCTGTACACAGCTCGAGCCAGTGCCACTCGAGCCTTCTGTCCACCCGACAAGCCGATTCCGTTCTCGCCGATATTTGAGAGGTCGCCGTGCTTAAACTCAGCCATGTCAGGCAACAATGCACAGGCTTCCAGAACCTTCTTATATCGGCCTTCGTCATAAGGATAAGAAAAGACAATGTTGTCCCGGATGCTCATGCTCTGGAGCCAAGGGGTTTGAGCACAGTACCCAATGACTTGATCAGGCTGTATGAAGTCTCCTACAGTCTTATCAAGCTCCCCAAGCAATGCTTGCAAAAGAGCCGTCTTCCCTGCAGCCACCTCTCCATAGATTACAGTTAAACCGGGAGGGAAGGACAGGGTGAGATGTTCAAGTACGTTCCTGTCCACTCCAGGCCAAGAAAAGGATGCTTCGTGGAGACCGAGATTCGCGGAGTCTTCACGGGCTACGTCGGTTTGTTCCTTGTCCGGTTCGTCCATGAAATCCTCAATGCGGCGCATCGCGACGTAGGCATTGAGAATCGTCGTGACTAGCGCTGGGATAGCACGAAGGTAGTTTTCTAGTAGCCAGAACAGGTCAAAGGCAGGAAAAATGATATCAACCCGAAGAGGTTTGCCAGCTAAAGCGGTAAACGCGTAGAAGGTAACAGCCGGAAATAAGCCCGACCCAAATCTCAGAATAAAGGCGAGTGAAGTGGTAAAGATTATTTGAATGATGCGCAAATGCAGCTCTTTCTGCCTCGATTCGAGAATGCCTTTTAACCAAGCGTCTTGCCAACCATACCAGCGTAAGTGCCGGATTGATTCGATGAATTGGGTCGTCCTCTGTAGTTTTTCGTCTGTTGCCTCCCTACGCTTTTTCTCGAAGTAGACTTGGTATCGAGCAATGACAATGTTAATTAGTTGTGAAACACCCAGTGCAAACACACCAAGCAAGCAAGCCCATCCTAACATTCGCCAGATGAGTATAGTCGCAAAAACTGCACCAGCCGGCTTGGTAAGAATATCGGAAAATTCCCAGAATCGCTGAGATATTTCATAAACGTCATTGCGCATCAGATTTAGAATTTTCCCCGCTGATGCAGGTTCTTTCTCTCTCTCAGCTTCCTCTTTAGGCTTTCTTGTAAATGCCAATCGGAATGATACGCTAAGGCGCTTCAGCCAGCCTTGAGAGACGGTCTTGCTGGCTCCATGGTTGCCATTAGTCTCTCCACTCTCTGCTGTAAGGTCTTCACCGTTCGTGTGGCCATTTTGTGGCTCTGCTTTGGCTTCCTGCTTCGCACCCAGGATCTTCCGGTTTAGGGTTTTCTCGTACAGCATTGTAATCAGCTCACCTCGAGACCTTTCGTATGCTCGTCTCTGGTACCAAAGAACGAACACGTTGAGCTGCGCCGAGATGAGACGAAGAAAAAGGCCCATGGAGGCATACGTGACTTTGGCACTTCTTGGAGAAGTTGGATCGTTCATTGAAGCCAACAGGCGTTGGAGGAGTACAGGGGTTAGGAGGGCTGCTCAAGTTAGAGTTGAATCGATTATAGTTGAACGGTCTTGGAGCTTACTTGCTGCTAGTCGGACAACATTTAAGCTTGTCGTGAGTACTAAGTCCAAGCCATTTGCTACGAATATCCTTCTAGTGACCGATCCTGGAAGCTTCCTGAAGGCATGGTGAAGGCGCACATGCTTGAATTCGTAACCAAGGCTCCAGACGTCCTGGTCCTCCATGTCTTGTGTGACTCCCTTCTGTATGAGTGGAGCCATCCACGACACAACCATGTATTGCCATGGAGTAAGGTTGTCCTCGGGAGTTCTCAGCTCTACTGTTGGGGGAGTGAAAACTGGACTGATCTCTTTATTTGAAAGGTTTGGGTCTCTTAGCGGCATATTAAGAATTATGAAGATGCCGAGGAGTGCCGCTACTGGCGCAAGAACTAAAGGGATGTTCTTAGCAGCGAAGGGGTCTTGTGTATGTGACAGCATAACCAGTTCTGCGAATAAGAGGCCCGCGAACAAGAGTAATAGCGATAATGACGCGGTTCTCGGGCGCTCAAGTACTATTAGAGCGCATGCGATACCCTGAAATACACGTTAGTCAAAGTGACAAGGAGTTACTAACGGACTACACACACCCATGCGATTGAAGGGTATACAGCTGTGATCTGACGAAGTGGAAAGAACGCAGTGATAATTTGCAATGTGAGCCCAATTGAGGCTACCGTCAAGAGGCCAAAGGTCGCAGTCAAGGTTCGGTGTGGCGTATCTACCTCGAATTCGTTGGAATGCTCCTTCGTTTCTCGCACAAAAGATTTCGTCCATGCTGGTCGATACGCTTTGAAGATTCGCAATAAGTAAGTGAGCAGTATCAATGCTCCAAGTATGGCTGGGACTGTTGCGATGTACGGAACAAAGCATGACGTGAAGCGAGCCGTTCGTATATCCTATTGAGTCTCAGCAATCTCATTTCCAATTTGCTGGAATGTTCACTTACCCAGATGCGCTGACAATACATTATTGGCGGAACACTCTGAGAAAGCGAAGACAAGTTTGAAGACATTGGCATCTGCAGGGACGCCATGGCGTAGTCGACCCACTCGCTATTTTCACAGCACTTGCTTCCACCTGAGTCTCGACCGGCCAGAACACGAGAAGGTGATGGAAAACAGCATGTAGCCCGAGTGAAATATTTGACTTCTAGGCATCAACCTGAGTCAGCGAGATGGAAAGATTGATGAGAGCGTCCCGAGGTCGGTGAGCAGCTAAACGCTGGTGGCGCGGGAGCAGATTTAGCGCTAACGGTCTGTTCATTACAACACAAACGCACGTGCATCCGTCCATCTAGCTTCTTTTATTGTATGTCGAAATATTTACTCTCAAAGACGCAAGGAACGCATGGTTACTCTAAGCAAGGCTGCATGATGCGAGTAACGGGTCTAAATTCGGGTTCGGCGAGGGTCTGCGTAGGCCCTGTCCATCAGATACGTCTTTAGGCAACAATCAACGGTCTCGCATACCGGTAGTTGGGGCAAATCCAAACCTCGGCCTCGGAAAAGGGATTTGGCGGTCTTGACTGCGGAGTGCGTACCTGCTTCATGATTCAGGCTATACATATGGCGAGGCGAGGCCAATTTGAAGGCAAACTTTTGTTTAGGAAGTATGCAAGCCAATCAAGGTCTCGGTCCTTAGTTCGATCATCCCTACTTGAAAGCTCTCGGCTTTGGATCAGCGGTATGATCCTGAACTATGAGCTTCAATCATGGGGGCGATGCGACGAAGCATTCAAGTCTTAGAGGACAATTCAGGAAAGCGCAATCCATTACTGTGCTTAATGTCAGTTCTTGAACCGTCCGTTATAGACGTCTAGAAAGAGGCCACCTTCAGTTGCAATGGACAGGCGTCATGCATTTCCATCTCGTCATATTCATTCGGTGTAGTCCCTCGCTCACGGAGCCATGTCATAGCTTGCCGGTCGGGCCGTAGGCCGTAGCGGTTGACGATACGTGGAGTGTCGCGAACACCCAGCTCTCTGCAGATGGGTCACCTGCCAAACCAAAGTAACCAGGTACCCGTGAAGTATGCCTCGCTCTGGCTCGCAGAAATCGAGGACCCGCGCGTGAAGCCCTGCAGATACGGGCCATTAGTCTACTTCTGCACTCTTGATACATCAAGTGGGCCCTGCACACCACCTTCAGGGCGCAGCGCATTGGAAGTTTGCACTGGGGCATTCTGTAGCCTGAAGCTATCAAGTATCCATCGCCAGTAATTTCTACTATAGTTTGGTCCATTACTAGACATTAGATGTGCGCAAACCCTAAATTCTGTCAAGGCTGGTCCAGCGAAAGAAAAAGACGACCCCTCCAAAATTCTTCCTTAAGGGCCGGATACGAGATCATAATTGTGGCTTAGCGACGACATCCAACACTGCGCCGTAATATCATGCACTAGCTACCCACACTTGGATGCAGGTGTAGCGCTGGCCAAGGCTCCATACATAGGTGCAGCGGCATCCTTTAAAGTGCCTTCATAGCAGTATTTCGTTTCAAGTCAAGCAAATTGAATGTTCCCTACTTCTCCAACATCCTTTTGCGAATCGTGAACAACCATGCTTCCAGGTCGATTCCCATCACCAACACCTTCCCGCGAGACGACACCGGTCGAAATCTGTTCATCTGTATCAAAGTTTGAGGACGTCGGGCGTCGAGTCTCGCAAGCAGGCGCTCCAAGTCGACCTAAATCCTCAGACTTTACCGCAGCAAGTTATCTTCGCAAAAGGCCGCAATTCACAGACGCGCAGAGCGACCCAGAAATACGTTTTCGAGCATCATTCGACCTTCCACCGAGCGATCGACCTTCACTTTTATCCTCGCCTTCTCCTAACGCCAATCGCCACACACAAGATAGACGGAGGGTCTCCGATCCGCTGCACAGCCGACCGCAGAGCAGCGTGCATAAAACTCAACATAAACGTCAGCGACTTTCTGACATCCCACAATATAACACCCGTGCCTTTCAGACACCGTATTACAATACAGCGTCGCACCTTCCGAGCACACCACGCCAACATGCCAATTTATCATCAGAATACCATCAAACTACCCATACACCCAGTCCAAATGAAAGACCGATGGACAGTAAAGGATACACCAAAGCGGAGCCAGACTTCGAACATGGTCAATGGAGCAATCAAGAACCAAAGCGTACACGTTCTCCCGCGGCACCAAAGACGGCAAGATCGATTCACGACAAACTACGTTCTAAGCTCCTAGAGAATCTAACTTTCAGTGACACTAGCGGCGTGATTTACATCCTTTATGATCCTCTTCGACCCGAACTAGGCTATAAGATAGGCTCCACCGCGCGCGCCAACTACGAACAGCGCATCGACGAGCACCGACGGAACTGCAAATTTGAGCCCGTGGTTGTATACGTCTCACCGTGCGAAACAGAATACTGTATTCGAACAGAGCGGCTGATCCAGATCGACTTGGAAAACCACTGTCGCCATTGGCAATGTGACAAGCACAAGGCGACCTCGACAACACACGAGGAGTGGTTTCAAGTAACTAGGATGTTGGCTATACGAACTGTCAAGAAGTGGGAAGACTTCATGCGCCACGGGAAGCCCTACAATTGGAAGGGCAAATTGAGGTCTGTGTGGAGACATGTGCTGCACAAGAGATGGCTTACATTCTCCGCTGAAATCTCGCTCACCCACGAAGTTCGACGTGAGCATTGGACTCTCATTCTCGCATTACCAACAGCAGTTGATTACATGGAGACGTACTGGAAAATACTAAACGACGTACTAACAAGGGTCTATGAGACATCATCCCGTACTTGGCTATATTTAAAGGCCTTCTTCTGGCAGTTGACCACCTTGGTGTACGGCTTGTTTATGTTTGCTATCTGTCGTAGCACGGTGGCATTCGCTGCTTTTGCACTCTTACTCGTTTGCGCGAGTCTGAGCATCCTATCTCATCTACCACTTAGTCCGTCTAGGAAACGTGCTAGAAGACTGGCTTGAAGAGCAGTTCGACAAGGTTTTCTGCGATGATTCGGGAAAGTAGTTCGATGATTTAGGCGCTGATATAGCGTGTAGTGTAGACCGTTCGAGTGATGTACTCATGTGCACCCATTAGCATGAGTCTCAACTCCCGCTAGAAGATAGTGCATAGACTGTTTAGATAACGCGGAGTAAGGATGGTCAGAAACGCTGTCATCTGTTAACACGCTTTTCTTCACGACCAAGTTGCAAAGTCATGTTCTGTCTAGTCTAATGTGTTTTATTTGAAAGTATGTGTATCGAAGTGAAGTGAAGCGTCATCAAGACGTGTATCTGTGTAAATCTCCCATCTCCCGTCTCTCCGAATTCCTCCCATCTTCCAAAGTTCTCTATACTTCATCTACTCCTCTATCATATTCTTCTAATTCCCCTTTGCCCCACCGAACATGCCCTGAAGCCACTCCAAGAAACCCTGCGCATCACCGGTTCCTGTCTCTCCATCTTCGTCACCGCCCGGAAGGCCTGTTTGCTCCGGCACAGCGGTAGGTCGAGGACCACGCGTCAAAGTCTTAAGTGTAGTGGGGCGACCCGGGATGCGTGAGCCAGGGAAACCGCCAGTAGGGAAGGGGAAACCGCCCGTCGGGATTGGGAATCCACCAGTCGGGATTGGGAAATCTCCAGTCGGGAATGGGAACTCAGGCTGACCGGTGGCAGTTGGGAATGGTGGCTCTTCGGTGGGGAAGGGCGACTCGGGGTCGTCCGTTGGGGAGGGTAGGGAGGGTTCGTCGGTAGGTGTTGGGAATGGGATGGAAGATTCAGGATCCTCAGTAGGTGTCGGGGAACCAGGGGCCTCCGTTGGGGAGGGCAGAGACGACTTGGCTGTCGACGAAGGGACCCGGGACCCAGGGCCTTTCGTAGGGCGCGGCCTCGCGGAGCTCTTTGTGCCTGTAGGCTTAGGCACACCCGGTACAGCATCACTGGGATCCAAGAGCGTGAAACTAGGCAGCGAGGACCCACTCCCGGCCTGCCTCTTCACATCCCCAATATTGGGTACTGCGGTAGGCGCGAGCTCATAATCAATCGCCAAGCTCTTGGTCTTGGACTTGGTCTTGGTCTTGGTCTTGTGACCATGACCAGGCCGAGAGCCAGTACCATGAGGCCGCCCAGTGGGGGAAGCCCCGGTAGCTGTTGGAAAGATGAAGCCCGTTCCGGAGACTGTCCCGATAGCATGGAAAGCGGGAATCTGGTCAGGCGCAGGGACGTGGCGAGCCTCATAGGAGGTGCCAAAAATGGTGTCGATGACATTGCCGAAGGGCACTGTACTTGTTAGCTGGTGGACTGTGAGTACATTGAGATCATACATACTAGCGAGCGTTGAGCTCGTGAGAGCGAGGATGATAGCGGACCTCATGTTGGAAGTTGTTGACAAGTATCAAGGATTGGGAGCTGTTGTCGTGAAAGTTGATACAGAAAGAATGTGCTGATGGATGATGGACTGGCGCTGCCAAAAGAACGTACGAATACCGCTAGGGTATGGAGAGAATGAACGAAAAGTGCGAAAGCCTGAAAGGGTTTTCTTAAAGAAAGTGCTCGACAAGTGTCAAAGAGGGCTTGTTGATGATATCCAGCAGGCCTCAAGTTCTTGATATATATGTTCTTTTCGGACCGTTCCATACATGATCCACCATCCGTTCATCTTCGAGCTTCACAACAGAAAGATTATCTGCGGGTCTCAAGTTGTTTGAAACTTCTGAGTCGTGTACCAGTGACGTCTTCTAGATGCTGAAAAGCTCAACCAAACCGTCGCGCAGCCGCTTGATGTGACTAGGGTACCTTGTGTACTTTAATCAGTTTCCATGATTCTTGGAATACTTGGCCTATGAACATGTTGACTGTCTCTATGCACGTCATGTCTAATGTTTCAGTTCTAGCCAGTGGGTTTGCTGCGATGGTGCATGTACACGGAGCACGCGGGGATATGCCAAGCTATCACCCTACCATTGAGTAATGGTTGCTTGTTGGGCCTCCGATAAATTACAAAGAGAGGATCTGCCGTTTCGTTTCGAGGACCGGATTCCCCATGGAGAATCTGCATAGGCCGATCGCGGGAGCTCAAGATGAAGGGGCCTTGTGGGTCTGTTTCAAGCGTACGTATACCCGAGCCTCGAACAACGCTAAGCGCATCTAATTGGTGCAAGCGGCCGCTTCTCTGTAACAGGTACAGGTGCTTTGTTTGGCTAGAACACTTCAACCATCTACTTCACATTTTGGACATCTTAGACGGGTGTATTGGTGTGCGCGATAGAATATGCAGAAGGTGTTCGTCGATGATGATGCCCTTAGCGAGTTAGAGGGCCCTACGTCACAACCACCCAATCCTCTTCGCCGCATAACCCCATCCGCTGAGCAAACAAGTTGCACCTGTAAACGCAATCAGAGCACCAAATTCACTACCATATGCTAGACCTGCGCTCCAATTACCAGTGTGCAAGAGGGCCTCTGAAAGCGGACCGCTGCATAGATTGCCCACTCCCTTTCCGGCGGATAAGCACGCCCATACCATGCCAGAGTCGGCCCCTCTGCGCTTTTCTTGCGTGTCGCGGACAATGGCGCTCCATGTACTCGACTGGCATCCAGCAAACGCGCCATACAGAAGGCAGAAGATGTAGAGGGGTGCCAGTGATGTTGAGAGACCCCAGAGTAGGAAGACAGCAGTGGCAGAGCCGATAGCGGAGATCAACAGACAGTGCACAACATGGTACTTGTCGACTGCAATGCCCATACATAGGCTTCCAACGAATGCGGCACCATTCAAAAGAATAATTGTGACTGTGCTTTCGATGCTACTGGCTCCAATCGATCGAGCGAAAATAGGTAGGTAGATAGCCGGAAGGAAGAAACCAAGGCTTTGGATGATGTTTCCAGACTGCAAGATCAGATAATTCGAGCAGGTCCAGAACGACATGTCGAAGTTTCTCGATTGGGACGTCTGCGATAGTGGAAGTCGGGGCTTGAAGAAGAACAGAATCGGAAGGTTCAACACAACAAAACTGAGCGCGCAGACCCGGAGGGTCGTTCGAAAGCCGTAACTGTGAAGAAGCCATTCTAGGATGACTGGGAGAACCGCACCGCTCAATCCTAAACCAGCCATAGTGGCTCCGTAAGCAAAGCCTCGGCGACGTACCCACCACTCCTCGATATAGAAGAGAATAGGCGTCCATGCCAGGCCTCCACCGATGGCATAGATGATACCTTGTGAGAGTATTAGATGTGTCACATTGGTAGCGAGTGACCCCAGACCTAAAGCGAGGCACACGACGGCTAGGCCGACTGGCGTTGCCCATACGCGGAGTCTGGGAAAGTACTTCAGAACGGCGAACCAGATGGAAATGTCCATGTACATGATGCCCTAGCTACCCGTCAGCCCGAATGCCTTAACGGGAATTCACTGGGGGGGGGTGCATACCATTGCACAAGCACCAACAACAGCTATGTTACTTGATCCAGCGAACTCGTCGCTAGTACTATAGTGTTCTTGAAAAACACCATAGCAAGAGGGAAAGCCTAGATGGTCAGCTTGAATGATGCGAGAGCGCGATGATAAATACCCCAGATAAGCGCCTCGAGCATGAAGCAAGCGAACAGACACAGCCAGGCATCCTTGCCTCCATCTGTAGGTGGCAAGGAGAAGCCCTCGTTGCTCCCGGAAGGGTTGGTTACATCATATTGGAGTAGTTCAACGTCAGCAACTGCTGTAGAAGAGGGATGCTGTGGGTAAGAGGTCAATTCAACCTGAGGGCGGTGGTGTAAAGCCATTACATTGGTAACAATGATATGCTGGTGATATTGAGGGAGCAGCAGTAACCATTATATGTTTCCCTAATATGACTTGAGATCAATTAGTGACGGCGTTAGTTTGCAGGAAATCATTTGTAGGGCGCGTCCGATGTGCGGTTCCGGGTGGGGCTCTTCAAGCCGTCGCAAAGCGACCAAAGATAAGCTTCATTGTTCTTCCGCAAGGATCCAACATGGCAAGTCAGCTAGTCGTTGAATGACTCTCTAGCTACTGAAAGTGATGTCTGGGGAAAAGGCCGACGGAGAGGAAGGCGCAACCGGGGAAGTTGGTGTTTTCCTTGGCAAGTACAGGGGCGGCAAGAAACGACGGGGCGGAATTTTGGCGCGACGCGACTTGGACGTTCACGCGCCTCGAGCAGCAGCCTTCACCACCGCCAAGATCGACCCCATTCACCTATCATGACCACTATGACGTACCTGCAATAACGTACCTCGAACGGAGATCTCCTCATAGCCTCAAAGCGCCCCGATTCCCGCCATGGAGGATGCTCCACGCTCCTCCAAACGGAGGAAGGTCGATACGCCGAAGCGCATTGTGTCCAGCCCGTTGGCAAAGAGTACGGCAAAAAGGGCCTCTGGAAGGCTTGCGACCCGGTCCGTATCGTACAACCAAGGGGCTGCTGTTTCGGATCTCGAAGAGGAACCTACATCTAGGCGCAGAAGTCGGCCCCTCAAGCCTGTAAAGAACAGCACCGCTGGGAAGCATGCAGCTGTCGAGGATATAGACATATACGATGACATTGAGGGAGCTTTGACTGTGGACATTTCATCTCGAAAAACGCAGCGGCGGCAGCAGACGGCCTCGAGAGAAGATACTGCGAGTACAGGAGAAGCGACGGACGAGCTGCAGCAAGTCGCTACAACACAGAAGCGTGCGATTGCCCGGCCTACGAAGGCCAAAACCACAAAACAGAGTGCGAGAGAGAGCGGTACACCTGCTACGTCGGCACGCAAAGCAGCTGCTCCGCGGTCCAGCGGCCGAAAGAAGAGGGAGCAAGCTCCAGCCGTCGAGGTTGACGAAGAAACGGACGAACCACAGAATGCTACCAACAGTACCATTGCGGTAAAGAAACAACCCCCCAGGAAAACTCCTGCTAGCACACGGAAAAGAGCTACACTCAAAGACGAAGAATTGCCTGTAGCAACGCGCTCAAAACTATCCAAGCGGCGAAAACCTATAGACGAGCATACCGAAGTTCCAGAGACGGAGGACGAGCTCGGTGAGTCGGTGCCTCCAAGTAGCAAAAGACTGATCACAAGCACAAGGCGACGCCTGAATCGCACGGATCATATCAGCAATCAAGACGAAGAGCACTGGTCTGATGCTGAAGAGCCAGCCAATGGGCATAGTGAAGATGACCTGGAAGTCGATGGTAACAGTGTCTTGGGTAGTGTCTTAGACCCCACCGAGCCAAGTCCCTTTAACAAACCTTCTTCGGTCCAAAAAGAGAAGGTTGCGCCCCCGCTCATCTATGGCAACCTGGTAGCAGGTCGAGAACTGGACCTGCTCAAGACCATTGTCATGGAACGCATCATGGGCAAGCGCCCCTCTCCGCTAGTTGGCCTGGACGATGAGTACAAGTCGGTGTACCAGCTCGTTGAGCATACCATCACGGCTGGTGAAGGCAACTCGATGCTTGTCATCGGGGCACGAGGCAGCGGGAAGACCGCGCTTGTGCAAAGGGTCTTGTCTGAAGTTGCCAAGGACAACGGCGGGGAGTACCATGTCGTTCGACTAAATGGCTTCATTCACACCGATGACAAGATTGCGCTTCGCGACATATGGCGTCAACTAGGCAGGGAGATGGAGATTGAAGAAGACGGCAGTGGACCAGGGAAGAATTACGCCGACACTCTGACCACACTTTTGGCCTTGTTGTCCCATCCTTCCGAGCAAACAGGCGAGCTCACCGATCAAGTCGCGAAAGCAGTCATTTTTGTCATGGACGAATTCGACCTTTTCGCCCAGCACCCGCGCCAGACACTGCTCTACAATCTCTTCGACATCGCGCAGTCTAGGAAAGCTCCCATCGCGGTGCTTGGGCTTACCACGCGTATAGATGTGACGAACAGTCTCGAAAAACGTGTCAAGAGTCGCTTCAGCCATCGCTACGTGCACCTCAGTCTAGCAAAAACTTTCACTGCGTTCCAGGAGATTAGCAAAGCTTGTTTGACTGTGCAGCCGGATCAGCTCAGTGTTGAAGAGAGGGGTATACTAGAGGGTGGCTCAAAGAGTACTCCGGCGAAGAAAGGGAAAAGGAGCGTGAACCAAGACATTCTGGCGGAGTGGAACGCCAATATCGATGTAAGCGAACACCCTTCCTTACCTCTGCGTTCTAATATCCTGCATCCATGAACTCAACACTGACCATTGAGCAGAAACTTTTCGCATCCCCATCCTTCCTAACAACCCATCTGGCACCTACTTTCTACCGCACAAAATCTATCCCCTCGGTTCTAACTTCCTTCCTCCTCCCCACCGCTTCTCTATCTGCAGACACCCCTTTTCAGCCTGTCAACCTACTCAGTCCGCCAGATTCCAAACTCACCCTGATACCACACCTCTCCACCCTCGCGCTCTCGCTGCTGATCGCCGCTGCCCGCCTAGACATCATCCACGACTCCGATACATGCAATTTCAACATGACATACGACGAATACGTCACACTGGCTTCCAAAGCTCGTATCCAATCTGCAGCTGGCGGCCTGTCTTCAAGCAGTAGCACAAGCAAAGTCTGGGGCAAAGACGTAGCGAAAAAGGAATGGGACGGACTCGTTGAACTGGGGTTAGTGATGCCGGTGATCGCGGGGCAGGTGGGTGGGTTTGGAATGATCAAGTGTGATGTTGCCTTGGAGGAGATTGGCGAGGTTTTGAAGAGGGAGAAGGGTGTGGATAAGGGGTTGGAGAGGTGGTGCCGGAGTCTCTGAGGGAGTGGTACTGGGTCTGCGTTTATGGTTGTCTTGGACTTTTTGGGAGGTGTGTGCATAGTGAGTGATCGGTCATGGTGTCCTGTTGGATGCCGGTGCGTGCATATTGTATATGGGACATACATAGCTAACGGCGCATTGTTACACGGTATAGATATGGCATTGTTGGAAGGGCTGATATATTCCTTCTCTCACGTATCCTTCATACTCCAATGCATACCCCTGTCGACAATTCGCGACCGGTTGTGCACTCTAAATCTCCCAAGCACATGTTAATATGTACCTGTATGTGTTCAAATGCGTTCGTAATTACTCTATATCAAATACGCTGTATTCTGATACCTATACTATCATACCTCACCTCCCTCAACCAGTCGTTCTCGCCAATCAGCCCCAGTACTCCGCCCACTTACTCTTTCCACTCAAAACACGCACAAACTCCCTCGCCACAACACGACCCGTCTGCTCCGACGGGTGCAGCGCATCATACCACAAAAAGCTATCAGGACTCGGACTCAACGAGCAATTCTTGCCCTGAAGATCGCACGGATGCGCAACGCCTTGCACATTCAGCGGCGCAGATCCATTGAGGTACTGACTAGGGTGGTAATAGATATCTGAGATAAGCGCGTGTACATCGAAGTTGGCAAATTTTGCATCCGGCCATTTCTCTTCCACTTCGACTTGGAATGGCGTGCGGTACTTGTACACGTCGTTTAGAGCAGCTACGGTTTCTTGCATGCGCCCGGCTATCTCTGTGATGTTCTTGCCCAATTTCTCAGGGAAATATTGCGTCGCTGGTAGGCCGCCGTTCTCGGGTAGTGCGTATTGCGGGAGCAAATCAAGCGGCGCGACGTTCAATAGGACGAAGTAGCGACCGCCATTTTTGTAGAGGCGGGACACTTGGTCGTACACGCAGTCAATATAGTCTTTGACTGTCTTTCCTTTGACTTGAGAGTCGGTGAGGAAAGCGTTGTTTCCGAGGTCGTTTGTGCCGATCCAGATTGCGTACACAGTGCTATCCTGCTTGCCGATGTAGAACTTGGTGCCGTTAGGGTACCGGTATTTTGTGTCTGCAATGAAGGCGGGGAGTTCGTAGCCTGCAATGTCTGGGAAGGGCGCGTTGATGGCGGAAAAGAATCGCGGTGTTACGTAGTTTGAGCATACGGCGCCTGACACTGCGTAGTTGTAGAGAGTGGCTTTCGAGTAGATGCTGGCGTAGCGGGCCCAGGAGAGACCACCTGATGCAGTGTTGAGGCCCTGATAGCTGTTAGAGAAAGCTAGCAATATCTGGAGGATAGCATACCACTGGTTGCTGCCATCCGACAGGAGGCGCAGAGCCGTTGTTGTTGATAAAATATCCCAACCGATTCTCATCTGTGTAGCTATCACCAAACGTCACGAGAGTCTTGAACTTGCCCTCCCTCCATGCCTGCGATGGCCGCTCCGCTAATCCAATAGCGAGCACCAAGTTCACGACAAGAAGTTTCAATGACCAAGAAGGCGTCATGTTTTCGAAACCCGGTAGTCGGTAAGCTCACCTTCACGAGCTGTCCACGGGTATTTGTACGGTGCCCATCATGGTGGCGAGCGGTTCGCTCTCGGAGCGCTAGGCATTTCTCTCCGCCGGCACATGGCCTTAAATGTCGATGGTAAACAATTACGGTAAATTGAGGCAAGATCGCGGGGAAAATTGAGGGGACGTGAGCCCGGTTCACCGTGATACAGCGTTGTTGTTGCGGGAGCTAGGCGCTTTCCGGTGGCAAGCGACTGGGAATCAGCCTAAAGGGCACCCATCTTGGAGACGTTGTGGTGTTTGTTGACCAACATGTGATGAGAGAGTTGGATTTACAAGCACCTGCAGACCTGTCGGTTTCTCGTTGCCGGATTTCTCCAGATGAGGGATGGCAGTCAATCCCCGTCGCTGGTCGCGTTCAGGTGACAGCCAAACTGAGATGCGGAGACAACCTTAGCTCACCTACCGCATCGGTTCGTGATCGGTCACCTACGTCGCCGCAGAAGTCAGCCAGAAGGTGGTCGACACTATAACTGTACTCCTCTGCTTAAGCGTCACGTCGGAAAGTTGGTTCCTACCTCGCACAGCTGATCACAATTATCGATGGGCCGTCCTGGCGGGTCTGTGCTCAACAAGTGTCCCTGGTCCGAATGATATTTGACAAATGGGGCTCGGATAATTCCGAATATGCTCATGTATACGGATCCCATCAGGGAATAGAGTCAAAGTGTTGTGATAGGTATTGGTGATGTTGAGACTGTGTCGAAGGGTTTGTCGAACCACCTGAAGCTAGAATTCCACAAAGACAGGAAGCAGCGGCATTCACTCGTTCTTTCTTGATCGAACCTGGTGTTGTTGGAGTGAGTGATTCCGAACATGCTGATGATGTTCCCCTCGGCTATTTGGAAAATGATCGCTGGTGCTGATGCCAAGTACACGCGGATAACTTGCTCGAGGTTCCTTGGGAAGAGGATGACGTAGGCCCCTGGATGGCGTACCCGGATACTTCTCTCAGAGTTACTGAGTCTATCGTTCATCTGGAAGAAGATGGAAACTCCATGGCAGTGAAAAGGTGCACAGGTCACGCCAGCGTTAGCGTATGTATGCGTGTCGATATTTCCCGCTTCCCCGATGCACGCGCTTTCAGGCCCACCCTCGGTTGGTGCTCTAAACCATGTTGGACTACGGCGAACCGAGGATTTCAACATCGAGAGGCAGGTTCATAACTCTCACTCGAGGCTGCGAGGGTGGTGACGAGAGGTCGAAGGCGGCAGTTCAAGCCGGCATGCCGATGTCTGACCCGAAGACAACGGAATGTGACGGCAAAGACAGTGATTCGCTGCTATCTCGGGGCGTGAATGTCTTGCTGTCTAGAGACGCGCCATTGCCCCCATAAGATTGCACTCGCTACCAAGCTGTCGGTGAGGTGGCTTGGAACTTAATCTGACTGCCAATCAATGGGTCGTTTGAACGTGGCGCTGTGCGTTTGCCCTGTAGTGCCCAGTCTTGAAGAAAAAGTGGACATAGGAAGGTTGCCTTCGTGTTGGGTTGGCATAACTTGTGTATTGGTAGCTCCTTTCTCGTGCACTTTTGTGTCCTCCACTTTTGTGCCCCCCCCCCCCCCAGGAAGGCTCCAAAGTCCTGACGTCGCTCCCGGCCATTACTTTCCTTCTCTTTCTTTGATGCACGTCGAGCATTCCGTGCCCCATTCGATCCGGAATTTTCTTCACCCTCGCCCGCCAAAAATGCGAGATATACCGCCCACCTCGATAGCCCTGAGCCACGCCAGTATTTTGTGCTTGTGGTGTGCCATCAGTATACAAAGCTGCGCCCAGATTCTTTCGTATCGACTTGATCTCTGGCGCTTCAGTCATCTTTTAGGTACAACACACCGAAATGCCACCGAGGAATGACTTGAAACACCAGCTTGAGTCCATTTAGTTCGGTTCACACGATTCCTAACAACGAATAACGCGGAATTGACGTTACCATTGCAGAACAAGCATGTCCATCTATAGCCGTACTTCTATGGCGCTAGACGGAGCAACGGTGGTGGCGACAAGAGTAGCATCCTCAGACACCCGTTCAGGAAGCTGCGTCCCAGATGAAGATAGCATGGTATGACAAGAATATACGAATTCAGGTTGCGAGAACGGGTGGACTCCGTGGTTATGCTATTGTTGCAGCACCAACGACCGTTTGCCGTTGCAACCAAGCGTGAGCGTCGACCTAGTCTGCATCCTTCACGGAGCTTCATTCGCATATTACACCTAGCACTATCGCCTTGGAGTCGCCGAGTGGAAGCGTAATATTGGTTGCCACGGTATCACACGAGCAGTTTTTGTAGAGCCATGTGCGACACAACAAGTTGCCGCACATGCGACTAACGAAAACAGCAGATAGAGGTACATGGTCAGGTCATATTAGTCGAGGGATCGATTACTGCGGCGTCCACAACGAGCTCTCGAGAACGTCATCGATTGACACGAGCCATTTTCTGTGGTGAATTCCCCCAGCCTACTAGACTTCGGGACACAAGGACCACCATTTCGTCATCCCAGAAAGAACGAGCCACAAACTCCGCATCATCCGCGACTCCTACGACCCCGAGCGATATATCTCAGGTCCGGTCAGCTATACCCTAGTTTGTCGAACAATGTGTCACTTACATGTTGATATATAATTTCAGCTCAACGTTTTGAAGCTCTGCGCGAATCTCCCGCATGAGATAGTCGTACTGTGCAGCCGTCCAGCCAAGGTCTGCCGTGAATGGCCAAATGCCTAGCGATTCGAGAAGATCACCAATCATCTAATGGTAAGAACCGAAGTTAGTATACGGTTCACATGCGATGTACAGATCGACACATACAGCGACAGCGTCTCTGCCAATGCTGGCCTTGGCTGGATCTGTACACAAGCTATCAGCATCGACCAGGATCACAAGTAGGGCAATCTAGCTGTTTCAAGACATGATGTAACGATCGAAGTCTATATGCGTTGAGTCTTGGAGATGGGCAAGCTACCTCACAAGAGCGAGGACGTACCGGAGTGCCATCCACCTATAGGGAGATGCTCCACCTCAACCACCACATCTCGATATCCATCTTGGGTCAGAAGGTCCTTCAGTCGTCGCCCGATCCTTGGATCACGGTTCAATCTTCTCATGGACGCCTCGTATGATTGCCACCATCGCCTTAGTGCAGCTTGGTCTGAAAGCCGCCCGCTATCGGACTGAATGAGGGGATAGTATTCGGCTATCTGGACCCAACCGCCGGGTCGTAGCAATAGTCTCATGTCATGGATATAAGAAGTCCATCTACCGCTTTTGATTCCTGGACTGACGAATCGGGAGTGGATGAGGTCGTATGCTCGCGATTGGAATACTTCGGGGTCGCGGAGTCTATCATTCAGGTTATAACCACAGAGGGTCAAATTTTCTGGCTGATCCACGACAAGCATGGGAAAGATGTCAACGCCAGTCACCTTTTCAATCAGCAGCTGATCACTCTTGAGAAAAAGGCAGGCCACCATCACGCGCAGTGGCTATGGTTTGGACAAGAGCGATACGCACCTCGCAATCCTCGTATTCCTCTGCGCATTGTACACACCAGTCACCACCACCGTATCCGCAGTCCAGTATCTTTTGGGGATCTCTCAGTCGAAGACCGGGAGATAATAAGGCTCCTCCGAAAAGCCTTGACAAGATGTCATGCTGAGCCGTCAGTCTGTCTTCTTCGCTATCGTCGTTGGCGATGGGGGCAAGGTATATCTTGTCGTCAATTGAGATCTTCTGGAACACCCTGCCGTGTATGCTGACTCTTTGGGTATCCTCGCTCATGTTGCTCAAGGCTGCGTTCGAGAACCCCGTTCACGCCGGCACTCAAACTAGCTGGTTTAGGTGCAGCCGGGAAAACCTTTCCTATGCTGAAGCTGGCTCACGACGGTCGTCAGTTGGGCGTTGTGAGAGATCCACGTTTGGGACAGGAAAAGTTGTGTCTGGCTTTGGCGTGTGTACCACTAGGGTAGGTGGGTGACGCCTAGACACTATTGCTCTAAAAGCTTGCAAAGAGTGCTGAGTTGGCAGAATTCTGGTAAGAGCTAGCAAAGCTATCGTGGCAAAACAGAAACGTCACCAAGGTATGCTGATCGAGGGCAGGATTGCGGCATGTGGAGATCATATCCCTCTCTGCCTAATAGATAGCTAAAAGCCTGAAAGTTCGACAACGATGCATAGCCTGCAACTTGGAGATCACCTAGGGCACATCCGCGACAATGCGCACATGGATTCCAGAGGTAGGCTACTCAGCCACTTCGAACGCTGCAGCATCTGGTCATGGTATGACTGACTAGAAGATGCCTGTGATTAGCTGGGCCCTTTTGTGCGCAGGCCCTTTCCGAGACGAAGAATCGTCAATCATCTTTAAGGCTTCTCAATACGCGTGCTGCAGTGCCACAGCGCCTGCTGAAGGCGAAAGCTCCTATCCGGCAGTCCGAATTGCCGGACGTGGCCTATTCACATATGAACACCATCTATTCATTAGTCGCTTGACGGACGTTGTTCACCAACTAGCCTGGAGGCAGACAGACAGACAGGGACTCTTATGGCAGGCGGCGACTATCTTCGCAAGGATACGTAAGCCATCGTCAGTCCCACATCTAAAACCGAAAAAATTCCTATGATAGACCCGAAACAATGCTGCGCAAGTACTCCAGGATCATCTATGGCCTATTGGAGGATCATGGACAGCGCTGATCATCCCATTGGACCACCACATGGCGAGCCCTCAATACGCCTCGAGACCACGCTTGAATGGGACACGGAGACACTGATCCGAATAATTATGGTAGAGACAAGAACGAGTTCCATTAGGCGAGAAGCTCGCGTGTGTGAGCTGGGCGATGTCATAACTTCGGCTGTCAAACTAGCATGCGGCGGATGCATCAGGTGGACACACGGTTCCACAGCAGCTGGTCCGCTAGACGTCCCCGTCAAGCAGTACACCGCAGGCATGGGCTTGGAACAAGCTTGCATCAAACCTATATTTCCAGCATCCGACTCATACCTGAGCAGGTCTGTATCATGCCGTGGGGGGTATTCCAAACTGCTCTTCGGCACGGCCGCGGCCTAAAATGGTGTGTACGTGGCGGCCAGAACAGATTTGGCACGCATTTTCGAGCCTGTGATTAGGGACACTGCGATGGACGTTCGCCGGTCATAGATCGCAGAATCATTACAGCAAAAACTAACTATTGACAGGAAAATAAGCCTCGTGGCCGTCTTCCTATTACGCGTCCTATCCTAAGCTCTGCCTTCGACCATAATCCGAACCGCGCCGTGCAAGTTGAATGAGCAACTGTCTCTCTTGCATATCCTTGGATCATTGTCCGGCGACCACGCCTAGTACGTACTGATCGAGACTAGAATATGCATGATGGACTTGTCCACGGCATAACGTTGGAAGAATCGTAGCCTCGGTGCGGGAATTATTCGACAGAAACAACGAGCAGATGGAGCCATGCTGACCTTGAGGTAGTCTTAAGGCATCTGCGCTCTATCGCATCTGTTGCAAAACAATCACTTGGGTCTTGGAGAATATTCAAGCATTTGATTCGAATGGCTGTCGAGAGAATTTGGTGTAAAAGCCGACTCCGCTCCGTGTTGCCGGGACTCGTGGAGCCGTCCGCCTCGCTGATACGGTAACGACACGATATAATGAGCCCGAAGGCTGGACGCAGTAGCAGCCTGCAAAAACACAATGCCTGAAAGTTCAACGAGCAAAGCGATGATTTGAAATTGTCGATCCGTTCCACGGCATGCAAAGATCATCTAGCTATCGAAATTGGGTCAACCCCACACATAGCGTCGTCCAATAGCCCTTGTCTGGGCAAATATGTTACACGTGGATCCTCATGTTTGTCACAGTAAGGCACCATGATAGTGATTATAAACGAGCGCATGCTCGATAAACTACGTTGAAGAGGAAATGACACCAAGCGCTTCATCGTTTTAGCCAAAATAGCTTACGGGTGATTCCTTGCCGCTTTACCGATTCCAACAGACAGACGCCTTAATGTCCTTCAATGGTCACACGACAGCTGCCTACTGTCGAATACTGTACGCAGGACCCAGCCCAGCATTGTGCATAGCACTTCCGCTTGCTTGCATGATCGCCGTACTCGATTTTGAAGCAGTGCGATAACACCTCTCACTAAGTTTCTCTCGCCAGACTTCTTGCGCAAGGCATTGGACATATCTTGACGCCTAGAGTAGAACGTATCTCATTAGAGAATTTCACACTAAGTACCGACGTCGTCCAGAAACGCATTGTAGTCGACTCTCGCCCTTACTAAACAAGACACCCAATCAATAAAGTGATGTCCGTCCGAAGGCACCACGGCGCTCTTGCTCCCGCTCAACATTCAAGTTGACATTCCCCGCCGCTAGGGGTGTCTTCTTCCAATCGCTGGTATGTAGTACAAGGACAGTGTCCTCGTTTCGCGTATTCAAATCCGGAGAGAAAATTTCTGACCGGAAGCAATTGTATCACCCCCCAGCCGCTAACCCCACAAGCTCCATGTAATATTCTCGTACGCTATAGCTGGGAATGCCGTGGCATTTCTGATCGGTCGATGGTATGGAGCGAAGGGACTTCTGATTTGCTGCGAGCCGGGTGGGTAAAGGGAAGTGCCCCAGCTGCCGGCGGTCGAATGTATCGAGGAGGCATACAAAGGCGTGGAGCCAGGGCAGTGAGTTACTTTGGAGAAGTGAGCTTGAATGACATCTGTGTTTTGAGAATCTAGGAAAAGTACCGAGATGATGGATTAGAATAGGACGAACGGTGCGGGTCAACATTCGAGTGAGTGGACACCGTAATCCGGCCCGTACCGAATATCCAACCCCGTGGTTACAACGGTACAACCCCTCCTGATGACATGTGTAGCCATTCTGTTGGCTTCAAAGATCGACATGCTTCTACGCTGGCAAGACGTGAATCTTAGAATGCGGTTTGCTCGTGTCGACTTTCACCACCCTCCTCGTTGCGCTAAATGTTGCGCGCATTTCTTGGCCAAGACGACTCAGTTAGCATAGCGCCTAGATTCAATCGCCGACAGATTGCAGAAAGGCATGTTACTCCATCGAACATGTCTATAGATTTGATTACAAGACAATCGCCCGTCATTCGGTCCGTTTGTGCTTCTACTAGTACTCCAGCTTCAGCCCCAGCTCAGCATGATGATCAGCTTCGGCCGACAACATGACAGTTCAAGTGTCATAGTCGTCAGTTTGCCGTAACCGCATCATCGCAATGCCGGTACCCCAGACTTTTGCGCAGCATGTGATCCAAAATCTGGGGCGGACCGCAAAGCATGTGAAAATGCGCTATGGCGTCACGTGCCGGTTGTCTCCACACGACAAACTGCCGAGGTCCGTCATCATGTTAACGAGGTGCTCGGGTGTTTTCAGATGTGATCAAAAGCACCACTCGGCGCCGACAGTCGCATGAGCATATTCTTCCTCTCCCCAATCTTCATCACTCACTAAACCTCTCTCCATCCATTTGGGATCTTTGTTGATACCCAGTATAAGCTAGAGCCCCTCCATTCCTCGGTTCTTGCTTTCCACGCTTCCAGTAAGCACACGCTCGAGCGAAGGTGCTAGTTAGTGTCTCTGAAACTTCACCACACTATGGCTGCCCAAGAGCTGCGATACGACGGCCAAACCGCCGTCGTGACCGGTGCCGGTGGTGGTCTGGGTCGCGAGTATGCCATCTTCTTCGCTAGCCGCGGCGCGAACGTCGTCGTGAACGACCTTGGTGGAAGCTTCAAGGGCGAGGGCACAGGCTCCTCGGTACGTTATTCATCCATTACTCTTGCCGTCAACAGTCTGTGAGCTTTGCATGGGTATCGCTCCTGCAAGCTTCGGCCAACATGCCCACCGCACGACGCAGCCACGCAACTTCACATGTTTCATTTCTACCAATACCATAATGGAGCAACAGCTGATCAATCCGCATAGGCTGCAGACAAAGTCGTCGAAGAGATCCGCTCCGCTGGCGGGAAAGCGGTTGCCAACTACGATTCAGTTGAGAATGGAGAATCCATCATCAAGACGGCCATCGACGCCTTTGGCCGTGTCGATATCCTCATCAATAATGCGGGCATTCTACGAGATATCAGCTTCAAGAACATGAAGCAGTCAGACTGGGATTTGATCTACAAGGTTCACGTCAAGGGCGCATACAAGTGTGCGAGGGCGGCGTGGCCATACTTCAGGAAGCAGAAGTATGGACGACTGATCAGCACGGCGTCGGCTGCGGGACTGTTTGGATCTTTCGGACAGACGAACTACTCTGGTATGTACATGACAGTCTTTGGGGTATGAATGAACGCTAACCTGTGTAGCTGCCAAACTTGCCCTCGTTGGCTTTACTGAGACGCTCGCAAAGGAGGGTCTGAAGTACAACATCCTCTGCAACGTCATCGCCCCGATCGCCGCCAGCCGAATGACGGAGACGGTCATGCCTCCCGATGTCCTCGCGAAGCTGAAGCCTGAGTGGATCGTCCCGCTCGTGGCTGTTCTCACACACAAGTCCTCTACAGAGACTGGCGCGATATTCGAGGCTGGCGGAGGCCATATTGCTAAGTTGCGATGGGAGCGGGCCTCAGGTGCGCTCCTGAAGACCGACGATTCTCTTACACCTGGCGCTGTTGCTGCCAAATGGAAGGATGTTGTTGACTTCTCGAACCCTGAGCACCCACAGGGCCCAGCGAACGCATTGGAGCTTCTTGAGAAGGCCAGCCAGTTGCCACCCAACCCCAAGGGCGAAGAGATTGACTTCAAGGGCAAGGTCGCGCTTGTCACTGGTGGAGGTGCTGGTCTCGGCCGCATCTACTGCTTGCAGCTGGCCAAGCGTGGCGCAAAGGTTGTTGTCAACGATCTCGTAAACCCCGACAATGTTGTGCAGGAGATCCAGAAGTTGGGCGGAGAGGCCGTTGGCAATAAGGCCGATGTCCAAGACGGCGAAGCAGTCATCAAGACGGCCATTGAGAAGTATGGTCGCATCGACATCCTGATCAATAACGCTGGTATCCTCCGTGACAAGGCCTTTGCCAACATGACCGACGACCAGTGGGAAATCATCCTGAACGTGCATCTCCATGGCACATACTCCTGCACGAAGGCTGCATGGCCCTTTATGCTCAAGCAAAAGTACGGTCGTATCATCAACACCACCTCCTCCAGCGGAATTTACGGCAACTTTGGTCAGGCCAACTATGCTGCAGCCAAGAGCGGCATTCTCGGTTTCTCCAAGTCTCTTGCTCTTGAGGGCAAGAAGAACAACATCTTCGTCAACACTGTTGCTCCTAATGCCGGCACTCAAATGACCCGCAGCATCATGCCCGAGGAGGTTGTACAAGCCCTCAAGCCCGACTACAATGCTCCTCTCGTCATCTTACTCGCTTCCGACAAGGCCCCTGAACCCACCGGCGGTTTGTACGAGATGGGCTCTGGCTATTTCGCGCAGACCAGGTGGCAGCGCACTGGCGGCCACGGCTTCCCCATCGACGTCAAGCTCACCCCTGAAGCTGTCCTTGCGCAGTGGGAGCGCATCACAAACTTCGATGATGGCCGCGCTGACCATCCTTTCGACAATGCCAGCGGTCTCAAGTCAATCATGGCGAATATGGAGAACACGAGCAAGAAGAGCAAGAAGCCCAAGCAGGACAGGAAGAGCAACGAGGAAATCCTTCAGGCTCAGAAGGAGGCGTTGGCTGCTAAGGCTGATGGCACTCCGTTCGAGTATACTGAGAGGGATGTCATTCTCTATAGTAAGTTCACCATTCGTGCAACTCCTTAGGACATACTCAACTGACATCGTTAGACCTCGGCATCGGTGCCAAACGCACTGACCTCTCCTTCGTCTACGAAGGCGACGAGAACTTCCAGGTCATCCCTACCTTCGGTGTGGTTCCCCCCTTCAACGCCGAGGCGCCATTCAACTTTGACGACATCGTACCCAACTTCGATCCGCGCATGCTCCTTCACGGCGAGCAGTTCCTCGAGATCCGCAAATTCCCCATTCCTACCGAGGCGAAACTAGTCACAATCCCCAAGCTCGTGGAGGTCGTCGATAAGGGCGCTGCGGGCCTTGTTGTCTACGGTTCCATTACCAAGGACGCAAAAACCGGCGAGGAAATCTTCTACAACGAAAGCACAGTCTTCATCCGTGGCTCGGGTGACTTCGGTGGGCAGAAGAAGGGTGGAGACCGCGGCGCTTCAACGAGGGCACATAAGCCACCGCAGCGTGCACCGGATGTTGTTGTCGAGGAGAAAACGACGGAAGAACAGGCTGCTATCTACCGTCTCTCCGGTGACTTGAACCCGCTACACATTGACCCACAATTCAGCAAGGTTGGCGGCTTCGACACACCGATCTTACACGGCCTATGCTCGTTCGGCATCAGCGGCAAGCACGTTCTACAGAAATTCGGTCCTTTCAAGAACATCAAAGTCAGATTCGCGGGTGTCGTACTACCTGGGCAGACACTCATCACCGAGATGTGGAAGACGGGAAATACCGTCGCGTTCCAGACAAAGGTCAAGGAGACTGGCAAACTGGCGATATCGGGTGCTGGCGCTGAGCTGCTTGGTGGAGCGAGTAAGTTGTAAGCAAGAGTAGTAGTCGTTGATAAAGACAGGGAAACATGGAAACCTAGCGATTTGTGTTAAGTTATGTAGGCCGATTTTGATTGCCTTGTAGATATGTATTGTTATGATATCAGATTATTCCATCAGCACAGCGACCGTGTCATTTCCATAGTTGTACGGCGTAGAGTCAGAGTATATGTGATGGACACATTGTTTTGGTAGGTTCCATAACAGTGAGATGCAGAGATTTAGCTGACTGAGACAGCGTTGCGCTTATTCAGTCGACTAAAAGTCCATTTCACTCGCAACATTTGTTCGTCATTGGACCTGACGTTTTCCCCTCATGGTCCTCTTAGTGACTTATTCGGAGAAGTCTCAGATAGTGTCTTTCACTGCCCTAGAGTTCGTGAGTCTTGGCGGTGGCTTATCTTCTTTTAAAGTCAGTGATTGGATAGCTGTACTTCACACAGCGTAGGTTCATGGAGGCTGATACCTCTGCCTACAAAAGCGCATCCTTCAAAATCTCCCTACGTTAATTTCAACTCGTCATACCCTCGGCCATTACGAAAGGATCAACTGCTATGTCCTCAACTGCCAACACCACCATGCATGAACGAGATATTCCTGGACTGGCTGCTCAAGCGATAGTCTCGAGAGCAGAGACCTGTCATACCGAGCTGTCCTTCTGTGTGCCGACATCACTGGCCTTCGCAAAGCGTCTAACATGGGAGCAAACCCCCTGGATTAGGAGCAACACCAACCGCAAGTCCGCAAACCCTATCAACGAGGCCGATGCACACACCATCGCTTACTCCCTTAGTATACATCAGGGTCAGACAGTGTCGGCGGAGGCAGTAAAGAACGCTCTGTTATTCGGAACCACCTATCATCCATCCGCCCCTTCAGACGAGCAAATAGGAACATACCCATACCTCTTGGTCGTCTTTCCCCACGCCCAGGGAAACATCTCCCGCGACACCACCTTCCTAAACACATGGCACGACCAGATCATCAAGCCAGCCTTTGACCGAGCATGGAAAGACAGCGGCCTAACGACCATCTACGGCGCCGAAGTCGATGGCCAATCGCGCATCCTCCCTCCCTCGGGGACACGCACGGTAAAGGACGCTCTGCCAGCAAAAGGCTTTCTCGAGCGTCTGCGCAACGGAAATCCTACTTCCGTGCGAGACTGCTGGCCCGTCTGGAACGATGACTGGGGCCTGGGGACTGAAGGTCGATATACCGCGGTCCGATCCAGGATCTACAGCGAGGCCTGGGAAGCTATCAAAGGCATGGTGAAAGGTCATCCAGATCTGCTCTCTTTCCAAGACCCGATTCTCCTTGCCCTTTGTGGGGCTAAGATCTACGTCGCCCCTGAGTTGCCCGTACAGAGCAAGTTCAAATATGTAGCGCAAGAGTGGGACAAGTTTGTTGATGCGCGGTATGTGGAGAACGGGAGCTTTAAGGTTGTTTTTCAGACTGTGTTGGGGACGCAGACTGAGGGCGCTGTACAGCTTGAGCCCGAACCGTTCGCTTGGATAGGAGATGCGACGGGTCGAAGCTTCAAGCGTATGGTGGAGGATGTTGGGAAAGAAGTCGGGAAAGTGGGTGAGAAAGAAGATGAGGATGGAGGTGAGGGTGGAGATGAGGATTTGGATGCAGATAAGCATCGGGATAAGCAGGCTCGAGAAGGCTAAGGCAATTCCTGAATGAGGTATCATGGCAGCGTTTTGCACGCTCGGAGGGACGCCACGTCCGTACGATAGACCTCGCCGATCGTGTCTGAAATGCAAAGCGCACAGCATATGAGCTCTTGTCTCATTATGTTGAAGGTGAGATAGTTCGATAATAAGCATCAAGTTTGTGAACCATGGAAACGAGTACATCCCCTGTCGTGTGATATCAGTCTTTGTACATTTTCTTTTCCATCTCTTCACAAGCAAAAATAGGAATCTCAGTCTTGACTTCCAATCTACCACGGTATAACACCGCCATCATACCGATAAAACTTCCCACTATCCCCATCCTTCAACCCAGCAACAACACCCAGCATACTCTCCACACTAACTTGCGCCTCGATCATCGCTCCTTTCCCGCCCATCCGCGTCTTAACCCACCCAGGATCCATACAAAGCACCTTGACACCCGCCCCTTTCAAATCCTTCGCTTGATGCAACGTCAACATGTTCAGCGCCGCTTTACTCATACTATACGTGCAGCACTTGGTCACATCCGTAGCAACCGTCAACGAACCCAGCCCAGACGTCATATTCATCACCACCGCCCCGCGCGCAAGATACCCGCGCAGACTCTGCACGATCTTCGCGGGGCCGAGGACGTTAATCTGCATATGTCTCTGCAGCGACTCGGCGTCAAGGCTTAGACTTGTGTCCGCGCTTGTCGCGTTGATGCCTGCTATGTTGAAGAGGTAATCTAGATTCGCGCCTGTCTGGGAGAGGATTTCTGCTACTCGAAAACTTAGGCTGGAGAGTGAGTCTGGGGAGGATACGTCGCATTCGATAATGTGCACGTTGCTGTTTGTGTTGAGGGCTTCGAGCGTGGATATGTCGTTTGATTTTGAGCGGACGCCTGCGATGACGGTTGTGTGTGGGTTGGAAGAGAGTTGGCGAACGAATTCGAGGCCGATTCCGCGGTTCGCACCTGTGAGGAAGTATGTTCGCATTTTGAGTTTATGGGTTGTTCGTTTTGCTTTTGAATGTGGAGCAGGTAATGCTGTGGTGGGAGTTGGGGCTTGAATTTGGATATTGATTCGAGGAGCGGTCGTTTGACTTGATTGTGGAGGTGTTGGGGATGTTCGGTTTGGGCGCGAAAAGTTGACGCTTTGTGATGATGTCGTGCGCTTCCGCGGAGGACGTGTTGAAGTGCGCGATTCAAGTTCCACCGGGTAAAGCGTGTAGGTCATCGCGAAAAGTGTACCTTTTCTCGATACGATCGTGTGCTCTCGATATCCTTATATTGCCCTAGCTTTTCGCTCGTCTGGCCAAGTTAACTGACGCTCCTAGGATCCCTGGTAATGCATGAACGGGGTATTTACACGATGTCTAATGAAGAATTCCGGGTTTCAGGCAATGGACGGAGACAACCGAATTGGTGTTGCAGCGTTATGCTTGTCGTGCGTTAGTTTCAGACACCTGTGATATCACACGACTCGCAACCGAACCTCGTGTTGTGGAGCATTTAAGAAATCGAGATTTAATGTGCCACATTAACGTTGCAGATGTCGCAGTCTGGAGGCGAGGATGATAATGCAGAGAATAGAGTCTAGGAGCAACTCACGTGCGGACAGCGCATGCGAAGACTTGTGCACAAATAAGAGTAGAGTGAATATGCACATATACATTAAAGTACTCAGGTTGGCAACTGTGAACGGCAGTATCGATACTACACAAGTATATCAACATGAAAAGAAGATCTCATCTCGTGTTGTTGGAAGATGGCAACCCCATCGCTGGGTATCTGCATACACACTATTTGCGTCATTACATAACCTACTCCCCAATACTACTTTTATCAGTTCGTATATCAATTTCTAGTGAAGTGCATCTTGGCCGAAGCGACACGACTATTCGACATGGTGAACCTTCTTTTTCTCGCTTGCGCCCTTGATCACGCCCGAGAGATCGACAACTAAAATGAGTTAGCATTATTGTTCCATTCCATGACGGACAGAATCGACTTACGAGGAAGATCAAATGGGAAGTCGACGCTCGCCAACATGATCGCCAAAAAGATGTACCAGCCACACAAGCAAGTAACGAATGCGAAAGCACCCGCGGCTTCCTGGAGCCTGCCTGCGAGCGCGGGCCGGCCATTGGCGAGTTGGAGGAAAGTGCCGGCAAGAAGAGCGAAGGTGGGGACAAGGGTGAAGAAGATCAAGAAGAAGATCAAGTTGGTGCGGATGGAGCAGATGAGGTACACGAAGCAGAGAAGAGCCATACAGAGGAGGAAGTATGCTATAGCAGTAGTCAGAACCAAACAATGCAACAAATCCATCATAATATTGTGGGAACTCACCAACACCAACATTGAAGCCAACAGTTTCCAGACCCGTACTGCTCTGCACAGCTGGGTTGCGATACGCCCCATATGAATTGTAAAAGGGTTGAAGTGTGGCACCATAACCGAGCCAGAAGCCGCCGAATGAGGTGAAGACGACGAAGGGAAACGTGTTGCCTAGGATCCACTGCACTCCATTAGCATTGTGGGACATATAAAATCGTGGGTAGGGAGCAAGAGAAGAACTTACTTCACCAAGACCACCGAGAACCATCAACAAGCCGCCCGCGAAGTAGTACCAGCCTGTGCTTGCTGCTCCATTACCACCTGCACCTCGCCACCCCATTAGAGTCATGCTCAAGGGTGTGAGAGACAGTAAGAATCCAATGAGTGCACTACACATGTAAGATCGCTGGAGTTGTAGAGTTTGAGTAGAAAACTTACAGGGGAGTTGGGTTACCGAAGGTGTTTCGCAGTTCTCCTTTAACCTTGTTCTGAGGAGAAAGGTAAAGCTTCTCGAATAGCTCAGGGCTGATGGAAATGCTGCCTGCTGTTCGGATATGACGCAGCGCAAGATCCGAGTCAGTGTTGGCATCGAGATGTTGGTGGTTGCCATATCCGTTTCCGTAGGCTGGACGAGTCAATCGAGTGAAGACTGGGGCGATTGGGCCAGATACTTACCATCTTGCCGGGAGAAATCCTTCTCCAAAGTGTTGTTGTCTGCCATCCTTGGTGTTGATTCGTTTCTTGCTGTTGACCCGGCAGAAAGAGTCTCCGCGTCCCTTCCTGATGTTGCACCGAGATGTGCGTCGTTGGTCGCGTACTTGTGGTCGTGATTTGTGGTCATGACGGCAACGTTGTTGTGGAAGAGGCCAACTCCTTTGTGTTGAAGGTCTCGGTATTGATTCGCGCCTGAACTGTAGGGTGGTAGCTGTTGTCCCGTGACTGGATAGATATGTATCGAGGCTGGACAGGGAGGCGAGTTATATACTAGACGATCCACGAGGGCGTGCTAGTCTTATGAGTAGAATTTATACCTTTAACCCTTGGAGCACAATCCCAATTCCAAGACGGCGTAGCCTACGGACGAAAGCAAGCGATCAATACAGGACTGTGAATGGCTGTAGCTAGGAAGCCCCGGAGCTTCGAAGTGAGGGCCAACTGCGGCTCCGCGCCAAACTATGTATGCAGTTGCATTGGCGACAAGCAGATGCACTTGGACTAGAGCTCGATTAGGACCAGGTCAATCCCATTTGCACGAGTGTGACTTCCACGACGAAGGGTCCCTAGTAAACGCCGAAGAAACTTGTGCCTTTTCAGCTTTAGCGTCTGACGTCTCCCGTATAATACTTAGCATAAGACACGTATTAGAAAACGATGACGAATGATGAAAGAGAGCATTTGAACAAGACGAAGAACGACGCCGTATCTTTCCATGATGTTCTACAATCCACCAACCTCTCCAGGGAGTTCTTTCATGCCAACACGTATTACCACTACGAGATGACTGAAGATCCTCGGCGATGGGACTACCTGATATTAGGTCATGATGGAAAGGGTACGTAGCTGGATCACAAGATGGTTCTAATACCCGCCTGGCAACAGCGAATAGGCGATCCGCGGCTCCAGGGAATAGACCCGGTTCTGCGGAGGGACGTGGAGAAGCGTGCGAAACAATGGATATTCAATGGATATTCGTGGGGAGAGCCTGGACTCTGGAGCTAGGTGATCGTCGGGCCGTCACCAACCCGGTCGACTTTGCGGGGAAACGTGCTAGATCTGCCACCATGGAACGCGTACAAGCGTTATTCCCAGGCGTCATGTCGAGTTATGGAAGCCAGCAAGCCGGGGATAAGGTACTACTATCTCCAAAACCATCTGATACCGAGTGTTGCAAGCTCGTTCATCCCATGTGTTGCTCTGTGAGTACGGTGACTGCTGGTCATTGGAAAGTTAGTAGTCGGCAAAGATCTGCAAACAGGGTCGGTAAACTTTAAAGCCGGGCTGCCGTACGATGCAGTTATCTTGGTCCGGACTGACGGCATCCCAGTCTGAACGGCGTGAAGGTACTGTAGCTCTGAATTCGGTTGGCATCTCACCTGCGATCGACAGGACGGACGCCCATTCGACATAGCTGCCCACTTTCCCCGCCTTTTAGGCTTCTGCAGCTCAGATCTGTGTTGTCATGGAGTGGTGGTGTGACTGAAAGGCAGCATGGCGAGTGTTTGCGCTCATCCGACAACGTATCGGAAGGTAGTGGAGTGGAGGCGTTCCGCCGCCTTTCCTAATCTGGTAAACTATAGACGGATTGGGAGTGCCTCGGCTGAACTTGCTTGAAAGCCAGCGAAAAGGATGAATGTCGAGTCGATGTGCCAAAGGAGGATATAGAATGTGATCCAGAGAAGGATAGTTGGCACAATGCCTCCATATCACGCTCTGCATCGACAATCGCTAATATTCGCCATCGGTGGAAATGGATGTTTAGAGCACGACTTCTCCATCGTAAGCCGGGTTAAAATGTGACACAGAAGCTCGTTCTGTTTGTCCCTGCATGAAGAACGAGAAGGCTAGTGTCGTTGAATTGTAGACCGTGCCTTCCGTGACCCCGGTGCTCACACGAGGCTGCACGTTCTAAGTTGTTATGCAAGCAAAGTTATCATTCATATGTTCCTTTGGTCCTAGAACTAGGATAGCTTGTAACAAAGTATCGTAGCGTGCGTCGTAAAATAAGGGGCGAAATCACCCCTTGGGCGATTGGTATAGCCACAGAAGGCTTAGGTCGTCCCATGAACATCTCACCGCTTTTCAATATTCAAGATGACCCCATGTGCTTGGCTGATCCCCTTGTTTAGGTTGGGCCGCTGAACAAAGACATTCCCGATTGTTTTTCTTTGGTGGCCTGAAATCTGGGCTCCAAGATTGACATTGGAAGGGCCTAAGAAGTGGTGCGCTCTTCTCGTTCTAGGCTGGGAGGTCGAATCTCACATTTGGACAGCTTCGGTACCACGCCTCTGGACCATCGAAACCCCAAATGACATCAAAGAATCGGGAGTGGGTTCCTCTTTATATTTTCAAACATGACTGTGATAGCGTTGACATCGTTTCGTACGTGTAAACCACCGCTCAACGCCGTAAGCCCCCCACTATCAGCTCTGAAGAACTGGATGTACAGTCCAATGTGCACGATGCCGTAGACTTTCCCAGAATCATTCTGTGTGCCGCCGCAAAGCCTACTCAGGTGATCTTGCGTCTCAGTCCAACTTTTATCGGCCTTCTTGCTCTCTACCAGGCAGTAATCATACGCATACGTGCTTCCCCCGGGGCGAGATAAGAGTTGGAGCACGGCCATGTCCGCCATTGATTCGGCCTGGTCTACTTCTCCGCGCGACTCTTCCTGGAGAACGTCGAAGCCTTTTTCCTCTAGGAAGAAGCACCTCAAGATCGCCACCATAACCCTTCGGTACAAGTATTCATGGGAATCTGGCAATCTTTCAACCAGCTGGAGGTGCGTCTGGACATTGACCTTGTCGAGGTAGGTATGGGGGAGAGAAGAAGAAGAAGAAATTGTAAAGCTCATCGAATTTCTCTCTGCAAATCGTAAAAGTGGTGTTGCAACAATGGATGGTTTGGTGGCAGCAACGGTGGAACTAATTCCACCCACCTGACAGCGACGTTGTTGCCTACAGCAGCCGCACAAACTATCCGAGTTACCCACTTATAGCAAACCAATCCGAAGTCGAGGATTCTATAAATTTGCTGGCATGAACCCAAGCTAGAGCAGATCATGTGATTGACCGCCCGACGATGGAATACATCCAGTATCAACGCAGCTGTATATAACATCGAAGCAACGCAAACATGATCTTGAGGAGTTATCGAGTCACGGTAATGTAGGTTGTGCCCACAACAGCGCCCTGATGATGAGCAACTGAGGACCCCTGGGTGATTATCTAGTGTGACAATCCACGAGTGATATTGTGGTGGGGAGTTGTCATATTAACCCTTCAGCTACGTTCAAAGTGTGCACGCAATCGGGTTTCAGCTGATTTACACGATGGCCCCCTGGGGAGCCAACGCAGCTGGCCTAGATTGAGATGGAGTATGCTTGTGCTGTTCAATGCCCAAGACCTCAAGCTGCGCCGACTTCTTCAATGACTTTCTTCAGGTTGTGGATATCATGAGCAAACCGACCCAGGAACAGGCCATCTACGCCATCGGAAATCTTTGCGAAGGTGCCCGGCCCAGCACTCCCACCATAAACTATTCTTGTCACACCTTTTCGTCCAGCAGCCAGCTTCCTCAGCTCCTTTGTAACATTGACAACGTGATCTGGATCTGCTGGCTCCTTCGCACCAATAGCCCACACAGGCTCATAGGCCAGTATGACCTCGGTGTCGTCAGGCACAGCCGCCAGCACCGACTTGACTTGCGGTATGCACTCTTGAATGGCGGCACCCACGGCCGCCGAAGCAACACTGTGATGTGTCCTCTCCCCAATGCACACCAGCGGAATCAACCCATTCCTCGCCGCAGCACCTGCCTTCTTCGCCACCCATTCATCCGTCTCGCCAAACTTTGCTCTACGCTCCGCATGTCCAATCTCGACGATCCGCGCGCCAGCTTGCCGTAGCACCAGTGGGCTGACCTCGCCTGTGTATGCACCCTTGTCTTCCCAGAAGGTGTCTTGGGCGCCGAGGATGATGGAGGAAGGCTCGAGGATGCGGGCGCTCTCGGTGAGCGAGACGAAGTCAGGGATGACGAAGAGGTCTATGCGGGCGTTCCAGGCGTCGCCGTCAAGTTGCAGGACGCCGCGGATGTAGGAGAGGGTGCTGGGCAGGTCAAAGTACATTTTCAGCGAGACGCCTACGAGGCGGCGGGGTTGAGGCAGCGGAGGCATTTTGTGGATGCGGCAATCCAAGGATCTCGGTGTGAGGGAGAGCTGGCCTATTTATCAGTCTTTGCAAGAATGTATCTTGGTTGAGATGGCTCAAAGTTGTTAGGGAGGAAAAAGGTGGGACGCGTCGGACTGCTGCATGTGGAAAACCGGGGAACGAGACGAGGGTGCGGGGCAGCCTCAGACGTCAACAGCCTCATTGCAATGCTGCATATCCACCACCCCCTGGTTGTATGCTCTCCCTCTCTCTCTGCCATCAGTCGGTAGCATGCGCATCAATGCCTACCAGATGCTACGAATTATCACACATCTCAGCATTGGGTGCTAGAGCAGCATGTCAGCCCGGGGTCACTATGGGGCTAGTGGCAGCGACCTCCGATTGTTCCTCCGACTCAACAACGGCCCGCGCTAACCAGGTTCCAATTCTACGCTTCCGCTAAAAGAAACCTGCGCATCAAGCATCACTAACCTCTTGAATTATTCTCGGACAGCTCAGACAGCTGCCGTACATGTCGCGGATCCTCGTAGATCGCTGGGCCCGCAAACGCTACTTCGGGTAGTTTGACGTCGAGTCAATTGTCCATTTCTAGTGCGCTACATCCTGGTAAGTTTCGGTGTGCGGGCTCACGCGGGGTGCATAACCTCGAAATTTCTACGTGGACTGACGGATTCCTGCCTTCAGGTCGACTTCTCTTTCTCCTTCTCTTTCCCTTCTCTTTCGCCTCATAATCCGCCGCCATGCACATCTCTCAGAAACTCGCCCAGGCGAGGGAAGAGGGGAAGCCAACCTTCTCCTTCGAATTCTTCCCGCCAAAGACGGCCCAGGTAAGCCGTACCCTGATGTCCGAGAGAAAGAGAGAGACGTTGAGCTAACATGTACTAGGGCGTGCAAAACCTCTACGATCGCATGGACCGCATGCATGGCTTCGGTCCACAGTTCATCGACCTCACCTGGGGCGCGGGTGGCCGCCACTCGAAGCTCACTTGCGAAATGGTCAAAGTCGCCCAGTCCGTATACGGCCTCGAGACATGCATGCACCTCACCTGTACCGACATGGAGAAATCCAAGCTCGACGAAGCTCTCCGAGACGCATATCAATCTGGCTGCACAAACATCCTTGCCCTGAGGGGAGACCCGCCTCGTGAAAGAGAAAAGTGGGAAGCTACTGCTGGTGGTTTCCGCTATGCAAAGGATCTGGTCACATACATCAGGGACAGATACGGCAATCATTTCGATATTGGTGTGGCAGGATACTCGGAGGGCTGTGATGACAATGACAATGTCGACGAGCTGATCGATCACTTGAAAGAGAAGGTGGATGCAGGCGCTACATTCATCGTCACCCAGATGTTTTACGATACAGACATCTTCCTAGACTGGGTCAAGAGAGTGCGAGCAAAAGGCATCGACATCCCGATCATCCCTGGCATCATGCCCATCCACACCTATGCAGCCTTCTTGCGGAGGGCGCAATGGACTAGGTGCAATATCCCACAACACTGGACCGATGCTTTGGAACCCGTCAAGAACGATGATGTCGAAGTGCGTGAAGTCGGAAGAGGGTTGGTTGCGGACATGTGCCGAAAGCTGGTTGACGCTGGCATCCTCCACCTGCACTTGTAAGCTGCTCTATCTAATCGGTCACTATCGACAGCTTACTAACCCTTGCAGCTACACTATGAATCTAGCACAAGCCACCCGTATGGTCCTCGAGGAACTAGACTTACTCCCCGACGTCGAATCACCCCTGGAGAAACCCCTTCCATGGCGGCAATCTCTGGCCCTCAACCGCCGAGACGAGAACGTACGACCCATCTTCTGGCGCAATCGCAACCGTTCTTACGTTGCACGCACACAAGACTGGGACGAGTTCCCCAACGGCCGCTGGGGAGACTCTCGCTCACCCGCTTTTGGTGAATTAGACTCTTACGGCATCGGTCTGAAGGGTACCAATGAGCAAAACATCAAGCTCTGGGGCACGCCTACATCCATCAAGGATCTGTCTGAGCTCTTCGTTAGATATATGGAAGGCAAGCTAGATTCTTTACCATGGAGTGAGCAGCCTATCACCAACGAAGCCGGATCTATTCAGCACGACCTCATCGACCTCAACCGTCGCGGTTTCTTGACCATCAACTCTCAGCCCGCCGTCAACGGCGCCAAGTCCTCTGATCCCATCTTCGGCTGGGGCCCACGCCACGGCTACGTCTACCAGAAAGCGTATCTTGAGGTCCTCGTCTCACCCGAGTATATCGCTGAGATTATCACCCGCATCGAGCGCGATCCTGAATTCACTTACTACGCTGTGAACAAGGACGGCGATCTCAAGACAAACGCTCCGAATGAGGGCCCCAATGCTGTCACTTGGGGCGTCTTCCCAGGCAAGGAGATTGTGCAACCGACCATTGTCGAGACGGTCAGCTTCCTCGCCTGGAAGGACGAGTTCTACAGGCTTGGTCAGCAGTGGGCGAACTGCCACGCGGGTGTTAGTCCGTCGCGATATGTCATCCAGGACGTAGTGGATACTTGGTACCTTCTCAACATCGTACACAACGACTTCCATGTCACTCGCGGCATTTTCCCACTTTTCGATGGCTTGAAGGTCGAAAACATAGAAAAACCACTTCACATCCCTAGTGCCGACATCCCTACATCGAACGGCCATCAGGCAACGGATGGAGCCGAGAGCACAAACGGCGAAACGAGCAAGACCGCTAGCAAAGAGAAGCCCAAGGGCCTCGTTGACGCTGCCAAAGAAACCGCCGTTGAAGTCACCAATGGCCTCAAGGGTCTAGCGGTGTCCAAATAACTTCTGCTTACCAGATATCGACTCACGGTCTTACTGTATTCAACACGGCAAGGCCAATTCTACTTGTGGATTTCCACGGGTATTCTTGCATAGTCCGACTTTCAACATTGACGGTGGCATTCGCCTACCCTCAATACTATTTAGCACTTCAACAAGTGTAACCAGCGATATCTCTACTATAGGCTGGCGTATTTCATCTACCATGTGTCTTGGAGTAGGACAGATTTCCTACAACATCGCATTCTAAAGCATCTGGGGGGCGTCTATTCAACCTGACGACCATCAAAATCATGTATGGCGGACCGCAAGCCCAATGACAGTGGGCGAAGAGGTTGTGGATGAGCGATATGGTTTTTTAAAGATACCCGACCGGTGCCCTCAACGGAGCCGGTCAATCTTCTGTTTTTTATGTTTACACATATGTATGTTCGACTGCAGTAGAACATGATATGGTCATTACGATGACATTCCGCTCTCTCGAGTCTACAGCCTCTTTCTATGTGCATTGTAGTGTATCGTCACAAATCTGTGACTACTAATGTTATGATAGAAAAGTGAACACGCCCAGCCGCGCATCGTACTTGGAATTCATTAGGCTATGCAAGCGATCAAAATAGGGATGACAAGTAATCAAGTGAATACAGTTGAAGAGCAGAACCCTCTGCTCATTGGGTATCATGAAAAAACACCATCAAAACCCAGGTCTTCCGCCATGTTTCCCTACCCCCCTGGCGAGTCTTTTGCCCTCACCCACCAGCCTACTTCCTGATATGCGGTCTTCTGAATGGGTGTGCTTCTGTGTTGAAAACCCAGTCATCGAGGGACATCATATCCGGCGGACTGAAGATGAGGTAGAAGTACTTCAGCGTCTCCGCAGTCCAGAAGCTTTCCATCTTGTTCTCGATGTTGTCCTCTCTTGTGAAGATACCGCCCCTGACACCAGGTACCCGCTGCTGCGTCCATTGACCGGGCGGAGGCGGCACAAATGTAACATCCAAGACCTGGCCGTTCGCAAAAGTCGTTGCGGACGCACCGACAATGGCCGTGAACATATCCCACGCATCGTCAAGGTACCTCTGGTCACCGGTGATGCGGTACATGATGAATACGGATTCGATAGCTTCAGGACGGAGCAGATATCGTGTATCCCGGATGTTAGTGAAGCCAGGCGGAATGTTGTACTTCTCAATCAGCGCATCGAAATCTGAGATAAATCCCCCGCCGTAGTGGTACTTGACACCTGCCTCCCACAGCGTCTGGTTCCACGGGCATGATGTTCGAGAGGCGCACGGTACCATATCAAAATTCTCTGGCATGATGCCTGAGGGCATTGCCGCGTAGGCGTATATACACCCTTTTGTGAGCTTGCCGCCAAGGTCGACATGGTGTGCGTCGGAGAATAGACGTCCGGCGAGGCCAAACATGCCGCCGATAAAGCATGTGAGGTGCTGCATTGTCGCCTGGAGCTTGACATGTCTAGGCCTGGATGTGGAGACCTCACCACAAAGCAAAAGGTCTTCTCCGTCCACTTCGTTTGGAACCATAGGGCGAAAGAGCATATACTTGTCCATCATGGCAGCCGAGGTCTCGAACATCTTCTCGTATATTGGTTCCAGGCCTCCGAGTAGAGCGTGCATCTTGGGAAAATACTCATACGTTGAATCGGCTAGGGCGCCAATGGAGAAGGAGCGCGATTGGTTGAACTCCTCGTTCGCAGCATTTACCATTGTTGGCCAGAGTCCGGGTATTTTGGTCGTATCCTGCATTCGATCTATCAGAGCGCTGACTCGAGCAACGACGTCGTAGAATTTGGGCTGAGCACTGATTTGAGCGAGACGGGTGAGCTCCATAGCTAGAGACCCAAGGCAGGCAAAGCAGATGCTGGTCTCTGCCGCAAACTCTATCCTCTCGAATGACTTTGCTTTCTTAATATCAAGCGCTTCCAAAGGTGTGTTGTTCGTTGTGTCGAAAGCGCGGTATATCATTTCTCCCACCTGTACCGCCTTCTCCAACAAGACAGGTTCATAGCTCAAATCGTATGCGCTCAGCAAGCCTCCTAGATATCTGATTGTCGTTTCAAAAACGCTAATAGCTGTGAGGTTCGTGTGCCCAAAATCAATAGCAGCTACAGCGTCTACCGCCTCGTAGAACTCCTCTTTGAATCCCATGATCCATAACGTGTCGAGCGAGTCTACCAGTGTTGCGCCCCAGCCGCCAAATGTTTCTATAGCTTCTCCTGTCACTGGCCTGAGCTCATCGTGCGCCCAGGCGAAGTCTCTATAGCTCTCCCAGGTGAGCTGAAACTCCTCCCGCACAGCGACTCTCTGTGCTTCTCTTCTCTGTCTTTGTGACTTCGTTTCGGAGAATTTCTCGAACTGGATAGGTGGGAGTTTGTGGGGTTTGCCAGTCGGTAGAGGTATGTATGACTCAATCTTGTTCACAAAGGGAGCTGTCCTCCAATCGTACGATTGATAAGACACGGCCCTTTTTGTAGCATCTCGATTGTTCATGTAGGCCTCGTGGAGATGGAAGGGTACGGCGAGCGGATCGATTGGTGGGGCGGACCAAATATAGTATGCGCCGAATGTGATGGCTCCGAGGAGTAGGTATGTGAGGGTTCTCTGGTGTTGCCGAGACATTGGCTGATAGACGGGCCCACGAGACAATTTTGACCGGAGCATGATGTGCTACCTAGGTAGGAGGTGAGGATTGAAGGCGATCATGGAATGTTTTTAGTCGGCAACCTGCTGTCGTAAGAAGTGAACATGCAGTGCCAATGGACCTGAAGAGCAAAACAAGCAATACGTGACAGCCCTCGATGCGGATACCGAGCAAGAATAGGAGGAGAATGAAATGTCGAGACAAAAAGTGCTAGAATGAGGGTATGCTGCTCATTGATTCGTCACATTGAAGAATGCAGAGCGCGAATTGCATGCTCAGGACACCTCGCGTTTCATTGGAATCTGCGTGCCAAGGAGGGCACCATGACGAATGTAGGAGGGAGCTGCGACTATAGGCCGTGGCTGTAGGTACCTAGGTGGTAGGCAGTCGGGACCGCCATGGCGTCTGCAGTGAATAGATAATCGTGAGCCCGATGACGCGTGGACATGACTTGAGAATGCCAAAGACGCGCTAGAACGCGCCTACCCAGTGCGGGTCGCCTACCCCGTCCTTGGCCCCTCACATGGCACGAACGAACCCCGCGAGCGTTGAGCAACCATCGTACAACAAGAGACCACTTTCAACCTCGAATGCTCTTGGTCTATATTGACTCTCCATAGAAGTCTCGGCTGCTTGAGCAATGAACGCCTTGATTGGAAAGCCTCTGAAGAAATACTTGTTCATTGCATTCATCTATCGTGAAGCTCCAGCAGTGTCATGGCGCCTGTCCGACACACTTCTCTTCGTGTCCTCATGTCCACGAAGCTAATTTCTAGAGCACTTTCAAGTAGTTGCTGCCCTCAAGACCATGCTTTTTACTCGTATTCTCGTGGGCCCACTCATGATACTTAATCGCTCGCCTTGTATTTCGCCCGATACTCATCCAACCTCTTCAAGTCTTCTTCCCCACCCAACGCCCTCAGGTACTGCAGCACATCGTCCAGCGTCAAAATCGCCAGTACTGGAATACCATACTGTTTCCTAACCTCTCCAATTGCGCTGGGCCCAGGCTTCCCATCGTCGTCAGTAGCCGTGGGCATCTTCTCTTGCCTGTCGCATGCCACGATGATGCCGACTAGTTCTCCGCCTTCCTTCTTGATGATTTCGATTGCTTCGCGAATGGCGGTTCCAGCCGTGATCACGTCATCTACGATGACAACCTTTCGGCCTTTGAGAGATGCGCCGACGATGTTGCCGCCCTCGCCATGGTCCTTGGCTTCCTTGCGGTTGAAACTGTAGCTCTTCTGTCCGTACTTGGAGACGTCGAGATCCGCTAGTTTATCAAGGGTAGCTGCTGCCAGTGGAATGCCTTTGTATGCTGGTCCGAAGAGAATGTCCCATTGGAAAGAGGCGTCTGCCTCTCCGTGGGCCTTCAAGGTGTGCGCGTAGGCTGAGGATATGGAGCGTAGCAAGTCGGCTCTGTGGAACAGTCCCGCATTGAAGAAGTATGGGGAAATGCGCTTGGACTTTAGTGTAAAGGTGCCGAATTTGAGTGCTTCGGCCGACACGCAGTCTTTGAGGAACTTCTGCTTGTACTCTGGGAGCGCCATTTTGAGTCGTGTTGATCGAAGTAGTGAAATATCTGGGGCACTTGTCGTTCCGAGTCGGAAACATTTCTTCAAGAATTCCTGCACGGGCCACACAGCTAGTTCGTCACTCCTGGTGGTGACCAGAAACTTTTGCCTATCCATCGCCAACGTCCACACCGCCACCACTATCGCCTGCGCATCTCCTGTTTGCGTATTCTAATATTCTCTTTGCTTCAGTGGACCTCTCATAGCATTATAGGCGTTGCGGGATCCTTGGTGGGCTTTTAATCGCCAGGCGCATCCTTCTATCACATCTTCACACCATCGAGAGCCAACCTTCAAAATGACAATGTACGCCCTGTCTATACTTCAACGCATGCATCGCCAGATTTACTAACAAGTCTATCAGCTGGGACAGCATAACCGGGCGCAAATCTGCCTCGACCACCCAACAACCTCAATCTTCCGATTTCGTCAAAGAAGACAACTTCCAGCCTACCCCATTCGACCCATCCACCGCTATTCAAAACCCCTCAGAGTTTCTCTACGCGGACCCGTCGCAACTGCACCCGCTCGCCGGCCTCAACCAAGACACCCTTGACTACCTCACGCTCGAAGATTCGGTCCCCTCTGAGTTTGGTGGCCAGTCTGCACTTCCTAGCCGCGGCTGGTCGGATGATCTGTGCTATGGCACTGGAATCTCATACGTGACTGCCTTGACAATCGGCGGCACCTGGGGTCTCGCTGAAGGTTTACAAAAGAATCCTCCCTCGATGGCGCCGCGGTTACGGCTGAACGGTGTTCTCAACGCAGTAACACGAAGGGGGCCGTTCCTAGGGAACAGTGCGGGTGTGATTGCCATGTTGTACAATGGGTTGAATAGCACAATTGGATATTATCGGGGCAAGCACGATTATACCAACAGTGTTGTGGCCGGTGCGCTGAGCGGGGCGCTGTTCAAGAGTACGAGGGGAACTAGGCAGATGGCTATCAGTTCGGGGATTTGCGCAAGTTTAGCGGGTGGTTGGGCGGTGAGTTTACACAGTTGTGAGAGGACGAGACGAAACTGACAATTGCCAGATTACACGGAAGGTCTTCTTCGAGCCCGATTCGAGGATCACCGACGCGTTGCGTTGAGCGACAAAATTCGAGAGGTACTGCCATCGGAAGTATCGCCGTATGACGCATGGCATTTCTCTTCTACCTTCGACTTTCTTGCATCTACCTTTTTGGTCTCAGCGTCTTCTCACCACTCTAGGGCCTGGCCCACTGTAAAATTATAGGCTTCACGGGAGAAGCCGGCATCATGAGACTTAGGACGGCGCAGTGTTGGGCTCTTGGCTTTCAAGCGAGCTGCTGTGTGTACGTGTATCTATGTAAGACAAACGAGGAAGCAAAATAATGCATATTTGAAAGATCATAACATTGGCTTGAAGATTACTTTGTTTCTACGACACTTGTTTTAGAGATCATGAGTGTATGTTTCTTTTACACATATCACATAGGAGCAACAGCACATTGGAATAGGTTTGAGTACAGTTATGCACAATGAGTATCAAAAAAATCGCTACAAACGTGAAACTACGGTATCTTAAGGACATGCATGCTAAATCAACTAGGAAACCAACTGGTCAAAAATACCATATTATCATGAAGTGAAATCGAACATTTGCGCATCATGCAGTGTCCGACCTCGACCAGACCACCTGCTTTCTTTTCTACAACCGGCCAATGCTATTTTCAACCAAAGTCAAATAGACAACATTACATACACCACCTCCTCTTTCTCCTCAAGGTAACTCGTGCGGCGTCACCTTAGTTCCCCTTCCATCTGCATGGGCATACTTTGTACTCGCAGGCAGTTCAGACGTGGCCCTAGTATCCATTATTTCAGTCGGAGGCGCATCGTAATACTGTCGCGGTTCGTCACCGCCTGGACTATACGCCGGCGCTGGCCCATAGCCTCCGTGGTGGGTATCACTTGGGCCCTTTTCGACGCCAACAGGAGCAGCATTTGCTTTCCGGCGGCGCCATAAGAAGATTGCGCCGCCGATGATTGCTAGACCCGCGAGGACGCCGACGACGGGGCCGGCTATCCAGGCCTTGGAGCTGCCGGAGCTGGAGCCACTACTGGAGCCGCTGCTGGAACCACTGCTGGAGCCTGGGGAGGAGGAACTAGTGGAGGAAGGTATGTTTGAGCCTGCGAGGATGGCGTAGGTTGCGCTTGCTTGGTCGGAAATTACGGATGTGGTGTTTTGCAGGTAGCAGTTCTTGTATCCGCCCTGTAGGCTCGAATCGAAGAGTACGCCGACGCACTTCTGGTCGTTGGTTGCGCAGGCGTCGATGCACGCGGTTACATTCTGCGTGTGTAGAGAGGTGATATTCGTGCCCACATTCAGCTGTCCACAGTGAAGTTCAAAGTCCTTCTTTCCCTGTGCGGTATAGGTCTTCGCAGACGGACATTGACGATCGACGGGGTCAATTTGCGTAATCGTCGCCGAGTGGATGGTTCCCATCTTCGGGGTAGGATCGGTGAGCGTCTCCGGAAAACCAGTCTTGGGCCAGCAGTTGGCGAAGCCGATTTTCATCTCTGGGCTCCATGATACGGCGCGGCAGAGTGGATGCTGGTCGACACATATTTTCAAACATTCCATCAGCGTTTTCGTATGGTAAAAGCCAATATATGGACTCTCCCAGCAGGGCTTTGGATACCCCGAAAAGCATTCGTCATATCCGCCAATAGCTTTGCCGCAATGTGTGGTGTATTGGATCCCCTCGACGCCAGGCATTTTGTTGATAGAGAGATCGTTGTTCGGGCAGGATTTGTCGACGGGGTTCATTTCACCGTCCTTGATCAAGGCGGCGTAATTGCCTGCCAGGGGGACCAAGCCGGCCTTGGATGTTGTGCTATTGCGAAGCCAGCAATCGTTGCTGGCTTCAACCCATACGACGCCGAAGCAGCCCTCGCCGTTGCCCCAGTAGCGGGAGCAGTGCTCCATACAGTCTACCATAGAGGGTGAGTTGAAGCGCGGTAGTGCATCTACAACCTATTAGCTAGGCTCACTTTCTGATCCTGTGACAATTTGGTACTCACCATTTTGTGGGTTGTTCTGCTCGCAATATGTGGTGAAGTTGAGGCCGTTCTTCGACCTGTAGCTATCAGGACATTTTGTGTTTGCTTGCCGCGCCTCGAGGTCGCGACTGAGTATGGGCTCTGCAATTACTGTCTTGCATTAGTATCGCACTCGTGTATTTTCACATCTTCAGGGCAGGGCCTCGACGTACGTGGTGTCGCAATGGCGGCGCTTGCCCACAGCAGAGCCATGAGGCTCCCTCTTGATGGTACCAACATGTCTTCTCCCACTTTTCTGAACCGTGACACTAAACACTGGGGAAGGTCTAAAGGATGGTCGAGAACCACCGGATGGATCGAGCTGCGAGGAAGACAGAGGTGGGATCCCCAAGGATCAACGCTATCAGGCACGAGGATGAACCGACTCGAGAAAAGCAAGCAAAGCTCAAGCCAAACGACGGGAGAACCAACTCGCGGTCAGGCGCCCCGCTCCTTAACCACGGCGTCCTGACCACGATCATCCTAAACACTGCCCTTCCCATGCAAGCCTTGGACTGTGCACACTACACGTCCAAGCCTCAACGCCATGGAGCCATCCATGCAGGGCCCACGCTTTCCGACGTGATGGCGTCGGGAGATCGAGCTTTTCATTGGATGAGACTCGAGAGCATAAGGCAGTGGCAGGTAAGCGTGGCGATATTAGGGGTGATTAGTATTATATCAGGCGTCCCGCCTGCATGAGAGGGCTGAGTTGGGTGGTGGTTGGTAGATGGCGCGAGTCGTGGGATCAAGGGGGAAGCCGACCGTTGACTGGCTGTTTGCGAGCTGCATCATGACGTTTGACTACTAATAACTATTATATCTTCTTCAAATCACCAACTCGCGTCCTCGCTCTTTTTCTCCTGCTTTCAATCCTTCATGTATTCTCTTTGTTTCGGTCCGAAGACGATGTGGGGTTTGCAATCTTACTTACAGCAGACTTCTCGCAGGATATTTCCAAACTGGGGCCTCACTATGACCCGCCCATTAATAATAATCCGGGTATGGCTTTGCGGCTAACGCCGAGATCCCCGGGCGCCAACTCATTTCCTAACCCTCATGCGTATAGCACAAGGCTGAGTCCCAGTCGCTATTTTTGGGGGCCGTAACGCGTCTCAGTCGTTACCACCCTCAGTCGTTACCACCATCTCTACAACGACCCCCAACAACAGCCACGCCCGTCAAGTCATACTGCACGAATCGTCCTGGTCGCGCGAGTCATTCTACTTCGCTAACCCCAGCTGCACGTTATCTTGGCCATCTTCGGCTTTTGCCTGCCACATCCGCGTTACTACTTTCTGCTGGAAGCTGTCTACCGCATTGGGAAATCAGGCGACCCACGCGGGTCATCAATCGTGCCGTGGTCGCTGAGAACGATGATGGCCAAGCAGCAATTTCAAATCAATACTACACCGGGAGGAAAGAAAATACTTTTGAAAAAACGTAATCACGTTGTGTATGTACATATAATTGCTTTGAAAAGCCGCGTTTTACGGCGTATTCGGGTTTGGCGCTCCCTTTACCAACTTGAAGCCACCCGGTTGAAGATACTGAAAGACCTGCGTTGGGTCATACTTCTTTGAGATACTGGCCAGTCTCTGCTTGTTGGCTGCTCCATAGCTGCCAATTGGATCCTGATACTCAGACGCGTAGTTAAAGTAAACAAAGTCGTTATCAAGACTCCTTCTCTGTGCCTCGGCCTTTATGAGTTTGATCATGGTGGAGATGACATGGTGGAACCTGGGCTCGTCCTCTTTCTTGTTCCAGGCGGCATTGAAGTTCAGGATAAAGTACGGCCCATTCTTCGGGTCGAGACCTAGGGCGTTACCTCCATTCTTCTGCATAGCCTTCAATGCGCCTTCAGTAATGGGCTGGATGGCCATGATGATAAGAATCTTTTCGACGTCTGCGATGGTTGCTTCCTGGGTGTAGAAGGTGTCGATGATGAACTGGAGGAGTTGCCTGTCCATTTTCAGACTGATGCCCCACCATGTTTGATAAGCGCCGGGGGCAGGAGCTCCCTCGTTGAGAAGCTTGGCCATTCCCGACATGGGTCGAAGGCCAGTGGTGTCTTGAATGGAAGTGATGTTTTTCCAGCTGTCAAACACTGGCGCGTTGACAACTGGTTTGGCATAGTGTAAATTGGCGAAGGCGACCTTTCCAATACCAGGGGCACTGGCAAACGTCTGTATATGTCAGCCTGATATCAGGGGCCGCTGGACTGGATGGAGTGGACATACAACAATCTGGGCAGCATCCAAATCCGTAGACGATCCCGTAACGGTGAACTGGTGAATTGCGTCCAGAATAGCTGGGAAAGTGCTCTCCAGGTAGACACGCTGACCTCCCCACATCTGACCTAGAGGGAAGGCAGCAAGCTTAAAGTTGGTCACGATTCCAAAATTGTTACCTCCTCCCCTTAAAGCCCAATACAGATCGACATAGGACGTCGGACTGACATTGATGGCGAGGCCCGAGGCAGTGACAAGTTCAAAGCTTGCCACGTTTTCACAAGCCCAGCCATACTTGTTCGAAAAATGCGAAATGCCTCCTCCAAGAATGAGTCCGGGCACACCAACAGGGGCCATCTTTTCAGTGGTCAGTAAGATAATATTGAGACAAACATGTACGGGAACCTACTCGTCCTCCCACCACACTAAGACCGTCCTTCTCAACAGCAGTGAAGACATCATCCCATCGAAGGCCAGGACCAATATCGACAGTCTGTTTGTTGGAAGCCACGTTGACTTGCTTAAAGTTCTCCATGGAAACAGTGATGCCGTCTTCGATACTCGATGCACCAGCCCATGCTGCATGGCCACCGCCTTTTACAGCGAACGGACATTGGTATAGTCGCGCGATCAATATCAACGTGGAGACGTCCAGAGTCTTTGTAGGCTTGAACACACAGGATGGATTCAGTGCGCCTTGCTGAGCAGACCAGTAGGCTCCAGTGAAGGCGTCATATGCTGATGCTCCCTCAGATAAGACGTGGTCTTGGCCGAAAAGAATCGTCAACGAAGTACACTGAGTCTATTGTTAGCCCATGCCATATGAATGGTTTCACATGATGTGTTGGACATACAGCAAGCGAGCATGGTGCCAAAAAAGACCGTTTGCTGAGGGCGGATGTCTCCGGCTTATTAGGCTCTGGTAGCGTTGAGACGTCGACACCAAGGCCTTGGAGGGCGGCTGTCACGTTAAAGTCCTGCGGCTCAAAGATGGCCCCGCTGCCTTGAGCTGTTACACACGCCGCAAGGACTGCCACTGGAGCAATACGCGCGACCCTCATTGTTGGAACTTGCCGAGACAACACGCGCCGGTAAGAAAGACGTGGGCCAAACGATCAACAGCGGTGCCTGTCGGTCTTATTAGGGTGCGCATGCAAATCGAGGGCCCTAGACCTTTCGCAGTCCAGCGCCCCTTGCCATGAGAACATGCGTTTAAATTCAAAGCGGCTCGCTTCCCCCGGATGCACATGGAGAGTGAAGGGAGATAGGTTACGCCTTGTCCGATACAGGATTAGCATCCAGCCCCACCGAGGCAGCGGGCGGCTCGGCTGAGCTGGAGGGGCCGATAGTTAGTTCAACACTGACTCCGTATAAGGAAGGTTGAAGGGTATCACATTCATGCGTACAAACGTTGAATTGCCTCGTTACTCTCTCTGTCGAAAAGTGCCAGCCATACACAATAAGCTGCAAAGCTCCGATTCATCGTCTTCTCATCTGCTGCAGTTTGCGCCCCTAAAGCAAGCTACACACTTCACCCGATAGGCCAGAGGAACTGGCGGGGATGCTGATCCTACACTCGGGAACCAGAGTCATTTCCCCAATAACATCGCTCGACATCCAAGGATCTGCCGCTCAGACACACGTGACGGGTAAGACCTGTTGTTGGTGGCGTTCCAAGCCTTTATTCAGTTGAACGTCAAGACCTCCGTAAATCCGACTTCAGCTATTATCTTGACATCTGCTTACGAAAATGTGAATGGTGAACCACAGGTAGGTTCAAAACACGCGCGAAAGCACTCGACTATGTGTCCCTTAGCAGACAGCGACTCATGCACGTTTTTGCTGCACACTAATATCGGTGTAGAGATTAATGCAGACCACCCTGGTCCATTCACTAGCCATCCATCTATGGATAGACGTTGAAACAAGGCTGCTTCCCGCACCGCCCCGTCCGCCACGGCCCGTCGTGTACATATTCGCGAACCTTCATCGTATCTGACCGTTGACACGGCGCCTCTCGTGGCGCATCACTGCACATCATGAGTTCCGACAGCCTCTCAAACGTGACTTGGGACAAGACGGGGCCTCCGCCCACCATGAGCAGGAGCCACCTTGAAAGGGTGAACACGGCCATGCTGTCCTTGACTTCATTGTTCTTTGTTTCGCGCATCATCGTTCGAGTTACCAAGCGCAAGCCCTTCGAATTGCACGACTTCTTCTGCTGTTTCTCCTACATTTGCTACGTTGCGATGTGCGTCATGTACTTCAAGGAGAATGGCCCATTGTACCGAGCGGAAAGCGTACAGAGAGGCGAGACAGCACCTTACCCAGAAATCCGTGAGTATCTGTACTTCAGAATATCCAAAATGAGCATGATTTGACTTGGTCGCCATCTTCTAGTTCACGATGCGGGAATGGTTTATCGGTGGCTGACCGCGGGTCAGCTGTTGTTCTACTCGACTCTCACCTTAGTGAAACTCTCACTATTAACATTGTACCGGAGGCTGCTGAGCCAAACTCCACACAAATTTACCGTCGTGTGGTGGGGGATTTTGGCGTTTTGCATCTTGGTATGTGGCAGGAAACGCACTTGTGATTTTTCGCATCCACTGACCGCTACCAAGTCTTATATTGGAAGCTGCATGACCACTATCTTCGTATGCGACGACCACAAAGCAAAGTACAACCAAGGCATGTGTGCTAATCCACGAGAACAAAAACGGGGGCAAGTCAGCTTGTGGTTTGCGTATGCGGCCGACGTAGCTACCGATCTTGCAGGTACGTATATCGCGCGCCATAAGTGTAACTACTAACTTTTGCAGTAATGTTTCTTCCATTTCGCATGACTTGGACGCTTCAGATGCCCAAAATAGAGAAGCTTGGTGTTTTCGTCCTCTTTGGCAGTGGCTGGATATGCATTGTATGTGCCCCGTGAAACAAAACCGACAACCCCATTTGAGAGAAAAAACTAACGTCGCACCCCACTTCAAGTTGTTTGCCACACTCCGTGTCGTTCAGGTCGGGGTCAAGGATGGAGTGCCAAAGGCCCCAGATCCGAAATGGCTGCAGATGTGGACTGTCATCGAGACGTCGATGGGTATGTTCTTCCCCTCCTTCCACTCTCTGCGCCGCCTAGCCTACTAATATCCCTTCCAGCGGTCATCATCGGCTGTGCTCCCGCCTTCGCAGCCATTATTCGTAGCCGTTTCGACACCCAGAACGGTTCTGATGATGCTAACGGATCCGCTGAACGATCAACAGACCAGATCAAGATGCAGAGTATGGGAACTGATCGTGCTAATCCATCAAAGCGCAAGGACGATTTGCTCTGGAATGAACCGCATAATGGGAGTGAAGAAGCATTAGCATATGACGGCGGTCCCTTGACCGGTACAACAATGAAACAACAGAAAATCAGATTAGGTAGACGGCCAATCAAGAAGCCGAGTGCATAAGTAAGATCGGAGGTACATTGCCAGATCGACGACGGTCTAGGCGTGTGATTCAGTTGTTAGCTTTGCCGATACATTCGATGACTAATGAACTCTCTGAAATACACTGCATGAAGCATAGACCTCTGCCATTAACACTAGTCTTTTTAATATTCGGAGTAGCCGAAGGATTTGTCAGGATCCGGTCACAAAGTTTGGCTGCATGGGCTACTACAGTATTTGCATAGAGCGAGATACTGTATAGGGTCACCACTTCAGACGCGCAACGAAGTCAACAGGGCGAGGCTTGCTATCTGTGAAAGAAGTCTTGCATTACCATACTGAAATCATGACAGCGAGTTGGTATCTAATGCATCCTGAACGCCAACCATGCTTTTCTCCACCTACCTGCGAGCCCACAAACGTGCAAGCAGAACAAACGCAGTATACCACAAACCCGCTCAACGATGGCTCGTCTTTCCGATACCACGCTTACCAGCAGTCTGCATATTCGTTAGTGACTATACATATAGTGGAGAATTAGGAGGAAGAGACGTACCAAATGCTTGATCAACGAGCCAGTCTGGTGCCTATCTGCCTCACCCTGCCTGGCATTCCTGTTCATCTTCTTCTGCGACAACTTCGCAATCTTCTCGGCCTTCGTGGCAGCAGCTTCGCTCGGAACACCATCCGTTCTCCGGTTAGTGCTCTGGCTTCTGCCCCGGCTCCTCGCTCGCTCGAGTGGGGTCTTAGGTGTATCGATATCCATAGCGTCGCCATTTGGACCTTCGGATTTTGCGCGAACAAGGCTACGTCCTCGAGTCTGACTTTGAACCCGTTCTGCGACCTTCGATCCATCGTATCCGAGGCTGTCCAGATGTGTTGCCATCTGTGACATATCCTTCGCCTTCTTGGTCCTGGGGATGACAGCTCTATTCTTCAGACTCTTGCGCATCTTGGCTTCGTTGCGGATGAGCTGCCTCTTTTCACGGATAAGATCTGCCTTGTACCTGATATCTGCCTCCTCTGCGTCCTCAAGCTCATCTTCCGACTCGTAGAAGCCGTCCGCCTCCAGCTTTTCTTCTTCCGCCTCAAGAGCCTCAAGCTTGGTCTCAATATCCGGGTCAATAAAGTCGTAGACGTTCTGACCCTTGAAAACCTCAGGAATGCGGTCGTGTTTCCATTCATCGTTCTCGAGTAGGTAGTTCTTGCGAAGGTCGATGTTGTACACACCAGCGCCACCGTTCTCCTCTTCCAGATCACGTTCAAGGAGGGGCCTCTCTGGGTCTTCCTTGTCGTACTTCTTCTTGTTCAGTACCGCTTCTGGGATGGACGTCTCACGAGTGACGCCGCCCAAAGGCTGAGCAACGTGAATACGGCGAAGTAGCTCTCCAAGACGACCAGAGGGTTCACCAGAGCTGTTAGTACCGGCTTTGAGCTTTTCAGCGTTACGCGCAGCGATCAATCGGTCGCAGACCGAGTTGCGCACAGCCATGACGCCCTCAGTGGTGTTGCAGGAAAGCTCGAGCATCTCCACCTCCCCGGACTTCAGCATTCCCTGAAGCTGCTCCTTTGTCTCGTCGTCTAGCTGGTCCGGCCGCATGAGGTCGATCTTGTTGATGACGATTGATATCAACTTGTTCGCGAACAGAGGCTTGATATTGTTGAACAGGGCAATCTGAGAAGCGACAGAGTAACCGCACTGCTCGCTGAGATCCATGAAGTAGAGAATGTGGGCGCGCAAGTGGGCAATGGCGCAAATAGACTGATGCTCAATGGTGTTCATGTCTTCGAGAGCATGGTCCAAGATACCGGGAGTATCTACTGCTTGAAATCTGAGCATCTTGTAGTCGCTGTCCTCTGCATTAGCCGCGAACAGTATTCAAATTGTGCGATCACAACTCACAAATGGCCCACATAAAGACTCTTGGTTGTGAATGCGTAGGGCTGCACCTCGACATCCGCCCTCGAAATTGACTTCAAGAAGGATGATTTGCCAACATTGGGAAAGCCAGCAATGACAAGGGTGCGTGTGTTTGGGTCGATCGACGGCAGACGGCCCAGATGTTGCCTGACCTGCTCGAGGTAGACCAGAGGATCTTTCAGCCTCTTGCAAATCGTCGCCATGCGGCCCAATGCGGCCCTCTTCAGCTGCTTGCACTGGAAGAGCGATTGTCCATACTTCAGTAGTCGGACGTAGTCGCGTGCGACTGTCTCGATGAGCGACTTGGCGGTCGAAAGCTGCCCGAGCGCAATTCGGAAGTGGTCCGCATCATACAGCGTGTTTAGCAGATCACGATGGAACGGGTGGATATCCACGAGTCGCGGAAAAGCCTCGAGAGTGGTAGTAAGACGCTCGGTGAAAGTCTCGGAAGTGTACTTGACTTTTCGCGTATAGAAGGCTCGGATTCTGCTGATTTGGAAGCCCGCCCTGATCTGTGTTGGGAGCCTGCAATTACAGTTAATATATCGTAAACATTAGACGTAATAACTCGAATAGAGCTGGTACCTTCTCTGAGCTGTCTTTGCGTTAGAGTTGAATCAATCATGGTTATACGGTCTCGAAGCTTACTGCGTGATAAAACGATGTCCAGAAACTCCTGGCTCGTTGGCACGGCGGGGATATCTTTCCACTGTGTCTTCATGGTGGCGGTATTTGTCCGGATTTATAGAAGCAGGCCCTTCTTTTCACGGGCGGTGTTGTTGGAAGCTGCGAGAGTTCGAAAAGTCGTCCGCTATCGATAGCCAAAAAATTTGGAGATTTTTCCCCACCCAGTTTGCCAAGATTTCGTTTCGCCAGCGCTAGTCCCGATACGGCCTTTCCCGAGGTTACCACTGCACATACCCCTTTGGTCTAAGAGCCTCTGCTGCATGACTGCGTGATGCGACACCTGCATCCATTGGGATCTCGTCACAATGAGTAACAACTCAGAGTGTCACAGACCCGATTGCTCATGGATTTATTTGCCGAATCTCAACGAACCCCGGAACGTGCCGCCGTTGCTTCCTAACTCAGATGTCTCAGGCATTGGAGTAAGTCTAAGAACCTCATCTCACTCATGACTAGTGGGGGTGCTTGACTAAGTTCGCGGATAGGTTATTCTAGGCTTCTCCATCACAGCCTACCTGACACTAGCATTGCTCATACTGCATTATATCACAATACACAACGTTCACCGCACGGATAGCAAAGGCGAAGAATATATTAGTCCAGTCGATCGTGGTATTCTATCCTTCGTTCGGAAAAGACTCATCTCATGGAGTCCCAGCAAGCGGTTCGAGTATGCGATGGAAAAATCAGTTCTGATCCTCAGTGACTTAAACCTGGTCACTGGTATCGGCGTCCTTATTGCTGGCTATTCACAACTCAAATGTGGAATCTCTGCATACCACTGGCAGATCATGGGTCAGTATCTATGAATATTTTGCAATTGAAGCTTGCACTGACCTTGTTCTCCACTTCTTATAGTATCTGTGGCTTGGATCGCCAGCTTCTCTTTCGCATCTGCTATGACCTTCCTCGAGGACTATTTTCAGACAAACAATAACATGAGAATCATTCGACTATTTTTCATGTCTATTCTCGCCTCTCTGTTGCTCGTTGCACTGCTCCCGACTGGATCGAGAGCGTGGCTCAACCAGTACGTCGGGGACGGCGATGGGTTCTATCCTAGTTTGAGTGCTGTTTGCTACTATAGGCAGCTCGGCACGTCCTCATTTGTACGGCGAGGTCCGAAGATTTGGTCAATGCTGTTTTCCGTTGTTGTCATTACTTCCTCTTACATCTACTGCGGTATACGGTTGTTCGACCCTAGAGCTGAGACCACGCGGAAGTACTTTCGCACCTGGCCCGGATCAAAGTACAAGCAAATGCTGTATTTTGTTGAACGCAGGGCTCTACGCGACGATTTCCAGGCAACGTTTTGGCATGTGCTCTACCTGTCGTTGTACGCAAGTTTTACAAGCATTCGCGCCTTTTGCGATATCTTAGAGTCAATGCTGCTGGAGATCGTCTGGCTGACCTTTGCAATGGCATGGGGCACGATCAAAGTTTGGGATACCCGAGCGATGGCATCATTCAACTTTGATGGTAAGACCATTACTATTAACAGTAAAGTCGTCGAAGAAAACTCCTGGTCCTTTGGTCAGACTTTACCGCTCTTTCTTGTTGTTCTTCCGCTGCTTTCGATGGCACAAGCGTATCTCGACAACGATGCGAAAGCTTTAGAGGCACAAGAGCGAGCCGACAGACTTGAAGAGATAACTCAGCGCTCCGCTGCCCCTGCTTCTCCACCACGCTCTATTTCCCCACCGCCTCCAGCATCACCGAAAGAAAGGCGCGTGGAACTACCACGCTACCCTTATTTACAATTCACCTCTCATATGTGGTATCATGACCACATATTTCTCCTCCTCTGCCAGATCCTTATGGTTGCTATATTTGCCCTCAGGGTCCTTACGAGCTCGACAAATGTCTTCGGCATGTCCACTATTCTCCGCAATAGGTTATTTCTCATTTGGATTCTAGGCATGGTACCATTCGCCTCTATGGTACATCTAGGGCTTTGGTACATGGCAGCGCTCATAGTGTGTCGCTGGACAGGGGCAAAGGATTGGTTGAGGGGAAAGGAAGAGGAAGAGGAAGAGGAAAGGCACGCGAGGACGGAGGGACCATGGTGGAAGAGTATCACCAGAGCAAAACTGGTAACCTGGACACTTAGGTTAGGTTTGGTGAGCGTATGCTTGATGTTCACTTTATTGTTGAGTTTGGAATTCGCTGGGCCGAACTCACTGTAATAACGGTGCTTAACAATTAGTGTTCAGGTTACTGTAGCAGCTCTGTAGCTTAGTCTAAGACCTGAAAGTGTGCATCTACAGGGTTCTTGCCGTTGATTGTAAGTACATCCTGTGGGCATGCACTCATAACCACTACGACATCCCTCTGTGCCTCTAGCACTACATAGTCTCCGGGCTTTGTCAAAGGAGCTTCAAAACTGATGCCCCGATTTGCGCCAGATCCTTCCTGCGTGATAGGAATATTCATGAACAGGTTGAACGGGTCCGGCACTTTCCCTCCCAATTTCCCTTGCAGCCCCTCCAAGCTCTCCACCTCCTCCTCACCGAGAGATGAAGAAGAAGACAAAGCGTGCACCGCGTCCCAGAAGTTGTCTGTGCAGGATTCGTGATAGCCAGTTACACCTAACTCACTGTATCGCCAACGATCACACGCCGCTATCAGAGTGTCGTGTACTCCTGAACTTGTATCCTCGACTAGCTTCACCATTGGTGCGCGTTTCTGGCTGACCATCATATCACCTACTGCTGGTGTCACTTTCAACAACGACGCCCGACAGTGGCACATCGACATGTACTCTGGTGCTGAGGCAGCAGCGTTGGCGGCGGAGGAATATTTCGAGAGTGATTCTGAGGTAGCGTTCGGGTAGAGTGCAGCTTCGACCTTAGAGGAGGTGGTAAGGAGGCTAGAGGAGGGCAGGGCGAGGGCCCATGTATCGACGACCTGATTGCCGTGTGTATTGGTTATCTTGATCTTCTGGCCCTGCCTGACCACAGTGGCAGCGCCGCGGCGGGCGGGAACGGTTTGGATACCTGAGGGCATATTTGTTATATTGTAAGGCAATGATGGCGAGCAAGCATTGGAAGTTTCAGATAGAGGTAAAGAAATAGAGGGAGTCGACCTGTGATGTATACTACCTACCCCTCATGTTCCTTCGTGTAGGGCGCATGATCGAGGGGCAGATAGGGTGACTGGATCCGTCTGTCCCGCGTTAGTCGAAGATAAGTGACGTTGTCACCTTGTTAATAATTCTGGGCTATCTTGTCTACTGGGCGCTTTCGCAGACGCGATGGCCGTAGTTCGTGCACGTCTCCCACGCATGGTGAGCGAAAAAGATGTCGCAGAAAGGATGCCGTGAAATGTCACGATTAAAAGATTGAACATAGGGTCGGTAACAAGACTCTCTTGAACTTGTACAACGACATAGCGCGCTGATCAGAAGCCTAGTAGTTGAGATGCACCTGCAAGGCGTGGCTCCTAGTCGGCAAGGCCGACGTTCATCAATGGACTATCACGTGCTGCGCCTCTACTTGCGGCCACCCTAGCATTCCCGTAGCCAAAATATCCCCCAGCTCGACTCCTATCCCGCTCACCAACGCTCCATTACTACCAGTCCTCGCCATGGCACTCGCGACGAAGACACAGTCGCAAAACATCTTTACCAAGCTCAAGGCGAAGCCTGCAAATAAGGCATGCTTGCGAACTGCGGAGGGGCGGTCAATAGGGCTAACAATTATACTGTAGATATGTTTCGACTGCGGCGCAAAGAACCCGACATGGAGTTCTGTACCCTTCGGTATCTACCTATGCCTCGACTGCTCTGCGAATCATCGTAACATGGGCGTGCACATCTCGTTTGTACGATCCACGAACCTAGACAGTACGCTACCCTGTCGGCGTTTGGAGGCGATATTGGAGGTCTCGGTGCTGACAGAGAACAGTATGGCAATGGGATCAATTGCGGATCATGAAAGTTGGCGGCAACGAGAGTGCAACGAAATACTTCCAGTCACACGGCGGCTCTGCTGCGCTCGCAAGCAAGGATCACAAGGCCAAATACACAAGCAATGCGGCCACCAAGTACAAGGAAGAATTGACAAGGCGCTGCGCTGCGGATGCTAGGCTGTATGTTGTACCATTCGTTACAAACGGACAGACAGGAGCATGTACTGACACGATCGTCCTGCAGCTATCCTGACGAAGTCGTAATAACAGACGCCACCGATGCAACCGGCAGCGACAGCAACAATACTCCAGCCGGCGAAGACGATGACTTCTTCTCTTCATGGGACAAACCCACCATCAAACGCCCCTCGAACCCACCGTCACGCACCGGCACCCCGCGCGTTGGATCGCCATTCCTCAAGCCAGGTGCCAACGGTAACGGGACAGATCGCCCGAAGTCGCCGCTCGTTGGAACCTCGGAAGCTAGTACACCTGCCGCCGTTACTGCGAAGCCTGCAGTAAGAAAGACCACCGCAGGGGCTGCGCCCAAGAAAAATATCCTAGGAGCGAAGAAGAAGGGTCTTGGCGCGAAGAAGGTGGTCGCCGATGGCGGACTAGACTTTGAGGAAGCAGAGCGAAAGGCTCGCGAAGAAGCAGAACGTGTTGAGAAGTTGGGATACGATCCCGACGCTGAAGCTGCAGAATTCGCCGCAAGCAAATCCAAAGCTCCCGAACCCTCCGCCATTGTCTCGCCAACGCCAGTCTCGCCTCCACGGGGTGGCTTCGGCTCCACATCGAAGACCGAGCGCTCAAATCAGGACATGGAGAGGTTAGGCATGGGTGTCACACGTCTTGGATTCGGACAAGTAGGGGCAGCCAAGAAGCCCGCTACACAACAGAAGAAGATGGGAGGCTTTGGCAGCGTGAGCAAGCCGTCCGAGGACGACGGTGAGAAATATGCGCGAGAGAAGTTTGGCATGCAGAAGGGCATCTCGAGTGATGAGTTTTTTGGTCGCAATGCATTCGATCCTTCGGCTTCTGCGGAAGCCAAGTCACGGTTATCAGGTATGTTGTATAACCCCTTGAGGGTGACTGATAGCGATTCTAACCCATATCACAGGTTTCGAAGGCGCGACATCGATCTCTTCGAATGCCTACTTTGGACGCCCAGAGGATGATGTTGCGGAAGAGGATTACGGTGATCTAGAAGGCGCTGCTAAGGACTTTGTTCGCAAATTCGGCATCACTGCTGGTGATGATCTGGAGAACCTCTCGAGCATGCTTGGTGAGGGTGCGACGAAGTTACAGGGTGCTATTCGCAACTACCTCAACTCATAGGATGTATGAGACGAATTGCATCGAGGCGTGCCGGCGAGAGTACGCAAGTTCCGATCCGAATAATCGGCTTCGACATGGCAAAGAAACGATCAGCAACATGGAAACGAGAATGAGGATGTCTTTGCAACGTTTGGCGCTTGCTATACCTATAAAGGGCCAGGGGCAACATGATGAGTGTGGAGTATGGATGGACCCGATTGCATTTCCGACGATATCAATGGGTCGAGATCCCATAGTTCCATAGATAGACAGGGCCATGAAACAAATTCTTTAGCTTCAAACAGCAATAGTCTTTCGGTCTCTCTTCTTGCTGTGTAGAATATGTGCCTCGGAGAAGAAATCTTATTCCTTCAGTCAACAATCGTCTTTAATCTGAGCTGATCCTTTACCTCTCCCCTCTCGATGTTCCGTAAGCTTTACATTGTTTTCTATGTACCCAAAGAATAGACAGATACAACGAAGGCCTTCCCCTTCACTAGTGTTTAGCAATGTCGCCTCTCAGTCTCTTTACACATATTACTGCTGCACGACATATGCATTTCGTTCGATTAGGGAACGGATAGATTTTACACATGAATGTTTTTTCATGTGTAGGCGACTGCTTAGTCTTGAGTGTGGTGGCCGGGCGTGCAAGTTCGATAGGGTTTCGCACCGCCACCCGATGATGACGTAGACCTTCACCACCATCACAAGAACAATCTCGAACACAACACGGAGGAGGCAAATCTACGACGCCTTTTTACTATCACGAGGTGTGGCGCAGTGGCTTTTCCCTGCATCGTCATTTGAGTTTAAATCGTGCTTATTCTGCATACGCACTCTTCTTCAACTGCTCTCAGGCAGCAGCTTTGTTCACATAGGCCGGGTCACTTCAGCCTTGTACCAAGGATTTGACTCTTCCACGTTTCCTATATTCATTATTCTCCTATACATATTCATCTTGGAAGCTATCGTTAGTGTCACATTCTGTGACTTTTCCACTTGCATAGCGTTAGCTCACGGAGTTTTGCCACTCAACGCGAAGAGATAGAGATGGACATCCCACGTGGTCACGCCGCCATGCCGCTGCAAGAAGTCGACTTTTTAGATTTCATATACAACTACTTCAAAGCCGAATACGCCCCAATCCGCTCTTTCTGGTCTACCGCAACGGCCGACCCTCGCCAACCATCGCGATGGATCAACATGGGCCACGAACTGTCGCCGCTCGGTATTCGACCGGCAAATGCACAGGCCCAAAAAGATCTCGAGTCGCTCGACTATTTCGCAAGGAAGTGGAATCTAGATGCGGGATTCGTGAGGGGTTTGGTGATCCGGTTTGCCAAGTATGAGGTACATGAACGGTTGGAGAAGAAGCTCTTCGAATGCGCAAGACTTGACTTGATGGTCCGCAAAAGTCTGAAGGAAAAACATCTCCTCGATGCGTTGTGGCCGTCCCCTGCGCCGAAGAATTTACCACATGAGCTGCTACAGCAGGGTGTACAGGTCAGGAAGTGGTACGGCGACATGTTCAACAAGTACTTTCGTGTACTACATTCGATTGACTCGTTTGAACTCCGTCCTGACGTCGATCTGCACATCAAGAATAGTGGAACGTTGATGCTGGTTCCCTTTGTAGATCATTTGGTATTCGGGGGCGTGGATCCAATCATGCCAATCGTCGCGAAAGGAGCTGGGTATTCGAATGCCAAGGGCTGGGAAAGAAGAGACAAAGTCGTGTTTGGGGAGCCGGGGAGATTTGAGGTCCGATTCGATGCACCGGCAGAGATCACAGATACGTATACGAAGAGTGTGGTTAGGCAGTGTCAGTGTATGAAGTGTGGGACAAGAAGAGACGTACAGGTTGTAGTGTCTGTTGATCCAAACCCGAATGCAGGAGCTGTTGCCTCTATATCAACGGCGAGTGGTTCGAGGAGTGCTAATTCCTCAGATCCAAGGCGGCAGACATCGAGAACGGCCCAACCCAACACCCAGAGGTATTCCCCAGGCTATACCCTCCCGAGTGAACAGGGAAGTGCTCCCCAACGACCGCCGCGACCCCAAGCCCAGGAGCCAGAGGCCCCTCGAGCATCAACGCCGGAAAGGAAGAAACAATGCCCTCGCTGCACTTTCCTCAATCACCCCGAGCTTACGGCCTGCGAGATGTGCCAGGCCGATTTACCAGACGCAACGATAGCGAAGCCTCCGAGTCCCGTGGCAGTGAAGAAATCTAAGCACTCTCATTCAGCATCTGTACCACCTCCCACCTCAGCGAATACACGGACAGCCAATCTGAAAGAAGAGGCAAGACCATCAGGCCCAAATCGACACAGTCTCAGCCAGTCCTTATTCTCTATCTTCCCATTCTCGCAGCAGCACCAGCAAGAACACCACGCTAAGCTACCAGCTACACAGCAAATAGATACATCATCTACCACCACCACCAAAGCCAACCAGCAGAATGCCATGGCAAAGCAGGATTCACGCCCGTCCTCGAAGGCCGGAAAGCAACCCAGCGCTGAACCACGCGCCAGCCACCACACAGACGCCCCTAGAGAGCGCACCCCTCCACTGCCATCAAGAAACTACATAGACGCCGAGCCAGAAACACCACTCTCCCGTGCCCCCGAGATGACCATGATGCCCTTGACTCCGTCGCCACGAAATTCCTCTACCTCTAAGCGTCCCGCACCCGCTGGCCTTCCAAGCAACCTCATGGACGACTTTGTCCCCGTATCGCCTGCCTTCGCCCGCGAAGAAGAGGATGAGGACGCTGGATGGGGGGAGATGAGCCGGGAGGAGGCACGGAAGGGGGACTCGAGTGATGATGACGATGAAGATGATGATGAGGTAGAGGGGAGGAAGAGTGGGGGTTTGATTGATCTTGATGCAGTGGCTCGGGATGAGGCTGATGTTTGGGGTGAGAGGGAGGATTGAGTACATACTAGTGATACGGGACTTGTTTTTGAGGTGTATAGTAAGTTCTTTCTTGTGATTACATTGGGTTGAAAATTCGGACGCCACCTCCATCATGGTTGATTATAGCGACGCGGTGTCTTATTTTCTTTAAATACTGAACAAATGTAAATGCAACAGCATAGTAGCAATATCACTCCTCATCGCCTGTCATCATTAAGGATTCAATAAACTTGAAATGCGTGATATTCTACAAAAGTCGTAACGTATTCTATGAGTACGGAACAGTGGATAGGTATGCGATTCCGCACCACACCAATTTCCAGTTTGAATCTCCGCGTAGCAACAAAAAAAAGCTCCCAACGCCCCGTAAAGTACAATGCAATGAATCCTGAGATTCGTTCAAACATGTTGTGCCTGCCAGACTGAACGGCGTGCGTGCGTGCGTGACTCCAGTACACCATATCTAATATCCAAAAACCCCGACAACTCGTACCTTCCTTCTGTGCTGTCGCACTCAGAAGAAGAAATACAAGGCACCCCCACTTGCCGTAAGGAAGACGCCGAACCACCACCACTGAGCGGCGCGCAACTCACCCGGTGTCCGTTTGAAGATGACTTCGTGGTTCAACGGCAGCTCACCGCGCTTGATTTTATGTGGGGTCGCTGTTTGCGTCGTGAGGGGGTTGAGCGTGGTGGTGGGCAGCATGGTTGGCGGGTTCATGGCGAGGTACAAGGGCATTACGGGGGCGCCGTCGAACTTGAAGAGGTTGAGGCGCTGGATCTTGTGGTAGGGGTCCACCAAGACTTGGTAGGTCTGTAGAGGTAAATCAGTCTTCGCTCCATCTCAATATATTCTACGCAATTGGCTTGGCGCAGAGGAGCCTGTCGAGTTGCGATTTAGGGTGGAAAAGAACGTACCTTGAACGTCGAAGACTGGTTATACCGCGTGTAGATGGAGTTCTTGTAGGCACACGGATCGGAGTATATTTGCCGTCCGTCGACTTTGATCGGAGTGAGTTTGAGGGAGCCGTCTGTACGCTTCTCGAATTTGCCATGTTGCCATTGAATTATGCCCTTGGGGCATTTGGGGTCTTGTGCTGTATGCTGGTTAGCCATCTGCGCTCACATGCACTCTTTCCCCCACATAGGGTCAATCTCGAGACGTGCAAGGTGCATATGTGGACGTACGATTTGCAACAGCCCGATAATAAGCCTCCTCGAAGTACCCATCGGCGGTGAAGGAGTAGCTGATTCCTGGATGTTCCGGCTCGGTGAACTTCTCGTTGACGGGATCGTAGAAACCCTATTGGTGCGCAATTAGCCTCGTTCTTCCTCCCGGGACAGATAATGGGCATGCGTACAGGTCCGGTCATGGTCGAGTTCGCCTTGCTGTTCCATGTGCCGACGAGCTCCGCAGGGATAGGAATGGTTTGCGCGTGCACTTGCAGAAGCGCGATTCCGGAGAGCAGCAGCGCTGCAGTCCTTGAGACCATGATTGCGTTTGTGGATACGTGAAGGTAAGCGAGCGTGGGTGGTGGACCGTATCCGAGAGTGTGAATGCGTGGAAGAGGGCGGGGTCGTAGTGGTGTGTAGTGTGGTGTGTTGTTGAGGATGATGTTGAAGTGGCAGCGAGCCGACAGGAGGCGGCGACTTCTTGGAATGCCCGACAGGGATCAAGCGGCTAGTTGCAGATCACCGGCGCCAACCATCGACATCATCGGCCGCTTGCACTCGGATATTTTCACTACTTCAGTATACGAGCTCATATTTCGACATTGTTAGACGCGTTGGTGCGGTGAAGACCATTCCGCTTCGACTTCACAGGTTTGGTTGCTATCGTGTGGGGGTTCGTGAGAAAGGGCTCTCTCTTGCATCTGCGCTTCGTTTGTGCTATTTCTGGAACACGGTTGAAGCAAGTTGAGAAGAAGGCGCAGCATGGCGGCATCACTAGCAGCCGTAAAGAAGGAGATGCGAAAGGGCATCCGGGACAAACTAAAGGAGCTTTCTGTGGCTACTATTACCTTCCAGTGTACAGTCATCAAGTCGCTCCTACAAAGGCCACGACTGACAGTGGCTAGCCTCGGATGTAATGCTAACCTTCTTCTCCATGCCCGAGTACAAGGCAGCGAGGCGGATCAGTGTCTACTTGTCCATGCCTGTGGGTGAGATCAACACTTCGAACATTGTCCGCGATGCCCTTTCACAAGGCAAGGACGTCTTCATTCCCTATACATACACCCTGCCAAGTCCAAACGAAGGGCAGCCCAAGTCCATCATGGATATGCTTCAGCTCAAGTCCATGGACGACTTCAACGCTCTGCAGCCGGACAAATGGGGCATTCCCACTCCGAGTGAGGACTCGATAGCATCACGTGCGAACTGCTTCGGCAGCACTGGCATCACAAATGGAGAGACGACGACGGGCATAGAAGCTGGTCTCGATTTAATCGTCATGCCTGGCATGGCTTTTGATTCAAACTTTGGACGTCTTGGACATGGCAAGGGCTTCTACGACTACTTCTTAACTCGATGTCACCAAGCGTCGCGCATGCCTTTTCGCGGTAAGAACAACTAGTATTCGTATGTGGAGGGCTAACTAACCACGTCAAAGTCGGTCTCTCATTGACCGAGCAGTTCCTCCCGCCGAACGAATCGGTGCCCATGGACTCTTCCGATTTTCGCCTGGACGCCCTTATAACTGGAGACGGCGAGCTCCGCCGCGCAGGAGCCTCATGACTTGAATGTACTTTTAAACGCAAACATCTCCCGACCCTATGCTGTCCACATGGCGTTTAGATCCAATGTCAACCCTCCAATGTACCCATAGTGTCGGCCGCGCGGGTCGATAGCCGTCGGTGTGAAAGCGAGAAATGGACGCGCTTATTGTAATTGCTGAATGAGAGAGATGTTGTCGCCCTTGAGCAGGATTTGACCAATGTTGCGCCTCTCCTCTGGCGCATCCTTCTTGGCCAGGGTAACCTCGACGGCCTCGTCAATAACGAGGTTCATGAACTCATCGAAGCCCTGCGAACACGTCAGCTTCATGCAGACACCAAAGTTACGGGGTATCCGTTACTCGTAGCTTTCCCTCGATGCGCAGCCCCAGGTTCTCATACAGCCATACTGATATCGTTGCTCGTGACTGGAGGAGCTTGAAGATGAAGTTGATCGGAGGGAGGAGGACTGCAAGCGTATTAGCATGTTGCGGCACTTGCGCTGGCGCTGGCGTTGAGGAGCTGTAGTGTACCTTTTCCTCCGCCGCGGCCACCTAGGACAAGTTAGCGACTAGTGCTCAGAGGAGCTTCTGGCGATACTGACCTCCACGTCCGGTCATGTCGAGAGAGTGATTGGGTGTTTGAAGGGGGTTGGATGCGTGCGACGGGTCGTGGTCGAGGCAGTAGTGGTGGGGACGAGTCGGAGTCGAAGCTGTGCTCGCTCGAGTGCCGCGAACATTTTGGGCCCACCGGCTTTTGCTTGGCGGAGGCGTGGGGAGGAGGAGGACCTTTGACTTTGTCGATGCGACCGCAGACTGGCACCTTCCCATATACCCACGCAACAAACAACTCCCTCCGCTCTGCCCTTGGCGTATATATATATACCTAGGTATACTGTCGACGCTTGCTCTTACCTGAGCCCTCACGCCACAGTGCATGCCCGCAACATAATACGCACCCCCGCCGTTGCCTTTCCTCCGACCCAGCATCCGCTTCCACCCCACCACCTGCGCCGAACATCCCCAAAACACGCCCAAAAATGGCGGCCAACGGCGTACAGAATGTCTTCGACCCCGTGCTCGCAGCGCACAATACGATGCAGTCTGGAGCGGGTCGCGCGCAGAAGGAGCAGGCACATCTGTTTTTGGAACAGTTCCAGAAGTCGGTAGGTTGGATCCTGGCATGAGCGTGGTGGGCATAGGCATGAGAGAAAAGTGGACTGACCAAATGGACAGCAAGAGGCATGGACGACGACACTGGCTATGCTAGAGTCAAACTCAGCAGATGCCGCAGCGAAGCTCTTTGCTGCAACCACACTCAAGGGCAAGGCGAGTTTCTGCCACTCCGTAGCCCTTCCTCTCTAACAAAGCCCAGATCGTATACGACCTCCACCAAGTACCCCGCGCACAACTTCCAGAGCTGCGAGCATCTATCATGCGCAACCTGGCTACGTTTCATGCCGGGCCTAAGCCCATCAGGTTGCAACTGTGCGTTTGTCTCGCCAACTTGGCAATCCAGATGACCGAGTGGAAGGATGTCCTCAAAGATGTCGTCGGCACGCTTGGCACAGATCCAGCAACGCTGCCTTGCGTTTTGGACTTTCTCCGCGTTCTCCCCGAAGAAGTTACGCATGGCCGAAAGATCGCACTCACAGTACGTCCGAACGAGCCGCGCCCCGTCAACATACGGCACTCCCCCGTGGTACCGACACATGATATCAGAGTTACAGTCTAATGCTTGGTGGCCAGGAACACGAGTTGACAATGAGGACGGCCGAGTTGATCGAGGACAACGCCCAGCAAGCCCTAGACCTCCTCATCCGATATGCTACTTCGTCACGTACGTCTAAGCCATCTTTCGAATATGACCACCACTGACATAGTCTAGCGGCCGCTGCTCAAAACCCCCAACTACTCAACTGTATAACCTCCTGGATGCGCGAGATACCGCTAGACTCAATAATCAACTCACCTCTGCTCAAGGTCGTCATTGACGATCTCTCCGCTGAAGAGCCATTCGAGGCTGCCGTGGAATGCTTGAGCGCCCTCATTTCAGAAACCAGAGATGTTGACGAGACAATGTCATCCATCTTGGCTCTATATCCACAAGTAATTGCACTCCGGCCGAGGCTCGCTCAGGCGGCGCAAGAGGAGGACACGGAGAAGTTCAAGGGTATTGCGAGAATCTTCGCAGAAGCTGGAGAGTCGTGGGTTCTCTTGATTGCGCGTCTACCAACTGATTTCCGGGTCCTGGTGGAGATAATCCTCGAAACAGCCGCACTCGACCAGGAGCGGGACGCAATATCGCACACTTTCAAGTTCTGGTACGACCTCAAGCAATATCTGACTATTGAGAAATACACAGAAGCGCGGATGCAGAGCTTAGACATTTACTCCAAACTTGTCGATATTATGATTGGCCACCTCCAATTCCCGAAACCCGAGAGCGGTGACGAAAAGGACTTATTCGAGGGTGATCGAGAGCAAGAGGAGAAGTTTCGAGAGTTCCGACACCAGATGGGAGATGTGCTGAAGGACTGTTGCGAGGTCATGGGCGTCGTCGAGTGCCTCCAGAAACCATACAACCTCATTCAGCAATGGGTACAAACATATGGTGCCCAGGCGGGACCAAACAACGTGCCGGAGTGGCAGCAACTCGAAGCGCCATTGTTTGCTGTGCGGGCCATGGGTCGAATGGTTCCTCCAGACGAAAACGTCATGCTACCTCGACTCATACCACTGATAGCAGCTATCCCCGACCACAACAAGCTCCGTTTCCAGGCGGTAATGGCGCTTGGGAGGTACACAGAGTGGACGGCTCAACACCCGGACACATTACAGCCACAGTTGGACTTCATCATGGCAGCTTTCGAACACTCAACGAAAGATGTCATCCGAGCCGCTGCACTATCGTTTAAGTTCTTCTGCAACGACTGTGCCAGTCTGCTGGTCAACTTCATCGTTCCCCTGCAGCAATTTTACGCAAAACATCTAAACAGCCTACCTATTAGCAGCCAAGAGGAGATTACCGAGGGTGTAGCTTCAGTGGTTGCCAAGGTACCAAATGACCAGATCCATGCGACATTGAAGCTGTACCTCGATCCTGTTATGCAGCATCTAGTCACAATTGCAAACCAGGCCAAAGACGAACCGGAGCAGAAACTACTTGCTGATAAGATCAACCTTATCACAATCTTTATTGAGATGGTACGACCCGAGGTACCGTCTGGTCAGGAGCATCCGGCAGTCACGTATTGCCAGGAGATATTCCCTGTGCTTGGAAACATCATCACACACTTCAACAAAAGCATACCAATTCTCGAGCGAGTATGTCGGTGCTGGCGGTACATGGTCTTATCATACAGGACTGCCATGCGTCCGCTCTTGCCAGATCTCGCAACAAAGCTAACAGAAGGTTTCGATACCTCGCGACAAGGCTGCTTTCTTTGGGCCACTGCTTCGATTGTCCGCGAATTCTCACAAGGCATGGATGAGGTTGACCCAAGCCTGGCGAATGATGTCTTCCAGTTTTACGAGCAGCAAGCGAAGACATTCTTGAGGATACTGAGCGACCTGCCGCCGGAAGAGTTACCCGATCTTATCGAAGATTACTTCCGCCTTGCGGCAGACATGGCGCTGTACTTCCCCTCGGAGTCAATCATGTCGCCTCTCATGGACACTATCCTCCTCGCAGCTTGCTCCTCTCTCACGTTGCTCAAAGAGGATCCTATCATTGCGACCTTGCACTTCCTTCGCGACCTTCTTGGATACGGCCGCAACTCCGCACCATCATCTAGCTTCGACAACACACGCCACGAGGTACCCGAGGCACTACGAAATCGCGTCAAGCAGCTTGTGGTAGGTGCTGGTGTCCAGCTTGTCCAGCGCATCATGACAGGCATGATGTACAGCTTCCCCGAAGGCTGCTTCGCAGACTCCTCGGGTGTGCTACTGGACCTCTTCGAGCTCATGCCGGAACAAGTCGCACAGTGGGTAGCCAGCACCGTGGCAATGTTACCGCAAGGTAGCATCACGCCTCAAGAAAGCGAGCGCTTCCTCAACAATATTCGGCAACGCATTCAAAGTGGCGATGTCAGGATGATTAGAACCATCCTCCAAGACTTCACGACCAGCTACCGACGTCGGAATGTAGCACCTCGCGAGGGCCTGGGTAGGTTGGAGGCTTCGCGGTTCAGGTTCTCTGGTTAGACGCTGGATGCTGATACGCGGCTTCGTTACCAGCATGTGGGGGAGCACGGGCTAAAGAGGAAGAGAGTCATGTCGGGTATATTCGATGCTGAGACGATAAGGAAATGGATCCAAGCGGAACATTTCCATAGCGCTTGTCTCGACATGCTTGTAGGTGTGCAGGAAGGGGGGTGATGGGGGCGGGGTGGTCAGGTCAATCGAACGGGGTGTACATCAACTCAGCATATTGTACTTGAAGCGTTTGTGTGTGGGCATTTGCATGGAATGGGGCATGGATGAACGGGATAGGACGGGACGGGATAGGATAGGATAGGACATTTCCCTTCTACTTGATACTTTTTTCTCTTCATACCTTACTAGATACCGATTTTTCACTTACGATCCTATACTATCCTACTTTACGCATGCCCATGAGAACCGTCGTCTCTCTGCGCCTTCGCTGCATCTGAACAACCAATAGGCGTATTGTGTTGGACAATTTCAACTCGGAGCTTCTTTCAATTGGTATCATCAAGTTCTATTAGTTTCTATTTCTACCACTAAATACCCTCTGTCTATATCGAGGTTCGCTACGCCATGCAAGCCGCTTTCAAACCGTAGAAATGGGGGGTCCAGATTGATCTCTCCCTTTCATACAAGCCCATCAGTTTCGTTCATAAGTACGGTGATCATTTCTAATGTTATTACTACTAGTGGTGAAAAGAAAGCCGCGCCGCGCTTCATCTCAATTTTGTTCAGCGTATCATATTCGTCGTTCATTGCTAAATTGAAAATTGCTTTTAGGGGGGTATCGTGATATGTCTTAGTCGTGAAAAGAAACGCTTTTTTGGGTGCCTGTAATGCTGGCCGAAGCCGATTTGTGTGTGGTGTTGGTTCGCCCTTTTGCCCTGCTTGGTTTGGTTGCGTTGCGGGATGCTGGTGGAAAATGCTAGGTAGCAATGTAGTGAGCGCTTTGCGCTGGAACTTTACTCAATGGGCCGCTCATAAAATAAATGCGAGATTGGTGCTCCTCCTTGTAGGGTGGGTGCATTTCGGCCCTTGTTTCCAATCCCTCGCCTTCTCCAACTTGGAATGGATTCAGGTCTGTCATCTTTGTTTCCCATGACTTGCAGTGCTTTTGCTCTCATGTCCTTTCTTCTTCGCTCCGTGCCCTATCTCGTCTCTGCCGGTGCTCTCAAGCGTGCTCCAGACATCCACCATGTCCGTGTCTTGCTCTGAATCCATCTTTCAACTTATTTTTTTCTCTTTGATCTCTCTTTCAGAGTCCGAATCTTTCCATACCCGCGCGCAGATCCTCCTCTGTGCCTAAGAGATTCATCGCCCAAGATGACATCCTACTATTGACGACAAATCTTGTATCCCCGCTCATCTGCCCCTCACTACCCTGTTGTGTACCTCCATCAGCTCCTTTTGCCCCACTAACGCCTCTTGAGTCTCCCGCGCGGCTATGCAAATCTGCTGACGGCCGTTGAACCGCCCCACGTGCGCCCTTCCCAAATGCATCCCCATCCTTCTCCCTCCAATTCGCTCCTCCATCTGGATTCGTCATATCAAGAACCAGCGGCCCTTTCTCCCCTACGCGACGAGTGCGGCGACTATACGGCGGTCCCCTCCCCATACTCGCAGCCTTCTCCCACGATGTCTCACAACCACGCGCAATCATACCAGCGGACGCCCATCCCGTACGACGGTCAATCTCCAAAAGTCGTGTGATGAGCCACTCGCGTTGAACCGGATTCTGGAATTGTATGCCTGCGAAGAACAAAGATATTGTTGATTCGGTTAATACGGCGCCTAAAAACGGTGAGAGATCCTCGCCTAGGGGAATCCGCATACCGGCCGTGATACGTCCAATAAGCGTAGCGTATGGTTGTGTTGCTTGTGCACATACACCGGCTGCCATGTGCGCCGCTGGTGGCATAGCTGGATGAGATCGTAGCAAGATGATTTGGGCGAGATGTAGGAGGGTCCAGAGAACACTAATGTCGTAACTTCGGTGGACCAGGGCTGGGCCAAAAGGTGTCTTGTTCCCATTGCCTCCCGGCACGGGCGGGCCTTGATCTGCTGGAAGAGGTGCAAACGAGTCTGTGCTAGCTAAGATATGTGCAACGGTTGCGTGGGCGGCGGATATGTCATTCCATTCGGCAAGTGCGTTTTCATAAGCAGTAGGCAAGTCAGCATACCTGAGATGTGGCGTGTTGGGTGTTGTAGGCGACTGCTCGTAGTCCGGGTTTTCGTAGCTAGCGGGAAGAGGTCCAGATGGCTGTGAAGGAGCCATGCCGTAGAAGGTGGGCATTGCAGATGGCGGTGGGCCTCCGGGAGGGCTTCTATTTTGGGATTGAGGCGCGGAACCAGGTGTAGGTGGCCCCGCAGACATTCCCTGTGGTGCACCAAAGCCTGGAGGAGGCGGACCCTTCCAGCCGGGTGGAGGTGGGCCTTGCATGTGCGGAGGAGGTCCCATTGGTGTAGTAGGTGTTGGCTGTTGACCGTTCTGTCCACCCCCTGAACCTGGTGGTCCCATGTTGCCCATTCCGGGCATACCAGGCCTAGGTCTCCAACCTCCATCTGCGTCTACCTGTCGAAGCTTGCGTTCTCGATCACGAGCTGTGAAGTCTGCGATCCGGCCGATCAGGAGGACTATATGGTCGTGAGACCCGTAAAGGGCATCGGTGCGGCCAAGGGGGGCTCGTGGGGGGCAGTCTGACCATTTTCTGTAGGCGTTGCTACAAGGACCATCAGCTACAAGTTCGGTTCGTACGGGTAAACAAGTACTCACATGAGAGGCCTGCCGCTCACGATGCTCTGATATATGTCGTGTCTAGCGCGATACCAGTACAAGTCTTGAAGAGTCTCAAAGCTCCTCAAGTCTAGTGTTCCTGGTGGATTTGGTCTAGTCTCCTGTCTTGCACCATTTTCTTCGAGAATTATTCCAAAATCGTCGTAATTGACAGTTTTACCAACTATCGTGCTCACTAAATTCTCGTCTAGCAGCATAGCGCTCTCTTTCAGCTTTCGGTCGAACTGCCTCTGATCGATGAGCATCTCGGGGTTCTGGTAGGGAAATTGCCGTTCTTGCGCGGTTTGTGCGGCTCTGAGGCGTCGGGCCTCTCGGGTGAGTGACCGAAAATCGAGCTCAGTGATCAATTGAGTCGCGCCAACAAGATGTGTAGACCATTTTGAGTGTTCAGCCGTCCAAACTTCATAGTATGCCAACAGAAGAGACGTAGCTAGAGTAGATATCGAGAGACGTTTTTTGGGTTGGCTAAGAGAACGCCCAAGGCGCTTGAGCGAATAGGCGTAGTGTTTGTAGGATGGGGTGATCGAGGCACCTTGCAATCTTGCAATGTGCAAGCTAGCAAGCGCTAACATGGCATGCAAGAGCCCTTGGTGAGCGAGCGCCTTCAGGGGAAGTATGTATGTCCACAAGCCTTGTTGAGCAGGAGGCGTGGCACCTTCGAAGATCAAAGTCGAGTTCCTGGGGTTGCGTTCGTAGATGGATAGGTTTGGTCCCGTCTAGATGCGAGGTCAGCCAGTGTGACGGCACCGCGCATCACTACAAGGGCTGAGGATGACTTACCACATGAATATAGTGTGCGAAAACTCGAGCAGTTTTTGGATTTCTCAACGGGCTCGCAGCGTACTCTGGCCGGTAGTGCGTCAAGAGGCCATCGTAGAGAAAAGCATCATATCGTCTGATTCCAAGCTCGTTGAAGTTCTCAAGGTGTATCCGACGAATGTTGTCGAAGTCTGCACTCGCCAGCAGTGCAACTTCGTCTTCTTCAGGTTCCATGTCGATCATCTCTTCGTCTGACTGCACGTCCCAGTAGTCGTCGTCTTCATTTTCGACCGCGGCGTCATCGAGTACCTGTGTAGGACTGACATGATCGTCACCCCCGAATCCACTTAGAAGGAGTCGTGGTTGGCTATGCTGTGCTTGCGATACAGCGATGGATTGTTCTGGGAAACACACAGTCAGCTCTTAGATTCGTACACACTGAGACGCACGGGTGACGCCGTGCCATTGGGATAACTGGGATGAAATGCGCAGTCATGCTACTACGACAGTATGACTTTTGCGACAAAGGGCATGCACGAAATTGATCGAGTGACAATTTTTACAAATTGGACACGGAAAGAAGATAATAATAGTCATTGGGGTATACGAGGTATGTAACTAGACACGAGACATACCGAGAACAGGCTGTGGCATATATTTTACATCCGAAGTCATATCATGAAAGGGCATCTGAACAGGTGGATAGCTTGAATGGTTAAAGTCAGCATGGGCAACTGCTGCGGGGAAATTGTAAGCTCCCGCTTGGTTATTATATCGCTGGAGTGCTGGTTGTGGCTCCGGATATTGAGAATATTGCTCGCTTCTAGGCGAGACACTTGACTGTGAATGATAAGCGCTCTCGGCTTCTTGCTGGCCACTCATTTGATAGGATTGCTGGTAGAGGGACTGTTGCGGCAAACCCCCAGATACAGCAGGCCTCGAATCGAGGTGGTTGTCATACGCGGCGGATACCGGCGGATACACTTGGCTCTGGCTATACGGTAGAGATTCTTGATAAGCGGCATTTGAATCGTGCTTATACTGTGCCGGAGGAATTGTATGTACTGGTGAGGGTTGAGGAAAATATGATGGCGCAGTCGAATTATGCATTTGATGATGGGGTGATTGTAGAGGTTGATGGTGTAGCGGTGAAGGTAGAGGTTGATGATAACCGCGATCGAGTGCATAGCCGTGGCCGCCTCCAACAAGCACTTGATGAACTTTGGGAGCCCCGACGCCTGGAGTGGGATCGACGCTTGAGAAATCGAAGTCGTTTTGTGGCTGAGGTTGAATCGTAGTCCGTGACTTGTCTTGCGCCTGGGTCGCGGGCCCAGGCTCTCGGTATTGTGGATTGCGGGAGCCAGGTAGCATTGAGGTATGGTACTGTATTGTACTAACCACGCCCGGGTGATTTGGCCAGTCTTCAATGGGAGTTTTGAAGATGACTCGCTGGTTGTAGCCCTCACATAGGCGCTTGGACTTGATGCAGTTTGCACAGGTAGGTCGCTCCTCGCCGCACTTTATGCGGCGTTTCCTGCACGTGAGACAGCCGGTCTTGGTCCGCTTCCTCATCTTGGAATTGGCCGCGTTTCCAGGAAGGCTGGTTGGTGAGACATGGCCGGGACCTCCCGATGGCGAAGTAGATTGAGCGTTCGCCATCTTGCAAGGTTAAGTATGTTGCCCTGTGGTGATGTTTAGCAATGTGTTTGGCATGCATGGCAGCAGTAGAAAGGTGATGACTACTATGCTAGGATGGGGGAAGTCATACCTGCAGATGCCTGGGGTTGCGGCCTGGTGACAGTGAATCAGGCGGAATGATGTTGGCCAAGAAGACTGATGTCCCAGCGTTCTGGATATGGAGTGGGTGGTCACCACCTGAGCGGGGCCCCAAGGTGCAAGCAGTGAGGGCTGCTGGTTGACTGCTGTAAAGTTGAAGGGTGACAGTGTGGTTTGCGAGTAGCAGATGCTGTGGAATGCTCGCGTAGGACAGGCACGAGGGTTCACAGGGGAGTCAATCGTGTAATAAGCCCACGGGAACCATGTGGAGAATGGGCTTCAGAGTTAGTTATACTGAGGAGGGGAGCACGCACCAGGTGTCAAACGCCGCCGGTCAGGCCAAAAGGGGAGCAAGCGGCAAGCCCTCCGCTGGGAAGCAGGACGGAAAGGCTGTACGGAAAAGGATGGGAGCGCCAGAAAGGGCTACGCCAGGCGTCAAGAGGCCAGAGGGAGTATGGATGGGTCGAGGCTGAAATGAGCCTACCCTGCTCTGGGGCGGGCCAGGTACATGGGCGATTGGGTTAGTAGGGGCAATTGGCGTCTGATGCGGAGGAGCAGGGCAGAGAAGACATGTTTCGATTTGGCAGCGGCAATGCGATGGGATGTGGGATGGGGGATGTGTGTGCGTGTGGGTGTGTGTCTGTGTGTGTGCGTGCCACTGGACCAGGGGGGTGTCGATGGCTTGACGCTAGGACTGTGGAGGGGACCGCTCGCAGGAACAGAGATGAGAATGGCGGCTGTGGTCGGTGAGCGCCCCAGGGATCATGGGTGTGGGCAGCCGACTAGGTGGAGGTCAGTCAAGCTGCCCGGAATAGCAGCACAATGGGATGCATGGTTGGCGAATTGTACGTCTACGTCTACGTCTACGTGTTGGGGGAGTGGTGGAGGAAAGGAAAGCAAACGGCTAACCTCCTTTCACATTCTTTTCCGGCTTCGGAAGGCGCTGGCTGGGCAAATGGTCGCACCTGCCCGCGCCGAGGTCTCTTCTGCCCACGCTCCACAACTACACCCTATTCGGTACTCCAACAACAACAAATGCTCCACCAGCCCACGCGGGCTCTATCTGGCAGACTGGCAGACTGGCCTCCGCGGCCTCGAGCTTCTCTCCGTGCCGCATTCCGTGCCTCATCAACGCCTCTCCGCGCACCATGGACGCAGAGCCATCTGTTCTTGGATGCTGCCCGGCCATCATGACACGAAAGCCTCATGGTCCCGGTCACCGTGTTACGCACGAAAGACGTCGGGTGCTGGTTGCCTTTCACACCCCATCATCTACACCTACACCACCTGCTGCAGCTGAAGGAAGGTCGGCTGAAGCTCCCGTACCCGTACCCATACCCATACCCGCCCTGGCCAGTACCATACACCCAAGCCAGCCGCCAATGGCTCCTTCAGCGACTCTGGCCATGTCTGCTCCTCTGCGATGCGTCTGATGCTTCGTACTGGACTTGGCTCTCTCTCTCTCTCTCCAATAGCGCCTCGCCAAAAGAAGCATGGCGTCGATCGACCGATGGCGTTCTCTCACGCGTTGCGCTGGCCAACAACCGTAGCCATCCGCCTGCCTGCACCCATGTCGCCAATCCGCCCTACCGGAGTACATTCACTGTCCATTTCAGGGGCCCCCTCATGTCACGACTTGTCCGTCGAAACAGAGTGAACCAACAAGGGGCACTCGCGCTGGTGGCTGACTCACACCCAGCTGGGCCTGGCAACTGGCGATTATGACAACGCAAATCGATAACACGTCTGCCGCCGGCTGGCGACCCAAGGCCACTTGCACCTGCAGCTGATTCCGCCCAACGGACATCCTGTCGGCACCTATACGACAAGTAGGCTATTCTTGCGACTTGATGCAGATGACATCGTCCGCATTTCCCTGGCACTGCAGTGCCTCTTTCATCATCACCATGGATGATCAGACCCTATCTAGGAATCGATTTCGCGGCGCTACGGATAACGCAGCCTTACCCATAGACGCTAATGTAGTAGCCGCATGCTGGCCCAAACAACCCTCTGATGGCAGCGGGGTTAAGGCGAATGAACTGATATTTCCTTGCGCAAGCGCACTGGGGACGAGCGATTGCACTAGTGTACAGCTAGTCACCGTTGTGGCCATTTGCCAGACTAAGCAGTCGCGTTTTATGGTACCGTGCCGTGTTTTTTCCGCTCCCTCGGTTCTCCATGGGAAGCCACCAACGGCTGTTTGCCATTCTGAAAAGACGGTGACACTATTGTGTTAGCATGTCTACAGCACTCGTGGCAGAGCTCATGTGTGCCGCCTCAGAAAAATGAAAAGACTGTCGGATGTATGCAGGGGCCTGATGCAGGCGCTCGCGACGATCCGAACCCCAAGAGATACTGCACCTCCCCGGTGGCTGCGCATGATTCAAAAGCAAACCAGTGTCCGAGTCATCGGTAACTCCCCGAACACGAGCCATCTTCACTCCGGCGGAGCCGCCGTTGTCACAAGCCACTCCAAACGGGCTTTAGCAGCCTGGATAGCACGGCATTGATTCGAGTGAAACCTCGCGAGCAATTCGCCCCTCCCAATATAAAGTCTATTGTCAAAGGACACAATGCAGCGAGTAAAGACCAAAACCAGCTGTCATTGCATGTCTACCCCACCCATGCACGAGCAACGCAGGGGTCGGTCATATTTTGAGCTCGAGCGTGTGGCTTCCACGAGCAACGGGCCAGCACTGAGCATTTGGTGGCATGGGTGAACGGCGAACTAGAGATGCTCTTACTTGAACTGGCAAATCTTAGCGATCTGGACCCTCGATCTAAAGCTTGAGCTTCCTTGCGCGCTAATACCACATCCACACCCGTCCTTCGCTTAACACTTTCCGCCAATCTTGGACAAGCTTCTGACACGGCTAACCGTTCTCGCAAAGTATTGCGAACTGCACGTGATTTGAGGCACAACAGCTACATGTACGCATAGGGGGTCGATCAAGTCGCAGATTGACATTCGATGGCATGATATTCAAGGATATTCATTAATGTCTTTGCTTAGGCACAGTCCCCAGTCCAGTTCGACCACGAATCCATCCAAGTCACTGAAGCTAGCGACCACGACCAGCTGAACAGCAAGTAGTGGTTACTTTCGATATCCAGGAGCTCAGTATCCGGTTTTACTTTGAGTATATATGCACTATCTTGAATAACATAAACAAACAAGGCTCTCATCGCGTCGTTTTCTCCGAGCCTATCGTGTAAGTCTTCCAAAAGCGTAGTCTCATGGTTGGTGAGCACTTTGGGAAGACCGCCATACAAACGGACTCCACATCGACCACGCAATCTTGGAGAAGCTTTGATAGTGTTCGTGCAAAAGTACTCCCACCCCTTGCCCTTACCGGCAGAATGGGTAGGCTCGCCCCACGTGCGTGCGGCCACCAGCGCGGACACCGCCCGTTTGCTTCATTTCCGTACGCCTCTCACAGTGGAGGAAGATAAGCGACCGTAATCAACCCACTCTGCATGGAAGTTTCATCTACTTAATTTTTAACAACAGTCCTGCGGCATAGACATCCGACTCCCGCAAGCATAGAGTGCCTACGCCTTGATTTTACCCTTGAGCACACTTCCAGGAACTCCTCAACATAACGGAGTTCGACAACACTTCCAGTACAGGCGGAGTTCACTAACACAGCCAACATCTCAGGGTAGCCCTAGCCTCAACGTTCAACGTCCGTCACTAATGTACAATCTTCGCCAACTAGTGAGTACACTTGTGAACAGTGAGCGGTACTCTCCACTCGCCAAATCCATCCCCAAGTTCTGGAACTCGGGTCTACGGGAGGAACGGGGCGCGTCCGATGGATGGATGCCCGTCAGACAAAATCGTCTACCCATGTCGACTCACCCCTGGTAGACATCATGCACGCCACTCGTAACGACAGCTTATCCTCTGACAAACGAGCTAACCAACATGTACACTGCGTATTCAAACAGATGGGATTGCTGCGGTTGATTCTTAGTACTCTTTTCAAAGATTTTAGTAAGATTGCTAGTCTTGGTGGTGGTCAAGTTAAGGGAACGTCTAGTACTAACATCACCACACCACTTGGAATCGGCCCTATATAACTAAATAAACTAGTCAGTTCTTTCACATACGACCATAGGATCTTGAATTCAGCGCTTCCCGTTCGCTCAGCGGTACTTAAGCAGGATACCGGCGGATTAGTAGTCAGGTGGGTGACCACTGGCGAATCCCCGCTGTTGTATGTTTTTGCCTTTTTGGTGCTCCTTTCTTCTTAGTAAGAGAAATACATCGGTGAGCCGACTTGAAGAGGACTTGTTGTTGGCTCGTTGTTTCCCCCTCTGTTTTATCACTTTGTTGTGGGGTGTGGGTATGAAGTTTAAGGATCTAACATCTCAGCACCCAACGTACCACCACAGAATCAGTATACCTCAGCAGGTGTTCTTGGGGTGAAACATAACTACCCACCAAGCCATCAGCATGATAGGATTCTGCGAGATGTACATCATCTTGAAGCTCGATTTTGTCTTATCGTCGCTCTTGCCCGGGACTTTCGACGAGCCTTTTGTTCTTGGGGTCAAGGATGGTATCTCGGGGACAGCGACCATTCCAAGGCTTGGATACATGGCAAAAGTGTACTCTTCAGCCTTCCATGTGGCCACCACCTCTTCCATCCTTGAAGACCTCCATTCCCTTAATTCATCTACGCTTCTTGATATTCCCTATCGAGACTTTGTTCATTAGTACAACCCACGCGAACTCTTTGGCCATCTAAGAGCTTCAATACTTTGAATACGTGGTAGTCTACATCAGACCAGAAAGCGACCCTAGCCCCGTGACCTTAATCTACCGCATTATGTCGTACACTACGCTCGTAGTCACGCCTACTCCCTAATTTCGACAGTGGGACTATGTATACCTTCGTACATTCCACTGGCATCTTCTGAAGGACAAGCTGGCGGGGCTTCGCCGAGCTCTTGGAAACGATACCTTGATTCTTTGGTCGACTCACTGCAAGATCCCAGGTATCTACAGTAGGCACTGCAAGTTCGGCAATGCGTATACGACCTATCCACGGGCGACGACGACGGCAACGCTGCAGACGACCGAACTCCTGTATACTACTCTATGCTTGTCCACGAGTGGAAAGCCATACATTCCGGCCACACGAAGAAGCTAGTTGGGATAACCTTCTGGAGCAACCAAACCATTGACAAGCTTGGTAAGTGTCTCTAGGCTCATTGTCAAGTATTTGACTAATTTACATAAAGCGCATATAAGGTGGTCAGGTAATTACCGTGAACAGGACGTTCTCACATATCAGAATTGCCAGCACATTGCCTTCAACTACTCTTCAGTATCCATGCAATCTCGGAAGAGATGGCGTCCATGTCTGCGAACGTCCCCGCCAGTCTGACATCACTTGCCCGACTAATACGGGCAGGTGCGTGCACAGCGGACGCTTTGCACCGACTGAAAGACAAAATTATCCAGCCTATAGAAACCATATTTCTTGCTGATGAGAAGCCATACTGTGGATACTACCAGATATTCGTCGACCGCTACGTCAGGATGGACTCTCTGTTGGAAATATGACCATTCTGCTCCAACGTCTGGGAGTCAAACGTTTGCTCTTTGGCTTTGCACAACCTGTCAGCAATGTCACTCTGGATATAGAACGAATTTCACTGGAGGCTCTAGAGGAAAAATAAGGGTCGGCGAGCAAGGCAGTATAGAATAGCATGAGGACAAAACTCAAGAGACTGTCAGGCGTCGTGGCAAACTCCTTCACACATCGATGATCCTCTCCATAGCCATCCCAATCCTCGTGTCAAACACCCTTTTGAAATTCTCTGCGCTCATTGTATCCTCTGCAGGAATACTCTCCCCCATACCATTAGCTTGAAAGCCCTCTCTCAGCGTAACCCTCCCCGATGTCTGGAATCCAAGTCTCTTGTATGTCTCCACCAGCACAGTATTCTTCGGGTTCACAATCAGCCTTATCCTCGATCTCTGCACACCTCCAGTGTCGGATTTCAGAGAGGCCGTTATCTCGCTAACCGTAGCCATGCACGCAGCACCGAGTTTGCTTGCGATCTCGCGCCCACGGTGCGCTGGCGATGTGTATAAATCGTACATGTGCCATCGCGATTCAGCATCGGGGTTCTCGGGTATTGGTTGCTCCATTTCTGGTACGGCATAGTATTCCATGTACGAGAGAGGACCGCGTGCCGCTGCGAAGCCCACCCATTCCGCTTGTATGAGCGCGTCTCCAGCCGATAGAAATGGAGCGCTGGTAGCGACGCATATCAGGATGGTGTTCTGGCGCGCAAGACGACTTTCCCAGACCGATAGCGGGTGCTTCGCTTCTGAGACGTATTGGTAGATCCACTCTGAAGGGCTGGTCTGAAGAGCGGCCAGCTTGGTGTCTCGGAACTTGGTAACGAGGTCGGCAAGGCGAGGGGAGGTAGTGGGGATGCGGAGGACATGGTACTGGGCGTCTGCGGGAGTAGTTGAGCCCATGGTGGTTTCTAGAGATATCGATTTACCGGGAGAAAACGAGTGATGCACTATGTCTGCCTGTTAGTGTAGTATAGGTTACTATCAACACGGCTACATTGAGTATCAGCATGACCGCGTCGAGGCCGCGTGAGGTATCCCGATATTGGAAGGAGAATCTACAAAGACAGCTGTAACAAGCCTAGACGGCCGATAGCCATCATTAAATGCGGTATGGGCGTCTTAGGCAGCCATAAGCACAGTTTGGAATCATATGTTGTAGGCGTCGAAGGATCATTCTGACTGCGACGAGCTATTTGATGACATTTTGAGATTGCAGGTCAGTTGGAGCCTGTCGGAAGGGCATGTCGGCTCAGGTAACTGAAACGGAGTATTTCAAAGAGGAAAAGTTGTGTTTATCTGAAGCGTTGAACATGTACGTGAGACTGTTTAGAGACGGTCTGTTGTTGTGCTAAGTTTCGGTGGGGTAGAGGATGCCAGGGGTTGTGCCGAAGCTCTGCCCGCGGTACTGCGCTGTCACACAACCACTACCGCTATATTCGTGCCCCACACATAGCTGGGCCATCTGTAGAGCTACGAATACCGGCTGTCTTGGTTTGACGTTGATTTGATACTATGTACGCTTGTTGGATGAACATATACGATGAAATTGACCAAACCTGCATCGAAAAGCATCAATCCGATATGGTCTAGTGGCTAGGATTTGCCGCTCTCATCGAGAGTTGTTCACTCACAGTGCCGGCAAGGCCCGGGTTCGATTCCCGGTGTCGGAAAGCGTTCATTTTGCGGTTTGGTGTCAGTTTTTTGGATGTGTTTTCGCCCTCAGTCGGTCACTGTTTGAAGCCACACGCACCACATTTTTTGTATACATTAGCAGCTTCGTACTAAGGTCATTGGAGTGTTTTTTCCATCATTGGCGCGTTTAATGATATATCGTTAAACTGCCTGTTGTTCAATTTGTCACTGACTTCCCAAAATCTTCCTCTTCTTCCACAGGGATATCAAGAGCAAGGCTGGGTGTGATTTCAGAGCCTTTAAGGCTATCTAATCACACTGTAGAATGCATCAAAGCAGTCAGGCTAAGTTCTTTTCGGTTCATGAACAGAATGTTACCAATGGTGCACTACGAAGATCTGCCATCGACTGAATGCGACCTTTGAAAAAGACCACAACTGCGCGTACAGCACGCTTGCACCAGCAATTTCTTTCGTCTGTCTGCGTCCCAATCCCTCGTCTCGGATACATCTTCCGCACCTCGAGCCACAAGTTCACCCTAATCAAGAGCAGCTTAATCGACTTCACCCCAAATAGAAAGGCCTTTGCAAGCACACGTATCTAGTGGCCGCACCCTCATTTGATTCCCTTTAGTGTTCGCATCTATGAAGATCGGTAGCTTCAGTGATGAGGATAGGTTTTGACATGATAGCTAGAATTTGGACCAACCTCCGGTTAGGGCGGCACACATACATTCGAATGCTGGTTTACGGAGAGGACGACAAATGAAGTAAACTCCACAGGCAATCTTCATCATTCAAAATAAACTATTTTCTCAACAGATTAGAAAAAACACATTGACTCAGCAGTTCGTAATGGAGGCTGGCATCATGCAAGCCAGGTAGAAAGGGAGTCGCAGAAGACCATTCGCATCGATGCTATGAATAATATCTTGCTGGACACATTCGCGTCTCAGCGAAGAGGAGTCCTGCTATCATCTGTACAAGTTTGTCACTCTCCGTGCGTGACTCATCTAAGCCTACCAACACCAGCAAGATGAATAGTCTCGTGATGATTACGGCCGCCCTAAAACTAGTCGCTATGCATGACTCCGACAATGATTCATGTGAGACAGTACCGGAAAGTAGAGGGTGAGACGCAGCAATTCACTAGCGCGAAGTCTTGGCACTCGCACACTCTGAATTGCCCCACTCCGTCCGCGACAGACCACCCACTACACAAAACCACAACGACCTCTAGACAGACCAGCACATACACAACCGCTAACATGTCCCGAGTAGCAGGGTAAGTCTACTCGACATATTTTTCTCCCTCAAAGCCCTGCTGATGCAAAATTATAGCCGCACCGACTGGGCCGACGAAGGAGACGACGACCTCGATGTCGCCCTCCCCCAGCAAACCATCACAAAGAACAAGGACGGAACCGAGACCATCGTATCATACCGCATCGGCGAAGACGGAAAGAAGTACAAGACCACGCGCCGGATAAAGAAGACGGTCGTCAAGCAAATCGTCAACCCGCGCGTCGCAGAGCGAAAATCGTGGGCAAAATTCGGCCAGGAGAAAGGCAAGCCCGCCGGCCCACAACACGACACCGTCTCCGTCGCCGAAAACATTTCCTTCCGACCCGTCTCCAACTGGAAGGCTAGTACAGAGGACAAGGGCGATGAGGCCAAGAAGAAGGCCGAGTTGAAGAATGCCAAGATCAAGTGCCGTATCTGTCAAGGCGACCATTTCACGACAAAGTGTCCGTTCAAAGACACCATGGCGCCCGAGGGCGACGTCGCGCCCGCAGACATGCCAGATGACGCACCAGGCGGCGGTCCTGGTGGCAGCCTTGGCACCGGGTCAGGAGGCTACGTACCACCGCATCTGCGAGGACGCGGAGGTGCCGGTGAGAAGATGGGCGGCAAGTTCGATCGCGACGACAGCGCTACATTGCGTGTTACCAACGTCAGTGAGATGGCCGAAGAGCAGGACCTGCGCGATATGTTCAGCCGGTACGGGCACGTTACCCGAGTGTTCCTGGCAAAGGACAGGGAAACTGGTTTGGCAAAGGGCTTTGCGTTTGTCAGCTATGCTGATCGGACGGATGCCGCAAAGGCGTGCGAGAAGATGGATGGATGTAAGTGCCGTCGCTATATTCCATACGCTCTAGTTTGCGTGCTAACTCATCATTTAGACGGCTTCGGGCATCTTATCCTGCGCGTCGAGTTTGCTAAGAAGGCTTAGAAGGCGGCTTAGATGGCGATGCATTCTGGGGCGTTCAGGTCATGACAAACTGGGATCTGTCAAACGAGCAAATGAACGAGACCTTTTCGTTGACGGTAGCCATCACTTATGGGTGTGACTAATAAATAGTTCACAAGATGGACAAAGCTTCGATTTTGCAAATAGGGTTAAGAATGATGAATGAATCAAGACCACCGCCCACCAGCAAGTGCTGTCAAGCATGTCCAATAATGACTAACAAGGACGCCGGTGCCCCAAGACACGAACAGGCTAACTGTCAGACCCCAACTTCCACTGCATTCTCCCTTGACGATTCCCTTGGAACTGACCAATAGGCACGGGCTTTGGTTGCTGAATGACATCGCTGCTTGTCCTTGGAATGAGCTGAACAGGCGGCTGTGGTGTGGTCATAGGGTACGACGCATCGCTATTACCGCGAAGGAACTGCGGCTTCTGGATGTGATGAGGTGAATGAGGTGAGTTGTGATCATTGATCAAGTGATGATGCGGATGTTGTGGGTTATGGTCGATCGGGCGATCGGACATGAGACTGTGATTATGCGTTAACATGGGCATGAACGGAGTGTAGATCGGGAACTCGGTATGGGGAGGAGACTTACTCTAGTGGTGCAACACTGCTCCTCCGACTCGCTGGCTTACTCCCCGCCACACTCCCTGTCACACTCGCAATACTAAACGTTGCTGCATGCTGTGACTGCGGCGTCGCGGGCAGCCACCCACTGCTCGTGATGCCCTCCGCATCCATGAGTCGTTGGAGGAGATCCTCCGTAATGACGAGCAGATGTTCGACAGCAGCGAGGCGCGAGTCTTCCTTCGCAGAGGAACAATGGACATACGATCTACTCGTCAGATTGTGCTCGACGATAGCGGCTCCAATTTTTCTTGAGGAAGTCGGTGCGAAGCTTATCACGTCGAGAGACCGGTTGGCTCCGTAGATGGCTCGGGCATTCGCTTTGAGATGTCAGCACTCGGGTTCCTTACGGGGAGAAGGGGAAGGGAGGGTAGGAGGAAGTCACGCACCGAGCACTCTTGCTCTTGTAGATTCCAAAGAATCCTCGCTGTCCTTGTCCTCCATGTGATGCAGAATCTGACTCGCTGTTCGCTCTAGCGCCAGGTTCTCGTAGCTGCTGCTCTTTCCGTGCTTCATTTCCTTGAAGGTCTCGATCATCGCGGATAACTTCAACGCGGTTTAGATAGGATCGCTTGCTGGACCTCGACGAGTGTGCGGAGTTGATGGAGGTAATAGAGTCACCGGTGCCGACACGTTGCAGTGCGACGGGGTTGAACGAGTTGCTTCGACTGATGTTAGGAGAGGGTGTGTGCGATCTCGAACCGTCAAGCTGTCTCGAGACTCTTCGATGCCTCCGATCTTCGTCTACAGCTTTACTGAACCCGATAAGGCTAGTTGTCCTCTCAATGGGATGTATGCTCTTCTTGCTCCAGGGGCTCCGTTCCGGACCTCTGGCAATGATCTCAGCAAGAGGTCGCTTTTCAAGCTCAGGAGTGAGTGGCTGTGAGTTCCGGCGCTGTCGTGCGATTGTGCTAGCCCTCCCTAGTGTGGGTCGGGGCCCGATCGAGGAATCCAGATCGTCCACTTCGCGAATGCTCTTGAGCAGTGATGAGTGCTTTGAATAACTCGACCCGGCAGGCCCACACGGTCCACAGAGGAGAGGAAACGTGGTGACGGTTTGTAGTTAGACCTTGTGTGCTGTCAGTATCCGATTCAAACTGGCAAGATAGAACCGCTGCTGTTCAAAGGGCACGGTGACTTACTTGGTAGAGAAGTGCTGCTCGTAACGCAAGATATCGGTATACACCGTACCTTCTGAGAGATGAAATAGACGGCGGCTAAACTATAGCAAACAAGTAAAACGGTCGGGGACCGCTGAGAGAGAGAGACAGAAAGAATAGTGAAACTTGATTTCAGCGTAGGCAATGCTCGAATAGGATACCTCCTGATCAGTGAGCGGTGAGGTGGAAGGGTAAAGGAAGGTCGAGCATCGTACAGCAGGTTACTTGCTGAGGCAATTGTCGGTTGTAGCTGCGTTGTTTTGATGCCTTGGGCGCGCTTGCCACGCAATTGAGCAACATGCCCGCTGCAGCTGCCATATGATGTGGTTCGAGATATTTCACGAAGAAGGAATCTTCAAAGCTTGCCAGTTCTCGTAGTACTCCGTCTGAACATATCGGTCTTTCGCTTTACAAAGTAGCTCCGAAGATGTGTTTCGATTCTACAGCATTTGACCGTGAAGGCATGTGCCTACGCCAATATCAGCGTTATGTTAAGAAACATAGCATTCGCGCCAGGAGCTTAGGCTCGCGGGTCCGTACCCACTCGCGAATCACCATGCAGAGCATCCATGTTCCCGGAAGAAAGGGAAAGTGGTTGTATACAGATATGTCCATCTAGTTCTAGATACCCATGCCAATGTATATGCATATAGAATGACAAACAAAGGTGAAAGGCAAGAGAAATTGATGCGGATATGTACACGAGATGCGTACATATAGCGAAAGTCTGAGAAGGGAGACTAGATATAGATCAGACAAAGGTTATCCAGTGACCAGCGCCGATTCGGCCCATGAAGCGCAGCGAATCGATCAGACGAGGCCATATAGCGGTCGAGGCAAAGGCCTGCAAATCTGTTCGCCCTGATTACCAGTCCTGAGCTTCGCACCTTTGAGCCCAATGTACGCTTCGCGCCTCGCCGGGTTGCCAGTCGTAACCGACCAGGTGTTCAGCCCATAGTATACGCCAATGTGGTGCACAAGCCAGCGGCCAAAGCTACCTCCCAGGTCTTCTTCTGGCGATTCGAAGAGCATAAGCTCACGCTTGATCTGATCGCCGTCCTTGGAAGCCTGCATATCGTTCATCTGACCATTTCGCCCCACAAACACAATCTCATCATCCTCGCTATCCGGATCAGCAGGCAAGCCATCTTGCACCGCCCTCCGTTCTTTCTCCTCCCAGCCCACAACAAACTTCCTCACCTCGCCCTCAAGATCCATTAACAGCCCCTTCGCGCCGCGCGAGCGTTTGAGTTTCTCGCGAAGCTCTTTCGGCACGACGCCGGGTGTCGTGGGCTTGTTGGCTACGGTTTTGGTAGCGCTCTTCTGAGCAACGGCGGCGGTCTTGCGCTCATTGGATTGCCTTTTCAGACCTGCGTCCCAGAGCGGGGCGAGGTAGTATGGGACGTTGGTAACGCGGTGGGTGGGATGGACTTCCCAGTCCTTGGGAAGAGGAGGTTCGGCATAAGGGTTATTCAGGAGGCGATCTGACTAAGGGTCAATTGACGCGTCCTCTAACGATGAATTATGTGTGTCTGGGGACAAGGACCATGGCGATGCGCACAGCGTCTCCGAGGGAAGAGGAGGAGCAGGTCCCAAGAACGTACCATTCTCCCACCTCTGCCTGCGCCTAGTACCCTCCTTGCCCTTCAGCAGTGCCTCACGCCGCTTCATACTATCGCGACGAAGTAGATCGCTGCGGCGATAGTAGCCGCCTTCTTTCGCAACTGCCGCAAGCGCAGGACGCGCAGGCGCATCGTGCTCATCGAGAGGAATCGCAAGCGTGACTGAGGGCCTCTGAACGACATCTCCAGGTGCGGAGATAGTCACGGAGCTCAAGGCGACAGTCGCATGCTCGGTCCATGCTTCGATGTCGATGGGCTGCGGCGGGGCGGCTTGCTGAGGGCTTGAGGGGGTATCGCCGACGGCCATTGTGGTGGCGTTACGGCTGCTATTGACTGGAACGGATGCGGCGGAGGATCCAGGAAGCGATGCACCCAGAACTTGAGCACAAAAGTGAAGTAATAGAGAGTAGGAGAAGCTCAATAGTCTATGTCTTGAGGGGTGTTGAAGGACAGGTTGCGATAAGTGCTGCGATAGGGATGTCGACTAGGTCATGGGTTATGCAGGCGTCATCCAATCAGCGCGAAACGTGGGGTAGAGGGCGCATCATGGAGTGAGAGGGGGCCACAATACGGACTATGGAGGGACATGATTCAGCTGATGGCACACGAAGCTGCTGCCTTTAGGACGTCTACTCCAATAAGTCGCTGGATAGTAATAGTGTACTACTGTCAGCCACTCCAACTCGACGCACAATCGGACGGACATGGGACAATTCCCTCCAAAATCAGCCCTCGTCGTCGTCACCAACCATAGTCCGTTGCAGTCTCCCATCGTTCACCCATGTAATCATATTCTCCTTCTTCCCATTCGGATGATTCGGGCGAGGCCTTGTCTTCTGGCACATACACTGGCGCGTTTTTCTGGAGGTAGCACCTGTGCCGTGCTCTGATACGACTGTCCTATTGATACAAAAGCCATAATGTCAGTTGCCAGTTGATGCCACCAGGAGAAGAAAATACGCACGCTGTCCAAAGCCTTGATTGCTTCTTGTCTCCAATTCGAGCTAGGGTTTTTCCTAGCGTCATGGAGGTCATACTCGATGACGGGGAGCAGTTTCAAGTGAAGGTATTGGAAGAAGACGCGCACGCTCGCCCCCTCTTCTTCAAAAACCTCGAGTATCGGCCTCAAAGACTCGAGAGCATCTAGCCAGAAATCCATGCTGATGCGCCTCTGTAAAAACTTGATCGTGAGTTTGAAGCCTGACTTGTTCTTGATCTTATGAAGCAATCTCACACACTGCCTATAATATTCTGACGGCGGTATAAGGTAGATGATTTCGAACTCGAGGACCAACTCCCGAAGCAGTGTGGTGGCATCTGTTCCAATGGAGAATGCATCAGCAGTAACCAACCGCTCAAGACTTTCCAAACTGCCCGCATGAAACGGCGACCCGATCACAGAAACCAATTGATACCAAGCCTCGACAACTTCAAGTACGGATTCAGGCCCCACAATCGAAGAGTTTACGAAATGCGGCAGATGCAGAATACGCCAGCTTTCGTCTTGGTCGTTGAACAGTGACAGTTCCATGGACTTCCATGTTTTGTCAAGAGTCTTCGCATCCCAAAGTTGCGCATACACCATGTCGCGGAGCTCGCGAGGTAGACGGGCGCGCATACTGGTGAAGAACTGGGCGTTCCAGGCTATACAGTGGGGTCTGACGGCCTTATCTAGTGCACTAAATAGAGAGGGGTTTCGTCAGAGATGACCTGGTGTTCATCGAAATTACGGTGACGTACTTTTTGAGCAAGCTATCGTTTAGCTCGATATCAAAGATTCTGATAACCTGTTATTTATGTATTGCATGCAATTTTCCATGCTGGGCTTAACGTACTCTGCCAGCAGTCGATGTTTCTGCTCATCCAATTTTCCCCGTTTGGCGTGCAGTATCTCCATATCAGCAGAGATAGGCCGGATGCTGACATCTTGTTAATAACCTGTTGATTGTAAATCTCCACTGTGAATTAGGCATACCATTTATCTGCGAATACCCCCTGTCGCTCGATACTGCAGATGAAGGTTAGTGTCAATGCCATATAACGACAATTGTACTGGACCGTACTCGTAGAGACGCTCTTGCGCCCTTTCTAGGTCCACGTCCACAGCTCTCGTCATGGTATTGGTGAGAGTTCGAACGTCTGAGGGTTGTTCAAAATGGCAAATTCTAGTTTTAGTGAAGATTCAGAAATCGGAAAGCCGCGTCCCGACGCGCGCGTCGATCCGTCCAAGCTTTCTCTGTGGGTCCTTGCAAACAAGATAAACAAGATAAACATGATCTTCATGTTGGTAGCTTTCTTTAGCCCCAGAAAGACATAGACATACAACCGTTGATGTTGACTTGCTTATTTCCGATCGGCTGTTCAAGTCGTCAAGATCGTTTAGGGATACACCGCAACGATCATGCTTACACGCGCCAGATCGCATCTGCCATCTTAGCAACCTGGACCATTTCTTGCACATCATGCACCCTCACAATGTCCGCACCACCCTGTATCGCGGCTGTGACTGCAGCCGTAGTTCCCCAAACCCTATCCTTCGCTTCTTTCACACACGTAATCTTCCCAACAAATGCCTTTCGACTCGTCCCCACAAGCCACGGTAAACCTTCAAGACCAGGATAATTCCTCAATTCACCCTGTCGCCGTAGTAGTTCGAGATTGTGTTCTTGTGTCTTTGCAAAGCCGATTCCAGGATCTAAAATAATGCGCCAGCGCCGAATGCCCGCTTCTTCTGCTGCGCGGACGCGCTCAAGGAGTTCCCTTCCTACAGTCTCAACAACGCCGTCGGGATAGGATGCTAGGTTGCTCATGGTCTCTGGCGTGCCACGCATGTGCATGAGGCATATGGTACAGCCTAATCTTGCGACAGTAGGCAGCATGGCCTCGTCCAGCAAGCCTGCGCTAACATCGTTGATGATGTCTGCACCAGCCTTTATAGCTGCCTCGGCGACGTTGGCACGGTATGTGTCCACACTGATTGCCATGTTCTTGGCTTCGGGGAGGGAGCGAATGAGTGTTACGGCAGGCAGTATGCGGGACAGTTCTTCCTTGAAGGATACTTGCACAGAGCCGGGTCTAGTAGATTGCCCACCAACGTCGATGACGGTTGCTCCGGCTGCGACGTGGGACTTGATTGTGGCGGCTAGTGTAGCTTCCTCGATGTTATAGTTCTTACCACCGTCAGAGAAAGAGTCTGGGGTGACATTCAGGATAGACATTATCCGTGTGTCGCGCTGTGAGTGGAAAGCAGAAATGTGAAGAGAGCCAGGCGCGAGGGGCGTCATTGGCGAGAGCGGCACATCTGACGGCGGTAGTCGTGCGAGGTGTTGCTGGAGCGTTCCTTTGATGGGTAGATTTCCTTGAACCTCCTCCGGTATAATCCTGTACGCTGTTAGTATTTCGTTTTCAGAAGAGTTTAAGTGAAACAAAAAGTACATACTCGCAAAGCGGACGAAGCACAAATTCTCTTTCGAGCATCAGTAAGTGAGGTATTTGTAATCTCTCATTCGAGAATGTCAGATTGCCATAAAGCGAGATATCCAGATCGATGTTCCTTGGGCCTTTGTCAATGACCTTCACTCGACCCATCCTATTTTCGATGGCTTGAAGCTCATCTAAGAGTTCAATTGGCGACAATGAGGTTTCTATCTACGCATGTCAGAACATCAAGTCAGTGAATACACACAAAGCTTACCTCACAAGCACCATTGACGAACATGTCTTGATCAAGGACGTACATCGCCTTAGTCTCCCACAGGCTGCTCGTTCGCTTGATCTTGATCCTACCAGTGGATTCCATCTCTTTACAAGCCTGTTCAATCATGGCTACTCTGTCACCCATGTTGCTCCCTAGGGCAATAACCGCCCGATGTGCCATGTGAGCAGACCCATGACGAAAACGGTGGCTCTGCTTTTGGAAGCTTCTCTTCGGGCTCCGAAACTCGTGACGCAAATTCACACTATGTTTGCTCGAAGATTGAATGGCCCGGCGTTGGGTGCATGTCGAGATGAGCTGGTGGCTGCGCGGTAATGTTTGATACGATATGATGAAGGCCTTCGCGGTCTGCTGCGGTGGTTTCGATATCGCCGTCCTCAGTCCGCTCATAAAACTCGACATCGCAGTCGACCTCTTTTCGCAAGTGGTTAGATTTGCATGTGATGAGTCGGAGCAGGCGGCGCAAAGTTCGCGCAGGAGCGGCCTTAGCGCCCTCCCCGGATTAGTCTAGTACATATGAGGTTAGGGCGTCACTGTTGCTCCGCCTTCTAGTTCCACGTTGTGCCTCGGCTCGGCTCACTGCGCTGGAGAGTAGAAGAACCTTAAAGGACTCCTCGCCCCATAAGTTCCTACACCTCCTCTTCTGTTTTTAGCTACACTCACTCTTCCCTTGGGGCATCTTCATCACAGTCACAAATCGAGAACCACACTACCTTCACGATGGCCTCTCCACGTACGTCACCTTTCGCACCCACTCAACTCACATGTTCATTGCAGCTGACAGACGACAGAGCAAATCCGCACAAAGCTTACCGACCTGCTGAAGATCCAGCACCCCGTCCTGCTTGCGGGCATGAACGTGGCTGCCGGTCCTAAGCTCGCTGCTGCCGTCACAAATGCAGGAGGTCTCGGTGTCATCGGTGGCGTCGGATACACACCAGATATGCTCCGCGAGCAGATCGCTGAGTTGAAAGGATACCTTAATGACAAGAATGCACCGTTCGGCATTGATCTGTTGCTTCCTCAGGTTGGTGGTAGCGCACGCAAGACAAAGTGAGTTGTCCCTGTTGTTCTTCTGAGAATTAGACATGGCTAACCTACGTACAGCTACGATTACACCAAGGGCAAGCTGAACGAGCTAGTCGACATCATCATCGACTCAGGGGCTAGGCTATTCGTCTCTGCCGTCGGTGTCCCTCCCAAAGCCGTCGTCGAGAAGCTTCACAAGGCCGGTGTGCTATACATGAACATGATCGGTCACCCCAAGCACATCAAGAAGTGCCTCGATATCGGCGTCGACATCATCTGCGCACAAGGAGGCGAGGGTGGAGGCCATACTGGAGACGTTCCCACATCTGTCTTCATCCCTACGGCTGTCAAGATGGTCGAGGGTTACAAATCGCCTATGACCGGTGAGCAGGTGCAGATTGTAGCCGCCGGTGGCATGTACAACGGCCAGTCGCTCGCTGCTATGCTTACTTTTGGTGCCACTGGTGTCTGGGTAGGAACACGTTTCATTCTCTCCGAAGAGGCTGGTGCGCCAAAGGCCCATCAAGAGGCCGTTCGGACAGCCGGCTGGGATGACAACGTCCGAACCATCATTTTCACAGGCCGGCCACTGCGTATCCGCAATAATCCCTATGTTCAGAATTGGGAAGAGAACAGGCAAGCCGAGATCAAGGAGCTCACTAGCAAGGGTATACTACCTGTCGAGTATGACCTTGAGAAGTTGGGCGATGATCTTGATGATGAGACTATGGACAACGCCCGGCCGTTCTTGATGGGTAAGGTCGCCGCTGCTGTGACTGAGAAGAAGAGCGCAAGGGGAATTGTTGACGAGATTGTGGGTGACGCTGTGAAGTGGCTACAGACTGGTAACTCGTTTATCGTATCGAAGTCTAAGCTATGAGTACAAGTAGGAATTTAGCCAATGAAGCGTTCAGCGAGCTGTTTGCTCGATCTAATTGTCGAGAATTAAAGTTCACTTGTTTCCTTTAAAAACGCTGTCGCTTTTCGACCATATAGTATATGAACTTTTTGACTCGATCTGATTGCAGGAGTCGATAAAGGATTCGTATGAAAGCGTTGGCGTGGGCCACCATGTGCGGGGAAGACGGTAGTTTTGGGATGTAGCTGATTACTTATTGATGAGTAAACACAAAATACCCGACCGTGATCCACTTGTCTACCAGTCGCTATGTCACGCTCAGTCCGATCCACATATCATGAGCCCCCCTCTCTATGTGCGCTGAAGGAGCGCTAAAAACCGTCCTATTCATGATCTCTCACCTGTCTTATGATGCAGTAATCTTAAGCTCGTGATACCAACTTATGTGTGTTGCAAGGAGTAGTGTCTGCTATGCGGAAGAGCTATCATAGATCTATTCCTTGGAAAGAGTGTCAAGGTTTGAGTACTTGCAAACGCAAACCACACAAGACACCAAAAGGTCCTTCAAACGCGAGGGCAAATAATCAAATCGCGTTCCTATACCCACACACTGCCTCTGTTCGCGACATACAATCTCTTCTACCAATCTAGATACAACCCACTGACGTCTGACTTACACTGTCCATTGCCAGCAGGCCAGTGGACAGTAAGCCTTTTTCGGATTCGCGATGTCAGAGCCCTCCCCAGTCCGAATGCTGAGGAAAGTCAGATTAGGCTGCGGTCGAAGACTTTGATGTCAATGTTCGTAACGAAGTTCGTGTTGGAAAGTTAGTGTGCTGCGGCGGAAGGATCGCGAGCTTCAGCTTGAGTTAAGCGGATATGGTCACCAACAGTTTTCTTTTGATGAGCCTCCTGTAGCCATGGTGAACTGAAAGTTGTACTTGCCCGATCGATATCTCAGAGGGTAAGATTATTGAGTGATGTCGGAAGAGCAAAAACATTGCGAGATAACGCCCCATAGAAATTGGTCGGACGTGTTCTAAGCTGAATCATGATTTCGTAAGTCATACTGTCAAACAAATACTCAATCTATACTTCGCGTGAAAGCAAATGTACCACCCATATCCACGACCTACATTGTAACAAACAATCCATCCAAAGTACACTCCAAAGCGAGCATGAAGTAAACGCAGTCCTCCTCCCGTTTTGATCCTTTTCAACGTCTTTCTAGCTCCTTATCTCAACTGTCGCATATTATAGAACGTGCGGGTCCACCTCGACGATCGGTCCAGTGTACGACTTGTTTGCGAAGAGGAGATAGTAGGCCACGCTGAACAATGCAACTGACCCCGTTACCACACCGGCCCAGTTCATGTGCATTAGGTCTGGATTTACTGTGTTCGGCCAGAAGCTGAAGAAGATGATCAACAGTAGGTAACAGATTGCGACGACATTGTTGGCAACGCCAAGCGCGCCTTTCAAGCGCCATGGCCCCCAGGTCAGACTACGATCGTAGGCTTCGTCAACGTGCCCCGAATTGAAGATCGTCAGGGATGAGTCGGGATTGTCTAAGTCGCCACGTAGCCGCCTCCAAAGTAAGAGACCGAGAGCCAGAAGGTAAGAAAGGTAGAAGCCCTCCAACACCAAGGATATTGTCCCGTTGAAAGCGGCATTGTTTCCGATATTGATTAGGGCAAGTAGGGCTGAAAACACTGTAACCACGATGATAGCAACCACTGGAATGGTAGAACGCTTGTCGATCTGTGTTGCATAAGTCAGTTATTAGTTCTAGGTTGTTCGCTACTACTACTTACCATACTGAGAGCGCGCGAGAACGGAAGCCCTCGATCACGAGCGAAGGACCAAGTCATTCGGGAGGCTGCAGCTAAACAGCCCATGGCACTGCAGAATTCTAGAAGAATGATGATGCTGACCATGACGGTTGCACCAGCCTCAGAGCCAACAGCATGACGAAAGATTCGAATGAAAGGTGAGGTTGGCGCGTCTTCATCGAGCAGCCCTTGAATGTCTTCGGCGCTGAAGAGGACGGCGAAAAGCATTCCCAGTGCCAATGAGCCGTTGATGACAAGACTGAAGAGCATGGAGCGCGGAACATCGGTGCTGGCGTTCCTGACCTCTTCAGACATCTGCAAAAGGTTAGTATGAATATGGCTCGCTGAATTGCGGGACTTACATGAACGACCGAATCCGTTCCAACGAATGCTAACGCATTGCCTTGCAAGCCAACGAAAAAGGCCAAAGCCTGAGTGCTCCAATTCCCAGTGTTGTGAAAAGTCGTGAAGATTTGCTTAGCCGAGTTGTGGGTTGATGTCAAGTAGACCAGGGGAACTAGAATCCCGAAAAAGCCGAGGACATGAACAATCAACACCACTACCTCGATCGCTGGCAGTGCGCCGCTGACAAAGACGTTGATGAAAACACAAAGCAGTAATATTGCCCACAGGAGAAGTGTTCCATGCCACCCTTCTCGTACGAAGCCCCCGCCGAAATCGTTTAGACTGACTAGCTGCAGAATCAAGTCGGCAACGAAAAAGCACACGGAAGTCAGGGCGGCAATCCAACCAATGACCGTGAGCCAACCTAGAAAAATCAGCTGAAAGCTCGATGGTATATGGCAAATCCAACATACCGGTAACGTAGCTGAAGAATTTCTTATTGGATCGAGGGGCAAGGAGGGAGACCCAGTGGTATTGACCTCCTGCAGTCGGGACAGCGCTCGCCAGCTCGCCGATGCAGATGAAGACCGAGAAGTTGCCGAGCCAGATGATAATGAAGCCGTATATGAGACCAGCGGGCCCGCCACTGAGATGTAAGTCAAATCGCGCTCTCATGCAACCATCACAATCTTTACACTTACTTCGTGAAGCCAATTGAGAAGATGCTGTGTACGAGTTTTAGCAGAGCACTTTGGCTATGGGAATCAGACTTACACTAGCAAACTCTCCCAAGTGCACATCAGACCACATGAGAGGCCGGTCATGCTCACAAGACCGAAGCGACGCTGAATCGATCAACTCTAGGCACTACATCGTCATGAGAGAGAAGCAAACCTTCAACACCTGTTGCTTTCCTACTCTGGCCAACTCATATCTATCGCGATCGAAATCCTGACCCTTGGTCTCCGATATTGACCCTTTGGCCCTGGTCCGAAAAACATCATCCTCGAACGTCTGCAGGTCAATACGCTTCTCCATAGCTATTCACTCCGAGCTCCTCAATTTGTATAAGCTGGTTGCCGGAGTGAACGGTGATAGCTTGGTGGCAGAAACGAGGGTCCGAACAGCAAGCCAGCGGATTGAAACAGAGAAGACGATACGTGGAGGAGAGATCGTGATACAGGACACATGCAATGCAAGCCAATCTTGATATTTATCCTTCCAGAGGTAACGTGAGCCATGTGCGCCGGCAAAGACGGTAGTAAATGAAAACCAGACGGCGGCGCTCGGCACTGCAATGAAGCGATGGGAAAGCTGGACGCTAAGACCGCGCTCCGTACAGCCAAGGCAATGGTAGGCTTCTGCAGTGGCGGCGGCATCTTCTCGACATATCGCACCGCATCCTAGTCTCAGGGAGAGCTACACAAGAACAGCACTGATTGGTGGTTGGGTCGCACGATTAGGCTGGCGAACGCTGCAAAAAGCGGTGGCATGCATCGGCGCGGATCCCTTGCTCGCATGTCTTCCAGGTGGCAGACGCGAACCAGACAATTTCTCGGTCATGTTCGCGTGTATGTCTGAACAGCATGGACCATGCTTGAAGTCCCGGATGCAATCTGCACTTGGGCGTTGCGGCATCCGTTTGCCTGGTTCAGGGCTGCTTAGGATCCTGTGCGAATGAAAGCTAAGTATGCCGCTCCTCGGAACGGCTAGAATCATGAAAAGGGGGCTCAGGGTTTCCCTAATCAGTGGAGTGTCGCACGAAATACGACGAATGAATAGCGTAGTTGAACAGGCGGCATGCTGATTGAAAGAAGAGCACGACTGTAGTGGGAACAAAAACGGCTGTCATACCCATGTCAACAGAAGCAGAGACCCCATTGCAGATTGTTTGTAGTACAAGATGAGGACAGGGCCTCAAAAGAAAGGGTGGTTGGGAGGAATAATGAAGGGGTGGTGGGTCGTCCGATGTTGTAACACACAGGTTTGTCAGCAGCCCACGTGGAATTGCTTCCCCTCAACCACGCATACGGTTCAACGGTTATCGACACCACCGCAATGCTAATAATCACGCTCAGTTACAGACATGTATGTGTTTGAAACCTGTAACTGTAAGGGTACGAGATGGACCTCTCTGTAGGTACAGAGTGGGCTGCTAGGACATGCTAGCCCTTTCTGGAGTCTTACCCCTTTTGACTTTCCATCCACGTCCGCCACCTGCACGTCTCAGTCGTCAATCTTGAGCACCATAATCCTATTGGCAATCTGCACGAGTATAGACGCGCGCCGCACATCTCAGCCCGTCGGTTACTTGGACTATGACGTTTGCAGCCTACGACGTGCGGGGATGCAATGCCTTGCAGTCCGCTCGACTCGACATGCCCCATCCTTCTAGGGAGGTGCACAAGATTTGTTGACCGGAGCAAGCGTCGTTCTGTTCTACAAGCTTCGAGTCTGGGTCGTCGTAGCTCGAGGTAGCCATCCTGGGATAGTCAATCGTCTCGAGCTCTTGCCTCTTACTTTCTAGCTGAAAGAAGTAGCTCGCAGCTCAAGATCCCTTGCTGGAATATCACAGAAATGTGAGGTCGTTGTCTTTAGAACAGTGGATCGTGTTCTATTCAGACCACGAGCTCTCAACCAATGATGTTAGCCTTGTATTGCATTTCTAGCATTTCTACTACTATTGATATGGCAGATCACAATTTTGCTAGTCGCGTTCAGGACGACGAGAAGTAGCATATGAGTACAATATATGTTAATTTAAACTACACAGGATAGTAGTGCTACCAGAGCACAATGCTGCCCTTTCATCGGAGTACGACTTGCTCACTTCACGACTTCAATGTCGTCACTCGAAGCATCTCTACTCCTTCGCTGAGCCTCCTCCCACTCCGTACTCATAACAGTCGTCTTCAAGATCTTCGAGTGACTTCCCGTACTTTCAGTCTCCCACTTTTTGTCGTCACCAAGGCGGTGGTTCATTGCCGTAATCTCCACGTCAATCTCTCCATCTGGACGCCTCGGACCCCCAGGAAGCCCGGATGCAGAGTTCGAATGCGTCGTCTTTTCTTGCGAGAGCATCGGTAGAAACCGCTTGATGCCACCTTCCGTCTGGCTCTTCCTGCTATGCCTTGTCCCTCCTTCGATTTTGGACCCGTTGCTGCTGAGTTGATAAGAGCCGCTTTTGCTGCGCGAGTAGCCCAGCTCGGATGGTGTGCCGCGGCGGCGGAGCTCATCGGAGCCGTACATGCCTGAAGGCAAAGACTCAAGGAGTGGTCTGAGATAAGGAACGCATGATGTGAGGATGGTGATACACTCGATGATCTGGGTGACAACTGTCCACTTCCAGAGGTCTCGAGTTGGATTGGGAGAAGAAAAGCCATATAGGTATGCCATTTGAACAGCGGTTGCAATGATGTCTCTGTAACTTGTCAGATTTCGCCTACGAATGGGAATCTTGGATCAGCATACATTGACCGTGCGCCAAAAAAGGTCAGAATAGTAATCTTCTTGCTCATGCTCATTTGTAGCGTGACAATAACATGCAGGGGGAACAGTATTAGTGCCAGGTCAGTGATCATGTTGATGATGCCCATGCCGCGCCAAAATGAAGTCTTCAAGAGCGAGTCAGCAATGTATCTCAAGCACCTGAAGTACGAAGCGACGTACCAAGTCAAGGCAGTGAACCTCTGGGCCAAAGAAGCGCCATGGCTCGACAGTACCGCACTGGAAAGCAGTAACGAACTCCGATACGATGCCCCATAGCGCGATAAATACTGTCAAGATTATGCCCAGATTGCGATGCAGGTCTGACGCCGTGAGAATCATGAGCAGCGAGATGATAGACAGCTTCGCGAAAGCCAAGGTGGCAATGTAAAGCAACTTGTTTGCATATTCACTCTACATAACAGTCAATCAGCATGAACACCAAGTAAGAATATTGAGCTCAGGGCCGCGAGTATACCTTTTGGTACGCCACGATCTGGTTGTCCGCCAATGATGAGATGTCCCGGCCCAGCCCATTTGCTGTCTGCACGCTGACGGATATGCCAGAGCCGATGCTCACAATCTACAAGTTAGTACCGTCAGTAAAAAGAAACATGAACGTGCCAAGCGGAACACTAGACTTACCAGAGCCGCAATAACAAAAGCATCATCAACATCGATGCTTCTCCTCAGTGCGCGCTTCGTAATCAGCCTAGTAAGAACCGCCAGCGCGGAGGTAATCAAGAGTATCCAAGTAACAACATCGACATATGGCCCAACATTCTCACTGGAACCCGGCTGTCGTGGAATGGGACGGTGGGAAGTACCAAAAACCGCCGTCATTGCATCGTCCGTGTGTGTGAATCACTTCAAAACGTTCAATCGGGCGCAGCAGTCAACAAAGATTCAAACCAAACGAACAACGGCTTTCCAAAATAGAAAAAAGCCGCAATGACCAGTGCAAACAACGGTATGTATGGACACGGGCGTCGGCAGCCAGCTGAAGGCGCATGGCGCGCAGAAATGTAAGGTTCCGCCGGCACAGCTCGACTTGGGGAACATCAATAAGAGCAATGTCCCTATCCGCCCTTGTTTGATGCGGGCAAGACATCCAAACGGCGAGACTGGGCCCAGGCATATCACAGGATGAGGGGAAAGGTTTGGCGATTTCGGAACACGGGACAGCCGTCGTGCGTGGTTGCGCAATGTATGAGAAGGGAGACTACGCGAGTATGCAAGGACGTCCGACCGATGTAGATCCACGGGCGAGATACCGGGTTCGGAAATTCTTGTAATGCAGGCCCGACCAGTCGTAACCTCAGATACGCTGGCAGTGACAGATCCACGACTGAGCTAGCATTGCAGAACTCATTTCACAGTCCTGATGATCTTTACCAGCTGAGACTGATCACCATTTCGCGGTCGCTTGCTAGCCTGACCCAAGGATATGGCAAGATTGGTGGGACCATGTAGCACACCGAGCTTGGCATCGTGTCACAGCAGCAGTCCAGAGAAATTGGAGGACAAGTATCCACTCGCGCCGTGAAACAATTGCCAGCACACATACTAGGCCACGCCCGATTTGAACACGAGTTTATCGGAAAGCCTTCGCGTACAACCGTCAGATGACGGTTTTCACCTACGGGTGGTAGCACAGAGGTCGTTGTAAATCCCGCTAAGGCGGATGTCGCTCAGAACTGTGCCTTCAGGAGGGAACAGCATACATAGCATATCGCGAAGAGATGAAAGATGACATTTTGTGTATTTTGCTACGTTGCTATGATGAAATCCAATCGGCCAGTCCGCGCATCAAGTAACTCTCGGTGGCTTTGTGCCCCATCATCTTCGCGATTAGGGATGCTACGCGGCGTCAGAATAGTCCAATAAAAGTCCATTCTACACGTACAGCTCAATTGACGATATCGACGGGATCTAGAACCGTTATGTCGATGGCGGGAGCAGCCCTTCCAACAACGTCGATAGGATTCACAATCGTTCTGTCAATGGAGGGAGCAGACCTTCCAACAACGTCGATAGGGTTCACAATCGTTCTGTCAATGGCGGGAGCAGACCTTCCAACAACGTCGATAGGGTTCACAATCGTTCTGTCGATGGCGGGAGCAGCTCTGCCGATGAGAACGTCTTTCGGATTCGGAACGCTCGAAAGATCCACGTCAACAATTGGGTGGCCATTTAACGAGACCAGGAGCGTTTCGTCGATGGGTGCTGGATTGCGGATCACAGACTTGATGTCTGGAACTGCTCTAGCAACTTGACGCAGTGGCGTCGGGGCTGCGATAATGTTTGCCGCAAAAGCGAGTAGCGGGAGTAGTGTGAAAGCGGAGCGCATGTTGAACGAGATTGAATTAAGTGCGCTGTATCGATGTCAGTGACCTTTCTGTTCATCATGTCACCGAATAAATACCTTGATGTGGAAGTGCCTAACGAGTGTGTCTTTGAATTCTCTCAAAGTAACTGTCGCCGGCTGATATGATATATGTAGGTCTCTGCGACCTACGACCTCAGGGTAGCATCTTCGGAACAGCCAATTCTCCTAAACGATCATGAGCCCATCGACGTTTCGGAGGTGCATATTGTCACTTGTAGTCAGGTTTATTATCGCCCTCTCCGGAATGAGCGTGACACAGAGTCGGGCCCGGATGACAGGCGTCAGGGGTGCGATAGATTCCAGGTGGCCTTGAAGGCGAATAATTTGACACGATCATGGCGCTGTCATCTGATCATCTAGCGGAAATAGCAATTACTTTTCGTAGTCGGCGATAGATTCTTGATCTGTGTCTGACGAATCCTGGTACTAAGCGGCTATGCGGCCGCCATGACCTGTGGTGTAGCCTTCGCTCGGTTCAGGTTGCATAACCGACGGACGGACGTATTGATTGCTCGAGGAATGTACGGTTGAAATCGTCAGGAAAGGTCGAAAAGTCACCGTAGTAAAACGTCTCATTGGAGCAAAATAATCGTAATAGCTCTCCAAACATGCCTTAGCTATCTGATCAATGTGTGTGCGTATATTAACAATAGTCTAGAAGATCACAACTTGCTCTCTGGTTTCTTTCGGCTCGTATGGGTCTTTATGCCCATGGAACTCGAAGTAAGCTTGCTGAAATGGACGGTAGGGGGATTCTGGAGGACAGAATGCAAAAAGTTCGAGGGTGTTTGTAGCTTCACGGTAATCGTCGAAGTCATAGCAAGCATGTTGGTCAGGACGTCTGGCCCACGCTATGAGCTTGTTCCAGTCTCGACATTGTCGAATTTGACCCTCGCCAACATGATGCGCTACAGGGGCCGGCATGGGCGTGTCATCCGCGGCACACATGATGTCTTGTCGGATGCCATCTAGACAGTGGTAAATGTGGTGGAGATTGAAAGCCTGGTCATTGCCATTATGTTTTGAGACAATGGCTTTTCGGATGAGTTTCTTGAATCAAATGATCAGCCAGAGGGTTCAATGTGTTGAGAAGAGCGCATACCAAGCAGTGTAAATCGTGAATACCCTTTACATAGTAGATACTACGCTCAGTATCCCACGGGAACGGTGTGGAGGGAGGAAGGCCAACGCTATTCGCGTAGTCGTCATGAAGGGAAACCGCCATAGCGTTGGTATCTATAGCGTCCCATGCTGCTTCCATGTCGCTGTCGCTAATGTTTGGATTCCAATATTCCGACATAGCGTGGTAAGGAAGAGGAGTATCGAAAGTGAGACCAGCTAGATTATCATGAGCAATCATCGTGTTTGATAAGGACTTTGACTCACTATACGCCGTCTTCCCAGTATCGCGCGAGATGCGCAGCTTCCCATTGTCCATTACCAACAATACATTCGCCGAGAGCGACAGCAGCATGATTGACAGAAAGACGACAAAACTGCGAGTATTCGTAGGAATAATCTCGGTACTGTTCGCGTTCCATGCGATACCGTCCTTCTCTTCTAATTGTGCTAATGACTCATCCTCATCCTCTCGACATACTGGTTGATACGCTGGAGGCCGTTCCATTTTGTGTGTGAACGCTTTCACATAACAGATGCAGGACGAAGAAGTTCCGTGGCCTTACTAGATGAAGGATTCGCATCTTGTGTAACCAAAGTCCAGCTGTCAACCATTTCAGCCGTTCGCCACAAACTGACCACGACGAAAATAGCCCCAGCAGTGCGCGCCGAGCTCGGGCCAGTGATGAATGTGACGCAACGAACCGTGCCTGCCTCGGTTCAACATCATCGCCGCCGCGCTGGCAGACTTTCCGAGTTCCGCGCAAGCAAGGGAGGTCATGAACAATCGAAGGCAATGATGGTGATACATGTGCGACCGGGCTATTGGGAAGAGGAGGGGTATTGGACATGGTGTGCTGAAGAGTGCTGGGGGTACTTGCTCTGCTCGCCAAGGCGCTAGGCCACCGAATGGTACCTGCCTTATTAGGAGTGTCGACCCAAACACGGCAATCAACAATATCCAATCCTAGATGACAGGTATATCTCCGACTTCGCTATTCATGCGCGAAGGCGGCGAGGTCACAATCTCAACGACTTCTTTACCTGTCCGATGTCGCCATGGGTTCAATCGAGCAACCTCTATCAACCATGAGTGAACGGTATTCGGTGCGAGAGGCGGAGACACGAAAAGAGTTGGATGATATCATGGATGTTATATGGGCAGCGAACTACACCCCTTATGAGCCATTTGTGCAATTGTTCTTCCCTATACTAGGCTTCACGACTGCACATCGAGAAGCTGCTATTGCAGAGTCGAAGGAAAGATTCTGGGTCCAGCATCAGGCCGACGATTCAAGTCACTGGTTCTACGTATTCGATACAGTTACGGGAAAGTCAGTTGGCTGTGCGCAGTGGGTATTCTCTAGATCAAACCCATTCGCTGCAGGCACGCCGAAGTTGACAGCACCGTGGTGGCCGGAAGGTGAATGTCAGAGATTTTGCGAATCCATCTTGAACCAGGTATATAAGCCGCGGGCGAGCTGGATGACGCGGCCTCATTGTGGTACGTCTAGCACAGTGACTCTTCTTCAGACTTGCATCCTGAAAGCACCTTTTCTCCTCACAGTCAGTCTCACATTTTAGAGACGTTTTCCGTCATGTTGTTTATGTTACTCACATCGTGATAGCTCTCAATTGGATGGCGGTACATCCTTCTCATCGTCTCCGCGGCATCGGCTCACTCCTCATGAATGTTGGTATTCTACGCGCCGACGAACTTGACCTAGAATGCTGGTTGGAGGCGTCTTCGATGGGCAAGTCGCTCTACGAACGATTCAAGTTTCAGGCCCTTCTAAAGATTGCCTTCGACAACGAAAGGCCGGACGCAACTGATGAATGGCGCAAGTGTGCGCACGAGATGACTCCGCCGCCGATATTTGCAATGTGGAGACCGAAGCAAGGACGCGGGGGAGGCGATTGGGGCGAAGTGAAATTACCATGGGAACTAGGTTCGGAGAAGTAGGCAATGCTCGGATGTCGAATAGAAGGGCCGTATGTGCGAGGGAAGCCATCGTCCTCGTCGCCCAACCATCTCTCTCGACACCACTTGTCTCTAGCATTACTCTTATATTCACATACATGCCTCAGTCTTGGAATTGAAGTTGTTCGCATGCTCATATACTTGCAGATCGAGGGTCCCTAATTCTACTCAAGATCTTCACATCTGCTCGAATCTATTCTAAACAGTACTTTCAGTATCATTAGAAATGCAGCCCAAATTTGGAAGGAATCTTCGCCTCCACTTCTCACGCAGATTTGCTAACCTCATAGCCATAACTAGTACTAAACCGTATACTGTTTTATTTAACACGCTCCAACCCCAGTTTCGACACATCAAACCCCTAGTCTTCTACCTACAGGTTGTGTGAATGGCTAGATTCGAAACAGAGTAAGCTCGTACACAGGTATTCGATACTATTGAAATATAACAATCTGGAGCTTCTCTTTCTCAGTCGGGTATGGGGACTGGAAGTTGATAATCCAAGTAGATGAGGTCCATGGATCAGACAGAGCGTATACTAAGTACATTGCTGTGTACTTGTATTTGTTGGAAGATCGGAAAACATGTGTCTTCTATGTCGGTCTACTAGAATGCAACGAGTAAGGATCCCATATTGTTAGTCCAGAAACTTGGTCACTGTTTGGTGAACAAAGCACATATCTGCGTAGTTCAAAAACCTAGCGAGAATTGCTACTAGTGTTGACTTCGATGTAACGCCCAAAACGATAGGCGGAGCATGAGTGGACCTGATGGCAGCGTTGAAGGATTAACAAGGAAAGATTCTGAGACATATGAGACAGAAGATGCAAGTGTTGCTGGTCCGTAATCGTAGTGTATAGGCTGAAGCTTATGCTTCAGTTCAATAGAAAGATCGGGGCTCGAATCTACATTCGACACGTTCAACACGTTCAACAGTGATGCCTATATCGATCATAGCCATCCGGCCTTCAACTTCCCAATCGCTTCGCTTTCTGAAACTACATCAGCCATCTTTGCGTTCATGTCAAATATATTCGCGTTATGGACAGCAGGTGATCGATCACCGCAAGCCTCGCCAACAACCTAGGTCATCGGTTAGTAATGTGCGATGAGACTCACGGCATGCCAAGTTGCGTACCATTGGCCGATACCCTAGGCACATTGCATCGAGGGCGCTCGCACGCACGCAACCGCTCGTACTGACACCACATACAACCAGCGTATCAATGCCTCTGAGTTGAAGTCGTGTGTTGAGATCGGTCGCAAAGAATGCGCTCGGGTAGCGCTTGGAGATAACAAGTTCTCCCTCCTTGGGCTCCAAGCCTAGAACCCAGCTTTCCAGCCCTGTTTCGTTGCCCTTTTGGAAGACCTTTAGTAGAGGTGCTTTACAGAAGAATACTCCAGCGTCCGACATGTCTGGCTCAGTATATTCAACCCTCGTCCATATCAATGGCACCTTTCCCTCTCGAGCGGCAGCGATGAGTTTCGCAATTGAGGCAGGCGCAGCCGCAGAGGCAGGGTTCGAGCTGGTGTCCAACGGACTATCTTTACTCCAGTACGCGTTGCAAACATCGATAAGCAGCAGCGCAGGTTTGCTTCCCCATCCCATCTTCCCCGCGAAGCCGGACTCTACATAGCTGGCGTGGTCGCTGTGGTCGGTCAGAGCCATAATGTCGTTGTTCGGAGCTAAAGGCCAGTCGCAGCCAAAAGCGAGGAAACTAGCCTCTATTACATTCTATACGGCGACAGTGTGGACCCAAGGCGACCTACAAGAAGTTGCATAGTGTTGAAAATGCAACGGATAGAAGCTATGCGATAGTCGGAGCAGTCGGGAAGGCCACTACGAATAAGGTAGAGATGTCGGTTCCATGCATCCGTACAAGGCCACCTCCGGACGATCATCTACCGATCATATACCCGAGGTATGGGACATCTATTCGAGGCACCGCCACATAATACCCGTTTTCATGCTGTCGCATGAAGCGTGCAGTAATGCGACGTTTCTTAGAATCCCCAGCCGGTGCGCCAGCCAGGTGACGACATTTGGTGCGCCTATTTCCCCCTGTTCGCGGTCTCATTCACCATTGAGATCGACCCGAGCTTGTCGGTCTGATCGGACTTCCCCACACCGAAAGGCTTCCTAGGTCTCTCCTACCTACCAACTCCAGCTCCTCCTCACCATGGAGGCCAGAGAAGGAAGAGCTGGGAATGCTTTTGCATGCGAAAGATGCCGGAAACACAAAGTACGCTGTGTTCCATCAGGAACTGCTGGTATCTGTCAAAGGTATGTTCTTTACTCGTACAATCACTCCACCCGGGATAACACGTGCTCTAGGTGTCAGAAGGCCCGCGTTGAATGTATTGAACATGTTGCACGCAGAAGGCCAGCCAAATCCAGGAACGATGGCCAGGCACCTAACAGAATGCGCGATCTTGATAAGAAGCTCGACAAACTGTCTACTATTGTCACAACCATGACGCCTTCTTCGCCTCAGTATACCTTGCCCTCGGTAGACACGCTTTCCTTACAAGGTACGGAGCCCTTTCAGCAAACTCCGACAGCATCTGCCCCTCGACCAGCTTCTACACCGCCCGTTACCAAAACTCTCATCCTCCCAGCTCCCGGGCCTACTTCCGAGGGCTTTCTACCTTTCTGGGAGTCTATGAACGACTCTTTGGCGTGCCTTGGGCGACTAGATCCCGTCATTCGATCCATTAGTCTAGTGCACATGCAGATATTGCTTGATATCTACCGGAACATGGTTGACTACTTCCCGTTCGTAGCATTGCCGAAAGACTGCTTCTGCCGAGATCTTTTGGAGCACCGTCCGATGTTAATGTTTGCCGTGCTGACAGTTGCATCCTACGACTCGGTACTCCTACAATTGACCCTGAGCCGCGAATTTCGAAAAGTAGTCATGGTCAAAATAATGAATGGCGAAAAGAATTTGGATCTACTCCAGGGGCTCTTGGTCTTCATAGCTTGGCACCACCATTACATGGACGCTCAGGCTGTTTCTGTTCACATGCTCCTTCAGCTGTGCGTAGGTTTAGCAAGCGATTTAGGCTTAGACCGCATATCGACCACTGCGAGTCCCTTGCAGAAAGACTACCCAAGAGACAGGGAAGCAAAGCGGGCCTATCTGGGATGCTACTACCTGGCAAGCAACATTGCCTTGATGGAACAAGGCAGAGCACGGTTTATGTCCTATTCAAGCACACTTCGGAGCTATGCATCAGAGCTAGCATTGACTTGGGAGCATAATACAGACGCTGTTATTCCTATTTTACTTAACGTTTGTCAATTCATGGAGGACGTTGAGGAAACCTTTCGCAATCAAACCGAACAGGCCCTAGTCGCTCGCTCTCAAGTCAAACGACTGAGCGACAAATGGGAAAGCATCAGAATTACTTCTAAGCTTCAGGCGAACGATTTCAGTAAGGGTTAACGACCTTGGGGAGAGGTCCTGCTGACGTTGATATAGGGACGCTACAGTGGATCCAATTTGCAGCGAGAGTATATCTTTACAAGACGACTACCTCCATTGAGCTTGCAGACCGAGAAAGCACGCCGTGGGCTTCTGGCTTTCAACTTTCACTGCGGGTAACGTACCTTCGCTCGATTGAACAGTTTCTTGATAGTAGCACGAAGCTCCCTTCATGCCAGTACGAGTTTTTGTCCTTGGTCGACTGGCTCAACCTGGTCGTGATAACTACTAATCTCAGCAAAATGGCACTATATACCTCCCCAATGCCAGGATGGGACCCAACTGAACTGCAGATTGCCAGGTCGTTTGACTACTTTCGTGATCAGCTCTCATCGCAGATGCCTCACCCACGCGACACCCAAGAGAGCAGTGAGGACATTTTTGAGCGTTTTCGCCGCATTACAGCAGTCATGAAGACAGCACTACGGAATACGCCCAGTCGAGGAAGCCCTATCTGTAGCTCCTTCGAGCTTGCGAGGGGTTCGGGACGAACAGTGTCATTGTTGCAAGACCTACCGTTACCCAGACCTAATTGCTTAGCCAATAGAGCGGATAAACTTCCGAGTATGTGGATGCTCAGTCCTTCGTTCGATATGAGCAGCAACGAGTTTCACTGGCGATTTTTGATGGGCACTGTTTAAGGAAGCCAGTAGCAGAGCTTAGATCCTCGTCATGTTCGAGGCCACGAACGTTGAGTTGCCTCCTGCATCGAGCCCCAGTACTATGAAGGATGGTTCATACACTTCCACTGGTGCAGCGACACTTACAGTATCCTTCGATCTCACTTTGAGGTGGCGCGTCTGGAGCAGACCACTGGGTATGATTGCAATTTAATCCTTAAGGTATTGTGCTTAAATCTCATATTTGGCTAACTGTAAACTGACCAGAGTAGGAAGCATAAGGCGAGTTTGCACGATAAGTATATCTGCCGAAGCTAAGGCACGCACAAGGCGCATTCGAGGCAGACTGCGCGAATACAAAGAGCCTACATCATCATCTTCGGGTACCCGATAAAGTGTCTTGACAAGCATGATAAACTTATTTGGCTGCAGTTAAATATATCCCTATTTTCGCAATTGTCATTCCCGTTCAACGACCTTGACATATTTCGCTACATTTTCCCTACTCGAGCAATCTGTAAGGCCTATCATGACCCGTATTTACTTCCATTCCGTCTATCTCCACATTCCAACACGAGTTACAGTTCCCCGCGTCAAGGTCTTTACTAGCCGCATGATATGTAAGCCATAAGCGCACAGGTCCTATCACACGACCGTAGCGATTTTACACAGCCTCGTACAGCACTGCTATAAATGTTTGAAGTGCAAAGAAACAAGATGCCCTGAGTATCTCGAAAGTAATCTCGAGAGCAGACACAAAGCAAACACGTCACCGATCGCCACGTCAGCAGTAAGCTCACACTCAAACTTGACGAACCAAGACTCACCACTTCGACAGAGTCGCATCACGCCCATAGCCTTGTCAGCTTAAACGTTGAAGACATTACAGCTACGGACTATTTATACAAGAACTTCCAATCACCACTAGGACCCACACCACCGTCACCAACTATGGGTTGCATGTCAAGCAAGCCCTCCGACTCGGAAGCAACGGACGTGAAGATGGCTTACGTCCCGGGCAATACGGCTGGAGGAAGCAGCGGCGCATATCATAGCGGGGGTCATAATACGTATGGTGGTGATGGTGGAGGTGGAGGTGGAGGAGATGCTGGCGGTGGCGGCGGTGGCAGTTGTTGATAGCCGTCAACAGGAACGAGAATCGTATTCTCCGGCACCTTGGGCAAATTTTCACACATGCCTTTCGATGGCTCGAGTAATGTTACACTGAGGATTTCCCTGTAATGCAACCTTTTGGTGTGTGTCCCTAATTGTGTTGTGCATTCTTTTGACTTGTTTGAGCTCCAAACCTTGCAACCTAAGGTAACTTCGTTCGGGAATATTCCTATCCCTATTCCATTTCTTATCATCCTTCTTCACCAGCGAATGTAGATGTAGAGGGCGTGGGTGCTGTGTCTAGTATGATTAGCGGGATCTGCTTTGCACTGCCACCGCCCGTATCAGCATCTAGCACTACGCCGTTCGCACAATAGCATAGCATATGAAAAGGAAACAACGCACTACATCCTACAATCAACATAAAACCCCAAGTCTAGTTCGAGCTTCACTCTCTGGCAAGCAAAACAAAAAACGACAAGCGCTATTTATTTAGCTCTTTCATAGTGCTATCTAACATAACAAAAACCATCAAATAAATAATTATTGTCTGTGGATTTCAACGCAACTACGACAATGACATACACCTTCTGCTCAGTTCCCATTCAAGACAACATGGGGTCATGCTTCTCTAAGACCCGCGGTAGCGGTGCAGATGGGGGAGGAGACGGGGGAGGAGACGGGGGAGGAGACGGAGGTGGAGATGGAGGTGGTGGGGGCTAGCACAATGGGCTGTCTAGAGGGTTTGAGAGAGCTTTGAAGATGAAGACGGTTTGTCTCTCAGTCCACGTGAACTGCTAGTATCACCCCACGATTCCAATCCTTTGTGTACACATCAGCGTCCACTTCATCGACACGGCGAAGCGTGCGTCCTTCACATGTGGCAGCAGTCGGATCTAGATAGGTAGAATTTATTGAATTCTTTCTAAACCACCGACACCTCTAACATTCTCCTCCTTTCTACAACTCCAAGACACCCTATACACGTAAAACAGATCTTCGAAGAAAAATCTCATCCCGCCCCAATTACTTATCTATAGCATGGGCTGTGCACCAAGCAAACCGATCCCACCGCCCAAATCTGCCAGGCCTCCCAGTCCAGCACCGCGCAACACGGGGGGCTATAACAGCGGTAGTGGGACATTATATAGGGAGCCGCGTTTCAACGGCGCTTCCGACGCACGTTCAAGCGGGCATTCAGCGTACTATGCTAATACAGATAGCCGCGACTCTGGATGCAAGGAGAGCGAAGGAGGTGGAGGTGGGGGAGGGGGAGAGACAGTGATGTCAAACGAGGTATGAGTGAGAGACCCGAAGGCAAGAAATTGCTTGAGCATCTGCTCCCATCTCTTTTCGTTTATCGAGATATTCTGTTCTTATTAGTCAATAACAAGCTTCAAAGTTGTGTGATTAACGCGGAACCGTGATGCTTCAAGAATTGCTGTGGACGTCGTTGCGGGGATGTGTGAAGTTAAGCAACACATATCGTGCGGTTCACAGCGGGAGGGAAAATGTAAGGGGCGGTGACGACGATTCGAAAATGTCGAGTAGAGAACGAAGAATAGAGACGGCGGATGTAATGTGGTTGAAGGTTGCACAGGTCGAGAGGGCTGAGCTATGGCTACTGGAATGTGTATGGTTTTTGATTTTATTTGAGATTCGCACCGGGTATCATTGCGTTATCGCTACCCTAGCAGCGTCCTTTTCTGTCTTCCTCCGACTCAAGGGCCGGTGCCCTTCCTTGGTCTTTTCCAGTTTCCTTTTGGAGCTGCTTTGCTTCGAGCGGCGACTCTGACATGGAAGTCTATAGCCCTTGCGGCTCCGTCCTGCTCGAATAAAATTCGTGTGCTGTTTTGCTCATCATGTGGCCTTCATTACTCCTTAGTTCATCTAATCATACGGAACGGATGTCCCTCTGTACTAAACACCCAAGAATCCAAACTCGCAACGTCGACATCCGTAAAAGTCAACCAGAGATATTTCAGCGTCTCCGCAGCCCAGTAGCTCTCTTGCATGTCGACCCACTTACTATTGCCCGTATCGTAAACATCGCCCAGCTGTGCATACCCAAACGGCGCCTTACAATGCTTTTCCATGGCAGCAAATGCTTCCCATGCCCATTCGCGGTACCTCTGCTCGCCGGTGATACGCCAGGCATAGAACAGGGATTCGACATACTCCGGCCGGCCTTTGTACTGTGATTCTGTGCTCCAGAACCCGGACTCGAGGGCTTCTTTTCGCTGACGCTCGTTCTCTGGGAGGAACAAGGGGTCGTCGTAGCCGAATTTGGGGACCCAGGACCATGTCTCAGGGCCAATCTTGGTGGGCGTGGATGTGTACGTATGACGACAGCCGTCGAGGAGGGCAAGCGCGAAAGAGCGAAGTTGGGACTGGTCGTAAAACTTCGATGCGAGGAGGATGGTGCCTGGTGCAAAGCAAGCGAGATGTCCCATCTGATTCTTATATTGCTTGTCATCTTGCCGGCCGATGAAAAGGTGTTGCATAAGGTGTTTGGGCGCGGGTGCAGAGCGGGAGCTGAGGTGTTTTCGAAGAGAGGCTGCAGCTAGTAGGAAGCGTTTTTTGTATACTTCGAGGTGAGGATCTGATGGTGGGGCTAGTAGAGTTATTTTGAGCAAGTATTCGTAGTATGAGTCGTGGCCACCATCCCATTGTCGCGAGCGACCGACGGGGGCGCCGGTCATGATATCAATGGGTGCGTCGACCATTCCTGCCCATGGTGTTGCCCATTTGGACCATACGAGAGGTGCCCAAGCCAATGTCGAGTTTCGTGCATAGACATCGTTACCAGTCAGTCTGGTCAGAACGCGATTCTCGAGAATAGAGGAGCCTGTCCTTGCAGGACCTATGACGGGATGATCGTATTCTCGCTTGTCGGGGTCGTTATGGAAATCGAAAGAAGGATCCGGTTCTCCCTGCTCGGTCTCAAAATCTATACGCGGCCAGGGCATTCCTGTGGGAGTATCGTAGGCAGGGGCAAGCTTCTCTGCTAGAGTGATGGCATGCTCGAGTATGAGATCGCGGGCCTCCTCATGTAGTACATGCTCCGGTATAAGCCCAACATCGTACAGCTCCACAATCGACAGCAAACCGCCCATATAGCGTATTGTGGTCTCGAAGGGATCCACGAGGTCTTGCACTTCGGCAAAGTCGATTGCTAGAATATGCTCGATCGAATGCGCTAGCTCGTCCCATAGTCCCATGAGGGCCAGTGTGCTCGCGGAGTCGACGATGAAAGCTCCCCAGCCATTTCTAGATGACGAGTTCCCTCCAGATACCGGCAGAATATCATCGCAGCCCCAGGCATTCTCTCTGTACTTCAAAAAGGTATACCTCATCGCATCCCGCACGCTTTTGGCCCTCGTCTCTTGCGCTTTGCCTGTGCCATTCCATTGTGTGTGCTGTATCTGCGACCCAAAGGTAGAGGCCTCTCGTATTCGGACTGTGGGGTGCTGAAACTCTTTGATGATCAGGTAGAGTGTGATAACGAGGACAGCAGCTAGGAGCTTGAAGGATGATTCGGGGTTTCGCTCGAATTTGGACTTGCTCCAGCGGCGGAAGCCGGGCATATTGGGAGGCTGGTGTAGTCCAGATATGCAGAGTGTGGCCTCAAGATGTAGGTGGTAATAGCGGGTACATCTGTTCACTGTGCGGAGGTGTGCGGAGGTGTGCGGCGATCGAAGCGGAGGTTTCTAGGTTACCATGTCATGGCTTGTGGCTTGTGGGCGTTAGTGGAGCCTGCAGATACGATGGAAGCTACATCAACTGCATCTGAGGTTTTCTGAAGGCGTAAGGCTAATTTGGTGCGTGTTAGACGTTGGCGAGCTCCAAGTCCGAGAGCGTCCATCGACGCTGTTCTTGGCGGCTTTAATCCTCCGCATCGCCACCCGCAGCTCCCAAACCGCCGCCATTGAACCTCCAACTATCCTTAAAATGGCCGTGTGGCAGTACGTATGTCCTCAATGTACTCCGAATCGCTCAACTAACCCCTTCGCAGGTGGTTCAAAGCCATCCCACCGAGAACTCGGGTCATGATTGGGGTTGGCATCATGGCCTACGCAGGCGCCGGCCTTTACCTATCTGACAAAGCCGAGGAAAGATTCGGACTCACACCAACCGAGAAGGATAGGGAGGAACTACGAAACGCCATGCCAACGATCGCTGCCGTCGAGCGAGGGAAGAAATGAATAAGTGCGACGACTTGCACAAAGGCATACGCGAAGCCAACACAACTCACGTCGAATGCCCTCAAACGCATGATCAATCTACGAAGCTCGACGCGAGAAACGATTCTAGTTTCCAAAAAGCCAGCTATAATGGTGCTACGAAAGACGATTAGCCGCAGTGTGCTAGATGAGACGGAGATGTCCTATGATGACTACATAATTTGACACACGAGGCGAATCTAACACCCTATGGACAGCCAATCCACTAAAGGAAGACGCCAACTCATACTTTTGGGTCGATTGGTTGTGCACATGTTCGAAGTGGAGTAAAAGCTGTTTTCGACATGTATTAAGATAGCACTATGTACGAACGCGACTCTTGAACTACATTCTCTGCTTCTATTCAAATCCTGTCCTCGTTGCGTAATTCTTGCGTCGCCTAGGGGTTACCAGTAAACTAATGGGCTATGAGCAGCCATACTCTATAAGGGGGACTCCACTGCCAGCTCATCCTAATTACATGTATCTTAGCAATTCGAGACTTGACTTTACTAATATAAAGTTACAGTACGCTCAATTGAGGTGATATAGTGTATAACCTATGATTTCTCCTACTGCGTTGTATGGTCCGCTCTAGCGTTGGCTTTACTTTCTGTCAAAGCAATAGTGTATAGCCTAAGAAGCAATTATCCTCGTATAAGCAAGGACTCCCTTACAAGGAGGTGTACACAATTAGCATACAGTTTTACCTCCTGACTCTATTGAAAACTGAGGCACAATAACCGCCTGAGGCAAAACGGTCAATGTCCAAAACAACCAAAAGAACAACATACTCCGACTCCTGCCATTTGAGCCAACTGAAAAGGTGAATAGAATAACGAGTGTTAGACAAAGAACGACTTATGCGGAAGGGAGTAAATCGTAGACCCCAAAGTGATGTTTCCAGCACTGAAGATACGAGGGCAGCAAGCAACCGCCTCCTCTTTTTCGCCCAAAGCTTGAAGTCCCATCCCGAATCTCCGTATCGAGAATCCTCGTTCAATGGAAGCGGAGCTTGGTACGATATTGTTCCGCCGTGCAATCCCGCTATAAAATAGTGGTGTAGATCTTTCTCTGTCATAGTGAGGAAGTCTTTGATATCTTCCGTCCGGGAGTTTGACTTCGCAAGCTGGGTTTGCATGGCGTGTGCTAGTTCTAGAACAGTTTTGTACTCCCCAGCAACGTCGTTTCGTTCCCGTCGGTTCATGATAATATGAGACCGAAGCCTTGAAGTGAAGATACCAAAAGCGCTTATAAGCAAGAACATCATCATGAGGTTAAGTAAACGGTGCTTCATGGTTCCTCGCATCTGTCCACTCAGATCTATTGAAATAGATATCTGGTAAGTAGAAAGCTGATATATTGAGAGCTAATACTGGAAGGTCATTTCCCATAAAAGATGAGGATTTGTTCTCCAGGCCATACAAGCCGTGCCTTCCTACATCTTCGTGTGAAATGGATTAGTAACGTGTCATACAACATCCTCAATGCACAGTTTACAATCTAAACCGTTCATTGGTATGTAAAATATTTTTCGATAACCTGAACTACCTCTTTCATAGTGACAGTAATAAGGTCCATATTCATCAGTGACCCTCTACGATCCACCTCGAGCCGGCTAGTGAAGAGAGACTCCGTCCATGGAGCTCATTTGGCTGATTCCTTCAAAGACCATGGTTTTCGCATCGTTGGGTACTCTAAGAGGAGGCCTGTACAAGCAGGCTATTTATACGTATTAGCCTGATCAAACACGTAGTGATACTAAATGTTCCTAGGAAAGACGCTGATGGAGTTATCCGACAAGGATAATTATGGTTACTAATGTCCAATTGGGTATATACTTAACGAATCGTGACGTTAATCGGCTTGCGCATATGGTGGCTGCCTACAACTTATCCTGAACACTGAGGGCTTTCCTAGCCAATCTTACACTACTCTAACATGGCGCATACAGATATTCATAACCATTTTCGATGTCCTGCCGTGTCTGGTCACATCATCCACATCATCTTCAACCTTTTCTTGGTGGCATGTTCACCACCACCTTGCGCCAAAAATCTTGGGCGCAACCTTCTCCTTCTTCTCCTCGGCTATCAAGTCGATCCGCTGATGCCCCTTGACATCGACGGCCAAAGTTTCATACTCGTAATCGTTCTGGCTCGGCCTCTTCACTAGATGCACATGCACAACGCCCTGGCCTAGAGGGCCTTCGACAAAAAATCGGAATCTCAGATGCTCGGTACCCCAATTGTCTGTCTCAGTTGTGCTACTGATGTAGCGATTTCGAGCCCAGCGCGACCAGGACGATTCGCCGTGGGCAGAAATTTCAGAGCCGGGACCGAGGAGCTTTTGACATCTAGAGTCGGAGCGAATGAGGGTGGTGGCGCGGTTGAAGTGGGCGGTTTTGGAGGAGGGGGAAAAGACGTCGGAGAAGAGAAAGTAGCCTACGCCTCCCTATAGACAGGTTAGTATAACAAATTCTTGTTTTAGTAGAAAGTAAAGGGTAGGGCATACAGTTGCTAAGATCCCCACCAGCACCACTACCAGATTGAAGCTTTGCTGCGTCGTCCGCACTGCCTTCTCCCCTGGCGAAAGATCAGACCATCGCACCTGCCCAGTGTCCCCCGTCAACGTGATGGATTTTCGTTGTGGAGCCGGGGTTGGGCTGCTCGTGGAGCTGTGTGTAGCTTGTGCATGTCGAGTGGTGGAGAAGGCTATGCGACCGATGGGTGCTCTTCGACTCGAGCAGGGCTGAATGCGGGGGAGCAAGAAGGAGGGCCGGAGGTGGGAAATAGCTTCGGTGGGTTTATATATCGCTGCCATTGTGAATGTTGCTACACGTGAATAGCAATGCTGAAGCTTGCGCCGAGTCTGAAGGTGGAGGTCGCACGAGTGACGGCAGCGCTGCATACGGCCAAGACCGAGGCTGCGCGCGAGCCGCATCTGTGGCGGGCCGACCTCGTCCTAAACTTTGGATGGACAACGCATGGCATATGGACGTTTACGCCTCAGCTTTCTCCCGATTTTTCCAATCCTTACGCGCCTTCCGAGTCTTTGACCCACAAGGACTCGAAAAGGCAGAATGAGCTCCAACAAGAAAAGCAGCCTCACGGGCTACCTGCCCGACATCCTCATGGCTGCAGCAGCAGTACGTTCGCACCTTTCCTTCACCATCCGCCATCTACCTCCTTCTCCCCCTCTCAAACTCCCCCTACGCCCTTTTAAAACACCAAATTGACCACTCAATCAGCCCTTGATAGCCTACTTCGTAATCCGCAACCTGCTCTCGCGCCTTGACCCCGAAGCCCAACAGAAGGAAGAAGCACGCGCCAAAGCCTCGGCCGCGAATCGCAAACTCGACGCTATACTTACGAGCAAAAGGAGAAAGAGCTATGGCGAGTACGACAGTGAGGACGAAGAAACGGAGAGGGGGAGTAGGAGGCCGAGGATACAGGACTTGAACTTGAGCACGTACGAGCAGACAATCGCTATGGAGGTTGTTGCGCCCGAGGAAATTCCTGTCAGCTTTGACGGTACGTTATCTACTTCGTCGAGTCTCAAGTAAGAGTCATGGACCGATACTGACAACCCCCAGATATCGGTGGCCTCGACTCGATCATCGAAGAACTCAAAGAATCCGTAATCTACCCCCTCACAATGCCGCATCTCTACTCGCACTCCTCCTCGCTTCTCAGCGCACCCTCTGGCGTTCTCCTCTACGGCCCTCCTGGTTGCGGAAAGACGATGCTCGCAAAAGCGCTTGCGCACGAGTCTGGCGCATGCTTCATCAATCTCCACATCTCCACGCTCACTGAGAAATGGTACGGCGACAGCAACAAGCTCGTCAACGCGGTGTTCAGTCTGGCGAGAAAATTACAGCCGAGTATCGTCTTTATCGATGAGATTGATGCAGTACTTGGACAGAGGAGAAGTGGCGAGCACGAGGCCAGCGGAATGGTGAAGGCTGAGTACGTTCCCTCTCGTAATTTATACTCCTAACGAGCACATTGGGCTAATTGGAGCTTAGGTTCATGACACACTGGGATGGCCTCGCGTCCTCCACATCCTCTGGTAGCTCAACTCCCCAACGGATATGCATTCTTGGCGCCACGAACCGCATCCAGGATATCGACGAGGCGATCCTCCGGCGCATGCCCAAGAAATTCCCCGTCGCCCTCCCCAACGCCTCTCAACGAAACAACATCTTCTCCCTGATTCTGCGCGGCACCAAAGTCGATAGCAAGAACTTCGATTTGGACTACTTGGTCAGGGTCAGCGCAGGAATGTCAGGCTCAGATATCAAAGAGGCGTGCAGGGACGCAGCCATGGGCCCAGTGCGAGAATACATTAGGAGAAAGAAGGCAGATGGCACGCTGAGGAGCAGTAGAGGCGTTGCGCAGGGCGATGTTCGCGGACTACGAACCGAGGATTTCTTTGGGAGAGGCAAGGGCTTGAGGGAGCTGGACACGGTTGATGACACACGCGAGGACATGAACGCACGAGTACGGAACAGAGTACATACTACATCCGAGTCTGAAGGCGCAAGTAGCAGCGACAGTACCGCCAGCGGTGAGGAACGCTTCCGCGACTCAGCCTACCAGGATGCTGCTGAAGGTGCGGCGGTAAGATAGCAGGACACCGACGCCCGATGACGACCAAGATGGATGAGCAGGCGGTAATCCCCATCTGGATGGCGATACTTACTTGTATTTGTTCGAAGAAAGACGTATGAAAGCTGCATTTTGGGTATATATGGGTGGCGTAACGCAAGTAGGACTCACCTCAACAACGGCGTATGGTTTTAAACTACGGGCAGCTAGACGCTAAGAAAGAGGTTGATGATACCAAGCAGAGACGAAATCAAATCATTGCTTCTCTGTTCCATCCTGGTTTGGACATCGCGACCGACTGTGTGATGAACATGTTAATTTCATTTTTGTCATTTCTCTAAATGCTACGTATAGTAGTGCCCCAGAAGCCCCCCCAAACAAGTCATTGAATCACCCATGATGCTTCAGAAGACGGGACGCTCTACCCCAATCCTTTTTCCAAAGATAAGATACTTCATTAATCTCCCGTGACATCTACTCCTCGTCCTCGTCGTCTTCTTCTTCCTCTTCATCATCATCCTCATCGTCCTCTTCTTCCTCGTCTTCTTCCGCATCAGCCACGACTTCTTCTTCGGCGTCCTCGGCTTCCGCCTCATCCTCCTGAATAAGCAGATCCTCAACAGTGCCACCTTCCTTTTCCAACCGCAGATATTCCTCCCACTCCGGGAACATGTCGTCGTCGCCTTCGCCGTCATGCGGCGGTACACCGAGAAGCCTCGCTACTTTGACCTTGTTCTCCTTCTCTAGGCTGGCCTTCCATTCTCCGACAAGACCGGCTGTGGCGCTCGGCTTATATGTCTGACTGAATAGAACAGCCTCTGAAAGCCGGTTGGTCTTGACAAGAAGGTCAATACAAGCCTGTACATCGCCGACTTGCCAGAGTGCAGAAAAGGCCACGTTGTTTGCCGTGGCTGTCTCGGCTAGGGAGGCCAAATCACGGAGACCGCTGGCGTCCGACGTTGCTGAATAGAGCAGGAGGAGAGATCCAAGGTCTTTGGCTTTTACAAAGCACTCCTGCGCCAGTTTCACGTCCCACCCAGCAAGCGCCGCGTCACCAACCGTCTTCCATTTGTGCTCCGTATCCTGCTCCCTCGCAATCTCAACAGCTTGTTGTAGATCACCTAGAGAGAGAGCGAGATCAAAGCGATGCTCAGCGTCAGTGGCCACCTTGAGCGCCATCTCCTTGTAGCCTTGACCCTCGAGAAAGCGGGCAATCTTGTTGTTCTGGTCTTTTGGCACTGAGGGCAGTGTCTCTTCAGCGGCTTCGAGGTCGCCTCGCAGAATGAGAGTCTGATACTCGACTACGGCCAGGGAGAGAGCGAAAGAAACGACGTTGACATCCTTGTCTGCAATGTAAATCCGGGAGTCGCGGGGGAGGTATCCGAGAAGGTAGTGCGGTGAGTCAAAATGCGAGATGGTGTACGTCTGGTCTCCGACAAGGTAGTTCAGGCGGTTCGTGCTGTTGGTGTAAATGAAGCAGTCTCCCACCCATGTGCCAGTACGGACGCTGTAATACGATTAGCCTCCTATACACCCATTCCCTTGGTTAGCAACTCACCTCTCGTTGATGTCGCAAATAACCTCGAATGCAGATTCAGCGCCATCCTCGTCCACTTCGCCATTCTGCACTGCCTCCAGATAATTCTCTCTCGAGTATCTCAGGACGTAAAATGTGTCTTCTGTAGCAAGGGTAACAAGCTCGCCACTCTCTGACCAGTAGACGCTCTTTGGGTCGACCTCTATCCTTCGGACCAAGGCGCCAGAATCCCAGTCGAACAGACCGATGCCACCCTGGCCCTTCACACCAAGCAAGACACCGCCGCTTAGGCCTTCAGCGGAGAAGCCAACGTTCAGTACACTTCGCTCCTTGAAGTTGCGGAAAATCTTGACACTGGTTGCCGATTCCCGAATAGCGTAATCCTTATCGTGTTCTTTCGATGCCCAGCAGAAGTCCAAAGCGGAACCAAAAGCCTGGTTACGGAGTGCAAGTGCCGTGTAGATGATGTATTCGCCATCGCCAGAAACAGCGACAAATCGCCCGTTTGGAGAGTGGAGCAACGACTGAGGGTAGATTTCGGTGGAGCCCAGATCCTTGCTAGGAAGGGTGAGCCGTTCGGCATCTTTTAGTTGATCGCTGCCCTTGATGACAGCAGTGAGAATATCGTTATGTCTTGCCCAAAGTAGCTTGCCGCCGGAATCCATACTAACAGCTGGCTCTTCACGGCCCATAGTGATGACAACAGCGCCATCATCGAAGCCAAGCGCCACACCGTTCTTGCCCTTCTGATACGCTACACACCAAGCACGTTCCAGACCGTAGTTCAGAGACTGTTCTAGGCGGTAGGTCGAGGAGTGCCAGATTTTGATGGTGCCATCTTCAGATCCGGAGATGATGACGGGAAGTTCGGGGTGATATACAGCGAAGCTGACATTGGACGTGTGGCCCTCGAGTGTCGCAATTAGAGCCTTGGTGGTGTAGTCCCAAACCTTGACTGTCCGGTCATCGGACGTGGTAAGGAGGTATGGCTTGTCGGATTGCGGGTAGTAATCGATAAAGTTCACACCCTTGGTCTCATGCGCCTCGAGGGTGAAATTTGGCGTTGAGCTGCCGAGTGACCAAATCTTGACCGTCCTGTCGAGACATGCGGACGCGAATGTGTTCGGATCTTTGGGGTTTATGGCGATGCCCATAACGTAGTGCTGATGGCCCGCGAACTCTTGTACGCCTGAGAGCGGTCAGTACAAGTCGAATTGACAGGTGGCGGTTCTACATACACTTCCATGATTTCTCCCAGTCCCACAACTTTATTGTCATGTCATCCTGGAGCTGCGTCAGCCAAGTCTCATGCCCATACTCCATTATTACCTACACTGGCGGTCAAGACGAAGGGTTGGGTCGGGTGCACGGCGATGGCACGGATATAGTCTGGATGTGCCTCGAACGATGTGACCTTCTCCGAAGTATTGTAGTTGTATACGCGCAATTGGAAGTCATCGGAGCCTGTCAAGTATGGTCAATCTCTGGTTGCGAATGTAGAGCTGTCGAGTCCCACCTGCGACTATCCAATTCTTCCTCGCAATGAAGCGACCTGCTCGGACAGGTACATCGGTAAGCTCAAACGTCTTAACGATCGACTGCGTTATGTACGACCAGACGTGGACATGTCCTGCCTTGGTCAGCCCTTGCCCAATATTCATGTGGCCCGACTACGCATACCGCTGTATAGAGTGGTGAGGATCCATGGCTCGGTCGGGTGAAAATCTTGGTGCGTTTTTAGCGGTGCAGATGTTGCGTAGAGGTACGATGCCTACCGATGCCTACAACATGTTAGCATAGAGTCCTCTCCACAGCGAAATCTAAGTCGGGAAGAGCTTACCCTTAACTCGCTCTGACCGCGCGAAAAGCTGTCTCTATTTTTTACAAAACGGTTAGCCGCCATCCTGGATAGGGCATGCGTGCAATTGCGCATTGTGCCTACCTTGACGTCTAGACGCATCTTGGCTGTTGGGCGTGTGTGTTGCTGAGGCCAAACCCCACGGCTGTGAATTGAGAGACGTGGCTCTTCTGGCCAGTCCACAAGCTCGCAGGCACAAGGCAAAGAGCTTTCGGAAGCGTGTACGGGTGCGAATGCGCAGGACGAGGGAGTGGAAAGAGAGTAGTGAGGACAGACCGCTGAGACTGTCCACTACCACACCTTCCCGCAAGGTGTTCGATGTTCGGAGTGCCGCCAAGACGTCCACAGGGTTCACGCCGCTCTTGCCCAACGTGGCAGGAACCACAAAGAGGTGTGGATTGCAGACGAAATGCGCAACATTACCGCCTCTGCTAGCTGCACACTGGTTGTGGATCCAGTCCACCCTGCCTTCATCATTATAGTTCCGGCTTCCTAGTATAACACAGGGAAGATGATATTTTTTTTGAATGCCGAATCAGAAGTGTAACCTCCTCTCCCATTACTCCAACTACGAGATGGGAGAAACGCCAACCAAGAGCGAAACTTCACAAAATACTGTGGGCAGGCAAGGTACGACAGACAGTCAAATCGAGCATGGTCAACTTTTCTCAATTCCGCACCTACAACTATATACTCGCATAAGCCTCCCCACAAGTGCCATCTGCACCCACACGGCCGTCACACCTCCGCTCCTGCGCGTGATAAATACTGTGATCGAGCTCCAAACCATTCCACCCATGGCAATCAATGGCCAATCGTCAAATCAACAAGAGAAAAACGGTCCAGCTTGTAACCTCAAGCGTGGGCTGGTATCTAAGAAGCAAAATACAAAGAAATTTGAATATGTTAAAGTATAGTATAGGGGTTATGATCAAGTTCAATGAGTGTCCGAACGGTAGTAACGAAATAGGAGAGCTGCTTTGCGGCTACATGCAGATACAATGCCTGCATGACTTCGATGCGGTAATTCGTCGTCGAGAAGGCGCCGTACAATAGATACATCGAAAAGGCATGAAGAGAACGCCACTGATCGGTGAGCCCCGAGCGTCCCAAATATGGTACAGCCACACAGACTCGCGTGTGGGGGTAGAGGACGGGCACGCGCGCTCAGTTCCAGCCGAGAGAGTTCTCTGCCATGACGGGTGCCGAGATTTGCTGTGTTCGGACGCTGCGCCCTTGGCTACTGCTACTCCCCCGGCTGCCTTGACTGGCAGGCGTCATTCTACCGTTGCGGGCACCGTGCATCCAAGCAGCAGCGCCGCCTGGAATCGAGCCATACGTCATGCGGCTTGTGCTGGGGACCGAGCTGGCGCGTTGATGAGCCGCACGCTTGTTCCTGTACCTACGAGCAACGAAGAACATGGCAGCACCGTAGGCGATAGCTCCGACGATGGCACTGCTAGCGACAATGGCACTGGTAGAGTTCACCTTGCGGCTGGCACCAATGTCACCACCGAGAGCGCCGCCATCACCGGCACCACCAGTAGACGTAGCAGCAGGGTCGGCGGCTGGGTTTGGAGAGCTATTGTCACCTGGTAGTTTGCCGGCGGGAAGAGGGCAAGCCGTGTTGATCAGGTTCGTAAGGTCGTTGACCGTAGAGTTCTTGTTGTGCCAGAACGGATCAACAGGGTTACGAAGCTGAGCAGCAAGTGTGGTTTGCAAGTCCTTGGGGATGGTGAACAGAGCCAAGGTAGTGATGAAGCCCTGGTATTGCGTAGTGTCAAGAGGCTTCAATCCGAAGTTCTTGACCTCGGCGACCGAAATGTTGAGTCCGTCGGCAATAGCAATAGGCAGGTAGTGGAAGATCTGGTTTCCACCGTCATTGGCAGACACGAATGGGTAGTTTAGCTTCCACTTGAAGCAGACCTGACCCATGAAGCTGTCTTGGGAAACAACACCCGGAGCTCCTCCAGGAGGAGCAATCATCTTTGGCAATGATGCGGGAATGCCACTGGATGTGGGGCTTGGCGATGCGATCGAGGTCGGCTCCTGGATGATACTGGTTCCGACAATGAACGTTGTCGCGCTATCAGTTCCCGTTGGCGCCAGAGATACTACAGCAGAAGGCTTGTTCGTTGCCACTGGGATCGTGGGGATAGGGATCGTGGCCGACTCGCTCTTGCTTGGGATGACTGATGGTGTGGGCGCAACGGATAGCGTCGACCCGACCGAGGGGGTAGGAGCATCGCTAATCGTCGCGTTTCCAGAACTGGGAGGAGTGTTTGTGGCGCTGCTAGGTAGCCCAGATGAAATGGTCGAAGGGGATTCAGACGTTGGGATGACGACAGACTGGCTTGTCGAGGGAGTTGGACGAGGCGCGGCGGACGTCCCTAGAGAGCCTGAGGATGGCAGAATGCCACCACTTGGCGACGCTGTAGCACTAGGTGTGATGCTCGAAATCGGAGTGATGCTGATGCTGCGTGTCTCTGAGGGCGTAGGCAAAACTTCAGAAGTTGGCACCACCGAGGACGATGGTACTAGTCCGGTAGACGGGAAAGCTCCGGATGACGGTACAACACCGGAAGACGGAAGAACTCCAGATGACGGCAGAACACCAGAAGATGGCAGAACCCCAGAAGACGATGGGACTACAGAAGTTGGTAGAAAGCCAGAAGACGGCAGGACGCCAGATGATGGTAGAACCCCGGACGACGGGAGGAGCGTTGGCAAGCCGCTCGACAAAGGTAGAGGGGCTGATGCAGTCGGCAGGAGGGACCCTACACTTGAAAGAATGCTCGACAAAACCGAGGGCAGGGCAGTTGGTGGGAGATCAGAAACTGCCGAGGACAGGATGCTAGGGAGGTCTGAGACCAAGGAGGAGGCCACAGGAGGCAGGATACCAGACGCGGAGAGAGAGGCAGATGGGGTTGGTGCAGTCGGGCCAAGACCAGAGCTAGTAGGCAATACGCCAGGGAGCTCAGAAACAAGGGACGACAGGATCGATGGCAGACCTAGCAGACCAGAGCTGGCAGGCGAGGCTTCCGACGTAGGGATGGCCCCAGAGCTTAGGAGTGGCGCGGTTGGTGTCGGCCTGATAATTCCAGTTCCCAATGCAGTGGTGATTCCGACTACGATACCAGAAGTTGGCAGTGGCAGGAGTGGTCGCTCACCAGAAGATGATACAATAGCACCTGTAGGAAGGACAACACTGCTGGGGAAAACTCCAGTAGAGCCGATCTCTGGCGTGGGTGTGGGCTCGAGGGGTGCTAGGATTGAAGACAGAAGACCACCGAGCAGACCGGTAGAGGTAGGCCGTAGGACAGTCTCAGGAAGACCTCCGGTTGTGCCAGGAACAATGAAAGGTCCCAGGAAGCTGGATGCATCGGGCGAGGACGATGCGGTAGATCGACCAGGGCCTACTGTGGGGGTCACAATACTCTCTGGCACTCCTCCTGTGGACGCAATGCGCTGCCCAGATTGCCCAGAAGATACAGGTTCATCTGGAGAAGAGGCAGACTGGGTAGGTAGAACAACAGAAGAAGGGACTACACCCGTTGATCCGACCAAACCACCAAGAAGGGTCGAGAGAAGTCCACCGACCGGTCCGCCACGAGAGGAAGAAGGCGATTCAGTCGGCAAGACAATGACGGCGGGCCCTTTACCAGATGAGGCGGCTTGAGAGGTAGGTGGGGCAGAAGTCGGCTTGACGATGATTTCCGGAATCAGACCAGTAGAGCCAAGAGGCGGCTTATCCGCCTCGGGAGATTTCGAGCTAGGTGCGGCAGAAGTTGGCTTGACGATGATCTCTGGAATCAAGCCGGTAGAGCCTAGGAGAGGCTTATCGGCCTCAGGAGTCTTGGAGCTAGTCTGGGTGGGAGTTGGCTTCTCGACCTCAGCAGCTTGCGAGCTAGGTGGGGAAGAAGTTGGCTTGACGATGATGTCTGGAATCAGGCCGGTAGATCCTAGAAGAGGCCTCTCTACCTTGGCGGACTGCGAGCTCGTCAGGGTGGAAGTAGGCTTCTCGACCTCTGCAGCTTGCGAGTTGGGCGCGGAAGAAGTAGGCTTGACGATAATCTCTGGAATCAGACCGGTGGAGCCTATGACGTCTGGAATGAGGCCAGAGGAGCCTAGAAGAGGCTTCTTTACTTCACTTTCTGTAGTCGTCGCAGGAGGCGCGGAGGAACGAGTGGGGACTGGTTCCGGCTCAACCACAGGCTCAGGCGAGGGGGTAGGCCGGATGATTGTCGTGGGAAGCGCACCAGTTGAAGCAACTGGAGGCGGCCTTTGTGTGCTAGGGGTCTCTTCTGGGTCCTCAGTCGGGTTTTCGGGGCTGGGTGTCGGCGTAGGCTTTGGTGCAACAATCACAGAGAGGAGATTGCGTGACGATCCTCCATTGGAGCTTGATGGTGGCGGTGGGGGCGGTAGCACGACATCTTCCGATGATGAGGATGAAACTGGAGGAGGTGGCACTCGCAGGTTCCCGGTTCCAGACAGTCTCTCGCGCGTATCAGGAGCTACTGTGGGGATGACCTGTCGAGGGGGTGCAACTGTGCTCGTAGCGTCCACGTCGCTCTTGCTGACAAAGAGACGTGAAGAAGACGCCGATGAGGACGACGTGTCAGGTCGACCGCGGAATAGGGAATCGACAAACGATGTAAAATCTGGGAACTGTCGCGATTGCAGCTGTTCAGACGAGCTGCTTGATGACGAGGTGGAAGATGAGGACGTTGGTAATGCTGGCGCAGTGGTGTTTGTGACGATCTGTCGCTTGACATGCCGTGGGAAATAGTATCTGGGTCGGTCTTGTGTTGGCTGCGGGCCTGCGGGCATGGCCTCTGCTGTGGTGAGCATGGGGCCAGAGCCCGAAAAGCTGGCGAGCACCAGGGCGGCGGCCCATACTGTTGTGGAGCGCGGCATATTTACGATTATCTTCGCGCAGGAGGTGGATTAAGTAGGTCGAGGATATCAAACACTGTCCACTTTTGCGGCCTGTTATTGTCAGACATGACTGTTTGCAGAGAATGTTGAGAGACGTACTGTCAGGGTTATAGATGAAACGAATGTACTTGACGAATGTCAAAAATGTAGGAAGAATGTACCTGCCACCCTGTTAGCTGTCTGTGACAGGGCCACGTGCAGGCTGGAGAGACTCACCACGCTGTAAAGGTGGCTAGGAAGAGGAGTGGAGCGCCAGGCGAAGGCGATGCAGCGTCGTCGCTATGGAAATGGAGTAGTAGCCGGCCTATGCTTTCATGTTTGACGGGGACGGTTTCCAAATTCTTGCGAGAGACACTGGTTCGGGTGTTCCAGATCAACGGACAGGCACTCTACGACAAAGGGACTATCGAGTGGTGGCTGTCGCGAAAAGCCACGCGCTTGTTCCTGGCTACTGGGCAACGTCCTACAACAACAAAGAGCAATGCGCAGGGACGATGGGGTTTGGGCGTAGGCGTAGGTGGTTGTGGGGAGCGACACGTTGGTATGTGGTCAAGTGTCGTGAATGTGCTTGGGGGGACTAAACGAGCGGCGACGACGTTGATAGGCAACGGTCAAATTATGGCGAGGCGCAGACTGAGAATCGAAAAGGCGATGGAAGGAGCGGTCGTGATTCGGAGAATCGTGCAAAGGGAGCGTAAGGCCAGGGAGCGGCGTCGTGAGTACGGATTGTCTACAGGCGATGATGGGATGGATCCACGGGGAGGGCTGCCACGGGCGGGGGGAGTGCGCACTGGAGATGGATAAGTGCGCCCGTTGGAGGATTGTCGGCGGGTGGTGGTGGTAGTAGTGGGAGGAGGAGACTCGGTGAGGCGATCGGGGTGGTGAAGAGTAGGAGATGAAGCGCAGCCGTCAGCACTGAGCACTCTGCCAGGCGTGCAGGCGCAACACGACAGGAAGCAGGGGCAAGCTGGCGTAAGAGGCAAGGCGCAGAAGGGCCTACGAGTCGTGCCTCTCGCCAATTTCACCACCCAATGGCCCCGCCCTGTGTGCATTCGATAGTCGTCTTGTCAAAAATAGACGAGCTACCTCTCTTGTTTCTACTTACTCTGTTTCTACTACCTGGTTCTATACAGTAGTCGATGGCTAGCCTCGCTCGCCGTACACACACCGTCAACAAAGGCAGATTCACCAACACAACACGTCAACGTCAACGTCAACGTCAACTACCACCACCACCACGAGAAGAAATACCGAAATCGGACTCTGTGTCCTTGCAGCTGCGAACTGGGCTTGCCTTGCCGCCACGGTGCTTCGGTCGAGGTTAAATTGCACCTGTATGGTACTAGGGCCACAAGGCCAGGTAGTGCAGACGCTGCCATGGTCAAACCGTACTAGCAAGGGCCCTGGCCGTCAAGAGGGTTGGTTTCTCTCTGCCCCAGCACCAATTCATCACCCCCAAATGCCGTAGCTTTCCTGTCCATCACCACCAAACGCCAGCCATATCTTCGCCGTGCACGCGGGGCTGGAACGTGTTCGCACATCTCCCAGCCGTTTCCCGTCCACCCCGTTGAGGCTGCTTGTGCTCTCTGCTCCAGCCCACCCCCTTCTCCTCTCCAAGGTGATTGTCCAATTAGAGCAGGTGCTCCCTCCCGGCTCCCCCTGCCCTTGCCGAGCCTTTCATTTCGGTACAATCCCTTCACGAATCACCGTCACTCACCTCCACAACCACCACAAGGTCCACACAACCACAACCACCTGGCTGCTCGCCCGCCCTCTGCGTGCGCCGGTATACTTTAATTGTCGCTGCTCATCAGCAATATCGCCGCTTCTTCTCACTGGCCGCGCACACGACTGCTCACCCTCGCGGCCGCCTGCTGCGTTGGGGTTCCACCAGTTCCCGGCTGACCATCCTTCCTGCAGGGCTCTTTTATTGACCTGCAGCCACTCTCCCAGTCTGTCATTTGTGCCAGTCTGCGCCCAGTCGGCCCGCCTCGTGTCCTACGGGCGGGCTGCTTTTGCTATACACTACCCATCTCTAGTGCTGCGGATACTCCACAACAATCCTTCATTTCTGGAGATTGAACTGCTAAGATTGTACCCTTGGCCAAAGCCACGGCAGTTTCCCATGTTTTCTCATCAACCGATGCTGTTTGACCATTTCTATTCTCGCTCTAAACAACCATCGCTTGCTAGTTTGGCCTCCATGTTTACCATTGCGCCTCAGCGTTTCAACGCTTGGTTTCGCGCACAAGCTCATCGTTGACTACGGAACGTTTCGCCAAAAGCTATATTTGGTCTTGTCGCGTGCTATGATACATACTGACGGGAGCCACATACCCAAGCACGTTAGAAAGCACGCGACGAAGAGAGCTATGGCTCAACTTGTTCAAGATCTCTTCGTCAAGGATTCTGCCACTTGTCTCGCGCCCAATAATCGAAGCGCATGCCAAACGCCATCAGCACATGTCTCCTTGTCTTCATGCCTACACACACTCTCGCCTCTTTGTTAACCATCAGCCTCGCTGCTTGGCAGCGGCTCTTCGGGTGGATCCCACATCTCCTTCCCTAGGGACTGCTAGATGTGGAGGTCGAAACCACATTCACACCATAGTGACACCTGCTGTCGATCCCAAGTTCTAGCCAGGTCCCACAGATGTCTGTCCTAGCGGGCCTTTGGCTTTGCACGGATGTCTCCTTTCTCTTCACTTCCCTGCGCATCTGGACTACCCGACGATTGAACCTGAAGAAGAAACGAGTGTATGGAATCATGTCGACACTTCGCATACCATAATGCCGCAACTATCCTGCATGGATCAATGTGACTGCTCAAAAGTAGACAACTCCTGCTAGGCCTCATCCTCGCAACTCAATACCTACTCGCTAGGAGGACATGCCCGAATACCCCAGTGCAGCAGTCACGCAGTATACAGAACATCTCGCGCAATGCGAAGATTCGCGCACGATGAACCACTAGTGCAATCTCCCACGGCTAAAGCGCCAGATGATCGCCAACACACAATGACAAACAAAGTGCCGGACCCATCACGTTCGCATAGCCCCCGTTTCGAAACCTACCCTCCTAAACCCAAATCAACCCGCTGCCCCCCTGCCATCCGAGCCTATATCGCAACTCCTATGCCTTGCCACGATTCATGCTATCCTTATGCCTCCTATACCCGGCCTAGACGCGTGCAGATCCTTGCTTATAACAATATCCAGCAGTAACCAAAGGAGTGGAGGTAATTTCCTCGACGTCCTGTTTTGTACCGCTTCGTTCGGCGCTTTTACTGATTGGTTTCCTTGTTCGTCGCTTTTACTGAAACCATCCATCTTTTCTTTCATCGGAGGCAACCTGCCGGGCGGCATGATCGACGTCGATAGTTTGTGAAGATTGACCATGTGCGCGATCATGAGATGTTTATTTCCCCCTTAATACTTGCAGTATCGTTTGGTAGATCTCGTCCCGTTGCGCACTTCTTGCTGATGGCTATAATGTACATCCAGGCATACTTGGCTTGCAAGTCATGAAGAACATGACAAATATCATCGGCTTTTCGTACCTTCCTTCGCTTTCCCATCAACATGGCCTTTGCCGATCTATTGAGTGTTTGCAACGTCAGTCAAGCACTAGTGTTTCCCCATGGATCCGTGATAGGAAGGTGTCAGTAGGAATCGTTTCAACAATCAGATAGTTTAGCGGTGAACTAACTATACATGTAATTAGCTTTGACTACAGATATCTAGTGTTGCTGAGGCAAGGTGATCCTATGAGTCCAGTATATCCGTTGGCCTAAAGGAGTAGTATGATTCACAACCGCCCTATCCGAACCAAAAATATCTCCGCAATTGAAGTGCCTTCACAGAACCAGCTAAGAAATGAGCCGCTCGCCTTGAAATGTTGCGTCTAGGTGGCTGTTTTGCTGAAGGTTTAGGCAACCCCCCATACTGGAGGATGTACGACGTCTCTAAGTGGCGTGAAATGATTAGCAAAAGCCGAGTTACAAGTCAGTCAAGTTCAACCTGAAGCATGTGATAAAGCGCGACTACCCTATTATTACTAAAACAAGTCAACCCTATTCTTCATTCATCTCCCGTTGCAAAGTCACTTCCGTAGCAGCCGCGTACAACAACCCTAGAGGGGAAGCTACCGATGGAGGGTATAAAAACTACTATTATAAGGTAGAAAGAACAAGCGATATCAGAGCAGGTAATAACTCATACAGTACTGCTCTTGAAAATCCTATACCAGGCTTCCCACGCAAGATATCCAACCATCTACTAACAGATATCTCGCTCCTTCCTCAGCTCGGACAACTACTTGTTCTTTGGCGGCACACCAACTTGCTCCGGCTGCCCTTGACCTGCATAGCTGCCTTCCAGCTCACTACTAAACGGCCTGACCGTTTCAGCCGTATGCTTATACATCCCGTCACCACCACCACCATACTGCGTAGGCTGCGCGTGTCCCGGCGGGGGACTCGACGCGCCATACACTGGCTGTCCGCCCATCGGCGGCGCCTGGTTAATCTGCGAGTTGTTCTGACCTTGCCACCCCTGCTGCGGAGAAACACCATATGGGCCCTGTGAGTTGGGAGACATGGAGCCCTGTGGGGTGGTCGACTGCGGGGCCCAGCTGTCGTGCTTGGAGACGCCGAACGGAACTCCTGTGGCGTTTTGCTGCATTGGTGGTTGGTAGTATTGGGGAGGTGAGTTGGGGCCTGGTGGGTAGGTTTGCTGAGGGTATGTGCCATCTGTTCCTGGCGCAGGGCCTACGGCGCCTGCAAAAGGCTGGGCTTGCTTGTTCTTCTTACGACGCATGAAGAAGAAGACTGCGAAGCCGATCAAGGCAAGACCGACGATAGGTCCGACTACGGCGCCCGCAATCCATGCTTTGCTCTCTTTCTTCTCTTCTTCGGGTTCTGGGAGTATAGTCGGTAGACTGGGGGTAGTGGTAGGCGTAGGGGTGGAGCTTGCTGGAGTAGAAGGCGGGCTGGAGCTTGGTGCTAAGATGGTCAGTTAGTAGATAGTCACCAACGACGAAGCATAGGAAAATGGTATCGCACTCGTCGAGGAAGTAAGAGCGGCCGAAGGCTGCACTCTAAAATAACTCCAATTTTTCGAACTGATTCCGCAATTGATGTTTGTGAGAGGATCCGAGTCACGCTCGTTCTCATACATAAATAGCGTATTACATATGGAAAACGATTTGTCTGAGGCGAAGACCTCGGTACTAATACCAGTCAGTCACATCTCCTTTGCTATCTAAGTTTGAACATGTTCGAAAAATACATACCAGGGCCGTGTCACCAAACTTGCAGACTGAGACACTCCGGTCGGCGCAGGGTAGATCAAACCCCCAGAAATGCAACCGATCGGTATACGAGTTGCGGCACACCCGTTGAGGGTGGTCGCACAACATCGCCAGTAATCGGCATTTTGATAATATGTTCCACCGAGCTCGCATTGTCTAGCCGACCACAATCCATTCTGCATGACCCATCCCATATACCGAGCATCGTTTTGCTTCCTCAGGAGTTCAATGTGTGGAGCGGGAGTGATAGTTGCGTCTGAAGTCGAGGGCGTAGGCGCAATTCCTACCGCAAGGCTGCCTGAAAAGAGGGCTGAACCTATGACAAGACGAGTGAACATTATGAATGACTGCCTGAGGCTAGAAATGTGTTTCATATAAGTGAGATACTCTTTACAACTTCAGAAACAACGCGGTGGGACGGAGGCTCGAGCTGGAAAGAGCTGAGCTGGAAGGCTGATACGCAGAGGAAAGCAGTTCATAACTTTGACCACTGCCCGTGCCACAAGGCTCGACATTCAAAAACAGCCCCCAATTTCCACGTGCCAAGCCTACCGGTCAGCACTTTGGTTTCCGCTGTACCAATCAGCGGTAGGAAATCCCACAGCCAAGATAAAGCTTTACCAAAAAGAACTCTAATCTTCGTTTTTTGGCGAGAGCTGAGGGTATACGAGCCTGTTGTGGCGCACAGGCTAGCGATACAAGAGGAAATGCGTGATGTGTCCAGCTCGAGCTTGCCGTCTTTGAGCATAGTGGGACGCCGTGGTACCGAGGGCTGAAAGCCAAGAAATAAAGATGCACAATTATGCGAGGCTGTGGGAAGGCTAGCCAACAGAGACTCAATGCTACACTTTTTTTTTATGATGGACTTTTGTATGAGGGGTATGTCGCGCAACGATGGCCTCTCCCTTATGAACGTGTCCAATGATTGGGTAACCTTCCGACCCCGTTCGTAGTATGCGAGTTACCTATATCGCCTTGTTGAGTTCTTGAAGTGGGCTTAGACACCCAAATATCCAGTGGTGCTGGCTCTGGTACCGCAGCGTGCCTGCACCTGTGCGACACTGTGCCAAGAGCTTCACGTTTAATGTTTTTTCGGCTCGTCTGAATGAACTGACGCAGCATGTAGAGTGAGCCGTCTGGTTCCTGCTTACATTGGTGGCTTTGTCAACAATTCTTTCGTTAATCTGGCTCCCCATTGTTCTCGTTCCTCCGCTGTACATTCATCGAAGACCTTTCGTTCGCGCTCCGCCGTTCTTTGCTCCTTGTCGCGCAGCTGTTGGATTTTATCGACGATATAGGTTCGACGTCCAAGATCTACTAGCGCTTTGTCAAGGTCTTCATTGATCTTCTCCCCAGTGTCCTGAAGATGTCAGCTATGCCCAGGCGAGCATATTTGCAAAAAACGTACGATTGAAGCAGGGTAATGCGCTCTCGCCTCAGCGAGAAGTTTATCCCAGCTAGCAGACGCAGAACAAGATGGTAGTTACGATGGAACGTGCTCTTCCTTTTGCGTATCCATCGATGGCACGATGGCAACAGCAGTCGCAAAATCTCCGTCATGACTGATGCTGATTTCGCACAGCTGACCTTCGAGTTCATGCGCATCAATCTGACGTTTCTCCTCAATCTTTCTCATAAGTGTGCCACCAATGGACGTTGTAAGTTCACCCTCGGACGTTCTTTGTTCACCATCGTCTTTGTAGATATTTTCGATAGCTTTGTCAAGTATCAAACCTTGAGGCGGGGAAGACTGCTTTTCACCTCGGCCGGGGAGTTTGATAGGCAGGATTAGGATTTGGTGGTAAGCTCTCGTGTTTGGATCTAGGTGATTGCATGCTTTGCGACAAGCTTCCTTTGCGGCAAATCTACCCGAAAGTTAGATTCGAGTGAGATTTGAGGGCAACTATACGCACCTGCCTGCTAGAAACTCGGAGACAGTATCGATTCTACCCAGGACTTGTGCTGGAGGCCCAAATCGAGCCCAAAAGTAGGTGCGCTCTGGGCCCGAGAGAACACGTGATATGAATTGAGACAGGGGGCGCAACGGCTCGCCATCGCTACGTCGTGTAATGATTGCTCGGAGCCGTGCAATATTGCAGATATCGGTGCCGACTCGCAACGGGAACGGAAAGGGTCGTGGTGGCATGGAGGAGATATGGGGACATGGTCCAATTCCGAGCTCACTAAGCCAAGCCAAATCTTTAGCGTCAATCTCACGTGCCATCGGAGCTTACCCATGCAAAAAATACCTGCCCGCTCAGCCACATCCGATAGGGAGTGTGGATATGAGCAAAAGACAAAAAGAACGACGTGGGCCAGATTCGAACTGACGCTCCCGAAGGAACAAGATTTCTAGTCTTGCGCGATAACCACTCCGCCACCACGCCCGGCAACTCAACTCTGATGAGATGTTGTAGTTGTTGATGAATAATCTGGGCGGATTTGAAATATATATTGTAAGCATTCAATATGACAAAGTTCATACAGCCTGGCTATGCAGGAAAACCCCATGGCGGACACTAGTCTGCGGTACCCCCGGATCAGAGATGCTTACACCATCGTCTGGCCCCATATCCGTCTGCTATCGCTCAATTTAGGATCTCTTTGTGCGACTCTAGATTTGCCTGACCATCGAACTGGGTGAAGTTCTTCGTGTCACGATGCAGTTGCACTCTCCACAAACATTGCCGCCCGGTACAGTCGCTCTGAGGGCACTGGCTGGTTTTCTTGCCTACACACCAGAGTTGTTCAGCAGGCAAACATACTCCTCGTCGCCTTCGAGGATACAATCCCATCTCCCGGACTTGAGCTGATGCACCAGCAACTCCCACCCCGACGCTACCGGATCCGACAGCCAATAACGCTCACTCAGCCTCACACTCGGTCTCTGTCATTGGCGCGTCTCCCACGTCCTACAACTTAACACCCCGATGCCTGTTGCTGATACAGCCACTGCGCATTCACTTGCAACACCCCAAGCAGCGCATCTGACAAAAGAAGTCAGCAACAATGCATCAAGATGCTCCGGCAGTGCTGCAGTCAAGGGGCCCCTGTGCAAGGGCGCCACCAGACTCGCTGCGTTGTGTGGGTTGCATCTCCGAAGCTGCGGTTGGTCTGCAATGGGGGCAACCCGGAGTTGGAGCAGAAGGGGCCAGACATATAATCGCTCAGCTGCCGTCCGGCTTTGTGCCTGGTGAATTCCGCTGATGGTTGTCTTTGTTTGTCACGATCCTACTCAACTTCGAGGACAGTTCCTCCTCACTCGCGCCTTACAGTTCGCGAGTTAATCACACTTGACTAACAATGTCTCAACTCACATCACCGCGCTTACCAGGCGTCCCCACCCTCCAGCCAGACGCAACAGGACCTGTCTATTCACGATGGCGACGAAGCATCAAATTCGCATTAGAGACAAAGGGCACTTGGAAATATTGCAATGGCAAGTGTCCCATGCCGATGCCCGAAGCTGGACCAAACTCCACAACGAATATACAGCCAAGTCTACTTGAGGAGAGAAGAGCATGGGTACGACGTGATCGCGAGGTCAAGCTCGACATTTTCCTCTCTTTGGCGGATGAGGTTATGCAAGAGGTATTCGAAGTAGGGCCGCCACTTCCACCCTCCAACTTGAACGCTAGGGAGATGTTAAAAGCCTTGGATGAGCAGTTTGTAGAATTCCAATTCGCACCATACCATCATGCCTTCTGCCATTTCCTGAATCTACACATCGACCAATACGCCACCATCGATGCGTTCAACACAGAGTTCTCGGCGACATTAGAGGACCTGCTGGATCATGGACAACCGTTATCCAACGCGCAAGCTTGCAGCGCGTACTTCTCGAAGTTACGATGCACACAGAATCCTTGGGTCGCAAAGAAGTTGCAAGAGTGGGATGCACAATCTTCAGAACCAGAACTCGTGGACTTGATGGGAGAGTCACCGCCCTGGTCGTTCGTCCGACCTCTGGTGACAAAGTCCTCACAGAGCTTCCATGTAGTTTCAATTCCAGAAGAGTCTCTAGAGAACAGCTCAGTGCATTCGGAAAGTGACGCCGCGTCCGAACCGTCAAATGCGTCGACTGTCTCTAGCACCACTTCGCAGTCAAGACATACATCTAGTACAACAACACACTCACAGGAAATCACGGTTCAGGCGTCTACTGGAGACATTGTCGAGACCAACTCTATAGCTTTCCGTAAAGAACTAGAAAGGCTACCAGCGTCTGCCATTCCAGAGCGCCGTAGTTCCAAAGATCATGGACAAAAGACGCCGTTATTGAAGGGCACTACAGGAGTTCCCGAGGCAACTCCACTGAACTCGACGAAGAGCATAGCCCAAATGGCCCTTCCAGCACCGGTCGATCGACCCCTTCCGCCTCTTCCACCACAGGCTTTTCAGAGAACCGATACTGAGACACGCTCACGTTCCACATCACCACCCGCTCTAATCACCGTGTCAAAAAGCTCTCCGCAAACAAGTCTGACAGTCCCAACGCTCAAGACGCCTCCACCAACATCCACCCCGACTACGCAGTCACCAAGGCTGAAATTGGAAACAACACACCCCACTCTACGACCACAAACACCAACACCCACACTAGCAACATCGACTGAACTACGGCCGACTGACGTCCACCCGGCTTTCCGTCCAAAGACACCAACACCCCAAGCATCAGCTGAGCGATTGCCGGTTGATATCCATCCTGCATTTCGCCCAGTAAACCCAGCTCTCACTTCGTCCCTACCGCTCAAACTCCCCGACTTCATGAGCTCATCGCCCAACCTCGCGGTTCCATGGCCTGCTAGACCCGACGTCCCACAACGCCCACAATCCTCGCGTGCAGCTCTGCCATTTAACCAACAACGTCACGAGCAGCAGCACCAGACCGACGACTCAAACCCCCACAGCGACGTTTCGCCCGAGCTCTCGCCACTACGCCTCAGGCTCCCCCGACTATCCCGCATCGAATCAACAAACAGCAGCATAATCAGCCTCCCTCTGCAGGGAACCCGTGATTCAGCATGGGAGTATTTATACGACCAGACAAGCGCAATGGTGCACCACCGCCCACCAAGCGACCATTCCGTCTCGCCCATTGAGCCCGAGTCCGAGGAGGCCAGCGTACCTCCTCCTCCTCCTCCTCCTCCTACAGCAGCGGGAAGCGACATCACTGCGCTCCCGCAACTCAAGGGCACCATGTCCAGGGCTCCAACGTTCGACGAGATGATGGTTACCCCGGACCGTCAAGCGGCGCGTTGTCAAGATTCCAGTCTGGCCTTTGGGTCGGCGAGGTGGAGCGGTAATAGTCTGCTTGAGTCGAGCGAGGAGGTTAGGGAACGGGAGAGGGAACAGGAAAAGGAGAGGGAGAAGGAGCAGTTGGCTAAGAAGCATAGGAAGAAGAGGAGTTGGAGTGTCAATGTGAACTTGGCGCGGTTTAGTGCGAGTAAGGGTGTCAAGGAGATTATCTGACAAGTGTTGAAGTTTTTCATCTGGTTTGTTGAAAAGTACGTTCCTTTTGTTCGAGGTGGTTCAAGGGATTTAGCGGGCGTGTTTTTTTCCTTTCTACTGTTACGATACCAAGGTGTCGACGGCTCATTGGGTTTATGCTTCTTCCTTCACGATTAGACAATGTTTTTTCTCCTCTTCTCACGCAATTAGCTATATACCCACCTACTCCTTCTCCCCATTCATCCTCGAACTGTATCTTTAGTCACATACATTGCCTCATTTTATCGACGCTTGCATGAATCAATCGGTGACTTCAGCTGTTCGATGTACTCGGTACTACAGTCGGATCCGACCAGTGTCGCCTGCGTCATAGCATAGGCAAGTCAATGCACATACTCAAACCAGATGAGACACTGTGCGTAAACTTTAATGAGACAAGATGTAGTCTATTTCTACACTAATAGAGCCCGCTATGATGCTTTCATAATCATTCGTCGTCGGGTAATGTATCGTGGCACATGGTGCAGTTCCGGCCGCGTCATTACTAGACAAGACCAGATGAGCGCGATCGTCTCGAGAAACGCCCGAATATCTTCTCGCCCAGTCTTTCAACTTTCTTCCGTCATCTACTGCGTCTCCCGCACAACTTTGTCGACAGCTTTCGCAAAATAGTCGACGTTGTGTGTGTTGAGCCCGGCCATGGAGATACGACCGTTCTTTGTCATATACACATGGGAATCCTCGCGAATCTTCAATACCTGCTTCTCTGTCAAGCCGGTAAAGCTGAACATGCCGATTTGGTCGGTAATGTGGTTCCATGTTCCGGGCGTGCCCATCTCCTCAAGCTTGCTGCGGAGGGCTGTGCGCATCTCCTTGATACGACCCGACATGGTCCTGAGGTTTGCTTCCCACTCAGCGAAGAGTTTCGGGTCGTTCAGCACCGTCGAGGCGATACGGGCGCCGTAGGCAGGCGGGTTGGAGATTTCAGAGCGCTGAAGGATGGCAAGCTGTGAGGCGATGCGGCCGATTGTCGACTCGGCGTCCGAGGAGGGTGAGGTGATGAAGTGGAAGCAGCCGGCACGCTCGCCGTACAGGCCAAAGTTCTTGGCGTATGATTGGGCGATGCAGAGCTCGAAGCCTTGCTCGACGAAGTAGCGAATTGCCCAGCCATCGCGTGCCAGGTCGCCAGAGGCGAAGCCCTGGTAGGCTGTATCGAAGAAGGGGAAGTGCTTCTTCGCCTTGACAACTTCTGCGATCTTCTTCCACTGCTCCTGTGTAGGGTCAACGCCCGTGGGGTTGTGGGCACACGCGTGCAACACAATGATGCTGCCCTCGGGAGCATCCTGTAATGTACTGATCAGGCCCTCGAAATCGAGGCCCTTGGTTTTCTTGGAGAAGTACGGGTATGGCTTGGAGGATAGGCCAACGTTGGAGAAGATCTGGAAGTGGTTCACCCATGTCGGGTCGGAGAAGTATGTGAGACGCTTCGTATCTGGCTTGTAGAATCTTGCGAGGAACAAGGCTCCCAAGTGCACAGCACCGGTACCGGAGATGGTCTGCAAGCTGGTAACCTGTTGTCTCGTGAGCTCGAGTCATGCCTGGCGGGGGGAAGTACTCACCCGCTTCTCCTTGATGGCGGGGCTGTCGCCTCCCAGCACCAGCTTCTGCGAGGCTGACGTGAAGTCTGCGAGACCGGCGATGGGCAAGTACTCGTGGTTGAGGTTGGGGTCGTCGTGGAGCCTGTCGTCGGCCTAGTAAAGAGGTAGCTGTCAGCTCACTGGTGGTTGCTCTTGCTAAGGTGGTGCACTCACGAGCTTGACGACGGGCAAGATCCACGGCTTCGCATTGTCGTCTCGGTACGCGCCAATGCCCAGGTCGACCTTGTTTGCATCTTGGTCGCGGCGAAAGGCAGCCATCAGCCCGAACAGCGGGTCTTCTGGCGCCTGTGGCACCACATCCGCGTTGAAAGAGGTAGCAGCCATTGGGGCGAGATGTGAGGAGATCTGAGTGAGGCGAGTCTGTGAAGAGAGTGGTGAAGGTGACGGCGGCATGACTGCGCGCGAAGAGGTGCTCCCACACCTTTACGTTTCACCGCCGCGACCGCCCACGCTAACCCCGCAGTTTGCTTCTCCAAATTGTTTTGGCCGGCGACGGGGACAGGGAGGGGACGGACACGAGGGGTGCGGAGAATGGGGTGATGTCGCAAGACGTAAAAGCGAGAGCCGCAAATCCACTGCCACAGCTCCGGACAGCCTTCTTTTAAAAGCCTCCGCCCGGCTAAAACATCACGCACTGTCTTGTGAGCAAGCCGAGGCACAGGTCGTCGCATCCGCAGATCATGTCAGCCGTTTTCTGTCTAATCCGCACCATCTCACATGTTGCGGAGTGCCGATGAAGTCCTGTGGGCCGGCAGCGTCCCGGCTTAAGCACCAACGCGACTCCACATAGCACCCTGTCCACTCAGCACGCAGGAGAAAGTAATGAACAATATAGATGCTAGATTCGCGTGTTGGCTATCTACCAGCGACGTCCCCGTCGACACTCACTTTCCCGGACGATTTCATACAACTCATATGAACAAGTCCCACAGGACAAGTGTCGTGCAAAAAGCACATGTGCACCAGAATACCTTCTGTGCCGTGCTCCCTCGCTCCGTCGCGCGCTTGAGCTCCTTGTTTCCGCCTCCGACATTTTCCGCTGTATTGAACGAGTCCTCCACAAGCTGATCAATGTGCGCAGACTGTATGCTGAGATTGTTTGCAAGCGTCGTCTGCAGTTCGGATATCTCGGTGAGCGACTTCTCTGTTTGGCTATAGCAAGGGTTAGTCGAGTACCAGTATCCGTTGGACATACATACCGGACTTTGTCGAGCTGGTCTTCGTACTGCTTTAGCATGTCCTGATTCTCCTGCGCAAACAGCTGAAGCTGCTCGGGATCAAGCTGGTTCTCAATAACCGCGCTGGACTCCTCCTGAGCGTGTGACGTCTTCCCGCGATGATCAACCGACCCTGCCCCCGTGCCGTGGCCGCCGTTCATGCCACTGTAGTCGTTCGTCGCCGGCCCTGTTCCTCTTGTCTTGTACAGCACGCTCTTGCTCTTCTCCACCTCTCTCATGAGCCGTATCTCCATCATGCCACTCTGGAAGCTACCGCATGCTTCTAGCTCGTTCTGCAAGGACCATATAATACTCTCTCGGTGTGCCTTGATCGTGTTTACTTTTGCTTCCTCAACCTCCTCGTCGACGCTCTTCGCCGTTATGGCCCCACCAGCTGCCCATCGTCCCAGGGCACCAAGGCCCTGTTTTGCGCGCTTTCTCAAGGCGACTTGCGCCTGCGTGCTCTGTCGTATCTGCTCGGCGTCTCGTAGCGTGTTGATTGCATAGTTCAGCTCTCGCAGCGATTGCTTTGCTTGGGCATCGATCTCAGTGCGTTGAGCGTCGCTAAGGTATTTGGCGTCCTTGTCCGTGGACGGAGAGGAGTTGCTCGTTCGTGCAACTTGCTTGCGACGCGGTGGATGTGCAGTAGATAGATAGCTTTGACGTATTGACTTCAAGTCATGGTGAAGCTTCGTAATGTGCGTTCGCTATTGCGGTTAGCTACGTGCTCGAAGTTTAGGACGCGCAACGTGTCCTACTATGCGGTAGGCCTCCTTCACGAACTCGTCGAGGTCCTCGATGCAAAACACATAAGGTTCGACTGGCTGTGCATCATGCTTGGCCAGCACCTGGTTAAAGAGCGGCGTGATGTCCATTGCGTGGAAGACGGTCTAAACTTGCTGGCTTCATATGACGAAGCTCTCCCCGCGGGATTGCCATTGCCATCCTAGTCTTTCGCTTAGACCGCCGCCAGCCAATGACGTACAATGCCTCCAGCAACTGTACCTTTACAACAAACTATATACAAACTATATACTTCCATTCTACAACTTGTTCATACAGGTACGTGTTCTCTTCTGAATACGGGATGCTTTTACGCACACTAATCAACTCAGACATCAAGAATGATGATATTCTCATCTCTGGCCTCGATGGACCATCTCCTGTGGTGAAGCTTTACAACTTATTCTTCTCGCTCATTTGTCTAGTCCTGATCATATATAATCAGTTATGCTGACCCCATATAGTGCGGCTGAAGGGCTTCAAGGAGTATCCCGTCCAGCCTCGTGCAATGCGTGCTCCCGAGGTCTAGTCAGCTCTCATCGTTCCGACGTCTAGGCATTCGATGTCAAGGTCAGCCACTCTGCTGGGTTTTTGTTCGTGTCATTGCGAGCAAAGCTCCCAACATCAGGCACCCAGCTCGAGAACGCTAGACGCAACGGACCATGCAGACATTGTACTCGTACTCGTGCTACAGAACGTGACAATGCGGAAGGCGACACTTGCAGCTCGCACCCGATTGGACATCAGCAACAAAGTAAGCTTGCAGATCAAAATAATTCCCATGGGGTCGGGAACTCATGACCTGGGTTGTGCAGGCCTGAATACGATCACGATGTCTATGTTTGGCATTGGTGTCTTCGATGACGCGTGCAGCCCGGAACAGAAACTGACCTGACGAACAACGCGCTCTTACCGAAGGAGGCACCTGACATGTAGTCCGTGAGTATGGATTTGCCCTCAATCTTGGTTTATGCTTTTCTAACCGCTATTGGTTGTGCAAAACATCAGCTTATGCTCAGGCTAACCCAATAGATGCTCAGCCGCAAGGCCGCCACGAGCAAACCTCCAAGGACTGGTCACGAAGTCTCCTGATGTTTGTATAGCCACTTTGATGATGCGTTTGCCTAGTCGGGTCATTGCCGTCGAGCACTGCGGGCTGTTGCGACCTTCTTTTCTTCTTACACTCCCCGTGTTATTTTCATCACGGGCAACAGACAGAAGGTGCAGTGAATCCGACTACCAACAACACCCCATCAATCAATATGCGTTTCGCCAATTCGATTGCCGTCCTCCTCCCAACCGCCATCCTCGCTGCACCCTCTTCTCTCTCGGCCCGCGCTGGCGATGAGCAGTGTGCGCCGACGTCCTACACCCTCTCCAACTACACCCTCAGTACCTCTGGCTCCTATGCTTTCGTCGACTTCAACTTCAAGTCCACGTTTACCGACAACTCCATCATCAATGACGCGGTCATTGACGGTGCTAACTGCAAAGCCGATGGCCCGACCATCCCAAACAACAACGAGTGCCGTGTAGAGGGCCGTAAGCTGCTCTTCGACCTCAGGGGTCCTCAGGAGCAGGCGTTTTATCAGATTACCCATACTTGGGTTTGCAATGAGTAAGTATCTCATACCGTGCTCCTTCATGACCCGAGGAGGTAGTCGGACTAATGCTAACGCCTTTACAGCGCTACTTGGATGTCCGGCAATTCAGTCAAGGTTGAGCCTCTCAACTGCGTCGATAATGCTGGCACTCGTATCTGCAGCGGTGGTCCCCTGTCGATTGTTCCGCAGAACGTGCGCAAGATCTGCGGCAGTCCTCGCTGCTAGTCGGCCTTTGTGTTTCTTTCGAGATCCGAGTATGAAGGGGCTGAGTCTGAAGAAATTTTGATTTGGTCCGGTTCAAGCTTAGCCATTGTAGAAACTGAGGCTGGAGTGGTGTATGAAGTTTTTGGTATTTCAAGTTAACAATAAGTTCATTTACTGGAGTACTTCGAGAGTCGCGGAATCGTCATGGTGCGGGCAAATGGAGTTCCTGTATGAGTATTTCTCTTTCCTTTCTCCTTGTCTCCCTCAAAATCCACTATGCATGTTCTTTCACTAGAATCACATACAAGGGATTATGTTGACAGAGCAACAATTCTTTAAAGAACAAACCTTCTATATTGATGGATGCACCCTGTGATCATCGTCTTACCATGTGATTTGAAAGTACCCAAGGAAATTATGGCTGGAGGAGAAGTACATTTTGAGATGTTTAATATGATTTGGTGTATGAGAGGATTCTGATAGGAAGGGAACCTGGGTCGTGGCTGACTTAAATCACTACAAAGCGCTCCACCCATGACTATTCTAACAGCAAAACGTAGCATAGGTTATCTTTCCATAACGGTACATCTGAGATCGACCCGGTCGATCGATCACATCTTAGCGCGAAGATCAGCGTTGTTGCCCAGGGTCTGGGGCCGTTTGTTGGTGTGCCTTAAACCCCACATGCCAACTCGAGATCTTCATGATCGCTATGGATGACTTTGTTGACAAAGAAGGGCCTGTTTCCTTCGCTACGAAATGGGGTGTCGGGAAGCCGACCAGGCTGTTTGACGACAACAAAGATCTAGCATTGACTGACCGGCTGTGGGATAATCCTCCTGTTCGATATTGCGTACCAGTCATTGAGGTGATGAAAGTGACAGTTTTCAGATGAACGCCACAGATGCGGCATGTTCAGATTTCTTTTCTGTATATGATCTTTCTAATCCTAATCAACACTAGAATGTCAATTACCTGGACCATTGAACGTCAGAAACGGTACGCTGCCCTGTATTTACTCGATGAGCAGAGGAACTATGTGGTTCGGCAGTTACGGGCTTCTCTTTATGGATCCAAGACTTTAGTCCAAGCATCGCTTCGAGATTGCGCACAACATCGGAGCAAATTAACGACAAGGCGATTGAGAGCTTGGGCTTAAGATGAACCTGATGACATATAGCATGTAAATCGTAGCTTGGAGGATCTGGGAGGCCTTGCTGACTACGCTGAGCGCCGCGAATCGGACCTCCCGGACCTTCTTCAGCCCTTCATTAGCAACGGAACGTCTGTGACTGAAGGCAGCCTGGCCTATCAAAAGTTCGATGATGAGAGTTCCGAGGGCTCGACGAGTCCATTCGATGTCGATGACACCGCATTGCCTTGGGGGATGTACTCAAGGTTCAAATGCCCAGACGGAGAAGTGCGATGAGGTGGTTGGGGCAAGGATGCCGTTAAGTGGGTGACACTCCGAATTAGGCCTGGCGCTGTGAATGGAGGACCGATTGCCCGTCGAGTAGACAGGAATTGTTTTCTTTACAGCTACCATCTTAGTCTTGAGCTTAATGCTGTCATCGCGCAGGGATAGCAGCAAGGTAGTGGAAAGTTTGTTCAACCGTTAGAGATCGCCATTCCAATTCTTCCGAAATGCCGCAGAGGTTCGTTACCAGCCCTACATACAATCCGGATCGACGATCTTGGTGCCTGTGAGATCCGATTTGTCGATTTGTCCACGTCGCGGCAGATTTTGCAGCAAATCCCAGCATCTCGAGCAGACGTCTTTTCAGCCAGCGTCAGTGTTCCTGTTACTCAAACAAAATTCGTCATTTGCTGGGCTATGAAATAGCGGGCCATAACGGACGAGAGGGAGCAACGTTGACGAAAGTGCTGCACAATCTCTTATCGATAGATGCAGCCTAATCGATAGCGGTACCCGTGGACACACGACCGAACCATGCTTGGGCAACATGTTGGCAACGTGTGGGTAACATGTGGGCAATGTGGGTAACGTGTGGGTGAAGAAGTGGAGAATCGCTGACGACGGGCTGCAGGTCAGCGAACGAGCGTTGAGCAAGAACCACTTTGCCAATTGTTCTAGAATTCTTGACTACTGCATGGCGACGAAAATTCTATCGCAACTTTGAGTCAATCCTGCCCAAAACTTGAGTCACGGAGAGTCACGGAGACGGCCGTTGTGCGCTGTCTTGGTTACAAAATTCTGGGCGCACATTGTGGTGGCGGACAATGTGTGGAGGTTGCAGACGCGCGGTGCTTGGGCTACTCAACGGTTTTCTTGGTGCTGCAAGGGACCAACCGTCTCGCTCAAGCCAGAGCAGCTTCGCTGAGGGGAGAAAACCGCAAGAGTGCGCATGGCATGTGAACTTTTTCAATGTCAAGGAAGAGTTTCTTGTGAAAGCATGCGCTGAAAGTTTGAATTCGAATTGGAGGAGCCTTCAACGTTGGGCGGCGGCTCGCCACCGTTCTTAGCTCGTTGCCCACGTGCGCGAGAGCGTCGTAGGACCAAGTCATAGAGCGCAACATGATAGAACTATGCCAAATATCTACTGCACACACTGTGTTCGCTCGTATTGTAGGTTAATAAATCAAACAACCTACACCATATGGTAAAAAAGATGATCAATTACCAGACACGATTTTCTTCGAAGATTGCTGGTACGTGCTTGGTTGTATAACAACAGTGCGCGATTCTGTTAAGTCTGGGGTATGGAGTGATCGCCTAGTCAACGTCGATCAGCATTTAACAAGTATTGTCGCGGTGTCGAACTTGAATCATTCTTAGAACCACTATGAAGTATCGAAATTACAAGGCACCATCGTCTCCGTGACACCAATCACCACAATCAGTATGTCAGTATGCATGGCCTGCTTCTTTGGTGAAAGACTCCCATGTTGGCAGGGCGCGTCGTGCGACGCGTTCCTGTCACGCGTGCATATTATCCGAAATTAGCAGACCTCACATCAAGAACAACAACGTTGGTACAGTGACAACGAGAGAGTCTATTTTCAAAATATACACAAACACACCAAGCCGGGACGTCCCATTGCATACAACCCCGCGTCCATGTCCAAAAAGGAAGGAGGCACACTCCTGGAGAAGCGAATGAATGAAATAAGAGTTTCCCGCTAGCCCGGGTGAGGAGGGCTAGGACCCTCAAAATGGTATATCATGACTTCGTAAGACAAGCATATGCCCAAGAAAAAAAAAGGGCGCCGAATCCCAAACCACCTAAACCGCGAATCGTAATTTGTCGTTACAGAGAACGCGGAAGTCGAAAGAGGATGAAAAGCCAAAACAAAAAATCAAGTATGACGGGGTGCGCGTCGATAAAAAGAATGAATAGATTGGCCCGCGACGCTGTCTACCCCCGTCATTACTCGGATTTGGTACAACTCTCATCCCCTCTTCCGCTCTCTCATTAGGGTATACCGCGAATTAGGTAAATTGATTATCGGCGTATAGAGAATATGCGACAACACCGTTTCCCCAACACCAAATGCCATAATATACAAGTGTAGTTGGCACGGCTTATGCGTGGAAAGGCTGGTGACGGCGGGCGTGGCCGTGAGCGTGCCTCTTAGCGTTGACGTACTCGAAGGCGGTGACATAGACGACTTCGACCTGGGTCTTGGTCTTGGCATCCTGCTGCTTCTCGACCTCCTTGACTGCGGGAGCCTTGGTGACGGCGGCAACATCGACCTTCAAGTTGAGGGTGGGCGCGCTGGCTTTGGTAGAAGTAGGAGCGGGCGCAGAGTACTCGGCCTGCTTGGAAGAGGCAGCGGGCGCAGAGCTGTAGTCCTCATCGGGTGCCTCTCCGCCGCACATGTAGAAGTTCGTGTTCTGGTCCAAGTCGCAAGTCTTAGTCTGGACATCATCGGGGTTGATGTACGAGATCTTTGCGCAAGAGGCGGCATCGGTGCAAGAAAGGATAGGGCACCAAGTGTTAGTGGCCGAAGCGGAGACTTTGCCAGTCTGGTTGCCGGCTTGAAGGTAGTATCCTTCGTTCTTGGTAGGGCAGCCGCCGTCCTGGCAATCAACGTAGGATACGTCGAGGTAGTTGTAGGAGAATCCGGGCTTGGTCGTCTCGAGGAAGTACTCCAACTGAACAATGTCGTTGCTCTTGCACTTCTCCGACTTTGAAACCTTGATGGAAATGCCGACGCCGTTCTGGGGATCCTGGTAGTTCTCACTGTAGGTCTCGCCCTTCTTCAGGGTCACCATCTGGTCGGTTGGGCAACCATCGCCTTTGAAGACGGACCATAGGTAGACGGGATAGTCGCATCGATTGATGATGCGAGCCAAGGGCTGTTTCTGGTCGCAGCTCTTGTTCAAATCGACCGCGCTCCTGGCGGAGGCAGTTGCGACAATGGCCGTAGCGGCGGAAAGGAAGGTGGTAAGCTGCATGTTTGCTGATTCTGGACCGGATAGGTAGTTGGGCAAAAGCTGTGGATTCGTAAAATTTCGATCGAAGGAGTGACTGCTGAACACCTGAAAGAGTGAAGTTATTCAGCAAATGAATGTGGGTTGACGAAGACCTGCTTGTTGCGATGGTGCCAGACACGAGGGCGCCTGGGGGATGCGAGTAAATAAGAATGGCTGAACCTGGCATACGCAGCCGGGGGGGGCCACTTACGAACCCACCCGCCATGGGACGAATCGTCACCCATAGCGTGGGCTTATTTAGACCGGTGCCAAACATCGTGGCTTGTCCGGAGAACAGGTGCGGAAGAAGACGCTGTAACCCTGAAGGGCAAGGTTTTGGACAAACTCAGGCAAGCGGAGCCAATCGGGCAAGCGTAGTGCCTGATCGTCAGGGCACTTCTCATGCGACTGGCCGTAATTTAGACCATCTCATGTCGGATAAGCTCCAAAAGCAGAGTAAATTACAGCAGGGATGTGAGCGATCAAATCCAACTTTGTTCTGGGCCTGCAGCTGGTTGAATGCAGAGATTTTCGGCTGAGACGCGGCGGCACTTTGGGCGCATCCTGTTCGCGCAGGTCTGACAGCGATGTTGCTTGGTTGACAGAGAGTTGAACCGAAGTTGTCTTCTTCAACAATTCTAGCCAGCAAATTCTGAAGACGTCGACATTTGCCGTTGCTGAGGACCGAGACGGAGATGACACTGCTAGGCGAGCCTTGCGAGTCCAGCCCCTAGGCGAGCTTTTCCCTTCCCGCTTGGCAGACCACATGGAAAGGGGTCAAGCCTCGTCTCGTTCGCAACGTGGCAGGCCGAGCGCAAAGATTTGGGACGGCTAATCCCGTCAAGACTTTGCAAGAGTAACCCATACATTTTTGAACAGGGTCGCGTTGGAGCGTTTGGAGTCCACACACAGTTTGCAGAGTAATCATCATCGTGATAGAATCCACCCCAAAATGCCGAACAAGGAAAAGTCGTATCGATAAGCGACAGGGCCGGGCGGCGCTGTGCTCGCCATGTCGCAGTGAATCAATAGCTTGGGCCACTAAGGAGAAGCTCATCTCCACAAGTAATTTCCCACGCAAGCCAACCGGACTGTGCCTACCAAGGTAAACTCACGATGTGATCACCAGAGCTGCGAATAAGCATCATCGTCTTTGCGCTTCCGCTTCTTCCTGCCAATCCGTCAATTCCGCCTTGGCTAGGGGAGCAAGAGTCCAGACTTGAACATCGTGCGATGAACGTCGTGGCACCTGAGATTACACCCACCATGGGTACTGCTGAGCGCCGAACACTTTGAATCTAGCTTCCTGGGAGTGGTTAGTGCTTTCCAAGGTTACTGTGTGTCGCGCAACCGTTTCTGCTTCCTTAAGCGCGGCAGAGTTGCTTTTGTGGAAATTATCAATGACTGTGGAAATAGGTAAGCCCCCTCCCTTAGGACACGTGACATCACCTACAGCAACTCTTGTTGTGATTGCCAAAGACAAGTCTAGGTCCCACACATCAAAACAATCCTTTCGGCCATATGTGGTACCAATGCTGTGTCGTCCTCCGAGGGTGACAATGACATGGACACTTGATGCTCACGTTGGAGGAGGTTGGGGCCCAGGGACAAGGTCGCTGGTCCCACAGCTGATGTTACCGTTCCGGGTCGCTTAGCCTCGTAAGGCTACGGATGTACCACGATACTGTTCTGCGCATTCTTAGGTAACAATTCACTTTCACTCGCATCTATGCAACGGGCAACTTTGAACTGAAGAGACGCCCTTATTTGGCTTGATCAGCCGAGCTAAGGGCATGCCAGGTCCTCGTTGCAGGTGTTGAGCAAGCCATCCTCAAATACATCTAGGACACAGATATACGTACAACCAGTTCAGCGTTTACTGGTTCCGCAGCCCAACATGCTGTGTGGACGTCAAGAGAGGCAGGATCCATGTCATGTAACTCGGATCATACACGTGTCGCTGACACTCCTGACGGAGCGTGTGTTGCCCAATGTAGTGGTAAGCAAGGTTTCACAGTATACCCATTTCCATTGCGTAACGTAACATTTCGTGCGAGACTAGAACCCTGAGGGATGGCCCTCTGTGTAGCCTAGCTTAAACTATGACATGTCCTAGAAAGCGTCATAGAAGTTCTAATAAAAGAAGTTCTTCGAACGAGCATCATCATGATATGTTCTCCAATCTGCAAGAAAGACCAGCCTCGAATCTGACACGACGCTCGTACGACATGTAGATACTTTGCTTTTGCAAAGACAGAGATCTCAGACAAGTCATCACCATAAAATTGATCGGGAAAGCATGCGAGTATTCAGGCATGGTTCACCTAGTTTTTAGATGGGCATGAATTGCCTCCACCATTTCCCCAATTATCATCGCCCAAGTCTGATTCTAGCTTTACCGCTCCAGTCAAACTTCGAACGAAAGTATGAGCGTTCAAAAGTCTCGGAAGAAAAGGAAGAAGGATTGGTGTTAATCATGGATCAAGTTAGCTAAAACCTGTTCGAACTCTGTATTTCGTTCACTTGTAATGATAAAAGCCAGGTTGGTTTGTACTGTAAAGGATACACCATACCGTACTTTTAACGGCATAGATTTCAAATCTCTCAACTACCATCCAGAGAAGAAGAGTTTTTCGATCCATGTACAAACCCTGACACAGATGAGTCTCGATCGCCCGCAGCAGTTAGCAATCAGCAACCGCCCTACCTGCTGACTAGCAACCGACTTGGCTCTCTGCCGTAGTACCCATGAGCTGCCGATATACTCCCAAGCGCCAGACCATAAGATTGGTCGCAGAATGCATACTACGCTTTTACAGTAAAGGATGAAAGTTCTGATATCTATCCGTGGTTTAGACATAGCATCATGTCCATGTGTGCACTACGTATACAGCCTTTTAACTAGGACTGGAAGGATACTTGTATTCAACCTTTGTAGTTATTCCAAATTACAAACCATCCTAATGTTATTATCTTATATTATCTATGTCGTAGAGAAAACAGCCGTTTTTGGGGGTAATAAGCTGCTGCTTTTAGAGGCGTTTTTGTAAGGCTGTGCCTACGTGACCCTGCAAGCAGCCGAGAGATGGCTCGTAACGAGCCAAGAGTAGAATGTCTGTATATGCACTGTTCTACGCAAGAATCAACTATCGCTGATTATTCTCACCTTTTTGTTGCATGGCGTGGGTATAGACCCGCATCCTGACAGTTTTCACCTCGCTTAGCCCCTGTTCTACTGCCGCTCTAACGAACCCAATGCTCCCAGTTATGCTGCACCGAAAGCCTGATACCACGACTTTAACCTCAATACCATCTCGACTTTGCCAGCGCACGCCGCGCAACAACGACCTGTTTGACAGTGCGACGATCTACGAAGCCTGCCAGGCCACCTCTTCCTTCGACCCGATCACCGTGGGCAGGTTAGCGAGGAGTAAGTGGACGGGCGACAGGCGCGCACAACCCAGTGCGGGAGGTGTAGGACTAGGCGCAGCTGGCACAGTCCTGAGTCCTACAATTGCTCGGACCCATCAAACAAACCCAAACATAATTCACAATGACCTCTAAGGTTTTTCTTCTCCTCACATTCGTAACTAGCCTCGTCCATGGCAACCCCCTCCAATTACTAAAGGAATGTTCCATCATCTAGCCCTGAGACTGTACGCCCCCCACCACCCCATATTACACATCTACTGGCATCCAATCAAGGCCTCCCCGCCAATTGATCGATCGAGCACAGACGCGTTCATGACCGTGCTAGGCATCAGCGCGACTGGCATGCCTTTGACCGTCACCCTAACTTCTCGCAATGATATAGTGTCTCTACAACATGTTGAAATATGGTCAACGAGCATGTACTCGCTTTAAATTCCACTCTAACATATCCCAAATTTCGCGCTTCCAGAGTACGAAGATGAATGCCAGCGAGCTCTTCGAAGAGGAACGCCTTCCGTGGTATAGCCATGATCAGTTTTATCCAGTACGAGCTGGTGAGGTTCTCGATTCTAGTTTTAAGGTTATTGGAAAACTTGGTTACGGCGCATACTCCACAGTCTGGCTGTGTCGGGATATCCGGTATGTTTGGCGTTCTTCACCCCCACCCTTCAAAGTCTGATCATTCATGCACAGAGAACGAGATACTGGCTTCGTCGCTGGCTACGTCGCTGTTAAAATTTGTACCCGAGATGCAGAAAAGTCTACACAACTTAATCGAGAGCTGGATTTTTACGAACACGTCAGTTCTATGGAATCACAGCATCGCGGCCAAGCATACATCCGCGGACTCTATGGCGAATTCGAGCTCGACGGTCCGACTGGCAAACATTTGTGCTTGGTGCATCCACCCATGCACATGACTATTCGACAGCTCCAGTATCAGAACTCAGCACACAAGCTCAATGTTCCGCTTCTGAAGTGGACGCTAGCCAATGTGCTAAAGGCGCTGTCGTTCTTACACGACGAAGCTAAGGTCGTACACGCAGGTACGGCAACATGATGCAACATGATCGAATTAACTGACCGGTTAGACATCAATCCTGCTAATATCATGCTGACTGTGGCTGATGAGACTATTCTGGAAGACTTCGAGAAAGCTGAAGCAGAGAACCCATCACCATCCAAAGTGATCGACAACACACGCACCATTTACCGTTCCCGCAAGTTTGGCCTTCCCACGGATGCTCTTTGGGGCCAACCGGTTCTCTGTGACTTTGGAGAAGCGCGGATAGGAGATTCCCACTCCGGCTTAATTCAGCCTGAGCTGTACCGTGCACCAGAGATACTTTTTGAGATGGAGTGGGGCTCTAAGGTGGACATTTGGAGTGTCGCCACGTTGGTAAGTATTGAATCCTATTGAAAGGAAGCCTCAATGACTTACTCTTGATTAGGTGTGGGACTTGTTTGAAAACCAGCATCTATTCGACGCCCGTGACAACGAGGGCAAATCATCAGGGACACATCATGTTTCCGAAATGGTTGCATACCTTGGAATGCCTCCGCTTCAATACACGCAAAGCAACAATATAACAAAGAAGGTCTTCGACGAGCAAGGTCAGTTACTGAGATTGTCCCGGCATAAACTTTGCTAAGTTCAATAGGACACTGGACGGGTGGTTCCAAGAGTGTAACTATTCCTAAGATCTCACTCGAGGAAAGAATCTCGGTGCTTGAAGGGGAGGAAAAGGAATTGTTTCTTGATTTCATACGCTCGATGCTCAGATGGCGGCCGGAAGACAGGAAGTCGGCGACTGAACTTCTGAAGCATCCATGGATGATTGACGCTAGGTAGTTACGACGGCAATCAAGCAACCCTTGCACTGCGAAGTCATTCTCAAGCAGTTTTTGTGTTAAGTGAATGTTTGGGATTGACTTACAAAAACATATCCATCTTCACTTCACTTCCGGGCAGTTCATGTCATCATCGCTGGCCTAGCAATTGTCTGGCCGACCTTGGCATCCGCACATAATATCGACGGTCTGGACCTCACTCGTTTTGTTCCCCGCTTATTGGCAAATTCTATATGCGCAGGAACTTTTTCTATCTTTAAGTAGTACGTGTCTGGAGCTTAGATATCGTCGTCCTTGAGTAATAGCATGAGTGGGGTAGCGACATTGACATGAACACCTCCGCACCGCAAGTCAAAGAGGTCGAGCCTATGGACGACATTCAGGACGGCCCGCGGGAAGAAGATATGCGCATCAATACCGAAAAGCTTGATGACAAGCTTTAAGAGCTCATTAACAACATGCACCCCAAGCTATACCCCGAAACTATTCGCCTCACGATCGCAAGACCACAGATTGAGTGCGCTACCCAACAGTCTGAAGCATTTTCACAAGCGTGGAGCTATTGTGATCGGTAACAATGGTACGTGTGCTGGGCAGCATCTCCACGAATCTCTCCAGCAGGTTATCGCCAAGGACAACGTTCTACTGGTGGCAGTGCGAGGAAGACGGCTAGGATGCTGGAGGTGATGCCGTCTTCAGCCCACAATCGCCTGACATTGACTAGGTGGTTTCTCGTTGAACGGTCAAAGAATGGGTTCTTCATGAAAAGGACAACAAGCGATGGCGTGGTGACACTTTTGAAGCCCAGGCCTTATGGCTGGTCCCTACTACAGCTTTCTACAGCTTTCTACAGCTGAATAGCTATCTGGGGGCGGCTGAGTAGGTTTGACTATAATAAAGGTGTGATAATGAAACACTGGGATGTCTCCGCTTATTGTTCTATGTAAACGGCTGCCGCGACTATGGTAAATCTTCGGAGAGCAAGTAATGGAACGGCGCTCCATCTACAGCCATTCGGCGACCCAGCGGTGCGGCTCAACACAAAATTTGGGCGCATTGAACGGTGAAGTGGAGGTAACTAAGTTTCGAATCAACTTCTCACTGGTCAAAGTGATCTTCAAACAAGAAAATAGTCCGGCCCTACCAGTGGTAATCATGGTTGACGGTCGAATTGGGCAGCGGTGCTAACAGCGAAGGTTTCGGCACTTCTAGATTATTGCACTAAAGTATATTTTCATCAAATCATGAGAAGTCAGTGGCTGAAGGTAATATGAAGATATTCCACCAGTATTAGTCCAGGTCGCAGACCAAGTGCGATGTATCACTTCACAGGCCTAGATGTCATAGATGTCATCCTAACGCAAGGTCATAATAATCACAACTCAGTTCTTCGGGACATGTGCACATTTCGGGAAAACGCCAATCGAATCCTTGGAGCATTCGTCAGTTATCGACCAGGACTAGCGTACTATAAGCTCGTGCACGTTCTTGCATGTGCGTGTATGCATATCACAGCGCATCGCTGCACTCCACCTGCAGCAACACAATCTTAGTTGTTAATATGCACAACTCAACGATTGCGTGACTCGACACCAGAGTCTTTCCCAGATTTGAAAACGCCATGCAGCCTTTACTTTTAAATGACGTCCCGAAGCATATTGTGTCTGAATGTTGCATACCCAGCGTAGATCTCGTACCCGAATGATCACCGCTCACATTGCTGCGCCGTATTACCGCGTGATCGAGTCGTTCTCAGCTCCTCCTCCTGCTAACCTAATCTGCATCCTGATGTAGCTGCATGCGGGCAATGAAGTCACGCCACAGATATGATATTGCTTTCTCAACAGCTATCTGCTGTATCCGAAGCGCTTGGCGCTGTTTCAAGCCAGGCAGACGTACCGAGCGGTACGGGCGGGACCGTCCAGCGGCGAGTCAGGCGGCCACGGCCCGCTATCGGTGTGATAAGTGAGCATGTCGGTGCCCGGGTCGGGCCTTAGGTGTCGCGTTACGTGGTCATCCGGAGAGTCATTATTCGCTCTCTGATCGGTATATTCATGTAATTGTGCGCTATAATGGCTCAGCAGGCTACCTTTCCACCGTCAAACCGTGTCATCATTCATGCTCATTCGCGATAGAGAGGATCTCTCGCTAAACTGAAAATAATCCTGGATATCAGCGTATGGACCCGCGTAATATCCTAATAAGCCTGGGAGCTCCAAACAGATTGTTGGGTGTGGTGAGATGTTGTGGGATGGGCTTCAAGTGAGACTGATGGGGAAGGCGGTCCTTGACTTAGGACCTGGTGTGGACAATAAGTCTGCTCGGTAATGGCCGACGTTGAAGCTCGTCCCTAAACTTGAACGGTGATGGTGACACGACTTCATAACTGCCGGTCTTGCGTTGAGGCGCCGCTGCCGCCATCCAACAGTATGAGAGCATTTAAACTTAGTGGAGGATTGTCTCGGCTTCCCGAACGGAAGGCTTGAGCGGCGTTCGGGTAGTCGATCCAGTAATGTTCGAGATGGCGGAATGTCGGTGAGCGTTTCTTCCCGTGGCTTTGTTCAGCCGATAGTCATCCCACGTCAACCACCTTTTCGAACCCATCCTGCTTCGTCGTACTCGACTAGAAATGCCGTCACTATTTGCCTTATCAGCTCGGGTTGGTTTTGGAATTACAAAGTAAGCTTGCAAGGCTAAATGAAGTGCACATTACTTGTCGTATACTGACAAGGATGCTCAGATTTTCGAGTAGTGTAGAGGACAATGAACAAATCTGAATATTGTTCTCTGCGTCAATGCGGACCCTACAAACTTTAAGCATGTGCGCTCGACCGAGAAAAATTAAAAGATAGTATACTACGTATCCGCGTCGTGAATTAAAGCATAGATAACCGCATCAAATCGAAAATGAATCAAAATGAACCCCGTGATTGCACTTTCATGCGGTTGGGTAGTCCAAAAAGACGGTGTGCAGAGCCCAGCCATGCAGAACAACGTCTGACTCGGCTTTTACGATCTCCAGAAGTCTAGTCCAACCAGCGCAAACGTGGTATATCCAAAACCCGATAAATACCCGATAAAAGGCGCAAATCTAGTAAAAAGTAAAAGTAACCACAACCAAAACTTTTGTGTCGGTGTCCGGGAAGAGAAATGAGACCAAGGATGATTACTGTATTTGCTCCGATCGAGAATGGGTCGTGTGAATCAAAGTCTCTCCCCGTCTCAGAAAAAGAGTTTCTGAAGCAACGACCTATCTGACTGGCGGTAGGGGCGGGTCGGGAGTGACGGGGTATATCGACTAACGCATGGCGCAGCCGTGCAAGTATTAGGACCGGAAATTTTACGCCCGCTTGCCGTTAATGGCTTTAAGTTCGACGTCACTGTCATAAAGTCAGCTCGTGTGATTCGGTAGTTCAGATACTCTGGTGTTGGGCTGAGGTGATGGAGGGTAAGGGAGTTGAACTGTGCGTTGGGTACGCGGACCGCAGACGGCTGAAACTAATGCCGTGTGAAAGCGGTCCGATAACAAGAGGCGCGGGAATGATGGGACATACAAGATTAACTTGGCATCTGCTGGGATGTGTCCAGGGAAGCCACTAGACAAAGGTATGGTTAGCCGCCATGTTCCCCCCATTCGTATCAGATCATTTGACATGAACGTGCTTTAGAGAGGCCTTGGAGGCTGCAGAAATTTGCGTTGCACACCGTTCGGAAGCCGTGGCGCTGTACAGCTCGAGATGTCGTAATAATCGAAGGTTGATAATCCAGTCAAAGTTCGAAAGTGCCGTATCCCGGTTCAAAATGTGGGCGTCCAAGTCGACCAGTCCTTTCCAGATGCGTATATTGTCGGCCAACCTCTTCTCATGTGGTATTGATAGTGGTGTAGAGAGGTCTCGGGATGAACTCACCGGGCGCCATAACCATAGTCACTAGATCAAGCACTATGTTAGTGATGCTCAGAGGTCGAATGACAGGAGTTGAAGAGGTAAATACGTACGCTGATATAGTCAAAGTTGCTTTCTCGCCTAACGTCATTGGGGAGCTTGAAGTGGAACCTAGGATACCCTCATCCCAGCCTGTGCAGAAGCGTCAGTTCGTATGCACAATTGGATGTGCAGACTGCATATGCAGCACGCTCGGAGCTGGATTTCAGAAGGGATGAAAAGAACGGACCTCGAATGACGCGACCAACACCAATCGGCGTAATGAGGTCGCCGCGACCCACTGACGTGTCGAATCTAAGATCACGCTCAGTCCAACATCCAGATCTCGACTAGCTCCGAATTGGGGTGATGAACGAGGCGTCTATACTCACTTTGTGCCTTTGTTGTCTGGTGTATCTTCGTCGAAGAGCCAACCTGCAATTGTTGTAAGCCATTGACTTTAGCACGCGAGAAAGTTGTGCTACCTGTGTATTCCATGGACACCTCGTCATGCTTCTTGGGGACATCACAGCCATTCCCCGGCTTGAGGACCATCTTCTCGACGCCCATTGTGCCTAGGAAGTAAGAATCCGATTTTGAAAATGTATATTGCAGGGTGTAAAGCTTGATATCCGCTAGCGTTCAGGGACCTTGATTCCTCTCTGGTACTGGGGATGAGCTAGTGTAGACTAAGGTTGAGGAGGATGCTGAATTGAAAAAAGTAGACCAGGAAGAGGGCGGAGCTCGGGTTTTAATAGCAGGCCAAGCGTAGGGCTGGAGCAGGAGGCTTCCTAGGTACTATGGCTGAAAGCTTAGACATTGAAGGCTCCTGTTCCCGCAGCCGCAGAAAAGCTGTGCGACAGATTGGCTTGTTCAATAATTGCATCAGACGGGTTTTTTTTAGCCCCCTCGCATACGCCGCTGCTCCGCAGCATTTGCTGCAAGGCAATTGCGGTCTACGAACCACGGGTGCTGTTGGGAGCGGTTGTCTCCCGGGGAATCCTCCCCATGCTCAAGCCGTTTTAACGTCAGAAGTAACTTTGTTGGTCTGGCCCTTCGAACACCCCCGTCATGTGCAACATCCCAGCTGACACGCGATTGGAGCTCCACCATTGCCATGCTAGGGATTGGAAGGCTGTACCCGTACCAAACTTTCCCGCGACTACCGAGCGACATGTCAACCTCACAACGCCAATTAGGCTTGTGTGACCTGACCAGCCTAGCTCATACTGGCCTCAAGCCTGAATTTTTTTTCCCGCGGGGGTGACCAACTTTCTGATTGCGGAGATACTGTCGGTCAAGTCGAAGCCAGGTGGGGTGGACGTAGTGGGGAACAAAGGTACCCAGGTACAAGGTCAAGCTCACGAGACGCAGCTATACTCACCACAGGCCCGCCATCAGCACCATGGATTCGTGGCGCTCTCCTCAAAACTTTAAAGCCCGCTTCTAGGAAGGCGATGCGTAACTAAGCCGTCGGGATGGCTTTTCCTCACTATAGGTGGCCGCACCAGGAGAAGATGTCAAGCAACGCCCCTAAGCGCCACTGCAGCCCCATCCTGTCGAATGACATCGCAGTCCGTGCCGGACACCATCACATAGACCCTTCCGTGCATCCGCATATGGCAATTCTTTCAGCCCGCGTGGCCTGGCTGATGGTGGTGCTTATGGAGGGGTACGCTATTATTCCTGATCTACTCCACTTGTTGTCCTCAACATCCGAGTGGCACCCTAACAGAAATGGTATATTCAGATCTGTGGTACAAAGATCAAACTTTAGTACACATAAAAGACGAATCTCTTCATGAGCAGAGTTAGGTGCAGTCTCAGAGCCGCAGTTGCCGATATTCGAACAATGACCGGTGTTACACTGTTCTCCTATGAAAAAACACGAAACGATTCAACGAGTCCGAGGACGGTCCGGTTAGTTGATATTGGCTTTGGACCGCGCTACCCTCGAGAACTCAGTTCGGTCAACGCCCGCTAGCCATTGTGTAGGTTGCGGTCCAAGGATCCGGCCTTTTTTTCATCCAAGTCCAATATCGCATGCCAATCAGAGCTGGAGCGGCACCACACCCGGCTTCCGTACTAGACCAGGACCCACTTTGAAGCGCAATCGGTTTGCAAGCGGCGTTGCGAAGAGCACAAATGGGGAATTACGGGCTATCGTGCTTCTCGCGGTAATTGTATAATTGTCTGACCCGGGACAAGTCTTGCAAGTGTAGCGGAGACGGAGTAGATACCGTTGGCACCACACGTGCGCTCAGGCCAAGAACCTTGCTTTTAGCCATTCGCTTCCCCTCCTAACCACAACCGATAATAGGCGATCGTGGGCCCTGTGCAGAGAACTGGGAGCCCAGGAGCATGGTTTGGGGACCTCCCTGCTTGCCGTATTGGTCGAAGTGGTTGGGCTTGCATCGCCTGAAAAGTGTAATAAGGTAATTATGAGCAATCTACGCATCTGAAGTGCGGCATCGTGAACATACGCGGTTAATTTTGTCAACTAGGCTGGTAGTCTACATCGGAGAATATTGTAGTCAACATCTTGGTCAGATTGGCCACTCTCATCCTTCCAAATCGATCAGTAGCACAACTCAAATACGACAGAAGATGTCAGCTATCGAATGAAAGAGCTATTGAAACCCTCATTGGAGGCTTGTCCAGAATGGCAACTGCGCCAGATCGGTTACGGAGATAGCGGAAAAACCTACGCTGGGGAACCGGCTGTCCTTCCGTATCCCACCCGGGTCAGCATAATGCATCTTTTCGATTCCTGCTTTTTGTATGAAGGCCAATAAGCGCGTATAGTTGGTACCTATCTGATCAATCCCATGACTGTCGTCAGACATAACAAAGCCACCGTTCAATTTCAAGAACATCTACATCTTACGTCAGCGGGCAAAACGTTGAGCAGGGCTTGTGGCGGTGTGACAGACCTGACAGATGGGCAGACATGGATACGGCTCAGCCAAGCCTTTCCGCAGACCCGACGAATTGAGCTCTAGGAGACCGCCGTAAGAGGCAACGTATTGCAGATTGCGCGATATCCTTTGCCACACGCCGGACATATCTTTGAACTCGGCGTCGCGATGATCACTCAAAAGGCGGATAAGGTCAAAGTGTCCAACGATGGGTGGTCTGAGCGCTTGTAGCATCTCGTATTGCGAATCGAAGTAGTCCTCGAACAGCGTCTCATCCGCCCCACCTGACTTATCTCGAGCTTGTTCGTACATTGTACGGTCAAAGTCGATGGGTATTGTGTGCATATGATGGACAGAGCCCATGAAGAAATCGAACGTATACTTGCGGAGGATGTCCTGAACGAGCTGCAAAGTAGACGGTCGAATGTATTCGGACTCGAAGCCGATCAAGATCTGGATCTTGGTGGAGTATACATTCCTCATCCGATGCGCTTCAATGATGAAGTCGTCGAACAGCTTGGCAAGGGTCTCTTCGGTGTGAGAGTCGGCTTCCTCAGGGTAGAAGTCCTCGTACGGTCTGGGGATATGCTCCGTCAGCGCAAAGGTATGGAAGCCTTTTGCAATAGCTGCCTGAACCACATCCTCTAGACTATCCTTTGCATGACCGCAAAATTGGCCCGAATGGGTATGGTGGGAGTATGGCATGTTGCGATGGGTTGTGTAACTATGTATCTACACTGTTGATATTTTTCCGGGCAACCAATGACTGCACATACGCTTCTTGATCTCCGAACCTGACCTGATTGCGAAGAACTCTTGACAACAGTAGACTTGCGATTCGCGACAGTTGGTCGCTCGAAATGATAGGAACAGGAATGAGTGTAGTAGTAAGACGAGATGTATCACTTTCAAAATTCGGTCGCGAAGCGTGAGATATGGATGACATAAGCTAATTCCAGCACGTCACTTCCACTTCAAGCTTAGTACCCGCCCTCCACGTTGTATCCGAGTCACCTTGAAAGACATCCCCACGTAGATTTTGAGCATTGTGAGCAAAATAACTAGCAGATGAAAGTAGGAAAGCTGGCTAACGTGCGATCAGAAGGCGCCCATCTACTTTTATTCCAAGTATTGCCTTGGAACCATCTCAGCTCTATTTCTATCTCACATCCCACTTTCCTTCGGGTAGTTCACTGCAACTTCTGGCCAGCACAAGTGCGCGATAGAACATCTTCCAAGGCAATTTCTTTACTCAACTACCACTACGAATATCAACATGGCCAAAACCTCCCAGACAGTCAAACCAACAATCTACTTTGGCTACGGCTCAAACCTCTGGCTCCACCAAATGCGCACTCGATGTCCCACATCCCAATACCTAGGCGTCGCGCGATTAAGAAACTACCAATGGATCATCAACGACCGGGGCTACGCCAACGTCGTGGAAGTGCCACAAGACGGCAAGCAACAAGACCAGCATGACAGCAGCAACGACGGGAAGTACGACGACGTAGTCTTCGGCCTAGTATACTCCCTAAAAGAAGAAGATGAACGCCGCCTCGACAAGAACGAAGGCGTACCAATCGCCTACACTAAAGAACTACTCCCATGCGACCTTTGGTCTGCGTCAACGAATGGCAAAGTCGATACAGAAAGGCCTCCTACATACACGCGCGACATGCTGGTTTACATCGACCGCGAGCGCACGGTACCCGATTCGCCGCGGAAAGAATACATCTACCGTATGAACCGGGGCATTGCGGATGCGGTGGATATGGGCGTGCCGGAGCAATACGTCCTTGACGTGATGCGCAAGTTCATTCCCGCAGAGAAAGAGGGTGAGACGAGGAAGAGTATGGAGGAATTTGCTGCAAAGCAGGCTGCCCAGTTCAGGGATGAGAGCGGTGTGTTTCAGTGATTTTGGGCCAGTCTGGTGAGAAGAGCATGATCGGGTCTTGCTCTATGAGCTCAGGGACGGAAGTGTTGGTGAAGGAAAGCGGCGAAAGGGAATAAGCTGGTCATTCTATCTTAGACTTACACAGAAGAGGAATAGACCTAGTTCATAAGTGACGCAGGGACACCCCAGAGACGCGAATGTCCCGAACTGCACGAAGCATTGTTCTTTCTAGCAGGACAGGCTGAAAGCCTCATCCTTTTCCCAACTTGCCTATCCAATCCTGATCCTCAATGGTCTATCCACCACAATCCTTTGTCAATCTAGAGCTCCTCGCGAGCCTTACGGTAGCTTGCCTAATAACGAACAACGCATCAGTTGGGGTTTCGATATTTTTGCTATAAACTTGCATCAGACAGAGCGCAGCGTAGTAAAGCAAGGAAGCAAGCAAGCGAGTAAGGGATGTAAAGGCATATGCAGCAGACTAGAAACCAGAGGACTGATGTCTACGCACCTCCTGTTCGACTTGCAGCTGGTCAACGACGGGCGCCAGCTCCGACAGAATCTCGTATGCCTTCTTGTGGTATTCGAGTTGGGCGGCGATGAGGTCGGCAAGGTTGCGGAGGGGTTCGGGGGTATCAAGGACCTTGCGTGAATGTTAGCCTTCCTATACTCACTCCTCTCTTTATAAAGTGTCGTAGGGTTGACGGGGGTTTCGCGCACATTCTTCATGACCCCAACAGCTTCCTCCGTCTGTCCCACAAACTCATCCTCGGCCTGCTCAATCTTCGCCCTCGCCTCTTCACTCAGATCCTCTTCGACACCGTCCTTCCTTCCGGTCTGACCAGGCAGGGTAAACGCAGGTCCCTTTGCACTGGCCTTGGTCGCATCGAGGCTCAAGCGCGCATTCTCCACGGCCTTGCGCGCACGCGTCGCAAACTGGATGTTAGTATTCAGCGTTGTGCTCCAGCCCGCCAGAAACCTAGACTGAATCTGCGCATCCTGTGCAAGGCGAGCCTCGCCGACCTTCTCGCTGGCGATGGCGTATTTCTCGAGACCTGTCGCAAGCGGATCCTCGCTAGAGCTGGTTTGCTCGGATGTGAGCATGTGCGAGGCGTTGACCGCGGCGCGGGCAACGGCATGGCTGAAGGTCTTGGGCTGCGGCTTCGCCGAGGGCGGCGCAGTGAGGGCAGCCTGGGCTTCGGCGGGGGAGGTGGCGCTCGAGAGGAGGTGGACTTTCTCGGAGACGGTGCGGCCGAGATCGTTGAAGGACTCGCGGAGGTTGGCCGGGTAGTCGTAGGCTTCGTTGGAGTATTGCGAGCTAGAGAAGGGAGCATATCAGCGGGAGTTGGGGTTAGACGAGACGGGGGCCGAGAGCCGTACGTGACCTGGAGCATGGTCGTGTGCACCTTCTTCAACGCATCGACGCGCTTCTCAAGCTCAATATAGTCCGGGGGGAGTTGGGTCTGCCATGAATTGCGTCAGCGTCGCTTTCAACAGCGGTTCCCCGGAAGCGTGTGCGTGCCCTTGAATGCATCCACGACCCAAGGCTGGGGCAAGCGTACCTTATCGTCGACCTGGCCAACCTGCTCCTTGACAAACTGCTGCGTCCTGGCGGCCCATGGCGTGAAAGAAGCACTGGTAAGGGAAGCCTAGTCAGCATATCTCGAGCTATTACCCAGCATCGCGCAGCTCGAGGAGCCGAGCGCAGGAGCAGGCGTACGAGATGTTCTTTCCAAAGGCTGAGATCTTTCCGAGGTTGTCCATTGTCGCTGGTGGAGATATTCGTCTTTATTGTTTGTATAGAGCAGACGAGGGTTTGGCGTCGTGTTGTCTTGAACTTGCTGGTTGAACCTCCATGCGCAACATCCCAGCATCGCGCTAGCTGCTTTGGGCGCCGCACGAGTCCCTGTCGCCGCCGCCACGACTTGTCCACCAACATTAGTATTTTGCAATGAACAGAATAATCGATTTCTATTCTGGATTTCCGCTTCTACGCCCGCAAGCCTGAAACGTGCGCTAGACGTAATTCCCTTCCATTCGAATCCAACGACAATGACTGTCGCGCTCCACGTTGAAGGCGCGTGCGTCCTAGTTCACAACTCCACTACATTGACACCACCATGCCTAACAAACACTTCACAGCGAACAAGCTGTCAGAGAGGTTTGAAACATCGCTCTCAACTACGTTTCGAACCCACAGCAGTTCGCTGCACCGTCAGCTGCGTTCACGAAAGAAAATCCAAAAAGTTCATGGGTGGACTAAGGTACTATTGTTGTCATCGGGCATATTTTGCCCTCGTTCATGACTGCTATACGTGATGAAATCAGCTAATGTAGCGGTTGTCGCACACAAGTGATGGGTAGCCCTGTTGTCTTCAGACGAGAAGGGGAGATGAAATTTACTGCGTTGCTGCCCAACGATATGTGTAACAACGCCGTGCCAACGAGGCGGTGAAGTATGATAGATATCGTGTTAAGTATGTTGCCTACTGCTCCATGCGTACATCGTGAATAGAGGACCCCGTTGAGTCAAATATGAAGATCAATTTTTCGTACTAGGTCGCACATCGTCTCCTCGTCTACTTCTACGCGGCGTCGTAAGTGTTGAATATAGACTACCAAGCACCGCAACCATATCCTGTCCTCGGGTATTCCATCTTTTTTCCGTATCATGTATGCCTGACCCGATCATAGTCCGTCATCATCTATAGAGTTTGCATTCCGATGTGCGCGCATCGCCCTTGCCGCTGTGCCCGAGATCGATTCGACGCCAGCAGTCTGCCTTGACCAGACGTTGAAACTAAGGTGCAGAAGCACAACGCATGTCCCACCACATGGCGGGAACTTCTCGCTCACACTTTCCTATTTCGTCCAAAAGCGCTGCAGGAGCGTTGCACACAGATGGCTGTTGTGTCCCAGACGTGCGCACGTAGCGAGCGGTTCTAGATCTGTCGATCAACGTGTCACCGAACGCCTCTCGGAAGCGCATCTGTAACGGCGGCTTGAGCACAGTGGGGATGAATAGAGGATTTTAGGGGGCGAAGTCAGGAGCTGCACGCATCCGCCATCCGGGGAAGCGGGCGCACCGTACGTGTAATCCTGTTGAACGACGGGAGATCGCTGACCCGTCATCTCATTTCCTCCATGATTTACTGCACGGAATACTGCGAGCTCGATCCGTATGCCTCTGCGATCGATGACTTGCGATCGCTACCGTATCCCGACGCCCACTCCGGAGAGCCATACATGTCCATTCCAGATACGCCCGCGCCAATTGTGTCTGCGCTTGTGATGGTCATGCCGTCTGAATTTGGAGAGTCGGAAATGGTCATAGAGCTGAAGATGCCTCTCATTTCGCGTAGGTCATCCGATACCTGATCCTTGGGTGCCATGGTGCGGTCCTTGATGAAGTCTTTGATCGAGCGGATGATGGGCGGACACGCTTCGTCGTCGGGTAGCCACCAGTCGGACGGGCCGGCACCCATTGATTCGAGCATACGGTTTCGAAGGACGTCTGAATAAATGTACCTGTATGCGAATGTTAGCATTTTCGAGCGCATGCTGACCCCACATTGATGATGTGAGATTTGAAGGCACAACTTACCCCGATGCTTCAATCTTGGCAAAAGTGCGACGGACCCATTGTACAGTTTTTGGGTCTTTTGGCAAGAACAAAATTGCGATAGCAAAACTGACGTGCGCCTCAACAATTGTTCCTTGCGGTGCGTCGGGATATGCGCACATCGCTTCGAAGAGCTGCACTGCTCTGTACGCTGTCTTGGTGATCTCTGGATCAAAGGGTTGTTTTAAGGCCATTGCTGCCGAGACGTGGTACATGAACACAATCCCCCACATATCGAGGCAAAGGAAATTCGTTGTCCACAAGGGACCGCCCCAAATGACGTTCTCCTCGTGAGGATTGACAATGTCATTCGGGTTATACTCTCCTGGAAGGTTTTTGACCTTGTGGCTGGGGTCCAGAAGTTCCGTGCATATGTTCTTTTCTAGATTTTCCAGCTTCTCTTTTAGTAGTGGTAGCTGTGCCATGAAGTCTTGAGGACTGACAAGTCCTTTTCCGGTTCTTGCAAAAAGGTCGTTTGAATCTTTTGCCAGCAGCCGCGAGTAAGCAAAACGCTCCTCATACTTCATGCTTAGGTCTTCGGGGTCCTCGCGCACTTTTGACGCGTAAGAAGTATGTACTGCTTCGTACCACTCTCGACCAAGCACAGCTTCTCCGCCCGACTGAAAGCCGACGAACAAGTCGAAACGAATATACCAAAGGAGAACCTTGAGGAGAAATTCCGATTGCGTGATGCTTTCCGGCGTGTAAAGGCGAGTGAGCATTTCAAAGGCAGCTTTCTGGTGGCCCATAAGATTGACCCAATCACCGAGCATCTCCTGAAACAAAAGATTAGCGCATGAAGACATGAACCCTTAGGACGTCCTCACTTCGATGCTTGCGAGCTGAAGTATGGTCAAGAAAGTCGCAAGTCCTTGTTTCTTGTTCTTCGTAATGTATACTCGTAGTCGGGAGACTGATTCATTGTAGAATTGGAGAAAAGTTGAGATACGGCCGTTCGGCTGCGAGATTGTGTGAAAGTATGCAGCGTAGCCTGCTACTGCGTATTTGAGAGGTTCAAACTTCATTGCGCGAGATAAGAGATCGCCTTTAAGGAAATTGTAGGTATCGCTCTTTAGCGAATAGTGATGAATCGTCATGTGGTGCTGGAAGTAGTTCAAGTAGAAGTGGAGATCTCGGGCCATTGCAGAGGTAGCCTTCGTCGCGGGACCGGCCTTGGTAGCTTGCGCGCTACCTTTGCGCGAGAGTGGCGGTCGTCCTGTCGGTGGAACTACGGAGGAAGCCTCGGTAGAGGGCGATGTGCTCTGATCTAGGATTGACCCTGGTGTGTGCGAAGAATCTTGGAGTTCTTGGCTCTTGGACAAGAAATCCTCATCGAAACCAATGTCGTCGTCGTCGTCGTCCTCATCCTCCTCATGATCGTCGTCATCATCGAAAATAGCAGGCAGATACCCCTTTCCATCTTCATCATGATCCTCGGGCGACGATGTTCCTTCCGCGGACGAAGACTTGCCTGACTTTAACCCACTGCGAGTCGACTTCTGACTAGACTGTGCATCTGGGTAGATGCACTCTCGATTCCCTTTGCGGCACCCTATAACCAAAGATGTTAGATGTTGCCAAAGTTCAGGGCGTAAGACCTGTTACTCACTCACGCACACGGGGTGATTTTCGTCGCACTGTTATGCAATCAGCTGTGTCCATGTCTGACCGAAAGTATTCGGCAATCACCTTGACTCTCCGTTGCCTGCACGTAAAGCAGCCGCTCCGGGTTCTACGATGCTTCACTTGCTCGCCAGGAGCTGGTCGTCTTCGTGGGCGGGTGTTGTTCCCACCTTGCGCTGATCCTATCGGCCCAGGCACGTCCTCGAACTGATCGACATAGGTTGGGTGAATGAGAGGCTCGCTATATTGCACAAAAGGTCCAGGGGCTCCAGGGTGGAATGGGTTGTCTTGCAGTGCTGGAGCGTAGGAGCCATGTGGAATTGTAGTTGGTGGGGCATGCAGACTGTTGGGAGTGGGAACCGCGTTGGGATCGATATTGTAGTACTGCGGCGGGACGTTCTGGCGCGACGGATAATATCCAGACATGATGGGACCGACTACTGTGAAGGAAAGACACAGTGGTTGAGTCGCGGTCGTCTGTGGTTGTGGGTGACGATATGCTTGATCAACGTCATTCAAGATCCAGGGCTGCAGGGGTGCGAGGCCGATCGCCCTGAGTTTGATAATGGCTCTGGCGCAGGGTCCTCAGCTCAGGTACGGGACGGGGACTTGAAAAGGTTATAGAAACGCGCGGGTGGTACATGAGGTCGATCCAAAAGGTGCAGGTCGAGTAAGTAGTCGAGGTTAATGCACGCTGGGTTCGGCGCGGGTGTTGGCCCTTGCTAGCACCGCCAACCCAGCTGGTGTAAAATGCGATAGAGTCTCGACACGTCCAAGTCCCACGGCAGAGCAAGGTGGATGTGGCGCACACGGCTGCTGACGACGAGGGCTCGCAGGCGCAAGGCCAGTCTGAAACCGGCCAACGTTCAGGATGGAGCACAGCAGCCGCAGCAGCAGCCGTCAGAGGTGGTGGTTGTCTGGATTAGCCCTGGACTGAAGCCATCTGGCTGGATCGGAAGCAGAAGCAATGCTGGGTGCCAGGAACGGACAGCCTGAGGGTTCATTCATCAAAACGTCTGCCATTTGAGGCCGGGGTACAGTGAACTAAAAAGCAGGCCGCTGACTTGCTTGTCTGGTTCCCTTCTCAAGCCGCCAGGCCGTGCACCCTGCCCTGTCCTGGACGATTCCGTCTTCCGCGCAGCCATGGATTGGATTAGCTCAGTGCAAGACGCACCCTGTGGTCTTAGAACACTGTTGTTGTTATTAACAACCGTGCGAAGCGGTCCATGATTGTGACAAAGATGCGCAGTCCGACGGAGAAGGGAGTCTGGGGCACCAGTAGCAAGACATCTTCATCCCGGAACATTCGCTGTAAGATGCCGCAAAGCAGGGTAGGGCTAATTTACTAAATAGTTCTTACTTAGTAATTACTATTTAGTAATTACTAAATACTAAAATTAGTAAATTACTAATTAGTAATTACTAAAAAAAAATAGTAATTACTATTTAGTAATTACTAAATAGTAATAATTAGTAATTACTAGTTACTAAATAGTAATTTAAATAAAATAAAAAAATTACTAATTTATTTATATATATTTATATATATTATATACTAAAAAAATATAAAATATATAGATATATATATAAATAGCCC